CGGCTACTCCTGGCGCTGACTTCACATGAGCTAAAGGCGAGACACCAGTTACATCAACACAGGCATGTCTGTCATTGGACCAGTTGTATATCATCACATCTGCAGGCCTTTTTCCATCCTTCGAGGTGCTCAAATCTCCTAAGAAGCCTGTAGGTACTTCTACTCCAGAGTTGATACCGGCTCTACGTAATACATCTCCCAACATGTTTCGTACGTGATCATGTCTGTACTTATATCCAGGGTATTTGCGGCAGGCGGCAGCGTGATCACCCCACTGATCCATATAACCATTACAAGTCGGACATGTAGAGTTATCCTTAAATAGAGGCATCATCAACCTATACTTCATGAGTGTTCTATATTGTATAGGCGACATCCTTTGGCCTTTAACAGTTTTATTATAACCGCTGGATAACTCCATCAGGAGAAACCGTGGGACAGAAGTTATAGGACCGAATGAGATTTGAACTCATGACCTAGCGCTGACTTGGCATTACTGCAGGCGCTCGCTCTGCTATTAACGATGAAGAGGTAGGATTAATTGTGGTTTTTGAGGTTGAGAGTGCTGGCAATTAGACCATTCAAGTGAGTCAGACGATACACTACGTGTCAAATCACGTAAATAAACACGTGTCTCTCATTTTATTTCAAACTAGGTGAATCTTTCGAATGAGGCGACACGTCTAGTTTTGCAAACTTGCGAATTTCATTGTGAGCAATCCAAGATCATAGCTTTATAATGGCAAAGAGGCGCATCGTAGATGAAGACGACGTAGACGAGGGCTCTTCTGATACCTCTCACTCTCGAAAGAGATCCAGAGCTACAGGTTCTGCATTCACCAGTTCCTTGTTGAATACTTTAGTGACTGAAAGCTTTTTAAACAATAGGATCAACGACTACTACCAGGCCTACGCGTGATTCGGAGATCATTGATCTCACTGACGATGCTGATCCAAGCTCGCTAATCAGTAATGGCAAGCATTCAAATGGAGGAGACATTTCTGATGATCTGGATGAGAGTTACCAAGCCCCTGACGATAGCAGTGAAGATGATGTAGAAGATCACGACATAGAGGAACAGGAAGCTGCTAGTCCTGCTCCATCGGCTGCGTCATCTTCACGAAAAGCTAAAGCAAAGAAGGTCGTCCAACCTGTTGTCGACGATGACTTTGAATCTGAGCCTGAAGAGACGCCTAAAGCATCAAAGTCTCGCACTATACCAGTACTTACACAAAAGAAATCAAAGCAAAAGGACACAGTGCAAGATGAAGTCACGGAACTATTCGAGGAACGAGACACGGACTATACCCATCTCAGGCTCAAAGAAGATCACGAGCTACGACCACTATACATTACCAACGACAACATCATCATCCTAGAAGCCTTCTCTCCAATCGCCGATCAAGCCCAGGACTTTCTCGTCGCTATAGCCGAGCCGGTATCACGACCATCACACGTGCACGAATACAGACTCACCGAATACTCGTTGTATGCTGCTGTATCAGTCGGTCTTGAAACCGAGAGTATCATAGAAGTCCTGAATCGGTTGAGTAAAGTGGCCATCCCGCCACGTGTCGAGGCATTTATTAAAAAGTATACAGTGTCGTATGGAAAGGTGAAGCTCTTGTTGCAGCATAATCGATATTATGTAGAGTCCAAGTTCCCGGAAGTGTTGGAGAGGCTGATAAAGGATGATGTTATTAAGGAGACTGTGTTGGGTGATGCGCAACTTGTCGAGACTGGTGGGAGGAGTGAGGCTATTGTGTTTCCGACTGAGGCGCCGACTGTGTCTGGAGCTGCGCCATCAATAACAAAACCAACAGTAGCAGCCAAAATAACAGCAACAAACGGATCAAACGCTTCGTCATCCTCAACACCTGTAATAGAACCTGTAAATGAATCAACAGACGAAGAAGAGCAGGTGGACGAACAACAGCAACAACGAGCTCCAATGCAAGCTGAAGAGCTAGAAGGAATATGGAGTGAACAGCAACCACAACAATTAGGATGGATGGCAGACGTCATGAACGAAGATACCGATACCGATAATACGAAATCATTCGAAATAGATCCTGCAAAAGCCGAACAAGTACGTAAACGATGCTCTGATCTCAATTATCCCATGCTCGAAGAATACGATTTCCGTAAGGACGAACGTAACCCGAATACCAAGATTGATTTGAAACCATCGACTACTTTACGACCATATCAAGCGAAAGCATTATCTAAAATGTTTGGTAATGGACGAGCACGATCTGGTATTATAGTCTTGCCATGTGGTGCTGGCAAGACACTTACAGGTGTCGCTGCAGCATGTACCATAAAGAAGAGTGTGTTGGTGTTATGTTGGTCGGCAGTCAGTGTCGCTCAATGGATTCGAGAATTCCAGCATTGGTCGACAGCACTAGATATAGATGTCGGTCGATTCGATTCCGAGACTAAGAAGCCGTTTAAAGCTAAAGCTGGTATCCTCGTCTCTACATATTCCATGGTGGCTTATTCTGGCAATCGGGCATATGATGCTCAGAAGATGATGAAGATGATCGAATCTCAGGAATGGGGATTGCTTATCTTGGATGAAGTGCATGTTGTCCCTGCCGATATGTTTAGAAAGACGCTGACGGTCATTAAGGTGCATTGTAAATTGGGACTGACTGCTACGCTTGTGCGAGAGGATAACAAGATTGAGAATTTGAATTATCTTATTGGGCCGAAACTTTATGAGGCTAATTGGTTGGATTTGGCGCAGAAGGGACATATTGCTAATGTTCAGGTAATGCGTTGTACGTCCAGAGATTTAGGAGTACAGTTTTTTGGTTTGAACGCTCATGAATCCTCCATGTTTCTTTTTAGTGCGCTGAGGTATGGTGCTCCATGACTCCTGAGTTCTACAAGGAATACTTGAAACAATCGTCAAGGTACTTGGGTGCTGACAATTCTTAAATTCTGCGAGTTCCTTTTTTTGGCATGCTGATGCATCACGTTACTTAGAAAGAAGCAGTTGTTATATGCCATGAATCCACGCAAGCTCCAAGCTTGTCAATACTTGATTGAGAGACACGAACAAGCTGGTGATAAAATCATCGTGTTTTCAGATAATGTGTTTGCTCTGAAAGTGAGTAGTAGACATCGTCACTGGATTTGTTTTTGCACGGCTGACACTCCCAAAATTACGTCAAATTGTAGCACTATGCGAACAAACTCAACAAACCATACATTTACGGCCAAACGAGCCAACAGAATCGTCTACAAGTACTATCCAACTTTCGACATAATCCAGCTCTGAATACCATCTTTCTCAGTAAGATTGGTGATACTTCGATTGATATACCGGAAGCTACTGTCTTGATTCAGATATCATCTCATTATGGATCACGACGACAGGAAGCTCAGAGATTAGGTATGATGAGATTAACTTATCAATTGATGCTGTCTCCAGCGTTTTTCTGTTGACTCGAAATTTCACAGGACGAATTCTGAGAGCCAAACGACGTAACGATGATGGGTTCAATGCATTTTTCTACACACTGGTGTCAAAAGATACCGTTGAAATGGTATATTCTGGAAAGAGGCAGCAGTTCTTGATTGATCAAGGTTATGCCTTCAAGGTAAGTCATGCATCTTTCGTCGGTATGGTTTTTGCTCCAACTTAACATGTCAGTACTTAGGTCATCACCAATCTCGATGGTGCAGATGGCACGCCGAATCAAGTATACGCTACCAAGTCTCAACAAATCGAGCTCTTGACCACGGTCTTGATTGCAAACGACAAGGAAGATTATATCGAAAAGGACGATGACGTGGAAAATAGTCTAATTGATCTTGATGATGGAGCCGTTGTTCGTCGTGTGGGGAATATCTCGTCATTGTCGGGTGCTGATTCGATGGCGTATATGGAATATACGAGTGGGTCTTCGTCAAAGAATAAGCCTAAATTCAAAAAGGTAGCCTAAGGCGCTATTACAAAGCTGTTGTTTTGGCTCCCGACTAACATCGCTTTTATTAGTATCAGAAACGGTTTGATTGACCTTGGCGATTCTGTATGATATTATTGTATTCGCACTTGGTTTGGTAGCAACAAGGTCCTATTTAAGTTGCATATGGAATTAAGGGTGTATTCATTAATTTGGTTGGGGATGTGGTTTGTGTTGTTGCTGCTCCTATCGTGATTACTAGTCGGACGTGGGTACGAAGCGAATTGTGGGAAACGTGCTCAGGGTTAATGTCTTCACATTTTGTTTACGGGAACTTTTGCAATTTTTTGTTAACCTCTGGATGATTTTGGTTTTGATATGTTGAGGTATATATGGAGGTATCGTGCTCTGTGACTCCAAGTGCTACTTAAAACAGCACTCGAGGTGTGCACACATGCTGATTGGTTAGTGCCCCTTTTTTGGCTCTAGCTTGACGACACTCGTTTTATGTAGAAATAGGCATCTGCCAAAATTCACGCAAGATCTAGATTTTCGAATTCGAGGGTTACTACTGTGGTTCGGATACCACGTTTCGCTCTTCAAGTAAGGATAGAAAGCATGCATCGTCCATTTTTTGCATGTCTCGACTATTAAATCACATTCTGATTCCCATAGCATTATACCGTCAAGCTCAACAGCTTTCACACATACTTCCTCACACCTTAGCACGATAGGACAAAACAACTGGTGATGCTGCAGATGGCACAGTGAATGACGTATACACTACCGAATCTCAACAATTTGAGCATTGGCCACCGTCTTGATTGCAAATGACAAGATTTTATTGAAAACGACGATGGAATAGAAAAACCGCCTAGTTGATCCTGGTGATGGACCTGTTGTTTCTCGTAAGGGATATCTCGTCATGCTACGGTGCAGATTCAATGGCACCTATGGCGTATACGATCTCGAGAAAGAACACGCCTAATATATAGATTAAACTCTCCTTCGTCACGGAGGGTGAAACCTGCTGCTAAGGCTGCTCTGTATCCTTCAACGTCGGCATCGTCCAGCGACTCTATACCAACAGCGGCAGCGAATTCATAAACATCCGATCCATCCTCCTCTTCCATATAAAGCATGAGCTCTTCCCCACTATGAATGAAATCCTGGTCATTCTCTCTACTCTGTATATAGAATCTGAATTCTGATGAAGCTAGGCTGATCTTGCTCTATAGTTGACAAAAACATGTGGTCAGTTTAATTACGAATGGTTGTAGCACTAGCAAGACTGGTTTTATATGCTTCCTTGTGAGCGTCGTCAGTGAGTGCTAAAGCAAGATCATGCCTACCTCATGTACTATGCCAGCAATTACTACAAACATAGTTTTACTGCCAAACGAGGCTACAGAATCGTCTCCAAGTCTTATTCAGCTTTCGAAATGTATGACTTATACAAATTATAATTAAATCTGTTACATTACTCCTTGTATACGAGTCTGTTTGATGCCTTTTTTGGTGATCTTGTCTGCCTGATCGCCCCAAACTAGCAATACCTCAATGTGACTGCTCATTCTCCCCGGAGCAAAAATGCAGCGACCTCAAAGGGCTGATAAGTGCTCCCCCAAAACTCTCTCTGTGAAGAGTGTTATTGCTTTGGTTGATAGCCCCAATCCCATCAACAGCCACCCTCCAAATTGTGACGAGGGCTGCGTTTGAAAAGATTGTTGAAACTCTGCATACAATTGCAAAGTGGGCGAGAGCACGCAGATACATGATTTTCAAACAAGAGGGTGAAAGTAAGTGTGTAGAAGATTGAAACCTGAAGCTTACAAGAAGAGGGGTTAAAGAGCAACAGCATAGAGTTCTAGCAGTACTATTTGATAGGGTTTAGGATCTTGTGTTCTCTACCTACGAGTTCATTGTGTGTGTGTGTGTGAGATGTCTGTTGGGTTTGCCGCTAATCGTAAATGTTGGACATCACAAGACAGCACCCATACTGAATACGGACATATCGGCTTGGTTTCCTCTAGATCCGGGTTACGAAGGTCGAGGAATCTCTTTGAAATCCACCTAATGATGATTTGAAACGTTCGTATTTCGGTGATCTTGTCTGCCTTATCGCCCAATGACCAGCAGGGGATACCGCAATGGACTGGCTCATGGCTGCCAAAGCAACCACGCAGTCGGCTCAAAGGGCTCGATAAGTGCTCCCCCAAAGCTTCTCTCCGCCCGCGAAGAGGTCATTGCTTTGGCTGATAGCCCCAACCTTCATCAGACAGCCACTCTCAGCGAGAGGGCTAGATTGAAGAGATTGTTTGGAACCTCCCATGGTAATAGCAAGTGGACGAGAGCATGCAGATACACCATTCACAAACATGAGCGTGAAAGTAAAATTGAAGAAGATTGAAACTTGGCACTTTGCACGTGGCGGAGGACCGAAGAGCAAGAGAATAGAGTACCAAAAGTACCAATTGACGAAGTACAGGATCTTGAGTTCGATTCTTAAGAGTTCTGTGTGTGTGAGTGATTTCTGATGGGTTGCCGCTGATTCCAAATGTTGGATATTATGAGCCAACACCTATACAAGTAAAGGACGCATCAGCTTGCCTTCATTTACATCTAGCATATGGAAGCAGTAGCTCTCCTTGAAATCCATCTAATGATGATGAAATCGACGATTGATCAACAAGATTGTTTGACGGTTTCCAAAGCCAACACAGGACCATAACAAGCTCTACCTGATATGTCAGATCCAGCGCCGTGACAAAGAGAAAGGTCCGTCTGCTCCAAACATCTTGAATCTTGCTCTTTCCTCCCTCTCTCACAACCTCGAAGTTGGAATTGCAGAATTAGCTGCCAAACTGCCAATATTAAAGTCCGCGGGTTCCAATGGCGTTTCTTGCGTTTCCTATAGATTGGACTTTGCAGAAGCGGTCTGTCTCGTACTTGTCGATTTCTGACACGTCATTCAATCAAAATCACAAAAACGTTGGGAAAACGAATAGAGCAAGCGGCGATGAGGAGGATGCAAAACACCTGGAGAGCGTGCTGTCGTGCATATTCGACCAAGGTAAATCGCGGTTCTGCTTCTTCTTGACGCCATCGTTCTATTCAACATTCACGCAATTTAGCTAACCAAACAGAATTCTTTTTTGAATTATGATAGCCTCAAGCTCCGCAATCAGCCCCATCTGTACCAACAGCTGCCAAGCAGAACAGAGTATGCATTAGTTGCCGTGTTGAGGTGCTTGTCGCAATCGCCACCGTTGACTGACATCACATTCTCCAGGATTTGATACTCAATGTTTTGAGAGCACTGCCATCTCAACGTGAAGCACGAGGATACTTGAAACGATTCGCACCAGCCTCAGCAGATCCCGTCACCTCATCACCAAAGTCTGAAACCAAACCAGTTGGATATCGTGGCATAGCCAAAGAAATCCTATCTTCGCATCCGATACCAGACTCACGACAACGACATCTAGCACTTGTTGGTCTCGAATGTCACATCCCAGATGCAGAACTGGCGAAATTCGCAGCTACAATGGTGCATCTACTCAAACTAGGATTAATGCCGATAGTCGTGTTGATGGCAGACACCAAGAGCGCAACAGTGAAACTAAAGAAACATCCTAAAATGGAACGAGACGCCATGATTCGTGAATCTTTCCGTGTTGCGGATGCTATTGAAGCTGGACTGGGACGTGCAATGCCGTTATATAATAGTGTGTTTAGATTGTTGGAACCAACAACGTCGAGTTTAGTAGAAGAGTCGGCGATGATTGATACTGGGGTTGCCATATCGACAATAATAGACTCTAAACAGGTGGATGGGAGATTAGCTGTAGATTTAACTGCTATAAATATCGCACTGTCGGTGGCTGGTATACCTGTAATTGTTCCCATGGGCGGTCCAAGTGGATCTACGACCACGCTGCCATCGCGACAGTGTCTAGAAGCATTATCATTAGCTTTTGCTGCTGATACGACATATCAAGCACCCGTCAAGCTGGTCTTGGCAAACTCACGAGGTGGTATCATGCTACGAGACGGTCATCCAGTAGGCTTTATAAATCTAGCGCACGAGTTTCGTGAAATATCTAATGACGCAGCCGAAGACTCTGATGTCCAGAATCTAGACACTGTTAGATCTATATTAAACTCACTGCCGTCATCGTCGTCAGCAGTGATTGCATCTGTATCATCATCAGCAGCCCTAATCGAGAATCTCATCACCGATAAACCACTAGCACATGCAGCTCGTGGTCGTGCTCTATCCAGAAACGCTATACGGCCACCGACAGTACTTCGACGCGGCTTAGAAGTCGAACTGCATACCTCGTTATCCACACTAGATTTACCTGCACTCTCATCACTAATGGATGCATCATTCGGTAAAAAATTGGATGCAGACAAGTATTGGCATCGGATTGAGAACATTGTGGGGACTGTTATTGTTGCTGGGGAGTATGAGGGGGCTGCTATCGTCACTCACGAACATGACCCTATATATCCAGATGCACCGTATATACCATATCTAGATAAGTTTGCAGTTGCTCCTACAAGCCAGGGAGTTGGTGTCGCTGATATTCTTTGGAAGAGCATGTTGAGGGAATACAAGGATTTGAGTTGGAGGTCTCGGGCTGATAATCCAGTCAACAAGTGGTGAGTATTTCGACAAAGCAATGTTTCTGCATTTTTAGCCTTGAGTAAGCTTTTTACTCTGGAAACAAGCAATTTCGATTAATTATTCCTTCACCATTCGCTAGGTACTTTGAGAGATCAGACGGCAATCTAAGAGTGCCAGGAGGTCACTGGATGTTGTTTTGGTATGGGTCAGAAGGTGTCAGACGCATCAACTCGTACAATGCAATGGCAAGTGCCATACCAGCCTCCTTCTTCCCAGTGCCGCCTAAACCACCTAAAGACGCGAAACCGATCTCGTAAAAGCAGGCTAGACCTAAAACTTTAGAACCCTCTGATTTAAACCAAAAACAAATAATATATTTATCTACTACACTTATAGACGGTTTTTGTTACAGTTCTCATCTTCAAACATTTGATTCTACGAGGAAGCTTATCCTAGCATGATTCAGAGGGAAGTGATGGCCGTTCCCTGTGTCTACGTTTCTAAGCGGCACAAGCCATAGCCACGGGTTTGGTCCCATTATAGATTCTACATTCTTGCGCCATCCTAAATCGTATGGGTTTACATTATTCGGCAGCCTTGTTACAGGTCTATTTTTATTCAACCTGACTCGAGTTCGGCTCTGAGCTTCTACAGTTGTTCTATTGATATGTTTGTTTAGTTGATATAAAAAGCGATAAATTGGGAGAGTAACGTACTTGTTAACACTTATGAGGTATATGTGGAAGCCGGTGAATGCAGTGAGACAAAACGAGAAGATGCTGCTGATTATCACAAGCATGACGTGGTTGAAACTGATGTTGATCAGGGCCTGCAAAGGGAGACGAAGAAAACGTTTTAAAGGCTGATTGCTAGGAATGTTTTCGACAATATCTCAGCTCACCTCAGGATCAATTGTGACTTGCACAAGACTCCCAACCGTAGTTGTAAAAACAAAGACGCTGTACATCCATCCATATATCAGAAACAAGATAAAATATCTATGATTCGTGTGTCCCACACATCTACCTAGTAGTGTACATACAGTTATGTTACTTTGGGGCATTCTCACATAGAACAAATTTAAATGTATGTACACCTACCTAGCCACGGGCAATGATGGTCGAAGCGAAGAGTACATGAGTCGCAGATGGAACAATGATGTGCCCGATCCGGTTTGCAGACTTTGCACTTTCTACAAAATCTGACTTCTCCATTCCTCTTGGCCTGTATCGACGGCGGCAGATTAGGAGCTGGCTTTGAAGATGCGGTTGTGACTGTCTCGATTTCTACGTCGTCGTCAGATGCGAGTGCAGAATAGCTTCCGTTTGGTATCAGTGGTGGTAAGTCATCACTATTTGCTTCATTCGAGTCTAGTAGATCTTGGTTTGGAGAGGCTAGCGGAGCTGTGACGGTCAATAGATAGGTATATATAAGTAATGCCAGCAGGAAATGGTATATTGCTAGGACAGTCACTCGAGCAGAGGTATCCGTGATGATGTTGGCTGATTGTGAGGGAGGTTAGCTTAATGGGTGAGGCAAAACAGTCTAGACGTATACAGTGGGTCTCAACTGATACTGCAACTGCTAAAACAGCTCCTGGAACACTTCCTCCCACTCATTGCTTGACTTCCAAATCACAAAACTTACGAATTGTTAGCTGATACGCATACCAAGACCATCCTAGCATAGCGAGCACAAAGAGGACTGGCAGGTATCCTAGCGCCCGCACAACTTTCTTCAGCTTCGGACCCATCTTCTCCTTCCTTCACGTCTTTGACTCTCAATTGCAACCTTTGGATGTGCGTGAACAAACGAAAGACACCAACCGGAAAATGTTACGGGCTATATGAGGACGAGGATTTTATTTTTAACAATTTTCAAATATTTATTACACGTGAAAACGACCTGGACTCCATTTTGGTTGGCTCAAATCACGTCCTCTGTAAATACATCAACATTTCGATGTGGCCATTGCATCAACTACGAGAGACGTCCTCTGTGTCAAACGCCAGACGCCAACCGTACAGGTTTTGCTTTGTGATACTTTCCATCGAAAAATCGAGAAATCCTTTATCTTGGTGCCGCGTACCGCTCCTGTCACATTTTAAGGTTTCCTCATGGTTTGGTACAGTTATGTCGATCGCCCCCTTGTGATTACCCCACGAGCGGGGGCAATCGGGCACTATAAAAACCACCACTTCTTTCTCAAACTTCAGAAATCTTCACCATGCAATCTATCACTCGTATCAACAAACGAATCACACCAACACTCAACACATTCAAGCCTAGTAACCTCGCAGCATCTAAACGTATTAGAAACATGTCTTCAAACACTTCAAACACTGCTAGCACTACTTCCACTGATACCAAGGTTTGTGCCGCGTTTGGTTTTGACATCTTGTATCTTGTCGCTGACTTTCGATTCGCTTTAGAACGCTCTCAAGGAATCAACTGAGAACGCTCACGATCATGCTCAAAAGTAAGCGGTTGCGTTATGACAACGATCTTCATGATCATGGTCGATAAGATTCTCACACACAAAAACCTTACTATAGCTTGATCGACAAGGCTCACGACCACTACGAGGCAGGAAAAGAAACTGCGCAATCCAAATTGGAAGACGCCAAGGCTACTGCATCTCACATTGGCCAAAAGTATGGAATCGAATTGCACTTTTCTCCGCCAACCAAACCATCTTCTCACTCTCTTCATCCTCACAGAATCCAAGACAAATATGAAGGTGCGAAACAAGCTGTATCAGACAAGGCTGCAGATATCAAGCACTCTGTCGGCTCAGGCATGAAGGAACATGGAGAAGACATGCAACAGTCTGCCAAGGATACGAAGAACTCCATCTCTGACAACACAACATCTGGAACTTCCACAAACAGTGAACCAACTGTTATGGACAAAGTCAAGCAGGGTGCTGCTAAAGTTGCCGAGTTTGTCGGTATTGGGGGAAAGAACGAAGATGTCAAGTACTAGACTACACAGATAGTACCATCCTCAGATAAAACCATATCATATGTGCTCATAACTGTAAAGAAGTAACCAATTAAAACGTACAAAACGCATAAAAACGCTCTGGTTTATCTTCTTGCGCAATTCCGTTTTCCTCATTGTTGACGCAAGCTTGATTAGCTGCGAAAGGAAGTGGTAACGGACTGTATGAGGGTATCAAGCACGTCCATTACTACACTATGAATACGTGACATCGTTGAAGAAGTTTCGCACTAATGAGAAACCCGAAAATACCTGAAAATCGAACAACTTGTTTAATAATAGTGTAGATTCAAACAAGAGAGGAACGAAAATGTATGCAGAATTTCTTATTAAAATCGTTTGCATGTCAGAATCGCTTACTTGCAGGAGATTCATCATGACAAGCCCTTGTTTCGCAATTGTCAAAATCAAATAACCACCCACATCAAGGCACCAACCAGACAGCCAATACCAACATCACTCGACGACGTTCCCTGACTTGTCTTGGACGGCTTGGACTTGAAACGAGGGGTTTGATTCCCATCCTGAAATATTTTCAGGTCAACCCACGTGTAATTGCATTGGTCACTTGGTCACAAGTGAATCTTCAACTTTTTGCTGCAAAACCACTTGCAAAATCTTCCCCAACAACAAATCAACAGCTTTTCTTCTAAATAATCTCAGCTCGCTATACAGCAATGGGTGACTTTATCAAGGGTATTGAAACCAAATTGGAAAAGATTATCGCCAAACTAAACAAGCTCAAGGATACAAACTACACCTCTGATGATGGTGAGTTCAATTTGATATTTAAGTTTATATTTTCGAATATTTGAATGATCAAATGTAGATGACCATGCTATCTTTCGAGCATTTGGGATGATTGCAAATATACGTGACTTCTGACTTCACACACACGCACATTAGTTGAGAAGCTTCAAGAACAAATCCATCAAATTGATGAACTCTACGTCGATGAAAAGTTTACAGATCCCGAGGATGGTTCCATCCCTGCTGGACAGGCTGATGCTGTATGTGCACTTTTGTTTGAATCCCTTGTTTTTGTTGACTGGTTTTTTACATCCCAAATAGTCAGAATTGCTGAACGAAGCTCATGAACTGGCTGCTGATTTACTGCAAGCTTGCCCTGAAGAAGACGACGAGTAAAACATTCATATCTGTGCTGCTCGAGATAATCAAGTTGCACAGATAACCCAAAACCAAGGATAAATATACCTTCAGATTTTGATCATGCATGACATTTAATGCTTTCTTCAATCGTTGCCGCGTAAGGCCGACCTCCTGCATTGAGTTGAACTGAAATGCTACATCGTGATTCTTCATATTCCCCAAACTAATGCAATCGAGACAGACCGACCTTTCGCGATATGACACGATATAAACACTCGGAGAAACGCTACATGCTCGTATGTAGATGGTTCCTCTCTGTTTCGTCTGCTCACAAATCACGACTGCGTACATTTTCAAGATTTGTCACACCCACAGTTCACACCACGACCACTTAGAAACTGCAGCGAATAATGTCTCTCCCTCCAGTAATCTCGTCAACGCCTCCAGTATCGACTACTAAACAGGAATATGGCTTCCCTGCTACATCCAAACGAGCTCCACTACAAATCCATTCGCTAAATCATGTTGCATTGGGAACAGACAATGCTGACATACTTAAAAGGTTTTATTGTGAAGTTATGGGTTTCCGGGAATGTCAACGTACGAGTTTAAACGGCTGCATTCAGAGTTACTGGTGGTAATCGACATCTGGAGCTAACATCACGCATTTGCAGGTCCAGACTTTGGGTTTGCTGGATCGTGGTTGTATATGCCAAAGTACGTCTATCTTTACATTGAAATCTGTCAGAATTGATCTTGAATCCTGTCTCTACGTATCCTGGAACCTTCGTGGATCGAGTGTTTCCATGTGCTAAACCAAACCTCGTTGACATTGTAGTGGATACCAACACCCAGCAGACAACACACCACCACCAGGGTCAATCCTCCTCCATATAATCCAAATAAAGAAGAATCCACCACCATCCGGCATTATCGAGTACAAGCCCGTCGCTGTAGGAGGATCTCGCCATTTCGCGTTTCGAACTGAGGACATACAACAGGTTATTGCGAATCTGGAGTCGAGGAAAATCCCATATCAGAAGGTGAATCTGCCTGGTGCTAATGGAAATGTGCAGCAGGTATGTCGCTTGGAGGAAGATGCGTTCGTAAAGTGTTTACATATCAAGTTGGATACGATGCTTAGTTTTTTTGTGCTGCAGGTCTTTCTCTACGATCCAGATAGGAATGGAATTGAGATTGGAAATTTCAACTATTCGCAACCTGCCTTCAAGTTGTAAAGTTTTGGGTTGGTAATGATTGTCAAACTGGCTTGGGCTGTTTCTGTGCTAGTATTAGTTTTTCCCGTTGATGAGAGCTATTGTGAATATATAAAGTCTAGGCTGACTTGAAATAAGAAATGTGTCTGAATCTATGCGAAAGTGATTCTATTGTCTTTTTCTAAGGCTCTAAATTAATCTATGAAGCCATTACATACAGCGGCCTTAATCCGAGCAGATATCCAACCAACGATATTGGAGTCTTCACATGCGCTGCTAACTCCAAGAATGGATTCAACAATAACGGACCTATTAGTAAATTTGTGCATAGTCAAACTTTGCCCAAAATTCGTGATATTCTGCATAAGCGATTTTTTTGGCATCCAAAGTACCTGTGAGTGTAAAGAATGTGAAAAACCACGCCCACCCAGCCATTGTCGATATCACGTTTCGGTTCGGCCTCATATATTCAATCCAAGCTCCTTCAACAACGACACCCAAGGCATGAAGTGCGAAAAAGGAGAGGCAGTGTCCTTGGGGATAACGATAGCCAAAGCTAGACCATAGTAGGTACTCATGACAGAGACCTATAAAAGGTGCTCGGTTCTAGTCCATATGAATACGACACAGCCTTACAACAGCGTATTTGCATACCTGAAAAGATAAAAGTTCCAGAAATCGGAATCACACGTTCCCACGGCGTCCCATTAAAAACTCTACGTAACGGGTTATACACCAATGCAACATATGGCCTTCGAAACAGCTGATGCCACCTTCTAGCCCAGAACTCTGTTATACTCGTTGAATAGTATGGCTCGTGAAACAGCTCTGTCCTATCAACTTGACCTCCTGTTGCCCACGACACCAACTGAGACAGCCGCCATCCAACTTGCATCGTCGAGTAAAACACGACACATAAGAGCGGACATGCAAGATACGTCGATATGACTGGATTGGCGTGTTTGACGACATACATGGTTTCCAGTAAGACAGATCCATCGACAGCGAATATATGGACAACCAACGACGTTATAGTACTTAATAGCCAGTATTTCGGTAGTTCTTTGGGTATCTGTTTGGTGCGTATTTCAGCACCAGGTACACGTCCTGTAGCAATACTCAAATATAATCTCGGTATCGAAACACGTTGTTTTGTTGCAGATGTTGTAAATGTCACGATATTCAAGAATGACATGAGAGCTCTTGTTGCGGCTAGTGTGTCTGTTAGGAAATCACTTGTCGTCCTAGAACGATCGAAAGGGTTAACTCTTCAGAGACGCTTGGACGCCCGACAATAATAAGGCAACTAACTGTCGTGTCAAAGATGACTTACATGAGCACAGGAGGTAACAACATTGCTGGTAACAATGCATGGACCAATATCGGTCGTGAGTTCCTATACTGAGCCAAAGTGCATCCTAAAACAGTGCTGATCTCTGATGTTGATAGCCAGATTGCAGGAGATACGTGTTTCCGTCCATTTTTGAAATTCCTTGAGCTAGCAGTTGGCAGTATGTAGATCGTTAAATCCATTGTATTGAATAAGCTTTGAGCTTGTTGAAATCGTCAGATCTATGGTGGTAGCAGAGCTTTCGAGCTTGTTGATGGATTTTTTGATTTTCGATTGATGTTGCCGATAACTTGTCCTTGAGGCAACAAGTCTAACTGTGTAAAGAGTAATGTAGTATGAGGCTGGAATTAAATCTCAGTCGAATTTGCACGCACAATTCCGAGGTTTGAGCGAAAAAACACGTTCGACGTCAAGTCTTGACCAAAATTAAGAACTAAGCTCAGCTTCAACCAAAGCAGGCCTACAAAGGAGATCTTCGAAAAGTGAGCTGCCAAGGACACGAGGAATCGCGGAAACAAGCGGTCTTAGACGAATCAACTTTTATTTTCTATAAAGGTTCTGCAAATTTTTAATGTTTAAAAACGGAAGTGGAGCTTTTTAACCAGATCCTAAAAGAAGCGACAAGTTAGATATCGACAACTCGCACTGGGTTTTTGAAACGTTGAAACAGAAACCCCGAGTGGATCTTCTTACCACCGCTGTAGGCCTTGCCGAACATAATCACTAATATAATAAATATTAGCAACTGAACCACAGAAAATGAAACTGACTGCAATTCACACTCAAACAAGACTTACGTTGGAGTTGATCGTATCCAGCCAACACACCAGCACCAGCGACAGCACGCAAGATGTTAGCACCAGCACCCTTAAACAAGGAGGAAGTACCTTCGTTTTTGACGATTTCACTGAAGCAGTGCATGGATGACCTGTATTTGACGGCTTGTCCGGACGTCATCATCATACGACGACGGACAGTATCAATAGGGTATGATGCCAAACCAGCACCAATGGTGATGGACCAACCCAAGAAGAAAGATCCCAAGAGAGATCCTTCCAAGGGTCCGACCAATAAGACTGGTTTGATCGAGTCGTAGAGACCAAAGTACAAACCACGGTAAACTATGATACCAACACAAGAGATGGCAAATCCACGGTAAAGACCGGCAATACCGTCGGTAGCCAAGGTCTTCTTGTATACGTCAATGAGACCGTTGAATTGTCGTTCTCCTCCACCCTTCTTGGATGACTAATGTGACGATGGGTAAAAAGTATTAATACAACGGGACATGATGAGTCTGGACAAAAACAAGACATAGTGTGGGGAAATTGTTCATCAATGAACTGATATTGATGATCTTTGCTGATATCACCACATAATCAACCGATCCCAATACCATTACCACGTCACCGCTCATCAAAAAACCATAAATCATTAAATATTACCTTGGCATCGTTGGCAAGACGAGTACGAGCATAGTCGAGAGAGTACACAAACAACAATGATGAAGCACCAGCCATACCACCAGAAGCCAAGTTACCAGCAAACCACTTCCAGTATCCATCCTTATCGACCTTGTAGTTGAACATACGCTTGAAGTAGTCCTTGAAGGCAAAGTTCAAGGCTTGGGTTGGGAAGTATCGGATGACGTTGGCAGTGTTACCACGCCAGAGAGAGTAGACACCTTCTTCCTTTACGACACGTGAGAAACATTCACCGATACCCTTGTATGGTGTTGACAAACGACCTTGTTTGATCATTTCATCTTGATTCTAATGTTTGAAATTGGGAGATGATGATGAGAATTAGATGGATATTGCTTCTTGATCGAGTTCGAGGAGGTTCATTCGACGTTGGGATGCGCGTGTGTATGCATATTTCAAGGTGTTACAAGAGCGCAAAATCATCTATCTCCGTTGGAAAAACCACGCATCGTGTAGGTTGAGTCCATATCAGCGATCCTTAGATACGATGGAAATAATCGATTCTCTCATCCATCACGCTCCATCCCATCGACTTGAGATTTGCATGAAATTTTGCCTCGAATATTTTTTTCTTCACGGGCAAGACGAGTATCGAGACTTGCCTGGATGAGGAGCTTGACACGTTCAATGGGAGCAGCAGCAGTCTTGGATACGGCAGCAGACACACCACCCATCAAGAAATCTAAACATTTGGGTGGTATGAAATGTTAGGCTCCAAAATTACAAGATTTATCGCATCAATGTCGAGATAGTTCCAAGATAAGAAGTGTGTAGACTAGAACGAGAAAAATAAAGACTTTCCAATCATGAAGTTGGTGAAGTTGGCCTCCTTCTTTCCGGTCTTCTTGTCAGCCATGGCTGTTGGTTTTAAAAATACTGGATGTGAGTGAAATGCAGCCTTTTAATGCTAGAGCAAATGTGTACCCATTGTGATACTACCTGTATATAAAGTATATAGGTACTGTTATATATTAATTATCACCCTCTTCCTCTAGAGTGGTCGTTTGCTTTTGCAATGCTAGGGAAAGAAAAATTCACGGATCAAATTTGTCGCAACGTAACGGAGTGCGAATTTCAAGAGAAGCAACATAACATATAAAACACGATAGAAGACACATGGATATATCCAATATCAATGACTACCTGCATGTGAGCGTGTAATCCTACCTTCCACTCCTCCAAAACATAGATCTTAGTTTCGATTTCCGCATTAAGATTGCTACCAATGTAGCAGAAGACATTACGGAACTCTGCTCAAACAATGCACGCGTCAAACACGTAACAGATAATACTGCGTTCCTCTTCGATTCCTTCCACAACGTGTTGGTGGTGGCCTTCACCTTCATTGCGTTTTGCTTAATCAATTGATTGCCTTTCTTGCCGTTTCTTCACAAACCAGAGGAGGAGATGGATTATTCGGAATATCTGGAGACAGCTATAATTGCAGCCAAAGCTGGGGGTACATTCATGGTCCCTTTGCCTATGAAATAGAACGTTGAACAAAACGCAAAACCAGTTTTGACTGACATTCTCATATCTTTCTACAGGGAAGGTGATCGTCGATGCTTGGGAATTGCCCCGTGTATTCAAGACTAAACTGGTGGAACAAGACCTAGTCACTTTAAGCGACGTGGAAGTTGAAAAGATCGTCAAGAAGATACTCTTGTCAAAATACCCTCATCATGGATTCATTGGGGAAGAAGAAGCCTCAGCTTCTGAATCTTCACGTAGATCTTCAAAGTATACTTGGATTGTGGTATGTCCCCTTTCTTTGAAAAAGTCACTTTTACCTGTCACAGTTAGACAGATCTTGACCTGTTATTAACCAGGATCCGATTGACGGAACTACAAACTTCTATCATGGCTTCCCATTCGTTTGTGTATGCATCGCTCTGGCTATAGACTCCAAACCAGTTGTGGTGAGTCCAAACATCGTCAACAACCTCTCTACAGAATCTTTGACCTGACTGAAACGGTAGGGCGTGGTATTCAATCCAATCTTGAATGAGCTATACACTGGTGTCGTCGGAATCGGTTCCTTCTTGAATGGCAGATCGCTACCACTCAGCAAACGAGATTGGCAATCTCTCGCTCAGGCTCTTGTCATTACAGAGTTTGGATCAGACAGATCGATAGGCACTACGAATGCAAAGAATGATACGTTAAAGGACTTGCTGATTAAGGAAAAGTTCCGTGGTGTGAGATGTTTAGGGTAATGTGAAATCATTTCATCAGATACTCACTTGGCCAGATCGATTTCATTTTTTTCATTCTTACTCGTACACTCTATTTGAATAGCTCAGCAGCTCTAAATCTATGTAATGTCGCTAAAGGTGCTGCTGATGCTTACTATGATCCAAATGAAAACAGTAAATACTAAAAAATTATAATAGGTGCTGCTGATGTCTACTATGAGGCTGGATTACGAGTTTGGGATATTGCAGCTGCGGGCTGCATACTGTGTTGCGCTGGAGGGAGTGTCTATAACTGGCATCCAGAAAACAAGAACGATGAAATTGACTATTTTGTCAATTCCATGATTGGTGTACGGCCTCTACCAAACCAATCTCAAGCGACAAAAATTGTTGCTGATATCAGAGCTTGTTTGAAACCTATAAATATTGGAAGGGATCACAAGTTGTGATTAGGTTGGAAAGTATGCCAAAGTTGTCCTTCTGCTAAAGGTATCTGTTTTGTACAGCATAGAAACCAATGTATCCCTTTTCATAGAAAATGCATGCGGTAAATGTGAAATTGATTGTATACTATTTTGTTCTTTGTACGAATAGAGGCTTAACAACAAGGAATGTCCCCTTCAAACAGAAAAACGACATCACCAGATCTCCCCCTCAAATAGGTCCTCCTACTCCAACTCCCTTCTCTTCCCTCCCTACAAAAATTGTACATATTTTTTCAACTATCTTATTCTGATCCTTCTTCAGTTTATAAATGTCGTTACGAGTCGACCTCCATTCCTGAGGGATCGTCGTAATTTTCTTCGTCATCTTCCTCCATATCATCATCTTTAGAGGCAATGACACCATTGACTACGACTTCATTTAATGGGTGTTCGTTACTATTGTTGATGCTACTATTACCATTAGCAGCAGGTAAAATGCATGGGACTGATGAATATACTGCTGGGTTTGATACTGGTGAAGGGACTGCGCCCCATGAACCAACACCTACTACTCTACCCATCAATCGTTCAGCACCATCTACGGTTTGTGCAAAGATGTGCATGACTGATTTTAGCATGTTAGATGATTCTCCTGCTAGCGTCAATACTTTGTGAGCTTCAGCAGAAGCAGCATTGGTGCTGGTGTTGTTGCCTGATGATGCTTCACTTCCATTCAAAGTGGCCTGCAGAGTGCAGATTCAATGTTAGATAATGCTAAGACATAAATAAGTGCTTTATTTTTGCTGCCAACTTGCTTACCCATCGAGTTGGAAGGTTGAGAATGAAACCTCTAACGCTGGTTCTGGCATCTCCCGGTAGGTAAGCAGCAGCATACCGTCCAATGACATCCACCACCTTTCTTAATGTATCTACAATCTCTCTCTTGATACCAACTACGACAGCCATCAAATCATTTCCAGTTGTCATGGCCAGTTCGTTTGATGGAGATAATGGTGGCGTGAGTTGACTATATTGTGGAGCATCATGTGTGAGTATTCAAAGTGCACATCTAGAGGCAAAGAAAGTAAAGCATATACACGTTGTATACCTTGAAGATCCAGCAATCATTCCTACTACTTGACTACCTGCTCTTGCCAGATAATCTCTCAATATAGCAATTTGACGCTCAATGTGAGATGTAGCATACTATGAATTGAATTGAAACACGTTAAAGCTGCTGTTGGATGTTTGATGATGTTTCACCCAAACCAACCTGAAGCCATTGCAGACAGTATTTGAGTGCTCGCATAGTCTCGTCAGTTAACACGATGGAGGACATTCCTCCCAGAGCAGTCTGCCATGCTGACCTTGGTTTATGGTCCATCAGCATATCCCCTCTTGACGACATTGTGCCGTTGACTCCAAATCCACCAGGAGATACAGGGGGTAATGGATATCCAGGCGAGCTACCCATAGCACTAGCTCGTACCAGATGTGGTGATTGTGGTATGGTTGGAAAGGGTATTTGAGGAGGCCGTGAACTATCTATTGCCATCATTCGATCTACAGCGTCACCTGACAATGAAGGATCTATGGACGCTGATTCCATAACAGGACTTCCACCGGGCACAGGAGAGAATACGGAGGGTACGGCTCGTTCCAGTTTATCGAGTTGATTACAAGCAAATCGATCCAATGGAGCCAAGGCGGGTTCGAGTTTGTCCAATATAGGACCAGATATCGATTTGACTCCAGTTTCGACAGTTTCTGCCGAGTATCGTACAATGCGACTAGTGTTTTTGCCTGCCTCGTATACAGCACCAATCTGGTTTATGGATTTATTCACAATGGGTATATTTGTCACTCTTTGCATAAAGTGCTCTTGATGGATGATTGGAGATGATGCTGATGAGATGGATGCATGGGGTGATTGTTCTGCTGATAATGAACTGGATGATTGGATTGGAATTGGATAAGATTGAGCAGCACCTGTGAACGTTTGGAATTAGGTTTAGCCTTGTGTTGTTTTCGGGGTGGCAAGGTTGCCTTTATTCAAGTACTTGCCAGTCATTCCACCATTCCGCAGTCCGGCCAATGCTTCCGCTACTAATACATCGTTGGGATCATATCCTAAAAGCAGCCAGGTTTGACATGTGTTAGCACAATGATGTCAAAGTGATGATTGAATCCAAGGATGATGATAATCCGATCGATTCGAGGATGAACACAAATCATCTTCATTTTTACCATTGCATAGATCAGACACTGCTATTTTGTGATTGGTGCCAACGTGCTGCGAGACGTCCACAGGACTAGACAGTACAGCGGGAGCCATCTGAGCGGTATAGGATATTGACGATGAGGTAACTGGCATGATTGGAGTAGCCCCGATCGAGAACATCGCTGAGTTTGCCGAGCTCATTGGTGTATCTTCGTGCAATGGGGACGTTTGACTTCGTTCACCAATATGTAATGGATTCGACTTGAGTTTCTAAGAGTGCATATGATGATTAGAATTTGATGAGTGTACTTGTTAATGAAATTGATGTGTTTATTAGGTAGGCCTGTACTGTAGGCACGTACCGACGAAGATGGGTGTGATGTCAGCCCTTGAATTGAAGAAAAACTCTCCTTTTGGCTAATCATACCACATCGACCGGACTAAATTAGCTTATAATATCAAATATGACCTTGTTCACTATGTTGTTGTTGGTTGTATTGGTCGTAACGGACGTTTCTTCGTCAGCTTTCCGGTGAAGTTTGGAGACGTCAAAAGCGAGACAACCCAAGTAGGAGGATACCTTCCGGAAGAGAAAGAAGCTCAAAACTATAGCAAAACGATTATATGACCTTCTTGTGCTTGTCAGAATAGCAACAAAAAAGGCGAGAAACTAATTGCACGTGGTTGTAAAGCTGTGTCAATTTCGAAGACCCACCGAAGGGACGAAAGGAAGGAAAATCAGCGATTCTACGCTCGGTACGCCATCAATAATACCTGAAATATATGTATTGGCTCCACACTCTCAACGACAAGGACGCGAAATGCTACGTGTCGTGTTTTCCTTTCACGCGAGCGAAGCAAGCAACTCGCACCGTGCCAGGTGCAATCTGACAAGAAACGATTCTTCCTTCATGAAGGCTCTTGATACTCCGATTCGATCGCCAGCTCCACCATTTATGCACGTTCTTGCCGTGTTGCTCCTGTCCTTTTGCCGAATCCGATTCCAGACTAAACACTGCCGTTCCAACTTGACCTTAAACTAAGCAACCGGGCATTCTTGTGCATCCCATGGAGCCAAGTCTTGACAGCCCATATGGGCCATCGAGACATCCACAATTCATCTTCAATTCTAGGCGATCACCTGTCTATTCAACAAAGGGGCTAGTTTGTGCATCCCAGCCATTGGCAGTCAATGCTGGCCTCAAGATATTACAAATGGGTGGAAACGCTGTTGATGCCTGTGTCGCTGTATGTACACAAAATTCAAATTGTGACACAAGTTCCAGCATCTCTTACATGACTTCTTTCTTGACATCTTTCTAGGTGGCTGCTGCTATGAACGTCACTGAACCTCATCAAACTGGTATTGGTGGTGACATGTTTCTCCTCTACTATAATGCCAAAACAAAGATCGTCAAAGGCTTGAATGGAACAGGACGTGCTCCAGCTGCTCTCAGTTTGGTGCGTGGAGTCATGATTAGGTTCTGTAAAGCATCCCTAATTGACTTGGACTAACGCCACGCCTGCAGGCAAAAGCACATGCCATGGGATATACAACTGAGATCCCCTTCACGGACGTGAACGCTTGCACTGTCCCAGGTACGAGTTCATTGGCATACCAAGCATTCAATCTACTAATGACGAAGATCGGGACCTTTAGGAGCTGCTGCTGGTTGGTGTGATAGTGTGCAGCACTTTGGCTCTGGCAAGGTGTCTATGCAGGATATACTGCAACCTGCAATCGACCTTGCAGAGAATGGATATCCCGTTTCGCCTATATCGAGTTTCATATGGGCTGTAGGAGCTGGAAAGCTTCGAACTGGATCCAAGTATGGTGGTGAGCTCCTTATTGATAACAGAGCACCACGTGCTGGAGAGATAATGAGCATGCCAGAGCTTGCTGAGTAAGTGCTCAGACAGAGACGCGAGACTTCCGTAACTCCGCAAGATCAATCTGAATCACCGTCCACTATAGAACGTTTAGGACTGTCGCTCGAGAAGGCAAGAAGGGATTCTATGAAGGCCGAATCGCTGAAGCTATAGTCAACACCATCCGAGAGAACGGCGGCCTCATGACCTTGGAAGATCTCAAATCACATACTTCCACTCTGGTCGATCCAGTCTCCATAAACTACAAGGGAGTTATCGTTCACGAGATACCTCCCTCGTCACAAGGAATCGTTGCCTTAATAGCATTGGGCATCTTAGAATCCTTGTGGCAGGACCGTGGAATCGATTTCAAAACTCTGGGTCACAACAGCCCTGAGTATCTGCACTACCTCATTGAGGCCCTAAGACTTGCGTTTTCCGATGCTAGACAATGTATGTGTTGTATGATCATCACCCTATCTCGTTGACTGACTTTCTGCCTCTCATACATAGATATCGCAGATCCAGCAATTGTCCCAGTGCCAAGTAAAGGTCTCTTGGACAAGGAATACCTGAAATCGCGAGCAAATTTGATTGATCCTCATCATGCAAGGGCCGACATAACCGCTGGATCACCCCAATATTCTTCAGATACAGTCTATTTCACCGTTGTCGACGCTGAAGGAAACGCTTGTTCATTTATCAATAGTTTGTATGAGCCGTTTGGATGTGTAAGTTTGACCTTCACCTCATTTCTGATATTTCGATACTTGTTTTCCTTCGAGTATGTGATGACCTAAACCTGTTTCGTAAATGCAGGGAGCTGTTGCAAAAGGAACTGGTGTTGCACTTCAAAACAGGGGATCGAACTTTTCTCTTCAAGAAGGTCTATCTGTTTTTGTCGTGTTCTTTCCAAAGCATATGTGTGTTAACATTCATTGATTTTCAGGTCATCCAAATGTACTTGCTCCAGGAAAAAGGCCATACCATACCGTAACTTCAATTTGGCCTCACAACGAGGTTTGTTTTTAGCTCACCAGTCCTCTGTTTTGTTAGATAATTCCCGCCATGGCAACGTTAGCTACCACATCAGAATTGTACCTCTCATATGGAAATATGGGCGGTTTTGTAATGCTGTCTCGCCATTTCCTCACCCAGTGATTAATTCTCACTAAAACACTGTCATAGATGCAACCACAAGGCCACGTCCAAGTCCTATTCAACATGATGGAATTCGGTTTGGACCCACAAGCAGCTGTCGATGCTCTACGCTTCTGCATAGGCCCATTCGACGGTATCACTTGGGTCGAAGAAGGGACGCCTGCTGCAACGATTCAAAAGTTACGAGAGATGGGACATTACATTGAAGTGTTGAGTTCTCACGAGCGTAATAAAATGGGACGTGCTCAAGTCATTGCAAATAGAAGAGATCCGAGGACTAAGCAGAGATACTTAGTCGGTGGGTCTGATCCAAGAGGAGACGGACACGTCGGTGCCATGTTGTGAAGCCAGGAACAAACCTGAAACAAACTGTGACTAGTCAGATTAATATATTAGAAATAGTTTTGACATTTACAGTTAAAGACCGTGATGGGCGTCGTTGTGGGTATGCGGTTAAAATACATTATTTCTAGTTGAGGTTTTCCTGTAGACATTCGACACTATATATACTTATCGAGAGCAGACTTCAAGTCCTTTACAAGAAATGGTTTCGGCAAGACACCGCATTGCCTGATGGTGTCTTCTTCAACCAATACAGTATTGGCTGAAGTGATGACGATAGGCGTATCGATATTCAGACCTGCTTTCCGGATGTGCGAGATGGCTTGCCAGCCATCAACTCTTGGCATTTGCAAATCCACTATGAGTCAAAAAAAAACCGCATCAGTGTCTTAAACATCATGTCTCAAACTCATAAAAAATTGAATTCCTTACTAAATATTATTCGGTACTTGTGTTGCTCTGCAAGGTCAATAGCCTCTTGCCCATCATTCGCCATATGCAACTCCATATCAGGCTTTAAACGATTCAGCATACGTTTCAGAAGTGCTCGATTTACATCTGAGTCGTCAACTACAAGAGCACCAATTATGTGTTCAAAGGTATTGGATTCCGGCTGCGTGGGTGTTATCTCTTGAGTAAAGTCGTTTGGTATTGTTGCCGGCACATTGTCTGCCACTTGATCAGACATGACAAAACTATTACTTTCATTGCGGTCCCTGCCTCGCATATGTGTACCTATGTCATTGCTCATCATAAGGCCTAGTGGTGATGTTTGTGACATGGTGGGCTGATCAGGTTGTTTTGTTGTCGTGAAAGGAACCACTGCAGTGGGCTCTGAATTGGTTCGTTTCACTGGGTGGATATCTACTATGGTGTCATCATCAGCTAGACCCTCTCTCGAATTATTCTGTGACTTGGGCAAGATGGCCAGCCTATGAACCCCACAAGCCCCTGTGCTAGACGTATGATGGGTGCAAACACTGGTGCCAGATGCTTGATGGCAGTGGCACGTGCCTGCTGTGTGATTGCAATGATGGCCTGAAACAGAATTCATTTCTATCATGGCAACACGGGGTGTACCAAGATCCATCCCTTCCATACCAATGCTCGTGTGTGGAGTTTGCGATGATGTTTCTCTTCGGACAATGAGTTCAAACCAGAATCTAGTGCCGTGGCCAGGTTGACTTTCAACTTGTAGTTTACCGCCCATAAGTTCGACGAGCATAGCACTCAACGACAAACCTAACCCTGATCCTTGATATTCGCGTGTTGTTTGTTGACTGGCAATACTGAATGGAGCAAAGAGTGTCGGTATATGTGATGGATCTATTCCGATTCCTGTGTCCGCCACCTCGCATCTAGAAAGAGAATCCATTGTTCAGATTCTGAAAAGCCACAAAACTTGCAAAGGAAGTTACTGCAAAGGGCGTTACCTTAGTCGTACGTGATCTAGAGGTATTGTACCGTCTTTGATCAAATATAGCGAAACATCTACCCTGCCGCCCGACTTAGTAAATCGACACGCATTAGCGAGTAGATTCGTGAGGCACTGCCTCCACCTATTTTAAATCAATTTAGTAACTGGCCCGATCAACCAAAACATCAGAAAAACGAGAAGGGTACCGTAGATTGTCAGTATAGAGCTTATCTGGTACAGTCGCATCGCAGTGATACTCCAAATTGATTCCAAGGGTTGCAGCATGCAATGCGAATGAATGACACTGCTCGTTTAGCATGGTAGCCAGATCCCCCCAATGTGGCTCAATAGAAGTCTTGCCACTTTTCAGTTTTGTAGCATCAAGCACATCGTTGCATAAATCCGCCATATATCGTGCGGCCGTAATTGAAGCTTTGGCATATTCGTTATTTGGGTTCTCTGTCATGGTCATATCCGCCATGGAGAGTACAACATGTAATGGGTTGCGTAGTTCGTGGCAAAGGAAACTCATAAATTCGGTTTTCTCTTGGTTTGCCTTCACTAACTCTATTGTTCGTTCCTGCACTTGTTTTTCAACTGATCCAAGGAAGCGATTCCTGTCCGCTAACAAAACGAAAAACGGTATCATGCTGAAAGAAAAGGATCAGACTAGTTTTGAACAATCGGACTATTTCCGCTTTCATGAGTGGGGGACATTTTACCTCAGGTCGATGAGAAGAATCATCATTGCCAGCAGATGATCGTCGTACTCAAAGTCGCCTAGTCACAAAAAATTATCAGAAGGGGTGACCTAGACCAGTGAGGGCTTGATATACAATAAATACCTGGCAAGAAACGTATCATGGGAGTTGCAATCGAAAACAGTAACAAATGAAGTGCAAGACCGGTAGTGCCAAGCAGGACGCCACTAAGAGCCAAAACAGGGACCTAAGAAGAAGACTTTTGGCATCACCTATTCGAGCTAGAAAGTATTTCGTGATTGAAGGTGCTACTCACTGTAAATAAAACAGCCCAAAATACTTTGAATGTAGCGGGACGAACAGTTAATAGCGGTGTCTCATACACAAACGAAACAGCTATCGGAATAGTAATGACTAGTACGTAAATAATGTCAGTGAAAACTTGAGGAATACGATAAGATCGCTTTGTTGCAGTACCCGCGACAGTGAGAATAGTGGCTATCAACATCCTAGTCCAGGTGAAATTCGAGCGGTGCCTCCAATCAGTTTGGGAGACTAGCAGCACAGCCGGAAGCGTGACGACAAGACCAACACTCTGACTAGCAAACCAGTCGAGAAATCCCGAAAGCCCCAAGCCTGATGGATAAGACCTGACTACAGCAACTAGAGCGGATAGCAAGAGGGACAGCACAATAAACGGCATGACCAGATGAATCTCGTCCAACAAGAGTGGTTGATCAAGGGATAGTCCTGACTTTCTTCGTGCCCGTGACCATAGTGCGATCAAAGAGAATGCCATAGCGTTGGCGACAAAGAATTCTCCAAAAGAGTATGTTGCTATTGCAGTGAAATTCGAACTATCTATTATCATCTTTCCAAAGGCATTGAACAACCATACTGACACTAGTTGAGGGCAGAGTGTTGAGCAAGGCTTCGTAACATGCTTGTCCAGTTAACAAGAGAGCAAAGATGGATTCGGAAATTGATCCGCCAGTAAATAAAAATGAATTCCGGACAAGATCTGTTCCATTAAATGGTTGCTTTCGTTACCTTCCAGGATTGCATAGGAATATGCATTCCGAGCCCATCGTTGCACATATGCTGTAATGAGACAGCCGGTCATGATCGCCACAGCCAACTATTTCAAAATAATGGATGGATTAGGTTGGCTATTTGCTGGTCTTCCTTTGGTCTTGGGTGTCTGGCCTCCCCAAAACACGGGAAGGTTAATGTTTGCGGACATGTGTACCAAACCTACCCTAAACACTAGGAGTTGGTGGTTATAAAGAGATCTACCGACCAAGGATGCTACTAGAATGGAGACATTCCAACATGTGAAATGTAGCCACAGCATCTTGATCAAACAACCTTTTTTAGGTTGTTCAGACAGCAACTCGACTTGTAACTATGCTGTTGTGGGGCGGCCAACATATAGACGATCGAGGACGGCAAGACCTCACAATCTCTTCGTTTTCCTTTTGATCCAAAGGGGGAACAGACAACAGGACAACCCAATCTTGTCAGGCCCTAGTCACAGCCATGGTCTTTTTCGACATGGTCTTTTCGTTTGTTTGGATCATTGTTCCATGAACGGATCCAGCTGTCCGCAAAAGTAAGAAAAACCCCCGCAAACTTTGAAACGTTCGATCTCGTCCTATGGACTTAGGCCATGGAAGGAGGTGCAGAATGCCATCACGTTTCTTCACGTGCTAAGAACTTCACATATCTTTTTTCTCCGCTTGCATTGGATCAAATATCTGAGTTTTGCATTCACCTTATAATGTTTTCGCTTGGTTGCTTGTATTTCATTGAATTAAAATGCAGCAAATCAAACTACACACTACGCGAGTGGCGCCTTGATCCGGAAATTTGCAAGGCTGAGAAAACACTTCAACGTACACATTCCATTGACCAGCTCATGCTAATATGTAGACTAGACTGCTGATTTACATATACACTACTACATTTTGGTGGATTGGTAAGGTTTAACGGCCAGCTAAATTATTAAGAATTTACAGGGTTGCAGGTCAATGTAATTCCATGTTATACACGTTTGGTGCTTTTCTTAGGGTTTGGTCGCTCACATGTGACGGAATTTACAGGGTGACAGGTCAATGTAGTTCCATGTTATACACGTTTGGTGCTGTTCTTAGGGTTTGGTCGCTCATATGTGACGGTCAAGAGCTCTCTTCAAGTCCTTGGTGAGAAATGGTTTCGACAAGACGCTACATCGACCAATGGCATTCGCTTCATCCGTCACTGTATTGGCTGTTGTGATGACAATGGGGGTATTGGTATTGAGGCCTTCCTTCCGAATGTGCCCTATAGCTTGCCAACCGTCGACCCTGGGCATTTGCAAATCCACTACAAAAAGAAACAAAGAGTGTAACCTTTTCAAACTTATACACATCTAAATTCATAAGAAACTTACTGAAGATGATGTGATACTTGTGCCGCTCTGCCAGATCAATAGCCTCCTGACCATCATTAGCCGTGTGCAGTTCCATATCAGGCCGCAAGCGCTGAAGCATACGTTTCAATAGCGCTCGATTAACATCCGAGTCATCAACTACAAGGGCACCGATTATGCGGTCACTAGATTCAGATCCTGGCTGCTGGTCGATGGATTCCGGCTGCTGTTCTATCGGGATTTGACTCCGTTGAGGGGTAATGTCGTTAATCATCATACGGTCTAGCGGTAGAGGAGACGATGTGGCGGAGTGATCAGGTGTAGAGGGAATCATAGGGGTAGGTTCTGACTGAGCCGATGTTCTTTCCACATCATCAACATCAACTTCAACTGCAGTCCAGCTAGAATTATTGAGTGGTGGGCTCCAGTCCCCGCCTGATGTATCAATTTCAAGAGCTGCTGAGGGATTTTTCAATTCCATCATAGCGACTTCGGTTATACCAAGATCAACACCCTCTAGCTCAATATTGGCCTGGAGAGCTGGCGATGGTGGTTGATGCATTACAATCAATTCAAACCAGAATCTAGTACCTTTCCCTCGTTGGCTTTCTACATTCAGTTTACCGCCCATCAGTTCGATCAGCATGGCACTCACGGACAATCCTAAACCCGAGCCCTGATATTCCCGTGTCGTTTGCTGACTAGAAATGTTGAATGGTACAAATAGTGTCGGTAGGTGTGATGGATCTATTCCAATGCCTGTATCTACCACCTCACACCTAAAAGATGCGAAAATCACATGAGGCAATCTGAAAAGATATGCTCAGATCAACGGTGTACCTCAATCGTACGTGATCCGAAGCAAGTGAGCCATCTTTGAGACGTTGAAGGTAAAAATCCACACTACCACCCGTCTTGGTAAATCGACAGGCGTTGGCAAGCAAATTTGTAATACATTGCCTCCATCTAAAGACATGGACCAGTTCCGTTCAAGATAAATTACACGCCCATTTCAAGAAAATTCCGTAACATACCGTAAATCGTCAGTGTACAGTCGATCTGGTACATCTACGTCACAATGACATTGCAGATTGATGCCCAGCGTCGCAGCATGGAGCGAAAACGAGACGCACTGCTGCTTCAACAAGCTGGAAAGATCCACCCAATGCGGTTCAATGGACGTCTTGCCATTTTTGAGCTTGGTAGCATCAAGTACATCGTTACATAAATCCGTCATGTATGTTGCGGCGGTAATTGAAGCCTTGGCATATTCGTTTCCTGGGTTTTCTGTTAGTGTCATATCAGCCATGGATAGTACGACATGTAATGGGTTCCGTAGTTCATGACATAAAAAACTCATGAATTCTGTCTTTTCTCGGTTTGCTCTCCTGAGCTCTACAGTTCGGTCTTCGACCTGCCTTTCGACCGATGCAAGAAGCCGATTCCTGTCTGCCAGCAAGACAAAAAATGGTAACATACTAAGAAACCAAAAAAGTCAATGTTGACAACGGTTCCATGTAGTTAGGCAACAAACCTTACGTCAAGTCAATGAGTAGGATCATCAATGACAAGAGATGATCGTCTTGAGAAGAGTCACCTGAAAAAAGGGTTCAATGTTAAATTGATGACGAAATGTTAATAGTGCTCATTATCTGTACCTGGCAAGAAACGTATCATTGGTGTCGCAATCGAAAACAGGAGCAAATTGCAGGTGAGACCGGTAGTACCGAGTAGTACGCTACTCAACGCCAAAACTGGTAGGCTGAAGAGCACACTCCAAGAAACTTTAAAGCCAGGATCCATCGCAGCCAAATCAGCGGTCTCGAATACAAAGGAGACGACGATGGGTATTGCGACGACTAGAAAGGTTTCGTTAAACGAGAAAAACAACGAACAACGAGAAAAGCAATGAAATTGTCTAAGATCTTACCTGTGACAGCCAAAAAAGTGCCCGTAGCTGCCCTCATCCAAGTAAACTTTAAGCGATGCCTCCAATCACTCTGACTCACGAGGAGCACCGCGGGAAGAGTTATTATGATGCCTACACCTTCCGAGCACCAAGAATCTAAAAAGACGTCCAGAGACAAATTATAATATATAGCGGAGTCGATGATTGAAACTAGGCCAGTCACAAAGATCGCTACGGGAATGAAAGGTGTAACAATGGAAGCTTCGTCCAGCAACAGTGGTTGATTGAGTGGAAGTCCTGCCTTTCTTCTTGAGCGTGTCCAAACAAGTAGAAGGAAGCTCGAAATGATGATAGCTTGAAAAGGTTCTCCTAAACTATACATTCCCACATTGTCAATGTTTGTATGATCCACCGCGTATCGGCCGAGGAAGTTGGATAAACAGAGTGACACTATTCAGAGGAGGAATGTTAAAGAGCTGCCTTCTGGCAGACTCACTCGTCATTTCACATTGAATACCTTCCAAGATGACAAAAGACTTCAGGTTTTGCTTGTTTAATCCCGCCACATACGATGTAATGATGCTTCCAGTCATGATTGAAACTGTAATCTATGTTGCGGAGATGAAGAAAAGTTACTACGGGATCTGTAGGACTCAAGCAAGTTGTATCAAAATACAACCAAAAGTTGGATACGTAATCTTCGAAGCTCCTCCAGATGCGAAATCATTGTCACGCTCCAATGCAACTGATTCACTGATAACACCAAAGCTTACCCGAAATACGAGTAATTCATTATTGTATAGCGATCTGCCAACTAGACTACATATGAACATTGCCAAATTCCAGCTGAAGAAGCGGATCCAATGTTTCTGTACAGCCATTCTCGGAATAAACGACGAGCAACGGTAGAAACGCCTTTGCTATGCAGAGAGGCCAATGTCGACGGCACCAATGACGGGAACACTTCAGTATGTCTTCATTCGCCTTTTCATCCATAAAAACCAATCAGTCGGTCTTTCAGATGGTTTGGCTCTAAGTTTGAACAAGATTTGTTCTAGGACCTCGGTTTAACTCCAGGGTTCGACCAAGGGAAGCTAGTTCTGTTACAGTTCTGTTGTTCCGCAATTCCTTCATGATCGGTGCATTTCTGTCGTATTTTGACCAAACGTCGTACTTAGTAACCCCAACGAATGCGCAAAATGAACCCGCAAAGAATCACCTTCTTGGTCTCGTATATATTATGTTGCAACCTAAACGCGAATTACAAAGAACCTACTTTACATTCACTAACGATCTAGCTCATATCATAATCACAGGGACATATATGGTATTCATTATAAGTAACGATCGAAAATGGCCTTCAAATCTTTTGAGAGGAATGGTTTTGACAAGACTTCACATTGGTCAATATACATTCGTCAATAGAACCTTCTTCTTCCGTCACGTCATTAGCTGTTGTGATGACAATGGTTGAAATATTGAGACCTTCTTTGCGTGTATGAGCAATAGCTTGCGAGCGTGAGATTCTCAAGGGGTTTGTTGAGGGGTTAGAAAACGGATAGATTTGTTTGATGAGTCACAGTTACCATCAAACCTCGGCATTTGCAACTAGTCTTTCTGTGAGATCAATAGCCTCTTGACCATCATTAGCCATACGTAATTCCATATCAGGTTTCAAACGGTTCAGCAGACGTTGCAACAATTCACGATTGGCTTCCTAGTCATCACCCACAAGAAACCCAACTGTGGGTGCTTCTGTGGTATCCGAACTGTTCGCGGTGTCGGTCGTCTCGTAATCGTTCAATGCGACACTTTCTCCGACCTGAAAAGTTGCAGCTGGAGCTGTACTACTCCTACTACCCTCAGAATGCCTGTCTGGCAAAGTTCCTCGAAAAATATCAGATGGTGGTAAGGATGTGGTTGGTGGATGTGCTTTCTTAGTTGGTGGAATGATGGCGGTGGACTTACACGATGACATTCTTTTCTTCAATGACTGTCGATGCCGACTTCCTTTTGGAAAGAGCGTTCAACGTCGTTCCTGTTCTGTTGTCGGCAGGCCCACCGTCATATCTTTGGGGTTCTTCCACTATGACATCAACAAACACCTCTCCTATGATGGTGCACACGTTTCTTTGGCGACTGTTTATGACTCATACTTGACGAGTCATTATCCACAGTGAATGAGGAGGGCTTCAACTCCATCATCTCGGAATCGACCATCGTTGCTGTACTGAGATCGGCGATAATCGTTGATCTCAGTATCGACGATGACAAAATGACTTGATTGTTCAGCAGGAACAACCAATTCAAACCAGAAGCGACTTCCATGACCGACTTGACGTTCTACGTTTAATTTACCACCCACGAGTTCCACAAGCATGGCAGTCCAGGACAGGCCTAAACCTCATCCTTGATACTCTCGTGTTGTCTGCTGACTACCAATACTGAACGAAGCTACTCCAATCCCTGTATCTGCGACTTCACATCTAAAGGAAACCGATTCTCTTAGGTCTTGGCGTTCATTGCTAGTTAAAATGACAGTTTTGAATTACCTTCAATCGTACATAATCTGAATGGACTGAACTGTCTTCGAGAAGTTGCAAGTATCGAGAAGTTGCTAGTAAACATCGACACCTCCGCCAGATTTGGTGAATCGACAGGCATTGGCAAGAAAATTCGTGAAACACTGCTTGCGTTGAAAAACAAACGACAATATAGGTTTTGTCCAACACGAGTGGTTCATTCAGTGATAGCCCTGCCTTCCTTCTCCGGAATCTCCAGACACAAATCAGAAAGATCGACATGATGATTGCTTGAATGGGTTCTCCTACACTAAACATCGCCACGTTCTCTAGATTTACATGATCAACCCATACTGACTTAAAAAAGTCGATAAGCAGAGTTCCACTGATTAGAATGGTAATGTCATGGGCTGTCTCCTGATTTCGTGACAAGGTCAAAGCAAAACATTACCTTCCAAGAACACAAAGTCCCTATCGCTCACACCTTCGACCCACGCGGTGATGATGCTTCCGGCCATAATTGAAATGGTCAGCTGTATCCAAAAATAGGTCTAGATGTTAGGTAAAGTACTGTAATGGGCCTCCAATAATCAAAATTACGGCGATACTGCAATGTAACTCATGCTTCGAAATTTGAGTGAACTCCCTCTGAATGCGAGTAGTTCATTGTCGTATAGCGACCTTGAGACTACAGCAGCGATGAATATTGCCAGATTCCAGGCAATAAATCTGATCCATTCCTTCGTCATTGTGAAGATAAGGTCGGTACAGTGGGCATGAGCATGCACTGCGTGTAAGAGCTCCGATATCCAGTCCAAGAGCACTTTTTACTGGTTGAAAGTATATGGTTCTAACTCTCCAGCTTCGGTACCTCCTCCCCAAACTCACACCCTCTGGCTGCACTTTGCGATTCCAGTGGAAATTTGTCATGCCTTTTTGCAATGCAAGTTTTGCAGGCGAGACCAAAACGAGTTATAAGTGAACAACGCGAGTCGGATATCGTCTCCAGGAGCCGCAATACCATTCCTGCGTTTTCGTTAATCGAGTCGCAAGCCTGGTAAATCACCAATTTGCGTCCAGTGTGTCTGTGACGAGCGTTTATTGGACTGATGACTACAAAGGGATGTCATCTAATATGAACATGTAGCAGGCTCGTTCATGATGGGCTGTAGGCGGATTTACACTATGTAGCGATCCACAATGGACTTCAGATCTGCGGCTTTAATCGGTTTCGTCAACACCTCACATCTCCCAAAATTCCCATCGTCTTCCTTTACAGTATTCGCTGATGTGATGACGATAGGGGTTTGACTATTGATGCCTCCTTTCTGGATATGAGCAATGGCTTGCCAACCTAAGTTCAGGAAAAGCTGTGAGCCTAGTCCACAGTCTAGCCGACATGCTAAGCACAAATAAAAACTTGATACCATCAACTCTAGGCATCTGCAAGTCCACTATAACGAAGAAGAATTTGTGCGAATGAGTACGCATAATCTAATCGGTATTAATGATCATCGGCATGCCCTAATCAGTATCCGTGTTCAAACCTACTGAAGATCATCCGATATTTGTGTTTTCCTGCAAGATCAATAGCCTCCTGGCCATCATTAGCCGTATGCAATCCCATATCAGGCTTCAACTGATTCAGCATCTTTTGCAAAAGTGCCCGATTCACATACGAGTCATCGACGACCAGAAAACCAATCGTGAGTACATCGTCAGCCTTGGTTGCCATCCTTTGAATGCAGTCGAATAAATGGACTGATACGCTCCGAAACAAGACCCGCCAGCTAGCTTCTTTGATACTCTTGAGATTACTGTCAAGGAGAGCTTGTCAAGTTCATGGGGTGATGATCGAAAAGTTGTGGGTTGACATGTTGTGATATCGAATCAACCACGAGATGATTCGGTTCAATAACGTTGGATGTACTTCTGAGTAGTAAAGGCTGAGATGGCGTCGTCGCCACCGTCAGGCCTCTGCGATTATCAGATAATTCTACAATTAGTATCACTAGTACTGGAGGCGTTGTGGAGCCTCATACAATTTCACGTGCTCGAATACTTGATCTGCTGTAAATTTCGACTGGTGATGATTGAGCGGGCATTGTAAACAATCTCTTGCGTTGTTTCAACTTGATCATATCAGAATCGACCCTGGCACTGTCTTGATCAATGTTGATCATTGTTTACTATGTAAAAGCAATTTAAGTGAGGATCGACATCCATGACCTGAGCAGAGCAACTTTCGTTTTCAGTTGACTACCCATGAGTTCTGTAAGCATCAAGCAATGCAGAGGCAGATGTACAATTTTACCAAATGTAGGAGTACAATCGTATATGATACGAAGGAACGTGAACTGTCCTTACGAAGTTGCTGATAAACATTAACACTTTTACCCAACTTGGTTAATCGACGGATGTTAGCAAGCCAATTTGTGAGATCCTTTGAATATAACAATTTCGCCACTTCAAATGATTTTTACAACGAACAATGCCCAGAAATATATGACCAACCATTATCATTTACTACGTTTGCATCCATAGCAAGAATGGGAAAATCGAACGATGGCGAGCTAGGCCAATCCAAAAGAGTCGAGCAACGGCTCCTACCAGGAAACAGTTGCCAATTCTGCGTTCCAAGTGGTGGGAATATTACAATTGGGGTAAAGACAGTTCAGTGCTTTAAGCTTAAAGAGTTAGGCTCAAAGCACCACAAAATCCACCACTTTACCCAAGATTCCGGCGACACAAACAAGCTGTCCTAGTATTGACAAAGGCGAAAATGGCGCTCATCAATTTTCAGTTCTAGAAACGAGTTTATATAGCTCTTTCCTTGTAATTCTTGTTTGCGGTGGGAAGCAGGCCTCGAACAAATACAGCGGTGCGCCAGTGCGATAAGGCATAATTGTCTCTTTACAAAGAAAGGGTGAGTCCTCAATACCTTACTCGACGCAATAGTAAAAATGCTGGGCTTGCAAGCTTCGCAACGTTTTTGTGGTGAAGCTTGTGGTCAAGGAGCTCAAACGCACATACTAGATGGAAGATTTTTCATTGCGTTGCATTTTTCAAGTTCGACTCGGGATGACAAAGAAACAGGTCGCATACGCACTTCTGAAGCTCTCACATTACTCAAACTCCAATCGTCACCCTCTCACGGTACCAGCATCAACAGTTGCGTCCATTTGGTCAGAAATATAATACAAGGAGACAAGAAGTTTTCAAATACAAGGCAAGTCCGATACTTAATAGGCTGTGAGAAATATTTACACTATGTAGCGATCCACAATGGTCTTTAATTTGCCGCACGAAACGGTCTGTCACAGTATAAGCTGTGTAATGACAATGGGTGTTTCGGTATTGAGGGCTTGTTACGGATTTGAGCGATAGCTTGCCAGCCTATTAGTCACAAAATTGTTGAGGTGGAAACGTAACAGTTGCAAAGAGCGTCGCCGTTACCATCAACTGTAGGCATTTGCAAGTCCGCTAACAAAAGAAACAACTGAATTAGTATCAATCATTTGTAAATCTAATTAGTACTCAACTAACTGAAAATGATTCGGTACTTGTCTTTTTCTGCGAGATCAATAGCCTCTTGACCATCATCAGCCAGATATGAGTCCATATCAGGCCTCGACCGATTATTCAGCAGTTCACGATTGACAGCCGAGTTATGAACCACTAGAAAAGTAACAACGGGCTCATCAGACTTGCTTGATTTCTGTTGAAGCCTGTCACATGTATTTGGCATATTGTATGCCAATGGCTCAGATGATGCAACGGCTTCGCTACTCGTTCTGGGATTACTGTCCCGCAAGACATTGTGGAAGGCATGAGACGATGGTCAAGAGGAGGGCATCGATGGAATCTTCGCACTGGTCGTCGGCTTGATACGCCCTGGTTCAAGTATGGGTGATACAGGTTTTCGAGTGGTTACTGTTGCCAGAGTTCTTCCTGAACTGTAATCCAGCCCGCGTCCACTTCCTTTTGGTTCTTCCACTATGACATCAGCACTACTGGCGAGTTTGGTATTCCATGGCTGACTCGTGACTTCAGATGCAACGTTAGGGCGTTGACGATTTAACATTCTTGGATAAGGATGTCAACTCGATCGCATCAGGGTCGTCAACGTTGACAACATGGCTTGGTTGTTCGCTAGGTACAACCAATTCAAACCAGAATCGACTGCCATGATCTAGTTGACTCTCTACATTCGTTTTTCCGCCCATCAGTTCGACAAGGATAGCACTCAAGGACAACCCTAAACGTGATCCTTGAGACTCTTGCTGTCTGCTCCCTAGCAATCCTGGATGGTAAAAATAATGTCGGTATGTGTGACGGATGTATGCCAATTTCTGTCTCTTCGATCTCACACCTACAATTCGATAGATCAGACGGAACAAACCCCTGAAAAATCATCCACTCTGAACGGCGTACCTCAATCGTGCTTGATCGGACGACAGTGACTCGTCTTTGAGGAGTCGCAAGTAGACATCGACACTACCACCAGACACGCGTAAGCCAATAGATTCGTCAGACACTACTTCCATCTATATAATTAGCAGTTCGAGATCGGCAACCCTTAATTATTAAAACAACGAAACAATGCAGGCTACCGTAAAGCGTCGGTGAAGAGTCTGTTGGGAACATCTGAATCAGAGTGATATTGCAGTGTGATTCCAAGCGTGGTGGCATGTAGCGAGAATGAATGGTACTGGTCTTCAGCAAGCTAGCTAGATTCACCCATCTAGGCTCCAAGTCAGGTTTTCCACTCTTCAGTTTGGTAGAATCAAGGACTTCGTTACATAACTCGGTAATATATTGTGCAGCGGTGCTTGAAGCTTTGGCGTATTCGTTATTCGGATTTGGGGCGATGGTCATATCAGCCATAGATAGTACGACGTGCAATGGATTTCTGAGTTCGTGACATAAGAAACTCATGAAATCGACCTTTTCTCGGTTTGCCTTCTCCAAACCAGAAGTGCGGTCCTGCTCTTGGTTCTCGACCGATGAGAGAATCCGATTTTTCTCGGCCAATAGAAGTACAAATGGAGCAAACTAATGACCCACGAACTTTTATGGTCTAGTCTTGTTGAAATGATTCGCTGCTAGATTTACCTTAAATCGATGAGCAGCACCCTCAAGGCTAGCAGCCGATCATCAAAATAATATTGACATTTTGAGGAAGAAAGGAAAGGTATAGAGCGGTGAAAGTGTATAACAGTAGCCGCAAAAAGACTTGCCTGGCAAATATCACATCACAGGTGATACGGCGCAAGAAAGTGCAATATTACATGCTAGTCTTGTAGTGTCGAGTAGCGCTCCACTCAAAGAAAGGACCGGAGCAGATAACAGCACAGACCAAAATACTCGGAGAACAGGTCTCTTCCCTGCTTCTGAGGGTGGCTCATATACAAAAGTTAGGATGACAGGAATTGCGATTACTACAATGGGGTCGTTAGAACGAGTGTAGACAGTCGAAACTTAGTTTAATCTACCAGTTGCAGAGAGAGAAATGGCTGTAACTACTTTCACCAAGGTAAAGTGATGCAAGCGACGTCTCCAATTAGTCTGAGACACCACCAACAACGCCGGCATCACCACTATGAGCCCTACAGCCTCCGAGCTCAAAACGCTTAAGAAAGTATCTACAGTTAAGCCATAGAAAATAACTGACATCACGACTCCAACACAGCCAGTAACCAAGCCAGTAAGAATCAGAAATGATATAACAATAATTGGCTCATCCAACAAGAACTTTTGGTTTACTGGGAGGCCTGACTTCTTTCTTGATCGAGTCCAAATGCAGAACGGTGAAATTGCCAGGTTGTTGCGATGATGGAGTCTCCAGCGATATACATAGCAACCGAGTAGATGCGTGAACGATCAAGCAGATACCTTTCCAAGAGAAGATATGCACAGAGACGCTAAATCAAGCCAGACTTAGTCAAATTACGGCTTCGAATCGATCAACATGTACATCATAGTTTGATGCAGAACTGGGTGGCAATCAAATTTTGCAGAGATACCTTGCACGAGCACAAGCGACTTGAAGCTTCTTGCCCATCTTCCAACCCAAGCTGTGAGGAGGCAGACTGTCATAAGTGAAGTAGAGACCTGCGAAAAGAAAATGACGAAAACGAGACGATGTTAAGTAGGTTTCAGAAGTAGCTAACACGGAGGTTACTCTAAACATAGCAGTTTCTCTAGTCCAGACGAACCTCTCAGTAACACTGGTCATGAACATAACTGCATTCCAGATCAACAGCCGAATCCACGTTTTAGGGTGGCCAAACAGTTATATCAGATGGCTAATCCCTGGGTAAATCAAAGAGTTCAGTGTAATCTCCAGTAGTCCTTAGTCTGAAAGCTTTAACTCCGTTGGCGACACAGGATTGGTCGATTTTTGCGAATTTAGAAAAACAAGCGACGTAGGAGCACCTAGTCCCACAGCACGCGCAAAGTCGTTTGGAGTTCTAAGTACGCGGTTACGGAAGACGAAGGTTCATACTATAAACTGCCCTCCAACGCGCCGCATCAAAGTGTTTTCCATATATTACTACTATATTTGTTTCAAACATGATCGGTGAGGAAATTACAGGAGATTTACATGTGATTTAAAAGTTTTACAGTGTGGCAGCGTTGGCGCAGGTTCTTGTAGACACACACGGTAAACATTGATTTTGCTTTTGTTGAGGTTTGTATCTCTCATACGTAACGTTCAAGAATAGCCTTCAAGTCCTTGACGAGGAAAGGCTTGGAAAGTACGCTGCATCTGCCAAGAGAATCTCCTTCCAGTGCCACCGGGTTGGCTGACGTGATGATGATGGGTGTCTGGACGTTGAAGCCTTCTTTACGTATATGGGCGATCGCTGACCAACCTGTAAGGATAATGAGTTTGATTAGTGTCAAATGCGAAATATTTCTGTCGCAGTGTCATTTACCGTCAACTTTTGGCATTTGCAAGTCCACTAGATATATAATACAATGTTAGTCTCCGACCCTCATATTCAAAGGTAACATATTAGGTAGGACTCACTGAAGATGACTCGATACTGGTTTTTGTCTGCGAAGTCGATCGCATCTTGGCCATCACCAGCCATATGTACTTCCATATCAGGCTCCAACCGATGCAGCATCTTTTTCAAAAGCGCTCGATTGACGTCTGAGTCATCTACTACAAGAGCACCAACAATAAGTTTCCCTGAGGCGTCCAGCTTTGATTTCGGATTTTCATTTAATTCGAAATCCGGTACAGCACCAGCGCTTCCATTCAGTGGCGGAGAAGTAGGATTGCTCTGTGGAGTCTCCAACAAGGTATGGAGCAGAGTGTCTTTACTAAGCATACCATCCAGCGTTGTTACAGGAGATAGAGCTCGTTCATAGACCAATGGACCCAAAACAGGTGTAGCAAGGGTTCTCAGTGCTCGTCCTGTTTTATCTAAATCACGTGCGGATCTTTGTGATTCCTCGCCAGAATCCTCATCGTCACTATCGGTGACTATTGTCTTATTCGAGCTGTACGAGCTTCTAATGTGCGGTGACAGCTCTGCACCATTCCTAATTGACGTATGCTCCTTCTTATTACAATCAGCAAGATCCATGTCGTCCAGATCTTCTTTAATGTGGCTTCTATGGCGAGCTTCTTGAGTGACAACTAGCTCAAACCAGAATCGACTTCCGTGCCCCGGCTTGCTATCTACTTGTAGTTTACCACCCATCAATTCGACCAGCATAGCACTCAAAGACAGGCCTAGACCTGATCCTTGATACTCTCGTGTTGTCTGCTGACTAGCAATACTGAATGGTACAAAGAGCGTCGGTATATGCGACGGATGTATTCCTATTCCTGTGTCTGTCACCTCACATCTAAAAAAGAAATCATGGTGGATATTGCAGACCCCACGGAAACGGCACATTAAAGTTTACCTCAATCGAACGTGATCATCCGGAAGGGAAGCATCGTTAACCAGATACAATCCTACACCAACACTACCTCCCGACTTGGTAAATCGACAGGCGTTGGCAAGCAGATTTGTGAGACACTGCCTCCATCTATAAAGCAATGTGAGCTATTCCATCCGTTAAACAAAACTATAAAGTTAGGTACACGTACCGCAGATTGTCAGTATACAGCCTCTCCGGCACATCTGCATCACCATGAAAAGTCAGATTTATTCCCAACGTTGTGGCATGCATCGAAAACGAATGACATTGGTCTTTCAGCATGCTAGCTAAATCTCCCCATTTCGGTTCAATATCCGTCTTGCCACTCTTCAATTTAGTGGCATCAAGCACATCGTTACATAGATCCGTCATGTATCTTGCAGCCGTACTAATTGCTTTGGCGTATTCGTCTTTGGGGTTGTCTGTCATGGCCATATCAGCCATAGACAGAACAACATGTAATGGGTTCCTCAGCTCGTGACACAAGAAACTCATAAATTCAGTCTTTTCTTGGTTTGTTCTCACTAATTCGAAAGTTCGTTCCTCTACTGTCTTTTCGACTGATCCAAGGAGCCGATTTCGATCTGCCAGTAATAGTAGAAACGGCAGCATACTAAATAATCCAAGTGTCAATCATAAACTGGCCCATACTGTCGAGAGCGTTTCACAGTGATTTACCTCAAATCGATGAGCAGCAAGGTCAGTGCCAACAATCGCTGGTCGGACGAGAAATCACCTATTGAAGACAGGATTTTAATTCGGGAAAACGTTAGTCGGTCTTCAAAATCATTTTGTTTACCAGGCAAATATCGTGTCAGTGGTGTTGCGACCGAGAATACAACGACATTTATGGCTAGACCTGTAGTTCCAAGCAACACGCCACTGAGAGCGAGTAGTGGCGCCGAGAACAATATACTCCAAAAAACTTTGAAGACGGGATCCCTGTCTCTCAAATCTGGAGTTTCGAATACAAAACTGACAATAATAGGAATCGCAAGAACTAAGAAAGGATTTTCACGTTAAATAAACATGTTTTGATGAGAAATTGCTCGACTTGCCTATGGCAGAGAGGAGAGGTGCTGTAACTACCCTCTTCCAAGTAAACTCGTGTTGCCTCCAATCGGTTTGAGACACGAGCAACACAGCGGGCAGAGTCACTATGAGTCCTACTGCTTCAGAGCTATAAAGGAGATGTGCATAACAGTTGAAAAAAACATACGTAAGGGGACCAAGGGAAAGCGTTATCAGTACCTCCAAAATTCGAGTAACGGATACAGATCATTGAAATCATACAAAATGGCCGACATGGCAACGCCAACTACCGCAGTAACAGTTACAGAGAGAAGCAGGAATGATATCACAATACCCGGTTCATCCAACAAGAAAGCTTCAGTAAGCGATTCTCCTGATTTCTTTCTCGCTCGAGTCCATATCGCGACTAGACATGTGGCCATAATGATTGAGACAAAGAACTCGCCCACGGTATGCATTGCAAGGGCAATCATATCGTTGGAACGAAGATCAAGTAAGAAACGTCCCAAAAAGTACGACAGGCTCAGTGATACTACAAACAGGGGTTGCAAGGGGTGAATGAAGGATTGCATGATGGTAAGTTTGATATATACATCTGATCAATCCAGAAATAGTTCCTGAATTGTCTCTAGTTTGTGACATCATTACCTTGCAAACGGAGCAAGCTCCAAACATTTGCAAATTTACACACACGAGCAGTGATAAGACAGCCGGTTGCGACCGATATAGTCACCTATGAATGAAATACAAGGCAAGTGTGAGTTCAAAAGATCCTCGCTTTGCAAAGACTTGGTTTTCGGCGTGTTAAGGGCTCCAATGTTCAAAACCACCCAAATCTTGCCAACAATGATAAGACTCAATCAGGTCCAAGATCAGGCAAGGCTTACTCGAAACGTGGAATCTTCGCCTCCCCATATGAGCCTAAAGATAAGGCTCGCCAAAAGCATGACAACATTCCAACTTAGGAATCGAATCCATCCCATTCTTGTCGATTTACCAGCCCAAGCTAATCAATGTTGCTAGGCGATATGAACGGTTCTTTACCGCCGAATCTAAAAAAGTTCCAGGACCAGCTCGTCTTGGTGCAGGCACTTGCAAATTCTCTCGTTCAATGTGTTCCAAATCGTAGGGGTAAGATCGCAAGTTCCGACCCGAAACACGAAAAGCTCGCCAATAGTTCAAGGGAGGAAGATGACGTGAGGGAAACAGTTCTTACCAAAGTAAAGCTGCATTTCATAGTTCCATTCTGCGATACACGAGTTCAGATACAGATTCGTAACAGATCTCACGGTTACCAAACGCACAGGCTGAGGGATATTTGTTGGCGGATGATTGCTGATGATCGATCTACTGGGACTTTTCATATGTATCATGAGAGAGAGGGAACTGAATACAAAAGATACAAGTGGACTACTTTTTTTAAATAATAAAATGCAACGACTGGCGAAGATAATAATACATATCGGGTTTCGTGCAACTCACAATGGTTTTCTTGTTTATGATCTTTGATAGTGACTGTTGTTGCGTTGGGTATATGTCTCATAATGGATCATCATATCATATGTACGAGTCAAGAACACCCTTCAAGTCTTTGACAAGGAAGGGCTTGGAGAGAAGGCCACAATGGCGAATGGAGTTTGAATCAATTGTTACCGTGTTTGCTGAGGTGATGATGATTGGAGTTTCAACGTTCATGCCTCCTTTACGGATGTGCGCTATAGCAGACCAGCCGTCGACTCTCGGCATTTGCAAATCCACTAAACATTCAAAAGAAGCGTCAAGATTGAGCCCTCATGTGCCAGGAATCAACAGCTACAAAGACTCTCTTACTGAAGATGATCTGATACTTGTGTTGCTCTGCGAGATCAATAGCCTCTTGCCCATCATTAGCCATATGTACTTCCATATCACGCACCAACCGATGCAGCATTTTTTTCAAAAGCGCTCGATTCACATCCGAGTCATCTACTATAAGAGCACCAATAATAGGCCTTCCGTTCACATCCAACAGTATCGGCTTTGGCTGTACATTCTCGTCATGGCCCGGTATCCCATTCGGAGACGACGTATTGATTGGTTGACCATCCATCAGTTGGTTTATCAGAGTATTCTTGCTGACCATAACGTTATCGAGAGTCGTTATTGTTGGTGTTGTAACATTGGTAGTTGGAGCAGTAATCGGAGTGAGAGGTTCCGTCTGATCGATCAACGGAATCGAATCATTAGGTACGGCTATGACAACACTTGCTTCTTCACTCACAGTAGATAGTGATCGCCTTGGATGGAGATGTCTCAGATGTGCCTTTGCGCTACTTTTGAGCAACCCACTACTATCGTCCGAAGACCTCCTGCCACTAGACTCGGCGTCATTCTCATCACCACTGCTGGCCTGTGTCGTTGCAGTCATATTAGAGCTGTACGAATAGTTACGATCGTGTTGTGGTAGTTCTGCAGCGAGTGCTGTATAATTACAGTGGGAGGTGGATGATGGTTTTAATTCAATCATGGCACTATCTGTTGCTGTGGCAGTTATATCTGCGTCTTCTACGACCTCTGTAAATTGGATTACATGTCCAGGTGGTGCTGGTTCTCGCGGGACGACGAGCTCAAACCAAAAGCGACTGCCATGGCCTGGCTGACTTTCTACTTGCAGTTTACCACCCATGAGTTCGACGAGCATGGAGCTCAAGGACAAGCCTAGCCCTGACCCTTGATACTCTCGTGTTGTCTGTTGACTAGCGATACTGAATGGTATAAACAGCGTCGGTATATGTGATGGATCTATCCCTATTCCAGTATCCGTCACTTCACATCTAGAAAGGAGAATAAATGTCAAAAGGAGCCAAAATTCAATATACCATCAAATGACCCACTTGACCTACCTCAGCCGTACATGGTCAACAGGAACCACACCATCCCTAATTAAATACAGCGATACATCAACATTACCACCCGACTTGGTAAAGCGGCACGCATTGGCAAGCAGATTCGTTAGACACTGCCTCCACCTACCAAAAACATCATTTGTCAGTCTTCAACTAAAAACACATAAAACGAAGGCAGACTGTCACACCTCAGACTATCAGCATACAATCTATCCGGCACATCCGCATCTCCATGATACTGCAATTTGATTCCTAACGTTGCCGCATGCAACGAAAACGAATGACATTGATCTTTCAGCATGCCAGCCAAATCTCCCCATTTCGGTTCAATATCCGTCTTGCCACTCTTCAATTTGGTGGCATCCAGCACATCATTACATAAATCTGTCATATATCTTGCAGCAGTACTGATTGCCTTTGAGTAGATGTCATTAGGGTTGTCTTCCATGGCCATATCGGCCATAGACAGAACGACGTGTAAAGGATTTCGGAGCTCGTGGCATAGAAAACTCATGAATTCTGTTTTCTCTTGGTTTGCTTTCACTAGTGCTATGGTTCGATCTTCGACTTGCTTTTCGACTGAGCCGAGGAAACGGTTTCGGTCTGCCAGGAGGACTAGGAAGGGTAGCATGCTAAACGAAAGAAGATTTTGATTAATTTGCCGGAAGGTTTTCAAGATTTGCATTAGCACAATTCATGGTTTATTACCTCAAATCTATTAGGAGCAACATTAGTGCTAGCAGGTGATCATCATATTCAAAGTCACCTTAAACATCATAAGCGAATGTTGGAACAATGCTGGAAGTTCTAATTAAGTTTTATCATTAAAGGCCTATCGTGATCACGTACCAGGCAAAAATCGAATCATGGGCGTTGCAATCGAAAACAACAATAAATGACATGCTAGTCCCGTAGTCCCAAGTATGACCCCCGACAAGGCCAATACGGGTATCTAAACCAAAAGCGTTAGATCAACTATTAAAATTGCAAAGCGGCTCAGGTGTTTGGACACACCGAAAACAAGACGCTCCAGAAGACTTTTAGTATGGAGGGCTGGTCGGTTAAGGCAGCAGTCTCGTACGTATATGAAACGGCAATTGGGATCAGCATCACTATTGTTAATTTAGAGATGTTTCAAGTTGGTTATTATAGAGATGTGAGTCGGATACGCCGGGGTTGCAAATCAATGAAACCTTAAATTGTTTCTCGTGTTACCTGTAGCAGTAAGCAGTGTTGCAACACCAGTCATACTCCAATTGCAGAAGACACTATGTCTCCAATCAGTTTGCGAGACGAGCAACACCGCCGGCAGCGTCACCACTATTTGAAACAAAAAAAACGGTATTGGTCAAAAAAATTAGAAAATTGAAACAGTATACAAACAAGACTGCCAAAGTTCAACATCACAAACCTAATCCTACACCCTGAGTACTCCAAAAGTCCAAGAAATTACCAATTGCGGCATCTAGTTAAAAAACCCCATTGTTAAAATCACTCCTCCATATTCCAAACGCCGAAAAATCAACCTTACTATAAACAATGGCCACCCCAATAATTCCAACCAGAGCAGTCACAGCAATACTAGCAATCAGAAACGGTATGACGAGATATGTCTCATCCAACAACAATGGTCCATCAAGCGGCAGCTTCTTTGACCTTCGAGACGCAGTCCACAACGATAAAAGTATGAATGTCATAATGTTTGCCGTGACAGCCTCCCCGATAGTGTACATCATGACCGCCGGGAATTGGGCAATGATGCCAGAGTAGGCGACGAGACGTCCGAAAAAGTTGAACATGAACAAGGCCACTGTGCAATAAGTTCGCAAGGTAGTAGGAAGGTTAGACTTGTATGGTATGGCAAAAAGCATAATGTGCAAAATGTTCTCTTTGTGCGTCAAACATACCAGTTAGTGCGATAAACGATCCAACACTTCTAACCCATTTGCCAACATACGCAGTTATAAGACCGGCACACATGACACTAATATTGAGCTGGTCGAGTAGTAGGTTTGATAAAGATAAGAGTTGTTATTAGCCATAATCCGTTTGCTTTTTTTGATCTGATGTAATAATCCAGGAAAACCGATCTTGGTAAAAAACTTTAAAACACACAACCTGGCAAACCGTTTCTGTAATCACTTACGCGAAAGATCAATAGTTGGTTTTGCGCTAGAGATCTGCCTACTAGGGCCGACAAGAACTGGGCTACACACCATCCGATTCCCTTCAACGACCAGTGCATCGTTGTCGTTTTGTAACTTCGTGTCGACAGTTATAGTTGTTGATGGTGGTCACTCAACCCAAGCTTCCGAAAAGTGGCTCAGAGGGGATGGTAACAAGATTAAGAATATAGGAAGTACTTAGCAAGACTGCCCGGTTGAGTATCGCGTTGCATCTAATCAGAATGTACCTCCTTTTACGCCCATGTTTCGCTACAATTCTGTTTCTCGCATGACTGATGTGAGGTATATCCACTACCCACTGACGTTTTTTCCCTCTTTTTCAACGGAAAGGTACTCAAACATTTTTCTTGCATGAGCGGGTAGGCTACGTCATTATTTCTAGTCCGCCCTGTATAAACAAATCACTTACGACGAAATTTTCAAACCAGTAATTCCACCATCATTATTTCTAACTAGTCCCAACATGTACACCTTGGTCAACCAAACATGTGAGTTTATATTAGTCATGCCAAACCACAAACAATAAAACCACTGCAATAATGATGACTTGGGTCCTCTTGCAAAAAAAATAAGATCCAATCATTCAGCCCTATGTAACTTGGCATAATATAAAGTGTGCTTCTATACTCTATGCCTTGGCCGTTGGCTGATTATTACGTTCAGCGCCAAAGATCTGCTCGTATTCACAAAAAAAGCAAATCCAATCTTGCTGATCATCATTATTGGTATTATTGTTGTTGATGCTACCTCCTCCTCCTGCAGCATTACCGCCACCAGCTCCTCCTTTTCCGGTATTCGTACCCCACTTTTCACGATCTTCTAATATCCGTCTCATCACGGCACGATACCTGGCTCTTCTGGCTGGCATCGAAAACATGGGGCGCGAGAAATTGGATAGTGGATCTGTCGCTGCTGGAATCGGTGGATGTGTGGTTGACGTAGCATTACTACCAGGTATATCGGCCTTCTTCTTCTTGGTAGTGCTGTTACCACCCCCTGCTGTTGCTGCATTACTACCCGGTAGATTCTTCGCCTTCTGCTTGATATCACTCCATCGTGCTGCATTAGCTTGAGCTTCATTATTCACTCGTGCAGATGCTGTAGCATTGTTTGACGGTTTGGGTATTGGTTTACCACTGGCATCTATCCCACTCTGTAGTTGACCTTTATTACTTACGGCAGCGGCGGCAGCTGCTGAAGATATCGGAGGTTTGAGAGGTGCTGTTGTTGTCGTCGTCGTCGGTTGTGGCTGTTTACTATTATTCCGTAGAGCAACACTCTTTTCCAGTGCAGCACTAGTTTCAGCTTTATCCAATTCAGAGTCATCCAATAAATCTGGTAGTCTTTCCAACGTGCTTTCTACACGATTATAATCCTCGTCTTCTTCTCCTTCTTCTTGCTTGTCTACCGCTAGTTTCGATTCTAGGTTCAACGGTTTCGAGATTGCGGGCATTCGATCCATCAAGGCCATACTACCAAATTCAAAAGAAAGACCTGTAGTATCAATCGATGGTGGAATGGCTGCCATATTTATCGGATTATTCGTATTGCCAGTGTTGTTATTCGTCGACACACCGCCATCTACAGACGTATCTACGGTCGTATTGAGATTAGCCAAATTCGTCAATGCGGCGGTTGCTGAGGCTGCAGTTGCGGGAGCTGTACCACCCAGCATAGTCAATGTTGGCGGAAGCGACGGCGGAGGTGTTATAAAGAGTGCTGCTGATAACCCTGCTCCATATGCAGCAGGAGAAGCAAATGGTGCAGTGACGGATGAGGTCATTGAAGATGTCGATGGGAAACTGAAATAACTGCTAGAATATGTATATGAAGGTGGACCAGCTAACCGAAATATTTCATCGGCTGCTGATGTTGTTGCATGTGTTGTTGTGCCAATACCACCGCCAGAAAGAGAACCACCATCATATGAAGACGATGAATGACCTCTATCTCGTGATAATGATCGTTCAAGTCCTGATCCTGGTGCAGTTCTCTTCTTTTTCTTTTTATTACCAGGCACTGCCTTCTTTCGAGACCCAGTTTGACCATTGGCATTACTCGACATTCCTGTTCCATCGTCTGATTCGTCTGAATCTGACTGAGCTGGTTGATACGTACTTGTAGCAACGGCGCTAATGTCCATCGATCGACCAGGCATTGGCAGAGCTGCACTGGTTGTCATGACACCTCCTAATGGCTGACCACCTGAAGACGACGAAGTAGCAGCACTTGCTGGTAATGGTAGAGGTCCTAAACCAGCTGGCCTCGACCTTCTTTTGGGAAGAGGTTTGATGGGTTTGTAATGCGATGATGGCGTTGATCCAAATGTGGGTATATCATTTGGTGGTTGCGTTGGTCGCTCCTGACTATTGCTATTGCTAGATGTCGATGAGCTTCCAGAGACATTCCGCAATAATGCTGGATTGCTGTTTAGATTCAATGGTGTTGAATTACTATTCTGTCCCAACAACGACGGTGCAGCAGCTTGTGATGATGATACTGTCCGCGATGGAGTAGCTGAATCGGTTGGCTGTTGTGAATTATTATTTGTCGAGGAATTATTATAAACATTTAAACCACCTTCTGTGCGTGGTGATGATGATTTGCCAAACGACAATCCAGATGACGTTGATGCTACAGGAGTTATCGATGACGGTATGTAAAGATTTCCTGGACCTGCCGTCGTAGTAGTAATACCAAATACAGTGGTCATGGTGCGATTCCATATAAAGTCCCTTGGTGAATCTGATAATGTCTGTTCAGCCGCAGGAGCCAGCCCGTTCAGATCATTGTCAGTAATCATCATTTCTCCTCGTCCGCCGTCACCTTCTACCAGTATTGATGCTGCTACAGGTATCCTAATTCCTGGTATTTCTTTCAGAGTCACTATAGCGGGTTCTCTAACTACAATGGCTGCTGATGTAGCCTTTTCTAGTGCTTGCAAGCATGCAGCAGCAGCTGGAGACTGTAGTATTTCTTCAAAGCTCTTGGCATGTGAAGGTAGAACCGGTGGTGATATCAATTCGTTCAAATCCGACATTCTCTGCATCTCGCTATTATTATCTGCAGCCTGCTGTTGCTGAGATGACTAGTAGAGTACAAATATTTTAGCGATGGGCCTTGAATTCGTATCTTCCTGTTTTTAGGGGGCTCTCACAAACGAGCGTCTACGACGTGTCGAACGACCGCACCATTCCCCTTCGATTCATACCTCTGCGACTGACTCTTCTTCTATTTCGACATTGTCGTTCTGTTTGTCTTCATCCTCATTGGCGACTCGATTCGCGATTGGAAGATTCAATGTTTGGAATGGGTCGACATCCTTAACGTCATTTGAAGGTCCTTGACCCATCCTTGTTGGCCTCAATCTTCTCGATATTCTTCATATACTAGTATCAATAGTCCTTGTCTGTAGTTGAGACAAGTCGTTAGTTTTCAAACCTCTAACAAAAAAAGTACAGCGCAAAGAAGACAAACAACTGACCGGTTCCACACAAGGAGGGACAGAGTAGTAGGTACTTACTTGCCTGCAATGGGACCGAACTAGTCCAAAAACACCTATTCGAGTTTGGTTTGAACTGTTTCTGAACCGCAACGTCGAGACACGACAACGCCAGTTGAGGAATCCATGAAACCAAAGTGTATGTATATGCAGACGCGTCGCAATGGAGTCTAGACGGCTCTCTAGTTCAACAGTTTCAATAGTCCAACAAAAACGCGAAAATTGAATGGCTGTCAAGTATCGGCAAGAAAACACCAACACCGATTGTAACCTCATATCAAAACCAAGGGCGGACGTCCTATACTCCATGGCACGTTTTTCAAGCTGGAACAATACATGTTAGAGCAGAATGGTAGTCTGACAATCTTTGGCTGAACCTTGATCATACACCTAGACAGAGTAGCAATAGGACAGCTACAAACGTGCTTTTGTACACGATCTCGCAGTTTCTATCTCGGTATCACGGTGCTGTGCTTCTCGGTGGTTCTACTACATGCAGGCGCCTCGTTCAGATACTGAGGCACTTTCTGAGAAATGGGTTTCGCCATATTATTTTGCTGACAAACGACACACTATAAAAACCAAGGAATTCAATCTTAAACCATACAAGGCAAGTTCTTATCTACATATATTCACTAGAGTCGCATCCAGTATACAGCAAACTCTTACACTTATCCATACAGTCAAACAATCCATAACAATGGTTCACTTTGTCCAATCTGCAGATGAATTCCATACCACCATTGCCGGTGACAAGGTCGTATTTGGTATGTAGGGAGTCGTGTTTGCATACAGTATTCTTGTTTCATGACATTATTCTCTTCTCGCTAACATCTCTCTACTCTCATTCTATTTCCCTATCACATCAAACTCGCCATCACATCAACCTCGCCATCACATTAACTTCACAATTACATCAAAAGTCGATTTTTTCGCAACCTGGTGTGGACCATGCAAGGCTATCTCGCCAATCTTTGAAAAACTGAGCTCTCAATTCCCCAATGCCGTATTTATAAAAGTAGACGTTGACGAAATACCAGACATCTCTGAAGAAGCTGGAATCAGAGCAATGCCGACATTCCAGACTTACAAGGCTGGCAAGAAGATTGCTGAACTAGTTGGTGCCGACCCAAAGAAACTTGAGGCTATGATTGTCGCCAACTATGTCGCTGCATAAACTCTATCTGGGGAATATGAAAAAGCTATTATCTGCATCACTTTAAAGGAATGAGGGGGAATTGTTGGGGGGAATTATGTTTGTTACAAAATTTGCTATCTGTTGTAATACTTGAAGGACGTGTTCCTTATTATAAACCTTTTGTCAATGGCAATACTAATGTTTTGTAACGTTGTAACACTATGGCCTTGGAAGGTTAGTATGAGGAAATGTCTGTTTGCCTGATTCGGTGAAACTCCAGTATCAGAGAAGTTCAAGTATTCTATCGCGTCCAACCGCTCAAAACCTCCAACGTTCTAGTGTTGAATGAGCTATCTAACGTGATTTTACTTTGACTGCTTTGCTATTATATACTGATTCGTGACTTTCGCTTCGACTCGCTCAATTTCAGAATCAGCCCCATTTGCAACACTGCCCAGTTTAAACGAACTGCATAGAGACTGTTAATACGGAATACTGCTATAGCTGATCTGCTTTGTTAGATCTAGTCGGCTCATACAAGGATGTAAGTGCTGAAACTGCTTTCAAAGTTTGCTTCAGAAATGTGGCAATGTCAAGAACCGTCATTTTGCGTTCAGACCAACCAATTCAACTGAGATGACTAGGACGGGAATGTCTATGATCGCACTAATCTTTACAGTTCTTGCCTTGTCCGCTACTGGCGTCTTGGCCGAATGGTGAGTACGGTTGGTGCCATCTGATATTTGCAACTTTGTGTTTTTGTGTCAAGATTTGAGCATTCAGTCGTCTGCAACGTCTACGCAAACCATGCAAAAACTTGGCTCTACTGGAAATAAACTGAACTGTGGAGACCTGACCTCGTTGTGATTTGCAAACCAACTGTCTCGAGAAGTTTGAACTCTGCAACCTCAAACCACCTCCAAGTTTGGTTTGGGTGCCGTGAACTGGTTCACAAACATTAGTACCCACACGCGTTTCAGTTTGCAGACCACCAGTTCCCTCACCAGTGTTGTGACAAACAAGACCGCAACCACAACTCTCCAACTAATTCAACAACTATTCTCTATCTAGTGACTGTCTCTGTTGCTCGGGCTTGCTATGCAATCCTTCAAATATCGGAGCATTGCCCTACGGATACAGTCTATCTGATTCCTCCTGCCTGGTCGCATTTCCGAATTCTTGTTTCTCTGGTCTCGGCCAGACCTACACTGTCTCATGTGGAAGCTACAGTTATACATATGTAATTATCGGAGTTGTCATATCAGGAATAGTCATGGTTGCCTCCTGTTGTGCATTCTTCTATTTCTGTCGTAGACACCAGCAACAGTGAGTGTTTATAAACTCTTTACATTGCCCTCAATGATATTTTGTTTGTTGTGGCTCTAACATCTTTTTTGATCCCATAACAGAAGGAAGACTCAACAAGGCCAATATCTCGTGATGCAACCAGGCCAGCAATACGGACAACAGACGTATCAACCCCAACAAAACAGTGGGCAATATCAAAACGCGTATTTCGGTCAACCATCGCAGCCTGTGTACGCTCAGCCAAATACTGCCCCTCCAACATACTATGCTGGCGCTTATGCTCCTGCTCCAACTTCCAAGACTTGAAATGCAAATCCAGAAAATATTAGGCTCGTTTTTATATCTTTGAGTTTCTCATTACATTCTTCAGTACAACAAAATCTCTCAATATAATTTGTTATTAAGGTATTGGTGGGGCTTTGAAGGCGTTTATGTTTCTTTACTACTATTGCTACAGACGTGCACATTCGTGACGTGCTCTGAAAAGCATCTGGAACCTGACTAAAAAAGAAAAAAAGTCTCCTTTTTGGTATATGGAGTGTCGGCTCACAACTGTGACTGTTCTCCAATGAAATGATTCCAATGCGTTTGGTCTGGATTCATCTCACGCCACTCACAAATGATCACTATGTCTTGTTGTACAGGAATGGATATCAGCAAGAAGGTACCATAGTCGACGACAGCACTCATTGAAGTATTGTTGGTGATCTGTCTTTGTTCTCCAAATTTCAACAAGGGACTAAAAGGATCCTGATCATTGTTGCATACAGCAATACCAATAAAATGGCTTAAGGTGGAATTCTTCTCTTTACTACTAAAATCGAAACGGAAGCAATAAAATGTGCGCATGTATTTGCAGGTAATGTAATGCGATTTACCAAGTTTGAGATCAGTCACCAATTCAAACCATGAGACAATGTCATAAGTGAGTGAGGCTTGAATGAGATGTTGAGGAATTGTGACGACCGGGAAAGTCCAAGAGAGTGCTGTAATATTTGTTTACACCTGCACAGTTTCATGTTGCACTCTCCAGCACAACAATTCCACTAGCAACACAAAGATACCAGCCATTATCGGTTGATCAAAGGACACCCCACCTTCAAAGTTGGACATCTCTTTTTTGTTGAGACGGTGGAAGTTGGAAGACATGTTAGGTCCGACCTTCAATAACTTACGAAGACAGGACGAGATTGATATACACGCTACCAGAATCTGCGAAAAAGTATAGCCATCATTTTTTGACAATTGAGACAGACAGGGTGGTCATTCTTGTCAAGACAGTGAAGGATCCCCAAAATGAGACCTCCGAACAACATAGGCTCATATGCAAACAGTACCCAAAGAAGAAGAATTTCTCTGATTCACAAAGTATTACCTCTGGAGGCACTTTCATCATCCGCATATGCACAATCCCATTCTGTCGCTTCTCAACCTCTCCAGGAAATCCTTGACATGAAACAAGACAACAAGAACCGAAATGGCGCATGCTGAAAGCAAAAGGCAGTTCCATATCGAAAAGCCTAGAATGGAGGTAAGTACAATTGAGAGTATTCGTGAAGTGCTGTTCTGGTTGGTGTTTCGGTTTAATGGCATCCAACAACAGGCCAGGATATCACGGAGCTTTGATTGTCAAGGCCAGAATTGTTACTGTCGAATCTGCAATGAGGCTATGTTCTAACGAGATATACTAACATCAAATGTCCATGGAGAGAGTGCGTGACCTTGTTGACAAAGTCTTGAGATTCTTCGCATGAGTCCAGACAAAACTGATATAGAAGGACCAGCCGGACACTCTCTGCAGCACAGAGACTCGTTTCGGTGAAAAAAAAAACAAGATCTAATTTCAAAAAAAAGCCACACGAAATTCTACTACTTTTCAAAATAGCAATCAAACTCTTTTCGTGCATAGTAAATCTGTTTCAGGACGGGGCTTCTATAAAAGTTTTGACTGTGCTGCAGTATTCTGTGCTGCTCCAAAACTTCTGGTCTGGATTCAACCCCCAATTGACAAACTTGACTCCAGTAAGCGTGAAGAATAGGTATATCATCAGATTCCCCAAGAAGGAAGCTGAATCCAATGCTGCAGATAGGGTATAGTTGTACTGGCGTGGTAAGAAAAGCGTGAGAAATTGAAGTCATTCACGTTGGCCCCAGTAATCAGTAATCGAGAAAATAGGGGATCGCTTTTTTTTTTTTGGATTCATAATCCCGGAAAAATCATGCTATCTGTACCTTATAAAACCACCTTGGATGATGGCGTCGAACATAATGCATTAACACATAAGCAACAATGAATGCAGAAGCAATCGTGTTGCCACCATTTTGAGCAATAAAGACAGTTGATTGGAAGATAATTGGCCAATGAATAAGGTTGAATCCAGCGTTTGGGTATTTGCGATCCAACCATGCGAATGGTATTGGAAACATCGCTCTGTGTGTGGTAACACTACGTGAGCCAAAACAGAAATTTGGAAAAGGTGTCTGCAACTCACCCAACCAAGAAGAACCAATACAAGACTCCATACATTTGCGAAAAGAATTTGGCTGGCCCAATCATACCTAAACCACAAAAAGGCCATCAAACCCTAACATGTTTTGTTCCTTAAACATAAAACCATCTTACCCCATATGACACTAGCAGCATAAAAGATTGAAGAGTAACGAGGATTCCATTGTTCGTCGCCCACAAGCAATCCGTTTGCCTTGTTTTGAATATCTGGAATGGACATCAACAAGAACTTCATGACACCATAGTTGACGACAGCCCTAATAAAGAGCAAAATGGATCTGTCATCTTGCCCGCAGTTCTCAATTGATACTACATACCCGATGGTCGTTCCATAGAATTGTCCAATAAACATGGCTCGAGGTGGAATTTTCATGTATACTCCTGAAGTGACAAGAACGTTCTGTTATGGCAAAAAAAGGGATACACCGCAGTTCGACGAACACTTAATACCAAGTTTAAGATCAGACACCAGATTTAAAGCCTGAGACAATGTCATGTATCCATAAGTCTTGAACAGGATGTTTGCAATTGGCTGTCCAGGTGATATGAAACCGATAATCATCTCAGTGACGACTATAAAAGAGTTGGAATTAGTTGACGCAAAAAAACCGTTTAAGTCGTGGCATTATTTGCTTAGGCACAACGATTACCATTGATTCCGATGCTCTGATTGCTGATGGCTTGAATGATTCCCACTGGCAAGACAAAGATGCCAGCCAAGCCTATTGACAGAAGGACACCCCACCAACGTAGTTGCAGATCTCTGTTTGCGTCCATGCAAAACCCCACGGTGAGGAAAGGCATAATAACACATGGGTTATCAATGACTTACACATTCCTAATAAAGAGTGTTACTGCTGAGCATGTCTTAAGTCTTACCAGAATCTAAGAATTATAGCTACCATATTTCCACAATGAAAATAGACAACGCAGTCATTCCAATCAAGACAGTCAAGTAAACCCAAGAGGGTACCTACAACCAATTGCAATCATCTTGTATGTTAATCACGGCAACAAAAAACAACATCGCCGATGTCTTGATATTCATACCTCTGGATACACTCTCATCATCCTCATATGCACATCCCGATTCTGTTCCTTCTTGTCTTCACGAAATCTCTCCACAATATCCTTGCCATGAAACAGAACAACGTGTACCAAAGTGGCTGATAGTGAAGCAAATGCAGTTCCATATCCAAGAGCCCAGAATGGAGATAAGTATAGCTGTGAGTATTCTTGATAGGCCGTTTCATTTAGTGTTTTGGATCTGAGACAAGCAAAGAAGTGAGATGTTGATTTCTACCAATTTTTGCACCCAGACAAGTTCATACTCTGGAATCAGCACTCGAGATATGTTGTAGCGAGACAAAATCTCATCAAATGTCGTTGTAGAGAAAGCTTGACCTTTGTTGACAAAGTCTTGAGCTTTCCATAGATTGGTGAACTAGGTCAGAGTACGAGAATGTTTGAGACCTTGATTTCCTGAGATAACAGGTAACAAGGTAGATGAACTTACGCGATACAGCAAGGGCATGATGATCCATGCTAATATGACTTCAGGTGAGGCGAGTGGCAAAAAGAAACTAAAGAATGGCGCAGGTCTACCAAAGACAACAGCACTTCCAACCACATTTAGCTATACAACAAGCAAAACGATTTAATTTAGGAGCCTCAATCGTAGGAAACAACAAAATCAATACCATAGCCCAGAATGGAGTCACCAATGGACCCAAAGCTCCAGCATCTGATGGAATTGATTTCATTCAACCGGCGAAAAGCAGAAAGCGACGATACTTTTGACTTACAGCTCCAGTCAAGCGAAAACGTAAGCACACCAGCTCCATTGAATCCAGATCCGACTTGAGCAAGCAATCTTGATATCCTTTGCGATGGTCCACCACCAATCAAACACAAGACAGCAATGGATGTCAATGATGGAGCAATAAAACCAGGTATAAATTGATAGATGGTGAATATGATTAAGGCGTTACGAAAGAATGTCAAGCGCTAAGTATGTGAAGGAATGAATTCTGTGTCATAACACATGAGGACCAGCTTTTTTTTACCTGACGAGTGAGTATTGGATTTGCTTGACCACCGTGAAAGGTTGACATTCTAAGCGGGATAAAAATCAGAACCAAATCTTTGGTGTGTCTGAAACTGAACAACGCACAGCTGCACGTATGGTAGAGAAGCAGGCCAGACCATTTGAGATGGATAGACGAGCCATTTGCGTAAGAGACCAGCAAGTCCTCAAACGGAAAGAATGAGTTTTGGAAATCATGCGAGCAAAATTCAGAGGTTTTTTGTTGGCGTTGCAAGAAACTCATCTCAAATTCTATTATTTCAAACCAGGATCTCAACATACCATATCCAAGACACTAATGCCGAGGCTGTCAGTATCAGCTCACGTTAAAAACATTTAGCTGCAATATTCGTTTACCTGTGTTGACCAAAGAAGCAGGATCGAGGGCACAACACCAATGTCTTGCTTATAGTACAAAATCTGGACCGAAAGCACATCAATGACATATGCGACTGATATGCCACATGATGCAGCAATCTGATAGATGACGATGTGTAAGCAATGAAAATAGGATATCGTATACACAACAAACACCAACCACGATAAGAGTATGCTCCTTAACATTGAACGGCCCCGGATTCATCCAATAACAAAACTTCGATCCACCCACAAATCCCTGAGGAATGACCCTTGACAGCCCAACACCCAACGGATATGATACCAAAATAACGAAAAAGAGGGATAACGATATTGTTGCCGATCGAAAGTAAAAGAATTGACCAACTGTTGCTCCGATTATCACGAATACTGTTGAGAGAATCCAGAATCGGAATGTCAAGACTGGGAGAGTTGGGTCATCAGTTGTAGGGACTACGTAACGGGCATCGTCCATTGACTCATAGTTGATTGAGTGAGTTTCGAGTCCTTTGGACTGGTCCATGTCGAATGCATCCTAAAATAGGTGAGGCTGACTTTAGAAATCGATTCATCAAAGTTACAAATGAAGAACACATGAGCGTACTCGACCCTTGAGTTCATCATCTTCCACTAATGCCGCGTGGTGCTGAGCAGTTTCAGCACGATCGCTAGAAGAGGATCGAAGTGATGATGCTTGTGTGTCTGGACTGATGTCATCTAGTGTGTTGAAACAATATATTAGGTGTTGTCTTTGATGAAAAGTGATGTGGGATGGGCGTGCGATCGGTTCCCTTTTGTATCGTCAGTGTGCCTCCCCATTCGAGACGAAGGAGTGCGAATATGCATCAGTGTATATTCGTTCTATACTGTATCCTCGTTTCCTTACTGCTCTTTCAACAAAGTTTCAATCATTCAGAAGAAAAACACTTGATTGATCGTGTGTGTGAGAAGAAGTTGGTCTAATGAGTAAAAATGTACAAGATAAAGCGATGAGATCAGTTCTCACAAAAAGAGCCGTCGCGTCCATAGATGAAGCAGCATTGATCGTATGAGCCGGCAAGACTTCCGGATGCGAGTCAACGTGCTACATCCCAAACTAACTAGCACGACACGTAGATTAAAGTGAAAGCAGATCAAAATGGAGCCAAGTAACTGTGATAGTCAGTAGCGACAGACACGAGCAACGCGGTGCGGACATCTGAGCTGGTGAAGCTGAATGAGCAAAGGGAGGTCCTTTCTTCAACAAACGAGACCCCACGCCTTTGGCACAAATCAGGTAGCCAGAGAAATTGAAAAGGACTCTCTCTACCGATTTGCCTTTGACTCCTTTTCTTGCATTCCGCGAGTTTGACTTCCAGCCAAACCAAATAGGAAAGGTTGTCACGATGTAAGTCTACGGCAGAGTCTTCAAATCTAGGACATATAACGATTGCGGAAGGAGAATGGTCAGATATTTTGATTCGAATCAGTTCAACACGGACAAAACAATTCGGGGGGTTTGACATTGGTTGAAATTTACAACATGTTGCTGACAGGTGGCAAGATTCACCAGAAGGAGTGATACAAGCCGGTCTGCCTGAATTTACGTTAGCTTACTCCAGTCCAGTATGTTTACACGGTTGACTGAAACAAAGTGGAATTGAATGTTGATGAGTGATGGTGCTGCGTGCGTGAAGTCCAGCAAGTCATTGCTTCATAACGCGTCATACTTGAAAATACGAAAATAGGAAGGATCAACGATTGATTTTACTCTAGGTTATATCCCGAATACCCCGCTCAACGTGTTCGAAATCAATCATGGTATTCAATCGACAACTCCGAGACTCGGCCATCAACCAAACCGGAGGCATAAATCCCGAGCTTGTAACCTGCCTTCCATATTTGATATCACATCCACTCATTCGGACTTCCACCAGAACTCCCGCACCGCTCGGTTTCCAAACACCACGCTGGACGCACGTGTTTTTGTGAAAAAGCCCAATAACTTCACAACCGATCGCTCTCTGCTCCTTTCACATCTATTTTGAATTATGGCTCATTTTGAACTCGACCTGGTATCTCGAGAGACTCCCCATATTACAACAGCAATCTCATCAAATATAGACGGTTCACGTATATTGACGCAAATGTCATGGTGGTGAGCCTGAAGTGATGATATAATCCCTCAGAGTAAGATATTGTCTCTGTCGAACTCAACAGGAGAATTCAATTGGCAGAGCGTAAAACCGTTGAGTTTGAATCCAACTCCTCCACTGCCACACCTCTAAAAGCCATTTTTCATTAGTTTGATAATTTGTATCATAAATATTTTTATCGAATTATCCCTTTACGAATTTGCAATCTATCCGAAGGAACACTACGAGGATACTCCACACTTGAAAATCAAACTGGTGATGACTACATTCAACTGTGGAGTACTCAACTGTGGGGTACTACTGGCAGTTCCGCCACGATCGCTACTTATACATCTGAGAATCAATTTGATGATGCTGGTGTATCTGGGATGATCGTAACTAGGTGTTGAAACGACACAGCAGATACTGCCTTTGATGAAAAATGATGTCTTCAGTTGGGCGTGGGCGATTGGGTTATCTTTTGCATCGTTGGTATCCTTCCCATTCCATATGAAGGCGTGCAAGTGTGCATGACTTAATATCCGGTTCGTTCTGTTCTCTTGGGTCTGGACTAGTATTCTTGCGGTACTATATAAAGGTCCTGATGCTCATTAATAACCAGGTGAGGCATAGTACTGATTTCTGTAGCAAGAGGATTTATATTTTGGAATTCAAGACATCAAACTAAAATTTTCAGACGTCCGCTACCATGAAAGCACGAGAAAAAGCAAACCACCATCCCACTTTGTTATTTACAGGTTCCTTGAAGGCTCATGTTTTACTAGGATACCGGAAGCCTCTTCTTCACCGGCCCATGATGAACTGACCAATAATGGATACGTCGGATGCCACGCGACATCTCGCGTAACTAATCCACGATACTGTCCACGCCTAGCTATAAGATTTCGAGCACGTAATGCTCTAGACCTGAGTACACCTTCACTTTCACTGCTGCCTTCCGCCACTTGAGGCTGGATGACAGGAGGAGCCTGTTCATTGAATGCATCTGCTACATTCATCCTTGACACCAGCTCGCCATCGATGGAAAATATTAACACACGGCCGTCTGCTGAGCCCTTAAGAAATAAAGCAAGGATTCAGAATTGTTTTGAATAATGTAAGTTTGCATAGAAACATACTGTGTAGACATATTTTCGATCCGTATTTGATGGCGGTGAAAAGTCACATCGAATGAGTGTCTTGAATATGGCGGATAAGAGAACATATGAGAAAATTGTACGGTTCTTGAATACAAGTTTCCATACCTTCAAGACTGCATGGCCTCGGTACGTACAGATACTGAGGTCTGCAGGATGTTTGAGAGGTTTTGCCCTCTGTTTACAGGAACAGATGGTCAGTGTTGTGCAGCATATTACTTAATTTGAAGAAGACTTGACGAAACGCTGGCAAGCAACAAAGACTTACTGGATATGGCATCCAACGATAATCAAAGTTCTGCGTGAGGTCGATTCTAGCCAAATCCTTGTATTCTGAAGCCGAAGCCATGGTTCGCAAATCCCAGAGTTTCATGGATTGGTCTTTGCCATTCGACAATACTTGTCTGCCATCTCCTTTGCTTGATACGTATGTGATTCCTTCAGTATGACCAACGAGTACACCAGTTGGGTCTCGAGTTGAAGCTAGAGCAGGGTTCAAGATGAGTTTAAAGAATATTCAACTCTATAGCAGCAATTTAGTACCTAAGGAGCGTCGATCCCAAACTACGCACAGTTTGTAGTGAGTTTGGAGCAAATCGGTAAAAAGTACAAGTACCAAATACCTTTGCAAGTAGTATCATCAGAACCACTAATAACTACATTTGACGAAGCATCCGCGAAGCATACTGCGTTTACATCATCACGATGAGCTTGGATAGCCGTAACAACTGATTTCGATTCTACATCATAGAGATATACACTAGCAGACGACGTTCCAGCAACCAACTCTCGTCCATCCTCAGAAAACCGTATACTCCAGATCCCAAATCCGTTGCCTCTGTCACTGGGCCTCATGAAGTTTAACAAAACCTACAAGCCCCAAAAACTGAGATTTTTACGTTGGTAATCGAGCTGCACATCAACAAACCTGATCATCGTCTAATCGCCAGCCTTCTTGTCCAACTTTTGCTAAATATACGAAGGGCGTGATGCTAGAGTAGGCGACAAAAACAGTGATTCGTTAAATTTGTGTGCCATCAGGAGCTACAAGCGGAATTGGCATACCTTGAATAAGCCATGCTGGTATTATCGGGGGATAAGCTACAAGAGGTAATAGTCCATCGTCCTGGTTCTCCTTGAATGGATCGAACCTTGACAAAGTCGCCACGAGATGTATCGTACAAGTGGATCATAAACTCGCGAGTACATGCATAGAAGAATCTAGTTGAGAGAGACAAGGTTAACACTCACCGGGTTCAAGAGAGGTAAAACTTCACTTGCACCATCACTGAACTTACGAGCCGTCATCACTAAACTTTCCGGTGTAGACCGGTGATTCGACTCGATCGATACACGACGTAGTAGTATCGGGCATAAACCTAGCATGGTTGAGAATCTTAGCTTATAAGTCGACCAACGCTGGATGTGGAATGCCCACCTTTGAGCTAGACTTGTGTTTGTTGGCATGACTTTGTGATATTGGAGCTCACGTTGGCGTAGCACTTTATACATTCGAGCGTCAGGGGAGGTCTGTAGCACTTGTAAGCTGCTGCTCAATGGTGACCGTGGTGGAGAAGCTTGTGACTTTGATGGCAGGTCTTCCTCGTCGTCCATGTCGTCGCTAGTGTTTCCTACAGCTCTAGCAAAGAGACTGGATATAGTATCGAATATGCGCTGGGCATAGCGTCCATTGGGGTCAATGGCCGGGTCATCATCACCACTGTCATCTTGTTGTTCATCAAACATTTGCTCGTCGTCATCCTCGTCGTCTTCGTCCTCTTCGTCATAGTCTCCGACATCTTGTGGAATGAAGTCCAGGTCGTCGCTGTCTGTCTCCCATTCGTCGTCATCGGCCATTCGAGCTGCCATCTTCTGCTTCTGTCAGATTTGGGGTTTGTGAAGCAACCGATGCAATCGAGACGGTCCACGCCAGCGGAGAGCAGGTACTTAGCTTGTCTGTATCAAAACTCTTAAATTTACGTGTACAACGCGTCCATTCGCGACATGCAGCAATGAAAGATGCGATCCGATCCTGGACTGTTTCAACTTTTTGAAAATCACTTGGTTTTGGAAGATTACAAGCTCAGAGCAGAGAGGATGGAGGAAGACGACTCGGGTGTCTTCGAAGGCATTGAAGCCGTCCGTCGCAATCGTAAGTCTCATCACTCTTTGTTCAAGCAAGAAACAACCCCATTCAAACATCTGATTCACTTTTGTATATTAGAACATGCTAAACCTCGTTTCACTCCAAAGGCCAGTGCTGCCAAAAGGAAGAAACCACCTGCTTCTGCTACTCTTGCTGTGGATATTGCTCCTGCATCGATAAGCTTGACATCTACCAATGAGCTTTCACAACAAGATCCATTGCTACAGACTATCCCTACTACTCCACCCAGTGCTCCTATAACGTGTAAGCCAACATCCCATATCCTATGACGTTCGTGTGCTTGTGGGACAAGGGCTTGAACTTTAGCTTCCAGCTGAAATTTTTGACTGATACCCAACCTACTTGTCGGTAGCACCACTGGGAGCACCACCAATCGTACAACCTACTTTGAATGGATCATCTGACCACGGCCAAAAGAGGGTACGTGTGTTTGATCACTCTTCAAAAATCTTGTCAATCTGACCATTTACTCTCTACAGAGCCACCATCAAGAAGACGAGTCAGACGCATCGCGCAAACAGCCTCGTCTCGAGTCTTCATTGCCATCAACATTATCGAACTTGTCTCCTATTGTAAGTGTAACAAGTGGCGAAAACCGCCGTCAAAGTACCAAGATCAAAATTAACCAATAACTGCCTTTTATAGCGGTCGTCGAATGTACTCATGCCTCCCCCAACAATGGCACAACCACCACCTATAATCAGGTCTCAATCCCCGTCTCCCACCTCGTCGCAGGCACCACCAACAGGACCACCACTATTACGAATGTCTGGTCCACCACGACTAGCTACCCAACAACCACCACCAATGACTCCTACAGGTCCACCCAAACTAACTAGTCGCACACAAGGAAACGGAGGTCCATCATCATCCTCAGCAAGCAGCAAAGTACCATCCCCCGATGCGGAAGAAAACGATCCGGACAGCCGATTTGAACACTTAGCGACACCGTATATGACAATGAAACTATCCGACATTATTGAAGATAAATTGATACTCGGTCAAATGACTGAGGAAGAAGAACGCCAAAATCCTCTGACCAATCCCTCGGCACCTGAGTATTATATAGGATCGGTATCGTCTGCCACAAACAAAGCACCTCAACAAACGGCACCACAGGCAAATGCTGTACAGCTGACTCTTGTTGGTGGAAATTTCCAGGTTGCTCACTCGTCTCTGTTGAGACAAGCTGAACCTGAACAGAGGCCTCTGAAGGTAATAGAAGAGTCTGCCAATAAGCATATCACTAGTGCATCTTTCCGAAAGAATCCAAGGGCATTTCAGCTTAAATGGACGTATCAAGAAACAGAACTCTTCTATGAGGTATGTTGTTGAGAGTGGCATTGTCCCAAACATCCACAATCTTTTATATCTCATCAGTCTACCCCCGTTTGTAGTGTCTCTCATGGTTTGGGACAGACTTTGGTCTCATCTTGAACATGTTCCCAGGCCGTACACGTCCACAAATAAAAACCAAATTCAATGCTGAAGAAAAGTCAAACATGCCTCGAGTCAATGCTGCTCTCGCCAATAAAAAAGTGCCCAATGATGATATACGTAAACGGATTGCAGACTTGTCTGGTATCAGACTTGCTGAACGTACTGCTGGCGCCACTCCATTACTACCATTGGATGCCAAAACATTGGCCGCAGCAGCTGCAAATGAAGCTGCTGGAACCAATACTAGCAACAATAACCCTGATCAAGCTGGTGGTAGTGAGCAAGAACAGCATCCAGACCAAGCTGGTGATACGAAGGGTAGAGAAGGTGAAGCATCTACAACAGCAAAGGAAATAGATACACCGGAAGAAGAGGATCTCTCCTACATGCCACCTCTGCCAACTGCACCGTCAACGCGAACAGCTCGAGCACGAGCAGCTGCAGCAGCATCATCGTCTACTGGTGGTCCTACTCCATCTCCTCGCTTAGCTGTAATCGCTCGACGTAAGAAATTGGCGGCCGCTGCCAAAAGTACCAACAAAACAACAGCCTCCACATCTTTATCAGGCTTAAATCCACCAGTCAGATCAAACACGAGCTCTGACGATGATGGCTCGAATGAGGCTCGGATGGGTATATCAGATCTCCCTGGATCTAGGAGGCACACAAAGATACTTCGGAATCCTACAATACGTAGTGGATCCCCAGCACCACAGGTGGCTCTACGTAGTGCTGTATTAGGACTAGGTACGATGTCTCCTACTCCAACACCACAACCATCTGCGCCAGACATAATGGCTCTACCAGCAATGGCTCGACTAGGAGGACCACCACCATTGCTTCGATCAGTTGTACCACCAATGCCACCACCACCAGCTCCATCTACGCTTAGTATGCCGCCCCCCTTGAGTCGATCAGCAGGACCACCACGACTTGTATCGAGAGCTACTGCTGAATCTGCTAGTAGTAGTCACAACATTAATAGTATTGGTACAGCACAACCATCAGAACCACAAGAAGAGGAAGAGGAATTGGTGTATGGCGGTCAAGAAGACCGCGATGAGGATGGTGAACAACGTGATGAAGAATGAACACATGTGGGTGTGTGTCTTGTGCAAATGCACGTGAAGAGGAGACATATATTTGTGTCGAGGGGAGGGCTTGCAATCTCGCAAAATAGTTGTACATATGCTTTTGTCTAAAGTGCGCTTTGTATAAAGGATAATTGCTGTTTTATAAAGCCTTTGCTATTTATTATATTACGATCGAAGAAGGGAGCAGCTAGTGACAAATAATATTGAAGGAGAGAGCTCGTTCGCGAAGCGACGGAAAAGATTGAGCAACAGGTGTAAGAAACGAAATATGGCGACCCATTTGCAAAAATATCAAGGCGGTGATGGTGTGATTTTGAAACGGTGATCAAGGAAGTTTATTGATGCTATGGTACCAAAGAAAGAGATTTTTCAGAAATATTTGGTTTCACTACGTGTTTTCGTTAGAAAGGCGTCGGTCTGCTAAGGATGTGCTTTTCCCCAACTCAGCAGACAAGACAGCTCGGACAAAGGAATCTCCGACAGACATATCTCTACGTAATATGGAAAGTATCCGACTTATCCAGCTGTGTCTTGCATTATCAAGAAACAAGGAAATGCTGAACCTCCACATCTTTATCAGGCTTAAATCCACCAAACATTAGCTCTGACGATGATGGCTCATATGAAGCTAGAATGGGTATATTAGAACTCCCAGAGCTACAAGGCGCACAAAGATGCTTCGGGATCCTACAATAGATAGCGGATCTCCAGCACCACAGATGGCTACACGTAGTGCTATATTAGGACAAGGTACGATGTCTCCTCACTTCTATACCAGAACCATCAGCGCCAGACATAATGGCTCCACCACCACATACTCGATCGGGAGGACCACCACCATTTCTTCAATCACCTACGGACCCAGCTGTACCACTAATGCTGCCACCACCAGCGCCAACTACGAACAGTATGCGGCCACCAGTGACTGGATCAGCAACACCACCACTTGCATCGACAGCTACTGCTGCATGTCACAACAATAGGAATATTGATACAGCACAACCATCAGAACCACAGAAAGAAAAAAAGGAATTGGTGTATGGGGGTCAGGAGGACCGTGATGATGATGGTGGACAACCTGATGAAGAATAAATATATGTGGGTGTTGGTGCGAATAAATGTGAAGAGAGAAGATATACATGTGTCGAGGGGAGTGCTTGTGATGTCCCAAAATAGTTGTACAGATGTTTTTGTCTAAAGTGCATTTTGTATATACTCCTTTTTTTATAAAAATCGTTGCCTCATGTAGCAATGCTTACATTAGTCTGACATCCTGTTGCTCTTTTTTTTTGATCTCATGGCAGATTAGACGTCGAACAATTGAAGTCACTCGCATCAGGATATTACTCGAGCAACACAACTCAAACTAGCACTCGGTCAAGCTTGCTATTGAGCAGTTGGGTCCTTTTATTGTTGGACTATGCAAAAAAGACAAGACAAAACAAACCCCAGCATACTACTTTACATGTTCTCGTGCATTATACTATATGCCAGAGCTACCTTCCATCACTCTCTCCGAGGCCTCTTGTCTCTCGGTGATTCACCCCCTCCTCCTCTTCTTCCTCTCGATGGGCCGTCATCGTCATCAGAAGAATCAGGCCTCCTTCTCTTGTCTTCTTTTGACCGGTCATCACCACCACGTCGTTCATAATTCCTACTACGGTCATCATAATCCCTATTAGAATTACGATAGGAATCCCTGTCGTCACGACCATTTCGGATATCATCGTTTACTGGTCTTCGATATGGTTCATCTCTATCACGGTTGTCGTATTCGTCTCGTCGATTATCACGTGTAGGTGGGTCTCTTCGGCTGTCACGAGAATAGTCGTCTCCTCTGCCATGTTCATCTCGTTTACTGGCACTGTTGCCATTGTACTCGCCTCCGTCTCGTTTCAGGGGAGGATCCCTACTACTGTCATTTCTTGTTCGTTTATCATTGGTTTCACGTCTGCCGCTACCCCTAGTATCGTTCCTGTCGTCTTTTCTGCTATCACGACCATTTACACGTGCTTTTTTCGATGGTGGTGGAGACTCGTCTTCTGACGATGACGACGAAGATGATGATGACGACGATTCACTATCAGAATCTGAATCACTTGAATCAGAATCACTAGCTTCAGCAGCTCTAAAAATAGATATTGAAGTTAGCTAAAGATGGCAATTGACCAAGTTTAACAGAAAACGTACCGTTGTTGTGCCATAATCTGTTTAGGAGCATTCTTCAAATGTTCTCGCAGCTCTTCAGTCAGACCACCCATACCAATAGACGTAAAGTAATTGATTGCAAATCGGGTATTACGAGGATTATCACGAGGGAAGAGTCCATCACATACACCTCGGATGATCGGACCATGTGCAGTGGGTACTTGGATTACCAGCATGGGATCTTTGAGACGAGAGTTTAACCTCTTGAGTCCCAGAGCTTCTACTAATTCCTGAAAGATTATTTTTATAAAGATACGTGATGCAGATGTCGTATCTTGTTCCGTCAACTTGATCAAGGCGAAGACATTCCAAGTCAATGCGTCGGAGGCTAGCAAGTGAGCAAAGTATTTGCCGATATTACGGATACGGTTTGTCTCGAATCGATGTATCGTCTTGAACGTTTCTTCAAAGCAAGAAGCAAACGTTTCAGCCCATACACGACCAATTTTACAGAATCGCTCACCCATGAGCCCATAAAAGCTGAGATAGGTACGTTCTTGAGAGCAGCACTCTATAATCATGTTTGCTAACTCAATCTCCTGGCCTTCTTCAATACCCAGTTTCATAAGTTTATGGGTACATTCTTCAAACGAGAGCGATGACATAATGGTCAGGTATATACCACGACGCAAGTTTATAAGATTGGTATTGGTTTGATCCTGAATCAAGAGTTTATGCTGAGCGGCCATCAGTGCATTGGTCTCTTGCCCTTCGTGTTCTTCATCACTATCGTCCTGGTCGGGTGCAGTTGCACCACCTTCACCAGCTTCTCCTTCTTCATCATCGTCATCACCTAATACTTCTTTTCTAAATTCAGCATATTCGGCTTCATGTTTGACATAATCCTTATCGTAGCTGAATACATTTATTATCTCCTTGGCATCGAGAGTGGTGTCGTCCAATTCGATCTGGTGGGTGATTTGATCGTCTTCTTCTACTAGATCCAGTTCAGATGGAATGGCTTCATTATCCTTGAATTTCTCCTTGCGTACTACGAATACGACTTCGATAATATACTGTGTTCGTTTATCAATATCACCTTCGTTGAGCACTTTTTTCAAGGAGTCCATTATAAAATTCAATGCTTTCGGATTATAGTCCATTAGATGAGCACCGACTTCTCTTACAATGCCCACAGCCAACTCTACAGAGTCGTCAGTAGGTCGTTCGAGAAGAGTAGACAATAACTCCAATATAAGCATATCATCAGCGACCTTTTGATTAACCAGATGACTTATGAATTTAGAGGTAGCAAGACAAACAGGCTTGTCACCACGTTTGAATGCTCTCCTAAACTGAATGACGAGCCTAGAAATCAATAATTCACCAACAGAGGGGATCTTGGTATTTACAATGGCAGCCATGGCAGCGAATACAGGAGTAAACTGCAGGGAAGCGGCCTGAGCCTTCATGAGACTACGACATAGTAGCCCTTGACCTCGCAGCAAGTTTTCGTTGAACAGCTCCGGGACTAGATTTTTAAAGTTTGTCATGTTTACTTTGTTAACGAGACCGTTTATAGATTTTTTGAGCAAGTCCCAAGTCATTCGTTGGTATTCGGGACTGCTCTTGTCGGTGATGGATGCCTGCATTTGTCGTAGTCTGGCAGGAGGGATGTATGCTCCTCCTGCGCGAGTTTCCTTTGGAGCAGCTGGAGCAGTCATGGTGGTGCTGCTGCTGGTCTCTACGGCTGCTGGAGGCGGTCTTGGACCTATATCTTCGTCGTCGCTGTCCATCGAGCTTGATTATTTCAACTACTTGAATTGAATTGACGTGAGTATATGGGAGCAAGTACTACAAGAAGATCGATCAATCAGTTACATGGCTGCCTACCTTGCTATAGATACTATATCTTATGCACTGTTTGCGGCGCTGTCTTGAATTCCTCAATTCGAAAACTGCTTGGAACTTGAAGGAATGGACTAGGTAGGATATTGCCCAAGATATCAACTGAAAATGGAAAATACATTGAAATCGAATTATTGGATGTATATAACTCTTTATTATCTGGCTTTGACGCGTTAGGAACAAGATTTGTCACAACATCAACCCCAAGCTACGCTATCTTATGGATGGACGAAACTTTTACGAGGAGGACGCGTCCCATATCAAGATTCATACATTTCACTCCTGAAGATTTGAGATTCGCGTCCACTGATGACTCAAAGAGCAAGAGACGGCCAGCGAAGTTCATCGTCGGTGTTGGAGATATTGCAAGTCCCTCACTAAACGGAGTCACGGAAACAAGGACATTCGGAGAATCAACAAGCTTACGCCACGCTGGCGTCAATGTACACAGTTCACCAAGAACTGTGAAAGTCGACCGTTGCTCACTCGCTAGTACACCTAGCCAAACAACACCCATCTCAAGTTCTCAACACCAAAAACAGCCAAGATTCCTCCTTTAAAATGTTACTGCCACTAGTGAGTCGTTGGAGTACTTGATCTCGAACACTTTTGGATGTCGTCACATTCAGTCTATTTTGGTTAACAATGTTTAACCCCTACTCAAAATCACCAACACACCAGGTCTGGCTTTCTGCTCTAGTATCTCTGTGTTTATCAGAGCGAACCTATATAGTAACAAATGGAGGAAACCGTAGCTACATACGTGGAAACTCTGTTGCGGCTCCGTTTGACGAGCTACAAAATGCAAGTCTGCAAACTGGTTTGATCTCAGCTGTAAAGCCAAACTAACTCTTATTGATCTAACGCAATATAGGCCTTCTTTATAGCTAGTCCGCCAAACCATCGACTCAATTGGTTTTCCAGTGCTCAAGATGCTCATGTGGTGACTGGAGCAAATTTTACCTTCTTGACTAGTTTTAGTCGAGTCTTTGAATGTAAGCGTTGTTTCTGAAATTGTAAACGAAGCAATTGCTTGAGGTTGACTGCACGCAAGTTGAAAATATCTCGTCACGTCGCCATTTCTGATTCTCATCTTTCGAAACTATTTCGTCACGTTGCCATTTCTGATTCTCATCTTGCTGACGATTTGTAGTGGACGCAGCTACCAGGAAGACAGTGTCAGCAGTCGATCTAGCAAACACTGCCGATAAATTCACGCCAATAGTGACCATGGCGGACGGGAAACCGGAAGCCAAACTCTATACAAACGCAACACTCTCAAACTTCAACAACTTTTATTTGGCTCTTACCACATACGCCTCTCGAACATCCTCCACCAACGGCGATGGAATCTTCGTCATGGAAGATGGCTTCCTCTATACGATATACGTAGCAAACTACCCTTATAAATCGAAAAGCTCTGTCTTGGCCTTCGAGCACATCATATACCCTATGGAAAGCACGAACTGCACAATAGTAGGAAACAATATAGAATGTGGTGCTGGGACATTTTCAGTGGGATATTTCTTTAACGTCAATGGAGCACCAATAGCAGCTGCACCACCACAATTGGTGTATAATCCGTTATCGGGATCGTATCTGTGTACCCACGTTGCTAATATTACAAACCCGATTGGTATCAGCTGGGATAACATGATGTCGATTGATAGAAAGCAGCTGCTGCCTGCTACAGCAGTTACTGTAAATCAAACTACTGCAGGTCCTGTGGGTCAAACCGACCCGGCTGCCGGGGCCGGGGCCAAGAGTGGGTCGGAAAGTCTAGCTGGATCTAGTCGTGTTGTGTCGTTGTTGATGGTGCTTGGGTTGTCGCTTGTAATCAATCTCTGTGTGTGATAAGATGTAAACAAACGAATCTCTAGTTTTATTTTGTACTTTGTGGTTAAGTATAAAGTTTTCCATTGAAAATGGAAATCTAAAACAATTTGAACGTTGACGAGGGTTCGTTTAGTGTCTTGTTGTCGGGATTGCAACACCTTAATATTTTATGTCTTCGCCAAGGTCGAGTCAAACTTCTGAAGCGCAAGTCCTTGGCTCCATTACGATTTTGTTTTCTCCACATCTCCAAAAAGTTTTCAATTGTTCGAGCAAAATCATGGGTATTTTGATTAGCAAGGGCTGTATCAGTCTTGATATGACGTCGACTAGAGTGTTAGATCCTTGTTTTCAACACAAATCCACAGGACGACCTGTTGACACAAAGTGCAGGCCAGTCCATCCACTAACATATGTTCAATCCATTTCCTCAACAAAAGGGTTTGAATATTCATCTGAATCGATTCACAGGGTATCGAATGCAAACGTCTACTGTATTGGTGTGTCATGGAAAAAAAAATACAAAATGAATCAAAGTTGGAATGGAATGACTTTGAACCCTTCTAAAGGTTCAGCAGATCCAATAATGGCATCACTGTGAGGCTTGCCGACAATATACTGATTTGCGACTCGTTCCACATCATCTAGTGTGGTTGACAGTACTGCGTGGCGTCGTCTAAAAGCAAAAAAGAATTTTAAAAGTCTTGAAGATATGATACCCAATAAACCACCTGCTTCAACTCAACTTACGCTAATCGAATATCATCAGACAACCCATATCTAAACCTCGACATCCCTTCCTCAGAAGCACTCAACGGCGCATCAAGAGTCTTGAGTACACCCAATTTAGCTTCATGTAACTCCTGTTCTCCAAACCTGGACACTATATCCTTACTCCATTCAGCAAGAGCAGTATAAGCGTCTAATGTAGCACTCGAATTTGGATCTCGATATGAGAAGAAGGATATGTTTCCGTTCAGTGCCGAGTATCTAGCTCCTGCTCCATAAGCGCCACCCTTTTCACGGATGGCTTGGTGGAGGAAGTGGTGTGTTGCTAGTTGACAGTATATAGCTAGGGCGGCAGAGTCGTTGTGTGCGTATGGTACTGCTACGAAGCTTCGAGCACAAAAGTTTATAGGGAAGCTGAATTGGTATTGGGTTTGTTCAAAGTTTGGTTTCATTGCTTCCTAAGAATATAAAAAGTGTTAGAAAATACCAAGAAACCAAAATGTCTTTTGCCAATTACCCTATCGTTGAATGGATCAATAGCTCTAGTCCATGATACTTGATCCAACAAACTCGACAACTGGGTTTCGTGTTGATTCCTGGTTGATGATTCGCAGACGACAGAGCATCGAGCTGCACCTGAATCCAATATGTATTCATGGATAGCCTGCGGTTGTGAGTGATTTTTTAGCCTGTCAGCCATCTGCGGAACACTGATGTGTACACATACCTTGAGCTTCTCCGTAACTTGGCCTGCATCAAATCCAGCAGACAACTGATTCAACAGTGCAACTTGCGTCAGCCCTTCAAGCTGCTCACTTATGAACGCAGCCTTGTTTGTCGAAGCATTGGCAGCAGCGATTGCCAGCACATGACCGGAATCAGCCACTGATGAAGCATAATCGTTGGCCATACCCTTCAGTGCCACCTCTAGTCTCTCATGCTGTGAGAAGTCAGGTTGAGTAATCACCTCCTGTAGTATTTTATACATGTTGTCGATATTATGTGTAAGCGAGGAGGAAGTGATGTGTAGTGACATGCCCGTTTGGTCTAGTGTAAATGGAGAGGACGATGCGAGGGAAGAGACACTGATGCCACCTGTCTGGCCTCGTATTTTCTCAGACAGTACTGGTAATGGACTTGTTGTCGTGCCGAGAGATGTCAAGGTAGAGCAATACAGTGGTAAATATTTGACGAGATCAGGGTCTAGTCCACTCAAATCTCTAGATAGAGTAACGTACGACACACCATTCGTGTCAGTTTCTCTGATTTGAGCTGTTACTGCACCAGCTCCGAGTGGCACATCCGACACTGTATACTGTTTAGGCTCTGTGGCCATCACTTGTTCTATCGACAGAGTTGGCAGAACGGATAGATCTAAAGGTTGGGCAGCCACTTAGCTCGTTACAAAGACGCAAAAAAAGAGTAGTTCATGTTGACAGGACAGGATTCTGACCTTCTTTCTCATCCTGTGTCTTAATGAGTCGAGCTCCATCTTCAAATGCCTTTCTACGTTCCCAATCACTCAAACCGGCAACTTTGCTGCTCAACAGATCAGTCTCCTTCTTGGCCAATTTGTCATAATACTCTTCTTCGGCATGCATGACATAGGTCAGTTGATGTGGATTAGTTATGCAATATTGATCAATCAGGCGAGGTAACAGATCTGTCGTTGCAATCTCTTCTTTTAGACGCTTAATGTGCTAAGGTAGGGAGCGTAGATTGTCAAGTTGAAAAACACGGGCTGCTTCTACAAACAGTGACACGTTTTGTACCTTGTTGACTTCTAATGATTCAACTGGATCACCTCCATGTGCAAAATGACTAGACATTGATTGAGCAATCATCATTCCAAAGTTGGCTTGTCTCTTTTGCAACATGAGTTAGAAAATAAACACCAAAAAATGCACAGAGAATAGCGAATATCTCACATGCTTCAGAGACAACTCCATCTCATGCACAATAGCATCCACTCTCTCAGCCTTAAATCCCGTATCTCTCGCACTTTTCAGCACGTTTCGAATCTTTTCCTGCACCTGTTCAACATCCGACTTCTTCATGCCCTGCAAACCAAAACTGAGATTCGTGGTGGTAGCAGTTCGGTCATATCCTGTTGAAGGACTGTAATCTGATCCCAGTTGAGAATCAATCAGTGCTTGATACATTGGTGAAGCAGCCCCATCAATTAAGAGCGAAGTTAACACTCGCAAGGCAATGGCTTCATACACCTCAGTGCTCTTATTGGCCAAGAATGAGATTGCCATTTTGGTCTGCTTTTCGGGATCAAGCACTAGGGAATTGGATTCTTGCGGTTTAACAACTAACACAAAAGCAACCAACCAAGCTTGAATGCTCACTGGGATCAAGTGGTCCGTATTCAACAACATTCTTTGGCGCACTCCACTTCTCTACTCTGGGCGCATCTAGAGCCTTCGATACACTGAAATCACGAATATTGGAATCAATCATTTCCAGATGCTTGTCCAACGAAAAGTTTCCATATGTTACAAAGCATGCGTTCGATGGGTGATAGCATTGAGCGTGGAAGTCTTTAAGAGAATGCCACGTCAAGTCAGGTATGTTTACTGGATCGCCTCCAGAGACGTATCCATAAGTTGAATTGGGGTATAGCTGTTGTTGTAGTCGTGTCAGGAAGAGATCGCCTGGATTGGATAGTGCGCCCTTCATTTCATTGTAGACGACGCCTTTGAATATGAGTGGTGAAGAAGCATCTCTTGGATTTGAGTGCTCTAGTCTCCAGCCCTCTAAACATGACAAGTTCAACGGATCAGCACGTCGCGATAAAAGAGGGGGACGTCTCTACACAGAATAAGGAATGTACGGCACCTTGTTTGAATGATAACTCGTCGAGCTTAGGACGAAATACAGAGTCCATGTACACCGACATCAAGTTGCGATAATCTAGACAAAGTGCGAGGAGCTCAAGTAAGCATCATAGCATAACAAACATGAAAAAGTACCACGGATCCAACCTTGTTCATTCTCAGACGAGAATGGATACATGGTGATATCACTTCCAGTTAAAGCATTCATGTACGTTGACAATGAGCGATTCAACATCTTGAAGAATGGATCTCTGACGGGATACTTGGCCGAACCACAAAGCACGGTGTGTTCTAGGATGTGAGGTACACCAGTACTGTTTGATGGTGGAGTTTTGAAGGCGACACTATTGTAACGGGATGAGTTAACAGACAGGTTGACGTGGCAACCAAAATAACATCATAGGCAAAGGCAGCGTATACTGAGTAGTTCAAAGTAGAGCTGCCAGTTCACGTACCAAAACACGTTATTGGATGCATCAGCCTTGTGAACGTGATAATACAATGTCCTTGTCTTCTCATGTTCGAATTTGAACACATCCAGAGCAAATTCATCGATCCTGGTGGCTTCCTTGAAGTTAAATCCACTATACGACGTATTGACACGAAAACTATCGACTATATAAGACAAGAGCGGTTTTAGGTAGAGTTCTTGATGTGCTGATTTTTTCAACATTTCATTTACAGTTTGAACTTAAGCTTCTCCGGGAAAGACAAAGAGACCGACGACGTAAGGCGGATCTACTGGCAGCAAGCCCTGTAGTCGACCTTATTCTTGTAGTCAACATTCTCTAACTCCCTTCCGCACCAATTAGCTCAAATATTGCAACTTGAAGAAATTGTCACGAACTACACGTAAAACGACATGGAAAACATAATCATGATACCGATATACCAAAAGGCCTTCACTTGGATACGCGTCAATGTATGGGACAAGCTCCTGACCGAAATGAAATGTAAGTGGGGAAACCAAATCATCTCGAGTTATAACCATTTGGTCACTATTGGAGTTGATCGACCACGGTTAGATCGTTTCAAATTGAACTTGCCGATTTCGGTCTCAAACTTCTGTTCATTTTGTCATTTTGGACTCTAAAATCAAATGATTTTGGCAATTTGAAGGTCAACCAACACCTTCCTTTTGAAACATCAATTTAAGCTTGCTCTACGCCTGATGATCTCGCGGCTGCTGTAACGCTTGGTATAGCATCTGGAACATTTCCCGTAATGGGGTTCACTACTGTCTTGATCATAGTCATCGGCAAGGTTTTCAAAATCAATATTCCACTGAGTCTGATTATTTCAACCATGTGTGGTGTGATAGTCCTTCCCTGGTAAGTCTGCTCACGGAACATTATGAGGTTCAGCTTTTCTTTGCTTACCAGCTGCCCAAACGTTGTGTTGGACTTACGTGTCTTACCAACAACAGACACTAATACTCACCTTTCCTAGTGCTCTGTTCTTTATGAGACTAGGAGCCTTCATCTTGAACATTGAGCGTCCCAGCTTAAATCCATTCTCGGTTATCGACCTGACAGACTTGATGGGAAGCGCTCAAAGGATTATATTGACAATCTTTTGTGCAGCGTTGGGATGGAGCCTGATTATGATTCCAGCAGCACCCATTATATTCTATTCAACATCTTTTCTCGTGAAGAGGACAAAACTCATGAGCAAGTATAAACGGGCTGTCTGACAGAGTCGCATCCTACTTCCTGTAAATAAGTTGCTACATATAGTTTAAGTACCCAAACTAACATCTTTATTGGAAATCTAAATACTGCTTTACTAATGTCTGTTATTTCCGACTACTATTGAGTTATATTGATTATGTAGTCTAGAATATGATAAAGGGCCCTGCCCCAGTCCCAAAATATACATTATAGATGATATCGCTCAAAATTCCTCCTTCTCATGAGTCGTTAACAATCCATACACAGTCTGACACGTCTGCAGACACATCTGATACGTCAATTCAGGCTGCTCCAATCCACATCTACCACACCTCGTCATCTGCGACCACTCATCCCTCAAATGATCGATCTCTGATTTAGCAGTCTTTACCATCGTAGATGCAGAAATGCCTAGATTAAACTCTCTTGTATACAACATTGACAAATGCATTAAATTATGAAATGGTATCGCTAGAGTCGTCGGCACGTCTATAGGCGACATGTCTGGGTCTAAATGATTATAGTCCTGGCTACATTCCAGGTGGATTAGACGTCGTAGACGGTCTGCTTCGTCGGAAGGGTAGCCTTTGCTCCAGCGAAAGATACATTCTAGTTTCTCAGCTGTTGACATTAGGGATGCGTCAGTTGCGCTTCGAAGAAGTTCACATAAGTGGCCCTGTGGCGAAGTGTGTCAGCCAATTAGGGATGTTTTAAACGCTGGATAGTTGATTCAAACCTCTTCTATAGTGACATGATTCCAGTCCGGCTGCCTGATTACTTCTCTCCATATTAGTGGGAACACGGTATAACATTTCTTCACCAAGTCGTCCAGCGACAAGTACCTTTTAGACACGAATTGTGTGAGCTTGTTGCCTGCTTGTAAAGACCAAACACAAAAACTCACGCAGCATTTCGAAGGGTATCGAGTATCCCTGAAGCCGTAAACCAAGCCTCTACGACCATTCCATACATCCACGACAACAGTCCTGCGAAATTACACCCTGGACCAGACGGTTCCTATATTACAAGGGATGAAACGTTAGCTGGTTGCATTCAACAGAACACAGCGAGCGGGTTTTTTGTCGATCAAGTGTTTCCACCAGCTAATTACATGGCTAAAATCAACATTATCTTCTCCTTTTAATGCACACTCACTGGAACCGGTATAAACAACTCAAGCACATCCGCGTCTTTTTCACGAAAGTTCTTGTTCAGCATGGCATCAAAGTAGATATAGCGAGTGAGCACTGAACGATGCACACGAAAAACTGTCTGATTAGGCGGTGCTATTATCGTCAAGTCTGGAGCACCGAATGGGGATGGGATTGGCAAACAAAATTCCTTGCCAGTTCGAGAAGGAAGGGGAGAGGAGGACGGTGATGGTATCGAGTCGTGATACTCCTCATCGTTTAAATCCACAAATGTGGCGTCCTCTGAGCTCATGGTGAGATCAGCCAAAGAACTGCGTAGAACTGCAGGCTTTTGTATTTTGTGTTTGGAGCGAGTTTTGTTGGAGTCGGAGATATGAAGACTTCAGGCGTGGAAAATTGCATTGTAATTGTGTGGAAAATCATTCCAGTGGCTACTAGAACGCGTCACTAGTTCCAGGAGCCGCAGTTGTACTGATACAATGACTAGCACGCGTTTTTTGCAACCCATTGGACGCGTTTTTATATTAGCAAACTCTTTATTGAAATAACTCTAGTCCGTATCTACTCTATTTACGACGTGACGGAAAAGAACCACTCAGTGTCTTTGCCATCTTGGATTCCTTGACTCTAAGAGCATCCTTCATCCGCATCTCGAAAGCTCGTTGTTCCGGATTCACATTCGATTCAGCAGCAGCAGCCAAATTTGGATTCGATCTCGATGGTGTTGAGCGTCCATCCCTGCTCTTATTGCCTCGATTCTCGTCCGTTGTTTCTTGTGGTTGCTGTGTTGGTGACTGTTGAGCCTGCTGCTGAACCTTCCTCTTCATATTAGCCAGCTCGGACAGCAGTCCCATTCGTTCTTCACACTCCATCTTGACTGTCTCACGCAAGAATGAAAGATCTGCGTCACGTCTTGACAGTGCGGTCTTCAGGTCTGATATTTCTTGAGCGAATTGTTGAATGTTGGGAGTCGATGGTGATATTAGTGTTGAATGTGATGATGCGGCTGATTTTGGTGGTTGGGTGGATATGCTGGTTTGGTTGGAATGTATTGGTGGGAAGAAGGAGTTTGATGATGGTGGTGTGGATGGTGGTGGCGGGCGAGAGGCTAGTTGGGACTCGAGGGCAAGCATTTGAGTTCTTACGAGGGATAGTTCTTCAGCTGATTTGACCTGAAGGATCGAAATGAGTCAATACAGATAGAGATATTTAATGAACTTTTTTTTTATTGGTACCTTGAGAATTCGTAGTTCCTCTTTCAGAGCAGACATCTTCTTCTCAGTCTCTTCCTCGGCTTCTCTCTTCATCCTCGTCACCTCATTACGAGCTGCATCGCGAGCTCTTCGTAAATCGTCTAATTGTCGTTGCAGATTGGAAATGTTCACATCGTATTCCTAAGTTTACGTCCGATGAATATCTTCCGGATGAAAGTGTCTGTTTTTTTGCTATTGCATACCTTCGTAACAGTTTCACGAACTTTGGCTAGTGCAACTTCCTTCTCATCTGTTAGTCGTCTTCTCTGTGTAGCCTATACAACAATGTCATTGAGATCAGTGTAAAAATGAAAAGCCAAGAGGATCAATGCTTACATGATTTCTGCCTAACTCCTCAATCTGCTGCCGATATTCGTCCTGTAGCTCTCTCATTCGCACTTCATACAAATCAGCACGATTCCTCCTAGTTCAGAATAATGTCGTCTTTCAAAATCATCGTTTTTGAGCTTTTGGACTCTTGTTGATGACTGGAGAGCAACGTACTTTTCCGATCGAAGTTCTTCACATTGTGATTCTAACGCTTTCATCGATGTCGACAGTTCTCTAAATTTTTCCTGAAATAGAAAGAATTGAATTAGCAACCAAAAACTACAACGGTCTTGACCTATATCTGATACCTCTGATTGATCGACTCTCCTCTGCGCCTCAACTACACGAGCTTTAGCTTCATGATCAAGTTCAGCCTTCTCAGACGTATAAACTGTCTGTTGATGCTGTATCTTGGATATTAGCTGAGTTTGTTCTCGGGCGAATTGCTACGATACGCCGATTCAGTGTTTTTGTTGCATGATTCCGAATAAAGCACCAACCTCCAATTTCAGATCAGAATCAGTCAGCCGTCTTTCCAAATCCGACACTGAAGCCTCCAGTTGCGTTATATAAGCTAAGAGAAAAAACAACTTTTGTCAGCCCCAAGGACGTCGTCACAACTCCATGACTTGAACGTACACTGGTGCTTGACAGACACATCCGCATTATCCATATTACTCCTCTCCATACTTTTAGCAAGCCTCTCACACCGCTCTTCACTCTCACGTAGCGAAATCTGCCACCTCTTAATTTCAGACCGTAATTCTTCCTCCACATGTCCACATTTCTGATCTGCCAAATGTCTCAACTCTTCTACTTTTTGTTGAGCCTTGTTTTCCGAAATTGATATAATTTGGGTCATGAATGATTTCATGTTTTCGAATGCTTGTTGTTTGAGACGTGTTTGATTTGTTTTAGTCGATTGTATAGATGCTCGAGTTTTGGCGATGGTGGAGAGGACATGGATTGCGATTTGGTTTCGAGAGTTTGCTTTGGATCTATCTGAGGCTAATGCGTCTGCCTATTCAAAGTAGAGCGATTCGATTTCCGTATCAGTCTTTTTCTGTTCCAATGAAGAGCATACGTACCAGTTGTTTAGCCATAGTCTTCCACTCTCTCTGCATTCTTGTCAGCTCATTCGTTGCCTCCTCAGCTTCTCGTTCAGCATTCTCATTGGCTACTTCCAATTCTCGAATCGTCAATTCAGCGTCATGACGAGCATCTTCAGCAGACTGTAGTCTCTCCAACAGCTCTGGACGTTCTTCTTCCAAATGCTAATTAGGAGAATACAGTTAGGCAAACCGAGTTGAGAAATATTCAAAAGATGAAAAAGTGCGATTTTTTTCGCACAAATACCTTCAATTGCCGCAATTCATTTTCAATCTGCCGAACGTGCCTCTCCAGCTTTTCATACTTGTTTTGCAGGAGATATGATATTCCACAATACTGGCATGCTGTTTCAGATTCACTCATACATAGTATCTCTTCCGGAAGTGGCCGTAGTTCACTCAAAAGTTCTTCCGACATGAATGTGACTTAAATGAGAGATCAATGGTAGGTATGAGATGTGGATCTAATCAGAAATGAATCTCATTCTGCTTTATTGCCATTTTCAGTAGCTGCTGCGGAATGTACAAGGATCTTGAGTGTTGGCTAAACAAAATATGATGGTGGAAATAAAATGTCCCGAATCAGACAGCAAACCATGCACTTGGAACAATACGCGGTGAGAGATTGTAAACTTTTTATTTTTGCAATATTTTGTAGGCATCTTGTTTCCACCCTGCCACCCTTCTGCTTCATCGAAATTCCTCATGATTGATATTCATCCTTCATCTCCTATTTTTAGGAAGACAGCTCCTATGTGATGGGGTTAGAGGCGAGCTTACACATTTGGTTTATCTCGATGTTAAAGGGCTGATGATTAGGGTTGATGTTGAATGTCAAATCCAACAAGAGCAGCACCAATAGAAAAATAAAGCAGTAAATCCAAGTCTCCCATAGCCCACTTACTTGGCTCTTTGGATCGTTTGGCGAATAGACTGCCGAAGATATCAAACACTGCGATAGTCATTGAAACTGGGATTGACGCAAGTAGCATCATGGCTCCAAAGAATGACAGGACGGCCGATTCGGCAAGCTCCATATATACTGGCATGTCTTGTATAATAAACTTTCTCCTTGCTTAGCTATGAGCGTACGGTATTGTGACTTGTGGGTCTGAGAGTGTTGGTGATTGTTGTTGAAGCTATGACGATTACTAACTAACGTCAACACGTAAAAAAGAGAGACAAATTTATGCAAAAAGCAATAAAATATTACAATTCTAATTATCTATAATAAAAGAAGGTGCGTCAACAATCTAGACACTCTGTGTTTTTTGTTTCTTCTTCTTGAGTGGTTTGACAGCCTCTCGTACTGCATTCAAGATGCTCTCGGGCTCCTCTGACTCTATTACAGGCTCTGGTTCAGACTCTGCTTTTCTCTTCTTTTTCTTCTTTTTGAGCTCTGTCGGTGGTGTGTCTAGCTGTTCTTCTACTGCTGCGGGCTCTATGTCATCGGTTGGAACCTCGAGTTCGCTCGTGAATAGAGTGGTTGACTTTGTAAAGGCTTGGAGTGTCCTTAAAGACGACGATGATCGTAATGCAGGTCTATCTTCCCAATCTAATGTTAAAAAGTTGTGAGACCAGGGACTAACACAAAAAAAACACAGAATCATGTGAACGGTACCATCGACTGGACGTTGACGTGTCATTTCAGACACTTCTATTTCTACTGTAACAGTAGCATCTGTTGGTTTTGTACCAAGAATCATACTGAGATCAGCAGCATCATAGTTTGACACGGTTTTGTTGCGAAGAAACTTTTGCCTGTGACTATAGTGTAAACAAAGGATTGCTAAGTTACTTTGAAAGATTCCAATTTAACATCATGCACATACTAGAGTCTTCCAAATCGAGGAACCTCCGGCTTCTCTGGTGTTTCTTCCTGTTCTTCCACAGGTGTTGTTTCTGACGCAGTAGGACTCTCTGCATCAGCCATTTTCTGGTTTAGCGAGGCCAACAGGTCTGAATATGCGGTATTTGTATCGAGCCAATTGTTTCCTGATCTCTTTCCAGCTCCAATACCTAATAATGTGATGGTTGTTAAGTAACGGGTTTTGATGCAAAAAAAAAAATCACGATCCAGGTGTGTATACCAATTTTGTCCTGTTTGAACTTTAGAGATATATGCTCTTTGGCACCATCTTCATTAGCACCTAATCCTTTCCCTTCCGTCCAGCCAAACTTTTCTAGCATCTTTTGACCAAACTTGTCCTTGTCTAGTAAAAAAGAATATTCAGCTGCGAGACTAAATTGTATAAGACGAAGGACTGGACGTACCTTGAGACCATTTTGTATTGCGAGGATCTGGTCCAAAGCGTTGCTTGGTACGTCTCTCAGCTAGGCCCATCGTTGATTTGATTTTGTTGGTTTGATGTTTTGATTTCAAGCTTACAGCTTACAATATAAAAACAGTGTGGAATAATTTCGTATTTTGATGTAGATACTTTCATATGGAGCTGGATCGCACTGTCACGGAATTCGTGTGGAAGGGACAAGTGCCTTTGAGAATATCAGTACATTCAGAGGATGTCAAGACATTGATGGGAAGCAGCAGTACCAGTACAGGTCAACGCGATATTGATCCACAACACGTATGCCACTATAAAACATGTTCTTTTTATGCATCTTGTTGTGTGCTCGTTAACACACCAACAATTGAGGTCAAAACTACTGCTGATTGATTCTTTGTCAATGACATAGATACTCGCACTGCGTTGCTCATATCTACCACTACTGACTAGCACAATACGGAAATATTTCACTGAACTTTGTAATCAGCCGCTAGTCATTGATGACGCTGATATTTGGTACGAGTGTGAAGGAGTACCTCTCAAATGGTAACGCTTGCTACCTCACTTAGACGTCATAATTCAATATGAAGGTGTCTGACATTCGTGTTCGTAGGCATTATCCCATTGGTCTGCTATTCGACATACATAATGGAGCTCGACAATTACTACCTTGGACTATAACAGTCAGATTCACTTCCTTCCCTGCCGACAAACTGATACGAGTCAATGCTGCTTCATCCATGGACGCTCCACACGACTTTTTCATGGCACTAATTAAAGAAGCTGACTTTCTACGGACGGGATCGATCAAGAAAGTGATGGGTCTGAGTAAAGCTGACCAGAGCTCGCTATGGGAGGGTCTATGCTCGAGTAAGCACATATGGTACAGGTTCTGGTATCCTATGCATCTGAAACGCCCAGCTAACATGGTTTGCTCTTAGATGACTATGAAAAGTTCTGGGCTGTAAACACTCGTTTAATCACAAACGAAGGCATTCAACCGAAAGCTATACCACTACGAATCTACATACAAGATCGACCTGTGGTTCAAGAGCTGGTGGTTCCGCTAGATCAAGAACGTAAGATCATACCCGGGGTGCCTGGTTTGTTTCCTTGTCACCCTATACTCAATTATTTGTCTGTAGAGAATCCACGGACAATAAGCATCGTCCTGCAAGATGTCTTGAAGGACGCACTAGATCTAACTATAGATATTTCAACACTTCAGGTCACGCTGCATGGCGTGGCAATACCACTGGATACACCGATACCATATCTGTCTGTGAATATGAGCTATCCAGATAACTTTTTGCACCTGGTTGTGGTATTTCCAAGACGTTGATGGAGCTCGGGTTTGAACATATCTGCACAGTAGCTATTTCATTGTAGATTTTCGACATAAACACTTAGTCTCTCTCTTAACACGTGATCAACTTTCATTTGTTACTATTACTCCGAATTTGTGTAGATAAAACGACAGTAGCTGCTTATTGCTGTTTCAAAATTTCAATTTCCTTCCTCAGATTCCCCCTAGCCCGCTGTTCTCTCGTTGCAAAGAACTCCTCAGAGAAGTAGAGCCTCGGCCTCCCCAGAAATCGCTCTAAAACACCAGCACGGCCAGCCGTATAGTCTGAATCTGGCATATGTATGTATTCCTGCCGTATCGCTTTGGAGTACTCTTCATAGTCAGACCACAACCAACTGAGCACTTCAAGATCAAAGTCCAGAAAGAGTTTCAAATCGTCGGTGACGCCGGTTTCGGGTAGTTTATGTGAGATTGTTGCTCGTATCATGGTCGTCACTATGTTACGATAGTTGAGTGTGAGTTCAGGGAACCTTGAGAGAAGACAAGTCGCGAGAGGTGTGAGCACAAACTCTAAACTGACTTATTTTACCTTCCTCTGCCACGGTTGGCTCAATCGAAGCATCAACTGCGTATTTTTCAAATACGACGATGCTTTGTTCCTCGTTGTCGTGCCGAGTTGGGTCATAGATCACACTAGTTTTGACAGTGGTGCGAAATGGTCAGCCGCCTGGGGCTGGTCTGGAAAAGCCGATCCAAACAATGCGATTTACTCGTGGAACCAGATAGCAAGCTCAACCGCTAGAGGATTGTGTACAGGGTAAGTGTCCAACAGCGAGAGCAGGTTCTTCAGATGCGACAACGTGTGGTATCTTCTTTGAGACTCAGAGTAGCGAGAGCGGATCTAAGGTATGAATGTAGTTCACATCAACGTGTTCTTACAGTATTCATCGGTTCATCGTCACGAAAGCTACACGTCATAGATCGTGAATGTCTTTCGAAAATCACGTCGAATTCCAGGATCAAAGCGAATACTCACCGTATCCCACCATGAAGGCAAACAATTCTTGCTGAATCTAACACGTAGCTCTTCTACATTTGATTCAGTTACCTCGACTTTCATCGTCCAGCACCAAGTGATGACTGCTGACGACGAGGAAATGGCCGACAGAGAACGAAAATCCGAAGAAAAGGACAGCAATTCGACTAGTTCTACACGTGGTACGCCCCTAATTCCCGTAATCAAGTTGCTCTATGAAGAAAGAAAGCAGAGTTGTTAATGCAACGACCACATTTTGTTTCTATAGGAGACCCAAAGAGAAAGAGGCCAGAAATACCCAGTTCCGATCTTCCTGATGAAGTATGACTTGATCTTGCTAAAATCGTCTTACAATCGCCTGTATTCTTGCGTTGTTTCGCTACATTTCTGAACAAAACTTCAAACCCATCGTTTAAATCTTAGGCAGCTACAAAGGAGGTCGAAGACAGGTCGCCTTCGCGAAAAAAGACAATTGTAGCAGTGGCATCTGAAGAAATAGAACGCAAACGAAAACACCATGAGGATGAAGGTGCTCCTGGTCACATTCAAGTATGTTGGGGCTTTTAGTTTGAAATCAACCTACAAAGAGAATTAAAGAGTTTATTCTTCTGATCTATCAGTCCAATAATACTACAAAACGGGTATTTGGAGATATGGAAACATCGCCAGTGAATGGGTCAATCAAGTCAGGTTGGGAGCACACAGTTCACTCGCAGCATTGTTGGAAACCATGAAGCTCACAAGGTCTTCATGATAGATACACCAATCTCACCACCACCAAAACCAGTATTTGGTGGATTCGGTGGCGGCACTTCCAAACCAACAGGATTCGGTGATCTGGCAGGTCCAAAGACATCATTTGGTGACATTCTAGGCAAAGCTTCGTCAACCGCTATACCCGCTCCTTCAACAACCACTACCACGAAAGATAATGATAATACCACTCCAATGCTATCCACATCTCCCGCACGAGTTCAAATGGAACGTCTGGAAGTCTCGTCGCAGTTTTCTCCACGGTCCTTGTTTCCACCAGCAACACCCTCTACAAAACCTATACCAACAGCCGATGATTCAAAGGAACCAACCACCCACAAGTCTCAAGACGACGAACAACAACCAGTAGTCATAAATGATAGCAAGAACACGAGCGAATCAGAACCAAAACCAGTGACAGAAGATGAACACGTAACAAGCACCACAACTCATAATAACGATAATAGTCAACCACCCAAAGCAGGATTTGCCGTATTGGCAGAAAAGCCTCCATCATCATCTATATCACCACCACGACTCGGGTTCTCGACTGGATTACTGGCAGGACGTACAGCAGAAAAGGACGCAAGCGGTGTATTCGGATCAGGCACATCGGGACTCTCAGCATTTTCATCCACTACAACAACAGCAGGAACCTCATCTTCTACGACTAATAATACAGTGTTTGGTGGAGGAGCCAAAACTGGATTTGGTGGTACCAGTAGTAGTGGTGGTGGTGGCGGTGGATTTAGCTCCTTTTCTTCTTCTTTAGCAACATCAGGAACTCCGTCTTCCTTCCAAACATTGTTACAGTCTTCATCCTTCGTCAAATCATCATCAACAACAGCAGCCGCCAAGAAACGAGATGATGATGAAGAGGATGGAAGAGGGGCTGGTAGTAGTAGTAAAGCAGGTGCTGGTGGTGATGACGATGACGAGAATTTGGAAGAGGAGGAGGTAGCAGTTGAAGTGGATCCAAATGCTCCAGCTGCAAACCTTACGCCAGTGCAAGGTATGTCTGATTTTGATTGTGTATGCAATACGTTTGACTGTTTCTTTACCATTTTTTTGTCTCCAGTTGAGACAGGGGAAGAGGATGAAATCACTGTGTTTTCAGCCAAGGGCAAACTCTTCAACTTTGACAAGACCAAAAATGACTGGAATGAACGAGGAGCCGGTACATTGCACCTGAATCAAAGCAAGCGAGACAAGAATGATTCCAGATTGGGTAGGCGTCTGCGTTGCGCAAGGTTTTTTTGCTCCGTTACGAAGTCTTATATCTGACTTAAATCATCATCGATATATAGTGATGCGAGGTGAAAAGACGTTGCGTCTCATGCTGAATATCCGCGTTGTCCATGGTGTGACCTGTAAAAGGCCTGGAGACAAGTTTGTTGAGTTTGTGGGTATTGAAGGGGCAGATGCGAAATCCGTCACACGTTTCCTCGTCAAGGTTTGTTCTTGAAATGTGCCCATTCATTTTGCAATTTGAGGAGCTGATTTTTTTACTAACAATGTAGATGACAAAGGACAATGCGAGCTCGTTGGAAAGCGTGTTGAATGAAAAAGCTGAATGAAAACATTGGGACAACTAGTAAATGCGCATGTTACGTAAGGCTAGATGATTGTTTATTGTTTGTTGTATAAAATAGAGAAAGATACCGCAAAAAAGGTGAAAAGGTCCACTCTTTGTATTTTCACGTTACGATGCGAGTGGGCTGCGTCGAATCTTTTCCTTTTGTATTGATTTGTTCTAGGTTGCATTCAATAATTCCAGCTATTATGTGTGAGAACTTAAGTGTAAGCTTCACCTGAAAAGACTTCGCTGATAATTTCCGAATCCCAAAATACTTCAACTTAAGATCTCTCCTTGCTCAAAGACAAGGACAGCTTCAGAAACGCGTGGAGAAATACACCATTCATATAGGAAGAGCCATCAAAATCCATCAACCATGGCTTCAAACGCCCTCACATCGTCATCTGCGTCCACAAGGTCCGTCCTCTCAGTCTTTGAGAGATACCAAAAAGAACGTCTAGCATTCGCCCAATCCGTAGCCGATATGGCATCACGAGAAACCAATATCGAAGCCCTCACATCCGTCGGCGCCACCTCCCTCCTCCGCCCCCTGCTAGTCGACTCCGTCCCTGCAGTCCAGCAAGCTGCTGCACTAGCATTGGGAAGATTAGCAAATCATTCAGAGAAACTCGCAAATGTTGTTGTTGAGGGAGATGTGTTGCCACAGCTTGTGTTTTCGTTGACTGAGCAGAATGTGAGTTGATGTGGGATATTGGACGAGACCTCCTCTTGCAGTGAGGTTTTTTTTTTTGGCTTACGTGAATTATTCTTTTTTTGATATACAGAGATTCTATAAAAAGGCAGCTAATTTCGTGCTCCGAGCGGTTGCCAAACATTCTCCTGAACTGGCCCGAGCTGTTGTTGATGCTGGTGCATTGTCGTCGCTGACTTCGTGTCTTGAGGAGTTTGATCCTGGTGTTAAGGAGTCTGCAGCGTGGGCTATTGGGTACATTGCTAGACACAATGGTGGTACGTAGCTTGCCTCTTCATCGTCCCGCAATCGACTCAAATGTGATGACTAATTCTTTTTGCGTATTTAGAACTCGCACAAGCTGTAGTTGACGCTGGTGCAGTGCCACTTCTTGTCCTGTGTGTACAAGAACCTGAATTGGCTGTAAGAAGGATCTCTGCTTCGGCGTTGAGTGATATTGCAAAGCATACTCCTGAGGTATCGTATCCTTCTCCAAGAGCGACCAAAATATATCCACATGATCTTACAAACCATGCTTCTTACCCAGCTCGCCCAGACAGTCGTCGACGCTGGCGCTGTACCCGTCCTCGCTCCCCTCCTATCCAACCAAGACGGCAAATTAAAGAGACAAGTCTCATCCGCACTAGGCCAAATCGCCAAACACACTGTCGATCTAGCTGAAACGGTGGTCGATGGAGAAATCTTCCCAACCGTGTTGCTGTGCTTGAGAGATCCAGAACCGTTCGTGAGGAAGAATGCTGCGACGTTGATTTGTGAGGTTGCTAAACATACTGCTGAGGTACGAAACCACAAAACGAAGGTGGTAGCTAGAACCTGTGATGGGTATAGATACTAACGTATCACTTCGTTTAATAACATAGCTCTCACAATTAATTGTAAACTCGGGAGGTATCGCTGCCGTAGTCGACTATGTCAACGAAGCCCGTGGACCAGCTCGATTGCCTGGAATCATGTGTTTGGGATACATTTCAGCCTTTTCAGAGACTCTTGCATTATCTGTTGTTGTGGCCCGTGGTGTTCCTCCACTGGCTCAGGCATTGACTCAAGAAAGTGAAGAGCACATCAAGGTTTGTATAACTCTCGAAAAGTTTATATTCGTCAGAAAAAACTTGGAGCCGAAATACTATATATTAATGAAATAATATTTTTCTTCAGGCGGCATGCGCATGGTCCCTCGGCCAAATCGGACGCCACTCACCCGACCACGCCAAAGTCCTCGCCGACAATGCAATCCTCTTGAAACTCTTAAAAACAATGACTGCATCAGCTCCCGAATCTGACCTCCACGCCAAATGCAAACGAGCCTTGAAATGCATCCTTGAAAAAACCCTTGTACTGGACGCCCTCGAACCATTACTAAACCCAACAACCCCAGCATCCATTTTGAAATACGTTGCTGCACAATTCGCAAAGATTTTGCCTCACGATGTGTCTGCTCGTCGATGGTTTGTTACGAGTGGATGTTTGCAGCGTGTGCAGGAGATTGCGGCTAGCTTTGGTGGTGGGTTGGCTAGTGTTGTTGGTGGTGGTAACAAGAAGGTTGAGGTTGGATTTGGAGCTGCTGCTGCGGCTGTTGAGGGTGGTGTTGCTGCTACGGGATTGATTGGGACCAAGATGGGAGAGCATATTAGAGCTATTAATGAGTGCTTCCCTGAAGAGATTATCAAGTACTATTCGCCATCGTATGGAAATACTTTATTGGAAAAGGTATGAGGATATATGTGTTGTTTTCAGTCCTTTGATTGTCTAGTCCTGATATGGCCATTTTTTTAGTTGGATGCCTTTGGCAAGAATGACGATGTACCAGTCGGAAAGTCAAATCTACCCAAACTGCCATCAAAGGACCTGCTCACCCAGTAGAAAACGAGAACTATAGAAGCACTTTTAACACACCTGTTCATATTATTCGCCTGGTCTCAAGATTCCAAAAAATGTATTTTATTAACTGATCCACAGTTGGTTGTTTCGAATTCCTTGTTGTTACATGACGGCTTAATTATTCTCGAACTGATAAACGAGAAAAGAGTTGCAGATACTTGGTTTCTTGAGAATGAAGAGAGTTCTCCACTTGATGTAAAACACCATCCAGCATTGATGTGACTGATTGAGCAGCCAGTGATTTGATTTCGTCTTCGGTTAGAGGACTCAATGGGTTTGATGCTGGGATATAGAACGGCCAAAAAAATCAGACCATAGCCTGGTAGTGGGACGAATTCAGATTCAAGAAGCACTATACCTTGAGCTAATCTCTCTTCCTCCTCCTTCTTCTCCCGTTCCAACCGTTCAGCCTCTTCAACTTTGCGTTTACGTTCCTGCTCTACGTTATGTTCTTCCAGCGTGATCGCTTGATTTAAAGGTGGTAGTGGAGCTTGAAGTCGTATTGGTAGGACTGTTTGTATAGTCTGCACTTCCTGTTCTGTTGATAGCACATATCGATATAGCCGGAAGTGTTGAAACACGCTAGATTCGGGAGTTGTGATTAGAGTGTGGGATTAAAGAGAAAATCCGCTGATGTTACCTTGAGAGAACAAACTGCGTTATTGTTTCCAATTCCTGGTAGTTGAAGGTCGATGTTGAAGTTAAGCTGACTGCCATGGCACGGAAGATGTGGACTGTTCGTTCAACTGTGTATCCTTTATCTGTAAGTGGAAAAGCGTCAAAGTTGTTGTATCGTCCTACGGAGCAAGATAACGAACGGTACCTATACACTTGTCCAGTAACCCTTTCATCAGTGTAAAGAATAAGGATGTTTGTGGATCGGAGAATGAGTTTTCTCGTGCAAACCTAATAGAGTTTTCGTCTCAGCTCCGTAATTGTGATAGGTCTGTGCAGTCTTTGCTCACATGTATGCTTGATGACAATATGAGACACGTATGTTTGATTTTAGATCGTCCTTCCAGTTAGCAGTCGATACCAGCGATGCCATTTTGCTATTAACGGTTTAAAGTGTGTGAGTTTCTTGTTTAGGAGACAAATGATTCGCGACCTCATACCCAACACAGTCATCAATGTCAAGAGAGTTAAGTTCTCTTATAACATCTGGCATTAATGCCGATGCAGCTAGTATAGCTGTCGCCTCCTTAGCATCTGCCTACATATATAACCAGTTGTCAACACGTCAAACCAAATGTTGCATTAAAAGTAGTTCTACAGTAGATGCGGCTCGACTACAATAACAAGGCACCATGTAAATGCCACATACCTCATGATCCACATCGTTCCAGCCTAAGGAGATACCAGCCGATGACGGTTTCTTCTTGTTTGATAAATTGTCGTTTGAACCGATTACTGTCGAACTCTGCTGCTGTCCTTTGCCACGAGATACGGGACGACCTGATACGGAAGGAGGTCGCTTTGGAGTTGTAGCTCGCTGGACTGTGCTGACTCGACTTGCCATTATTGTCTTGTAAGCGGATTTGTGTGTTGAATGTCGTGTTGTTTGCGAGGATGTATTCGAGTAGAATTTTGTTGAATTACGAGATTATTTGAACAAATCGATTCTACAGTAGATGGTCCCCAGACGTCTCTCTCCTTGCCAGCTCTAACGCAACATCATGACCACATCGCATATTGGCCGTGATCTAAACACGTGGAAGGTGCTTTTCATATTAGCTTGCATTATACCACATATCGCCAGTCAAAAAGGTCCTCAACCTCCCTCATCAAACACATATCTCGTCGGTGACTTCCAAGGACTCATTCAAACTGCCGCCAACCCAAATATTTCTACGTATATCCGCTCGGGATCTGACGGTCTACCTCGAATTATAACATGGGATACTGCGTCAACTCAAGCTTGTAATCTTGTGGAAACTCTCTCTGGGGTATCTAACAGCCAATGTACCCTAAACGGATTGATCTACTTTGGCGGAGACTCGTTGATGCCAACAAATTCAACTCGTTCTCCTGTAATAAGAGTCGATCTAATTGGTACCATGCGTGTTGAACCCGTTGGTACCAACCTGCAAGGAACCGTTAATGCCATGCTATGTGATGAAAGCAGTGGGAACGTCTATGTGGGAGGCTCTTTTCTCATATTAGCGGCTGACGGAAGCATCTCTAAAGCTCACTTGGCGGTGTGGAATCAAGCTGCGTGGCAAGCTGTTGGGACGGATGTTAATGATGCAGTTCAAACGTTGGTGTCGGCCTCACAAACGTCTATATTGGTTGGTGGTGATTTTTCTGGAAGTGGTGCCAGTGACAATGTTCAAGTCGCTTATGCCTCTGTAAGTTGTCGACATCCGTTAAATAAGCATATACCGTTTGAAGCAAATCTCAGTTTTCTGGAAACTAGGTGACACCATCAAAAGGAACCACTAGTGTATCCAACCTCATGTGTGGCAGTAATGGTGGCTGGGTGTTCACTGGAAGCTCTGCAAGTCTTCTCGTAAACTTGTTTGGATCGATGTCGATATCAGCATTGAACCTCGCCTCTGCAAAAGATTCCATGAATTTTAGGTTTGTGCAGACCATCTAGATCTGATTTTCTGCAACTTTACTCATCCCACACTTACATTCATGTTCTCTAATCAGTGTCTCGGTTGGAGGCACCCTAGTGTCTCTAGTCTACAGCCCAGACGGCACCAATCTAGTTGAATGTACGATTTGTCCACTCCAAGCCGGGCCCCACATTCAGACATTCTATTTCAAAAACTCCAGGACATTGATTCCAAGTCTGACATTCAACGTCATAACTACTACTGGAGGACTTCAAGGTCTTTCGTTACTCTCGCTCTACAGTAATGACCTAACAACGTTCGCTTCAAGTGCTCTATCACAACCCTTATCTTGCAATGCCCAAGTCGGTCAATCAAGTATACAAGGCCCTTGGGCTAGTAGTATAGAAGGCATCCAAACCAACGCCACCACGTCGTTAGTCACATTTATACCCGTTATTCCATCCGCTGGTCAATATAAAGTACTGCTATCGCTGCCCGACTGTGCGGCTTGCTTCAATACGCAGCCATCCATACAAGTTACAGTCAATTTGAATGGCACCGTATATCTGTCTTCGATGCTAGTGAACTCTACGAAATCGCAACCAGAGATTTATGCGGGAAGCTTGGAACCATCTCAGTCTGGCTTTGTGCCATCAGTAGAACTCCAGCTCGTTAGTCAGGGATCGTTGCTTATCACGAGTTTGGTATTGGTCAAGATCCCTGCTGTTGTCTATAATGGAGTTACGGTTCTCTCTACGACCTCGTCCACCCTTTCCGCATTTGGCAAGTACTTTGATATTCAATTATGAATACACGATACTAATAGGCGTTTCACACAGGCACACCGGCTGCTGGTACAGGATCCACTATCACTGCAATCGCTGTTTCTGGATCAACGTTTGCAATAGGCGGCAATCTGAAATCCGGTGCCACTTTCAGTGCTCTCGCAATCGTATCTCCAGCCATGACCATCTACCTGCCTGCACAGTCTGTCTCAGAAATCTTAGCATTTGAAGACACATTTCTAGTGGCAGGAGCTTTCAATATGACTCAATATGGAATTGGTGTCTACAATATCACGACGTCCTCATGGAAGTTTATGAATCTGTATTATACAAGTGGGAGTCTGAGAATGTCACTCTCAACGGGTAGCAATTCAATGCTTCGGGTATGGAATCCATTCAACACACCAGAGTATGCAGGTGTAACGACGGCATATCAATTACAAGGAAACCGGTGGAGTCGCATAATGGGTAGCGAATTCATTACTGGAAACGTGATGAGTCTTGTGTCAGTCCCCAACAGCACTCTCCAAATGGCGATAGGTCAATTCACATCATGTGCACCAGTAATTGCAACAAACGCATTTCCACTCTCCAACGATCTCTCATTTGGCTCTGTCAGTGGGCCACAGTCGATGTATATGTCAGGAAGAATTGTGTCTGCTGCATTTGCACCGAATGGACAACAAATATGGGCTAGTGGGTCATTTACAGTGAATAATAGTAACATTAGTAATGTCGCTTCGTGGGATACGAAACATCAGCAATACGTGTCTCCTGGATTTACGTTAAATGGGATGGCATACGCTGTGTTTGTGTCTGATGATGGTGTAGTATGGCTTGGTGGTAAATTCTCATCTGCTGCCTACAATGGCACCGTTAAATTGTTGCATGGATTTGCCATCTGGAATTCTAATGTCGCGAGCTTTGTGGATACAACGTTGAACTTTGGTATGCCTTACGGATACGACTTATTTTTGGCGAACATCATTCTAACTGAAGAACTTGTACGTAGTCACGACGGGTAGCATCCCGTTTGTTTCGTTAATTCAAGGTTACGGTCCATTAATGTTGGTTGCTGGATCTTTTGATACACTGGATGGATCAGGGTGCTCCAATGCTTGTCTATTCGACTTACGAGTCTCTCAATGGCGTTCTTTGGGTGGACCTGTAACTCCACGTGTATTGGCATCTGCTCTAACGCAGGTACCATTAAATTTCCAAACACAAATTCTGCAGACGAGTCTAACTTCAAACAAATCAAAACCTCACAGAACAATCTGCTCGTCCTTGGTGGTGACAACTTCCAAGTCTTCAATTTGTCTGATCCCCAGTTCTCACAAGTCCCATACTCCTCAACGATCCCTCTGCCCGTAACATCACTAATGTCTGACTCCACAAACGGACTTGTCATCGTTGGAGCTTCATCTTTAACAAACTCATACGTATTATACTTGCCAAGCCTCGAAAACACTACACAGCCTGTAAAAATCCCATCACCACCAGGCTTCATAAACGCAATACTCCAATGGAACCAGACAACGATTATGGCCGCAGGCAAGTTCGGTAGTCCGGGAGTCAACGACTCGACAGTAGTCGTATATGAAAACCAAACTTGGACACCCATTCTTACCACAAATGCTAAAGACGCTACTTCTGGAACCGGATATGGGCTTATACGACCTTTTGTGAATGTGACGTTGTCAATACCACTACCAGTTTCGAATTCAAGCGGTGTGGCAGGACTACCAGTATATGGAACTGTTTTAATAACGCTATGTGTTGTGTCGCTGCTTGGTGGTTTGATTGTATCGTATCGAAGGAAGGCATTCGGGTGGGTTTGGAAGGAGGAAGGTTCAAGGGAGTCTTTGGATCCAGAGGAAGGGATCGAGTCTAAAAGGTCGTCAAGGTCGTATCGATCTTTCTTGGCTGAGGACGTGAGTCCGATTGTGCCAGTCCGCGAGGAAGTAAACATGAGTAATTCAATCAACGAAAAAGAGCGTCAGGCTCAACGGGAAATATAAATTAGGCTCAACTAATTGTAATATAGAAAGTAGTTGAAAGTTCAGCAATAGACAAATACTTCATCGCAAGACTTCGATCCAGTTATAATCTTTCCAAGAACCAAATTGCGAGCATTCATAAGGTTTCTGGTATGTAATTATATTCGTCACACTCACAAACCACCGAACATCATAGCAATGCAGTTTTATAATCTAAGTTTGGACCTAGCCGGTACCTCAATCCATAATCCAGTCCCCTTACAAATCACTTTTCCAGTTACTCGATCTATAGCACTACCTTCTCCAAAGGCCTTCTTCCCATCCGTTCTAATTTGCCGTCCTGATAGTTCTATAAGTCCAGGAGCCTCACATGGTTCAAACTCCATATCTAAAGCAGCTGTTACATACGATCGTTGTTTGGTATCAGTTTGTGCATGGCTCATGACGTGGTCTACGAAAGAAGAGAGCGTGTAAGGACATGCAAATATTGAGCTTCAATGCCAAAGACTGTGATAGGTATACCCATGAGTCCCCAAATAGCGCCAGGATGACAAACACCAGAATCCGGTTCACCAACTTGTAGCAGAGGTCCCTAACAAACAAAAGTTGTTGGACTTATAATAGTTCACCACAAAGCTCAAACGTCCCACATACCAACTGCACAACAGTACTCATCTCTCTCTTTTCTTGCGAATGCAGCTCTCTAAATCTCACCATCTTATCCTTCCCAAAGAAACTCCTCCACATATACGTATGCATCGTAGACCCCTCATGCAGCAAATGCTGCGGCCCACCCATATGCCCTCCAACATCAATCTGGCACTCAAATGTCGAGTCGGGGCAATGCGTATCTGGAAAGTCCGGTATGTGATGCTTTACATGGGTCTTTTCGACATTGATCATGACTCCACGGAAGGCAACAAAGATGGTCTTGTCTCTGTAAATCTGTCCCTCGACGTGCATTTCGGTGTTTGCTGACTTGACGACACGACACGTAGATAGGAAGGAGGATTTGGCCAGGATTGGAGCCTTAAAGTCGACGTGTAAGGTCTTTAGCGTCCAGTTCGATGATGATACTACAGTTTTGGCGGTGTCGAGCATGCATTGGGAGACGAGCCCGCCACAGACTCCACCGTGCATGAGTGCTAAAAGAATTTAAATACTCAGAGCTGCTAACCCCAATATCTTGATCGCAATGTTTGATGTACACACATGGATGTGAGCATAGTCTATCAAAATACGTTTGATCAGCACATTTTCAAGGCAGGACTACTCAATTCAAACGTAGAACGACTCATACATACCCATCTCCAATCCTAATAACGGTTACTAGCCGCTGTTCGTGCTGACTAAAGAATTGATCAAACTGCTCGATACGTGTTTTGCCACCGAGAGTAGTGAAGATGTATGCATCATGGCCTGTCGGTCTTGGTGCAATCCTTTTGAAGGTGCTACTGGACTCGAACTCTGCGCTCAAGCTCATTGTTGATCTGGTTGAATGGAAGTCGCAGAATGATGTCACACACTTCGAGAACGCCTTTATCACTTCATCACGAAAGCAAGCACGAAAGCAACGACAAAAAAGCCTATTTTTCTTGTCAAATCTCTTTTTATTTCGGTTAGAACGTGACTAGAAGGGACATCGGGTGTTAGTATCGAACTCTTTAACAAGAATGCAATCGAACAATAATGCAATCGTGCGATATCAAAGTGGCAACCAGCACTGGATGCCTGTTTGTGGTTTTGCAATTTTTTCCCATGGCATACATAATGTTGTTGTTTCTCTGTAGAACGAGCCGAAGTACAGAAGATGTGATCTGTATGAGCACCCCGACGCGATATTTTTCATTTCAAGTCTTTCCTTGCTTGAAAACTGAATAATCATCACCAAAGTGTTCAACAAGATCGTAACTTGAGTCAAGGTTTCGTTAGTTTTTGCTATGTAAGACAGGGCTCGACATATCGGATCCACTCCACGCTACGTCGATATATTTCGATGTCAGATTCTTCGTCGTGCTAGCCTACCCTTGGGTTAGAAAAAATACGTCAGTAGCAAACGCCTTTCTCACGAAACACGAAACTAAACCAGTCTTTCTGAATGATTCCTTTTTATTCTTTGGTAGCATAGCACCAATATGCCACATTGATCTCTTTTTAAAAAGCACACCATCACCAGTTTGATATTTGCAAATGGGTCGTCGTTTTGCGTTTCTTTTGACTGGTTGCTCAATCTTCTTCTTCGTTTCGTGAACGAATTCTTTCCTTCCATTTTTTTCATTAGTTATTTCCTTCTTCTTTTGTCATATCTACATTCCTCCTAAAAACCTGTGGGTGTAACATTTAAACAATCACAGTTTGATCTCCATATCCAACACCACATTTCACTTACATGAACGAAGCACAAAGCAAGGCGTAAAAACCAATCCAAAGAGGTGACTAGATCTTCAGAACCGACAAAAGTCGAAACCACAAGTATCATTGCTTACCTACATCAACATATCTACAACTGCAAACCCTCGACCCCCTTCCACGTTTGAAACTAGCAAATACATCTGATAAGGAAACTCATAATCACAGTTCTGAAAGTGCCGAGTATTCCCGCACCTCCTTCCATGTTGCAGACTCAGGGTGAAGATATGATCGAGCCTTGCTAAGCAAATGCTTGACGGTCGGTTCATTGCCAGTCATGAATTCAAAAGCCAGAACCCTAAGTAAGGAAGATTACAATCCAATGAGCCCCATTTCTCCCCCAAAAACACAAGATGGCGACTTCAACTTACAGCTTCCACAACCTATCAGTCCTTGGTGCATCTTGCAAGCACAGATGTAGAATGCTGCGAGCCGCTTGTAGATCTCCAGCATCATATAGCATCTTGACGAAACTAGGTACCCATATTTTCTTGTCTTGGCCAAACTTGAAACGCAAGAAACAAAAACGCGAACGTGAATACCTGACAGATTTAGCTACATCGGGCATAGCTTCATCAATAACTCGCAACATTCCAAGACGCTTGTCAGCTGGTAACGATTCCAAACCAGCAGCCATGATGCGTCGTCGAAAGTCCGGTATCGCCAATGGCAGATTCATGGATAAATCGGATTCGTTTTCAGCACCAGCACCATACACGTGTCTTGACAAAGTTGCTGGCATGTCTTGAAGTGCTCGTCCCAATGCAGTGGTGACGGCTTTCACGGGATCACTTTGGGAGTGCGATTCATGCGAGATTATTCTATGGAGTGTAAGAAAGAGAATGGGAGTTAGATGGTCTACCATTCACTTCATATGTGCATGCAAAACGATTCAAAACCACAGCAACATACTCAGTCCAAAGGATGCACCTCTCAGCTCTATCCACAACTTGCGCCAATGCATCTTGCAAAAATTCATTGGTTTTCGGTAATTCCGATCCATCCAGACTCAAATTGTAAAGCATCAAAAAGTTGAGCCATGCGAAAAGGTCAGACTTGGTAGCAACACGAGAAATTTCCTGTCGAAGGGAAATCTCCACCGTCGATTGAAAAGTAATTCCCAATAATGTACAGTACACATTCAATGCCATTTCAGCTGGAACTTGAGCAATTGCTCGCGATTCAAAAGGACCATCAACTTGATAGACGGCCTATTCGAGAAGGGAAAAGGTTCAACAGTATATGAGCGTCAAAAGTATAATGGAAAACTAGGTGACTGGTATTTTCACCTTGGAAGACGGGGCTACATAAGCAGCAGCACCATTGATCAAGGCACGCATAGCTTCCAAGACATTATTACTATCTACATGCAAACGAGCCAACCGATTCCATAAAGCCGGTGCCGGTAACTGACTTGCCAAGGTTTCCACCATGCTTACTGCAACATCATAATCTTCTTCACCCGTCTAACAGGAATTAATGAAACATGTAAGCATAAAAACAATACTTGGAATACTGTAGCTTACCAAAACAGTAACAAACAGGTCTGCAAGCTCTGGAAATTCTATGTCCCGTTCTCCACCGATTTCTTCCATAATTTGGGATATATGACGATTACGATGCCTTAGCAATGCCACATAATTATATCTTAGTGCTACATATGGATGTCTATTTTCCATCTGGACTAGTGGCCGACATTCTGTAACGACAATTCTCAACAAGTCCTCAATCAAGTCGACGGGAGCATTGGCTGGCACAGAGGCAGACGACCAGTCTATCACAAAATAAAAATCCTTTCGTATGACATAGTCATATGGATACGGGTGGAAGAGGGCACTCGGAAGATCACCAAAATATAACAAATGTAGCAGGAAGAGCCAGCAATAGCTGAGATCCTTAAACGACAACCATCGACTTGCTACACTAGATGATATAGACGTTGGTAATGGTAATGGGAGCGATGAGTGGAGCGACTCAAAGTCCATCTCATATGACAGGATGGAGGCGACTGACGACTCGGTCAAGAATCGATGCAACCAGGCCGCTGCGTCACCCTCTCGTCCAGACTGGATACAATTCTGAGCACGCTGTATAACGATATCGAGTATGATTTGAGAACGATCCTCTTCATCTGGATTGTTGAGGATACAAGTGAGTCAGCGGGGAGCAAAAGGACTGGGATCTGTAAGTCCAAACACACCGAGCGAAGCATAGTGCTTGTCACCAAAGTCCTTGAGCATGAGTCTCAAAACATTCTCACAATCAGCCTTATCTCTAGCCCACATATACCATCTCCAATATATACGTGTAGAGTTTGCACCTAATGTCTGTACAGCCTTTTGACACATGGTTCTAAACTCCTTGTCAGCACCTTTACGTGATAATAATTCGAGATATAAATTCCATAGGAGTTCACTATTTTGGTTGCCTTTGATCTCAAGAGCTCGTGTCAATACATTTAATGCCTTGGTGAGCTTGATGGAGGCACCGTCCAATGAGTCGATATTGAGGTCATTCGGTATCATAGCACCAGCGTACTCCATCCATAACGATACATTAGTCGGATTGGCATCCAATCGAGTTTTATAATCGTTCTCAAGCAGCGGTGTATCGTAGTAGCGACCAGAGCCCAACGCTTCCGCACCAAACAGCTTTTTAAGACCAGTGTTGAATACGGGAAGTCGTGGTGGTAGGTTGATCGAGGCACCAGCCGTCGTCTTGGCTACTGTGCTATGAATTCTGGCAGCATCTGGAATCACGGCAGTTGCGAAATGTGCGGTTGTTGCCTACAAGATCCGATTGTAAGTCAGTTGAAAATCAAAACGTTTTAGTCCAGGAAAGAAGCCTGCAAGATTGCTTACCATTTCAGTATCACTTGTGAGCTTATGGACTAGAGATGGTGCAGCGATAGACGATGTCTGAGTCAAATGGCCACTCAAGACATGGAACGGCACTGTGTTATCTACCAGAGATAGCTTCAAGAGCTCCTCAAAGCGAGTCTTCTCGGTATCTCTTGCAGGGCGTTGACGTTTTGGGTTGGCTGCTTCCTTGGTAGCAGCAGTTCTCTTCAAACTGCTAGAGCCAGTAGACTGAGGTTGTTGTGATGATGACGGTACCGGTGGTTGTGGTGGCGACTTGGCCATTTCCAGAAGTTTGAGGCGGTTGCCATTTATTGCTAACTGCAACGTTTGTCGCTTCGTCATGAGAGCGACTTCGTCGTTACGTAATGAAATCAGCTGTCTATTCAATTTCTCTTTGATGGCGTCTCCTTCTACCATTTTCGAGCGAAGTTCTGCTTCTTCATTGGCCAACCGTTCCAACTCTGCTGCCAATTCTTGGCGCTTTGATTCTATTCTGCCAAGCTGATCAGACCATTCCGACACGTGAGTAGCATGAGTAGCGAGCTCTGCTTTTGCCTTATTGACAATAACTTGGTATTCAGTACCCTTCTTGGTCAGACCTGCTATTTCCTCTTCTGCATTCGATAATTCCAGTTCGAGTTTCTTGCGAATTACCAATAGATAAGCAGGAGATGCTGAGGCTGACGACTTGGCTGGTGCAACGGCTTTCGTAACCTGGCTAGGAGACGAAAGTTTACTACTATGACCAGGAGGCACGGGCTTGTCCACGGTCTGATTTATAGGAGGACTGGGAGATGATGCGGATTTATCTGCAGATTTCGATAGTTTTGGTGAGGATGAGAAGACTACGGTATTTAAAGGCGATGACAATGATGCTGCAGTAGCCTCTAGCACTGTGGCTGGTTGGTTTACGGCAGGCTTTTGCGCTACTACTACGACTTCTTGCATAATCTCCTTTACAATGGTCGATGCAACCTCCTTTAAAGCAGAAGGAGACTCTTCTGTCGAGCTATCTGTATCCATGGCATCATCAGTATCTGCCTTTGCGCTTATAGAAGGAGAACCTTCCGGGTCTACTACTGTCTCTACGGTTGTCTTCTTCGTTGTCAAGACTGCTTCACCAACCATACCACCACTCTTGCTAATTATACTATCTTCAGAATCCTTCTTGGAAAGTCTGGTTGCTTTACGAGCTCGAGCATCTTCTAGGGCTTTAATCCTCTGACGCATCATTTCCATTTCACGTTCTGTTTGCGTCAGTTTAACCTGAATCTGCGGATTACTGGCAGTGTTACTATTCATACTATTGCTGGAAGTTGGTTTGCGAGCTGGTGCCTTTACAGATGGTTCCTTGAGTGCTGGAGGGTTGTCACTATCCTCTTCAGAGGAATCGGAGTCACTCAAGTCTAATACATAATTGCCACCTGGCGAAGGGGCTCTATTCCTGCCACCGTAAGTATAGTCATTCATTTGAATTGCTGATGGTCTCGATGGTATAGGCGGGTGGAAACTAGGTGTTGAAGCAATAGGAGGTTGAGGCTTTTGAGTGGCATTGTGTTGAGTAATCTGCTTCCATTGTACTTCCGCTTCTTCGCTATCAATATCCATAATACTATCTTCTCGAGCCTTTGCTGTCGTTGATGTGGTTGTTGTTCCTGTTGCTATCGTTGGAGATTCGTCGTCTAGTATTTCTGTTATTTTTACACCGGATGACTCTAGAGCAAACTGTCCAGCATATTCTTCTCCAAGAGCATTTGGCTGTAAATCATTTATATTTTCTGGTATTGGCCCTCCTGGTTCTTCCAAGGCACCTAAAACTATATCAGCGTCTATGCCAACCCAGTGTGAGATATTCTCAGCAGTCATGGCCCAAGAGCTTGCTAGAGCACGAATAGCTTCACGAGCACCCATAAAAACATCCAAGTCTACCAAGCATACTAAAAGGATAAAGGATTCGGTATTAGACCTGTTAGATACTGGTGCGTTACAATAATGTAAGCACGTACAATCATATTGAGCAGGCGAGTTTCGACCTAGAGATACTAGCTGCGCCAAAACTGGAAAGGCCTCGTAAACAGCATTGATACTATGAGAAGACTGGTGAGCCATATATATTGATACAGAGATTTGAACATGACCGACATACGATGGGTGAGGAGCCATAAACCCATTGTTTGGTTGAGGAAACATGGGAGTTGGAAGTTTAGTGTGGAATGGCGGATATTGTTGATGAAAGAGTGGTTCAAAAGTAGGAAGATGATGATTTTGTTGTTGATTCTGTCGCTGTTGTTGCTTCTTCGCGTACTTTTTTGAAGCCTTTGAATCCTTTGCTGGGCTCTTTCGTGCTGGAGGAACCACAGCAGCTTTCTGTGGACTCCTTGTGCGAGGAGGTGGAGGCGACAGTCGCTTGATGGGCTCAGACGAATTCTTGCGATCCCCTTTGCGTGGGCTCGTCTTGCCTATATTTTAATGCATGTGGATGTCAATCATCATGAAATGTTGAATGTTTTACAGTTTACAGATAGAGAGCTCATCCAAGTACCCCGGCCACGTGGCGGTAGACCACTAAGACCACGCGAATCCATGTCAGGTCTATAAGAGTCGCTTGGTCCTCTTCCACCTCGAGGTATATCTAATGGAGTCCTTTGCTGCTTGTTCTTATTCAAGGTGGTCCGTCTAATTCCACCACCAGCAGACGTCATTTGTTCGCCTTCATCGCTTATCTCTCCGTCTTCTCTGTCTGCCATTCTAATCAACTGGGTGCTTCCAAGTTTGATGTTGGGATCTGTAGGTTTCGAAGCATGAGGATTTTGATGGTGAGAAAGCCAAAGTCACGTAAGGAAAACAGACTTGTATGTGAACACATATCAAGAAATTCTGTAGATGAAAGAAAACACGTCGAGTTCATATCGGCATCACAGCCGAGGGCGTCAGTCCTTCACCTGAACCGTTTCGTTGAAATTTGAAATTTGATCAAGCCAAGACGAAGAGAATATGGCCTTGCCAGACTCTCTATCGCAGGCTTTCGTCTTTGCACAGAGGCCTGTCAAGGCGCCCGTAGTCAAGGATATTCTCCCTTGCTCTATAGCTTCAGATGAAAACCAAGCGTTCAAGGAAGCTATCATCATCAAGGTTGCTACTTAACAGAGATTTTGATTTCATGTACAAGATCTGAAAGCGTATTTATGTAGGAAAACTTATTGGAACTCGTCATTTACGAAGTAGCAACGTGTCAATGGAGAACAGTCTTGCAGCAGCCAACATTTGGAAACATTTGCGATTGCTCTATCTTGCATCGAACAACATTCATACCCACTGCTACCACAACTTCACATAACACCACTGCTCAGAACGTCGTGGATTTGACGCTATCTGACAGGGAAGAGCAAACCTCTAGGTTTAGATCTATTCAAGGCGACGATATCCTGGTCTGTTTGTCTGATTCTGGAAAGCTCTCTTTCCTTGCTTTTGTCAAGTACGGAGATGATGTAGAAACCACTGCTCCTGGAAGATTTTTTCCTGTCTTTGAGGTTTGCTTGTTGAAAGAGGCTAGCTTTGTCTTCACTTGTTAAGTAACGTGTTTTCCCAACTAAGGTGACCGTTTCGAATCCTGGCTGGGATTATATAAATGCGAGGAGCTTCCTAGCCGTCGACCCATTGTAGCATCTTAATGGTGTTGGACCGAGTTTGACGGAATGTTGACAGACTCTTTTGCCATAGATCACGATCAATCGCTGTGGCTGCTCACCAAGACTCATTTGATATATTTCCAGTTCTGTCGGTATCCACGGAACTGAATGTGGAGATCCTTGGTCCAGTAAGATTCAAATACAAACCAAGAAAGGCCGTTGTTTTTAATCACTCGTGTTGGTTGTAGAAAATACCATTGGTAGAAGATGGCTTTATAACAGCAATGGCATTCTTGTATCCCGATGGTGATAATTTAGACAGGATACGCTTGTCATTGGCGGTCTCCAAGTGCGTAATCTGAGATTATTTTCTTTATTGAGCTTACGGCGGTTTCATTACGGAACAGGGATCAAAATCTCAAAATTATGATCTATGAATATCACCGAGATGATATAAGAAGCACCATCAGAAAGCTAGAGCCGTTGGATATGGAGAAAAGTATGATCTTTGAAATGTGCATTGCGCCCCAAAAAGACGACAATTAATCAGGGACAATTAGCCACATGTTTGCATATTATTTCCTTGCCCCTTTATCCTGAATCGATGGTGCTTGTCACGGTATGCTCGATCCAACACTTGTCTTGACACGTCGTCTTACAATTGACATATTTAGGAAACTGAACTGGTATTGATACATGTTAGAGACACCATTCTGGCGACCACAAGACTATCGATACCGCAGAACGGCAACGAAAGTGTGTGCTTTTTGTTTTGCGTCAGAGCCATCACGATTCGCGATACTAAACGTGCAGTCGATTCCTTTACAAAGGTTGTTTGGTATCTGCCATTGCGCTACCAAGTGATCTGCCAGAGTACCTGGCGCTTCACTCTTCCGAAATAACACACCAGACGTTGTACCTCAATTGTGATAATGGCACACTTCATCGTGCCAACATCACCGTTGCACCTGCTCATCTATCACTCGATTTCATGGGCAAGAGAATAGGAACCAGTGCTATGGCTGTATTAGATGTAGGCCATCAAGATTCAGATGTTCTCGCTTTGGCAGGGCAAACAGGAGATGGAGAGATCATATCTTGCTTTTACGAGGTAGCGTCTCACGAGTGAATGTTTTTGGTTGTGACAAGTCTCGTTCTGGTTTACGACCCAAATACACCGTTAGCCCGGTGAACCGATCATCAGGCATATGATAATATCATGCTGGGCACCAGTACTAGATTTCAAACTGGTTGATTTATATAATGAAGGCAGAGATGCTAGTTTCAGTACATCAGGAATGGGATCTTCGAGTTGCATACGAGAAGCAAGACATGGAGTCGGCGTTATTGTTGATGGTCTCAGTAACGATTTTGCTGGCGTTACTGGATTATGGGCTCTCGATGTGAAGCAAGATCAAAGTATTCTTGTCGTGTCGTTTGTGGAAGAGACCCGAGTCCTGTCTTTATCTGGTAAGAATACATGCCTTCTTTTTGCTCTGAACAAGCTGTCTCACCGTCAGTATGATAATGCAGAGGGTGACATTGAAGATATCAGTGAAGGGAGTGGTCTGGTCGTGACAAATCCAACGTTGGCTGCTGGTGTAGCAGGAAACCTCGCTATTCAAATACATAGAGATGGGGTTGTAGTAGCAAATCCATTATCAGGCGTTGGGTACGATATGGACATTCAAGGTATTTATGTTCGGTAAAGTCATTCCTCTATTCATTCGTAAATTAATTGATTTTTACATGCTGTAGCACCCGCTTTTTGGCAATCTGGAAATAGCTGTCATGTCATATGTGGTGCTACAAAGGAATCTACAATTTTGCTTGGGTTGTCAAAGGACAATCTGGTTGTGTTGTTGACGATTGGGATTGACAGGTGAAGACTCGTTCCAGTTTTGTCATCGAATTTGATATATTGACACATGTCACTACAGTCATGGTCTCTCAATGAACGAGTTGAGCCGCATTTCTCTCGATGCAGAAACCACTGCCATGTATCTGCCTTCTCATCCAACTCTTCCGTAAGAAGTTTGCAAGTGTGGTAGCGATCATTTTTTATTTCACACTTCAGATATTGTAGAACACCTTTTGCTATTGTTGGAACACACATGGCTGATGCACGCATTCTGTCTCTGCCTGGCCTTCAAGTCGTGTATACACAATCCTTTGGTGAGTGTGATTCGTAGTTGTTGCCTATTTTTTTTGGTTAAAACCTTTTCACGTAGATACCCCGAATGCTGAATCCGGCGATGGATTAAATATACCTCAATCATTCCTGCTTTTGTCGTCTAGCACAACGACAGCCCTTCTTACAAGTGAGTTTGAGGTTAAAAAGTCTTTGTCTCGCGGCAAGAACGCTGACGCTTGTTCATCCCCAACAGCTTTACGTGATGGCAGCCTCCTCTCACAACCATGGGACATATCCACTTTACCGTCCATAAAACCCACAAGATATTCGTTAGGAGCATTTCCGGCACGTTTGATTCCAACATCCCTGGCTTCATCGTGTCTAGTCCTTTCAGACAGACCTTGGCGTCTCGATTTATCATCCATGCAGCTTGCAACTGCTACCATAAAACTGCACCCACTGCTTTTTGAACCAGTAGTGATGGCTGCGGCTTATGGGCTTCAGAACTCTTCTACTGAGAGCTTTGCGTTCTTGGAACCTAATGGCAATCTCAGTTTTGTGAGGCTCGGTGGTGTGGGATACCGATTTAGGAGTATTGCTGTTAACGAGGTAAATGAGCTTTTCATCGCATTTGTCTGAATCATACCTGATCCTCATGCCTTTTTTTTGTGCCTTACAAACAGACACCACGTCGTGTTTTGTATGATAAGACTACTTCCAAATTGCTAGTAGCCACTACAGGAAAAGTCTCTGGTGGTGTGCAGACGGAAATCAAATTGGTTGATCCGAGAACGTATGTGTTTGAGATCAGATAACCACAGGTAACTTCGTTTTGCCTGACTATCTTTTCAAATATAGAGATCGAATCTATTTCAAGGAGCCATTGAGAAAGGGAGAGATTTGCTATGCTCTGAATGGTAAATGATTCACTCCAGTACTGCGTTTTTTGCAACACCTTTCGACATCAAAATCTTAATAGAATGGCCCGTCAAAGAAGAGAAACGATACGTTTGTGTTGGAACTGGTGGTTTTCAGGATCAAGCTGGTGGTGATATGAAGGGACGAGTGCTGATATACAATCTCAAGTTACATACCGACAGAGCTGAGGTAATGTCTGAACCTCTGCTCGGTTTTTGTGAGGTTATTAATATCTACTTGTTGATTCGTTTGCATTGCACGATAGGTCAAGACTGAGCAATACAAGATGAGAAAACTTGGAGAATTTCATACGAAGAGTGAAGTGGTGGCCATTACACCGTTTATGAGAAGGTGTTCGTTGAGCTTACTGTGTTTGCGATCGTTTTGGTTGCTAATGTCTGTTTGTCACCTCAGCTACTTATTGGCTGCCTCTGGTAACACGGTCTATCTGCTAAAGATTGACGCCAGCACTAGGACGTACGTGCGGTCTCAACCGATGCGTCATGGTTGCAGCTGACAAGCACCACACTTAGAATTGTATCTGGAGCTCAAGCTGAAGTGCGATGGAAGATTCAATCGCTTGAGACGAATGGTTGGAAGGTCATTGTTGGCGCTCAAAAGGAGTCTGTAACTGTTTTTCAATATGATTCTACCAAGAGAGCGTTTGAATTAGTTTCCAGGTATGAGGTAGTGTATTTGACATAGCGAAAACGATGTAACTCGTAATTCCAATCTAAAGTGACTACTACACACGATCGGCATCCGATAATGTCTGGATTGATGAGAACTTGGTCATTTGTACAGACAAGTCTCGAAATATGTATATTGTTAGTGCAGAAACTAGTAAGTAAACTCTGTACTAGTTTCATGAACGGCAAAAAATACCGAATCAATCTTTGCATTGCCCTCATAGGAGCGGAAAAGACTCTACGCACCATCGCCAGTTTCCATACTGGAGATTACATACTACGTCTCCAATACGGGAACCTCTCGTCTGCACCACCAGCCATTGATATAAGTGGAACGAATTCAGCTGGAATAGGCCGAGCGATTCCACCCGACATTCTTGTTCCATGGAAATCAGACAGTACTGATATTTTAAACATGTTTTCCTCAAAACCAAGCAGGGCAGATCCATGGAATCGTGATGCGTTTTATGGATGGAGTGTATCTGGGAGTTTATGGGTGTTTGAGAGGATTGGAGAGATTGTGTATTTGATTCTATCGGTTTTGGAAGAGGTTATGAGGGAGTGGGTGTCTGTGAGACCTGTTCTTGGTAAGGCGCGGATGGTGTGATTGTGATAAAGTAGCACGAACATTGTCATCATTGCATTACATGCTTAAACTCATTCACTTTCCTCTTGTTGTTATAGGCCACAACCAAGCATTATACAGATCGATGACCCACTCATCCCGAAACACGATCGACGGTGAATACGTATCCCAATTCTTGGATTTACCAACCCATGAACGAGCCGGTATAATGACCCAATGGCATATACAGTGGCAAAAGAAGCTCAACAGTATTGATGGAACACCAACAATGATTCGAGGCAGGGCTTCAGAGTATATCAGTCTAGACCTCTTGCCTTCATTACGAGACATGTCTGGAATGGACTCGGATAGTATGTCTCATGTTTTGAAATTGCTAAATAGAATATGAAGCATTTACTCGCAAATTGCGTGTGTTGAGTTATTCTCCAGTTTCCTTCTGAGGGCTATTTGCATGTGCCATTGCGGCGCCCATTGATCTGGTAGAGTATCTGAGAGCGTATGGTTATTTGAGGGGATTGGAGAGATTGTCTATATGACGCTGTCGGTATTGGAGACTTTATGAGAGTGGGTGTCTGTTAGCAAGAGTGTACACGGGCAAAAAAGAATTCTGAATCACATCGACGGATTGCATCACCTGCACCAACGTATTTGCCCTTTTCTCTTTGTTAATAGGCAGTCTCAAAGCAATCATAACGATCCAAGACATACTCTTCCCAAAATACAATAGACCGTGTATATACATCCCAGTTCTTGCGCTTACTAGCCACTGAACGAGACAGTATTATGATTCAATGGCGGTGTAATGGCGAAAGGAGTCAAACAGGTAGAACAACTAAATTGATTCGAATCATAGTATATCAGTCCGGATATCTGGTCTGGCACGCAACGAATAGCATCTCTCATGTTTTGAAAGTGCTCAATAAAAATATGAAGTGTGTGCAGATCATGCGAGGCTTGAAGAAAATTTGTAAACCTTTGAAAGGATTAAATGAAAAAAAGCAACATCTATATTATCACTCTCTCAGAAGCACGATGCAAATGTTTTGGGTTACAAGATCAGGGGGAAGGCAGCCATTTGGAGTCTTTTTACAGGTATCAAATCACATAAAATCGTCAAAGTCGTCAATGTCTGTTCAGTAAAGCGTAAATTCATTAGTGTTCGATCACATTTCATCATATCGCTTGATCAAGCCTTACTATCATCATAAGCAGTAAGATCCAAATCATCATTCCTCGATGCTTTGGAGGCAGCCAATCGTGGAGCAGCCTTCTTCTTGCCAGGAGCGACAGGTTTCATTGCTTTCTGTCGTTCAGAAGCTAGAGCCGTTAATGTGGTTGCTATCCTCTTGATTTCTGTAGGGTCCATGGATACACACAAGTCTCGAGCCAGGAATTCGACGAATGATGAGTATTGTGCTCGTTTCTGGATTGAAAGAAACGGTGAGTTTTCGCAAAATCCAACCCAAAAAGACATCCGCCACTGCAACATATGTTGTCGAGGATAAATTCGGTACCTCAAACTTGGATATCAGCTTCGTAAGCTCAGTCCTGTACTCCTCAAACTCCTCCTTGCTTTTCGGATCCATTGTTTCTAGTTTGCTTGGAGGAGCTTCCACCACCACTGAGCTTGTAGAACCAAACAAATCTTTGGCATTCTCCAAGTCAGAATCTAAAATTTGCTTTTGTTGTCGTGCCTTCTTCTCTTCTGGTGTTTCATAGTCGTCTTGTATTTCTGCTGTCTATTTGTTGCGAGTTGGATGTGAGCTGTCACGCCTGACGTATGAATGCGACTTTCGCGTTACGTTTTTGGCGGAATCAGCAGCAGCCTGCCGCTTCTTATCCTCTTCTTCCTTTCTAGCAGCAATCTTTTGAGCTAGAGTTTGCTTCTTTTTTGCAGGTGCTGGTGCAGAGGTTGTTGTAGAAGATGGGGATTTTGGCTTTTCTTCTTCATCGTCGTCCCATGATTCCTAAAGCAAATATTCAAAAGGTGTCTTGTCAGTAATGACATGCGCTTTGGGAAGGTAACTTTTTTTTTTATTGCCTTGACGTCTTCATCTTCCACATCCTCGCCTTCCCATTGACTAGGTTTTGCGATAGGTGCTATAGGAGCGATAGCAGGGGCTTCTGCATCTTCATCATCTATGTATTAGATGCTCGTCAGCAAGCTTTAAACGACGAAAAAACTCAACACCACAGGCTGCATGGATAGAAAGACATAACATACCCCAATCTCCCATGATACTCTAATCTGTATATTGAGAATTATAGTGGTAATGCTATTTAGCACTTTCTTCTAAGGAGCTTGCTCTTTGGTGCAGCAGAAACGAGCTTCGTGATTTGTGAGCGATCACATATGGGAAGATGCCATAGAACAGCCGAGAACCACATAACGCGTTTTCAATATATCATGAAGACAGTAGACAGTAAATTAATATTAATAAGGATGCAAGGACGCGTCTCTCTTAAGCGGGCATTCGAAATGTTTGTCAAGGCAATGTCATTGATGCAAAAAAGGGCTCAAGATCGTATTCTACAACGTGATATGCACTCTAAGCTATACAGGTCCTCCCTCCTAACTACTTCTAATAAAACATCACAACTACAATCCGATCTTGATAATCACGGCATAGGTACTACCTTCCCCTTTTCATCCACTACACGTTCAAAGTATTTGGGAACTATAACACCATCCAGACCACGAGACAATATGACATTGTTTGGTGATTTCTCAAACACTATTCCATCTAAACCACGACAAAAAAAGCATTCCAGTACCATGACACAACGAACATTCAACGACATGTTCTTACCCTTCATGGCCGCAGCAACATTGATGTAGATATATACTTCACAATCTTTTCTCATTCCGCTAATGTGACATGCAAGCGTCAGCGTGAAAAGGAGCGACAGCAAGTGACAAAGGTTTACCTTATAACACCATCTTGCCCAAGTAAACCAGGCGACATGTGAATGTGTGTTCTTGCCATTCGTTTCAGCCCAGATTTGGCTATTAGATTGCAGTGTCAGAATATTTTTTTGCCAAGAACTTTCTTGCCACTGAATTGTATCGCTATAGTCACTGTCGTCATACCTATCATGGGCCATTTGCTGTTGAATGTACCATGCACAGCAACAGGTAGATCCTCTGCACTGTGTATGATTTGTAAATCCAGATCTTCAAGCTATGAACAAAAGGTTCAGTCCCACCAGCACATCAACATGCGCCCCATCAGCATTCGGCTTCCACACACAACACTACCAAAAGGTACCTCAATACTCTGTCCTTGATTTGCTTTAATCCAATGTATCACTTGACCATCATCAGCCTGTTCTTCCATGAGGGTAAAGCGTTGCTTGTCATTGTCTCGCACCACAGCTTGCACCTCTTCAAAGGTATAGCCTGTGAATCTCGAGTTTGCCAACTGGGTAATGAATATGATGGAAAAGCCGGTGAGAACACTAGTTGCATCAGAGCAAAACAAGGCACGCCAAATGTACAGGCACACGTACCAGATCAGATACTTTGACAAACCCATCGGAACGGATATCAAATCCTTCCTTGATAGCACCATGTCGTAATATATAGGATAGAGCCTTTGAAAGCTTCTTTGCTCTGTCGTGAGCAGACATTCCAGTTTGATTTTTGGGTCTTGATGCTCTTGATGAGCTGGAGCTTGGCAGCATGCTGTTGCTAGTGCTGATACTAGAGCTACTTGATGCCTGCGGTTGTATGAATACGGGCCTCTGAGATGCCATCGTTTCAATTTGCGTCGGGTTGAGAAAACAAAATCACGTCGAAACTGAGCACGGTTAAACAACAGTTCTGGGCTGTAACGAGGGCCAACCGCCACGTGGTTTCGTGTTTCGAGACACTAAATATATAATGTCCGCCGTGGAGCTTGCGTTTACGTTGAAGCAAAAGCTAAAGATGACCTCTACACGTTTTATTTTTTTTTCGGATTTGTGTTGCTCAAGTCAGACGAATGGGCATTCCAGGATTCTACACCTGGCTAAAGACACTATGTCCGAAGCCATTCACTCGACTGCTACCAGGCACAAAAGCGTAAATAAGATCTACTTTCATCAAGCTAATCCTTCGCAAAAATATCCACATTGGATGATCTCACGTCTTTCTCACAATAGAGACACATCCTCGTCCCCGAAACAAGCATTCGATCATGTCCTAGTCGACTGCAACAACATGATCCATCGAGCTGCGTCCAGTGCAAACACCGATGTCAGAGTCATCCGAGCATTCCATCAAAAACTGCTGATGGAGTTGAGAAAGAACATCATACCTACAAAGTCCCTCTTCTTGGCCATGGACGGACCTGGTCCAATGGCAAAGATCATGGAACAGAGGAGGAGGAGGGTCGATTCTACTAACAGAATGGTAAAGTGTGTTTCAACCTTGTGCCAAAAATTGTTCTCACGCTATGGACATATAGGAGAGACAAACTGAATCAGCCTTTGCACCTGCTAATTTCACGCCTGGGTGTGAATTTATGAACACGTAAGTGCTTGAGCTGCTGTTGGATCACTAAGGCAGCAAAAGTTGACACGAAATCTTGAATCACAGGATGGACAATTACCTAGTCAATTTCGCAGCTCGAGCTTTTGCAATGGACACCTTCAAGCCTCCTCTAGAGCTCACTGTTTCTGGATCTCGGGTGCCTGGTGAAGGAGAGGCAAGTTTCTCATAAAGCGAGATCTGCAAGTGGTTTTGAGGCCTGTTCGTAGTCCTGACACAACGACACCGTATAGCTCAAACTGATACAGGAAGCCAAACATCTGTTAAAAACTCAAGAAAAGGGCGACACGTACTGCTTTGTGACTGCTGATGCTGATATCATTGCTTTATGTAAGTTTGTCTGATTCAAATCGCTTACTCTAGTGAAGCTAAAAAAAACCGTTGTACGACACCATAGCTATGGCAAGCCAACTCCCCGTATTCATCTACAAGTCCCAAACACAAGAAATCCTAGACGTATCCCTCCTCTCAAAATCAATCGCCTCCAAATTCCCAGCAAACGCATTCCCAGACCGCATAGCACGAGACTTTGCCCTCCTAACAGTCTTCTCTGGCGGCGACACAATCCCGAAAATGAGACACGTCTCAATCACGTCGTTATGGAATACCTATGTCGAGTTTCGACAAAAGCACAAAGATTTATATTTATCAACGGATGGAGAACGAGGTGGTATATCCACGAAAGGCTTATACACATTCTGTAAATTGGGGATTGATGAAAACATATTGATGGCGCATGATCCGAGAACCAAGGAACGTAAAAGTATAGAGAATAGTAGTGGTAGTAATGTTCAAGTGGATGAGTGGATAAAGGGGATGGCATGGGTCTTGGATGGTGGGCTGAGAGGAGAGCATTTGGATTATAGCATACTGTATTTGGGGAGGGCGCCGACGCCGACTGATGTCATCAAGTATCTTGAGAGTACTGTTGGTGAAGGTGTTATATCAGTCAAGCAACAGGATGAGGCTGTTATGGCTCCGGATACGAGAGTACCTGCTTTGACACCTGAAATGTGTGCTGCATCGGTAAGTCGTTGTGTGCTTGAATTGCCAGTGGGTTGAAATCACACTTTCCTTCAAAACATCTTTTCTCCTCTGTAGTTACTCCCAGCACGTATGCAAAACTTAATACCCGAGCTCTACAGACCATTATTACATGAAGTTGATGCGGAACTTATTAGAGCCGGTGATGATTCTGTTGCGTGTGCTCAAGGTAATGCAAATCATGACCCGGGTCGCTTCTTTTTGCGCTTGCTCTTCTTATTTATGTCCTTTCTATAGTCATACACAGCATACCATCCCGCCCACTCCCACCAGACACCTCAAAAGTCCCCGGCCGTCTAATCACCGTATCAGGACCACGAGACGATATAAAAGCACATTTGAACTCCTGGCTGCCACATATCAAGGGCTTTTCGTACTTGACGGATCTATCGAAATTCAAAGTATTTTATGCTACACGGTATAATAATAATAGTAATAAGGTTGGTAATTTGGCACACAGGAAGGTAAATAAGGAGAAAGTTAATAGTGTGGGTTTGAAGAAGAAGAGTAAGCCTCATCGTGAGAGTAACAAGATGGCAAAAGCGCCAACACCATCACAACCATCGGTCAAGAAACATCATGTCGCTCCGATGATGTTAGATAGGAAACCTGTAGAACAGACATCACTAGAAGCATGATATTGAGTCGCCCTAGATGTTTTTTGGTCCAGAACGCGCAGTCAATGTAAATATTCAATATAGCAGGAGCATTGGATCAGTTTGCAAGACGTTCATTGAGTGCTGTTCAGCAACAACATTTGTGTTCGTGTAGAAGAGCCACACTTTTTTTTCAGTGTGCTTTTCAGTGTGCAGGCTATTTTCAGAATTTCGAACTATACAACTCGTCAAGAATGGCGCTCAATCCCATGGGATCCGGATCGATCTGGAGAGTCCTCAGTTACTGGATTGGTAAAAGAAATCAGTAAACCAATAAACAAAAAAACCTACGAATAGTCTTCAGTATCGAGCACCTGCACGATGATCCTCGCAGATAAGTGACAGGTCGCATCTGATGATACCAGAAAGCGCAGAAATGTCATTCCTCTATCTTCTCATCTTAAATACGGCCCCTCTGGCATAGCGTTACTTTGGAAGAGAATAGCCGCAAATCTAGTATTGCGAGCAACCTCTCGTGCCCGCGGCATCGGTAATCCGTGAATGGTCTACATTTCCATTCCGTATTCTTAATTTCTCGTCCTTGACTGCTTCTACTCAATCTGATTTTCACAATATCAGCCAATTCGTCAAACATGCCATCGCACCCAATTATAACCATATCCCCTTCCTGTTTGCGGAAGACTTGGTGCAGACAGACTGTACGGTATCGTTTCATCCAGTCCCAAGTTGGAAGGGCAAGTTCAAACGGGTATTGCTCGTCTGTTGGAGAGATGGATTGTCATCCACATATCATGACTACAATCGTCTAGATATGTGAATTTTGACCTCACGGGGCTGAAATGAAAGAGACATTCGGCATATTAGCAGCATGGTGTTGGGGTCCATATAGGTAAAAAAATGAGTTCGATTTCAATCATTTGATACTCGTAAGGCAACAGTGAGAGCTGTAGCAAGGCCAACGGACTTCCAAATTTGTAAAGAATATTGGCAATAGTTTACGAGACTACAGAGCAGGATTAAATCCTACGATTGTGTGAAATCGTGTTTGAGACGTTCAAATAAAACGAAATAAGTGTCAAAAAAATTGGGCCGCCACGTTTGGATAGACATATTCTTCAATTCACAACTAGCCCACCCTTTCTGAGACTACCACCTGTTCTGTATCAGCCACACCCATGAAATCATGCCTCGAAAGAAGGCAGCCGTACTGAGATCGAATCATTATGGATGAACTGTCCGATTCGAGGCCTTAAGCATAACGAATCAGAATGCAAAATCTAAATGATAGTCGAGTTTGCAGAATAGACCAGCACTAGCGAATATGCAGCCAGTCAAAAAGATGCTCTAAGGAGAAAAAAGAGGTTGTTAAACCGGCAGCATAGTTCAAGCCTTGAGTAGCTCAAACTGCTCAGCTTATGCGTAAAACTCACACTTTTATCAAAACACGGCCCTTTATCATTATTGGTGCCAGTGGCAGTCGTGATTGCAGTTCTATGCTAGAAGAAGAAGTGGTAACCCTTTTGTCATTGTAAATACTCAAACCCACTTAGCTTTTCAGAAACATTTGATCATGCTGGTTGAAAGTTTGTTGATTCAGTGACGACAACTGTCCTACCATCACCAAGTGCCATGTTTTGTTCACCGTAAAGTCTATTTTCAGAAATTTGAATTACACAACTCGGCAAGAGTTACAAACAAACAATCTATCGACGATCTGGAGAGTCCTCACTTAACCTATTGTTAAAAGATATCAGTAAACCACGAAGAAAAAAGGATACGCTTTCCATCCGACAATGGCATGCCAAACGCAACATGGAATCAATACGTCACGAAAGCTTCAAAACTCACCTAATAACACCGGCAAGCACAGAAATATCATCCAATTTACCGCCCTGATAATACAACCCCTCTTGAATAGCCCGACTTTGGAAGGGACTAGCTGCGAATCTCGTATCTTCAGCAACCTCTCGTGCCCGACTAATCAAGGCATCTGTAATCCGTTGTGGATCTACATCCCTTATTCTTAATTTGCCATCCTTGGCTACTCCTACGCGATCAGTCACTGATCTTACAATATCAACGACCTCTTCATCAAACACATTATCAAACATGCCATCTGATCCAATTATAACTATATCGCCTTCTTGCACCTTGATTTGGAAGGATTGAGCAGAGTCTGGGGTATCATGCGATCCAGTTCCGAGTTGGAAGGGGAAGTTAAATGAGTGTTGTTGCTCTTCTGTGCGAAAGATGGATTCATTGTCACGGATAATCATGACTCCACAATCCCCTAGATTTGTGATTCTTAATTCATCGTCCTGTAAGATAGGATCAGCAGATTCAGTGTGAGGTACTATGATTTTGGGCGCTGCGACAGCAAAAAAATTGCGCTACAAGCTGGGATACTCACTCGTAACACAACAATGAGTGCTGTAGTACTACCGACAAGACCTTCCTTTGGAGCATCACTTTGTACAGCATCATAACTCTTTTGAAGTATTACTTTGGGATCGACATTATAGTATTCTTCCATATCAAAGTCATTGTTGGCAATGTCATCATACTTCTCCAGCTCGAGGGAAGCATAATGCATTAATTTACGAGAATACAGAGCAGGATTGGCTCCTATAAAGATGGCGATGAGAATGTAAGTAACAGGTGGCCATGGGTCAAAAAACACAAAAAAGGAGTACGGTCGATGCATTCACATTCATTTCTCTGAACTCACCCTTTACGTGACTCCAACCACCAACTCCATCAGCTACACCCATAGAATCATGCCTAGAAAAGAAGGCATCTTCTCCAGCACCAACCGACAGAAATCGACCATCATTGATAACTGTTTGATTCGATGCTTTTGGCATAGCCGAAGCAGCGTGTGTAAATCTAAATGATCGTCGAGTTTGTGGAATTGCCTAGATCAAAGGGTATGTTTGTTTAGTACAGCAAATTACGCAGGGCGGTGAAGACCAAAAAACGACATCCTAAACTGAAGAAACAGGTTCCCACACACCTTGACTTTCTCAAACAGCTCAAATATGCTAGACGCCGACTGTTTATCAAACCACGGCACCCCATCATTATTATTACCAATGGCAGACACGGGTAATGCTATGGCTCGCGTATGATATGATGATTTCAAGCTAGTTGAAGCAGAGCAAGGAGCTGCGGATGACGAGGAAGACGATGAGGTAGATCCAAATGACGCAGATGAGGACGATGAGGTAGCAGATGAGGCTGGTGTTACAGGATGCGCGAATGTATGATATGTGGAAGCACTAGTTGCCGACCATTTACGATGTTGCGAAAAGGAATTATTGGTGGGCTGTGTTGGCGATGATGGGTTTGTGGACGTTGAGGTTGTACCTGTTGTTTGTAACCTGTCCAAGACGGGTTTTGAGGCTATTTGGGAAAGGGTGTGGTTAGTTGTCATTCTGGTGTTCAAGATTTCCAGTGCTCTGATCAAGACTTTTGCGAAGCCTGTGGAAGAATGGTATGTATAACAGGGAGCAAATCAAATATGGATTGATCGCGGTTCGATATATGTTGCATGATCTCATCTCTTCATGACAAAACATACCTGCATGTATGTTGTTCTTTCGACTAGCAGAAGTGGAAGCAGACGAAGGCAGAGGACTAGTACTCCTTGAGGGAGCGTTTGTAGGACCAGTTGCGACGGTACTAGCATTATTAGCATTATTGGAAGTAGTGCTTCCAGTAGTAGCGGCTGCACCCGACCTTCGAAACGAGGAGGTTGATTGTTTTAGCGACGAGTGGGATACGGTTGAGGAAGAGGAGGCAGTAGCGACAGAGGATTGTGTGGAAGCGGAAGCATTTACTAGAGATCCAGTGGTTATAGCTAGCCCGTTTTTGGACGATGGTTGTGATCTTAAAAGCAGGGAATGTTGGCTTCCAGCGAGTCTCTTTGCTACTCGCTTGGCAGCCACGGTTGTCGAGGTCATTATCCGAGCAATTCCAAGACCGATACTATGTGCTAGTCTACTATCGCACCCTCGTAGTCTCCAGATTCAAAATTGGCGTTTTCCTCTGAAACTGAAGAAGCCAGCCCAGTGAGACCTATGACCCTATATCTAATACAATTTCTACGTATCGCTGTCTGTTAGATTTATGCACCTAATTTGGCCCCCTTCAAAACTCAATCACTGACCTCGTCTGATTGCCGATGGGTCTATTCTCGCAGGTTTTGGCTCTAGAATCCAAACTACCTCGAGGGAATCTAAATATTGGGAAACGATGAGGGCTGTAATCCAACGCGTAACAGGCGCATCTGTCACGGGCAAGTCTCGAAATACTCACTGTTTGTTAATTCGTGTCTTCTTTTTCTGCACGATAGCTGACATTAAGTCAAATCATTCAATCTTGTAGTTGGGCCAGACCTTATTTCTCAAATCGGACGTGGATTCTGTGTTCTCGTTGGCATTACGACCGATGACACGGTGCGTTGAGCATCAACATCAACCAACATCAAAACTTCTGGACGTGATGACGATCAGAGCTCATCGCTTTGCTTGACAGGAAGCTGATATGGACGCGTTAGCCAAGAAACTACTTTCGGTCAGACTGTTTCCTGATCCAGATGGGAACAAGCAATGGGCAAAGTGTGTGAACAAAGCTTCGCAAGGCACGCTAGCATTGTGCTAACACTCGGACTCGTTATTTCAGATCTGTGACTGATCTCCAGCTAGAGATCCTCTGTGTGTCGCAGTTCACGCTGGTACGTGATGAATGTCTTTGGAAGATCCAAACTGTGGTTGAAACTGTGCAGCATTCGTTGTATCACGCTTTCTCACTTGCACGATCCTCATTAGTACGGAACAGCTTACAAGGGCTCAAAACCTGACTTTCATCAAGGCAAGTTTCAACCACGCTCGTTTACCAACATCAAAATGGAAGGCTCACGCAGTGTTCTTCTCAGCAATGAAATCAGATACATCCAAAGAATTCTACGACAAGTTTCTGGCAAAGTTGCGATCCAGTTATCAGGAAGATAAGATAAAGGATGGTATGGAAGACTCGAAAATATGAGTTCAATATCTCTTCTCTAGTGAGGTTTTTTTTCCTCACGTTTTTGGCCTAGGCGTATTCGGAGCCATGATGTCTGTAGACATCAAGAACGATGGCCCCGTGACTCTACTCCTCGACAGCAAGGGTCAGAGAGCTGGCAAGGAGCCATGGACGGAAGGCCTCATATGAGAAACGGGCGCCAAGCAGCCACGATAGAACACAAGCATTATTTCTGATGCAAGACCAAAACTAAATTAATTTCTAAATAAAAGGTACAAACTATTCACATATATAAAAGGGTTGTGTATTTCTCAATACAATCGTCGCAGATTGAAGAATCCGTGTCCCAGTATCTGTTTCTTGGCACCATGATAGTGCAACGATAGTGTAGATTTAGGCGGTAGAGCCAAAAAGTCCTGAAATGAGGTGCAGCAAGTTAGATCAAAGGCCAGAAATGAAAATCATATGCAAACACAAGATTCATACCAGTAGACTCAGACCACTAACAACTCCCGGTTCCATAGCACCTTCTCCAGATACAACAAATCCAGAACCATGATGAACAACATACGATGCCGAATTGATGGCCGACAAGACAGATTCTCCATTAACAACCAGCTGGATTGACGGTTTTGCTTTGGTGAAGAAGGCAAATGATATCTCGTATAGGCCACCGTCGTGTACTCGAATATGTGGTGAGTCTGACGTCCATGTGAAGTTGTCGGGATCTAGTGAAAGACGCAGGTCATCGATAAGAGTGGAACCTTTTTGTCCATCAGCCAACCGAATTTAATGTTTTACCTGTATTGACACTCTGATAATTCCACGGTACCGCGGATCCAAACTTGAGAGTCTGAGACTTCCACAACCATTGAGCAACACGATGTAGCGGTCTCCTAAGAATCTGCTCCTGTGCAGACTTGACGGCAGATACATCAGAGCATACCAGATACAGCTTTTCATCGAAATCTCTCGTTATAGACTTCACGGCATTCTCCATGTCTACTACGTGAACTTCACCACCATTGTTGTTACTATTGCTTATAGCCCCTCCTTGTGGTGATTTCCGTAGTGCATCCAGAACTTCTCGTCGTAGACTCGTTATTTTACCATCTGCTTCTCTCATTAAATCGGTATAGTGTTGTTCAAGAGACTTGATTATGAACTGGCGTAGTTCACAACGCACTCGTTCTTCTTGGTTCCTGTGTCGTTCCTCGTTTGCGAGTATATCAGCTATCGGTACTCCAGGACCAGCATTCGTTATCGGCTCACTGTTATTGGGGTGATGATGGTGGTTGGTTTCTGGCAGTATTGATGTATTAGGTGATGTACGTCGCCCAAATCGTTCAATCATGTCCCGTTTCAGTCCAATCAGTTTCAGATCTACGTCATTCCTAACTGATCCCATTATCTCGTCAGTGCATGTAGAAAACATGGCACGTAAGTCGTTATGCACATGTTGCAGTATCCCATCTGTTATATCCCTTTTAGCAGCCTCGGTATGTATCTCTGACGCCTTCTTCGATTTTGACGACAATTCTTTACGAAATGCTGATAATTTCGATTCGAATATTTTTACGACACTGCTGATACCGTCTTCAGCACCACCAGAAGACGTATGTAGTTTCTTGTCTAGCATGGCTCGTAGTTCCTCTCGACTGGCTATATGTCTCATGAGTTCTTCGAGCACAGCATGATCTACTTTCTGTGAGATTACTTTACGTAGGTCGGTAACTGACTCGTCCAGCCCATCCCGAATCATCTGCTTGATTTTCGGTTCATGTAATGCAATACCCGATACATCATGTAGGCCAGACAGGACCCGCGCATGAGATTCTTCATTCTCATGACTTAGAGCTACCATTTCAGATTTAAAAGTCTCCAGCTGCTTACTAAATACTTCCAGTTTATGATCCAGCGATGACTGATGGAGTTGTGTCATGGTCTCGATTTTTCCATTGACCTTGTGAGAAACCTGCTGCAATATCTCAGCTTCTATTTGTGACTCTCGCTTATCTAAAGCGGCTAGCGTCTTTGATATACTAGTTGATATGTCATAGTGTACTTCGTCCTTGTCGGGTTTGGCCAATACACTTTTCTGAAGCACCCTACATGTTTCCAGCAAATGCTCTATCTGCGGAAACACGGCTGTCTCTATCCGCGTAGTGATTTCCATTGGCAGCTTCTTGGCTAACTGCACAGACACCTCATCGTGTACCAGTCCATGTAAACGTTCACGATCATACCGTGCCATACCAGAAGTATTGACAGCCCCAGAACTATTAAGACGACTAATGTCATCTCGTAACTGCTTTTGAGCCTTTTCCACAAGCAGCGGCAGTCTAGCAGCAACAGCAGCGTCGATAGCAGCCAACATTGCCGGAGTCATCACATTGTCGTTGGGTAATTTCGGTGTTGGTTCTCGACTAGGACTCAGACCCCGTAGCTTCCTCAACTCAGCATCTAGTTCCCCGACTCGTCTACCACCATCTATTCCTCCTTCTTTAACAATATTGTTGGTTCGGGCCGTAGCGCGTATTGGCGACGACGATGCATTCTCCATGGCCAGCATAGCAGCCTGCAGACTTTTCACCGCTTCGGCTTGCTCCTGTAATGCCGACAAGACTGCTTCCATCCCTGGTGTTTTATTGTTGATCATGTTATTGTATGGTTGATGTATCGATGATGGAGGGACAAATGGCGTGGCGGCAGACGGAGAAGCAGGCCTATGTGGATTCGGTAGGGCAGCATAGTATGTAGAGCTTGTATTTATGTTCTGTAGTGGATACCGTGATGGGTCCATTCCCTCGTTTCTTGTCGATTCCATTGTAAATACTGTTTCGCAAGAGGGAGAGAAGTTACTGGTGAGGGCGGTAGATCTAGGTCGTTCCAAGCTTCAAGACGTACTGTAATATAGCCTCCTACGCGACCTACTTGTCCAATACTAGCAGCTTTTCAAGAACTTTCTCACAAATCGTTACTTTTTTTACCAGAAATGATGATGGGGAGAGACTGCGCGGTCTTGGAGGAAAGTGACCAGAACGTGGACATGCAGGTCTTGATACAGAGGAGTTTTATAAAGGAAGATCTCATAGGACTGTGGACTAAACCTGCTGCGAAAAACTTGCTAACAAATTGCGTGAAAAATGGATGACTTACAATAGCCCTCGGTAAGCTTTTCTAATTGGTGCGAGAGCAAGATTGACTCTAAAAGTGGAGCGGCTGGTGATAACCAGACTATCTTCCACATTCTGTGAGGTGATGTGATTTCCAAAGTGTTTTTTGCGTTAAGCGAACTTTGATGAGTAGCTGCACCCAATACGTGATAGATCTGAATAGTTCCAAATTCGCAAAATGTTGAGCGTTTCTAGATAAAGCGAATTCCTGCCCTTATGGTCGGTGATCGCTACTCATATTTCAGCATACGTGGTTATAAACAAGGATTGATTCCAAACAAATAAAAAACAAAAGAGTCAACCCTCATTTCTCGAACCCGGTTCTGAGCAACCGGAACAAGAGAAGCAAAGCAACTTGGTCGTCAAGGCCTAGCTTAACTACAATTGGATTCAAAAGAGGCCCTTTTTTATAGAATACACCATCAAGGGCCTGGCTCTTGTTATATTAACTGTTTGCAAATTGCAAAAATCACAAACACCTAACAAAAGGTTGCTTGTGTTCTTCTACACCACTCTATTAAAATGGGGGTGGTTGATATCTTTCAGATTCTTGTGACATTTGCTCAGGTATGCAAGATTCCATAATCTGTTATTTTGTAGTCTCGTTTTTTTGTCGCGAGAGCTTGGTTTATTAATATTTTGTCTAACATATCACCATTCTATAGCATTTGTCCATTATTAGTAGTTTCAACATTCCATGGCCTGCACAATGGAATGGATTTCTAGCCGTGGCAAGTTTCAACGAATTGACGACCAGAGCTACGCAAACGGAGCTTTTTGGTTGACTCGTCAGCTTTTTTACACAGGTCAAAAATTTAAGGCTGGATCTATCTGTGCAATTTACGACATATGTGCCAGCTATTGATTTCCGGGCACAGTACATTATACTGGCCTGTGAGTTTGGTCTTTCTTTTTCGCAGAACTGTTTCATGAATGTGATCTGAGATTGACCCTGATTGTCTCATGTCTAGACTTTATACCCATGTTTATTACCCTGTTCATGTTGATTTTCTTCAAGGTGAGGGCAAAGTGTTCTGAGCGACGTACATCGCTTCTCTGAACCCCCTTTACTCAATCCAGTCTCCACAAGTTGTCGTTTGGTATGGATTGCTGCTAGGATGTTTTGGATGTCTTGCTGCCGGTGAGAGCTATGTTTCGTCCTGCAATAAGTATTTTTTTGGCTTACCCGCAACACATCTAGGAATCGCATTACAATTCATACCAACAACACAATATTCGTCACAACAAAACATTGCTTCCATTTTGATGTCGGCTGGTGGTGGTGGAGCTGGATTTCTCCTTGTAGTCTACCTCATCATATGGGCAGTCAGAAGACACTTAGCAAAGAGAAAGGTACAGTTTATTTGTACTTTTGGCTTTGTTTTTGCTGACATCGACATTTTGACAAACTGATTTAGAAAGCGAGAATTCACGCTGCAAGCTCTGGACATCCAAATGTCGCCGACATTTTGAACGCTAGAAGTGTCTCAACGGTTGCTCTGTCGAATGAAATCAAACCAAACTTGAAGCTTTTGGCTTCTGGGTCGCATTACAAGATGAAGCGTAAGTCAAGCATTATCCCCATTGTTTTATTGCAAAATTGTTAAGCATTTATTTTGCTGTGTCGCTAGCATGGTGGAAGATTCTACGCAACATGATTGTAGCCGGTGCTTTGTTATATTCTGGATTGCTGCTGGTCGGAGCAACTTCAAATCCATACACAAGTGACTACTTGTCTCAAGTTGAGGGACAGGTATACAATCTGGGACTCAGATTTTCTGTTTGTTGTCGTTGACCTAAATCCTGTTAGCAAATCCAGCCCATTGCTATTGCTTTGGGCACCATCTTGTTGGTCTTTGGAACTCTCTTGTCCTACAACATTATATCTGGATTCTTTTTGGCTGTAAGTCCGCAATAGTGCAATCGCCGCGCAGCTCTTTGTTTTTGCTAACATTCTGACAAAACAGGGACGCAAAATGAACAAGAGAATGAACTCCTTCTTCAGAAAGAACATGACACAATTTGCTTTACTTGGCATGGTCATTCTGTACATTCCCCAAACTACGGCTGTTTTCAACGTGTTTCCGTGTACTCAAATTACTTGCTCTGCAGGTACTCAATGGTTGAAGAAATTAAGAAAGAAACCGGGACACGTTAACGCATAAATCTGTAATCTAGGTCAACAATTCGTTACGAATCGAATTGATTTGGGTACGTCATGAAAATGCATCTCGCATCTTGTCGAACTCGGTTTTTTTCTTGTTACTAACGCCGCCCTAATCGTTTTAGACATTACATCCATCTCTTCAACCTTTTTGAGAAACACTACAAACAGTACCGCATGCACAGCATGTACTTTCCAGTCGACTTGTCCTGCCAATGTTGCAGCTCAATTGTGTCCTTCTGTGTCCGATTTGCGACTGGTAAAAGTCGCGCTGGTAGTACTGATAGACAGTTGAATTTTGCATTGACTTCCTTCTCCTCTCTTAGAACAAGGACCCTTCACTATCTTGCATCTCAGAAGTATACCCCTTCTGTGAGCGGTTTTAGTGCTTTTACTCTTCGCGTATGCACATCACCCTAATACTGACTCAAACATTTAGACCTCCCAGGAGCTGTTCTCGTCGTCATATCAGCTACACTTGGATTCCCATGTAAGTATATCTCAAGTCGAAAGGACGACATTACGTATCTGACGACTTCGTTTTTTCTCCAGGGTTGATCCACACCCTCGTATCCGTTGTATCCCAATTCCTCAAAGACATTCCCCCACTCGGGGCCACAACTCAAGCCGAGTCGTGGCTCATCCACGGTAGTCTGTCCCAAAACAGTTGCAAATCCCTGTACTTTGGATACCACTACAAGTGGAGATACTACAATTTGAACGTTGTGGTTCAAAAGTTCTTGGTTGTTGCTGTCTTTGTGTTTTCAGTTTATCATGAGATCGCTATTGCGGTAAGAGCTTCAGATCAGGCTGGGGTAAAGCATCTTTTTTTTCCTTGAAGTTTTTCTGATATTTCCAAATTGGATTTTATATAGACGGTGATTGCGTGCATCCACTGTTTCTTTTTCATAACTGCATTGTACTCGAGGCCGTACGTCAACATTACTGAGGTGAGATTTGGTAGCATTTATTAGCTTCTATTTAATCATTTTTTGGCGCCCCTAGTTCATTGTAACTAATTATTTTTTCTTCGCTTTAGACCGTCCTATCAATCGCCTGTGTCGGCCTTAACGCAGCAAACTCTGTCCTCGCCGTCCTCGTCGCCTTCCAACTCAATGTTCCCCCAAACACCATCTACGCAGTCGCAACCGGTAACCTCGCAATCCCAATCCTCTGTATCGTAGTCGGCTCCTACTTTGAAGCCAGACTCCAGAAACGCATCATTGAATCCCAGAAAGCGCGAATCGGTGGTGCACCCGCCAACAAGGTGCAACTCGCCAAGGACCGTGGACGACGCGTGCACGCTGATCCGGGGCAAGATGAAGCTCTGCCGTCCTTCATGGCCAGCCGTAAAGTTCCTAGTAAAGGAGCTAAAGGCAAGGCAAATGTTTCGAATCAGCATCATCAGCATGCTGCTATTGCTACTCGTGGGTATGAGGAGCAGGGTGGATATGATGGAGATAATTTGGATCGCGAGTCTGAAGAATCGGAAGATGAGTACGAGTATGAGGATCACAGACAGGACAAAAAGACGCTCAAGGATAAGAAAAAGAAGAAGAAGCCTGAGATGACACCGGAAGAGAAGAGACTTGTTGAGGTGAGACATTATCATATCCCTACTGTATTTGTTTTGTGTGTATCACTCACCCTTTTTTTGACCAGTTGGTCAAAAGACTTGACGGACAACTCAACGTATTCCTCCTTCGAGTCCTGGTCCAATTCTTCTTGGTGATGGGCCTCGCCGTCTTTTTGGGTCTCTGCATGACCGGTATCGGAATCATCCGTATTGCTTCAGACAGTGATGTCGTTGGTGCAACAAGTGTAAGTGATCGAACCTAAATCTTCATTCCTAATAAACCACTAAAGTCGATTTTTCTTCCTTCCATTTACAGTATGCCGAGCTCTCAAACACGAGCGCAACAAACTTTGAATTTGCTGGCTACGCTTCGTGGTCTGACTTTACGTCCAACTGCTGCTGCTCAACGACAACCTCATCATATACCAATACCTCGACATCGTTATACGAAATGTGGAAGTGTTTGCCAAACAGTTATTCGGGTAGCTCGCTGTTTTACAAGAAGAGGAAACGATCTGATACGTTTGTAGGAAGTGGAATTGTTCTTCGTGATTACTGTTCCACTACTTTCAATCCCGCTGTTGTTTGTGGAGGACCTACGCTGAATGTTAATGGATCTGTTGCAGTAAGTTTCGTCCACAGCTGCTCCTCAGCAAAAAAAGGAGGACTATACAAACAATTTATCCTCTTACTCAGGTCACCCTATGCTCTGGCGTAACATTAGCAGCAGGCCAAACTGCACTATACTGGTAAACCCCAGTCGGAGTACCTCGATAATTTACCAATAGTGTATTGGGGTTTCACAAATATATACACACAATAATCTCATGACGAGGCGATGGGTCTGATGGCAAATACAATGTCGTTCCCAAACGGGTTGGACATGACACCGTGAATTCGATCAGGTTCTGTAGCCAAAGATCGCAACGATGTGGCGGGAATGATTTGCTGTAGTTGACCAGTAAGAGCATTGCGAACTTCAATAAATGAGGGATCAAATGCAAGTAAATATGGAGCAGAATATGCTACAAGTAGAGAAGCAAAAAGAGTTGGTGACAGACCGATTGGCAAATTGACAAACTCCATCAATACGCACCAAAAGACGTGGGACAGCCTGTCCAATTCACCAGCACATCAGGACGGCTTCTTCGTCCCAGACGATCCACGTAGAACCCAAATTCTGAGGGCCAAAAAAAGAAAGATGAAACCCTGTGGATTATACATGGAAGTTTGCGTTACGCACCATCATAGCACAACAAGAACTCTCCATCCTTCAACCTAAACATGGACATAGGCTTCAAAGCGTCTTTGCTCAAAACAAAGTCTAAAGAAGCATCCTGAGGATCCAACAACCCTTCATTAAATAAAAAAGGTAAACGTGTCGTGTCGTTGACCAGCAAAGAGATGCGCCGGACTTTACCAATGGTATCTAGTGTCGTCAAATCAATCACTTCAAAGCCCTTATTGCAGCCGACACATATCTTGGTTTTGAGGAAATGTATCGAAGTGGAGTCAGCCTATTTGAGCCATGGGTTAATATTTTTCCTCTTTCAAAAGCTATGAGTATGTCACTTACGGGTATATAAAACTCTTGATACACTTTCAAAGCATCATTACTTCCAGACAAGAACCACCTGCCCTTCTTCTTTTTACCAGTTTGAATTGGTTCCAACACTTTGATTGTAGTTTGAAGAGTCTGTGTTTTTACAGTACACACCAAAGTCTTGTCCAAACTGACTCCTACTTTGAAGAATGCAATATGAACATCAACTCGTTGTCCAGTAGCAGCCGCAGCCACGAGATCGACGTCAGGCGTATCAAGTAATGATAACGGGAAGACCAATAGATTGCCTTCTCGTCCTTGCAATACCAATACGATATTAAAGTCAATCAATACGTCAACCTGTGTGATACGATCCAAGTCGAGTATCTTGGTAAATGCAGATGGCAGTTCTGTAGTCACTTTGGCAACACAAGATCCGTCCTCTCCGATATACAATCCTTTCTCGGTGCCTAATACGAGTTTACGACCAAATACAGCAGACGATAGGACGCGATTGGATGTCCTGAAACCTCCATCGTCTAATACAACCAGATCAAACACTTTCTTATCTTTTAGTAGGGTATCTTGTTGAGTTTGAATGGCATCCCGCCACGTGAGACGATCAACTTCGGTATTGGAATATAGGGTATATATTACAGAAGGTCTACCTAGATGAGCGAACGTGAAGGGAAACTTGGTTGCATCTGTCGGTTCAATCATTTGCGTGACTGAAGAGGCTTTCGATGACATTGACTTGCTGCTACTAGTCGTAAATGAGGCCACGTCGCTTAGAGATCCTTTTGAGGGTATAGGAGAACCGAATCTCCCTGAGGCTCTTTTGCTCCCACCCATTGCTACCGACGATTCCGATGGAAGAACTAGCAACTCTAATGGTATTGGCTAAATGGGAGAAAGGTGACCTTAAACGATGCTCAAGCGCTCAACTCAAGGGGACCTTTACCATCTTGTGGACCTTGTATCCGTAAGCTCGATATCTCTCTTTGGCCATCAGCAAAAGGTGGTCAAACAAGAATACTGTGAGTTGGACCTTGACACCTGTCTCTTTACGATACATAAATTGGCCTTCTCGTAAGATCTTGCGACCTGGTTCAGTCAAGCGCAAATCGTCCATGTCCTGTTTGAACATGCGTTTATTAGTCCTAGTGAAGTTCGATTCCTTTTTCTCTCAGACTTGCGAGCCCAGGTTTCATACCATCTTGTCTCGCTTGAAAGACAACTGTTCAGATAACTGCTTCAGCTTTAAAGCATCCACAGCCTCTCCCGTTTTGATGTTGATTTCATGCATAAGAGCTTTGATAGAATCCCTCGCACGTGGTATTGCCGTGACATCGGGATGGTTTTCTGGAGTACGTTTCAATACACCCTCCAATAAGAGAATATATCGACCCATTCGTTGTGTTGGTCTACCAAGAAAGCTCAAGACAGACAACTTTCGAAGAGCTGGTTCGCGTTCGACGGCCTAAATTGCAGCAAGACTTGAGTTCTATTGCTATCCAAACGACAAATGAACAGCATACGTGCGATGCTGAGATGACCACACGTACCTCAATGAAATTGTTGAAACTTGGATTCTGTGCTCTCTCCAATCTATATGTGTTTTCAGCAAACACTTGATTTGAACCATAATACATATAAGCTCCACCAACAGGATCAGAGGGCATCGACAAGAAGATGTCACCTATAGCATCTACGACAGGATTGGTTCGTTGTCGTTGAACCAACTTGCGAAGAAAGCCAAAGTTAATATCGAACAACTCTTCCATGTTTAGGAACATGTCAGTAATAATCTTTTCTTTGGTGGCGGTAGGAAAGATTTCCATGGATTCACGGAGAGGATGGATGATGGTCTATGGTGAGCAAGTTCGACGAGTTAGAGGTTGATTGCAAGAGAAAAATATCCCCATGGTAAACAAGATGTCTTACATTCTTGACGAGTTCCAAGTCAGCGACATACTCTCGTTCCTTGGCTATGATTTCAAAGATAGCTTCTTGTCTCTTTCGTTCGTTTTCGGAAACAGACTCTCTAATCTCCTGGGAGACCGATGTGGACCAGAATTCCGTTTCTTCTACAAACTTTTTGCAAGCCATGACGTCTCGTCAGTGTCTGCTAAATATCATCGTAGTAATTCGTGGCTTACTAGCTCATCATCTCCAAAGAACGAGGTTTCACTACGTTCCAGCTGTTGACTACCAACTCGTTTCTAAGTCTCAATGGCATGTTAGCGAAGGAGCATTCATATATGATAATTGGGGTCCACTTCGGGCTTACGTTCTCTCTCTTTTGTCGACATGTTTCGGAGTAACAGTCCTCACCACAAGTTGGCGAATAGCAATTCGCCAAATAGGTCAAGACACCAGTGGGAGCGGAAGGAGCTGTTGAGTCTTGAGAATCTGTTGCACCTAGCGGTGCTAGCGCTGACTCGAACTTGTACTGTTCATTCGTCGAATCTCTCAACGTATTATTGTATGTGACATCTGGATGTGGAGGTTTCAGCTATAGAACGGAAAGAAATCAACCTGAAGAACCATTCACGCACCATGAAAGAATCTCTGGGCTTGTAAAGCTCGGCCAACAATCAATGCCAAACCTCTGTCTTTGGTGTTGAGCATTTTACATAGGACCTCGACCGCTTCCTTTCCTGTGAAGCTGTCCTTGTAGTTCACCATATCCTTGGTATGTGTGCTCAGTGGCACATCTCTTCTAAAGTATCGGGCAACATGTGATAACAAGGCTGGGATGAATGGTTCGTCGTCCTTTTCAAAGACACTTGGGGGCCTTGATTGTATCGGCGATGTAGTGTGAGATTCATTCCCCCCTTGATTGACAAGAGTTTATAAGAGTCTGACGTGAAATGAGCGGCTTTCAATGAAGCTTTTACCGTTCTATACAAAAATGTGTGGGTTGGTGATGTGAGCATTGGATTACAAAGGCTCACAAGATTTACAAGAAGGCCAATTAAGACACAATGAACAAGAAAGAAATCAACTTGCTGGGTTCTCTTACCTGGATTGCAACATTCCTATTGATTGAGGTTCTGGATTTGAATATTCCAAACCTCTGTCGGGGTGAGGGAGGGGATTCCATAGTCGGCAGATTATGAGCCTTATCAGAGATTCATCAAGCTTCTCCTCTACATCTAAGGCTTAAATGGTGAGGTGTTTGGAGCTTTGTTAACCACAAGCAACTTATGAGCAACGTCAACTTGAATACCAACGATGCAAAGTGCACGTCAATAGTTGACAATATTACAGGCTAGAGGCTAGAAGCTGTCCGAAGCCCGCCCCGATTCGTTTGGTGAAACAAGAACTCTCTATTCTCGATCAATTTCGATCGAAATCACATACAATCTCAATCGCAAGACGTGTATTTATATGTTGCGAAAGCGAATAAGCGCGTACCTTGTCCGCTCTTCTTACGATTCACGCCGCTTCAACCCCGTAGAAAACCATCGAAACATTATCCAAGAACGAAAAAGTGATCGCAATTCGCAAAAGACAGACAGTCTTACACTAGAAAGCAAGGAGAGCGCGATGACGCAGACTAATTGGAAGAATGTTGGGAATTGGTACGTCATTTTTAGTCCACCTTGTTCTTGTTTGGTTGGACTTCATCAGTTTTTTTGGTTTGCAGACGAAACGTCCAACTTGAAACTTACAGCTCTTTTACCACTCTTACTGCAGGCACTGGTGAGGAGTCTTCGTATTGCAAACCCCGCATTGTTTGCGTGTTTATAACTCTTGAAACTTAGGGTCAATAAGAATATCACAAACTGGTCCAGGGACTACATGAAGACCAAGCTTACAGATGCAACCGATTCTCAAGATGAAATCACCATTACCATCAAGGATTTATACTCGGTGGAGGGCGACTGTGAATTGAGTCAGAGGAAAAACAAGATCATTACCATATTTGACTTCTCTGACTTGTCTATCGGATGGGAAGGTATCATTCCAACCATTCTCATCGTCAAGTCTACTCGAACGTTAACACGAAATGACTCCTTAGGAAGCGATCAAGCTGAGAATACTGCAGGTGGCAGAATCAACATTCCCGAGTTTGATCACGATTCGAAGCTTGACAAACTAGAAATGCAAATAACCATGAGTGATACGACAACACCTGAAAAGGCGGCTATTCTAAAAGTCGCCAGGTCGCTTCTCCCTGGAATGATTGCAAATGCACTTAAAGATTTCCAAAGTGACATGATCTCCAGTCATATGAAGGATGTATACATTGCTCCAGAAGAAATGAATAGCCATCCCCAAACACCCACATACACACCATCACCATCGATAGCACCCAATGCTAGTAGTAGCAGTACGAGTGCTCCTGACGCAAGCAAGTCATCAAAAGCGCTGAAAGGAGGCGTTACATCCATCACAGATAACATAGAATTCGTATGCTCAGCCAATGACCTGATGGAAGTATTTTTTGATATGGGTCGTGTCCAAGCCTGGTCTAGGAATAAGGTCGTCGTCTCGAGAGAGGCTGGATCAGAATTCTCGCTGTTTGGAGATAATGTGACCGGTACCTTGCTAGAATACGAACCTGGCAAGAAGTTTGTGCAAAAATGGAGACTCAAGAGCTGGCCTTCTGGGCACTACTCAACTGTTAGGTACTGGATTGGGGTTTGCTGTAATCCAGATTTTGCGGCCTTTCAATAACACATTCTGCTGTCATCCTTCTTTAGCTACGAGCTGATACAAGGGGATCAATCTACGACACTTCAGCTAGTCCAGAAGGATGTCCCTGTCGGTGAGAAGGAAATCACCGAGAAGAACTGGACAACATATTACTGGAACCCCATCAAGGCTACCTTTGGGTAAGTGCTGCGGAATGCGTCATTCTGTTGTCGAATCACTAATGCATTTCCTTGACATGTTTAGATATGGAGGTTTACTATAAATATAGAAAAATTACTTTTCTACAAACTATATCAGAGCGAAATCAAAAATGTAGAGGTTGTTTTCTCCAAACCAAATAGACACAACTTGAGAGGATCAATTTATCGTATTTCTACACTATTTTTTATCCGTCTCTGGAGGTGGGCTGCAACGAAGCACCAATTCGAATGCTACTGCAAAGAATACAGCACTACCATCTCGAGACTTGGCTGAGAAGCTAACCCTTTGACCTTCCCAGTACTTCCACACCGGCAAGCAGAGTCCTGGAAGACGTATATTAGCTGTGGAAAAGTCTATATAGGCATCATAAAAGTCCATTGCATAGATCTCGTCCGGCGTAAACGTCACTTCACTACGCTTATTAGCATGTAGGAAATGCCTCTTCCTCTTCTCATACGTAGGCAAACTCGGTGGCGTCACATCTAATTTGCTAAAGAGAGCACTACAATCCTCTGGTATAGCACACTGCCCAAAGACAAAGTTCCCTGCATCAAACTTTTCACTACTCAGTATTATTTCCGATGATGTCGGTGAATTTATATGGGTTTCTGCTATTGATTGTACTGAATTTGTTCGGGATGATAGAGTAAACCTTGAGGGTTTTGTTGGAGACTTGGCTGTAGTTATATTGGCTGATATCGTGGCGACTCCATCGTGAATTTTATATATGGACATGGAGTTCATGGCACAGAGTAGCGGGCTGTTCATGTACGGTTTGGCAGCATATATGTCTGCTTCTATGGCTGGGTCCATCCATTTTGCTAATTTGACGCATAATGAAGCGCCCGTCGGCATGATATGTAGAGGGTGGTCTAGTTCACTAAAAGAGACGTTGGTTAGTATGTCCACTGAAATTTATGATGCTAAGAAAAGGACAGCGTGACAAAAACACCCAGTCTCGTAAAGAGACAGAGGCAGTGGATATCTAACAAGTAAGGGCAACAACGAGGCCTACCTGCAAAATATAACATCATCACCATTCCAAGCCTCCTTGAATCTCCCCTGCAATACTATAGAATATCGTCGCTGTTTGTTGTGAAAGTATGATGATGACGGATTATGTATAGGGGCGGTTCCCGTTGCTGGTTTGCCCTCGAAATTGAGTACCCGTATCAGTATATACCCAACAAAGTGTTCACTTTCTATATATATCGGATTCGACTCGTCGTTGACACTCGCCACCGATAATTTGCCATGTGACGGTCCGCATGAGACTTGAAGATGGTAGTCCTCGATACATTTCGAAGTCATTCGTGCGTTTCTGAGAGAGATCTTCTACGTGTTGGTATGTTTTGGCCAGCAAATCCGTCCTCGAGATCTATCACACAAATGCCTGTGTTAAAACCAGTTCCAGACCAAATAAATCAACAAAAAGGACCAATATAATTGTAATAAGCTATAAAGCCAGTCGCCTGCCTCACTTGGCGGAGAGGACCTGCTTCCTTTCACAATTTTCCCACAGAGTTTCGCAAAACCCCACACTTATGTCTCCAGCTTAAGCGTCCCACGTGTCGTAAAGAAATGGACTGAATCTTAATGCTTGATTAAGATTGATGCTACTAGAACCTCCTTCATTAAGACCGATCGATAGTAAAAAGTGGCGATTGGGGCAAGGAGATTTTTGCAAGAGCAAAATCGACCAAGAGCCTCATTTCTAGTGAACGGGCCGGACTGTATGTAAAGATTTGGAAGAATGGTCTGATTTGAGAAATTATAATGTAGGAGACGCGATCGCTCTGAACTCCAGAACCTCTCAGTCATCAATTGGAGATCTCCTTTATTTTCTTGGTATGTTTCGCGTTTGACGGCCGGTGAATGAAAGACTCAAATTCATAATCGATGTCATTGCTGTAGAATGCAATGTTCAAGTATTATTGTATTATTAGAAACACGCATCTATAAATGATTCTATATCAAACTAGTTTTTTTTGGCATGGCAAGCATTAGCAGTATCATGTTATTGAGCTAAAGCCTTCTCGTCCGAGGCCACCAAACAAGAATCTTTCTCTGATGCCTTCTTTGTGGGGTAGCCTAATATTCCACATATCACAAGTCCTACAAGACACATTGCGAGACATAATGTCATAGATGCCTTCCACCCTCTAGAACTGTACAGTGCAGAACAAGCTGCACTGCCTGCACTGAATCCAGCGAAAGCACCTATGAGCATCACGGATGTGATTCGTGCTGTTGATGTCGGTGCTTTGTTGAAAGCTGCTGATTGTGCAGGTAGGAATACGAGCTAATCAGAAAGAATGGTTAGAAAGGGTTGGTTGACAGCGATTTTGCTGCATTCGCATACCTGAGATCCAACATCAAGGGCAAACATAGTCACAAAGATAACGGAAACATGAATCTCTCCAGCAAACAAGACGAGAAGAAGTGAAGCAGCACACAACAAGTACGCTTGAAATGAGACGAGGTTTTAGTTTTAGTATCTTCAGATTCCAGGGCAAGAGCACTCGAAGACGTACCTCCAGTGATGGTGATGTAGGCACCGAGAGTATCTGCCAGTCGTCCAATTGGAACTCCTAGCGCTGCACCAGCCAGCCCCACTAGAGCCACGAGACCGATTTGCGCAGCGTTGAAATCATATCGGTCTCCGAGTAGGAATGTCAAGACGGTCAGGAAGCCGTAGTTGAAGAAATTAACACAAAAGAATGAAACCAAGCCCTTGAAATAAGATTCGTTAGACTTCCAAATTGGAAGGAGACGAACAGAAGGCTCGTACATACCACCACAACTTCCTTGTGTTTGAAAAACATGCCAATCATACTCTTGAGCAAAGCACCATACGCTTCTTGCGTTTTCGGTGGTATATCTGGAAGACAGACAAAGAGAACCAGAGCTAAAAGCAACAAGACGCTTCCAAAGATATAAAAGACTGCTCTCCATCCTAAATACTGTGCAATAACACCAGATATCACTCGGCCAGCGAGACTGCCGATTAAAAACGATCCTGTGAGATACCCCAAGGCTTGCCCCATCTTTTCTGGTTTTGCGAGGGCAGAAACTACAGGAAAGGCCATGTTCTGCGGCACGCATAAGAACCCAAACACAGCACTATCAAGCGGATGGATTGAGCGTTTATAACATTGTTTGAGATTAGAGACAGACTTACAATAGAATCTGCATGGTCAAAATGTTTTGCGACAATGGAATCAGTATAGTCAAGACACCGTAAATCACTGTAAGGTAGACCATGAGAGAGCGAGGACCGAATAGGTCGACTAGTGGGTTTACAAAAACGTTTGCAAACCCAAATCCAATTCCAAGACTTGTTGGTAGCAGCCCCAGTTGCTCTGGAGTAGCATGAAATTCGTCTCCAATTAGGTTTAAGAGTGGGTATACACAGGTCTAAGGATTGACGAAAGCGTGTCTGGTTGAGATCTGTGATGAAGAAGCGACACCAGAGTCTAATAAGCTATCAATCATCTTAGATTCACACGTACATTCACAGAAAAGTAGACAAAGACACAAGCAGCCATGAAAACATTGAACGTCATTGTCAGTTCAAATGTCTTTGGATCGTAATGTGCTGGTTTAGGAACAGGCAGACCCATTCTAACGGACTTCATTGGCGGGATCACCTTCTCAGACACTATGCCAGCCGGATCATCGTCTTCCACCACTACAGCTGTCTCATTGACACTGACAGCTCGTTGCTCGTTTTCGTGGAGATCATCTCTTAGTGCACTCGTGATGTCTGCAGACTCTCTGGGCATATATTCGCCATTGGATACCATATGATTCTCTATGGCCAGGCTGCCGTTGTCTCCTTTCGAGTCAGGCATCCGACACTATTTTTTGATCAGCAATTTGGCAAAATCTAGCACAAGCTGCAACAAACATGCACGGTCGGTTGATGCCGGTTGATGCTACTCTTTTACTCATTTTATTGAATATGTGATATACTTTTCAACAAGTCGGACAGCCAGATATATTGCTTCACTACTTGGACGTTGTAGTGCTATTTGTAGAAGTAGTGTTGTTGGTAGACTTTTGACTGTGTGCTCTGAGCTTACTACACCAATCTTTGAGATCCTTCAAGATCAAGCTTCCTTCATATTCCAAGTCTTTGGTATCACCAGCAATCGCAGTTGTGTCATTCACAACATGTTTTAGACCACTGTGAATCACATCATAGACGTTCTTCCCGACGTCAGAAAGATCACCCCAGATTCGAGTCACGTTGAAGTGCTCAGTAGCATTGAGTGCAGTGGTCGTATTGACTGAGCTGGTCGTGTTGTCTGAGCTGGAAGTAGTGTTCGTTGTTGTCTCAGACAAAGTTGCAGAAATAGTTCCACTCTGCTTTCCCTCTAAATTGGAGAAAAAGTCAACCCGTCAATGTAATGCTATACATCGGGCAAATATGTAACATACCAAAAATAGCACGTTGAGAACCTTGGGATGTAGGCGTCTTCTTGTAGAACGGCCACAATACAAAACCTTGGACACAAGACACAAGTACGAGAAGCAAGACTATCGACTATGTTTTGAGAAGGTCTTGTTAGTCACAATTGCAGCTGATACTTCACAAAAGGCTGCCGCGGCAATGTCACCTTCATAAGCGAAAACATGATGGACAATTATAGAAGAGTCGACAGTAGTGAAGGGCCTTATCACTTGGGAGCCAGATGTTTGTGATTGAGACTTAATAGTTTGATAGTCTTGGATAAACCCTCACGTCCAAAATTTTGACTGCCGACTTCAAAAATGACACTCTGACTTCGACTGTAGGAATTGCAATTGCAAGGAGAGATTCATGATTTGGGACCACATTTCGCTACATACTGCTGCTCTCTTCAAACATTCGGAACAACCTATGCACGGAGCTTCTAAACCTATCAACATGAAGTCGTCGTGCACTTCAACTTTGACAATTCGGTGATCCGACTTCAAACACAACCTTAACTGACAGATCGCGTGAGAATGGGGTGGCAAAGGAGGATTCTTGTTGCAGGACGTTTAATACAACAACACAATGTCTTTGTTGCAAGTTTCACCATGCTGTTAAACTTTCATTCGACAAAAGTCAATCCCTTTCAACTTGAAGTCGGCCCCTGTCAGCGCACGACTTTGACAGCCGGATCAATACATTAGAGAGCTAGTTTCTCTCTCACTCTCTCCTTCATTTTCTCAACACCAGAATCCAACATCAAGCAACCACCAATACTCCGACTCCAACTTCAAACATGGTGACCGAATCAATGACTAGCAGCAAGAAGCACTGTGTCCTCGTCTTCCCTGCCAACGGCTGTATGGGCTATGACATGTGCCGTGAACTCTGCGAAGGTGCCAAGAAAGAACACTTGGAAGAAGTTTATGCAGTTTGCTGCTCTTCTGAAGGCAAATGGGTTGACAAGCTCAAGGACCTTGGCAAGAAGTGCAAGGTCATCTGCTTGGACAAGCCTACTGACATGGACTGCTGGAAGAAGCATGTCACTGTGAGTGGGAGTTTTACTTGTGACATTGTTGACAATCAGTTTGTGATTCTGCATTTTCAGTATTTGAATAAAATGCACGTCATTTTTACATTTCTTATTAGCGCAAGGTCGACTGTATGATGCTCTGCACTGATCCATCTGCCATGCGTCACATGAAGAGCAAGGTGGCTGAAGATTATGCTGACATGGCCAAGGCTATGGAGTGTGCTGTTGAAATGTGCCACCATTTGGTAGGTTGACATTGCTTTTTCTGGTTTTGTTTCGTTTGTCACTTATGTCTGCAATCTTGACACGTTTCAACATCTCGACCTGTAGAACTGCAAATGCATGGTTGAAACCACAGCTTACTGTGCTGATGATTCCAAATACAAGATGTGGCACCGCATTCATCAATGCATCGAAATGGCTGCTGAAAAGCACTTCAAAGGACACTGTTGTGGTAATACTCGAACTTCTTGGAATTTCAAAGCTCGATCAATTTCTCTTTTCTGACGCATTTGACTCGTTAGTCATGTACCACAACATGATGTTCGAATGCATCATGACCAACCGAGAGGAACTTCGTCAAGAAAAGAAACTCTCATGGCCTGTATCTCCAAACGCTGAGTGCTGTCCCATGTCAATGTGTGAGTATCAGCTCTGCCTGTATTTTCGAAATTTTGTAATCATTTGCAGTCTCATTTTTACACGGCTAAATGGTGTTTCCTTTTTCCAAACAGGCGACATGGCATGCTGCTGCATCGAAGGCATGCGAGAATGCATGAAGGAAATGGACTCTGGCTCTGCTTCAGGCGTCATGGCTTCCGTCATGCAATCCACTGGAATGGGTGCTGCTTCAAAGAAACACATGAAGTACCACCTTACTGGCAAGGACATGATGACTCCTCAAATGATGATGGACATGATGTCGCAAAACTTGGGTCAAGCTTACTCATACCAACAAGTCGATGAAAACCAATGGAAGCAAATGGTTCAAAACCATATGGGAATGATGGAAATCGAAATGATGATGGAATGCTTCAGAATGGTAAGGATTAGAAGTGTGGAGGGTTTTTTGGCATAGTGTACGCAACGGACTGCACTTCTTTTAGATGGATGACGGCAAGATGAAGCACTGCACCCATGACATGAAGAAGCTCTGTGACCGTGAGCCAATGAACATGGCTGACTGGATCCGAAAACATCAAGCGGAATTCGGTCCAGGTGCTTCTGCTCAATCATCTATGATGATGTGAAGTAATGGCAAAAGTCCCCAAAATATCGCTAATTTTGTATCGTTTGCTAGCACAGACCTTGAATAGAAACCATATATGAAAAATGCAGTCATTTTGTGAGATTTACGGCTTGTCATGCATACTTCCTTGTTTTTCGCAGACATATTTACGATATGCTATACCCTCGGTTTTAAGGAGAGCAAATATGAATATTCATACTTGTGACAATTCACTAGCAAAATCAAGAACAACATCGGAAATTGATTGCTGATGACTGTGTGTATTCGGTACGGCAAAATTAGAAACATGAGGGTGTTGAGCATCGTTGCGATGTTAGTCCCGTCCCTATGAGAGCTGATGTAGCGTCCGTCCATTCACCCGTAAACTATGTAGTATCTTTTCCACAAATTCGTTGCCAAGACGCATGGCCAACCGAGACTGTTTGTTCTTGACATCCATGAAATTGGATTGCAGTACATCTGGAAATGTGGTCTCAGGGTGAAGATAGACGAAGAGCAATTCCAAAAGCTTGTGTCTGGGGTAAAAAAAAACGTTAGACGGGAAATTCAAGGTGATGGAAGCTTGAATTGAAGAGCATACTTTAAATCTTTTGGTGTAGTTGAGGATGAGAGTAATTTGGCCACGACTTCGATACCGCCTCCTGTTGTATCAAATGCGCGTAGTGAACGACACGATTCGACCATGAGGGCTTGCAATGCGTCGAGGGCTGCTGATGTGGTGTTTGCTGAAGTGGATGGGTTGACTCGTTGCAACCATGTGAGAATATACTGGAAAAAATATAGTGGCATAGGTTAGGTTTTGCCTGGATCCCTGTCCCCACGGCGAAGGAAGTCTTACTTCAATAACGTCACTGGTTGAGGCCATTTGCTTGCTTTTTGGGTGAAGGAGCACTAATCCTTCCACTAGATGAAATGCTTGAAGGGCCTCTTCAGAGTTTGAGAATCCTAGGTTTGTCAAGAGAGTCAGATTTCCTACCTGAAAAACATGTAACGACAAACTTCTCACCTCTGGAAGATCCAGAGCTTAAAGCACGTAGTACCATCAGAGTACTTCTCATGACTGATACACATGTAGTACAGTTAGCAAAAGGGAGCCAACGAACCGAGTTCCAAGCTAATTCTGTACCTCGACAAGACCCAGCGTCTTCAATAGAGCAAAACATAGCAGATGTGACATCGTCCATGGTAGCCAGGAATTCAACCAATTGCTTTAGACCCATTGTTCTCTCGACTGCCGACATTGCGGAGACCTATTCGCAAGACAACACATGAGCTCAAATGTCATTGCCATTTAAGATTGAAACAGTTGGTACCTTTCTCAGAGCATCCGACAAGATAGATTCAACAGTCTTTTTCAATAAATCCAATTTCCTCCATGTCGCGAATTCTACCATCAACGAGGACGTTGCAGATGTTTGCGTCAAAGGGCTAGTTAACATTTGCGAGAGGAAGAACAAGTCCAGAAACAACAGCAGAGAAGATCCAAAGAATATAAGATTGATCTAATTACTGATCGGGTTCATTCGTGTGTTTTGAAGGCGAACTAGGTAGTCAAGATCCTGAGCGAAGAATGCATCGGGAGCTTGACTCCACTGCTTCGCAGCAACCAAATCTTCGCAACGTTGTCTTGAGTATAAGGAAAATTAGTGATATTGTTACAAGGCGACTACGGGCAATATGACAATAGATTCTTCAATCTTCAAACTGAATAACGCGCCTATTCTTGAATGTCTTCGTCGCGAGATCTCACCAGCTAAATTGGCACGAACCAACGCGTCTGGGCAGCTAAAGCTCATCATATGATGCCAAATACTTGACTTATACCTAAACAATCAGCATTAACCGTTTTATGGGTAGTTTGCACCTAGAGAGACAGAACATACCATAGAACGACTTTGAAAAGCCGGAGAGGCACCATAGCCAGACAATTACGACCACTCGAATCGTCATTGAGAGTGTATATCACCGAATATTCAAGAAGGAAGGCACTAATTGCCGGGATCTGATGAGCTTGCTCGATCTTCACGTTGACAATGGCTACATTGCTTGACAGCAGAGCAAGCTCTATCGTACTGAAACAAGCCATCAACTGACTATAATCAGTGGAAATCTAGCGCAATCTGTGCATTAGCATCCTAGTGTTCGATGCTAGAGCAGTTTACGCACCTCAGGAGAACCCAATGTCCCAGAAACATCCACGATGACTCGAGATTGGAGCTCACTCTCTACATGTTTCGTGAGCTCATTGACATCCTCGCTCACCAAATAGGCGAAATCCTCGTTAAGTACTAGCCAGCGACACGGTTTGTTCAACTACACGACAACGACTTGTCAACACACAGCATTAAACGTCAAACGGTGTGGTTATGCGTACTTTTGAGACCTCAACAGCGAACAGATCCAAGCTCGCCTGATCTTCAGGCCAAAAATAGTCCTGCAGGAAGGCAGACCTGTTCGAGGAAACGTGTGAGTGCACGTCCAACAAGGGGCTGGGTCGACTTGACCTGCAATAACGCGTACCGTATTCCAAAGGTGACGACATAGCAGTCTATAAGTCACAAATCAAATATGGTCAGCATATGAGAAGAATCGCTAAATTAATTGGTTGATGTCTTGCCTTTGACAAAACTTTCACGTTTTTCTCGTGACAAGGAGCGCACTTCCTTCAAGTACTTCCCGGAGGCATCGTCGATACACTTGAGAGCTTCCTCCACCGTGGTCATGACCCGCAAAACAGAATCTGCGAGTAAAAACACGTTATTGCACGGCGAATACCAAACGTTCGCGAAGTAAAAGAGGTTCACACCTATAAATCACACGGATTTGCATGCATTAGCACTTTGTAAACTCTCCACTATCTCATGTAAAGTCCAAGCCAACATTCTTGAACAACACATATATTTATTACACCGAGCTTGAAGCAAGATAAAGGCGAATAGACGAAGTCGGCTTCGCATTATCCATTCTTACGATACTGAAAAGAAGAATAAGTTCTCGTGATGGTCAACGAGCCTACTGAAGATGCAGATTTACGTGCTTTACTGGAATCTATGGAGAAATCAGGAGATCCATCGCCTGGACTGCCACTAGCAGCAGAACATGCTGAACAATTTGTAGAATTAATGGCAAAGATTGCCCAGAATCCAGAATTGGCCAGTTCACTATCAGCCGAATCGATGCCATCAACCCTCAAAGTGAATGCATCATCAGACACTCAAAAGGAGAGACACGAAGTGACTCCTCAGCCTGGATTCGTGCTCAAGACAGTGAATAGAAAGAAGTCTGCTTCTGGGGAATGGGCTGAAGGGATAAAGGTTGTTTTCAAAAGTAGCAGTGTTTTATGTCTTCGTCAAGCAAGGCTTAGTCTTTTCATCCTTCAATTAGGTCTTTATCAACTTTGGACACTCGTCTCAGATTCCCAGTCCACCGCCTGGAAGCGATGAAGAAATCCTGAAGGCTATAGCTACTGAAGATGGAACCTACAAGGTACCAACTTCGCTAAGCACTCCTCGACGAGACAAGGATAAAGGTACGTTCATATACTGTCTCATCTATGGGTTTCACAATGCTCACTACTTCAAGATTAGCTGGACGAGAAGCTTGCGTATACGATGTTTGTGTACACACGAATGCGCTACAACTCGCATCAAGGCTGGAAGACTATCAGATCTTCCTGATGGAACTGGTCTTGCAACACGTCGAAACAAAGAGTGGAATGCTGCTCAGTCGAGGTATGGAATCTATTCTTCGTCAGTTCTGACGTTGTGCTAATTGTCGATGTAATAGACATCTCATTCCCAAAAATGAAGTCCAAAGGACCGCTCGCCAAACATATAATCTATCGAGCCAAACGACCCTCCATTGCTGAGACAGCACCTATAATCTCGAACAAACCAGATGCACCATCAAAAGCTCCAGCCAAACCGAAAAAGCTTCCTGCTCCTGAATACGAGGTTATCCCAACTCCAAAAACTGGTCGTCCGGAATATATTCAGGTCAAGATACGTCTCCCCGCTGTGGTATGTCGAGTCCTTGGCTTTTGATTGATGATCAAGTGTCTGAACATTCTTATTCTACAGGAGTCAACAAAGGAGGCGACTCTTGATGTAGAGTTGGATAAGCTCATATTGAGCGTGCCCAACCTTCATGATGCCGACATCAAACTTCCGTGGAAGGTCGATATTGATTCGTGTCGAGCTCAATTTGATAGGAGTGTACGCCATCTGAATGTATATTTGACCTGTTCCAAGTAGATAGTAAAGCGCTGTTGCTAAATATGAGGTTGGAGTGTCCCAAAGGCAATATTTTGAATATCGCAAAATATCACTTTGTATATGTCACAGAATATAACTTGTATTTTACTTGAAGCAGCAGTTTTCTGAATCTCGTATATACAAACCAAAAGAAGTAAAAGTGATAAACCATTCTACATTTGATTGGGAGCAGGAGCTCCACCAAAGTCAGCTTGGTGTTTGCTCAACCATTGGTCGAAACGCTCAGGTTTGTGACCCAATAGCATTTCTGCATCGCCAGAGTACCTCATCAATTTGCCATCTTCCATCTAAGCAAACCAATTATGTGGACAGTTCTGGTTGCATAAAGGCCTTAACATCGCAACCAAACAGTCTAAATCTCACCATCTCAAAGAGTTCTCCCCTGAGCGAAACAGCAAGAGATGAGATCTTTCCTTGCAACAATTGCTTCCATTGCTGAATTTGGACCTTGTTGTACGCAATTGGAGTATTGAAACTTTGGGACATCATATCAATCATGTTTTGAAGAGTGATGCTGTCACTTCCAGTCAAGTAGAACCCTTGGGGACTTCTGGAGGTATATCCCATTTGCTCAAGGTTTGATACATGGCGTGCGAGACACATGAGACAACATCAACTAGATCGAGATGAAACTGTGTTAGTTTATTAGACATGGCACCGTTTTTTTGCTTCAGGTTTTCGAGACAAGTGTTTCGTTTTGGCACCTTCGCAGATACACGACACATTTCATAGCCCATGTAGCCATTGGCACGGAAGATGAGGACACAGTGATTCTTGCTGCTAGTCATTGATTCGATAAAGAAGTTTGAAGTTGATGTGTGTATAATTCTGGTTTGATGTTGGTGTTGCTTTCGAGTGAAAGTAAAAAGTTGTGTGAAGGCGAGCTCTCTGAAGAATTTTCCCAGCTGCCAAAGTCATGCAGTGACAGGTGCCGACTTCAAATTGAAAGGGACTGCCTTTTCTTCACCCTGGGGTAGATGAACACCTTCAGATTTTGACTTCAAGTCCTTTTGTTGCTTAATCCACTGTCCAACCATAAGAAACCGTCGTTTGCCACTATTTTCTGACACAATCTGTCAATTAAATTTGCATTTGAATTAGGCTGATTAAAATTGTCAAAGTTGAAAGGTTCCCCGACGTCATGTTGAAATGTTCGGATGTTACGATTACATGGCGTTTTTCAAATGCTTGAGACAATATCTGCAACAGCTTGTTGACTGTTTCAAGTCAATGATCATAAAAATTCAAAGTGGTACTTGCAATTTAGGCAATACATGCCAGATTGTCAACGTTGACGTTGGCAGTCACATGAATATCGAATTGTAATGGCATTCATGTGCTCGAAAGTGTCAACAAGAACCGGAAAAACGTTAATTGAGAAGACATAACCCCAGCCATTGTATCAACTCTTATATAGTTTGTCGATCATGTTCCCGCTCACGAAGGTGACAATGTTGGTCCAGTTTTCGTGGTATGCTTGCTCTTCGTGAGACTGACGAATCTTCTCAATGCCCAGTTGGTGGTCTTGTTACTTGCACTCATCTCCTGTGTCCATGGTTTTGGGTGGTTTAAAAAGGCGCCTTCCTCTGAAGACATTGAAACTGTTACTTCTGGTACGTAATGTCCTTTCTCAGCTGGATGAATACCAAATGATTGACAGGCTTCTTTTTGTTGAATTTAGATGGCATGAATAGTGGAAGGAATCTCGTATCGGATGTCAGAGCTGAGACTACAAATATTAATACTTCCAATTCTGTCGCTACGAATGTGCCATTCAATGCAACTGAACATGCCAACTTTAGTCAAATCTGGCAGGATCTCTCTGATATTGGGCATAATGTCGTTGAATTGATTCACGGTGATGTCTTTGACCTTGTGCCAGACACGGTCGAAATCATTGATGATTCAGCTGATCTGGCCCATCAAGGCAAGCTGATCTATCAGGATCTCCAAATCTGGTGCAAAAAGCTTGAAGAACAGAAACAAAAGAATGCTGAGCAAAAAGAAAGAATGCCAACAAAACTGATTAAATTCTGATGGTCACCCGTGGCGAATAACATTCCAAATACAATCATATCTCTGGCTACTAAAAAAGCCAAACTTGCTGCAAAATATATCACGTATTCAAAGTAATGCCTGGCTTCAGCCGACCGCCTATGTTGTATTCAAGGTTTCCGTCGTTTGTCAGTCAACTTCTCGTGCGAGTTTGCTGTAATTTCTGACGGCTGTCTCCAAAGGAGACGGCATACACTTGCCATAGGCAAGCAAATGATAGCCGATGATGAATCCCTACCGAGAGAGTTTGCAGCCGTCGCATTCAAAAGTGATCTCCATGAAACTGACCAGGAGCGATACGAGCTGTCAGTGCCAATAACCCTGTTTTTAGATTAGGCTAAATAAGGTGTCGACGTCAAAGTGCTGACCGAGTTCTGTTATATGTTTCGATTCATTGGTCGGGTACAAGCGGAAGAATACTATCAGTAAAACATTTACAGACCGTCCCAAATCCGTAACCCGAAGTCTAGACTCCTAGTTGTGATCAGGCTGTTGCAGTCAAATTTGTCACATCGGCAGTCGATGCAGATGCGCATTGTGTGGCGTGAATATTTAGCCAAAGTCAACATTAATTTCCAGAAACACTGTTTACTCAGAGACAAGGCTATGTGCTATCATCGTCTAGTTTAAAGTTTGACGATCATGTTGCTGCTCATGAAGGTAACAATGTTCGGATCTGTTTCCGTCAAGTGCCTTCAGACTAACTAATCTCGCCATACAGTTAAGGGGTCTTGCTACTCGTACTTGCTTCCTCTGCTCAAAGGGCTGTACCATGGGGCTTCAGGAATGTGGGTGCAGGTCTTCAACATGCCATTGATGGTTTGAGCATCCGGTCTTCGACGTCTGCAACATACAGGCATTGACAAGTTGCTTCTTACAGATAGCAAGTATCATGATCGTGGCCGTGGCGGTATCCATTTCGTTGTGCCAGAAACCAAGGCCAACGTCGAGGTCATCAAGCCAGCGCCACTGGTTGATGTCATCAAACTACCAACTGACAATACTGCCGAATCAGTCAAGAAGAATGTGGCATCCAATGCAAATGAACATGTCAACATTAGTCGTATCTGGAACGATCTCTCTGATATCGGGAAGAATGTCTTTGAACTGATGCATGGTGATATCTTTCACACTGTGCCAAACACGGTCGAGATCTTTGATGCTTCAGTTGATCTGGCACATGGAGGAAAGATGATTTTCCAGGATCTTCAGAACTGCAACAAGCTTGATGAGCAAAACCAAAAGAATGCCACAAAGGTACATGGAAAAATAGTTTGGTTGATGCTTACACTGAAATACACCACATTATTTGGCTACGAAAGCAACCAAACTTTTTGAAAATATATCACGTATTCGATCGTTTTACTAGCTTCAACCGACCGCATATGTTTTTCTTGACCTTTTCTTCGTTTTTGCTCCAATCCTAGCAAACTTGCACCAAAAAGTTGATTCTTGATGCCTGACTCGAAAGGAGACGACGGCAGCCTGGCCATGAATAATCAAACGGTTGCAAATGGCGAATCTATGCCCAGAGAGTCTGCGGACATCACCAGCGCATTCAAAAGTGATCTCCACGAAACTGCCCAAAATGAGAAACGAGCTGCCAGTGTGAATGAGACAGCTGTAGTGGTGGAAGACGATGATCCAGCTGGTATAGTGTCTGAGAAGGTGATCCTGCCGATGAAGTCCGTTAGAATGGGTCTGCCTGTTCCTAAACCAGCACATTACGACCCAAAGACATTTGAACTGACAATGACGTTCAATGTTTTCATGGCTGCTTGTGTCTTTGTCTACTTTTCTGTTAATGTGAGTGTTGATCCTGCATCATTCATCACTTCTTAGGCTCTGATGTCGATTCTTGAACTTTATCGATCATTTAACGCTTACTTTTCACTCATTAGACCTGTGTATACCCATTGTTGAACTTGATTGGAGACGAATTTCATGCCACGCCATCGCAGCTTGGACTGATACCAACCACGTCGGGAATTGGATTTGGGTTGGCAAACATCTTTGTCAATCCACTGATCGATCTGTTCGGTCCTCGCTCTCTCATGGTCTACTTCACAGTAGTCTACGGTGTCTTGACCATCCTGATTTCATTGTGTCAGAACATTTTGACAATGCAGATTCTCTTGTGAGTTCCTTGTGTTGTCAGCGAACAAACTGCGTACTAGCTCGAAAACACTTAGTTTAAGTGTCATGTTCCTGTCATGAATGTCATTAATTAGGTGAAGTGTCATTCAATCTCACACCCTCTTTTGTAGTTTCGTATGGGGATTCTTATCCGTACCACAGAGCATGTCCTTCCCCGTAATTTCCGCCATCGCCAAACCAGAAAAGATGGGACAAGCTCTCGGGTATCTCTCTGGATCGTATTTAATAGGGGGTTTGGGTGGTCGAGTCATATCAGGTGCTATAGCTCAATACTTAGGATGGCGAGCAGTCTTTTGTATCTTTGGAGGTGTCATGCTTGGGTTAGATCTAGTACTGTTTGTCTTTTTGCCAGACATACCGTCGAGAACGCAAGAGTCGTATGGCAATCTGCTCAAGAGTATGTGTGTCATGTTTGTCAAGCATAAGGAAGTTGTTGTGGTACGTATTTGAATTTTAATTATCCTTAATGGTGTTAAGATTAAAGAAAGCTGAACGTAGGGCTTGGTCTCGTTCTTCTGCGTCAACTTCTTCAACTATGGCTTCCTCACAGTCTTGACATTCCTACTTGGAGACCGATACTCTTTCAACGCTGCACAAATTGGGTTGGTAGCGCTAGTAGGGATGGCCGGTGCATTATTAGGAGTTCCACTTGGACGATTTGCTGATACCCTTGGCGTTTATACCACCATCATTATAGGTAAATATTTTGTTTGCTCATCGTCGTAGCATTATACACCCTGAACTAACGACATTAACACTTTGATACCAAGCCTACATGTTGTGCACAACATCACTTCTCCTGGCCATGTTTGCCGGAGAGATCCATGTGTCCGTCATTTTTGTCTCAATGTTCTTCCTAGACGTTGGATCTCAGGTATGCTACGTATCGACCGGAGAATCAGCGAAAGACGAAATCGTTTCTAAATCTGTCTTTCTCTACTAGCTGATTTTCCTGCCTACTCAATCATCAGCATTCAACAAGGCACCTAATTCAACAGCAAGAATCACATCCGTTCTACTAATAGGTGGGTTTGCTGGATTCAGTGCCGGTAGTGCGGCCTGCTCTGCAGTCTATAGCGTTAGTGGTTGGAAGGCATCCATGGCGTTGTGTCTGGCAGTCTGTCTCGCCGGGTTTGCCATATGTTTGGTATTAGGCTTTCCCCCAAAGAAAAAGCCAGAGAAAAGAACTGTATTGGCTGATTTGGATTCAAAGCCTGTAGCATAATTGTATTATAGTCGCTGTTGCTATAGTTTGTGATAGAATAATATAGATGCTGCTTCTAATAAATTTTGAAATATCGCCAAACAATCCAGCAACGATCGTTCTTATGAACTCTTTTTGTTTGATACATACGGTTTTACATACACAAGCAAGCACACACAAGGAAAGTTTCAAGCAGGAAATCAAGCGTCACGAACAGTCACACTCCAGTTTGATTTTATCAATCTAGTTAAGATGCACAAGTTTAAAAATCACTTCTATCTTTAGATGACTAGAAAAACTTACCGATCAATCAAGATATTGCCAAAAGCTGTAGCAGGAGTCAAGAAACCCGCAGGAACAGGTTTAAAGGCACCGTCCGGCAACTTGTTCATTTTCTCACGATCAAGGACACTCAATGCTGATTCAGCCAGCATCTTCGCAGTTTCACCTAAAGCGAAATCGGGTGAGCAAAAAATGTCAAGGCGGGATGTTGCAATAAAGTGCCTTCTGTTGGCTCACCATAACCAGGATCTTTGTAGAACTTGATTTCTGCTATAGCTTGAAGAGGCTTTTCCTCAGTCTAATCAAAACGAACTACGTCAATGCCTGAAATCAATGGTGTCGAATCTCGCCAGGTTCACTTACAGAAGCAGTTTCAGAGACTCCAGTAAAGACCATATGGATTGAACCATTTTCAATTTGCTTTCGAGTAGGACTAGGGAAGTTAAGGATGAATACGATTGCAAAAGTGGGGAATCCAGATATTGATACTTCTTCACAATGACGATGCGACTCTTACCCAGTTCCTGGAGGAATCATATATGCCAAGAACCATCGTACCACGGGAATCAAAACGGAGATAATTGCCACACCCACTAGAACAAAGAAGAACATACGTAGTTTAGCAATTGACAAAAGGTTGAAACTCTAGTTGTATAAACAACTCTTACTCGAAACGTTGATTGCAATTGCAGAGAAGATACTTTTGCGTCCCATAGCTTCAGAGTATTTGAACTTGCTTCCATATTGGTTGCCAAAAAGACCATTTGCTGTGAGACGATTGCAGTTAAATTTGGTAGTGATGTCTCAGGACACAATCCTCAAAGACTCACATCGCATGACGACTTGAGTGTTGACAGCTTCCATAAGCCTAAGTGTTCGGCGAAGGCGTTTCAGATCTTGCAAGAGACAAACATAATCAGTGCTACACATACCACAGACATCGCCACATTTTGATGATTGGATCGTATTTCAATATGGTTGGACCAGGTGCGGCTGTAAAATGAAGGTAATGAGCGATATAAGCTAGTGGTACTATTATCCTCTAACAATCTACCTTTTGGATCAGCAGGAATGTACTCTAGTGTTACGAATAAGGTACGTCAGCAGATGCACGAATGTGCGATTTTTCTTGTGCATACCTTTTGGGGTCAGCGCATACGGACCTGCTGCGGATCCCATTTCACCACTATTAATGATATTGATCATAGACGCAAGAGTACCGCCCGAGATACCACCAGACATCTTAACAACTGAAGCAGCAACTTGTGCCGTTTTCTTTCCATGCTTGACCTTGAAATGCTGAGCAACCAAGAAAGAGCCCAGATCTGCAGGTACACTATCGAATCCACTCATAGGCACCAATATAGTTCCCTCAGCTTTGGCCTTCTCGCCATACAAGTCAATAGCCTTCTTGACAAACGGCGATTCGCCAGTCGAGTCGATATAGTGTGTTTGGTTGTTTACACATGATTCGACGAGTTTCATTCCGTACTTCATGAATGGTCCGACGGTTGTCAAGACTACACGAGTTTGAGCTACAAATGCATCGAGTGATGCCTTGTCATCCGAGTCGGCGACAAAGACCTGGAATTTGGAGAATTTGCGAATTGATTCGACCATTTGTTTGATTTCTTCCAGTTTCTTGGCTGAACGGCCAGCTATTCCCCATCGTAAATCGGCAGGTCCAGATCTTGCCAAGTCTAGGAGAGACATGCACGAGCGTTAGCTGGTATTCAGATTGCTTGATGAGCTCTGAAGCTGTCAATCTTTTGAAATTCTTGTAATTTGCATTGGCGATAAGATAAGCTTAAGCTCTCAAAAGTTGGAATTGCATACATTCAGCAACGAGCTGTCCAGTGAAACCTAAGAAAAAAGGACGAGTGAGAGCGATTATCTTGACCAAGTAGCACATCTCAAGAATACCAGTAGCTCCCCTAATGAGTATGAAGACATGTCAGCGATCTAAGCTCGAATTTGGCCGACAAACGTGTTCCAAACATCGCAACCTGAGTACGTAACGAGACTTACCAGACGATTATGTCATATGGCCTTCCAGCTCTGCGCGTCAAAGCTTGTTCCATCTTTCAATTGTGTTGAAGGTGCTCTACGAGATCCTCTTCGGATTTTGTTGATGCCGACATAGGAAATGGTGCTGGCTTATGGAGTTTTTCATGGATGAAAAGATGTGTAAGGAACACTTTACGCGTCCCAAGTGCTCGTACTGGTGGAACTTCCCGAAACTGGTCTCGTTCTAACCACCTACTCGCGAAATACAACTGAGTTCTGTGAAGGGAACACATAGAAGTCGCTAACATAGCAGTCAGATATTCGGCCTACGCATTATGGACATATATCGATAATATCGATCCACATTGGAGCCTCTTACAAGCTGGTATCGCGATATTTACCCCACACCAACACTCCAACAATCCGAAAAACACTGGATTTGCGCTTGGGGAACAAGAGAGAGCAGGAGAGACGAGATATCAGTTTGTAAAGCAGTCTAGCCTGCAGGAGAAGCCATGGCAACCCTACTACACCATATTGGTGAAGCAGGTAACGTTTGAAGACCAAAAAGTACATTAAGACTTGAATATTGGTAGTTGATTCAATTGACGATCCAGATCCACTAGTCGATTCAATTTTCCATAGCTGTAACTGGTCGTTCAACGCCGGTATGAAGCGCTTCTTCGTAGGTTTAGTACTGATTCAGGATGTTGAGGAAATTTAGTCACAAACTTACAAAAGCCAATTCCGAAAAGATTATAATCTAACAGCAGCCGCAGCAGGTTTCGTCACCCCACGACGTTCACCACCAGCTACATCCTTAATGACTTGCGTCACGAGCATGTCCTCAATCAATTGCACCCAGCATGAAGCACCAACAAGCATAGCTTCCTCATTAATGTCAAAGAGAGGACTATGATGTGGCCTCATTTTACCGTCGTTGATTTTGCCTCCCACGTTGAAGAAGCAGCCGGGACGTAATTCCAGGAATCGTGAAAAGTCTAGTGACAATTCGATGAGTGACTTCAGAGTCTTTCAAAGGATAAGCTTTATCGTCTACCTTCCGATCCCGTTGCTTTGAATGCAGGGCCCAAGTGAGGCGTTATCTTTGAGACGATAGATCGAACAAGCTCTGTTGGACCCTTGTCGTTGGTTAAAGCAGGAAAGATATCCACATCTTGAGAATTTTGGAGTTTAAGAATCTGTTGTGATATAATATGGCAACTTAAACCGGTTTCTTACATCGAATGTCAATCTCAACACCAAAAGTGGCCGCGACACCCTTGCAGATTTCTGTTAACCGATTTCGAAGCAATACCTTCACTTCAGGCTCAAAGAATCTGACTGTTCCCTCCATACTTGCGGTGGAAGCTATAGCATTTGCTACAGATCCAGCTTCAATCTGTACAAAAACAAAGGCATTCAACAGTGTCAACAAAAATACGATCAAAACTCAACAACAGAAACCTCGATGACGGCCACATCTTTGCGTACCTTGCCGACTGAAAGCACTGAACCTTTCTGAGGATCAACATTTCGAGACACAACCGTTTGTAGCGCCGTAATCAAATGGCTGGCAATCACTATCGCGTCCTTCGTCTGATGCGGGGCAGATCCATGACCACCCACGCCATTGACGGTAATGTAAAAGAAATCCTATTTGTAAAGGTTGATTGTGTCGGTTGACTTCGGGCTAAAAATATGAACTAGCAGTTGTTGAATAGTACAGAACACTTACGCCTCCAGCCATCGTTGTTCCTACATTAGCAAAGACCATACCAACAGGTGCAAAGCTTGAGATATGGATTCCATAGAACGCATCAATGTCGAAACCACCCACGTCCAGGAGACCATCTTCAATCATTCTCTTTGCACCACCACCATTCTCTTCAGCCTGTTTTTTCGAGAACCGGATTTAGCTTAATGCTTCAAACCCAAAATGAAACGTTGATCGGAATGGTATCGAAAATGCGACTCACGGGCTGGAAAATGAACTTGATGGATCCATGCATCTTTGAGTTCCACTTTTCCGACGCAACTCTCGCAGCAGCCAGCAGCATCGCGATGTGCGTATCGTGACCACATGCATGCATCGCACCCTTGCGAGTGCTAGCATAGACCTTGCCAGTCGGATCCTCGGTTAGTGGCAATGCATCGATATCAGCTCGTAAACCGATACATGGGCGTTCAGTCTTGCCACGTAAAATCCCAACTACTCCAGTCGGCCCACCGATATTGTTGATAACTTGCATGCCTTTCATAGATTTCTGTAAGAAAAGTGCGCAATAGAGTGAGCTGATGTCGTAGTGGAGACGATCAAGCAAAACAAGTTGAAGATCTGAGATTGGTGTTTTGATGTTGCCGATTGCATTACCAGTTCCTTTGTGATGTAAGCTGCGGTGTCGAATTCTGAATATAATGATGGTTAGAATACAATATTCAGCAAACAATTCGCGAAACGTACCGTTGAAGGCCGTCTCCGCATTTATGTGACAATGTCTACGGATTTTCACCATATATTCATAGAGTTCCGTGATCTCAGGTCTGGGCTTGTAGTCTCGAGACATGATAGAGGTTAGATCAGAGGGGATCGCTCTATTCGCTATAAGCTGTGGGTTGTAAATCGTTATCGTGGCTCTAGCGAGTAACACAAAGTCATTGCATCACAAACTCGTCCAAATGGAGTAAGAAGTACCAAATCAAGAAGTTCGGATGTATGTACGTGCCATTACGCGACCTGCTCAACGTTAGGCATGATTGGACTCTGTGGTCGAATCGAAACTTCTCCGTTTGGCCAAACAGGTTGCGGTTCTGCTTCAGCGTTTCATCAATAGAGCTCCACTTTCAAGATTATGCAAAAAATCTATTGACATGATTACTTCAACATCCCTACATCTCGAATACACGTGTGTAAATACAATAGCCTCTACTCTTTAGAAATCAGCACCATAAGAGCCAACCCTCCAAGCAGCACATACTTGACTTCTGGATAGTCATTCATGAGAATAGTGATTATTCCCACATATGGAAGGAATCTAAGAGTTCGAGATCTGAGTAAGCACAAGTTCATAGAGCTCTTGATCACGCAAGACAGCTTACCCCTTGACTCTTCCCACAACATCATCTTGGTGAATCCACATCTGTCCTTGATTATACAGTACCCTATCGTCTCCTGGATTGTTGTCTCCTTTGGTGAGTATGTATTGTTTGCCATCCTTGACGCTAAACAAGAAATCCAAGCGAGTCAAGATATACCAACGACGTTCAAACAGCATGACGATTCAGCAATAACAGACAGCACAATAAACGATACAAACAGCACATACTCGGCATGAACTTTGAGCACGCGATGCACTATAGGTACATCACGGCCCTTGATTTTGAAGACAGTGATCTCGCCAATCTGAATTGGCTGACTTGGCATGTACAGAAAGAGTAAATCTCCACGATGGAAGGCTGGTTCCATACTTCCACTAAAGGTTACATAGATTATCAGTTCCAAAATCGACAAAGTCTACATCACTTGAAATGTCGAAGGTTAAGTACCTCAACACGACGACAATAGGACTCTCGCTGTTTGTGATCAGAGACAACCCCTTCCAAATTGCCATTGCCGATGCGACAATCATGAAAAAGTTTAGAGCCTGCAGTGCCAGCTACGTGATAAAACAAAAATGTCAGGTCCGAGTTGAGATGCTTGTTTACAATTGTAGCAAAGGCAGGGAGAGATCGATACCTGTCGCTTATTCATTTGTAATAATGGCTTTACATACTCCATGATTGCAGTCGCTGATCTCGCCTCTTCTCTAATTGACACTTCTTAGTTGGAAGTGAGTGTTCGAAACGAGCTCCATCTTTTCAGAAAAGAACTACAATAGCAAACCTATGATCTAAAACAAGCTTAAACAATCAGAAAAATGCCAACACCAAAGCAGCAAGGAAACGTAATATTCGATTCAGCTTCAGAACTGAATTTCGCTACACATTTGCTACACACTCTTGGAGCTAGACCCGTGAAATATAATTCAACATATCAACCTGAACTGGATGCTCCATTAGCTCCATTACCTCAATCAAGCAGACCATTTCCATTACGTGTAAATATTCATAGACGCTCTTGTTTTGCCTCTTTTTACTATTGTCTCGCATTCAAACTGTCAACATCACGACCAAACATCTTAACCTTGTTTCCCAACATAGAAATTCGCCAAACCAGCATCATCAACAGACATCACACTCCAAATCAAGGCCTTAAAAGCCAATATAAATCACACCATAACCGTATCTCGAATAGCAACTATATCAGCAGTGAAAGCCTCCATCGCTAAACTCGGTGACGTGCCTATCTCCTCGCAACGACTTATATGGAAGGGCAAAGCACTCACTGACTCGAAAACATTGCTGGATTATGGTATCGAGTCGGGGGAAACTATACACTTGTTGAAGAAGGTCGGGGTTGCGGACGATGATCCTGCTGCTGCTGCGACAACAGAAAATGTACCAGCAGTTACGGATTCAGGTATAGCAAAAGTGGGGATGGACAAGTCCTTTTGGGCTGGTGTGGCTACGTACTTGCAGAGTCGGTTGGGAGCAGAGTCGCCGATAGTGTATAGTGAGTTTGTAAAGGCTTATGAAGGATTGATCTCAAATAAGGAGGACAAGGATGCGCTGAAGACGGCTTCAACTGTATAATGTAAGGAATGTAGAACAGGATCTCAAATACACACAATGACAGGACAGCTGAACCCTAGCACTCAAATACACTGCAACCGCAGTCACTTTTTCCAAAGATTTGAATATTCTTTATATGAGGAGCAACAGGAAACCAAACTTATGAACATGGATATATATTTCTTGTCTAGTGATTGCCGTTAGCAATCTCTTTTCTTGCATCGATAACCAGTTCAGCCAGGCGCTTGAGTGCCTCATCGATCTCTGCAGCAGTAGCAGTAGAGTACGATGCACGTACAAAAGGTGTGGCCCTCATGTTTGGCATAAACTCATATCCAGGCACAAAAAGCACCTTCTTTTCAACAGCCTTTTGCTTGATCAATTCAGTGGAATCGTCAACGCCCAATAATTTCAACCAGACAAACATTCCTGTGCGAGAAACGATGAAATCGTCAAAATCACGATGGGGTGCAAAAAACCAAGGTCAAACAACCTGCAGATGGAGTAGACCATTCAGCGATTCCAGTCAATCGAGCTTCTGCACTCTTCAAGAAAGCATCTCGCTTTTCTTGATAGAAGTTTGCAACCTAACGGTCAGTATTGTTCAACAAGTTGCTTCAATGAAAAACAAGAAGATCCAGGTTCTCATAATGAAAGTCTGTCACTTTTCATATGTATCTTGGACAGGTCATATCTGCATCATCAACGTTAATTACCTCATCAGCATGTTCCAAGAACCCAGTTATTCCCCATTTAGCAAGAACTCCATATACCATAGCTTGACTTATACCGGAGGGGTGAAGGCTGGTAGCTGCATGAAACGTCAGCGACAGGTGCTCACAAAAACACTGAATAGTGCAGTTTCTATACCTTGGCCATGCAAAACAATGCGATCAACCAATGGTTTTGGGCCCGAAACCCAACCAATACGAATACCGGCCGACAATACCTTGGAGAAGGAGTCGAAACGAAGGACCCTTTGATCGACATCCATTGAGAAGTATGATGGAACTCGGGCAGATCCGAATTGCAGGTAATAGTCTGATTATCCACGAACAATGTTGGTGAGGTGGCGCAAGACCTTAACAGAAAAAAAAACAGAAACTTTACATGGATCGTCTTCCAAGATGAGCAAATCATATTTCTGAGCGATTTCGTAGACTTGCGCCTTTCGTTCAAGAGATGTACTTGTGCCAGTTGGGTTTCCTAAACCAAAGGGTCAGTAACCAGACCATGCTATGAAAATTGTATCACCAACCTCCAGTTGGGACAGTATAAAGGACCTAATACAACAGCGCTTTAGCAACATCACTGGAAGAGTATACGCTTAAGTGTAACAGACCTTTGGACGTGTTTGTGCATCCTTCCAATTCGCCAAGATTTCTTCCAACTTTTCAGGAACCAGCCCTGAGACGCACGGGCATGAGAATTTAGGATCTAGCTTATGACGCTTGATGGACAACTAGCTTCAGAATATTACCTTCAGAATCAGTATCGACCTCTGCCAAAATTGAAATGTATGATTAGTTCAGACCTGTTTGTAAATAGACGATTCCTGTTATTTCTTTACCACAACATACCAGCCAATTTGCAGCCTAGTGGCCTTAAGAAAGCCAGTATGCCAACATATGCTGGAGACTCGATTAACAAAACCGATTCTTCTGTTGGCTCAATCAACATTTCCAAAGCTCGCGTAATCACATCTTGTGAACCATTTCCAAGACAGATCTCGAACGATTCTTCTGGAGGTCGATGTTCTTCAATTTGAAGTTTTCGAATCCACTCAACCAGTTCTGGAAGACCGTTCTAAGTAACATAATTTGTGAGTTATCCTGGTGACTGCAGTTGCGAGAGTGTGACAAATGTACGGTTGGAGAGTATTGTAGAGCTTTTTTAGTGAATTCTTCAGAGATGCTGACGATTTCACCGTTCCTGAGTTTGAATTCCATTGACACGTATGGAAACGTGTTTGGATGCGGATTACCACCGCCAAGAGATATCTACCCAAAGAACGTGTAAGATTCCGAGCGTGCAATGTGCTCAGGGAAGGGATGTGCAATGTGCTTCTGAGCTTCTGTTGAGCGTGCAATTGATGTGTGCAATTCGAATAATCGTAGGTACCATTCCAGGAACAGAAAGAAACTTTTGTAGAGCCCGAATAGCACTACACGAAGTTAAAGGTCGTGTTGGTTGATAATATGAGATGTTTTGTTGGACATTGTCCGATGTTAAACATTAGCTGAGTGATGAACGATAGACAGACGCACAAACAGTTGGAAGAAATGCTCAATTCTCATTCATACCTTGGCTGCCGAGCAGCGCTCCTCTTTGTAATGAATCTGTCATAATCCATTGTGTTGGTCACGTCGTTTCTATTTCCGTGGACAACTAGTTCAAGTCGAGACTGACGGCGAACAGCTTGATCAAGCAGGTTCAAGATTCAAGATTCGTACAGAGCTTGCCAAATATGTGGAGATGGACGTGAAATAGGCCTCGGTTCACTACACAGCTACGAATACAGTATTAAGAACAGGATTAAGAAAACACACCGGTATAAGAAGCAGTCACCTCACGAATTGTAGTCTCATTTTCAAGAAAGCGGTCTGTCAGACTATTCCAAATCGCATTTAGAATGGTATCGACGTGCACCTGGACCAAGAACGACCACGTTGGACCTCGCCAACTATAGCATCAACGAAACAAAACACCCAATATCGAATAGAGTTAAGGGAGACGTGACGAATGCTTGGAATATACACATAATGGCATCAAAGACCAATGCCGAATGACCCAAGCTTCCCTCAATCGCAGCTGGAGGCCGCGGAAAAAAACTCCGATTGATCTCGACGCAAGCCGTGGTATTTTCTTTACTTTGAGTGAGAGATAAGACCTTGGACGCTTCAACCGTCCGTGAAGATTTCTGAAGTTATTCTTCTAGCTCTCCATCAGCTGAAGTTGTCTGCCATCTCGCACCTCGATGACCAAACTGTAAAAACTCGCACCTGTACGTGAGAGAACTCAAGAAGAGAGACTGCACGTTTTCTAACGATATTAGTGCTATTATCCAATCCCTTATCTCTGAATCATGTTTTCCTGTTGCACTTCCAGTGAGTGACTGACACACATAACACATCGCAAACCACGCAATGCTCACCTTGTTATTTGGAACAGCACCCGAGCCACGACAACTACGACGCAAGCTTCCAAGGCCGCAGACTGCGATGCAGCTGGTGTCCAATTCTCCCTTTCAACCAACGACAAACAACACATCTGCGACATCATCAAGTGATTTAGACGTCGAAGACGTGGACGAAGTTGATACAAGCATGACCATCTCGAAGCCACAAGAGGGTACTGACGGCTTTACGATTTCTTCTGTGAAACCCTCTGTGAATTCGTCACAGCCACTGCCTCCATCCGACAAGTCCAATGAATTCTTATCGAAGCAACGAAACCCGTCTCAGAATATGACTCACCACGGACCATCCAAACTGAGGAATGTAGTACTGACGGACGATGGCGCTGAAGAAGACTCAGTCATTGAAGCTGTTCAAATAGGCAATGACGCGACAAGGAACACCACAAACCGGAACTCTCACCCTTTTGCAATCAGCTAACGACAATCCCAGTAACCACGTAATAATATTTTTGTAAGAGCGAATGACAAGTATGAATAATATTAAGCTAGTAGTAGTTGATTTTTTTGTGTTTGGAGTACCCGCACGTGTTTCGCGAATGTGACTATGTGAGTCTCCCAGATCCCGAAAAGAACATAATTTGTGACCTCCTTTGTTTGCTACCACAGCAAACAACTCGCGCTCTGACAATTCGTACGTGAGCGCGTGCAAGCACGGACAAAAATCCAAAAAACTATAGATTGATATGCTTTTCCGTGCAGTAGTTCCAGCTGTCGCCGTCGTAGATATTAGTGTGCTTCTTGCAACTGAGTCAAGTTAGAGTCTATTTATTTCTTCTTTCGCCTCACAATGTAAGTACTCTGTTAAATGCGACATGCCTGGTTTTCCGTCGAATCAAATAACGTTTAAAACCTCATAGACTAAATTATATTGATCCTCATGCCTGGGCTAGAAGCATTTGATCTTTCTGAAATGTAATTTGCTGGTTTTTTGGCTCCAGGAGCCTGTATTCGTGAAGCTTATGCGCAACATTTTGTTACACTTCCCAACACCCCTACAACTCACACCTTCCTCAAATGCTAGTACAAGGATGCTACTGAAAAGAGCTACCAGTGATAGTATCCTAATTACTGGTCGAAGCCGTGTGGATCGAGAACGAACCGCATCAGGACAATCTGCTGAGTCGGCTGAGTATTTAACACCTGACGAATCTCTACATGGATCGCCAAAGTCTCCAGCATCGGATCCAATCAGTCCTTCACGATCAGCGATAAGAAGGACTCTGTTTGACACTCAGCACGACCCATCGGGAGATGAGTCAGGCGACGAATATGAAGATGACGATGAGAGTGCTTCGATGCATGATCATGGACGATCTCCTCATCCTCGAGGATCACGTCGCATTGATGGTAAAAGCAATAATGATCGGGCTGATACAATCCCGAGACTTCGCCGCCACGTTAGCTACTCTGATGAGGTCGAGCATCGTATCAAGAAGAGCGACAGTGCTCTAACTATGACGAACGATACAGAATCAATAGCAGATTCTAAAACAACCAATTATATGTTTTCTATTGCCGATACCCCTCCTTTAACGCCCTCATCGACGAATCGATCAGACCTAGAAATTCCGCCCTTTGTACATAAAGATGTGCCACCTCTTATCCCGCAATCATCAGCTACCATATCAACGGCATCCATCTCAGCTCCTCTAGTAAGGACACTGTCATCTACGACATCATTATCATCGACTAGGAGTCAACGTGAAAGGGAGGAATGGTGAGTGGATTGATAAATTTGGCTACATGTACAGAAGAGTACGCGTGTCTTTGTCTTCTGCTACAAAACAGCACATGATGAAGTTGCTGAAAGCTCTCTTTGGGGATAGGTCCGCCATGTTATCATCTGTCATGTCTGGTGAAGTAGTAACTAGTGAAAAGAAACGACTCTCTACATGGCTCATATCGAATACTCAACAGCACGCAGACGACAGGACACGATTATGGCTCAGTCTAAAGGCTCACTTGGCCGGACGTACCGTCGAAGAAGAACGATGTCGTCTCGAAGATAAACGTGCCAAAGTCGACAAGCTTCTTCAAGAAGTAATGGACTTTACCGTAAAACTTGATCCCAGCTCTCCACCACCACATGATCAAGTAGCTGCAATATTAGCCAGAGTAGATCGAGCAGAGGCGTTATATCCATCTCGTCATGCCTTCATTACTCAAACACCGATGTATGGATCTGGGGCCTTCCAACATCAGTTGGATGCCTTGATATCATGGGCTGCCGTATCAAAAGCAATTAGGATAAAATTAGCAATCTTGAAAGAGTGGACTGGCTCAGAGTTGATGGAGGAATCGCTCAATGAAGAAGTGAAACTAGAACGATCATCATTCGTAGACATGGTATTGAAGAATGCTGGTGTCAAAATAGTGTTTACTACTGGTGTGCTGCGAACTTTACAAAAGCTTTTAGTCAAATGTAAAACAGTAATGACAGAGAATTCGCAGGTGTATAAACGACTAGGCCTCTCCATGTTTTCACGGGAACTGGAACGATTGGCTGCCTTTCCATCAGACCTAATGCAAGAATTCTTGAAGGCCCGATTGGCATATTGTGGTGCTCTCACCAGCTTGTCGGGATCTGTTGCAGACCAAGTAATAGAAGATATCGCAGAGAATATTCAGTTGGCAATATCGCTTCATCAAGATGCTCGACATTTCTATCAACCTACTTTTGGATGGACAATCTCCAATTGGTATAAATTTTTGAATTCATTCCATCAAGTTTGGTAAAAGAAATTACGCCATATCATTTCATTTCAATAGTTTGAGCACTCATTACGAAACGCATCTGCTTGAGACATTCAAACTCTATCTCAAGCTTTTGGCTGTTCGCTCTGAACGTCTATCAGAATCCATGTTGCTTCCGCTCACGGAGCAGCTTGAGGCTCAATGGGAATTTGCAAAGTCTATCTGTCACGGTATTCACGGTGCAGATATGGAATGTGCCATACAGTTTTGGTAAGCCAATGGCAGGACATGGTCGTAAACATTTTAGGTACGAGTTTAACGAAATTGTTTTATAGCACCATGGAAACAAACTTATTGCAATACGCAGTCAAGCAAATGGAAATATACTCTTCTCGTGTGGTATCTCAGCAAACTGAAGCTGCTTTTAAGGCTGCCTTCAAATCGCATCATCGGTTGTTGGATGACACTCGATCAGCAGTCTGGGCAATCCTGCGTCTTTTAAAGTAACGTCGATTGCAATATTCGCCCCCCGTTAAGTGCCTTCTAACAATCGTGCCTCGTTTAGGTCATTGGAAGCATCAATATGTAATGCTGTGGAATATCAAATACTCGACGTTGGCCTTCTTGTCCATCAGCTGGTTCAAACTGGACATTCTTGGGTCGAATTTATAGGTGCTAACCCTGTCACTGATATGATAGTATTCGCTTCACCAAACACTCAGTCAGCCAATGTAGTGACTAGTGTATTGGATACATGTGTCTGTGACGCGGCAAACCCAGAAACACCACATGAATTTGGATATTATTGTGTTATATTGCCCATATCCCCACAACAACTTGAATGGAATGGTCGAGTGATCCAAGTACATTCATATGATATACCCGAAACGCTTCTTCGAACCGGTCATGGACTGGTGGTAGCAGAGAGTGTAGATCATGTTGATGACTCTCGTTTGAGATTTGAAAATGGAGCTGGAGAGTCAGTGGTTGTATGTAGTGAACCAAGACCATTCCACTCTGGACCACAAATAGGATTGAGTGGATGCCGTAAATCTCTAGTGAGACTGCTACATCGTGTCAAGTCTCTTACGGGCGAAATTCGCCAAACCATCAATACAGTCGAAAACACGGCCCAATTCGATGCAGATCCACGTCTCACCACATCAGACGTTATCGGTGATTGGTTTTGTTTTGTCGCAGAGATGTCTCAGTAAGTACCAACATGGTGCTATGCACAAATCTGTCGCTCATGTTGGTATTTTGCTATTTCTGCTACTTACAAGAATTCAATATTTGCCAACCGTAGGAAGGCGCTCAAATGCATGACATACCCACAATCCAGTATTACCATGATGCTGAACTCTCTTCTTGTTGAACTGGTTGGTGATTGGGTGGACTTTTGTATTCGAGATTGTGACTCAAAGTCTCGTCGAACACTTCGTTGGTGTTTACAAGCCCTCGAATTTGCTCAAGTAGTTGTAGCAGGTGGTCGTATCGATCATTTGAAATCTGTCGAGTTCTCTCAGTTGAGAGCTTGTGTCGCCAGAGCTATGAGTCTCTTGATCAAATTTATTGATGTGCAAGGTGTTCGATCTCAGCCAAGACCTCTAGTACCAACCGGATCTAAATCGTCATCCGGTATCGATGGCAGTAATGTCATCTCACCAGATCCATTACCAGTGGACGCCCTCACCCCTCTCACTAGCTACGGTAGTAATGGTGATAGTAGTACCAGTGGTGGCGCTAGCGTTGGATCAGCGTCCGACAACACGCTAGTAATCAAAAACTTTGATTTGGACACATCTCCATCACGTCGGCTCGGAAAGTCGTTTGTCGATGTAGTATGCAAGATAGAAGATGAGCGTAGTCGTAGGGAAACAGGGTGGAGGATGGTTGGCAAAGTACTGGATGATGTCTCATCAGAACGTGATCGAGCTCTGAAGCAGATTGTATCTGAAAGCCCGCAATTGATGTTCAATTGGCAACAAGGGAAATTCCTTGGTGGTGGCTCGTATGGGACTGTCTCGGTAGCCATTAATCTTGATACTTCAGATCTCATGGCAGTCAAAGGTGGGTAGCTGACTGCCACAAAAAAAAGAGATGCTAGAAAGATCTCACAGATTTTTCTCTTCGCAGAAATCCACTTCTCTGATTCCAAGTCACTATCGACGTTGGAAAAGTCTGTACGAGAAGAAATGGCTGTTTTGAGACAATTATCACACCCAAACACTGTTGAATACTATGGTGTTGAAGTGCGACGTGATCGCTTATATATCTTTATGGAATATTGTCCTCAATGTCTGGCCACTATTTTGGATCATGGCCGTATTGAAGATGAAGGTGCTGTACGAGTATATGTCAAGCAAATGCTGAAGGGGCTGGAATACTTGCATTCCAAGGGCATTGTCCATAGGTAAGAATGGTTGCATCGTATTCACTGTCGCTTTTTTTTGTAGTAAAGAATGCTAATGTAGTTTATGTTTTAGAGATATCAAACCTGCAAATCTATTGATTGGAAGCAACGGACAGATCAAATATGTCGATTTTGGAGCCTCAAAGATATACAAGTCAACCATGACCATTCAGAATGGTCGATCCTTGGTTGGTACCGCCAACTACTTAGCTCCAGAAGTTATCACTGGTGATGTAGCTGGAGCCATGGGTGCTCAAGATATATGGAGTTTGGGATGTTGTGTTTTGGAAATGATTTCTGGCAAAAAGCCTTGGTCTAACTTGGACAATGACTGGGCAGTGGTGAGCCTTTGTAATGATGCATCAGGGTGTATGATCTCACTTACTTACGGATATTGTGTTTTGCAAATCTAGATGTATCATATTGGTATCTCTAACTGTAATCCTCCATTGCCTGGCCCAGATCAAATGTCTCGTGAATGCCGAGACTTTTTATTAAAGTGCTTTACTCGACCAGCATCTGCACGTCCAACAGTAGCTGCCTTACTGAAGCATCCATGGGTAATTAATATCGATGACGGAGAGTACGAAATCACTATGACTCCAACAGTCCGTGCTGTTGGATCCGAGTATCTCGATCCGAGTGGCTCGACACTCCATAGAATACCCAGTAAACGACTCTTGACAGACTCTAGTCGCCGTGCATCCTTCCATTATGATTCTGATGAAGGGAGGATCGAAGAAATCCGTGGCAAGAAGGGTATCATAGCACCACCTAACGAAGTGCCGACTCTCACATCAGCATCCTCGAGTACAGCGTACTCGAATGGCGAGTCGTCGTTTGGTATGCCTGGTCATCGTCATCGATTCAATCGACAAGTGCCTCCAGGAACGAGTCTATCGTTGCCACCACGAGCTGAATCAGCATTCGCTATGACTGATCGTCCATCACCCTTGTCGGAGGGTGCCAGATCATTTACGAGACTTGGTAGTGCTTGCTCTTCAGCAAGCGGTAGTGGCGCACCAAGTGTTAGCGGTGAACCATGAAACGTAGATAGGAGCGAAAATGAAAATGTTAGTAATTTTTTGTTGTATATTATACCACGCTCCAAGTGTAGAATAGTAGTATTAGTGTCCTTTTTGGCTCATGTAAGAAACACGCATATCAAAATATAATCGTAATTTGAGAAGAGCTTCCCTTTTTGGCTCATTTTTGTGTTGCAAGAATGGAAAAATCATTTGACTCGCCGACACCAACATTGTTTTTAGCAGCATCAAGTTTGTTTGTATTTATCTGAGAGCAAACTGACAACTAAACTATAGACCACTATTTGCAAAAACAACCAACAACGACCAGGTAGTAACCAACTCATTCTTCCTTCTTCTTGCCAAACATTTCAGGGTTTTTAGAGTGGTACGTTTCAAAGACTTGGACCATGCTCATGGGATCCTTGCCAGTGATTCTAAGGCAGAGAGCGTACGTTTATAAATACTTTCAAAGTCGACTAGTCAAACAACAAAAGAAAGTTTCAGTGGTTCACCAGAACAATTACGTGTTGAAGTCTGATGAGACGAAGTTGAGTTTGTTCTCATCCACAGCCTTGTAGAATGAGACGATGCCTTCAACCTGGGCGTTCAGAAACAAGATGGTGAGGACAAGGCTGAAAAAACGAAGACTCAACGGTTTCTCAAAGCTGTTTACCTTTTCTGGCTTCGTTAGGGTTGCATGAAGACTCTTTGAGCTTCTTCCATGGAGATCTTTTTGAATTCAATGGTTCGACCAAGAGCCTATCAATGATTCAATTATCAGGTGATCTACACCAAAGAAAGCATGTGATCGAAGCGACGGATTCCAATCGCTCATACTCACCATGGATGCGTCTTTGGCAAATTCAGGTCCATGTTTGGTTTTGATTCCGGTGATTTCATAAGTCTTGCCATGATGCTTTTCGCAATCTTTGAGGATATGAGCGGCAGCACAAGCGACATCCATGACTGATACCGGAGCAAAGTAGCCTTCTGTGGGCAATGGCATGGTGTTTTGATCTTTGATTTGCTTGGCATATCACAAGAAGTTCTAAGGAAATGAATTTCAAGATGAATCATTAATGACAACACAAAGCAAAACAAAGGAAAACGACAGGATGGATATGTGATGCTGCCCACTTTAACATGGAACATGGACCTGACAATAGTCCAGTTCTTGACAGTCTTTTTCAAGTATTCTTCGACTTCATGGAATTGCTTTCCCCACATGGTGACATCCTTTTCTGCAGCTGCACTTGAGAAGAGCATGACGTATTCGACACCAGCTTCTTCGGCTGTATCGATGTATGCCTTCAAGTGTTGGGTTTGATCAGCTCCAGCTGCAATGCCAATGATGGCCACTTGCAAAGGCTTGGTCTATCGATGAAGTTGGTTTGAATGAGTCAATACGGTTGCAAGAAAAACTCTTCTCAGGCTGCCTTGCATAGTTCGTGCTTAACAGCATCGCTACCGCTCATACAACTTACTTCTTTGAGGACTTTGAGAACACTTTCAGTCTTTGCAGCATCACATTCACAGACTTTGCATCCACATTGTTCAAGTTTGAAGCATTTTTCCTTGACTTCTTGAGGAGGGACGCTTCCGACGACTTCAAAGACACCAGATTTCATCAAGTCTTGGCAGAGAGCTTGGCCCAGTTTGCCAGATGCTCCAGTGACAAATACTAAAAGTAAGAAAGCGAGCGTTTTATATGAGTGATCGGTCAGCTGAATGACGCAACATGTAATATACAGCAAATAACAATTCAGTTAAGTTCATACCTTTGTGCTTGTTTTGTTCAGTTGCAGCTTGCATGCTGGATATTGTTGTCTGTTCTTTGTTGTTTGATTTTTGGTACTTCGTTGGTGTGTTTGAGTTGGAAGTGCTTTTTTTGGAACTGGAGAGTTGAAAGGGATGTAAACATGCACTAGAATGAGTCACACAAACACAAAGCACATCGAGGAAAAGCTCAACTGTATTCTTAACAAAATCACGTACATGACGCGTCCATAAATAATTGACAAATGTATGAGGCCAGACTGGTGAAATCAGCACTGAATAGCTGCTTCCACCTACTTTGAGGCACCAGTTTTCTTTACGCACACAATCAATGCCCACTCGACATGGATACGTAGTCGAACAAGTCATCCCTGTTGGTGCGATAGTCTCGTTGCGGTGTCCTCTATGAAGTGACATCTCTTGTTTCAAGAAGAATCAAGTTGACGATGCATCATCCAGACACTGAGTATCGATAAGAAGCTCTGAGAGTGGTTCTTCAGCTGATTGCTCCTCCACAATTCGTCCAAACAAGAAATCGGATCAAAACACGAAAAAGAAAACTGATGTCGAGATAACCAGCTTCATTTTCGAGCGAACAAAGATGACATCCAGTACAATTCATCTTGCAATAGACCAACTCCACTCCATTTGTCCAAATCAAATCTCCTCTTTCAACACTTCAACACTACCGCACAAAAATGAATGAAAACGTGTCAGAAGCTCTGTCTGTAGCGGTTGGACTGCCATCAAATGCACTAATACCATATATAGATGGCCCTAAAAAGAGTAGACAGCCTCTCGGTATCGAGTACCATATTAACGTTAGCAAGCTTATTGTTACTTTGGGTGATGTGGAATGGAGGAATGTGTCAAGTGCACTTGGAGTGACGAGAGCGGATGTAATTGATCGTTTTATGGATTCATTAAGTGCCAGAGTAAATAAAGATTTTTGTTTTTTGATGCAAACGTGTTTTCAACGAACATTTGTGTTTTGTAGATCCTGTCGCCGGACGATACCATACAAGCATCATATGGCAGTACAAGTCAATTCAACGTTCAACTGAATCCCTTACATTGCGATGTCTTTGGAGGCTCCGTCTTGGGCATCTGTACCGCCAATTGGAATGGACCATCCAAGTGAGACTTCTCACCGTCCGGAACTCATTGGACGCCACATGCGGTCGCTCAACGTCGCTTGCTTTTCACAGAGGAGTCAACGTTTGAAAGGCAATGAGGTCGATATCAGGATGTTAAACGGTAGCAGTACTGGGCAGAAGGAGTTTGTGGAATCGACTTGGAGACCAGACCGCGCATCAAGTGCGTAATGGACGTGAAATCTTAATATGAAAGATTTTGTAGTCGCTGGAGACCTATTGCATGAGTCACTTGGAAGTACTACCTATTCGTCGGTAACACTCATTCACCACAGTCTAGTCCCTTGAGGTCAAACTTTCGCAAGCTCGGAGTTGGCTACGACCGCAAGATACCACTTTCCCCTTATATCTTTTCAGGATCTTTATCGTCAAGTACTCAACCCTGTCTGTTTCGTTGTGCTTTTTGGGTGCAACCAAAACTAAAGAACTGCAATATGCGGAACTCTCCAACTTATCACATGCACAGATTACTGTGGCAGGTTTCAGCAATCTATCGTAAATTGCTGATCAAAACGGAGTTTTCCCTAACTTTGAGATCCCTCAAGAATGTCAAGCATAGTGGATCACAAATCAGGCCCGGTGGTCACTTCCAGGGACGATAGACATTCAGTGACAATTTGACATGATTAATGAAGATCATTTCATGTCATTCCATACGTGGCAATCAACCTGGTCCCTTAGATTAGCTGGTTAGAGCGTACTGGTAATAACGCTGAGGTCGCCAGTTCGAAACTGGCAGGGACGATGGGCATATGGAAGCTGTCTGGTTCTGTAGACACAGGAGTTTTCCTCTATTTTCCACGTGGAATCCATGTTGGATTCTTTCAAACTTTTCCAAACAAGAAAGGTGAAACTATTTGTCAGAGAGAATTTGGATGAGAGTATGGTTCACTAAAGCGGACGATAGTTTCTTTTGACAGGTGTGTCTTTCTTGATGTATGTAATAGAGGGCTTGACTTTTACATTGCGACTTTGATGAATTTCAACCATCGTTAGACAACCTACAAGTATATGAGGGACCGCATATCATAAATCAGGATCAAGTATCAAGTTTCTATGAGAAGATGGGGAAGTGACGCTGGATGTGGGTAGTGGGCCTAACGTCGGGAGATTCGAAACGATCACGTCAACCTGTCCCTTAGCTCAGTTGGTCAGAGCGTAGTGCTAATAACGCTAAGGCCGCCAGTTCGACACTGGCAGGGACCACTTAATTTGCTCATCTTCCGGATTGTGCATCAGCACAACGCCTTTTTTGCTCTCGCGTGGGCAAATATGACTGCTACACCTAGAGACGAATACCTTCCCGAACGGTTTGTTAATAATCATATTACGCATTGGGTAGCTGGATACTATCATCAGCTTACTCTCTTTATGAGTGATTGACTCCAGCTTGTTACGCTCCCTTTGCCGCAATGCACAGACGTTGGAAGTCGGGGAAAACAAATCACGAAACTGAGGAAAGCAATCAATATGGAAGGGGCGAAAGTAGTATTTATATATTTTTGAAAGTTTGTACTCTCTCGTTCAAGGGGTACATATGTTGAATTTTTACAGTGGTACTCTTCACATCATCATAGATGATTGAGCAGAGGCACCGGGACCAAATTCATGTTGGTGCTTGCGGATCCAGTCAGACATTCGCATTGGCTCATGGTCAGTGAGCTTCTTCATGTCGTTGGTGCAGTGCTTCATCTTGCCATCATCCATCTACCGTGGTTGTCAAGGTTAGATTGATTGGAAGGCTTGACACATACAAACCCGAAATGATCAGTGTCACGTTGACAGATTTGACTCACCATTTGGAAGCATTCCAAAGCCATTTCAATTTCCATGGAGCAAAGATGATCTTGAACCATCTTCTTCCAGTGGCTTTCATCGCACTTTTTGAATTCGTAGCCGTGACCTAAGTTTTGAGACATCATGTCCATCATTTCTTGTGGAGTCATCTTGTCCCTGCCAGTGAGATGGTATTTCATATGCTTCTTGGAAGTGGTAGCCATTCCAGTAGTTTGCATGACTGAAGCCATGACACCTGAAGCAGACCCAGATTCCATTTCCTTCATGCATTCTCGCATACCATCAATACAGCAACATCCGATGTCGCCTGTCAAATCGGAGAAAAGCTGAGTGAGTGACATGATGATGCTAAGACTTATCAAAACAGCAAATTCAAACGAAATCCAAATTCAATACTGACACATTGACATGGGACAGCACTCAGCATTGTGGGAGACAGGCCATGAAAGTTTCCTTTCCTGACGAATTTCCTCGCGGTTCATCATGATGCACTCAAACATCATGTTGTGGTACATGGCTAGATAGAATTCAAATGAACATCGTCAGAGCAAAGAATGGGTTTAACGGGTTGAGAATCCTAAGCTTACTACAACAGTGTCCTTTGAAGTGCTTTTCAGCAGCCTTTTCGATACATTTGTGAATGTAGTGCCACATCTTGTATTTAGAGTCATCAGCACAGTAAGCTGTGGTCTCAACCATGCATTTGCAGTTCTATGCGTCGAGACATTGAAACGTGTCAAGATTGCAGACATAAGTGACAACCGAAACAAAACCAGAAGGACTAATGTCACCCTACCAAATGGTGGCACATTTCAACAGCACACTCCATAGCCTTGGCCATGTCAGCATGATCTTCAGCCATCTTGCTCTTCATGTGACGCATGGCAGATGGATCAGTGCAGAGCATCATACAGTCGACCTTGTGCTAATAAGGAATGAAAAAATGACGTTAGCGATTTTATTCAAATACTGAAAATGCAGAATCACAAACTGATGGTCAATAATGTCACAAGTAAAACTCCCACTCACAGTGACATGCTTCTTCCAGCAGTCCATATCAGTAGGCTTGTCCAAGCAGATGACCTTGCACTTCTTGCCAAGGTCCTTGAGCTTGTGAACCCATTTGCCTTCAGAGGAGCAGCAAACGGCATACACTTCTTCCAAGTGTTCCTTCTTGGCACCTTCGCAGAGTTCACGGCACATGTCATAGCCCATACAGCCGTTGGCAGGGAAGACGAGGACACAGTGCTTCTTGCTGCTGGTCATTGGTTCGGTAACCATGTTTGATATAGATGTTGTTGTAAAATGTTATTTGATGATGGCTTTCGTATGTCGAGAGTTTGAGAAATGTAGAGGAAATTTAGCTCTCTGAAGTAGTGGCAGTGCTGTCAACGCATGGGTTGACAGAGGCCGACTTCAATCTGAAAAGTATTGACTTTTGTTGAAATTAGGTTGGAAAGAGCATTCCAAGTCCGACTCAAAGACCTTGTGATGCTTGATCACCGTCCTGCTACAGACAACCGTCCTTTGCTACTCCATTCTCAGGCGATCTGTCAATTAAGGTTCAGGTTGAAGTCGGCTACAAGAGTTGTCAAACTTGAAATGTAGGCCGACTTCATGATGAACGGTTTAATGCTGCATGGTATGGTTAGTTCCATGTGTTTGAAAAGACCATCGGCAAATGTGTTTGTAACGTATCTTTGATCATATCTCCTGTCACTCAATTGCAATCCAAACAACTCAGTCAAGACTGTCAGCTTTGAAGTCGGCAATCAAATGCAATTCATATCAGCTGACACGAGCCCTTATCAAAGTTGATCTCGGCAAATTCTTCAACTACTGATTAAACGATTTACTAATCAACCTTCCATTGTTTATCAATCATGTCGTCGTTCATGAAGGTAGTGATTTCTGGGTGTTTTTTCTTCTTCTGCGTAAGAATTCACCTGACAAACGAATCTTTTGGAAATCACACACAGTCGATGGTCTTGCTACTCTTACTTGCCTCCTCTACTCACAGTGCTGTACCATGGGGCTATCGAGACTTCCCTAGTACTCGAGGTTTTCAAAAGGCGATTGAACGTACGTGCATGCTTTCAAGACACTCAGATATGAAATAGCGCCGCATCACAATTGGACGCTTTTTGATGACAGAAACTGGACACAATGGCCATATCGAGACCTCTGTGCCAGAAGACAAGGAACTTGTGACCAAATCGTCTGCAGAGTCAATCAAAAACAAGACTGCTAGCTCAGTCAACAATACCACGTCAATCGAAACTACAAACCATGCCAACTTGACTCTAATCTGGAAGGATCTCTCTGATGTCGGCAAGAATGTCTTTGATTTGATTCACGGCGGCATCAAGAATGTTGTCCCTGATTCAAACAAAATGATTGGTGATGTCAAAGACTTGGCACATCAAGGAAACTTGATCTTGAAGGATCTCAAAGATTGGCACAAGAGGCTTGATGCTTATGAAAAGTCTGCCAACAAAACTGTTACTACTAGTACTAACAAAACTTCGATCATCTTTAAGAAGCTGAAGAATAAGTTTGGTGGACGCCATCAAAAGTCTGCTGACAAAAATGCTACTTTTGAAAGATATGAAAAGTCTGCTGACAAAACTACTGCTTCGGCAACATATGAAAAGTCTGCCGACAAACATACGACTTATGAGAAGTCTGGCGACAAATATGCTACTTCTGAAATATCCAAGTAGTCACTCTCAAAAAACAATCATATTTTTGGCTACGCAAGTAGCCAAACCTTTTTGAAATATATCAATACAATCACATACAGCAACCCAAGCGTGTGGTGTTTATTGTCACTGATTCAAACAAGACCATTGGTCATGCCAAAGACTTGGCACATCAAGGAAACTTGATCTTGAAGGATCTCAAAGATTGACATAAGAAGCTTGATGTGCATATGAAAGGTCTGCCAACAAAAGTCTTAGTACTACTACTAACAAAACTACCAGTTTCCTTCAAAATCTTAAGAGGAAGCTTAGTGGACATCTCAAGTCGGCCGACTGAGAGACTACTCCTGAAACATCAGGTAGTGAATGAAGATAAAAATAAACAAGAGTAAATAACCTCTCAAATGCAAATTGTATCTCTAACTACGAATGTAGCCTAACTCGTTTGAAAACAATACTACGTAAAACAAGTGTCTCAATGGACAGTGTATCAGTTTGCGACAGGTCAGCGAGATAGATTGCTGATCTTGACTCTAAACCAAGCGACAGAGACGGGATTCAAGTTGAAAGTCAAGGTTGTCATTTTTTGACGCCTGCCAAAATGTCTAATGTGGGTCCGTGGCCGCCATTTCATATGGGTCAACCTCAAATCACAAAATCACTGCTCCGCAGGATACACGCCAAGTCACCACTATCTACTCGTCGATAGTTGCCCTATCATGTTCTCGCTCATGAAGGTAATATTTCCTACATCCTTTTCCTCTCCTGCCATCAACTCATCTGACAACCGAATCCTCTCAAACCCATAGTCCATTGTCTTGCTACTCGTTTTTGTCTCCGCTACTCACAGTGCCGTGACAATTGGCTTCACTGATGTGGCGGAAGGTATTCAAAAAGCTATTGCTGGTACGTGTATCATTTCAAAATGCACGACCAATATAAAACATTGACAGGCTACTCTTCTTGAGACCAGATAGCGAACTGCATGATCCTGCTCTATCAGGAAACAAGGCAAATCAAGCCACAGTGCCTTCTGGGTCAACACCAGCATCCAGTGCTTCCAGCTCAGTCAATACAACCATCTCAGTCAATACGACGACGACACTCAATGTTACAGAAAACTTAAACTTTACTATACTCGTAAAGGATTTGCTTGATATAGGGAAAGAGGTCATGGATGTAGCCACAGGTAATCTTGTCAGCATCGTCCCTGACACAATGGCAGTCATCGGAGATGCAAAAGAATTGGCACATCAAGGAGGTTTGATCTTGATCAATCTCAAAAAGTGGGTCGCGAAGCTTGTGGCCTCCCACAAGTGAATGAAAGCAAAGAACGTATATTTCTGGCTACGAAAGTAGCCATCAGTCTTGCAAAAATATGTCACAGGCATGCAATAGAACAGGTTACATCAACCCACCCCTGTGTTAATTCAGTTTTCATCACTTTGAGAAAACTGATCAACAACTAGACTGTTGACGTTTGATTTCAAGGAACTTGGACGAATCGTATACGAAACTTGTCGGCCAACCATTTCATGAAGCCTGTCAAGGGTGAAGGGGGTAGTCCGATGCAGTCGGTATTATTTGACATTTGACGTTTTTACCGACCATAGAGAAACCTGTCAACTTCAACTTGCAAACCACTAATCGACAAAGAATAAGGCCATTCAGTAATATTGACTATTCTGTAGTGTCTTCATCATGTTCTTGTCCATGAAGGTGACACTTCCGCTTCTTTCGTTCCTGACTGACCTTGAAGAAATATGACTGATGAAACTTTTTCAACCGTAGTTGATTGTCTTGCTACTTGTACTTGTGTCCTCTTCTCAAGGCTTCCAACTGTGGCCCTTTGAATGGGGTGCGTCTCAAGACGTTCAAAAACCTATACCTGGTTTGACATCTGTGTCCATTGCATTAACATCAAAAACGATTTGACATGTCTTCTCATTTCGACACTCAGATACCAAGCAGGATACTGTTGTCTCAGAAACCAAGGCAAATATATCCATCTTGCCACCTGAGCCATACAACACTTCCAGCTCCGTCAACACGATCCTGTCAATCAATGGCACAGACCACGTCAACTTTACGCAAATCTGGAAGGATCTTTCGGATATCGGAAAAAGCATCGTTGATTTGATGCACGGCCACATATTCCACGTTGCATCGGATGGAAAGGGAATCATTAGTGATACAAAAGATCTGGCACATCAAAAAGAATTAGTCTTGCAGGATCTCAAAGATTGGTGTAGTAAGCTTTGATGCATGGAAATCAAAACAAGAACGATAAAAAGGGAAATAAAACTCAATAGCAAATGCAAGTCACGTATTCAATAAAACCACTTGCCTAAACCTCTCGAAGTTCCTCTCGAATTCCTTCACTTGAATTCCTCGACAGCTTTTAAGAACAGTCAGACAGAAAATATATGGCAATTCATCACTTGAAAACTAATCTTGTTGTAGCCGATGTAGCCGAGAGCGTGTATTTGCGAAACTTCCTTGAGATAATATACAAACGTGATGCGACAAGATTACAGAAAGGAGAGCAGGTGACGAGCAGCTTTTTCATCTCTTTTTGAAGCCATACTTTTTTCTCTCATAAAATAAGTCTGTCTTGCTAGAGCCAAGGTTAACACTACAAATCAAAAAAAAACGTGTTAGTTACAATTCACACAAATGCAGTCTTCCGCAGCAAAGCAACAATGACATTACATCTTTGGGCATCCATCCCGATCTCGTTCCAGAGTGACGCACTCCTTACAATAGTAGGCATCCGAGATTCCCTGGCCTCCACAAACAACACATCGTCCTTGTGATGACCCGTAATTACACTCATCACATATACGGACTACATTTGCGGGCTTGACGAATGAGTCGCAGATTACACATCGGCCATCGCACTATCATAATAAATAGGTTGGTGTTAGTACGGCGAACGAAAAGGAAGCTTGCAAAGAAAGTGTGGTTTGTGAAGGGACTTACCTTGTCACAGACACGACCTATAGCGATACCAGCCTGTTTTCGACAGAATATAAGATCGGCATGATGCTTGGCTGCCATTCTTTGTTCTCTCTTGGCCTGTTTCTGCTATGATCTGAAGATTTTAGATTTTAGTGAGTTGTTCATTGGTGATGGATTACAAATCAGACGAGCAGTAGTGCCGAAATCTGAGTGAAAGGCTCACCTGGAGAAAAGCCGCAGACTTAGGAATACTAGGTTCTTCACATAAGTGTTGGAATGGTGTAGCGGGTGCACATTCGCTGTCAGCTTAAGGTCTTGGGTTCGATATATGCTCCCGCTGATAAAGAACCCTTCTTAGAGACTAGCCGCTCTAAGTGACATAAGTCCAAAACAGTACAAGACCAAAAAGACTTGGCGAAGCTTTTGGCAACTCGCGCTGAAGGATTGTTTATCTGGTTGAGACTGAAGTGAGTCATTGCCAGAGTTAACAGTTAGAGTGTGACTAAGCACCGTTACCGTTACGTTAGATGTGATGACATTAGAAGAGAAAACATGCAGAACAACACAAGTATGTACCATCCTGGTAGATTCTGTGTCGCTACACTTGCTATACCCGAACGAGTATCCACCGCGGCTTATTCAGAAGGAGGCTCGCAGTCTGGCAGTGCCCATTCTAGTTCCAATTCAAAACAACTGCCAAGAACACGTCGCCCTCGGGGACGGATATGTTATATAGAGGCACGATTCCCGCAAGGAGATTCCTATGCCTATCAACTACAGTTCACAACGACCTTTAGCAATCAGCACATCTCCACACAATCTTTTGATCATCCAGAAAAACGGGATGAGTTTCTACCCATTGGAAGCACAACATCACATAACGAGAATGCAGCATTGGACATACTATGGGATCGCTGTCCAGCATATCTATCGCTAGTAGTACCAGAGTTAGTAACAAACGCCGAGTTTGGACAGCCTACAAAACCCGAACATATGGTAGAATTGAAAGTTACAGAACAACGTCGGCTCACTACCCTAATCGCAGATCGGCGAAGGTTTTCTGAGAGTCCTGGAACGAATCATGAAGAAAACAATGATGGTGGGGGCGACGACACTAATAATGACGGTGGTGCAGGCAACGATAGTGCCAGTCGCAAACATCCTATGGACGATAACGAAAAGAATAATATAGAAGAACCAGTGAATAAAAGACCATTTTCATATGCCGCTATAGTCAAAAGGGGTGGTGGTGGAAGTAGCACTGGCCAGGATGCCAAAACACTTCGCATTCGTCAGTGGTTGGGTTATATAGAACCTCATGATGACTGTAGTGATAATGAAGTGACGCAGGGCAATGAAGAAATGGATGCAGCCATTAAGGCAGGGTTTATGGATGATGATCCTGACGACAATGAATCAACGGTGTCACTGACCCCACACCAGCGAGCAGCCTATAACAATTCTATGGAACGTCCTTTAGTAGACAGAATGCCCAAAGTTATTTTCAGTAGCCTCGATGGCGTCGACCAAAGTACACTAGCATGTGATGAACTCGACCCATTGGGAGAATTCTTGAAGGAGGTTGCAATGTTGAGAAATATGGAACATGTGTTGGACGGTAATGTTTGCTTGTAGTTATTATTACGTTTTCTACTCGATGTCTCCTTCGAATTCAACCTAAGCTTGTTTTGTTAGATGATTACATACACACAAGTCGCCAAGGAATCACACCAGCAACAATGATCAAACCGTCATAAACATAGGTAATAATAACAAAAGCAAATGTTGACCCATCCAAGACATCTGACTAAGCAGAACAATCTATGGAAGAAGCAGTACAGGACTAACAAGGTAAGAGCAGTAGCATTTGTACCATCTGACATACAAGATACATCTATAAACCATGTCTGTATACAATTAGAACGACCTATTTAAATCGTCTGATGCCGGCTATTTATTTGAAAGAATTGCTCGTTGAAGCGAGTCTGCCGTCACAACCGGTCGTAATTGTCATTGACGCTCTGAACAAAATTGGTCAATTGCTTGATGGCCATGCCAGTGACCAGGAGCGGGAAGAAGCCATCCGACAGTCTAGTGATCGGGCTGAACTTTTGGAAACATTGGCCAAATGGAAGAAGCTTCTCAAGTGGCTACGTCTATTTATGACTAGTAGACCAGACAAGGATATTCTCAAAGCTCTTCGAGTGCCGCTGACTCCATCAAAGCTAGAATTGACCAATAAAAATGATTTGGAAGACATTCAAGAGTATGCTGACTCTACAGTAACGAAATGTTTTCTAAATTGTTATCCAGGTCAATAGACACTTTTCACCTGGAAAATTATTCACGTTTAATTTCGCGTATTCTATCGGGAGTAGCAGAGGTACTCCATAAAACACGTGTAACATTGAAGCTTGCTTAAATAATGTTTGAGGCCATATATTAATCATAAGCAAAGTTACTAACTATCTATATTGTTGATGAGGGGGAAATCCTAGACACCTCTCGAACCAAACTCAAATACTGCTCTTCAGCCCCTTGCAATCCCTGCACAGTCTCTGCTAATTTCAACCGTGCAGAATGTTCACGTCTATACATATCAAGTTCCCGTTGTAGTTCTCGTTTCTCGTGTTGAGCCTTTTGCTGCTTGTGACTCTGAACATCGACCTGATTCTTGGCCAGAGCTAGATCGTCAAACAGGGCCCGTTTATCTTGTGCGAGTTGGATGAGCTCTGTTTCCGTTTTTTGAAGCCTTCGTTCGGCTTCGAGTAGTCTCTCTTCGTGTAGAGCTCGGGCTTCCAAAGCTATGTGGTTCAACCAGATCGCGTCAGTCAGTCTTTTGCAAAGAGTATCAGTTTATGCCGCAGACTTGCTTCTCTTACCTTTACTCAAAGCACAATCCTTCTCACGAGCCTCCTTTGAAATTTCCTGTAATCGTCTCTCTTGAGCTTCAGCTCTAATGATATTGGTAGCCTTCTCATCCCTCAGTCGTTCCAACTCTTCTCTGGCCTGATCAGCCTCCCGAATATTATCCTGCCGTCTCTTAATCTTCTGGTCCCGATTCTCCAACTCCTTTTTCAGCTTCCTCTGCTCATTATCCAGTTCTTTTCGTAGCATCACATTCTCCTTGACGAGCTCAGCACAATCTTCCTGTACACGGTTTCGCATATGCTCCTCTTGAGCTCTCACAACTTGCATCTGCTTGATATCTTGCTGCAGCGAGAGATTGTCTTGGTGCACTTCCGCGAGTCGTTGCTTGAGAGATTCGTATTCGACGGATAGAAGACCTCCTTCACTTTCTTCAATCTTCATCTCAAGTTCTCTGTTTTGTCTCGTCAACTCTTCGATTTTCTTGACGTGCTTGGTGTTGAGAGCTAACTGCTCATTGACTTGTTCTCGTAAATGGTTTGCAGTGTCTGTAAGTTCGAGGCCACGTGTCCTTTGTACATGGAAATCGTCGGATACTCGTTTCAGAGATGCTTCGAGGCGCATCTTGTCAGCATCTAAGGAACGATTGTTAGCGAAAAAAGCGAGCACTTCCCGATGGCCAATGCTAGAATACCTGCTGAATCTAGCTGACGTCGTAGCTGTATTATCTCCCCAGACAGCTTGTCCTTCTCAATAACTTGATTGTCTTTCAACGTCTGTAGTTCAAGTCGAAGCTCATGCACATCACCAAATTCATCGGGTCCCCTTCGTCGTAACTCCTCTATGACGTCTTGCAGTTTCTACGTTTAAATCCGGTTACGACCTCCATCTAAATCAATTCCAAAACAAGACAAGGTAATACCTTGACTTCCTGCTTATGCACAGTTTGAAGCTCTGTGAATTTCGACTTTAAAGTCTGTACATTATCCTGGGGCTCGCTCTCGTTCGAAGGTGCACCACCTGGCCTTCCACCTCGTAAATATCGTGTCTCGAGCTCCAGCAAATACACCTGTTGCTGGAGGTTTCTCACACATTCGTCTTCTAATCCATTTGTTCGTGGTGGTGATGACAGTGATGATTGCTGTTGCGCACTCTTTGGTCGAGAAGGTGTGGTAGGTTGGCTCATAGAACTGCGAGGTTTCGTCGTTGTTGCACTGGTATGTCGGACTGTTCTTGGTTGAGATGTGGTTAACAGTCAATAATATTTTAAAACACAAAATACGCAAACTGCGATAATCACACATTCAGCACGTACCACTGGCGGGGAATCCCCTTGGATGCCTGAGAGGACTAACAGGAGATGTACTCAAATGAAGAGATTGCTGGCTCATTGCTGTTCCGTTACAGAGTTCACGTTTTTTGGAGATCAAGAAGAGTTTGTCGCTTCGGAGAATAATATGCGCGATGATGTCGACTCATTCAGGTAAATCATGTCGATAATCGCGTTTCCGCACGTCGAAACGAAGTTCCAGCGTAAACTTGATATGAGCGTACGGTGGCATCCTGTCAGTTTTTGCTCAAACAAGATGGAAACTAGAAACCAGGATTTTCAAATACGATCACCTATCTATATTGAAAGAAATTATGGTAATGTTTGATATGCACATATTACATCGTATTTTGACGTGTTTAATCTCGACTCTCGTTTCCAGCAACAAACAGTTAATACCTGACACCCGACTACGAGCAGTGATTTTCAACACAAGAACGAATAGGACTAGGAGCCATGACTCCATCTAATGAAGAATCATCAAGGCAAATGGCTCCTACAGATACAGGCAATGCTGAAGGCCTGCTCGACTTGCAACGTCCCCCAGCTGCAGTGCAAAAAGTTCATGAAGTTGGTACGCTATAAGCATTCATTAATGATAAAGATGTAGAATATTCGTATTGAATTGACTCGTATTGATTATCACTCTAGCAAACAATCTCATCACATGGGAATCTCCGGTCGCCACTGTCTTCACCTTATTTGGCTTGTTCTTCTTTGCCAGAATCATGACATATACTCTTCTACCTACCTTTGCCTTCGCAATGGCTGTCATCCTGTTCTTCGCTGCTGTCGGAAAGTAAGAAATGCCGCTGGTCTGTTAGAACGCTTGAATTAAACGAATCCATTTTGACACCACCTCGGAGTACATGGATATCGAATACACGGCTCATTTTCAACTCCTCGATAGGTACTTATTGGACCAAATTGAAAGAACCTTCACCTACAACATCAATGTCGATGACACTTTAGACAAAATCGCTCGCCATGGAGTCATCAGTCATCAGCAAGCTACGTTCCTGGTACAGAATTGTGTTGATGTCATCAATTGGAATTACGCACAGTTCTTGATGTTGTTGAAAAATCCCAAGCATTGTGTTATTGTAAGCTATTCATGTTTTCTCCTTGGGGCTTTTTTTGCTCGCATTTACACGGATTACGATTTATTTTCATAGCTTGTACCGATCATGGTGGTTCTATCGTATTTGGTTGCAGCTATCTCTACATACTGGCTCTTCAATATTGGTTTGTGGTGATAACAAAGAGCAACGACCGAAATCTTCTAAATCGACGTCTTTGTCCCTCTAGCTCTTATTGGATTGTTTTTCGGACCAATTCTATATGAAATAGCTCTTGTACATCTTGGACCCAAAGTTGACAAGTGAGATCCAAATCTTTTTAACTCTTGCAATTTTTTTGACGACACCTCATCATCATTCCATCCTCTAACTCTAGAGTCGAAGCTCGTGTCCGTGAATTCTCAAACGAGTCGATTCAAAAGACTCGACAAACTGTTAAATTGGTGCAAGCAAAAATCCAAGAATATAGTCCTCGAAAGCCCAAACCAAAAAAGGAGGAATAACCAAAATAAGGATGAAATCATTTCCAAGAAGATGGTGTTTTGTATTTAGCAATGTATCCCCCTGTTGTTTATATTAAGATTTGCACGAAATAAAATGATGATGTTATGGAAGTCAAAAACTTCTCTCGCCCTGCTTCATGCTTTATACTTTTGCTTTCTCCTGTTGCTTCCGATTTTACAATTAACTGATAATGACCAAACAGACTTCACAAGTGATTTGAGAGGTAAGTCCTGGTGTATTACTTGATGAAAATCAACCGTTTACGGCTCTACATTTTAGGCTTTGGTGCAAAAGCAGCCTTGATTGAAGCGTCAACTTCAGCCTTGACCTTCGCGAATGGCTGGTATGATTGCATTGTCTTCATCCAAGCACTACATAGAAAAATGGATTATAAACATTTCGTCTTTTTTACCACAACCAATAAAATTGACCAATATTATCAAACATACGTCAATTTAGGTCGACCGGCATAAGCATCGTATCCAGCACGAGAAAAGAAGAAAGTGACCATTACGAGGGCACCAGCTAACGAGCAATCTCCCATGGATGGTGCAGAACCGGCAACGTAGGGACCAACGATGATGGATTCGATTACGTCCAAGGCTTCGCTGATGCCCTTCTTCGCAGCTTCGGGAACGTTTTTGCCAAAGAATCCGGAAAAGTTTGGAGCCATGTAGACGTCGACTATGCGAGATACCTATGGGAAACGTTGATTGGTGACGTGTCATTCTTCCAAGTTGCAAGATCGTAGGCGAGAACGTACAGTGTTGCTGATGGCACGTGCAGATGCGTCTTTTGGAATGAAGGATGGGCCTGGTGACAAGAAAAGAGCGTTTGAGATTGGTAACATACGTGACAATACTCAGGTTCTGCCCACACCTTTTCCTTCAAAAGCAGAACACAAGTAATCGTTGATTACTTCTGACTCCATAATGATTTTTCCATCGTCGTTGAGGAGAGCAGGGATCTTGCCCAAGGGGTTGATTTTTTTGAATTCTGGGGTTCGTAATTTGAATCCCTATGTATAACAATAGGTGAGAATGTGTGGATATAAATCAGGAACGGATCAGCAGAGTGCTTGTAGACGACCGAGCGTTGACATTCAATTTGATGTTGCTGAGTGAGGTGAAATCTGATGTCGGCTTACATCGTTGACGATCTGTACTGGGAGGTCCTTGGCGTAGATGACGATACGGTTTCTAGCACAGTAGGGCGACCTAAAAACGGCTACTGGTTAGCCATCTGCCTGTAAAAACGGCTAGACATCCCACGTTTTTGCCAATGTCCGCAACAATACATAAAACATTTGCATCATGCATCTCAATAAGAGCAAAACGGAAGCACTCACATGTTGGAGTTGTAGAGCTTCATTTTGACTGCTTTTTACCGGTTGTCTTTATATGCTAATATGTCAAAATTGCTTTCCGTGATGGCCAAGGGGTGAAAGTGTGGGGTGTAGTACAAACCTTTGAAATCGAACTTGAATGGAGAACATTGTATTTATGTTATATATACAATTCTAAATGGCGTCCTATATGTTTTTCATGCTTTATTCTTCAGAACCAGCAGCCGATCCTTCAATTCGAGGCTCATCGTCATCATTATCAATTTCGCGTTCTTCACCGTCGTCATCATCCACTTCCTCACCATCACTTTCTGCTACTCCCTCTCCTTCCATTGGCTCATCACCATCACTATCTTTGTCACTATCTTTAGCAGTCCAACCTTTTCGTTCTGGAATGACTTTTGTGAATGATTTCTTCCAGTCTTTGGTCACCAAGTATCCTGTCATGATCTCAACAACTATACGACCAAAAAACATCAGTATACTCTGATTTCACGATGGGGTATGTCGCATTCATCACCTTGGTTTGTAGTCAACACTTTACGAGTTGCCATAGATATGAATGCACTTATGGGAAGTTGAGCTGTTGCTATCCCAGCTTCTGTGGCCTTTTTGAGACATATGTTCTAAGTATGTTGAGCGAGGGTGAGTATTGGGCAACAAAACGACTTCGTCATCTATATAAATGAGAACCTTGTGACGATTTCGATCAACGATTCCTCCTATAATGTAGACTTTGGACTCGTCCAGGTCAGTGAGCACGTTCTCCGAGTCGGCCGTGAGATAGACAAGCTTTTCGTTTTCATATAGCTCGAAGACAGATTTGCTGTCTGATGTGACCTAGGTCGTTGAATGTCAACATGTGAGCTCACAAGCTAGGATTGGTTTTGGCTGAAGCATATTCAGAATTCAGGTAACCAACCTTCCAGTTCTTCCATGACGCGTACGATTCATCTAATCTTTCAGTAAGTTTGGGACCTAGAGACGTGAGTGCCATTCGTGCAGGCCTTTCAGACTTTCTGTTCATTCCGTATCCTTGTTGCAATTGTTTGCACAAGGAACGTAGCTCCTATGTGAAAAATGTGAGTACACAAATAGCGAAAAAGCGACAAACTCGCAGTATGACAAACCTTGTCAGTCATCAAGTCTTCAAAGGACAAGTCAATAGCAATCACCATAGGAGAAGGCCGCTGCTTGGACTTGTTTGGATGCCTGTTCTTCATCATGCTTGCAGGTAAAGCCTTTCCTATAACACGTAAAGCATATAAGCATCGTTGAAACCAATGCGAAATACAGAGAGATTGAAGTACCTTCAGCCTTCAATTGAATTTTGAGTTCTTTCCTGGCCTGTTTCTTGTCCCTCCTCTTTTGAGTTCTGGCATCCTTTTTAGCCTTCCATGCCTGGTCTTTGAGTAATTTCTTTTTCGCTGACTTTGACAATTCAGGAACTGCAGCTGGTACTTCGGTTGGTTGGGGTTGATGTTGGTCGTTTTCAGGTTGATGCGTGGTTTCACGATCAGTTTGAGCAGACTGAGCGTCTTCTAATATCACGACTGAGGGATCCGCCATCTTAAAGTCAAACGCTTTGCTACTGTGAAAGCGTTGGCATAGATCGAACCTCGATTTTTTTGTTCAAAGCTTCAACCACTTACAGATGGATATAGCTGCAATCGAAGCAGAGATAGCAGCCAGTAACAAGGAGAATGATGAGGCTTCCAAGGAGGATCTTCCTAAAACAGGAGGGCCTATTGATGAAAAAGGCTTCACGCTCCTGATTTCTGACGGAAGCTTAAAAAAGAAGGTACTCAAGGAAGGAGAAGGAGATTCGTTTCCAGATGGAACATATGTTACAGGTAAGCTTGATTGTCGCTATTTCCGCGTCGGATCTATCCCATCCATCAACATCAATCAACATCACAAACATTTCTTTCTAACCTAGTTCATTACTCTGGGATGCTTGACAATGGAAAAGTATTCGATTCAAGTAGGCAAAGGAATAGGCCATTTGAATTCAAAATTGGGCAAGGTAGACGTCATGCTTTGTCGGACCCTCTCAACATGTCGTTGGTTATAACTTACTCTCTACAATACAGGTCAAGTCATCAAGGGATGGGATATGGGTGTCGCGACCATGAAAGCCGGTGAAATATCCATGCTAGCTTGTGGTCCTGATTTAGGTACCCTTTTGTTAGTTGACCGCGTTGCTCAACCACATGCCAGTGTCTCATCATCTTCAGGCCATTGTTAGCGTATGGAGCTAAGGGATCTGCACCTCACATCAAGCCCAATGCCACCCTGTACTTTGAAATAGAGATTCTCAGTGCTACACCGGTAAGCAAAAACTAGACCATGAGAACAGTAAATGAACCTCAACTCATTTCTCTGCTAGCCACACGACCCAATCAGCCAAAGGATAACAGAGGCCAAATCAATGAAGGAAAAAGCAAACAAACATTACGGAGACAAGCAGTATCCTTCAGCCATACACATATACGCAAAGGCGCTAGACCGAATATCGTATTCGTGGGGTGCAACGCCGTACGAAGAGACAGAAATCCGAACTCTTCGTCTTGCGCTTTACTCAAACCTAGCTGCAGCTCGCTTGAACAATAACGAGCTAGAAGAATCTGTGATTGCTAGTGAAGCAGTGCTGGAAATGGATCAAAGAAATGTCAAGGCACTTTTTCGTCTTTCGAAGGCAAAGAAGGGCTTAGGGTCTTTCGGTGATGCGATCTCGTATCTTGAGTTGGCAGCCAAGGTATACATCCGATTGACTGCTTTTCTTTTGCCTGATTTCAGAACTGATGTTGTTCGTCCTAGTATGATCCCAATGACTCTACTATACGAGCTGAACTGGCTAGCGTTAAAAAAGCTCACGAAGCATTCAAGAGCAAGGAAAAGAAGATTTATTCAACAATGCTCTTTGGCTCTGAATCGACGTGAATGTATGTGAACGTAAAAATATTGTACCATATCTTGTACCAAGTCGCGTAGTTTGCATACTGTTCAATATTATACTTAGAAATTATTGCAAATACTCATTCCGGTCCCACTTCCCTTTGTGGCTGTCATTCACGTTGTTGATCTCGAGTCCTCTTTGACATCCAAAAGTTCAGTAAACTCAGGTTCCTTGAACCGTTCAAGTTTTACAACATGGATCAGTCGGATATTATTTCTGCTAGAGGTACGTCTATTCACTTTCTAGCTGTACTTCTCGATGCCTTGTCGCGCCCACCCCCGAATATCTCGTTTCTTTCAAAAACAATCGTTGCAACCACACATTGACAAGTATATTCGACCACAAGTGAGTCTTACCCAAATATTCTTTTTAATATAGAAGCAGAGATCGCAAGCCTGAAAACAAGAGTACATGAGTTGGAAGACGCGTTAAAGCAAATTGGTTTGTTTGGACATCTTGGAACTTCATCATGTCAGACATGACATAACCGGACGTCTGATCTATCTTAGATCCATCGCACCCATTACTAAAGGAATCAATAAATGTCGAATCTGTCCGAGCCGAGACGGAGGCACTAAAGAATCAAGTGAATGAGCTGACAAAGAGTAATGAACACTTGAGGAAATCAGTCGATGATCTACAGGCAGCCGCTGCAAATCCAAGTTTGGAGGCACTTCCGTCGTCTGGACGACAATTGACACATGTGAGTCTCTTGATGACGTTGCTCTATTTACTAGGCTTTTCTCTCTCGCATGAACTCATTACTTTTACTGCTGTCGCAGATAACTAAAGCCAGACCAAATCCACGAAAGCAAAGATCTTCGGATATGCTGAGTCCCAAGGACGAGAATTTGGAGAAGGTTTCTGAGAGTGAAAAGGCTGTTGAGGCCGCTCCTGTTGATCCTGAAGCAGAATTCAGAAAGAAAATCAGTAATATGGGAGGTGTTAATCCTTTGATGGGAATGAACCCTGCAGCCATGCTCTCTGGATTGAAGAAAACAGGCGGCTCAGGAAACAATTTGCCAAACAGTCTACCTACCAAACCAGAAAAGGCTCCTTCTGGCTCTAGTCTAGGTATCGATGTTGCTAAAGAACCCGTCAAAGAAAAAGAACCGATAAGAGAATCAATGCATATAAAGCAACAATCTCAGATCGCAAAGGAGCCCGTCAAAGAGTCTGTGAAGGAGACATCATCGCATGTCAAGGAAAGCAGCACTTCTCGAGACTCTAGGACTGCAAGCCCAATGGCATCACCAAGACCGGCCTCTACACCGACTAGCCTTGCCGACGTGAAAGAGACGAAACCTGTAGGGAAAGTTGAGTCAAGACCTACTAGTATGGTTGGGACGACTGCTGGATCAGTCAAAGCATTAGCTGGAGTCGCAGCCGCAGCAGTAGAGAAAGCAGCATCGACCACACCATCGAGTAATAGTGTCCAAGGCAGATTATCTACATCGAGAACGAGCACTCCACCTATAAATGTAAATCAAGCTTCGCCAACTTTGACAGCAGCACCAGTTCTTCCGTCACCAACAGCAGGTGCTGCCGCACCCCCGAAACCATCCCGAGCAGGTGTCTCGCCAACGAAAGGTGCTAGTGGATCTCCGCTCAACTCTAAGCCCAGCACACCAGCAGCTGAAACTTGTGCACCACCGCAAGCCTTCACATCGCCAAAAATAGCTGGACCTGAAGGCGAGATCCGTTCATGGATTGCTGAAAAGACGGGTGATTCTGGCATCAATGATGGAAGCAAAGATTTGCAGGTTTTACTCAAGGACGGTGTCCTTTTATGCCAGTACGTTCGATCGCCTCTACATTTTTGGACATTGTGGACGCAGACTAATCATATCATCTCTAGTTTGGTCAATGCATTGGGAGTCTCAAATCCCATCAAGGTCAATACTGGAAAGTTCCAATTCAATCACGTTGTAAGTTCCAAACAACTTTATTACGATGCTATCCTTTTGCTTACAATTTCAAACAGGAAAACATCAACAACTACCTGATGCGTGCAGAAACTGGTTTTGGACTGAATAGGACATTGAAATTTGAAGCATCTGATTTGACTGAAAATTCCAACATGGGCAAGGTACGTGTGAGAGTTTGGAACGTGATGAAGGGCCGCAGAACGTGTTAAATACAAGGACAACCAATGAAAATATGTTTTGTACAGGTATTGGCTCATATTCAAGCTTTGAAAGCAAAGATCGCAGAGAAAAAGTAGAATATAGTCGACATTCCTTTCAAGCAGGGCTTTAGTCATTTCTACATGTATATATCTTGTTAAATTAAACAGAAGTTCTTATGTAATTGTATATAGCACGGAACTGTTTATACTCTGTCCTGTCCTTCACACGCTTCGCTTTATCGACTCGAAATCAAAACAAAAATCCAAGATGCTGACAGCGTCGTATCCCGAGGCACAATCGCCACCATCATCCGCAAAAAAACAACTCGGATATCGAACTCTAGTAGACGACGACTTTGCCTCGTTGCTTGCTCGAATTGATCAGTCCCTGCAAGAAACCACATTACAAGACAATGAAGAACAACACACAACTAGGCAAGAACGAACAGGATCATCCAAGGAATTCCCGTATCGCAATGCACTTCCAACGCTGGAACCATCGTCTTCTTCATACAAGATGCGCAACACTGCACCAACATCGCACTTTTCGTTGGGACATTTAACTGACTTGGTGCAGGACGCTGTCAAGACTAAAGGAGATCAGGATGATGTTGGTGACTACCAATGTATGTGTTCTTTTCACTGCTGCTTGCTTTGGTGGTTGGGTGTTTGCTTGTGTCGAAGCAAGAAACCCCTAGGACCTCACAACAATGTGATTGTGATAGATCTCTACAAATCTATGTCGCAGCTATCATCTGCATCTAGTTCTGGGATAGATTCGAAAGACAGGATGATGGATTTCAGACGGGATATGGTTTCGCCTGGTGCGAGCGATGATGATGGTGAAGTAGCTCGTAATAGAAAAGGTAATCGTTATAATCAAGATTCTAGAGAATTTTTTTACTGAATCTGTGAATTGATTTACTGAATCTGTGAACTTTCTAGTAACATTCAACGAGAACGTAATGGAAAAGACGATTAGTTTTCGATCGGGATTCGACAGTTTTAGTTATCGAACTGATGGTACGTTTTCTTCGCGCTTGTTTTGTTTTGAACGCTTATCGAGTTCCCTGAATTCTTGTAGATGACGCCAAACTATCTGAGATCTTTGGAGAGAATGGACCAGATTTGGAAACTTTGGAGCTATCTTCGGACTCTGGACATGGTGAATAAACATCCATCCCACAAGACGTCTATATGTATCGAAACCAATCACCCTCATTTCTAGACGGCGCTTTAAACATTCCAAATCGTACCTTGGATCATTCTCGTGTGAAGACTGGACAAAGGGCAGAACCATACATACTCGGCACCGATGCATTCTTGCCGTCTACTACGTCGAGTCGTCGTGCACTGATTCCAGAAGTATCTACGATGCTGGATAACAAGAAGAATGGGTCTAGTGTCAAGAAGGAAGGGTTGAGTAAGAGTGTTGGTATGTGGTAACCAAAAAAATGCCACCTGCATTGAAGTCACTGTCTGTTATTGATATCTCCTCCGGTTTTTCATGTAGAACCAATAACACACAAAATGATTACAGGCGTCCCGATTCAAGGAATATCAAAAGCGCCAAGGGTTGCACGTGCTGCTGGTAACATTATCTGATGTGAATGTGCCCTTCCGTAAACGACTAACTCAGCAACTGACACGTTCATAGAGCCTCCATCGCTGCCCAAAGTCCCTGCGGTTTCTCGGCCTGCTCGTAGTCGAGGCACTCCAGTCAGTAAGCCAATACGTAAGCGGGTGTTATCTTGACATACGAGGCATTTTTTTGTTGAGCATTCTTCAAATTTTTAGCGAGAGCACCAAACCATTCAACTCCAAAGGCACTCTCGACACCTAAACTGACAGCATCATCGAAACGACAACCTCATAGTATTTTCACACCATCGCCAGCATCATCTAAACCAAAGATGACAACTAGTACACCACAGACTCCCAAGATATCAACATTTGTTACCGACCCATTTGATCTACCCAGTAAGATGAAGGTCGTTTCGTGGAAAAAACTAAATGCACATAGCTAACGCCTTCAATCAACTAGGTAAACACACACCATTCAAGCTTCACAGTCCTTTTTCCGGAACTCCATTCCAAGAATTTCATTCTGCGAGAGAGGAACAGGACGGGCAAGATGATACCTTTGAGGCTTTAGAAGGACCTGGGCCGTTAGCAATGCTAACTGGTATGGACTACGAAGCGGGTGATGTCCATGATGATGTCCATGATGAGTTTATGGCACTGAAAGCTGGTGAGTCAACGGTTGTATGGATTTTTTGCATCACCAGCGCCCGGTCTAACCGTTACACGCTTTCACAGATATGGATGCTATTCTAAAGAGTGACATTTTGGGTGATGGCCGGAGCATATTAGATGAAGATTTTAGGCCAGCCAGTAAGTTCGAAAAGCCAACTTACCATATGAAAATTTTGCCGTTGTGGAATACCAATCACTGTGCGAATAGGTGAAATGTCGTTTTTGGATGACAATAAGAGTGATGGCGATTTGTCTGTGTCGTCCTTCCATGATGATCAGTCCATATTGGGTGAAGACGATCTTTTGCCACTACCGAAAACATTCGACGAAGAGAACGTCTATGCTGCTAAAACACCGAAAAGTGAACCAAGGCATACGAGTAAACTATCTAATCTAGAGGCAGTTCCCTTGAGCTTGCCTTCTCCTGGAACCTTCTTTGCTTCTCTATCTGGGAAACTGGGCAGCTTGGAGGGCCAAACGGATATACAAAATAGGGTATGTACTGTTATTTGTCATGATTAGGATCATTCGTGTGAGTCTAAACTTCTTTTTTCGCAGCCGTCCTTCACACCAACAGCTGCACGATATGTACAGAGAGTTGCTGAGACTGTCCATGCCACTCCTTCAGTTGGAACGGTAAATTAAATCGTCTTGCCGTCCTTTTCTATAACCGTTGGCAAACTAATTAATGCCCTCCAATTAGCTCGTCACTCCGAAAGGATCTAGACGAGTCAGGGCTCCATTGTACCAGTCGCCTACAGAGCCGGCATCTCAACATCAGAGTCCTACGGTCTTTGAAACCCATGAGATACAAAGGCAGCCCGTTCCTGTGTCTCGATCAGATAAGCTGCCGCCTCCCGATTTATTCGATGCCATGACAATACCGAATCGTGTATTACCAGATGTCGTCCCTGGTCGACTAAACAATCCGACTACTCGCAATCCTGTCTTGATATTGCCTGGTAAATTAGGCGGAGCACCATCTACAATCAAACCATGGCAGACCGCCCCACCGCGTATGCCTCAGCATACCACATACGTAGGCTTCCCACCGACATCATATCGATCTATCGGTCGAGTTACCTTGTCAATACAAAACCCAACTATAAAACCAGCTTACTGGGAGGTCTCGTCAATCGGCAAGCCACATTGTGAATCGACAATTGCATCTGGACGGACAACTGATAGGAATAATAATCGTTACGGTACCGCAGGTACGCGTAAACATGCAATTGATCAAGATGTCTTCGTGTTTGCGTATGCAAGTGGAAGGGTAGAAGCTATGCAACGGGCCGAGGTGATGTTGAGTTTCCATCCATTAATGGCTGGACAGTATTCCCAAACCTTCCATCTTCGTTGTAATGGTCGGCTAGTGGTTATTGAGTTAGAAGGAACAGCTACAGTGCCAGTCTTCCGTCAACCACAACAGCAGCAGCAACGTTATCAACAACAGCAACAACATCAAAATCAACAACTGCCGAATCTTAAAGCATCTATCGGGTCTAAATCAACGTCGACGGGCTGGACACCCTCATTAGCGTCCTCTGTAAATATGAGTAGTAATGTTGAAGCATTAAGTGTTACCTATGGTGGTAACCCATGTAAACAACTAGCCTTCAATGACGTCGCTGTAGGAAGAACCAAAGTGATTGCTATATGTCTCTGTAATAACTCTACATCGATAACACGAGCTATGACTGTAGATATTACAGCACCGACATCATTCTATGTATCTACAGGACGTATGAAAATAACGCCCAGGATACCGGTTTGGTCTGAAATCACGTTTAGACCACACAGAGCAGGAGAGTGTGAAGGAGAAGTGATTATCAGAGCAGCTGGTGGAAGTGTGTGGCGTACAAAAGTATCTGGTCGTGGAATCGTAGTGGGCTCCACGCCTGGTTTTGGAGGAGCAGGAGAGGGTAGGGGCGATGTGGTGCCTTTGTGGATGGCACAACGGGCTACGGTTTTGACAAAGGGACCATCTGCGGATCGTAAACCACAAAGTAGTGGAAGGGATGCGTGGCTTTTGAAGCCCGTGATGTATTAGGAGATTAAAGCTACTTTGTTCATAATTTAAGCAATTATCAGATGTAAATTTCGTTGAATGGCGGGAATGGTTGTATGCGAATGGGTTTCTCCATTAGTTTACAGTTTTGCTCTATGAAGTGTCTACTACAAAGCAACGAGTTTTATCTATAAAGTCTTGGACTGGCAGTGCGAGCTTCCAGTCAACATGGCCGCCACCGAGAAACAGCACAGGAGGCTATAAGTTGAGCATCGATAAGCGTCTTTGCTTGAGCATCACAGCACAATGTTCCGAATGCCATACCTGAAGTTTCGTAATACTCTCAGAAAGTATAATCGGCAACGCAGTCTTCATGCCTATAGGCGACACCCCATTCTGTTCATGTCCTGTCATTGTCATTGTAAGCGCCTCATCAGCAACCCGTAGATTGAAATCACGTTTTGAAGAGGGTTTGGATGAGGATTTGTTCATTGTGTAGACGAAATTGATTAGCTTTTGGGTGTTTAGTTTCGCGACATACTATGGAATGGGGGTTGAGGGTTAGAATTGAACACAACAAGGGTCAAATTTCGAGAGGCTTACCTGAACAATGACACAATAGTACTTTGAATTGGTTGGATCTAGTGTATCTCCTGTTGGATTGTGATGTGTGTTTTCCATTATTACGGATTTGCAAAGATGGGATATGGAAGGTGCTTGTAATCTGATGCAGCGGCGTTGTAATGACCAGTCATAGTAGTCTAGACGACAGTTTTGAATAAGACTTCCATTGCAACAGCAACAGCTGACAACCAAGGCATACCTGACTCAACGTGATAGAAACGAGCCTCTGACCTCACTCCCAAGCTCACACATCCCTGCTCGACATATTTAACACCCTCTGGAGTATCAGCGGGTAGCTTCTCTGCAGCGGCTCGTTCAAGCCAATCTGTCATGAAGGGCTTTAATACTTTTGGGTGTTCGTAAATGTTTGACAATTCCGTGACGAGAGCGTCTATTCTGCTCCGGATTTGAGATGCAGATGTTCCAGACGATGACGAGATTCCATGAGCTTCCCCATGGCTAGATGAAGGAGAGCCCCAGGAGTTCGTCCAAGGTGTTTTTGGTGACATTCCAGTGGTATGAGGCGATGCTTGGAGCGTCACGTATCTAAATATTACGGGACAAATGTTACGTTTAGTACCGTATAGTTTCAACATGCAACCTGTTCAAGTCAAGTTGATTGTCTGCGAAGTCGACGTTTGCGACTTTTATCCAGCAGCACAGAACAGCCAGTACCAAGTAGGAAGGACATAGAAGTCGTATGATGTCGCGTCGAAATTCATATAGAGGGCGGAAACACGTCCATAAACGATCCAGCTTGAAAGCTTCCAGCGTAAGGTGCTGATTCGTATTTTTGAGCAGTGCGACTACAAAGTCACGTCCAGTAGTCAGTTTTCCGGCGAATTTCATAAGAATTTAGTACTTTACATGGTCTGCTAACGTGTTCTTGAGTTGAGAGGTGTTAAAAGTCGAGGTTGCCCACTGTCAAAAACCGCAAACAACATTTTACTTGCAACCAAGCTAACCAACGCCCAAAGAGTACAAAATGGCTATGCAGTTCGGTCCCCAATGGTGAGATATCCTTAGATTCGTCGGTCATCAGACTCCTTTTGAGTGCTTCAGTTAAATGTCGATGTGTTGATGAAACAAGCAAGCGAGACTTTGATAAAAGATGTGATGAGAGTTAGAGAGATGCCAGCTTCTTCAGTATCTGGATGCAATTATATATAATCTTCTCCAAGGTTCAAATCAAAAGCACGGAAAATGTTTCGAGCAAGCAACATCTTCCCATTCTCGTCAAACAAAAAAACAAGCTTGGGACGACAAGCATCCATAACAACCTCATATCGAAAACAAATAATTTATTAACTCGTTTTCATCATCATTCTAACATTAGGATGAGGAAATCAGTCACAGAACCAGGTGCACCTGTTTCGTCAAACACAACACAATCGCCAAGCAAGCCGACACAATCAGCCCCCACTTCTACCTGGATGCCAAACACTTCGCGTCATTTATCATCATCCACCCATACACATCATCACGATAATACCGTGGGGAATGGAAATGCAAACAATAATACATCGACACCATCAAGTGCTACTACTACTACTCAACCCAGTAGTGGCTACTCTGGTGGATATAGTCGAGCTCCTGCTGAACCAAATCCATTTCGATACACGAGAGATTTCATGGTCGGTCTGTATAGTCCTGATTTGCCACTACCGGATGGGTGCGACTTGTCGGACAAGATACTTGCTTCCGATCAGATCTTGGAACCTATGGCGAATATCCCATTGACTGAGACAGAGAAGAAGGTTTGCTTGAATGTTGATGTTTTGACGCACTGCGAAAAAAATGCCAGCTCCAGTCTGGAGTACCTACACAAGCACTGAATAAACACATGAATTTCACATGTAGATTTTGGCTGCTGGGTCAATCAACAGTGAGGTTGCTAGAAGAGGAGGCCCACAAGGAAATCGCCCGGATGGAAAAGATGCGACAAATAATCGTGCACCTCAGAGACCTGGAATGAATCGAAGTAGGCGTGAACATTCGATGTAGCAGTTCGGGTATTCACTAAGTTTTTTTTGCTCTACAGGAGGCTATGATCAACGTCCTGGAGATCGCGATGGTCGAAGATTGAGTGGTCAAGATGGTAATTTGGTCCTCAAGTGAAATCATTTGAAGAGGCTGAGTTATTTAATTGAATATGATAAAATAGGAGACGAAAATGATGAATCCTTATGGGATACACCATCAAATGCCGGAGGTGGATTTAGCGCCAACGGTGTCTTCAGTCTAGCTGGGGGCGGTGATCCAGATGGAAAACTCAAACGACCAGACCCAGTACGATATTTTGGTCCTCAAGTACAATGCGTCCTTTCTTTATAATGGATATTGAAACGAGCATTTCATAGGGTCCAAAGTCCCCAAATAATGTTGGATCGACTACTTCAGCTGTCCCACTGGAGCCGACACCACCTGTGTCAAAAGATACTGGTAATCCACTCATGTCGCCCCCACGACGTGCTGAAGAACCAGCATTACGATCAGGATTGTCAACTCCTGCTGCGACCCCCATCGCAGTGCCAACACAGTCTGCTAACTCAACGACTGTATCTTCAACACCAGGCGCTAGATCAGCACCCTTGTCTGCAACCCCCATTGCATCAAGTGTCGCTGCTATGGCTCCTTCGATAATCCAGTCCACGACGAGAGCATCAACTCCACCTGCTGGGCCAACCCCCATTGGTGCAACTCCTGGATCTATAGGTCGTCAACAAACAGATCCAGCATTGTTGCAGCAACAAACTCAGCAACGTGCGTTTGGTAGCTTGTTTGATCCATTTGCAGGGCTGCCTGGTGGTATTGCAGGTATAGGAGACTCGTTGTTGACGTCTGGACAAATATTACAGCAACAAGATCCATACGCAACGAATATACTAGATAATCGTAGAGATCTGCAACCAATGGCAATCCCTCAGCCTGTGCAACAGCCTACGGTTCCACCAAAATGGATGTATAAAGACTTGGATGGTAATCTGCAAGGACCATTCTTGCATACAGAAATGCATGATTGGTATGTGGCTCGCTACTTGCAGCCAGACTTGATGGTGCGACATTCGGACGAGACGACGTTCGAGCCATTAGCTCGACTTATACAGCTATATGGATCAAGTAGACCGTTCTTGGCTGATGCTGAAGAGTACCAACGGCCAAGACAACCTGTTATAGATCCACAACGTCAACGACCTTTTGGTGGTCTGGGCCTAGTAGGAGCAGCTGCTGGTGGTGTACGGGATGATTTGTATAGTTCTATAACACCACAAGCGTCAGACGTTGGAATACCTAGTATATTTAATCCATTTGGAGGCTCTATACCTGGTAGTCAACCACTAGACTCATATGCAGCTACTCGTCGTATACAAGAAACATATCCAGGTTGGAGTGATCCTGCTGTATCTAGTATAGGACGTGGTGTGAGTGCTGGATGGGTAGGACCATTGGGTAGCATTGATCCAAATCGAACGATGGTCGATACACGTAGTGGACAAGCATATTATCCTACTCAACAACAGCAAGGTCTACCGTATGGATATCAAGGTCAACAGCAGCAGTTTGGAGCGTCTGCCTTATTTGGTCAGACATCACAACCTGCAGCTTTGTTCTCTCCATTTGGACAGACTCAACAACCACAGCAACAACATGTCGTCCCACAATCACCAATAAACAGATCACCGATTGCCACACCACAACCTGGTAAAGCAGCATCATATGCACCTAGTACTGGAGCTCGTACTGATGAAGATGCGGCTTCTCAACATGACTATGCTGAAAGTACTCATGGTGAAGACTTTGGACAATTTGATGAAGCCGGTACACCAGAGCATGTATCTACGACAGGTTGGGATGATACGGCCAGTGTCGCCTCTTCAATCTCAATGAAGCAATCAGACCGTGGTAAATCACAACGTGACAACACTATAAGATCTGCAGGTACACCTACTCATGAACGTCCAACATATTCACGAGAGGAACCTCGACGTCAATCACTACCACAAGCACAAGCTGCTATAGCACAAGCACCCCAGCAACAACAACAGCAGCAGCCAATAGCTCCAGCAGCACCTATAAAGGTAACTCCAGTATGGGGCGCTCCTGCCACAGCCGTAGAACAAAAGCTGTCTCTTAAAGAAATTCAAGAGATTGAACAACGTGATCGAGAAATCAAAGAACGTGAACGTCAAAGAAGGCAAGCTTTGGCAGCTGCTAATGCCGCTGCTAATGCAATGGACAGTGGTAGTTGGGCTCCTGGTAATACTCCATGGCAAGCACCATCATCAAAGCAAAAAAGTCTGACAGAGATTATGCAAGAAGAGGAGGCTCGTAAACAGAAGGAAGCAGCTTCTCGTGCCGCCACTCTAGCCGCCATGAATGCAGATGCACCAAACGCTGGTGGTACTCGATATGCAGATCTGGTATCTACAGCTAGAGGTGCAACGACAACTGGATGGGCAACTACCGCTGTACAGGGTCGTGTCGTACCAGCGAATGCATCTGTAGTAGCAGCACCAATACCAGTAGCAGTAAGACCTTTGGCTCCATCACCAGCAGCACCGATATCTAGTGGCCCATTAGCAGCTGTAGCAGCATCATCATCAAGTGTAACTCCTGCTTCACCAGCTGGAGCTTGGAATGTAGTAGGTAAATCTGGACAAGTAGTTGGTCAAGTAAATGTCCAAGGTGGACCTCGTCCTATCGCAGCAGCACCAGGAGGAGCAATACAACGACCAAGTAGTAGTGTCCTTGCGCCCAGTAATTCATCCAATGCTATAAGATCAGTTAATGTGGCTTCATCTCAACCAGCTGCTGGTTCAATTGCAACTGCTCGATCTGCTGTTGCTTCACCAAATATGGCTACTGTTACCGCTAGTGCCGTGCGACCTGCTGCAGCAGCCGTAGCCGGTTCTCCTAGTATGTCAAAGTCTTCAACATTTATGGAGCGTCAAGGCTCTAATGCTCCTTCTGAAGCATTCTTATCATGGTGTCGTCAAAGTCTCAAACCGCTGGAAAGGTCTACTACCGCTGGTGTTAAAGGTATTTTGGATCTTTAGCTAGATGTGTTTTTTTGTTTATTGAATTTTCAAATGTTTCTTACTTGAATGCCGACCTCTCTAAACTAGTTGAAGACTTTCTCCAAATCTTGTTGTCGATTCCAATTGGAGAGGCGTCTACACTTCAGCTCATTTGTGATGATACGTTGGGAGGATTGACGGCTATTGATGCTCGAAAGTTTGCTGACGAATTCGTCAGACGTCGTCGTTCAGACCGAGAAGAAACGACTACACCTGGAGGAGGGTCTTCACGCCCATCGAGCGCAAACAGTATGGCTGGTATGTAATTAATTCTGTGCTGTTGTCATTCAGCAGCATTGCAACATTTTCACGAATCGTTTCGTTTTGTCCTTCGTCTCAATTATTTTTCTCGCTGTAGACTTTGACACAGGAAATCGCTTCGTTGTAGTAAACAAGAAGAAGCAGGTGAAGCCACGAAAATAAGTAGTTAGGGAGTGATATGCAGTTGCTTAGCAGATTGTGTGGCTGATGAAGCAAAAAACTAGTTGTATTTTTTGATTCTATTTTCTTTACTCGTTGGGGGACGAGTAAATTGGCGGAAGAAAAGAATTTGATTAGTTTTCAAAAGATGCAAACAATATGTGAATATAAGATGACCTATACTCTTTCAGACAACTCGGTTTGATGGGGTGTTTTGCAAAGTGTTTCGTTTTACTCACTTGTCCGATGAGAGCAGAATCTGAGTTTGCGTCCCACAGCGTAAACAACTACAACGTTGATGTACTTGTATATGGCTTGCTGTTGCTTGCTCGGAATGTTTGAAGCCCTGAGATTCCGTCTTGCAGGTGTTGGACGCAATCGCGTTCTGCTTTAATTAAATGGCAATAAAGTGAGGATCGGAATACTGTATTCGCCCTTTCATTCTCAAGAGACAATACCTCGCTATCAGAACAGTCTTATTTTGAAAGCGCCATAGCCTTCAATTCCTACCTCCAAATTCCAACAAAACAACAAATTCGAGATTCCAACACTACAGCTACAGGATCGAGTCGACAGTGATAGATCTACGATCATTGTGCAGTTCTTTTGGTGGTAGAAAAATCGACATGGCCATCAATGAAAACCAACATCAAACCAACACAATTTGCTTTTGTTTACAAATAGCGAGAGAAGTTACATTTCGGTTGTATTGGATTCTCCTTTTCCCACTCTTTGTCTCTGCCGGACGCTTGATGCGCACTGTTGGGTCGATTGGGACAGATTATGTGCAATAATGGGCTAATTAGCTGCTGGCTAGCTACGATTCTATTTTGTGCACTACATTGATGAAGCCATTACAAAATGTTGTTGAAAAGATTTGGACTACAACACTGGAATGGGGCAAGATTTTTTCAACGCAATACGTTTCTGTTTGCTTTTGTAGCAATCAACATTTGTCGAATGCTGCCGTGATGATTTGGTGCTGTCGGTCTGGGTGGAATTGGAACAGAGAGCATGTGGCACTGACAAAGCTTGAATACGAGTGTTTACACCTCGTTGGTCGGATTAATGGGCATTTGCTGTGTGTTTGCAAGCAACTCGACAAAAGATGTATGCATCAAGAGTTATCGAGCACATAATGAGGAGATTAAGAGTATTGTGGAACTTGCTATTGTATAATTTGAAGGACGGGTGTAAGCCATTCTGTAAATTTTTTGGCAGTTTTCTTTAACCAACCAGTGCCAAATGAAGGGGTACCTCACGTTAATCAGAGCCAGGTCATGATTCACAAGATTGAGTCGTGTTTTGACTTACGTACAAGAAGAGCAACGAATGAGTGCAATGTTCAAGTAGTAGTGTTTGGTAAACTACATTTCCTCAAACAGCTGTGGTCCTTTTTGCATTATATCATCTCTTCGTTTGAAACCAGAAAACGTTCATGTATGCGTCTCGCAAAACACTCCACATCATGTTAAGCACTATGTATTTTTCATGCGAATTTACAAACTTTTGCGATACCACACACACCACATACCAAAGACACAGACAACATAACAAACACCCTTTATTCTTCCTTCTTCTTTCCAAGAATGTCACCATAGTGCTCAAACACTTGACGCATTGACATGGGATCTGTGCCAGTCAATCTACGAACAATAGTAAGTCTCAAGCAATTCCAGAAAGGACAGTAACGAGCAAAATATTACGTTCTGCAGTCAGGAGAAACAAAGTTGAGCTTGTTTTCATCAACAGCCTTGTAGAAGGAGATGAGGAAATCAGCCTTGTCATGCTTCATTCCATGTTCAATCAAGAGCTTGTGAGCATCTTCCATTGAAATCTTTTTGAATTCGATCTTCCTGCCAAGAGCCTATAAAAAGTGCAAGGTTGTATTAGAACTCTACAACCAATAAAGGACGCCGAAAACTTGTGAGAATTCCATCAAGACAGACCTTGGAAGCAGCCTTTGCGAAACCAGTACCATGTTTGGCTTTGACCCCAGTAATATCATAAGTCTTGCCATGATGCTTTTGGCAATCTTTGAGGATGTGAGTGGCAGCACAAGCGACATCCAAGACTGAGACTGGAGCAAAGTAGTCATTTGTGGGCATGGTCAAGGTGTTGTGTTCCTTGATTTCTTTGGCATACAACAAGAAGTTCTAAGCAGGTAAAGAAATTAAGTTCAAGATATCCAACGAACGGCAACAAAAAAAAATATGTAGTACCGATGCTGCAGTCATGCTCACCTCAGCATGGAACATGGACCTCACAATAGTCCAGTTCTTGACAGACCTTTTCAAGTAATCTTCAATTTCATGGAATTGCTTTCCCCAGATGGTGACATCCTTGTCTGCACCAGCACTGGAAAAGAGCAAGACGTATTCGACACCAGCTTCTTTGGCCGCATCGATGTATGACTTCAAGTGCTCGGCTTGATGACTTTCAGCAGTGCCGATGATGGCCATTTGCATAGGCTTGGTCTAAATGATGTTTGAAGAGTGCGTTAGTACGGACGCAAAAAAAGTAAACGTACGCATCATCGATCGTTCGTGTATACAACGTGATAAACACCTCATTGCACTTACTTCTCTGAGCACTTTGACAACACTTTCAGTCTTTGCGGCATCACATTCACAGACTTTGCATCCACATTGTTCAAGTTTGGAGCATTTTTCCTTGACTTCTTGAGGAGGGACGCTTCCGACGACTTCAAAGACACCAGATTTCATCAAGTCTTGGCAGAGAGCTTGGCCCAGTTTGCCAGATGCACCAGTAACAAAGACTAAAAGTAAGAAAGCGAGCGTTTTATATGAGTGATCGGTCAGCTGAATGACGCAACATATAATATACAGCAATAACAATTCAGTAAAGTTCATACCTTTGTGCTTGTTTTGTTCAGTAGCAGCTTGCATGTTGGATATTGTTGTCTGTTCTTTGTTGTTTGATTTTTGGTACTTTGTTGGTGTGTTTGAGTTGTAAGTGCTTTTTTGGGAACTGGAGAGTTGAAAGGGATGTAAACATGCACTAGAATGAGTCACACAAACACAAAGCACATCGAGGAAATGCTCAACTGTATTCTTAACAAAATCACGTACATGACGCGTCCATAAATAATTGACAAATGTATGAGGCCAGACTGGTGAAATCAGCACTGAATAGCTGCTTCCACCTACTTTGAGGCACCAGTTTCCTTTACGCACACAATCAATGCCCACTCGACATGGATACGTAGTCGAACAAGTCATCCCTGTTGGTGCGATAGTCTCGTTGCAGTGTCCTCTATGAAGTGACATCTCTTGTTTCAAGAAGAATCAAGTTGACGATGCATCATCCAAACACCGAGCATCGATAAGAAGCTCTGAGAGTGGTTCTTCAGCTGATTGCTCCTCCACAATTCGTCCAAACAAGAAATCGGTTCCAAACACGAAAAAGAAAACTGATGTCGAGATAACCAGCTTCATTTCGAGCGAACAAAGATGACATCCAGTACAATCCATCTTGCAATAGACCAATTCCACTCCATTTGTCCAAATCAAATCTCCTCTTTCAACACTTCAACACTTCAACACTACCGCACAAAAATGAATGAAAACGTGTCAGAAGCTCTGTCTGTAGCGGTTGGACTGCCATCAAACGCACTAATACCATATATAGATGGCCCTAAAATGAGTAGACAGCCTCTCGGTATCGAGTACCATATTAACGTTAGCAAGCTTATTGTTACTTTGAGTCATGTAGAATGGAGGAATGTGTCGAGTGCACTTGGAGTGACGAGAGCGGATGGAATTGAACGTTTTATGGATTCATTACGTGCCAGAGTACAGTATTAAAATTGTCTAGTATGTTTCAAATGCGTTTCAGAACTGACATTTCGTTGCTTTATAGATCTCGAACCCAGACATTCAGGAAGTTATCCCATACAAGCATCATATGGCAATAATAGTCAATGCAACTACATTCTTAACAATGGCAACTGTGCCATCTAGAACTTGGTCTTCGGAATCACCTACCGAAAAAGTTACCATCGAAATCCATCTTCCATCCCAACGTCAAGATCTTAACGGATATCATATGCGGTCGCTCAACGTTGCTCGCTTCTTACACATGGCGCAGGCTATAAAGGGCAATGACGTGGATATCAGGATGATAGTGATAGGTACCAACGGTGACAGCAGCTGGCAGAAGGAGTTTGTGGAGTCGTGTTGGAGCAATGCGCCGTGCATCAAATGGACGGCCGTTATAGTATCTGAAATAGAAGGGTTTCTAGATCGTTTGAGAAAGAAGGGAGACCTAATACTGCAGGAAGACGGAAGTAATGCTGTAGACGTTGGTGACAAACATCCACCGCAAACATTAATACGGCCCGACGCATCTCCAACGAACTTGGCAATGCTTGCAGCTGCTAGATACCATTATGCGTCAGAATTACTGGAACAGACAAGATCTATCCTCATAACACCACACCCATACACATTCGTATCTGAATGTGCAACATCTTGTATTAACCGCATACTGGACACAATCTATATCGCAGAAACCATTAAAGTAGGGAAGGCTGATATTGTAAAAGGAGGACAACCGATACCTGAATTGACATCTGCATTGACGTTAACAACTCAGTCGTTGAAACCGATAATCGAGTCAAGGATAACAGACGATAATTCTGATAGGACGCCAGACAATGAAGGACTAGCCACACTTTTAGCTCGATCGCGACTAACAATCAACGATCTAGTATGTAAAGCCAGCAAAGACTCGACCGTTGACGTGGTGGTTGGCGAGGAGGCACCATCTGATACGGCTCTGTATATCCAGTATATACATGCCAGAATATGTGGGTGAGTGAAACGTGATTCAAGTATTGGAAAGGTTCAACACAACTGTATTTTGACCAACACAATTTGGTATTTTTTTGTCGACAGAATCGAACGAGAAACAACACTCCCGCAACCAACATCCCCCGACATGTCTCTCCTCTCAAGAAACATCCCAGCACTAGAATTAGCAATTGAACTTGAGCTGTTTCGAGACACGTACAAGCGAGCAATTGCTACACTTGAACCCTCCATTTTGGTATCTGGTCTAATCAAACTGGCACATTCAACAGGACGCGCGTGGTCTAATCTAAGAATAAAGGGACGTCATGATGCTGATGCAAGATGGGCGCTGCTGTGTAGTTCTCGAGTAGCCATTAGGAAAGGACTAGAAATATTAGATCTGGAAGCTGCTGATACAATGTAAAAGAACATTTATAATATTTGACATAAACACACGTATAATATAAACAATATCTACAAAGCACCGGCACTATCTACAATGGTTCAGCAAAAAGCACACTCCTAGGAAGCGGCACTGAATCCTTCTTCGTCTCATCGGCAAACCTAACCGTATCGGCTTGTTCTCCAGCACGAGCCTTCCCTTTACTTATCCGATGCAATTCACGCTCCCAAGCACTCAACTCTGCACTGTCATCTTCATCACTCTCATCATCCTTCGTTTTAGATGCATCTCCAGCTTTAGGCGATTCACCAAACAAGGTCCTCGCAACTCGTTCCTGTTGTTCCAATCCAATCATACCATCCACAGTACTACGTAATGGACTTTTACTACTGTTCGGATCAGCACCTGCGTCTCGTCCTCGTTCAGCAAATCGTTCTACACGGTCCAATTCACGCTTCTTGGATTCTTCTCGGGCTCGGAATATCTCGTCTCGTCGTTCCAGCCATTCATTAGCTACATTGCCTAATTGGGCATCTAGTGCGTCTCGATCTGTTCTATTTTCTGCTGCTCGACGGTTCTCTCCTACGGCTCGAGATAGCGTGGATGCTTGTTGTCTGGCCACTGATACTGTATGTTCGATGAAGGCCTTTCGAGCTACAAGGGGAAGAAATTTAGAAAATAAGGCTACGGTGTAGCACAATATGGAATGTATCTTTTCTTGCCTTCAGCAATCTCCCTCAAAGCCTTAGCTCGCTGCTCCAACTCCATAGCATCAAGACGTGCCTGAACAGCCTCATGAGTCTTATCCTCTCCAACCATACTATCCCACCACTTATCAACCATATCGTTCATCCTCTGATCAGCAACTTCCCAAGTCCGTTTATCTCGTCGAAGATCTTCTGTAAGACGCTTAATTTCTTCTGTCGTCTTTCGTTTACGCATATAGTCTTCCTCTTCTTTACGTATGCGTTCACGCATACGGACTTGATAGTCGATGACAAACTTAGGGAAGCGATTATAGATGGGATACTGGCCGTGGGATATGGGGATGAATGGTTCTAGGAATGTTGATGGGCAGTGTTGGGGTGGTGAAGTGCGACGAAGACGATAGGCCAGGTTCATGACAGTGGTCAAAGCTACTGGGTTTGCTCGTTGGAAGAAAAACTAGTAGGACAATTATTGTCATCCACATATCGATTGGATCTTATTTTGCCGAAGAAGAAACACATACCTTGAAATCATCCAGCTTTTCAAGTCGTAATAAGGCAGGCTTGAAGTGAATCAAATAAGCCAGAGCAAAGTACCACAGAAATGCTGGACCATTTGTTAGAATATGATCCATTACGCGCAACCACTCTTCTCTGACAAATAATTCCGAAAAGAGATTTTGCGTAAATGTCCACAGAAAAATCTACATCATCCAATAAATCGGCAAACATCGTGAGAAAGCGTTTAAAAGCAGAATATAAGAGACGATGAATCATGCATTTTTTTACCTGACTCGTAACTTTGTGCTTGACAAAATGGGCCAACAACTCTCGATCGTGATACATGAATAACTCTTCAAACATGCTAAGTAACTCGACGGGTGGATTCGGGTAGTATTCCCACCATTTCTGACACCAATTTACTAACAGGAAAAAAGAGATGAAGTATGCAACCATCAGATGCTTTGCACACGACACACTTACTGAGAATAGTCATAACAGCTTCGAAGCACATGAATGTGTCATTGACCATTAGATATGCAAACGGAAACACGAGTGGTGCGAGATAATCAAGCGACTCGAAGAGTGGTGACCAATATGCGAGGCCCGACAAGATCCTAGTCAGAGAAATAATGAGAACATTCCAATGCGACCTCTGTAAGAAGGTTTTTTACCTCTCCATAGTTTTCGCCAACCTATCACTCTTTAACGGAAATCGTTTACGAAAGTCCTTGACAGCAGGATGGATTCCACGGCTCATCAGGACATCAAAGGCCTCACGATTCTCTGGCAGTTTCAGTAGAAACCTCCAGATGAGTGTCCTATCGCAAAAAAATGAGATGAATGATCTAATTACCTCAAAGAAGTCTTCTTCACCTGTATCTCTCAGGATAAACTCCATAGTGATCTAAAAACTTCCGTAGCCTGCCCTTGTTTAATGTGTTTGATTCCTCCTGCAACAAATTTTTTTTTGAGGGTGAGGCGTTTTTCGAATCAGCATCACGTACCCTTGATTCAACCAATTCATGGAATGTCTTGGGTCTTGTTGCCACTATACTTGGGACCTGTTTTGTTGTTATAGGTTCTTCCTGTTCAACAGGGCCTTGTAACTCTGGTGACGTATCGACGGCCGTCTAATTTTGAAGACGTCGGACGTCAGGGATTGGTGGTGAAAAAATCCGCCGACATGGCATCATCCTCTACCTCAGGTTTGAGAATAGCATCCACTCTCAATAGACTCGTTATATGCCTCGAGTCAGCCATAATAGCAGATAAGAGACTTCCATCAGGAGACACTGCAAACGACTTGAATGTGTTTTGCGCCAACACTCGACCCAACAATTCAGCAGTTTTGATATTGGCAAATAGTATCTGACCCGATGAAGACAAGAGAGCGACGACCTATGTATAGTCCAGACTGAGCAACCGTTTTTGGGTGACTCACAGCAGCTACAAAGATACCTCTCCAGTTCCAACAAATCCAATTTGAAGGATGTATTGATCACCAAAGTCGGGTATCGTGACTTGATGCACTTCTTTGTGGTCCAACAGGTTCCAAACACGCAACACAGGAGACCTAAATACAAAATACTGTCATTGAGACAAACAAAAAAATCCTATTCCTACTTCTGATATGTGCTCACCTTCCAGCAATAACTAAATACTCTCCATCATGAGATATAGCAATATATGAACTCTGTTTTGGTATGATGGACATGGCCGGCAAAGGAGTCGAGCTGATACTAAATCTCCACGTCAAGTCGAATGTGACGACCGACCACACCATCACTGCTCCATCACTGAAATGACCAATGATGTTTTCTCCGTTGGCATCGAAACAAGCCTTGTGATTTGTTGTGGCAAGTAAAAATTGTGAGCGCGCAACAAGACCAAAAGAGCCGTCCTCCAGAAGAGTTGTTAAACTCACTTGTTGCACACCAACAGAAGCAGCCCCCATTAATACACGCCGTCTTGTGAAGGTTTCGGTTTCCCATAAGATGGCTTCGGTATCGCTTGTTGTTATAGCTAGTGGTTGAGTCGGATGTGTGGAGATATGTGTTGGTTCTGACATGTGGTGAGTGGGTAATTTGGCCACCAATTGTCCAGATTCTGAAAATTGATTTATTTATCAGAGGAATGAAAGCACTCCAGTCCAGGGTATATAATCGTCATACCAGTGTTGAAGCAAATAATTGAGCAATCTGACAACCCAACGAGCAATTCTCGCCTCCGTTGATTGTTGAACGATGCACATGTTCCAGATACACCAGTTCGTGCTACTAGAGACCACCTTTGAACAAGAAACGTGTTAGAAACACTGTACATCAGACGTGTTGAAGATCGACTAGGGCCCTTACTTGTTTTTCAGAAAGTCCATGACATAGATAAACCCTCTCTGATCAATAGCAGCCATTAAACACGAGAATGCGCCCAGATTCAATTCAGCAGTGGGTTGTTTTTGAATGGCAGTTTCTCGTGAAAAGCAGACACATGTGAATGGGATTGGTCGAGAGGTTGAGTTTGATACTGACGAGTAGACGGCATTAATGGTTCTCAGCAAGGGACTAGATCAACAAGGATGCGGTTAGGAAGGAGTTGCTGGATTAATGATAAAACTGATGTGGGTTTAGATGTTGGGCTGGCAAGTAATACCCCGTGTTGATTTCACCGGCGAGGATGCGTCGCCAGGTTAGCGAGGTCCATATCGGTCCATTTCGCGCATCATTCGTAAAGACAGTCCGTGATGGCGGCGGTGCCATCTCGCAAACACCTAGAGATTGTTGTTCCAGCCAGCAGTCAATAAAAACAGGCCTGTCAAGGATTGTACAATAAATTACCTTGTTAATTTAACAGATCCACGCTCTAATCACTCTTCTGCCCTGGCTTCCCCTCCCCTTTCTCTCGGTTTTGACTCGCAACAATGAACAGTATGAAGAGTGAAGCGAGCGGCCCTAAAACGCAATCGATACAGGTCTTCAAGCGTGACGCAGAACGTGCCAACGATCAAAATCATCCTGCTGTAGAGCTGACGTGTGCAGCTGAAGTCATGACCAGTGCCGACAACATTTATCAGCTGTGCAAATATCTTATCAAGCATGAAGAGTTTGATACTCTATTGGATGCTTGCAAACCAGGTCAATTGTATATGTATCTGGACGCTGCATGCAAAGAGCCACTGGATCCTAACATGTCACTGAACCGACATCAACAAAACATCTGCCAAAGCTCCATTGAACGTAGTATGCCCTGCTTCTTCGATTGGTAGAATGTCAATGACTTTGGAAAGACCACGGAAGCATCTCACTCCGTTCTCTTGCCATCCTGACCTCTTTCATTTGACACACTCGTGCATTTGCCCAGTAGCAGCTGCTCCTCCAACCATAGGTAGCACTATACCCTCCAACACATACTGTTACCTTCTTCACCTCCAACATATGCGGTCCAATCTGATGAATGACCGTCTCTCCACTCTAGATATTGCGCTCTGGACTAGTCAACTTGCTACCATCTTGGATGCCTACAAAGTAAGTTGACTCGAATGGTATATGATCACTTGCAGATGTCAACCGAGAGCTGGAAGCTCCGTGTTCCTGCTCCACTGCCTGCACCATCCTTCATTTCCCCTGAAATACCATCTGCTCGACTCACTTCTGACAAGGTCCGATTCTTGAACATTCCTCAAGACGTACCAATTGATGTCGTAAATATGGCTATTGTTGCTCTGAATGTCTTGCGGGGAAACCGGCCTGGTGTTGGAGAGAATGCAGGTAAACCGTTTCAAAATATGGGTTCGCCGACTCATGTAACGTTTAAACAGGCATAGGATTATGGGACACTCGGATTGTAGATCCTCTGATTTGCTGTGGCGAAATGGTCAAGTTGGAATCAACTAAAGGTCGCAACGTAAGAAGCCTGTCAGCTATGGCCAATTCGAGATCAGATACGCTGGTCAACTTTGACCAAATACTCATGGTCATGGGTGAAGAGAAGGCAGAATCCAACATTCATGATGCTGTTGACGGTTTAAGTAAAATAACAATAGGCGTCAATGCCGTCTTTTATGGTCGTATCAAGACATACGATCCATATGCTGCTGACTTCAATTCTACATTCAAGTATTTATAATATTCTAACGTATCCCAAGCTTTTTAATGATCACATCGAATGGAGAGAAGGTGGCTCTACTCAATCGCTTCGACTTGACATCCTTCCTCTGATCGGTTGACTGTTTCAACAACTGTCATCAACATGTTACGATTGTTTGGCGGACTAGATCGGCTGGCTGTTTCAACAACTGTCATCAACATGTTCCAATTGATTCGCGGACTAGTAAATTTGAATGACACTATCTACTTTTGTTTGAAATGGCAACTGGGAGTCAAATACCCTCAGTACCATGGGGTAAAAATTTCGCCTCAAATCAGCGCTGAAATCAGCTTTGGGCCGCGTCCGATGTCACCTTCCTAGTCAATCCAATTTCATCACAATTATGTCGTGAAAATCACCCAGATGCCCTGGGCAAACTCGACTGTCGAGGCTGGGCATGAAGAGCTTTTATCTGGTTCATTGATTCACTATGCTGAATCCTTGATGCCCTCCAGGATCCGAAATTTGCATAGCCTATCTCGTCTCCGTACTTGAACTTTGCCGGAAGCAAGTTTGAGGAAGCCAAAGTGACGTTACACTTATGGCCTGAGCAATGTCCATGATGTGATGGAATTACGCTTTGGTCGTAGGTTTTCTATTGTATACTGAAAGCTTTGCAGGTGATTGGCTATTGTTGTTGGGCTTATTCACGTGCAGATCTAAAGCCAGTTCTTCCAATTAGGCCCTTCACAGTGCAGAGTTCGCCCACCGTGATGTACGTTTGGAAAACACTGTAGAATTTGATGACCGATTTATTTTGATCGATATGGAGCACTGTGGACGGGCAGGGCCACTACCCGATGGATCTAGCAACCAATATATACCGCAAACAAGGCTGGGCAAGCCAGGAATGGGCTACTCGTTTGGATGTGATGTATGGATGCTTATGAAAACATTAGGTGAACTCCAATTCACCCAAACAGATTCAGATACTCGAGTCCTCATCAATGAGCTTCTCGTGTTGTTTGAGCAATCTCCAGATGATCCAAGGCTGCACAGCAAAAGTGTCTCAATTGAAATGTTGAAACACAAGGTACTTGAAGAAGCAGTATCTCATTATGAAGCGAAAATGCAGTTATAGCAGAATTGCTTTGCATTTGTTTACACACTATTTACCATCACCATTGCATTCTAGATTATAAACTGTAAATAAAGATACGGAATTATTTATTGAGCCAAAATTGAAATTGAAATTGCCCAAAACTGGCCAAAATTATACAACGCGACTGCTTGCGAATTCACAGTCAATCCAACATGTTTCTTACGTTCCTCATCTTTGACTTCCCAAGACATTTACGACTAAGAGGCCATAGATCTCGAGCAAATAGCAATAGATCCATATCTGGTATTTAGATCTGTTACTATCCTTAGTTAGTTTACTACGGTGCCATTAGACGAATCATCGTGATTTTCAACTGATCTGTCATCTTTTACTGCAACAAGATATAAAACTCGATGTCGAGTCGGGCCAAATCGCGAGACAATCTAAGCGATGCCAAAGTCAAGTCACCACGCAAGGATTCCAACATGGCATTGGCCACCGCATCGTCCGCAAACACAGTAACACTCAACATCAAAGTTATCAATGCAAAGAACTTGAAGGGTATTAAGGGTGACAAAGTCAGTACTCTTGTAAGGGTACAGTTTGCCGATTTCGAACCTAAAGAAGTAAGATCTTGCTGTATTCTTATTGGATCTTGTTGCTTTACAACTGATCAAAACAAATTGTTGCATTAGAGTCCTGTTATCGCCGACAATGCCAACCCCACGTTTGGATTTACATTGGATCAGACTTTCAATCTCGATGATGTACACATTGCACAATTCACCTTTTTTTCGCCATCAGCAAAATCAAGCTCACACTATTCTGTATAGAACCTGATTGACATTTTCGCAAACCGAAAACTAGTTCTAACACTGATCGAGTCACTACCTAAAGAAAAAACCGCTGTTCTAGCAACGGCCGAAGTATCCCTCGGCGCCAGATTCCTGAAATATCCTCCACGACTAGACTCGGCACCATCGGATGCACCTCTATCCTCCCCCGAACTATCCTTTGTTGAAACAATCACTTGGACTTATGTTACTCCTAAAATGGTGGCTGGATCTGATGCTCCACTCGTTGATATTGAATTGTCGCTATCAAAGTGTTTGGTGTCGCCTGCTGATTGGGAAGCTGGAAATCTGGTTGCGTTTACTATTGCTGATATGGCACCTGTTCCTGATGAGTGGACTACGAAGGAAGGATCTGATCGGGATCCGAATTCAAGTATGAAGATGATGTGAGATTCGGTTGATTCGAGATAAAGAGTGTTCTCATAAAGTCCTTTTGGCAGATATTTATACCTACACAGTCAATCTCGTACTTTCTGGACAAGCCGGTGAAGAGAGGGCGATTAGTTTCCCTGGAGGAATACTGCTGAACTCTGATTCTCCCTCTGCCATGGGTATGAAAGTTTTCTTGTTGCATGTAATTCAGAAACAATCGACTCAATACGCTTCCGCTGCAGAATTGCCCATCGGATCACAACCTATGTACACTACCAAATCATCTTCCCCTACCGATGGAAAACCCGCAGATGAGAAACCGGCACTAGAAGTAGCTCGTAACCCAGTACCATCCAAACGAGTCGAATGGTCATCCCTGGTAACCCAAAAGTACATATGGGTCAATAAGAACTTTATGGCTCGACTACGTGAACGAATACAGAGTCGACGACCTATTGAGCTTGAGATGATACGAGAGCTTCAGCCTAAATTTGCTGGTGTTGCGGATAGTCAGTCGGTCAAGTACAAGGGCCGAGTTAATATTGATTGTACACCATTGTTGTTTCCGCGTGTCATTGGCTTTAAAGGTAGTCTGAACCTATAGGATGGCCTTTTTTGTCTCCTGGACTGATTTCTTACCCGTTTCGGCATCACTAGGACGATATGCAGTGGAAGGCGACGACCGTGACCGCCGTCTATCAGTAGTAGAAGGCAAGCCTTCTATGGGTTCAGATACGTCTTTGCATCAAAAGGAAGGGAAATCTAAACTGACCAAAGGTGAGAAAAAGGTTCGTCGATGTCAGCGCAAAAAGGAAAACTCAAAACTCCAAATTGTCATCATTAGAGGGAAGTGACGTGTACAAGACTCTTGGAACCTCGCTGGGAGTCGAGATTCTCTTGGGCAAACCATTGCTGGATAACAAGAAGCTTCAACCTGTGAGTATTGCCAAGGAGTAGTTCAACTCACAGAAAAAGATGCACTTATTGAAATTCAATTGGCGTCTCTAGACAGCACGCTCCGTCTCTGACTACATACCACGACGAAAACTGCCAGCACATCTCGTCCACCAACATGCAGGTGAAATCGCCGGTGAAGGTTTCCGAGATCGAATAACAGAACTAGTCAAGACCTTGGTCAATGAATACCAAACCACTCTTGGCGAAGATGCTCTTTCAGAGGTTCAAGATCCTAATGAAGTATCGGAACAGCAAAAGAGGTTCTTATACCATCTTAATCGTACTGGTGCTTATTTCAGATTGAAGGAACGGCTTAAGGGTGCTGTTGTTGATGTTGTTCGAGGGGTGAGTTAGGTTTTGATGGTTTTAGAAAGGTTGGACTCCTTGCTAAAAAAAGGAATATTAATGAGCCAGTACTTTTTGATTTAGAAATTCAGAAAAACGATGCCATTTTCAAACCAGGCTCAATTGCAAATCTTCTTGTCGGAAGCATACGTATTTCTTCTGGACGAGATGCATTCTGCTATCAATACGGTGAGTCCTACTATTCTCGAAATGAGATGAATCCAATGTCATCTTTGTTTTTGGTCTTCTTGCATTGTTTCTCATGTATCAATTCTTGAATAGATCTTTACAAATCCCAGCATCCTTACAACACAACCAGCACTCCCATACCCCATAACTCCCAGCCCGGACCTGACCACCGCTTCAGGACGTCGACAAGCAGCCAGCGTTGCACTAGCACGATACGCAGACGAAGCAGAGCGTGATGGAGATTTACAAGCAGCTTCATCATATCATCGAGAGCGAATTGCTCGAGATGAAGACGATGCGGATGCATGGTTTGATTATGCGGCTTTTGAATTGAGGACTGGTGGTAAAGGAGTTGAAACGCTAAAGGAGGTTTTGTCGAGGTGGCCCAATCATGTTAACAGGTAACGAAAAAGCTGCAATTTTTCCGATTGATGTCACAGTTGGTTGACTGACTGAAAACCTTGACAAAGTTTGATTGCTCATGGAGCAATGGTATCTGCTGCTGGCGAGCAGATTGAAGCTCGTGTGTGTTTGCAAGCTGCTGTTGAGGGACGTCCTAATAACATTCTGGCTCTTACGACGTTGGTGAGGCGCATCATACTCTCAAGATTTTGTGCGTCCCATTATGTTGAATTATATTCTCCAAATCTCATAGGCCATGCATTTGAATTCAATCGGAGAAGAAGAGGAGGGTGCTAGATATCTTGCTGAAGCAACTAAATTGCATCAAGGTTCCGCTAAAGGTAGTGGAAGTGGGCAACCGACAATTTAGAGATGCATTCCTCAACGTCATGTAAGGGTTTTTTGTGCTAACCAATCCACTCTTTCCAAAAGGAGGCTCGATATACGGTGTCGTAGCAGCATTCTTTATACACGTGAATGCGGTTGTGCTAGCTGAAGTGGCACTAGCGCAAGAATTGTTGGTGTCTGGACCAAGTGTGCATCCATACCTGCTCTTGTCACGATTGGAAGCTCAACGCGGAACACCCAGAGCTACGTCACGCGCTACTGAGAATCTGAGGACTGCGTTAGAGATTAAGAGGGATGATCCTAACGTTTGGGCTGCGTTAGGTAAAAGCAAAAAATATATGTGGTTCTGGAAAATGGTAGAAGCTAACCGATTCAGTGGGTGTCTGTCTACAGGTCATTTACAATACTCGCAAGAGCAATGGGAAGATGCTCAACTTAGTTATGAGACTGTGCTGTCTATGCCAGAAGGTATTTGAGATGATTTGGCCGACCACTTATCAATGTTTCCAAAAATATTCCTTTATCGCCAAACTATAGAACCAACCGGTCTCGGTCTAGTCTACTCACGCCTAGCCGATCTAACGCTCCGTTCAGCACTCCCAGCCAACGACAAACTACCTGGTACACTCGCAGTAGACGTATCAGGAGCACGATTGGCCAAATCCATGTATTTACGTGCATGCGAATTAGAGCCAAGTTCAAGGACATGGATAGGTGTTGGTAAAGCTGCATGGGCGCTTGATGAGCTTGTTGAAGCTGAGGATGCCTTTTCGGTATGCATTGTTGCACAGCTTGGTCTTTGTTGGTCTTTGTTGGTCTTTGTGGTCAGTGGCTCTCTGATATATGTGGCAAATGGTTATTTAGGAAGCAAATGTGTTAAACAATCGAGATCCAGAAGTATGGGCTTGTTTATCACTGCTGTGTTTATCTCTCAAGAGGTCGTTTGAGGCAGAGCAGTGCGCAAGATATGCGTTGAATGTTGGGTTTAGGAGAGTTCCTCTTATAAGGTGATAACCATTATCTTGTTTTTGTGCTTTGCGTTTGAAGGTAAGACGCTCACCTTGATTACACACGCAGAAAAATGGGCAAGATGTTCCTGTCAGCCCATCTATCATCAGCAGCCGCTGAATGTTTCAGAGTAGCACTTGAAGTCGATCCCGACGATAAAGAGACTAGCCAATTGCTTATGGACGCGCTGGGAAGCGATTCGCGTGGCTTCTTAGGATCTGGAAATATACAGTCTCGAATCAAGAACATTAATGGTGTCGATAGCAGTAATAGCAGTATGAAGGGAACGTTTGGAAGGGATGTGAATGTTGGTGGTGGTGGTGGGATGCAAGTCGCTGATGCTGAGGGAGCTAAAGGCGGTTTGGCAGTGTAGTAACGAAAAGAATTATGTGTATCTTGGCTGTGTACATTTGTACAGAACAAAAAATGGCAGAGGTGGCTTTAGAATTTCGAATGTCTAGTTGATCTCGACGTGATCTGGGTACCGTGACCAGTCATCGCGTAGATCTTCATCCAGAAAGGAGAGTTCCTTTACTTTTCATTGCTTTGATTGGCAGCAGCTCTTGCGATTCATCCAAAAACTCACCGCTTTTCGATTAAACGCTTCGAACTCGACTTAACAACGCACAGGCTCTCAACCAACAAGTCAAATTACAACAATGGCAGACTGGGCAGACAGAGTACATCCAGACACACTGGTTCTATTCGACGTTGATGGTACATTGACTCCTGCTCGACTTGTAAGTGCTGATTGTAAAAACGGTCAGAATTGATTTCAAGCTCTGGTTTCAATTTCTTGTTGTATTAAGAGGGTAAACTGCGATGGATCTATACTTATCGATACCCTGCATTGTTGATATTAGGGAGTCTCACCAGCAATGAAGCAAATGCTCGCAGATCTTCGCAAGCGCGTGGTGATTGGTTTTGTTGGTGGATCTGATTTGGTCAAGCAGCAAGAACAGCTGGGTGAAGATGGTAATGAAGCCGAGCTTAATGCTGTTAATTGTTAGATATACATCCTTTTTCTTGGCACGTTAATCTACACAGTCGCAAATGTTTAATTAGCTATACATATGTTTGACTTTTGCTTTTCCGAGAATGGTTTGACTGCATATCGGAAGGGGGAGAAGAAGGCTGCTGAGGTACTTGAAAGATGGAAGACCGTTGGAGTTAATAGGAGCTCAGACGCAGTTGCTTTTTCTTGCGTTAGAGCTTTATTGGATGGCTCGGTGAAGACAAGTACAAGGCCTTGGCTAATTTCATTCTCCATTATATTGCTGATTTGGATATTCCTGTCAAACGGTATGACTTGACCTACCACAGTTGTGTTGATGATATGTCATGTTGGAAACTAAATATGATTACATGCTTGAATAGTGGAACATTTGTCGAATTCCGTAATGGTATGATCAACGTGTCTCCTATTGGACGAAACTGCACGTATGTGGAAAGCTCCATTCTTTTTTTGGAAGTGAAGGATTGTCTCTGAAGTCTGGTGTTTGATTGTTGATAGTACACAAGAACGAAATGATTATGAAGCATACGACAAGGTATATGATAAATCATTGTTTCCTCCTTTTTGGGTCATTCAGAAATCCACTCACACAGCACTCTTGACTAGGCACACATGATCAGGCCAAAGATGGTGGCTGCCTTGAAAGAGAAGTTCCCAGATTACGGATTGACTTACTCCATTGGTAATGAATTCTTAAGTTGCTTTTTTGTTCCTGGTCAGTTTTCTAGCACGCCAAAGACTAAATCACAACATCTATACATTCTATACATGCAGGTGGTCAAATCTCATTTGATGTGTTCCCCACTGGTTGGGACAAGACGTACTGTCTGCGTCATGTAGCCGGAGAAGGATTCAAGACCATACACTTTTTCGGTGACAAGACTTTTGAGGTATGCTTTTATCTGATTATCGGCGCTTATTTGGGGCAGACTAGTTCCGACTGGCATTTGGACCTGGATTGAAGTAAGCAATCTGTTTATATGTAGGGTGGTAACGATTATGAAATCTATCATCATCCAGATGTCACTGGACACTCTGTGAAAAATCCAGAAGAAACAATGGCGATATTGAAGAAGGATTTCTTCTGATTGTTGTCAAGATGTCATTCTCAGTCTGTAATCATACACCTTTTAACAACAATAACAATAGACTTGTGCTGGCACTTTCATTTCTAAAAGGCACTGCCTTTCAATAATGGTGTTTTATTGTTGTGTTGGTTGAGCGAAATTTACAGATACTAAGGGAGTTGGACATTGTTTTTTTGGTTCAGAACTTGACGAACTATATGGAAGAGGTGCTGTAAGCAAAAAATACCTCACGTATCGGACTGAATGTCGATTGTGGTCGACTGTTGTGTGAATTATGACAACATGCATAGTCAGCTATACTACAACGTACCCTTCCAGAGATATGTAAAACAAAGACCACAGCGATGAATACCAGACTTCCAATCAATACTATCACCGGATCACTACATCGGAGAGGGAGTTAAAAATCAAACCAAAAACGGAGCTTGAAAGAACGACCACATAATGACGAGCAGTCTCTTCCCAGCACATAGCATCGACCGAGTATACGATATCACACCCTGTCGTAATACACCCTACTAGTTGCACTTACACTTTGATTCCAGGCGAGTCGTCAGTGTAGATCCTCATCATAGAACCAGGCGAGTTTCCTTGTGGTCTCGATTGTGGTTTTGGAGCAGCACGACGTCTATGCGAGTAATGGTTGGAGCATAATAGTATATGAGTTTGCATCGTGTGCATGATGTTTGTCAAGGGTGCATGAAATGTGCAATGTCTCTCAATGTCAATGTTGTGACTTACGACCTGGCGCCAGGAGGTAGTTTGGGGGATGCCCTCATCATTGCGGCATTTGGACTGCCTGGTGCCGAGTCAGCCTAGTTGAATTGGAGTTGGAAGTGTTAGGACTGTCGCGTATTAGAATACCCATCCACTGGGAATGCTTGAGTGTTTTTGAAATACAAGAAGAAACAAGGAGACACGTTCAATGCTCGAACAGGCATGGCAGCTTGTACAGGCTAGCGCATGTGTCCCTTCTCTTACCATTTTAGATAGTAGCTGTCGTGTAAAGTGGATGCAGTTGAGTTTTGAAAAAGGAGCGAGATTTGACGTAGTTGTGACATGAAGAGAAGCTTGTGCATTGAGCCATCACGCGTAAATCTATCTAAAAACCGCGTTCAAGAGCATAAAAGTCCACTGCGCCGCCTGTATTAACTCCAAAACAGCTTGAATCAATTTTACACGTTTGCACCATCACACTGCAAAATGTCCAAGGCATTCGAAGACAAGGTATCTAACTTTCTGTATAAATTACACGTTCGTTGGCATTATAACTAACGGTTTTCACCTAGTTTGCGTCTTCATGGGACGAAAAAGCTCAACAAAAACAACCAAAGGCACCTCTATCAGACCAGGAACGAGCTGAACGACTCGCTATAGAAAACCAGCTCATTCATCTGGTATGCTTGACTTGGATTATACTGTCGAATACATGTAGTGTTGGTTGAGCTTAGTGGACATCAGACATCAAAACACAACACACAACAGCATCAAGCTCACCCTTATATACAACAGGTAAACACATCCCACTCCCGTCCCGTCCACGTATCCGCAATCCGAATCCAAGGAGCAAACCGCACACAACCTTCCCTCATCGAACACCACATAAAACCAATTCTCGACTGTGCTACTGTAGGAGACGCGATTCTCACTGCTCAAGCTGCCTGTCAACAGTTATCACGGCTAGGCATATTTGAACACGTGGGGCTTGTAATTGATTCTCCTCAAGATGTGTATGCCGGCACGATTAGTGGCAAGGAGTCTATGGATGTCATTATAGAGGTCAAGGAGACAAACCGTGTGTTTGCAAAGACCTATGCGGATTTTCAGAATGATCAGGCTAGATCGGTACGTGTAGTAGTGTGTCGTGTGCTGTATAGTGCGTGGACCTTTTTTGGTTGACATGTGTTGCTTTGATGTGATGACTATTGTTCCCTCGATACGTGCTCAACCACCCCTTAATTCTCACATAGGGAGTCTCAGGCAAACTCAGAAATCCATTTGGCTATGGTGAAATTATAGAAGGGTTTTGGCAAAAGAATATAGATGCTAGCTTAGAAAAGGCTCCTGGTGATTTATTAAAAGATATGACATCGTCTTATCAGGTATGTGCTTGTAGCTTGCATTCGAGATGTCTTGATGCTACGTGCGTGGTTTTTTTCTCTTCACCATTGTCGTCTGGCTGACTTTGACTCAATAGGTCGAGATGTCTGCACCCGTCAACGCTGATCCAGATACACGTACAAATGTTGGGCTATTCAATCTCAACAGATCAAAAGAGTTGTTTAGTTCGCATTTTGAGAATGTGACGGGTGCATTTGCCAGAATCAAGGTAATCATCTACATCTCCACTCGGCTTTTTGCTGTTGAGTGTAATGTCATTTGACCTCGTTGAGTTTATGTATAGTTTCTATCGCCGCTGGGTCAGCATGATTTAGCTTACGAAGGTGCGATTCGTCACATCCATAGTCTGTCCGACAAAGCTTCGTTAAAGTAAGTTAAGCGGAAAATTGTCGAGGTCGCTGGTGCACCTCGTTTCTATTGAAGCTGATCCACCTATTCAACTCCTCTCCAACGATAGTGTGAGACAAGATGCCGGCCATTCACTAAAATCAGGAATAAGTCATTCAGTCGTACGAGATACCCGTGACGACGTGACAATACCAACACGCGGATACTTTATTCGATTATACAAAGAGCTCGCTGGATTAGGTGGTGATGTGAAATACGTCAAGGGAGAAATCGATGCACAATATAGCATTCCCATTTTCTCTGGTCTGGTATGTTTTGAGAGCCAAAAACGGCAAGCAGTAACACGTGAATCTCATTTCAAGTACCTTTTCGCTTAGCATATGACTGCAACTGCTAGAGGAGGTGTACTACAGCCACTTGGAGGTGATAGGACACGAATCAATGATCGATTCTTTCTTGGTGGTATGACTAGTGTGCGCGGGTTTACATATAATAGTATCGGACCTCGTGCTGGAAGTAAGCAATTAGAATAAAGTATCTGTTCTCTTTTTGGCCTGCTTTAAATCTTCTCTCAAACATTTACACACGCCTCTCCTTGGTTTTAGATGACAATATTGGGGGTGATGTGTTTTGGAGCGCTGGACTCAGTTTAATATCACGTCTCCCTGGTCGCCTCAATTATGATCCATTGAGACTACATGCTTTTGTTAATGCTGGTAGTGCGTCCATGCTCGACAAACGTAAGAGATGGTGCTAAAGTGGTTCGTCGCCACGTTGTAGGAAATTATTTCAGATTCTTTGCTGACCCGTTTCTCTCTCGACACTTCAACAGAAGCCAGTATGGCATCCAACATCAAGACAGCATTCTCAGCACCTACATCATCAGCTGGACTGGGACTGATTATGCAATTCAGTATGGTGCGACTTGAATTGAATTACTGTTTGCCTGTGACTGTCACTGCGTCGGATACGTTCAAGAAGGGGTGGAATTGGGGAATTGGGTTATCTTTCATGTAGTTGCATTTTTAGCATTAAAGAACATGGAATATGGAAGATGCAGACTTGCTGTCCATGATCGGACATTTTTTAGTTGTTGTTTGTATTTTTGGTCCGTGTTGACTTCCATTTGCTAAAATTCGAAGCAATGTGAAGTTGATTCACACCAACACACACAGCAAGATTTCGAAGGCCTTTAAAGACAATGTAAGTCAGTTACTTGTACAGACGTCACGGTTCATTGACCAATATTTTCACTACTTTGAATGTAGTTTGCATCTTCATGTCGTGCTACTTCAGAGAATCCGGAAGACTACGAGGAACAACTAAAGTCACCATAACAGACCAAAAGTACTCAAAAACTCGGTACAGAAACTTCGCACATTCTTACGACGTTGATGGAATTCTGTTTTGATGCGGCGGCTTAATGAATATCAAACACCGCAAAAAAATTTATACATTTATACTCACACCTTGGCTTGCAGGTCGACGCATCCCACACCCGTCCGAATCCAAGGAGCAGACCGCACTCAATCTTCCCTCATTGAACACCACATCAAGCCAATTTTCGACTGTGACACTGTAGAGACCCGATTCTCGCTGTCCGAGCGGCATTCCAGCAGTTAACCCGGCTACGGATATTAAAACATGCTGTCCTTGCTGTTGATACTTGCCCAGATGAATATGCAAGTGCAGTCAATGGGATGAAACCGATGCAGCCAATACAGCGGGCGATGTCGTCACATGGAAGACCAGGATTCCATCGTACAGGGACAATCAAACAGTGGTAAACCTAGTATACAACCGAAATCTTGTATGTTAGCCTGGTGTTGAACCTCGGAAACTAGGTCATAATGGAACTTTTCGGTGTGCAAACGTACCTAGATCACTGATAGCCTTTGCTAAAGATTCCATAAGTAGGAAGACTAGCGAGCAGTCTGCACTGGTTTGTGCCGTTCTAACGGCTCCCTGTCTACCGGTCTCTTTAGCTCAATCTCCCTTGTTTGTTGGATTCTTGTAGTTGGGTAGCGAAGCAGGTGTGAGGTGGGGTTTGCATCACGATTTTAGACCAAAAGAGGCTGCAATATATATTGAGCTATGTACATACGCCATAGCTCGAATATCAGCCTGTCATAATCAGTGACTTTTATGTGGTCCTTTCCACAATTCCTATATTTTTCGCGTTTCGGCGCTTGGAACGAGGCAAGTTTCAGGACGGCCGACCACTATGGATACTTTAGATGCGTCCAGAATTCATTGCAACTCTTTTTCGCGTTCCAAAGTTCCATCAACCGTCACCAGTTCTTCGACATGCACGAGATCGTGCCTTTGGTCCAATCTTTCGTTGTTTTGTGGTAATGTAAGGGGCTGGATATGTCGCATACACTCCAAATCACGTCGATACATCTCGATATGAGATACCCTTCCACGAGCTGCCTTGTGTGCTGAGTTGGTACGGTTTCTCCTTTGCTGCTCCTGTTGTTCTTGACTTTGACGCGATTTGACGGGACAGTCCTGAGTTTTGCATAGTTCTACATAAGTCCACATCTGCTGCGATGAATCTCGACTCCTTCGTGCAGTGTGTCATTGTGAATGATGCGTCTGCAACTCTGAAAACTTTTTCAACCTCACTAAGGACTTAAACAACAGGAATGAGCGAACCAGCAAGGAAGAAACAACGTAATGGAGCCTCTAGTGCTACTGCTACTCAACCAGCAGAACCCACAGAGAAGATAAATGTTGGCATTCTGGGAGCCACAGGTAAAGAAACATCAATTTTTTTCTTGCATCTGGTCAAGCTCAACTGCCTTAATATACCTATCGCAATGAATTTATGGAACAATCTTTGCTGAAAATCTTCTTTACTTGTCACAGGAATGGTCGGCCAACGCTTCATGCAACTGCTCTCAACCCATCCCTACTTTATCGTAACGCATCTTGGCGCATCGTCTCGCTCAGCAGGCAAAACATACACTCAAGCAACAGCATGGAAACAGTCCACCCCCATACCATCCATATACGCATCCATGCTCGTAACCGAATGCAAACCAGACCTCTTTCCCGGTGTCAAAATCGTCTTCTCAGGACTAGACTCTGATGTAGCAGGAGATGTCGAAGATGCGTTTTTAGCTGCTGATGTAGCTGTATTCTCGAATGCCAAAAACCATCGTATGGATGATGATGTGCCGCTCGTCGTGCCGGTTGTAAATACACGGCATTATGATATTATAGGACATCAGAGGAAGCATAGGGGTGTGAAGAAGGGCTTGTTGGTTGCTAATGCTAATTGTAGTACCACTGGACTGGTGGTGCCGCTAAAGGCACTAGAAGATGCGTTTGGAGGGCTGGATAAAGTCATGGTTGTTACAATGCAGGCCGTATCTGGAGCCGGGTATCCAGGTGTCGCAAGTATGGATATCCTCGATAACGTGGTGCCGTATATATCTGGCGAGGAAGAGAAGATGGAGATTGAGACGTCCAAGATCCTCGGATCGCTCAACAAGGGTAAAACAGCATTCATCAACAACAAGGTTGTAACATCCGCATCTTGTAACCGAGTCCCCGTAATTGACGGACACACGGAATCAGTCTCGGTCCTCTTTAGCAGGAAACCAGCTCCGTCTGTCGCGGATGTCATATCCGCGCTCAAAGCATATACATGTGAAGCACAGTCATTGAATTGTCCATCTGCTCCCGAACAGGTCATTATAGTGCATGAGGCCCCTGATCGTCCACAGCCGAGATTGGATCGGGATAATGGAAGGGGGATGGCGGTTACTGTTGGGAGGGTTCGAGAGTGTCCGATATTTGATGTCAAGTTTACGCTGTTGTCGCATAATACTATATTGGGGGCTGCGGGGAGCTCGATCATGAATGCTGAGGTTGCTGTTGCGAAGGGGCTTATAAAATAAGGGGTTGGTGTCATAAAGTGTCAAGGAAAATAGAAAATCATATCAACACGCAGAAAAATGAACAGCTAGTGTCACCAAATGCGAGTTCGAAACGAATTTTGATCATTCATAATGGTGGTCCTGTGCATTTAGATATGAATGTGTCTATATATTATTATCTAGTGGTGTTCTACAATAATACAACCGATACCAAAAACAACCAACAAGGGAAGCGTTAACGAGTGTAACGCGACACCCACTGAACCTTCACCAACACCCCTCTTCGGCTCTACATGGATACCTTTATTTTTGTCCTGGTTCTCACAGTACCTCTTCCGTAAACATCTCCTTCCTAGACCGCCGACTCCCACTCTTCACCTTCCCCCACTCATTCTCCAACACTGCAACAGCCCCATCCACCTTCCCAACCTCCTCAGCACACGCAACGAGCGTCTTTGCAGCAGCATTAACAACTGCGTGTCTCAGAGCAATAGACCCAGCATACTCCCATACACCAATCGATCTCAGCATACTGCCCTGTGAGAATGAATTAATCGGGTATGGTCTCGCCATACTTTTCAGTGCTGAGAGCAAGTGTTTTGATATATTGGCTGGTACTAGTTGTGGGCTTGTTGATATCCCTGTTAAGGCGGGTGTGAAGGGCTGATGTCGTGTTGTTGGGAGGAGGGAGCATGGGGATTGAGTTTGTTGGAAGTGTGTGTACAAGTGTAGGGAAGGGATGGGTGCGTCTATATCTGTGTATGCGCCGATGAGGGTGTTTATGACGTGCTTGTTTTGGTTTTGCATATATATATGTCGGTTTGGGTATGCTGATGAGAGGTATGTAGGAACTGGGATGCCGACTATGCGTTGTTGGATTGATACAAGACCTCGCATGTGTTTGGCGTTACTGAATGCTTTTATGAGGGATATTAATTGTGGTGTTGATAACACGTGGTTTGCTGTTATCGTCCATTCCCATAACGACCATAGATTGTCGAGTCCTTTCCTGATGAAGAATCGAGCAGCTCTACCGGTTGATGCATTTGGCTTTATAGCTAGGGCGTGTAGTAATATTTTTAATGTCTTATTATTCACATTATCGGCTTGAGTCATCCACAGTATAGCTTCCTTGAAATATCTAGATTTGACTAACGTCCTGACCAACGCTTCTAGTGCAACAGGTGATATACGAGCAGCCTCGTTCTGTAGTCTCGTATAGACGATAACTGAGTCTACAATGCCCTTATGTGGATCTGTCATCAGGTTGGTCGACGCAACAATTAAAGCCTGTTGCACACATCCGCGATTCAAGATACCCCACGATTTAGCTTGTACTAGTACTTGACTGACATCTACGTTACTTGCATGACTTATAAACGCTGCGAATGGTTTGGCACGATTGTATGGTGTGTGTCTTGATATGCATGTTTCGAGTCTAGTAATTTCGGGAGATGATGGTGCATGGTTTGCTGTTAGACCAAGGTTGACGAGGTGGGATAGTACAGATGGTGATGGGAGTAGTGATGGATTACTGGATGTTAGGATGTCGAAATAGTATATTGCGGCGTCAAAGTCGGCAGTGCTTTCGATTATCGTGGATAGGATTGGATGTGATGGTTGTATTCCGAGTTGGGTGAGTTTGCTCAAAACTAGAGCACGAGAAAAAAAAAGAGTCAACCCAACGTTAATCTGATATGTCCATACACCAGGATTTCCCACACTCTTACCATCAGGGAACTTGCTCTGCAAGCCAGCACGAGCATACACTTTAGCAAGTGCCAGATATATCTTTGAGATATGATCTGGTGTACACGTTTCCACGGCATCATTGACCAGGGTTTCAGCTAGATCAACTCTTTTTATTTTGCCACATGTCCTTATGAGCCTAGCTATAGTATGACCCAACGCCTCAGGATGTACTTTGGCCGATGTTTTGATTTCAGCGTAAGCTTTAAGCAATAGTTCGGCCTGTGCTTCTGGACTCCTAGTTTCCTTTAGAGTTTTCAGGAGCTGTTGTGATTGAGCGATGAGCTATAAAAGGTGCGTTAACAACGAGAAGTAAATCGGATCGTCTTTTTCTTGCGCACAAGCTTACACCATGATATACGACGACGCAACCATTCACTCACCTCAGATTCCGGGGTAAACCCTCTTGTACGTACATGATCATCCCGAATGCGTCTCGTTACAGGGCGATCATGTATCTGTTCAGCAGCACTAGTGCTCAGCAACTCACAAATCGCCTTCCAGTTTGGGATGCGATTCACAGATTGATCATCGACACCACCGGCACCACTGGGATGCAATTTATGAGCTGGGTTGGATTCGTTAGGAGGATGAATAGTCTGCCGAATAGGTTTTGATAGCCAGGCCGGAAAGCGTCGTCTATGAGGTGGGAGGCGAATTTGATGTCTTCTGCAGACAGGCTGGTAGATGGATGTGGTAGTGTGCTGGCGACAGGATTGGGTGCTGGATCGTGCTGCTCTTGTACATGGCCTTGTTAGTATCATAGCTCCTATCAACAATGTAGTTGTCAGATGCGAAAAAAAAGGAGTCGAGTTTGAGCTCAATGCTCATCAGAGTCTTGTCGCCATTGTGAAAATATGCCAAGATAGACCTTTTATTATAGCGCGTAAAAACACGCTCTTCTACTAGTTTACGCTATATTCGTCCTTGCTCCTTCTTGTCAAAGAGCTTTATTCTTTTCTTCATTCAAACTTGACAAGCTTTGCCGTTCGCTCAAACAGGACATATGGCAGGAGAGCCATACATTTATTGCTACATACACGTATTTTTTCAAATTAGCTGCCCTTAATATGATGGCCGCAAGTCAAACGACTAGTATGGAAGAAGCTGAATCCCAAGACTTTGTATTTTGGTTGCAGCCTCTGCCTGATCTGGAGAATGATGCTTTGCTAAAGACTCTGGAGCGCTCGGAATCTGATGACTTGACCTATTGGAAGCTGCCCTTGCCTGATGTGCCCGATATACCAGTTCTGCAAGGTAGATAGATTCCCCTGTCGCACTTGAGTTTGATGTTGGCTTGTGGAAGACGTGTTTAAAGGCAGACTAAATAACTGTGATTTCTCATTTATAGATACGGCTTCGTCTGCTTCAAATGCATTCTTCATGCTTGCTCCTTCTGGATTACGGTACGCTAGAACTCGCAACGAATGCTCTTTTTTGCCAACTCAGGCCTGTACCTTGCTGACGCAACCGTCACCACCTCTATATAGACATTTAGCTCAGCCTGCTTCAGAACTCGGTGCCAAATTATTCAAATCTGAGGAACCTATAAAGTCAAAAAAGGATAAATCACCTGCTACCACTACTAGTCCTAGTACTCCTTCCAACAATGCCAACGGGCATCGATTTCCTCTACCATCCAAACCAGACTTGCTATCCTCTTCACCTTCTCCCAAACGGCCCACTGGGGCTGAAGCAACAAACAACAAGAATAACAAGAATAAGCCAGCATCTGGCTATGTCGCGACCTGGGCAAAACCAGATCCATCTACTTCTACGTCGAACGATAGTAAAGCCGCGAAACAAGGTCAAAAGAAACAACAGCCGAATCATAATAATCAGTCACAACAACCACAGCAACAACAGGATTCTCAGCCACGTAGTGATAAACGCACTCGTGGTAATAGTAATGCATACGATGGCCGTCGTGGATTTGCTTATGGTGGGAGTTATGATAACCGTGGTGCAGATAACAACCAAGGAGGCTTTTATAGTGGTGGAAATCAACAATCACGAAACAACGATAGTCGTGGAAATCAAGCAAACTATGGAAGCAATACTAGTCGAAATCAGTATCAAAATAGTGGTCCCCAACAAAACCCACCAAGAATTGGCAGCGGTGCGTCATGGGGAGCCGAACCTTCTGCTGCAGCTGATGCTACAAGTGTTATCGACGGTTCAGCAACATGGGATGAAGGCTCTATCTCTGTACCAGCTGGTCAATCTGCTGCTAGACCACATACGTCTGCATCATCTCACTCAAGTCAGCGAGGTCAACGTAACAACCTTCAACACCAACAACAGCAACAAAACTCAAATCTCCGTCAGCAACAAGGCAGACAAAACAACTATACATCTAATGATCGAAATGTAAATAGCAATAGTACAGCTCCACAGGTCGTACCTCCGTCAGAGTTTGATGAGCCACAACCCCGTGGAGTCCATCGTAATAGTAGGACTGCGAATGCTGCATCAGGAGGTCAAGCTATATCAAATGGGCCGAGTTTGGGATTACAGGCTACTGTACCTGCTGCTGACGAAAATGAAGTGGCGTGGGGTGCAGAGAAGCAGGCGACTACTCCTTCCACCGCTGCTCCTACTCGCCCGCCTCATCCAACTCAACACGATCGTAATCAACCAAACCAGCAACAACAGCAAAAACCCCGCGGTAAGTTCAATAGCTATAGTGGTCGTGGTCCTAGTAAGAATTGGGATAATACATATTCTGCACCACAACGACAGCAACTACAACCTACATCAAACGGTGTCCCAGCTGTCGAAGCAGAAGAGAAGCTACCTGCTGTCGATGAACACGGAATAGTTTGGGCGGAAGAGCCAACTTCTGCTTCAACTCCAGCTGCTACCGCTGCTTCTCCTACTCGACCACCTCGACCAAATCAACATGAAAGTAATCAACCACAGCAGCAGTATCAGCCGAAGGCATACCCATCTCGTCAACCAGGAAGACCCACCAACGATAATAATAATGACCAAACCGGGAGACAGGCAGTGCAACCTCCATCATCTTCATCAAATGGCGCTCCAGCTTGGGGAAAAGAGACTTTTTCTACTCCTTCTGATGCGGTTGCAAATGGGCCGGAGTGGGGAGCAGACGCCACCTCTTCTGGCACTCAACCATCATCATTCACAACGCCGCAAAATCAACGAGATCGTAATTCTCAAAGGCCGGATCGTAGATCCGACTATCATAATTATGATAGCGTCAATCCAGAGGTGGATGGAGGTGCTCCTGTTACTCCTGGTCCTCACGTACAAGCAAACGGAAGTGGTATGGAACAACAGCCTCCAGTAAGTGAAGCATTCGTACGAGGACGCGAAGAAGGCCAGGTTTTGAACAGTTTCGACATAAACAGTCTAACTCTAAATATTCGAATTCTCGATTCTTTTAATAGACCAAACCATATGTGAATCCGGCTCGCTCAGTCTCTGGAGGCAGTCCACCGTCAAGACTATCTGACGCAGAATTGACGGCAAAGATCAAAATTATCAAAGCTCAAAACGAGGCCATTCTTTTGAAGGCAAAGGTATGTTGTATTTGATTTTGCGTGTGAGGTCATCCAAGCCCTTTGAAGTCTTTGTGTTGGTTGGATCTAACGGAGAATTATCTTTGCAAATTAGAGAGTCGCAGAGGAGAAGGCCGAGTTACGAGCTCGAGATCTTGAACGAGCCTCACGAGAGCAGGAACAGAGACGAAAGGAGGAAGATCAACGAAAAGCTCAAGCTTCCCTTAGGTATGGTTTGAGATACTATGTTTAATTTATTCAGTTTCACCATTCCTCGAAGAAACAAAACCAACTCCTCCCAATATATATAGAGCTGAACAGTCTGCGAACGCAGCACGAAAGCTCGAAGCAAACCAGTCTCGAGAATGGGATTCCGATAAGCGAGGTGCTTATCGAGGTGGCGGCAGAGGACGTGGTCATTACGACAATGTATCTTCTACTAGACCACAACCAGCATCGTCATCTGGTGGAGGTGGACCACCACCAGCCACATCATCATCGCAACATCCGAACAATAATACGACTAGCACACACAAGTCTAGTATCACACCAACACCGAGGAATGAATCTCCGTCACAGGCACAAGAACGCAAAGGACCCACACCCGTACCCGCCAACAATAAAGAATCTGAAGATTGGGGTGACCAACCAGTCTCTGAAGCACCTGATTGGAGTTTACCACCTGGTGGAGTAGCACCTAGCGGAAATGGTGCTGTTAGTGGTGCCGGTAATAGTTCTAGTACTCCGAATCGTGGTGGTGGTGGAAGAGGAGGTCGAGGAGGACGTGGTGAATCTCGTGGTGGAAGTGTATTCAGTGATCGTGGTGGTAGAGGCCGATCACGACGACAAGATAGTGGTGAATTTGGAGATCGTGCTGGTGGCGGTAGTGGAAGAACATCACGACAAAGTGGTGGTGATCCATCTGACTTTAGTGACCGAGGTGGTTTCAATCGCCGTCAAATGGCAAGTCAGTAACGAAATGGTCAAACGAGAATAGGTATAGGGGGGAGAGAGAGATGTTTGAAAGAGAGAAAATTGTATGATTCAGTTACAAGTATATATGAAAAGGAAATGTTGTGCATAAAACCCACGAAAGATTTGTAATGCTGAAAATGATGAATTCGTATAAAGCAACTTTGGCATCAAGTAAAAGACGTGAATTTATTGTTCACTTCTTGAGCGCTTTTTTGGTTGGGTGTTGTGAGCGTGAACAAGGGCTGCGAACGAGTTCATATTGTACTCGCTCGTCTGATAGCATTTGTCACGTAGATTAGAAGATGAATCGCCTCACTTGATATCGGTTTTGAGTTTTCGATTCTTCAAAATCTGCCAAATTGACGCATCTCCATCTCCTACAAAGAGCCAACCTCCAACAGCCACGATGAAGATACTATCCAAATCTCAAATCATGCAGCTATTAAGTCCTGAACTGACTCTATCATCACAATCCAATGCGTTCAAATCTTTAGCACGGAAACAACAAGATGTACATTTGCCACATCGAACAGTGGTTACCAGCACAGATGGACCATCATTCTTCATGCCAGCATTATTACGTAGTGATTTAGGCGTCAAAGTAGTCAGTATACGGGGTGGGAATACGAGGATTGGTGCTGCATCATTGCAAGGATTTACTGTAAATTGAATCCCTACAACGATGCTTAAACAAGTGACGATCCTTTAACAATTTTCACTTGATTTAGGTCTTGGCAGACACACATACCGGCATCCTAAAAGCGCTGGTAGACGCTACCTCCCTGACAGCATACCGCACAGCAGGAGGATCAGCACTCGCATCCCAAATCTACTCCAACCCAAACTCGAAGTCCTTAATCGTATACGGATCTGGAGCACAAGCTAAATCCCATATCATCCTCATCTTACACGTACGGCCTAGCATCGACCGCATCACAATCACATCTCGGAATCGGGGTGCTGCACAGGCACTAGCTTACGAGTTACATGGATTGTTTCCGAGTAAACGCTTTAGTGTTGTGACGTGGAAGTCTGATGATGGTGTGCAGGCCACGCAGGACGCAGATATTATCGTAACGACTACGCCAAGCACGAATGCGTTCGTAACATGTGTGCCGAAACGAGGTGCCATGATTTGCTGTATTGGGTCTTATACGCATGATATGATTGAGGTTTCTCATGAGGTAATGTTGTGTGTTGGGGCTCCGGTGCTTTGATCGTGAAATGCCAAAAGCAGAACTCATACTCTCATTGGATACCACAGGTCGTGGATAAGTGCACGACGATAGTCGTTGACGATCTAGAGGCTTCAAAGGCAGAAGCTGGTGAACTCTTTCAGGTGTTCAAACGAAACCGACCAGTAGTGGAATTGGGACATGTGCTGCTACGACATGAAGGCAAAGTACTGTTTGATGAGGATGGGATTGTGATGTTCAAATCGGTTGGGGTATCTATACAGGTAAAGCTATGGTGTTTCTCATGCCTACTATGATTACACGTTAATGACTTCGATTCTTTTTCGCTGTAGGACATTGCAATAGCTTCATCCATAATCCAAGAAGCAGACCTTCGAAACATTGGAACTTTGATAAGCATGTTGTGAATATATGTGCCGGCAGCTTTATTTGTAGATCAATACGATACTCTTAATAATATTACTCATTGTTTACATTGCGGTACTCCAACATACATCATTTACAGCCCCTCACGGCCGCTTCTTTTTCATCCTTGCACACTCACAAACTCACAGCCTGTGATATCCTTCCAAACAAACTCTCACCGATCAGACCATTCAAGAGCAAATTATCCTTCATACCAAAAACAAGCTCCATTGCCCTAGCACTATAGACTGTAACGAGTATCGTTCTGGACATCTCCCGTACTACTGGTAAGTCAGTGACTGGATATACGAGTCAGACTCTGCATCAGCTTTGGTAGGTGTGGTGGGACAGGTGGTTCGTTGACTACTGCGTCTCCTAGGATGAAACAGTAAAAGAAGACACCTCCAACAATGGAATGGGGATTGATGAGAATATTCGACCATTCTTTTGGCATCCCAATTTATCTTTCAAGGTAGCAATGATTTCGATCCTATAATACAGCGCCCTTTACATATGGTCCATGAAGAGCCAATGTTAAGAAAGGACGTCGGGATATCATCAATGCAAACAATTCATCAGATGTTGGGTGGTGGAGTCGACGTAAATACAGATCCCTACATCCAACAAGGCCGATCATAAGCTTCATCTTCAGATTAGTTGACGATTATGTGATATTTTTTCGTCCCCGACGCACCCGACCCAAATAATCACAAAAGCTCCAACCACATCGGCGAGACCCTGTTCTATGCAGAATTGCCAATTCTGATATCACGTCTAGTCCATTGGTCCAGAGAAACTAGCGTGTCGAACCCAAAAACGACATTATACCCACCTAAAGAACCAAAAAGAGGTATCCTATTACTCAAGAGCTAACATTCGTAGTTGCGGAATACTAACCTGTCTAATCTTAGCATACTCACCCTGCAGAAACACATAAATTGACGGTCCAACAACAACCACAGCACCACAAACCACCTCAGAGAAGCCAGACATCATCACCCACGAGAAGCATCCAGCTAGAGCACCACCAACATATTTCGATCATAGTGCACGATTCAAGTGGAATATGCCAGCTCCAAAATCACCAACAAGAAATGAGCACAGAGAAGTCAATAAATCAGGATTCACGGAACATTATCAAACAAAAAGATCTTCTAGAGTGCACACTGGCTGCTCCAAAAAAGCGAACAGAAACCCATTTGATATACAGTCATATTCCCAAGTACAGTGAGTTCCCAAATAACCGAAACGCGTGCTGCCAATTGACTCCTTATTCTATACTCATAATCTGATGATACTGAGCAACACATGCTGTTTGATGTCGTTCATAGTTACAATGTTGAAAATGCAAGAATACTGGCGATATGTAATCAGCATCCTCCACTTTCAGACAATAGAATCGATGAAAAGCAGGTGAATTCGAGTTTTGCGATACTCTTGAATCTCCTGATGATGGCAAGCTTGATGTTGGATGATCTGAAAATGACGCATCAGCGTTTCTTGCGACGAATTCTGAGGATTCCAGGCAGCATGTCACCATAATAACAGTCTATCAAAGTCACAAAACATACAAGGCGTTAATTGCTAAACTGACCCAAATTGCCTGCCTTCAACTGTTTAACTTTGAACAAAAAACCACGACACAAATTTACCTCAAATGAGAATAAGATGCATCATCAGGCTTTACTCCAATACTACTGAGAAAGGGTTCAAGGGTTAATTTTGCCAGGAGTCAATATGAAACAAAAAATCAACCACCTCTATACTCCATACAATGATATGTGCATCAGCTTTATTTATATAATCATCACAACACCCTTGAATAATACAAACCACTATCCACATCCACTTTTTTTCAAGAGACAAATATTTACACATCCCCTTACAACAGCAACAGACTTTTCTATTTTCAATCATGGCCAGTACTAAAATTATGTCTGGTCATCTCCTCATACGAAATCTCACCAAACAAACCCTTCATGAGCGCTCCAAGTAATTCCATCTCTCGAATAACATCTTCCATAGCAAGAATATAAGAATAATAATACAAGTATGACGAGTCCCCTCGATGTTTGCCCATCTCTCGTACCATGGGTAATTCACGGACTTGAGATACGAGTCGTACTCGAGCTGCATCTGCGTTGGGTAGTTGTGGTGGGAGAGGTGATTTGATGACGAGAGCACCTGCCAGGACGTAAAAGTAGAGGAGGACAGCCCCGACCATCTAAAATATTGGTGATACAACGTCAGAGACATTGTGCTTGCTTTAGGTTCCGTGAGAGTTCAAAACGGTTGCAAGGAAAGAATTGCCTTTCATCACGTCCCACCGAAACTTACCTCACGTCTCACATCCTCAATGGCCCCAACAAAATCATGTCGCACATGCCGATGAGCATCACGACCTCTCCAAGCAGCAACTCTCATAGACACAAATCGGTCCAATATATCATTTAGAGCCGTGATGATTCGATCATACGATACAGTGGGAAAACGTCCTTTTATACGTGGTTCATGACGAGTCAATGTCAACAAAGCACGAGATTCAGTCAATGAATTACGTAGCGATATCTCCAGAGCAAAGAATTCATCGGATGTTGGTGGCAGAGTTGATGTGAATAGAGATACGAGTTTCGAATACAAGACGCCCATATCAAATAAGGTTGATGATAAGATTTTGCGTAATTCATCACGAGCCTAAAAGGTTACATGGCAGCAGAAGAGGTCAAGATCTCTGACATGGCTCGTCCATATTGAATAGTTTTACCTTGTACGGCCAAACATACCAAGACACGAACAATCCAACAACTACTCCAACCACAACCGCGATACCTCTCTTATACGCAAACTCTTCAATTCCTATATCACGTCCAGTCCATTGATCCAGAGGATTGGCGTAACGATTCAATAAAACAATCGTATAGGTCATCAAAAAGACCTATTACCCAAAAAAAGTTGAGTAAACTGAACAAATCTGTACGTTGACATAACAACCAACCTGTCCAATCTTGGCATATTTAGTATGTAGAAACACATAAAAGGCCGGCACAGCGACGATACCACAAACCAACCAGAGAAGCAGAGGATTGTTGGGAAACATGACCCATGAAAGACAACCAGCGAGAGCACCACCAATAGTACCAACTATTCGCCACATGCCAGCAGCGTTCGTTCCACCAACACTTGGAGTCAAAACGACTACTACTGATGTCAGTGCCCACCACCTAATCTTGACAAGAATATTATTAAATTTCAGGTACCAAAAAACCGCGATTGCAACACAACGTACATCCTGTACTCATAATACCAATCTTGAGTACTATTTATAAATCCAGGAAGACTCAATAAAGCAATGGTGGCAGCAGTTTTGATGGCAAATCGAATCTCAAATGCTCGAAATCCTGTTGCCCAAATCCATACAAGGGCCATGAGTCTTCGAAAGACTGTGGATCGAGATGCATCTTGTAACCCAGGTGTGTGTGGTAAACTAGGTGCTGTTGTATTTACTGGCGATGCGGTTCTAAGAAATATGATTGACGGTTGGTTGGAAGCGAAAAAGAGTGATGCCACCTGTCATTACTCACGACTCGGTACTCATAGTCGACAATGGTCGACTAGCCAACCAAAATTGAACCTTGCCGGCTTCACGAACACGAGCTTCGGCACGTCTCAAGTCAGCAATGTTTTCCACCAAGTGCTGCAATTCAGATCCCACTTCCATCAATGCAAATACGAAAAAGTAGACAAGAAAGACATCTTCATTGACCTAAGATTGTGGTCCATTGTGAGAGATGATCAAGATACCCCTAAACAAACCAGAAAATAATACGAAATACCTTTTCATATAGATCTACCAACACACGCTTTTGCTGTACATCAAACTCTCTCACAGCTTCACCAAGTTTCCGTTCTAGAGTAATCAACGCCGGCAATATAACACCACGTTCCACAGCCCCATTATCTCCACCCTTCTTCTCTTCTTCAGCAAGAGCAGCAGCTACCAGAGCAATAGCTTGTCGAGCTGTTGATATGAGACGACGAAGATATGGACCCATTTGTTCTAGGAATTGAGTGAGAGCTGGTGTTGGATGACCACCTGCTATTCTCCGATCAATGTCCATGACGGATGATTTCAGACCTGACAGGTGTTGAGTCAAGCGTGAAATCGAGTCAAATATGTGGATATAGTTTGGATAGTGAAGTCGTATTGCGGAGAGTGTTTCGAATTTGGTTTCGATTCGTAAGGAGTCTAGAGCGAGAAGTAACTAGAACCAAAAGAAAACTCAGATTGAAACGATATCGCTGCATGCTCGGACAAGACTCAACTGTCTGATGCTCCTTGATAAGCGACGACAACTGATCATGATGAGAAGCAATAGACTCGACATCGACACCAGTATCAAGCGAGTGTCGTGGTTCTTGCTCATCAGAAGGAGACAAAGATTCCAATGGAGATGGAGAAGCAGGCGCAGCTGCTCCTTGATGATTCGGTATTGGGATATTGAACACTATTGAATTTCCTTGAGAGTCTGTGTTCAACGATACTGAAGAAGCCAGAGTATCAAAGAATTTCCTCAAGTTGGCTAATGCTTTGGCTATACTCTTTCTGTATGAAAAAGCACAATCAGTAAATATTTATTCCGTATAGAACGCCCAGCATTGAACACTAACTTGAGTTCTGATGAAGCTGTGTAAGGAGAAATCAAACAGCAGCACGAGAAACTAATCACGGTACCAACCACCAAAGCCATAGACACTCTTAATATCTTGTCTGGTTGAAACTCCAACAAGTCCGGATTTGGCATTTGAGTTATCGTGACAAATGTAATCAGATGTGCCAAAGTGGTTCCTTTATTTGAAAGATTTCCAGATCAGCGATGAGTTTTTTTTTGCGGTGACGTGTCAAGGCGAAACCGAACTGACCTGTAGATATCGATGGTCTCTTTTGACCATAAACAGCACGTACATAAGCCAACACGAAGGTGGCCATTGCCAATACACCCAATATCAAGAGATGAGCGGTTGTACGTTCCTTTTCCTCGTTCTCGTAATAGTATACGATGTGTAGTGCCCCAACCGATACCAGAGAACCAAATGTGACCCCAGCAAGGCAGTAGAGTAATGCCTGGCGAACATAGAGAAAATTCAACGTCAGAAGATCCATACTTTCGTAGTTATATTTTTGCCCTTACCTCGACCATAGCACCAACAGATCTTGCGGGATGAAAGTAGCATATTGCCATAGCCGTCTATAACGATCACATGCAAAGAAATCAGCAAAAGTACGCAAACAAATTGCAGAATTCAGTACGAGATTACCAAATATGAGTATCTCCCAAAGTGCACACTGACAGGCTCCACAAACGTAAACATGGTTGCAACAAGATATGCAACAGTAGCTTTCAACACAGTGACTCTCCATATATCCGAGACAAGTGCTCTCAACTGACCACGTATACTATTCCTACTCTGTATCCCATAATAGTAATCTGTCGATGACACAGACCAATAGTTGTTGTGATTTGATGTTGTCCATTGCTGCAATGTCTGAAATCCAGGAATGCGAGAGAATATACCAGATCGAGATGACGCGAATCCGTTACGCTCCGACGCTAGGAAACGATCAAGGGCAGATGAATCTGAGTCCTGTGATACTCGGCCAGTGTTGTTTCCTGCTTCTGACAGGTTTGATGTTGTCAGTTTCTGTAGGCGAGGAAAGGCGGAATATGCGGTTGAGGCAGATGAGGATGCTGATAACGATAGTAAAGGCTCGTCTTCCGGATCTCGTCCTGGTCGCATAATACCGATGTTTTTGGTGTTTGGTGTTTTGAAGGTTTGAAAGAGATGTGAGCGTTTGTCGGTTTTGACTGTTCGTGACAAGAATAGAACAAAATTCCCGCGCCTATATCCATTGAAACTATGAGATCTACTCTCAAAACACGTATTGCCTGTGCTCAATGTTGCGATTTGAGTGTATATTAGAAAGGCACGCATTACAGCGCGACATCTGCCAATATCAACCCATTCAATGCGAAACAAAACTCCTTAAACGTCAAATATCTGTACAATAATATCGCATCTAATGTTTTCGACAGCCACCTATAGAAGCACTTGCTATACAACAATTAAACAATATTTTATGACGGCCCAAAGCCCATCTTCACTTTATAAGAGTCCTCTTCTTGTGCTGTCAATTCATCTGCACCCAACCAATTAGCTGATGACGAGCGAGGACGGAATTTAGGTACTTTCTTCACACCTTTGAAAACCTCTACATTGAAAAAAAAAAGTGAGCACGACATTAGATGACCAAGGCCAGTACAAAGCTCATTTTACCTTCGAGAGAAATAGGCTTCACTGAACCAAATATCTGATCTGGATCTCGAGCTTGTTGATCCTTCAACGAGTCCATTAGATTTGGAGTCTCTGCCCAAGTTGGTCTTGCAGGCTTGACCCGTTCATCATCTTCAGAATCATCATCCTCGTCTTCTTCACTAAATGAAAAGGAACGGAGGGTCAAAAAAAGTAATACAAAGCCCAGTGACTCCAGTACTCACTCGCTGGGAATTTCTGGCAAATCACCCTGTTCATCAACTATAGTAGTTGGTCCAGACCTTTTCTTGGATTTGTCACTGTCGGGTCTCTTGACACTCTCTGCCTTTATATTAGCACCTGCTGCTTTCATGGCTGCATTCATGGCTGTGTTCACAGATGTCATACCATCCAAATCTAAAATAGGGTTGAGAATCGGCGGGTTCAGTGCCGCAGGAACAACGCTCTTGTTGCCCTTGTTGAGTGTACCCAAACTTGGTGCCGGTGATTTGAGGATTGAGGGTTTTGGTGGAACAAGACCCATTAATGGCGTCTTCATGACAAGTGGATCTATTATAGGTTCTGGTACTGGCACCTTCGTGCGTGGCTGCGAAGAATCGGTTGATCCTACCGAGTCCGTCTAGAAACAGGAATGACATGGTCAAATATGGACACGCCGGCAATAATTTTCTTCTCGTTGGTACCTTGACTCGGTCAGCCTTAACAGAAGAAACTACACCATGCTCTACTGTTCGCATTGGCAATCCAGATGGTTTGTCGTCACGAGCCCTGGGTGCAGGGACCTCCGTAAAATCTGCAACCAGCGTTGGCTGTTCAATTGGCTTTGCAGGTTCTGAAGCCTTGATTGATTCGCCAGCATGAGCCTTGGCAGGATTATGTTTCTAAAAGGATGGAGTCAGTCCCAAAGCGAAAATAGAGGGGGCCGATTGCTGATTGCTGCCTTTGCAAAATACCTTAGGCTTCTCTACTGTATTAGTCTTATGAGTCTGCTTCTCTGCTACTCGTTGCTTCTTTTTGACAGGTTCTTCTTCCTAAACACGAACTTGTAAGATGCCGAAAAACGGGCACTGCGTGAAAATTGGCATACCTTCTTGGCACTCATTTCAGTACGACGAGCCTTTTCTTCTTCACGTCGTTTAGCCTCTTCTGCTCGTTTGGCCTCATCTTCGATTCGACGTTGTTGAGCTCGTTCGATTCTTTGGTCAGTAGTGACATTCTTCTTTGAAGTGGCAGCTTCCTTTTTGTAGGTGGAGGGACCACCGTATGTCGCCTTTGACTGAGAGCCAGCAGGTTCTTTGATTTTACTGGCATCTTTTCCTTCGTGAGCAGCCTTAAGAATGTAGATGTTTGAGATAAAATAGCAAAAAAATACATCACCCCAGAAGCAATATACCTTGCTATGTGTTTCATGCGAGGGTACCTCCACTGTCTTGCCTTTTTTATTCGTAGACTTAGGTAATGGTAGTTGCTTTGGCTTTGGTATATCAACGATGATAACGTCGGCATCGTCATCGTCTTCAACTGGCTCCTCTTCCACCGGCTCCTGCTCAGCAATGTCTGGACGATCTTCGGAGGTGACTTCGTCCCATTCTATTACGACTACTTGATTTGATTCCCGTTTAACTGGTTTAGATTCAACCACGATATTGGCCTCCTTTGACGGTAGTATAACGGGCTCTTCGTCTAGTTCATCTTCTTCTGGCGCGGGCTGCTGTTCTACACGGGCAGGTTCTTGTATTACCAACAATTCTTCAACTTCCACCATTGGAGCATCATCCTGTTTTTCTACGTCTATACGAGCGTTCTTCTCTTCAATAAGAGGTTTCTCATGCATAGCAAAATCAACCGAATCAACATCCATGTCCGATGTCTCGTCGACATCCATCGTCGTTGTTTGTGATGCTGCAATATCACCAACATTTTCATAGCTATTACTACTACTAGCAGCAGCATTGGTAGTAACATGAGTGAATCTAGAGGGCTTGGCAGGAGTTTTAGCTAGTTGGCCTGCAGCCGTCGTCAATGCAGTCTTTCTTTTTTCGTTTAGTGAAGTGAGACCTTTACGTAGATTTTCAATTGACGACGACACTATTGATTTTAGCCGTGGGTCATCGATTGGTTGACGGGGAGATGGCATTGTTGTTGTCGTCGTTGCGACTTCTGCAATACGGACTCGAGATGCAAGTGGCGTTGATGGTTCAGCAAATATCTCATCATCATTATTGCTACTAGTATCATCATTACTAAAACCGCAGGGGTTTGTATCATTGGTTGTATCGGTAACTGGAAGTTTGAGTTTTGGTGTATGTTGTTCGATAGTCGTTGGTGCCACAGACGATGCAGGTGGCGAGGATGGTGCAGACTTATTCTGCTGACTTATTTTACGTTTCTTGTTTGGCAAATCAATGGACGCTGTTTCGTCACCTTGTTCTACTTTATCAATATCAAGCGAATCGTCCACTTTGGGTGCGTCATTTGTATCAGGACTCGGAGCCCGTTTCCGTTTTGCATGGTCTGCATTCGTAGATCTAGTTGATAAGGAACAAGATCCAGTTAAATTCAATGATTCCAAATTTATGACTTTGATGTTGACGATAAGCCAAACGTAGAAGAGCGAAAGCGGCAAGTAAAAGCACAATATCATACCTGTTTGCGAGTAAATTCCTTGCGAATGATTGCAGCCATGTAGTATGAGCTTCGCACTCTGCTTCGAGAGTTGATAGGTATACAGCAGCAGTGACAAATCTGGTTGGAAACATTGCAACTGATTGACAGGATGTCTTTATATCATTGCACTGCTCGAATATAATTGAATAGAAGCCGAATGTGTGTAGTACGTCCTACTTGAATATAACTTGGTCCCTATCCAAAGTGTTTTTGTGGTCGTCGGTTCGAGGCGCATGAGAGACCCAGAGATCGACGTATTTTGCATTTTGCAAGTAAAATTATCGGACTTGTTCGGAATATACACGTGCGACTGGTGCTAATCGTATGTTTATATTGAAAAAGGACGAGCAGTTTCTTGCAAACAAATACAGCAACGGCTACAAAAACTGTTCAATATTGACTTTTCTATACCTAACCTTCAACTTCGCAAGCCTCGTACCGATCCCGTCACTGATCCCATGCCAAGCGTTGTTTTCAACAACATTGACAAACGATTAAGCAACAACTCGAACTCTGAAACACGGGAAACCCACCCTGAAACGCGAAACGCGTCTTAAATATATGATTCTATCCAAAATAAATGGCTATAGTCGGTATATACACTCCACACAATCACGCTCAATCTCCACACACTAGCTTCAGCTCTGCATCACACTCTAGCCAACTGTTCCTGATTTTTGAATTTGGTCTTGAGGTTGTCAACCTCTCGCAACAATACACGTCGTTGAGTGTTTGCTCTTTCCGTCAGCTCATCAGCCATTTCCCGGCCTTCTGGACTCAGGGCAGCCATGTTGATCTTTCGTCCAGATGATACCATAACATCCAAGACAACAGCCAGTTGATTCGGTAACCAGGTTGCTATCGGAGAACCACCTATGTGACGAACCTGGTGTAAGCAAAATCGAAATACAGATGTACTCATGCTTGCTTTACCAGTGGCAACAGGATGAGCAGAGTATTTGATAATGTACTCTTTGGTAAAGTTCCAGTGTCTAGCCCTGAATTCTCGAACTTGATCAACCATAGCCAAGTACAGAACTAGAAAAAGGGAAGCTCGTTAAGATGACGTTTTCACGACGCAATCAGATCATTCTTACAACGTACCATTCGAACTAGCATCCTTCTCAGCATATGCACGGACTCCAAGCTGAGATGATTTGCCTTCAACCCATGACACCCATTCATTATGTCCAGATGGTCGGTAAGATCTGAAATCCCTCAAAATTTGAGTTAAGGGATTCGATGGGAGGTGTTGAGTGATTTCCAAAAAGTTGTCTGCTGTGGGTATAATAGAGTCGTTGGCACCAGATTCTCCACGATAGAACGTAGCTTGATCTGATACACCTTCGTATATGACACCATTTGGGAACATTGGCTTGAAACATGTGGCGAAACAAGTGAGAATGCCGATCTTCGCGTGAATGTTCTTCACCAGAAGCACTTTACCTGATTCTTGGTACCCATAATGAATGTCCTGAACTTGACGTAATCAGCGGGTGCAGAGTGACGCCACATGGTATCCATAACACCTACAAAAAAGCGAAATCAATCACTTGAACATGCATCACCTCTGTTCTACAAGTTTTCTCACCATTGATTTTCTGGAAGGCCTTCAACATATCAGACAAGGCCGCATTGAATTTCGTTCGAGAATCATTCTCGACTGCTTCTAAAGCAGCCAAAGTAGTCCTGACTTGTTCTCCGGAATGCGCAACCATAGCGACATGCACGAGAATGAAACCATGTTCAGAGTCTGCTCCAGCAAATCCACGAATCAAGTCCAGATTCTCATACGATAGGTCTCCATGTCGATCTTTTCGTTGCCAGTTGAAGAGACTGTATGATTGTGCATACTATATATGTTTTGAGATTGGTTAGCAATCTGTCGTTGTTATCACCCTCCTGCATGTCGATTTTTTTTACCTCCATGAAAGGCTTTGCACCAATCTTTTGCGCAACGACTGATAACGGAACAGCGAGGTTACGTGGTAGTTTATCACGCCCAAGACCATAATCGCCCTTCTTTCGATTCATAATATCACATGGCTCAAGTAAATAGGCACTTGAAGCGAACGTATAGTCCCGAAAGAGTGCTGTAACGAAATATGAATAAGTCAAGAATGGCATAAAGCGATAAATGATCAAATGATAGCTATATTTCACATACCTGTCAAAAGATGCGAATCATGAACATTCGAAAAGTCATATTCAGGCAGTTCCTTATGTACAGCATCTCCAAACCCACCAGTAGCAAGTAAACCAGGTTTGCCATCCTTCTTGAGTTTCAGAGGCATCCGTTGGAGCAAGTCTTCCAATATCTCATAAGAGGGAGGTAATTTCACCAAGGGATCCTATTGCAAACACAATGATAGTGAGCAAAATCGATCAGCCCAGAGTTTCAGTTAAGATGTTTTGCAGCGAATGACATGCTTCTTATGAGCAAATGTTGTCTACCTGTCTTGGTAGGAACCCATTCTTTGTTCCCACGACGAATTGTGGTGTATTTGACGACAAGGATGATGTATCATGAAGCAATGATGCAAATCCTCTTGATTTGGACGTCAAGCATGATGTGCCATGGAGCAAGGACGCGAATCCTCTTGGTTTCAGTACTGATCGAATTCTCGTGGCTGGAGCAGATATCATTGATAAAAAATTGGTTGGAAAAATTGATCTGACGAAGGGAGGCAAGGTTAGATCGTCAGATTGAAAGAATCGTAGTATATTTCACCTACTGGCACACTCGTTTTGGTTGATTCGATCTGATCTGTATGAAAAGAGCAGTCAGGCGGTGCAGCACAATCATGAGCACGAGGTTTCTGTCAACAACAAACAAATGAACGGGTAATGGTTTTTCGTTCCAGTTAGCCGTTGAGGATAAAACCGAAAGGCGCACAACGAGCGTTCAGTTATGTGATTATATTGATCTACGTTATTGCAAGAAAAATAATCATTTACATTCTTTCGATCGTGATAGAGCCGTTAATGCTGTCATCCATGAGCTGATGATGAGGGGTTTTATTCCTGGAAGGCTGGCCACGTTTCATTGTCGTTTATTGACATCCAATATGGTCTCACCCAATATTCGTTTTCGTCAATAACGCCCTCAATCAACTCGAGGAATCGTTCCACCAATATCTTTTGATATCCTCTCGTATGTGAGAGATTAGCTGTCAACTTTCCACGTGGTTTGAAGTCGAATGTAAGCCTGGTCTTGCTGTCGACTTCTACACGTGTCCAAATCCTTTTTGTTTCCTGAGTTTTGCAGCTTGGGCTGTACAGTCACCAGAAATGCCTTGATGCGGCCAAACGACTCGTTGTAAACTCTCCATCATTGTTGTGATCACAGAGTAGACGCATCGATAATGGACGGGTATGGAATTTACAGATGGTAATTCCAATACGTCAGTCATTCTCAATTCGGGCATAGTATCAAATATGAAGTCAGCATCATTTACAGACAGAGACTCGGTCGATGACTGATTATTGACTACGATGTGATGTATATGTGATTGAGTTTGAAAGCCAGAGTGTACTATGAGCTCCTTCAGTCCAATAGCAAGCATACTACGAGCTCCTTCAGTCCAATATCAAGCACGAGTGGTTCCCCCAACGCCGAATCACACTCGACATGAGAAACCTTCAAGCATTTGAGGTTTACCATTATCTGCAACCACGTTGGTTCAACAAGGTCGACTTTGGATAGTTCCAAGTGACACAAGTGCTTCGATATGCTATCTACAAGTGCTTCTACAGTGTTGCGATTCAAGCTGAATAAATAGTCAAGATAGTCAATATGGTCATGATGGGGATTATGACTATAGTGGAGACGTTGGAGTGTTGTATGTTTGATGCTATTGATAGCCAGCATCAAGTCGACGTTCGTCAATTTCATGGTAACACCGAGATCGTTCAATTTATTATGGTTGATCGTCCACTCCTGCCACTCTGTGTCAGTAAAATCGGGCAAAGAGAGAGAGACAGCTCGGTAACCTCTCGTCCAACAGATAGCAAGACATCTCTAGTGCCAAAATCGCTCGATAGTTCATTAGCATTTATGCATCCACGTACGAGCCACAACTCGATTCTGTAAAGAAAGTAGTTTGGTTAGAGTATTAGGTAGACAGCTCGACTGTCCTTGTAACTCACTGTTCGATCTCGTCTGCAGTCAATGGATCCACTTTTTCCAGTAGTAAGACTTTGGAGATCCGTTCTGCATCCAAGCATTTGACATGAGCCAGAGTCTTGTCGACTGTTGATTTGTTTGGTGTTGACATGATAGCTTTGATTCAGCTCGGAGTACAAGAAGTGGAATTCCTATAGGCATAGGTGCAGGCGAGAGTATTCAAGTGCTTTGACGTGCTGGCTACTCGAGATATGGCAGTAATCGTCATCAAATCAAGAATGGACAAGTATTTCATTAGGAAGATTAGTCAAGCAGGAAGTTAAGGTGTGGCCCTCCTCGCGTTGTTATTCGGTGTCGGCCATAATAGGGAGCTTCTTCCTCTAGCCCAATGACATTACATTTATAGCTGAAGGTTCGTGGAGGTATTTTGTTGAGTTTGGGAACAATGCTGACGAGAGAGACGCTTCATCTCTTCGCGTTTGGAACCTCAAAATGGAATCCAAATACGTAAATACACGTCATCGCTCCATTTAATTGTTCAAGACAACCCGCTGCTTCTGTTTAAGGCTCTGTACGAAATTCTCAAAACTTTGACCGTTTGATGTCGCTCTGGAGCAAGATCAAGCACTCGTGTCTACACTGGTTCAAGCCAAATACTTTCAAAATGGGCATATCCTGGTATCTTCTCGCTCCGATTTACGTAGTCTTCCTATGGGCTGTAAGTTATTTTGCCAACCCAACATGGAATATGTTGCAGATCAAACTAACAACCACTTGATCATAGACATTGGTCGGTCTTTTACTACTCTTTCCAGAGAGATTGCAGCCTTTATTCATCTATTTGCACGTACGCGTTCTTTCATTATGGTAGTGCCGGTGTCAACATCTGAAGCCTCAAACGTTCGTCTCAAAACAGTGGGCGAGGTTTCCATGGGGAAAGCTAACTAACGGAGAACGTTTTGGCTTCAGAGGTACTACGCATTCCAACTTCTGATCCCGCACTTCCCATGCTCATGGTGTTTCTCAAACCATCTAGCCCGAACACTTCGAAACGTAATCATTACGACTCAGGACAATGTCTTCTTGTGTATGTTGGAAATCAGATTCTTGTCGACGGCGGTTTCCAATTGAGAAGATCCTCCCACTTTTGTTGGGCTCCAACTTCTGTTGGAATTGGTTTATTCGACAACGGGTATCTACGAGTAAATCCTTCAGCTTACAATGCCCCTTTTTAGCGGCGTGGCATATACTTCCAAGACACTTGGCTGCAAAAATCACTGCACATGAAATGGAGGAGATGACCAAGATCTCGAATGACTCTGATGACAATCTAGACGAACCCATATCCAAATGCAAGACATGCTTCATTTACTTTCATGGGAATGCTGCTAGTCGTGCTGCTCCTAATCGTATTAGCTTCTACAAGGTTTGTTACATGCCATGCAATTCTTTCGTTCACGGCTTTTTGCGTTTAACAAAATCTCGTTTGCAATCACAATGTAGGAAGTATTACAGAAAGCAGATCCAGAAGCACACATCGTTACAGCAGATTATCGCGGGTTTGCTGATTCTGGAGGTGGAGTTCCTACAGAACGTGGATTGCAGCTAGATGCTCAGGCTGTTTGGGAATGGGTTGCTCGGCGAGTTTCGCCTAGTACAAAGATATTTCTAGTTGGCCATTCTTTAGGGTAAAGATTTGTTCTTGTTATTGAACTTGTGTGTTTGTTTGCAGGTAAACGTGAGATAGTTGGGATACTAATTTGAATCCTTACATTTTAGATCGGGAGTAGCAACATATCTTTCTGCACATTTAATGCAAGAAGCTCAAGCTAATGGATCTCGATATGCTGATGGGGTGATTCTTGTTGCTCCATGTAAGTACAGACTATGTTTGGGTTGCCTATTATCTGGACTTGCCGAGTTGACATTTTACTTTCCAACCTAGACAAGTCAATTCCTGATGCTGCATTGACCTATCCGCTGGTATGATCTCCCTCAAATGAATGGTCTCCTCTGGTCGCGGGGTTTGAATTCTCATTTTTGCTACATTAGATTCCTATTCTCATGCCCTTCCGAACTTGGCCTACTGTTTCATCATTGGCACAGCGATACGTCTCGGAAAAGTGGAATTCAATGGACAATATCAAGGTAACGAGCTCAAACGACTCTGCGGTCAAAGACCATGTCGATAGTGACGCTTCATTCTTTTGTCTGTGTAGGCACTAAGTCCAATGCCAGTCCTAATACTTCACGGTTCAGAAGATTGGGAAATACCATCCTACCACGCATCATCACTGTTCGAAGCTGCATGTATAGGACGAGGCCCCTCATCGATACCCTTCGACTCTACACCTGAACCTATACGATCAGGCTCATCGTCCTCGCCCAAGAAGCGTCGTAGTTCTCGTTCCCATAGTTTTGAAATTGGAACCGAGGGTACTTTGAATGTGTCCAGTGATGAAAAGGTCTGGCTGCTTGAAGTTGCAAAGGCGGGACATAATTCAGTGGGTTATTATGATATAGTGCCAGATGTTATGCATACATGGATGACTAGTTTGTAACATTTATGCCATCTTCCCTGTTATTATGAATACTTGAATGAGTGGTTTGTAACATTTAGAGTGTGTTTTATTTAACTTACAAACATATTTAGTCATTCAGAATGAATCAGGGTTTCAGTTGTAGCAGTACAAGGCACTCAATCTAGATCAATCAAGGCAACGACCAAGCGCTCACATCACCATCCGCTTTCTTCCTTCTCAGCGTATTTATCAAGTCGTCTATATTCACCCATCGTGGCGTGCCATCTTTATACCTCTTGGCCTTCCAGAACCTCTTCCACGGCAACCCAATCAAGTGTAGATGTAAATGCGTCTCTGATATGTACGGTGGGATATGGAAGCCAATCTTGATTCGTGACTGCTTGATCTGTAGAGCATCACCAAGTATTTGCGATCCAATGTCCTTCATGGCGCATATGAGAGGCAAATCCTTGTATGTGAGGTCCATTATAGAAACTAGAGTAAGAAACAAATATTAGATAGGAGCAGTACTGCTAATATGTGTCAGCCACTGTTTTTACGAATGTGGTGTTTCGGAATAAGCAATATGTGAGTGACAGATGCCGGTTTATTGTCATGAAAAGCAACAAAACTGGTATCCTATATTCCAGAATCCAGACTCAAAGTATCAGAAACCCATTCCGAGCTCGAGATCAAGCTAGAACTATCACCAAAACAATTGTAACAATCACAACGTACCTGCCAAATCATTCTAGTTTCAGGTACAGCTCCACGAGAAATCTTGCAAAATAAGCAGTCTTCTAGTGATTTGCCGTGCTGAAATGTTGGACCTAGTTGATGTTGATGTCGTGAAGATAGCGACGAAACATTTTGGAATTCCTTGTCGACTTGGAATTTTGTATAATGATTGCCTAGATTTAAGGAGAGCATTCAGATATCAAGCTACGAACGTTAGAGGGTGAATTCGTGGTGGGTTTCAAACTGTCGGGTCTGCTATTGCAGATTGCGGTCAAAAGCGTTTAAAACTGTGACAAAAGCATCACGCGAGAAAACAAGAGCTTAGCAATGAGTATAACATAACGTAAATTTTCATGAACTATTCAAGTGAATACCGACTACGAGTCTAGCTGTACATAAGAATAGGAGCAAGCAGGGGAAAAAATCATCGACACCCATCAACACACACAACCCAAACATAATTGCTTTCAGGCCCTTAGACAGCTGGAAGAATGAAGCCAGAGAACGTGTACCATTAGCACGTCTCACAGGGGTATCCACAACAACAGGCAACGGCCAACAGATGTCTTCAATTTGCCCAACGCACTGATGCAACAAGCTAGCGTTAACGGTGTGGAAATACTAGATCCAGTGTAATAAATGTGATTTACAGTCTGAAAACGTCAAAAACCAAAAAAAGACTAGGAAACATGGAAAATAACTTCAGTGATTCTAAACCCAGTATCTGCGTACACAAGCGGTGTTGAATTAATTGGTGTATTGGCTGGAAATCTAAAGGCAATCACGAAGGGCGTTGTAGTTAGCGGCAAAAAAAGTGATAAGAAGGATTGAAGTTTACGGCCGTGAATACTGAATTCCCATGTGCAACCACGAGTATCGTAGGTCAACGCCAAGCCGATTTGTGCATATCCTGATGCAATCAAAACCGCGAGTCCGGATTTGTACATGATCTAAGCTGGAAGAGTAGTGAGCTTTGAAATGCGAAAAAATTAATTAGATGATCAATCACGTACCTAAGTACTATTCCTCTTCTGAGTAGATGCCATCTTGATACTGTTTACACTTTGAATGCTGAAGCTTGCCATGGTGACAATTAGAGTAGATCTTCGCTTCTCAAGGCTTCTAGGCGAGCGAGTTCCTCGTAATCTATCTTCAAAATTGAGCTTTAACCTAATCCACATAGGAAGAGTTCGTCCGTATGATATAGTATTTCCCCGTTAATACTGGAAATCATCAGCGTCGTGGCTGCCGTTCTTGAATGTATCAACAGATGTCTCATAACCCAGCCAAGCGACGCGTCACAGGCTGAAGCCAAATCGTAGATCTTGTAAATCCAATCCAGAGAAAGTAGCAAAATTTGTGGCGTATACCGACAGTTTTTTGTTTGCTCACTGTGTGTGCTAATCTCTTGAATCATAACAGACTTGCTTGAAACAAATAGCTACGGAAGCCAACCGGGTAGCCATCCTCCAAACCAGAACATAAAATGGAGCCAACAGCACAGCCAATACCTCCAGTACCACTAGTAGTGAAGAGCTTTGAGCCAATGATCCCAACTCCAAAACCTGACAAGAAGCAAACGCTGGACTTCTTCATTGACGCCGTAGGATTTAAAGCGGCATATGACACGGAAGCTTTCACCATACTTCGATATCCAGAATCGGAGCTCACCATTCATATAACAGAGGCATTGCCGGAGTACAGTAATTTGAAAGATGCTGGCGAGTTTAGAATCAAGGTTAGCAACGTGGATGCAATGCTGGCACGTATAAAGGATGTATCGCCAGCTAGAATACATCCTGCTAGCGTAAATGGTCTGCAGGTGACTGACTTTGGGACGAAAGAATTCGCTTGTCTTTTAAGTTCAGGACTTTGCTTGATATTTTACGAGTCAATTCCGTAATCGTATGTATAATAGACATCATCGCCACATACAGAATAGTTGACACCTCCTTCTTGGTTGATGCGTACTTTCGTTGCCTACACTTGCTGGCTTTCAAAAAACGTCACTGGCGTCAAACACAAAAGTTGCAAAGCGATCGCTCTATCAAAGATCTCAATCTATCGAGCAATCAACATCAAAGTGCCCATCCAAGATGTCTCTCCCCCCACCAGCAAGGTCTGTTGAAGAATGCCATGCCATTTTACGTGGAGAAGACTCTCCCCTTTGCGTTATTGAGGAAGTCGTGAATGGAATCAAGATGAAGACAGTAAGTGGATGCCAATACTGATTCACAATTTCAGTCTTGCTTTATTGCCTTTTGGACTAGCTTCTAACGTGCATCAACTTTGTCGTAGTACAAGAAGTGAGTGTTCGTGGAATCATGTTCTGCCTGCGACGGCTGCAAGCTGATGAGATTATGGGAGATCCTTAATTATGTTCATTTTGATCTCTGCTTGCATCCTAGCACCAAAATTGACTCTGACTGCTAACGCTTCATAGTCTGCCTCCTTCCATTCGTGCAGTTTGGGAAGCTTCAGCTGTACACGCTGACAAGACATATGTGGTCTACGAAAATGAACGATACACGTACAAGGAAGCACACCTTAAAGTTGCTGCCTTGGCAAACCAAATGAAGAATGAGTTTGGTGTCAAGAAGGGTGATCGAGTTGCCGTAATTACGAGAAACTACCCTGGTGAGATTTCGAACCTGATATTTCTCGTCAAGATTGGAAAGCATAACTGATCGTCTTCCACTACTCCAATAGATTGGATTTGGATCTTCTGGGCAACCGTTTGCATTGTATGTTAAAATCGGTTGAAGACGCACATTGTTGCGAAACCCCACTGGTCATATGTCTTGCCTTGATTCAAATCGACAAAGAAGCTCATCGCTTCACTATCTCGTAGGGCGCAATCAGCGTACCCGTAAATGCCTGGTTGACCGGCCCAGAGATGGAATACTGCATCACAGACTCTGGATCTAAACTCGTATTCGTGGACGGTGAACGTGCCGAACGACTCGAACTACATTTCGGCACCTTGAAGAAGGCCGGCGTCAAACAAATGGTTATCTGCCGTAGTCAGAAGACATACGGAATGCCAACGTTGGATTCAATTATCGCTCGCGGCAGTGCTTTTACTGAATTACCCCCTGTTGATATCAAGATGGATGATCCTGCTACTATCTTTTACACTTCTGGAACTACCGTAAGACATCTCTTAGCTATCCCCTTCTTACTATTTGAAAATTCTCCCTCACACTAATGACATTTCCATATAGGGCAAACCAAGTATGTAGTCGCGAGCCTTTGAATCCTACTATGACCAAATGTGACATGAAATGGCGAACTTAACCAACCTGTGCTTTGTTTTTAGAGGGCGCCCTTGGAAGCAACAGAAACTATGTAACAAACGTACGTATGGACTGGATTTAAGTGGATGGATCCCGCTTACACATCCAATCGTTTTAATCCAGCTCTTCAACTTGATGAACGGACCATTCCGTTCTGCATTACGCCAAGGCGAGCCTCTTCCAGTTCCAGATCCAACCCTCCCACAAAAGTGCACATTATTGTCTGTTCCACTATTTCATGGTATGCGTGCTTTATAGAACGAGGCCAAACGCTTTTGAATCAAACTCAATGTTTAATTTTACACCACAGCTACCGGTTGCCACTCTACCCTTCAAGCCGTTACTTTTGGTGGTAGCAAACTCGTCTTGAGTAAGTATAACGATCTGCTGTCTTACTCTGTTTTTCCACTGCAAAAGGTTGGAGTCCATTGTCGTTGACAAACTTCTTGTCCTAGTTTACAAATGGGATCCCAAGAGCGCTATGGAAATCATTCAGCGAGAGAAGGTCAATGGTATCGGAGGCGTACCAAGCATGCCTTGGCAAATTCTCGAACACCCCGATGTTGAAAAATACGATTTGAGCAGTATCGAGTCTGTCGGTTTCGGTGGTGCACCCTCGTCTCGTGAACTCCAGCAAAACATTAAGCGAAAGTTCAAGTCGGCTATGGCTGGAAACGGTTATGGATTGAGTGAGGTGTTGCAGTAGTTGACTGATTGTTTGACTTGGTTGACTGATTTTTTCTCTTGTGCGCACTAGCTGAAACATCCAGTTTGGCAATTGGTAACCAGGTATGTCTCACATTTGACCCATGTTTCTCCCTCATCAGGTTTTAATGTCAAATCCGGTTACAGGGCTACGACTACGATCTGAATCCAGGCTCGATTGGCTTCGCGACTTTGGTTAACGATGTCAAGATTGTCGATGAAAACACTGGCAAGGAAGTTCCTGTTGGCCAATCTGGTGAAATCTGGATCAAGGGGCCTAATGTCGTTCTAGGTTACTGGAACAAGTGAGTGAAGCGTCCCAATAGTTCCCCTGTTCTCTTTCTGCCATTCGGTTCTAAGAATTTTTTGGCTGCGGATAGCCCTGAAGCTACCAAAAAGGCTATTACTCCTGACGGTTACCTAAAGTCGGGTGATATTGGCCATATGGATAAGAACGGCTACTTCTATATCAGTGATCGTGCCAAGGATATGCTCATTCGCGGTACGTTTGCAACCTACTTTGAAACCTACGTTGAGCGATATTTGTTGCCGTCCATCCTCACAAACGTGATCTACCATATTGTAGGTGGTGAAAATATTTACTCTTCCGAAGTCGAGAACGCGCTCTACTCACACCCAGCAGTCATGGATTGTGCAGTTGTGCCAATTCCTCACAAAGTCTTGTATGTCTTCCTCGATTAGTTTTCTAACAGTACAATCAACTGACTAAATCCACTACTCACAAACAGAGGCGAAGAAGTTGGAGCTGCTGTACAACTCAAGCCTGCATATATCGGCAAAGTCACTCAAGAGGACTTGCAAAAACACGTCAGGCCTTTAATCGCGGCCTTCAAGGTGCCCATCTATATTGATTTGCGAACCGAACCACTAGAACGTAATGCTAATGGAAAGATCTTGAAGAGAGGTATCCTGTGTGTGTCGTGTCGGATAATACTTTTGTTTCGTTAACACTTTTGTTCGGATCGTCTTAGATTTGAAACACGAAGTAGCTGATGCATACTTCAAAAAGACCGGCTTACCAAAGCCAAAGATGTAGACTATCCTCCAATAGATAACTGGATCAAAAAGAAACTATAGTTGGGAGGCAGCCATGATGCCAGATTTTGTGTTTACAGTTTAGCTGATACAGTCTTGTTCAATTTAATATGCGCACGTTTCAGTTCATCGTCTACTCTTCCATCAGTTATGAACGGCAACGCCAACTCCCACAGTTTCTGCACCTTAAAGAATCCCATGTGTCCAACTCGGGTGACTCCAACGTCTTTAGGTTCGATATGACAATGCTGTATCCTGTCCTTTGGATATAGTGCAGCGAGTGAGGAGAATGCCTTGTCACTTGAGAATTCGTCATCGCTGCAAATATAGCCATGGCTTGAGTAGAATTTCAGTACGTTTTGCGGTTGTTGACACTCAACTGGAAGCTCAGAGCAAATGCGGGGAATGGTGAAGAATCAAACAGCTTCTTATTCTCGGTTTCCCGTGCTGCATATAAAGGATGCAGACCCCAGTATGCCCATTGTCTGACAACTCCTGACGGTAGATCTTGCCACAAGGACCCTGTATGTGTTAATGAGAGGTTACAATTACAACTGGTATGTCAAAGGTTTGCAATTGCAACTTACCAACAGCCTTCGCATTGTAAAACCCATACCGTACCGTCACATACGGTATCAACACCAAATAGTTGATGAGGGTGTAACTCGACTTGCTGTAATACGGAGTAGCAGCCTGCACCAACAGCGCCCGCGAAATCAAATGCCTGTTGGGCACCAAAGCCAGCAATTGTGCGCCTGCTGAATGTCCCACGACGACTAGTTCACGGTCTGGGTATAGCTGTTTCAGATATGTAAGACATCCTGCTACGTCTTTTGTCATGTAGTCCTTGAGAGAGCATGTGAATGATGATAGCGGTTGGTTATCTGGAAGCTTGCTGTCTCCCACAGCTCGAAAGTCGAATGTTAATGTCGGATGTCCCTACAATTAGAGTTTGGTTAAATGTTGAAAGTGAAGATGTTTCCAAGTTACTGTTGATGTTTGTTGATGCTTGATACAATTGTGCCCAAATCAGTCAAACCAAGGACTAGCAAGACTGAAATACGATACCTCGTTAGCTAGAAATGTGGCATATTTTGTATAGTATCCTCTCAAAGTCCCCAATGCAGCAGCTATCAACACAACGGCTCTCGTGTTCCCATGATTTGATAGTGGAGTGAAGAGAGAGCCAGCGAGAACGAACTTGTCTTCAGCAGCCTCGAATTTTACTTGCTTTACATTCACCATCTCGCTCAACGTATTCGTGCTATTCGTTGGCCAAGCTCCAACGTGGCTGGCGGTTTTGCGTCACTTTGATTTATTGCTGCTTCAGACAACTATAACGAGAAGATGCGGAGCTGTGAATAACGCGTTCACTTCAAAATATTCCCACTCCGAGGTATTTAATATTATTAGTAATAGGGTAAAGTTCAAACAAGATTACAATGAGGTTCCCAGATTAAGCAGTCTTTCTCTTATTCCGATTAAAGAGTTTCATAGACACAAAGGCCAAAGCATACCATCCCAACGCGATATAGAACATGTACAAGTAAGCAGCAGGATCTGAAGGTGGAAAAGTTGTCAGCATAAGTACCGCCAGCGAAAGAGAAAACAAAGACCGCAATCGAAAGTGTTGTTGTACACATACAGTCAGACCAGCGGTAGGTATATGGTGGCGTTGGAGGCCGATTACTACCAAACGCTGAAGCATCGACCTCTCTCAGCCAAAATATTTCGATTGCCCATCTTGATGCAGAAATTCTCCAAACAAATTGAGCAAGAGGGGTATACGTTTGAATGTCTTCTAGTGTTGGTATCAGTCCCGAGAATACTATAAAATGAGTAGTGATGAGCAAAAAAGGACAGGTGGATCCGTAAGATGGTGTGCAAAAAAGCATTTACCTAACCCCCAAACTATTGCAAAGCCTCCTCCAACAAGACGCAGTTGCGAGGATGGCACAATCGCAGATATGAAATATCCAATACCAAACGCTGCCATGTACATTAGCACAACGTTGAACAGCATGTGGTACCATGCTTCTCTGAAGGAAAAGAATATTCCCAACGCAAGTGTATACGTGAGTGAAGCTATTATCAGCTTGGGAACTAATTTGAAAATAGTCAAGAGTCAGGAATCATTGAGATTTGCGACATAAGAAGCCACCATCCACTTACGATCTGCTAAAGCTTTTGCCAAAAAGTACGGCAATGTAGACATGCCTCGAGAATGGTCTCTCCAATACACTTTTTGCTCCCTTGCAAATGTCGTTGATGAGACTATTATGCCCGAAAACAGTATTCCTAGACATATTATGACACCTGCTTCTCGTAGATGGTCTATCGGCGATAAACAATTCTGAGACACTGTCCACGGCACCCACGCGCATATCTGGCTGGGATTTGGACCCAGATATGTAGAGTTTTGGATTGCGATTGATACAAAGAGTCCCATGCCGAAATGGAGCCATTGGGAGAGTGCAAGACTTGCACCTTGTCTTGATGCTAATAAATATCAAGGAGATATAGTTAGAGGCTTGAATCAAATGGCATTGAGAATTGTTTGCCGCCGCTTACTTTGAAGCATAGATCTGTGCAAAAGATATATAAACTGTTTCGTTTCTCCAGGCGTTTTACGTATCGGATCACTTAAATAAAACACCCATCCTCGAATCCACCTCCCGACATCAAAGCTGAGCTCTTTCAGCACATCACCACACCATATAGCCAGATCGTAAAAGATGCTTCCAATCGAGGATCCAGAATGACTAGCCCATAACACTAGTGCTTCACCACGGACCTTGTAACCATCCGGTAAAGGATCTACCTTATCTACATGTGTTGGTCTGAAACTACCTGCTGACATTGTCGGTGATGGTGATCGAGACTCTTTTTCATCAATCATGGTTGATCCATTGGACGACATTAAAGAGTGTCGAGGAGAGTTGGGTTCAGGAGATGCTATAGGTGCTAGATATATAGAGTCGGCATCATCGACACTGGCTGTGCCTACAGTTATACTAGCTTCAGAGAGAGGCCTCATTATTAATGGCATCGTAACTGCCGATTCAGGCTTCTTCAACAACTCTCCCCATCTCATAGACGATGTGTATTTCGTTTGCTTCATCGTCCTGGGCGCCTTGGCTTTACTGTCGATGTCATGTAGTTGTTTCTCTCTCCAATAAGCGGGTAAATCAAAAGGATGGAATTCCGGATAGTATCTCGATGGGACATGGCCTGTCATTACAGCCATAAAGAAATCTGGCTCTGATTCTGTTGTTGGTGCTGGGAATCCAATTGAGGAAAAGTACGAGTTGGCGCGTTCTCGAGGCCCATGGTAAACCACTTGCCCTCCTCGTCCGAGCATCAACAAGTCATCAAACTGTCTAAAGATAGCCGGCGTGGGGGAATGCATTGATACTGCAACCGTTAGTCCTAATCCATGACTTATTTCCCGTATCAAACTACATATTTCTAGTGCCACTGACGAGTCTAGACCCGCTGTAACATGATCGAGGAAGAGCACGGATGGTTCTGCTACTAATTCCATGGCTATACTAAGTCTTTTTCGATGCTCAGCCGGTATTCCACCTTCTCCTTCGATACCGACTATGGAATGTTGGACGGGCCTTAATCTCATCAGGCCAACAATGTCTGACACGAGCTTTGTTATCTCGTCTTTTTTGTAGAAAGTCGGGAGACGCATACGAGCTGTATGCATCAGCACTTCGGTTACTGTCAGCTCTGGTACTATTATATTCTCTCGTGGCACATCTAGTAGAGACAACAAGTTTGTTGGTTTGTGAAGATCTTCTAAAGCTAATCATTTAAGGCTTACATCCAATGAGCTTCCTATATTTAGACAAGTCTTCGTACTTTCCGTTCACCCACATACTGCCAGATGTTCGCCTTCGTCTACCAGCGAGCACGTGCAGAAACCTAAACATACCTCAGTTTATCAGAAAGATCCCTAATATTTTCAAATCCTTCAATAAACGACTTACGACGTCGTCTCAGATCCATTTGGTCCCATAACCAAACAAAGCCTATTGGACTTGATATCACCTGACACATCCTTCAAGATTTCAATAGCGTTTGGCAACACCAGTCCAATACTCTCGAATTTAATATCCACAATCTTTTCAACTTTCGAGAGTTGGATTTCCTCGGCTTGTACGTTCGGCATCATATTTTCAATCTTGAGCTGCTGCCTCATACTTCTAACACGAATGTGTCGTTCTCTCCATATATACAGAAAGTATGTGACGATAGATCCAAGCATGAGCAGTAAAATCGTCCCGTATTTTGACGAGTTTTTAGATCCAGATGGGCAGTATGACAGCCAGTTACATGGCAATGGTGATATTGAGCCCATTGGACAAAAATTCCCTACAGGTGACGAGAAATCAGAAATATTCGATTGAAGGTGAAACTTTAGCATTTTGTGATTAATACCGGCAGGACAGCGATTCAACGACCTTCCGTCAGCAGTACACCAATATCCAGCAGGACAATACTGAGGCTGCACTGAATTCACTGGACATATAAATCCACTAGGACAAGGAGCTACTTCTGTTGGTGAGAGACAGTACGAACCAACGGGACAAGTCCAAGTTAGGACTCCAGACTGAGGAGCAGACGGATAATAGCAGTCTAGTTAAAAAGGCAGACCTTCTGAGTATGCTTTTCTTGAGTCACCACAACGCTGCACTCCAAAAGCACGACAACCACAGCGGCTGCCAGGGCTGATATAGCATCAAATGCATTCAACGTGTTGTTGCCTAGTAGTTCGCCACCTCTCCACGGTGTCATCAGGGCGATCACGTCGTTTTTTCCCCAAGGTCCACCAAACGCCAAAAGATGTTGATCCTTTCTTACCATTGTTAGATTCAGTGCCTGGGCATGGCAGGGGGACTATTATGCTTGCATATATTATTGGATCAAAGAATATAAAGGAAGTTCCAGCCGGTAATGACGTTGGTAACGAGGCTGCTTGTCCAACAACTTTCTGGATGAAGATTGTGACAAGGAGAGAGAGGCACACGGCCAAAGAAGGCATTGCCTGTGTTATCAGCTACTAAAGGCGAGCCAGTCTGCTACACAATTCCAGAAACAACCACCGGAAAAAAAGCTGCTGCAAGCTTTGTTGGTTTTAGAGGTGTGGTAATGTATAGTGATGATGACCTGGCGGAAGTTCCAGTACGAGTGTATTTTAGTCGGCCTACGTGCTAGAAATAGTGAATTAATTTGCAAAACGCTGTACAAGTCCACTTGAAGGTGCGTCGAAATGTCCGGCGTTGGCGTCAGTCGGAGGTTGAAATTTCTGGTGGTGATTACATTGTACTAAATTCTATATGTCGCGAATGTAATATATACTGCAACGATTCAGAACCATGTGGTGCCTTTTATGTTCTCTAATCGTAGACTATACTGTCCTCTTGGATTGTTTCTGTTATGAATGACGACCAACAATCCAGCATCAACAAGCTCATAACACCTATTACACGTCAGATACCACAAACGTTTCTGCCAAGAGTATAGTGCAAGAATAATCCTTCAGTCCTTCATTTACACTCCTCCTCAGACAACATACTGGCAAATCCCTTTGACATTTCCATTCCATTGATGGCGACTTTTCATGAACGAAATGCTCACTTGCAACCTTCATTGTCGATGCTTGAAGTAGCGAGACTTAGCAGGATGATGTAATAAGCTAAGTTCGAGGTGGTCTCATTAAGGATTTCTGCAAAAGTTGCTTGTCACTACCGCCAAAATGGGCAACCGTAGCAATCTGAAGCTCAGGAGGCTACGGATTCAAATTGGAAATGCTTGGCGTACTAATTCTTGGATCTGTTCGATATTGAGAGTTCAAAAGATTGAGTCTTTCGATTTTGCGTACTTCCCACCCAAACAACTCGACCTCAACAACGCTCTCTACACACGCCAAGGAAAGGCTGACAGCAAACACAACTTTGGCATATCACAACATTAGATTCTGTCTCGGATTGATCTCTAGGTCGAAAGATCAGAATGCTAAATAATTACACTGGCAACAGGAGACAACCATTCCCAGTTGTGTTTATGTTTCCATGACCAATATTATAATATTTTCAACCGCTATATAGATCTCCAAACTGAAAAGAGACTGGATGTGTAACTACAGTTAAGTACAAAAACTACAAGCAAAAACGAGTAAATCCTATCGGAATCGTCCATTTATAAATCTGGTGTCCAAGCATTGTCAAAATTAAACTCCTCCGAATCCACGAGGGGGGGACTTTGAAGGTCCTCGTTGACGAGCATCCAGAAGCGATGAAGATGATGATCCAAGTACATCGTTCAGAGAAAAGGTAGATAACTGGCCAGCAGCAGATTGTAAGAGTGCTACGGATTCCTTTTTATCTCCCATCATCTAACCGGGGGAAAGAAAAAACTTTGTAAGTGGCCTGAATTGGTGCCGTAAGACAAACAGCTGCAACTCACATCAAGCTTGGATACGGCTTGTCGTATAAGCACATCACGTTGATGTAGAGATCTTTTAAGTTTCGCACATTCAGTTTCAGTCGTGACTAGTTGATTTTTGGCAGCTCGTAGCTTCTCTGCAGTGTCGTCGGCAAGTTTGGCTTGGTAATCTAAATCTCGTCTCAAGTTCTCGTTCATCTTGTACAGTTTGGCTTGATCATCTAGAGCAAGTGAACTGGTAGATACCTAAAGGGAGAAAAGAATCAAACATTCGTTCATGTGCCTTCCTGATAAGTGGAGTTTTTTTGTCATATGACCAAAGAATGACTCGCTCCAACACAAGCAGATACTTACACCAACCACATCCATACGAGACCTAGACGACATGCCTCCTTCACTTGCAGCGCGAGATCCCTTCTGCTGTTGTTGCAAAGCTTGCATCTCAACTTGCAAAGCATGCATCTGCTCATTCAATTCTCGTACCCGACTATCGGCAGCCCGTCGATCCATTTCAAGCATCTCTTGCGCATTCTCCAACTGATTTTCTAATTCACGAACTCGTCGCTGTTCGTTACTATTGCTGCTATTATTATGACGTACCGGATCTGGTGTCGTCGTCCTAGATTGTCCTTGCTGTTGCTGTTGATTCCTCATAGCATCTCGAGCAGCACTCTCGGCAATCTTTAGCTCACGTTCCAAGGCTGTGGCTCGAGCCTCCAATCGGGCTCTGGCATATTGTTCGTCTTCCAGTTCTCGACGTAGATCATGTCGAGCATCGATTAGAGCTCGTTGTTTGATAAAAGCTCGGTTTATTTGAGTCTCGTATTGCGCTAGTTCGGACGTACGTGCTTCAAATCGTGATTGCCAGTCTCTGTAATAAAGGAGAAAAATTGGGAAAGTAAGAACACATTTAGCGCCACTGACAGTTTCTTTTTTTTGCTTGCGGCAAAGTTTCCAATGACTTACTGTATCTGTCGTCGCATACGACCTTCCAGCTGACTTAGATTCATTTGACAGTCTTGTCGAGTCTTACAAACAGCCTTGACCCGTGTCAACAAGGCTTCAGCAAATCCGACAAAGTTAGAGGTAGGAGTCATATGTTCCTCTTGAGAGTGACTTGGAAGTACATGATTCATTTGAGACAAAACTTTGCTCAGTAATTCATCTCGTTCGGCAACATGTTGAGCTATATGGGTTCTGGAAGTGGCAACCAGCTAATGTCGGTGAAAGGGAGAAAATGAGAATCTCAGCAAACGAAGAAAAAAAAATAGGTTCCAATGGATTACCTCATGTTGGGTAGACATGGACCGTCTAAGCTCCTCAACAAGCTGTTGCAGCGTACCGATAGTTAGACTCTTCTCTTCAGACTCACGCATCAACGACAAGACACGCTCTTCTGCCTTTTCAAAAGCAGACTGAGCGGAAGTCATTTTCTCAGCAAGAATACCACTTTGCTTGTTCTGCAATAAAGTAGGTTGTAAGCACTACAAAAACGGAAGACGAGCCAGCCGATAGACTACGTACAAGGCGTTCCAATCTGGATGTAGCTTCACTCAATTTATGATCCCGCTCAGCAACCATCTCTTCCAATTGAGCTACTTTTTCTTGCAACTCGTGATCACTCATCAAATTGGATTCAGCAGCACTCTCAAGTTGACGAACTTGAGAACGTAATTGTTCAACCACTTTAATGGCTTTCTCAGCTTCTCGTCTTGAATCTTTGAGATTCTAAGAAAGAGAATCTCACGTGCATTAGTTCAGACCACACGAAAATAATGCATTGAATATTGGAGGCTGATTTGTCGGACTTACAGAATGCAATGAATCTCTCTCCTCAAGAGCTTCTTCCAAAAGCTTAGACTTGGAAACCACGTCATCCCTCAACCTCAGCAAAGAAGCCTTAAGATCCTGTGTCTCCCCCCTCAACTCCCGATTCTCATTCTTTACCTCCTCATAATCTTGGAATCTCTTCAAGGAATCTTCAACTCCAATCCTCTTATCAATCTCAGAATCAACATCCTCAACCAATGAATTAACCTGCTGTCGTAATTCAGATATTTCATTATTCCGTTCTCGAATCACATTCTCCAGTGATTCAACTTGCCCTTTACTCTTCCTAACATCTGCTTCCATCTTATGATTTATGTCTTGCCATCTTGCTTCCTGTTCCCTTAATCGTGCACGCCACAAGTCTTGCTCCTCTCTTACGATACGTTCAATATCTCGTTCACTATTTTCAGCTCGGGATGCAGCTTCGCCATACATTCCAGATTCTAAATCTCGGATTCGAGCAGTTTGTTCAACCAGCTGTTCCTTCAATACTTGTAGATCACGAGCAGCGTTAGATGACAAGCGCTCAAATGTCTCTAGATGTTCTTGTGTTCCAGCAACCTGTTTACGGTATGTGGCAATTTCTTGCTCGGAAGACACTAGACGTGCTCGTAACATCAATAATTCGGCTTCATGAGCTAGTAATGCCTTGTTTTGTGACTCGAGGCGTGATATATGAGAGGCTTGCATTTCTACTTTGCGGTTGAGGTCTTCGACAATGGCGGATTTTGCTGATAATTGTGGTTCAGCATTCGTCAGGCGTTGTATTAGAGTATTGACTTCCTCACGAGCTGCTGTCAATTCTCGAGTTTTGGATTCCAAGTCATGTTGCACTCGTTGAATCAATTCTTGACTATGCAATTCGGATTCGTCATGTAAACGTTGCACCTCTTCTACTTGGGATTGTAATCTTTCGTTCTCTGCCATATCTTGACCTCTTTTCTAAATGGAAAACCGGGTCGGATTAGCAAAAACATAACCTGGTGATGAAGACTAATCACCTCTTTCAGAACGGCGATATCTGCCTTCAACTTTGCCTGTTCACGGCCCCATCGTTCAGACATTTGTTCAACAGCTTGACGATGAGCTACAGACTTTTCATCCAATTCTGCAAGCAGATGATTACTCTCCTCAGTCTTTTCAAACAATCGATCAGCTAATTCCGCCAATTGAGCTTGCAGACTATAGTTTTGTTCACGGAATGATGTAGCAGAAGCGTCCTAAATTGTCAAGCATCAAGATACTTGGCCGAAGTGTTTTTTGCAACAAAACGGATGTACAATTTTGTTACCTGAAGAGTTTGCTCTTCATCTTCCACAGCTGACGTCTCTCTAAGACCTGCCAATTTCTTTCTGAGATGTTCATTTTCTGCACTCCGAACGGATATTTCACTAGCTAGTGCATAGTCCTACAAGTGGAACAAAATGACGGTCAAATTGTGTATCTAAAGGATTTGCATATTTTTCGACTGACGTTAATGGTGCTCTTGGGCTGCACAGGGCGTTTAGTCAAGATTGTAACTAGTTCATTATTGACACGTTCAACTTCAGCTTGTGCCAAAGCTAAAGATTCAGTACGAGAAGATAATTGCATTTGAAGAGCATCAATGTCAGCTTGTGATATACGATGTTGGCCTTCAAGTTTGGATTTGAGTTCAAGAATCTCCTACAAAAGAAAACGACAAAGAAAATATGAGCAAAATTATGAAAACAGCAATCAGTGCATACTCAAACAAATCAATCTCTTTCAAAGAACCCACAACCGCAATATTTACCTGAGTCTGTCTACCAATAACTTGCTGCAATCTCTCAACCTCTTTACCCCTCTCATCAACTTCACCTTTAAACTTCTCACGCTCTTTAAGCACAATTTTGACTTTAGACAATTGCTTCTTGTTTTTCTCAATCTCTTCTTGAGCACGAGTCAATTTGTCACTCCTTTCCTTAATCGATTCAAGAAGCCCTTCACGTTCTCGTTCCAAATTTCGTACTTGCCGTGCGTGTTCTTCGTTTAATCGTGAGATATCATTACGGTGCTCATCATTATGACGAATAATGGTGGAGCGTAGAGTTGATATCTCGGTATGGAGGGATTCAAGTTCTGTTGATGACTTGTTTGAGGTTGATGATAATCGTTCTTTTAGATGCGTGTTTTCAGTGGTGGCTAGTTGCAATTGGGTGATGATGGATGATTGTGAGGTACGAGCTGCGAAGAGCTCTTCGTTTAATTTAGAGGTTTGGGTTTTTAATGACTCAATTTCTAGACGTGCATTTTGAGTTGTTGATGATTCTGATGTCGTCTTGGCACGTAATAGTTCGACTTGAGCGTTGAGATTCAAATTCGTCTGTTTGGAGTGATTTAACTGTTCAGTCAAATTACGGATCTTGGTTTCTAATTCGTCACGGTGTTTATCGGATGTTTTTACAATTTCATCTCGTACGGATTCTATAGCTTGAGCATGCTCTCGAGTTATAGTCTCCTTTTGACGTTGCGCTTCTCGAATCATGTCACTAGCATCTTTTAGGAGAGACTGCTTTTTACTGTGCTCATCTTTCAGTTTACTGACTTGTATTCTCAACTCTTCAGCTTCAGTCCACCTTTTATCGCCTTCAGTACGTAGACTCGTTATCTGAGAATCACGTTCGGCCATTTTACTAGTCATTTCAGCTAGACTCGTCTTTTGCTGATCGACTTGAGCAAGCGCAGTTTTGAGTTCTGTTCGTACTTTTAACTTTTCAGCACGTTCAGCTTCCACATCACTCTGTAGATTATCGATAAGGGCAGTAAACTCTCGTATCGTGACTCTATGAGCCTCCAGATCTGACTTGAGTTTACCAACTTCTTGCCGTAATCTAGCATTCTCAGATCTCAACTTTTCTAAATCTTGAACCTGAGTTTTAGCTAGCGATGCCTCCAGGTGACTAGATTCTGCATCTTGCAGTGTTCTATCACGAGATTCTTGGAGGAGACGAATCTGATTCCGTAGTTCTATGATTTGAGCACGCAATTGCTCTGAATCTCTTTCTACAGTATTGTGATTGCCGTCTATTTGACTGAGTGCCTGTTGAGCAGCTTCCAGTTCTGTTCTAATTACCATGACTTCTCTGGCTTTGGCATCATAAGCTCCTTGGACTTGATCTACAGCCGAGGCTTGTTCTTCAAACCGCCTCAAGCTAGATTCGAGTTCTTTTCTATACAGATCTAGCTCTGTTCTAAGCGAGTCGATCTCTGCATTCAATTGTGCATTCTGGTAATGGTACAAAGGATAGATTAGCTGAAGAGTCTGGTAAGCCGAAACGTTACATCTTGCTGTCCAACCTCGTTGGCAAGATTATTGTAACCATCTGGGGACATCTTTTGATTGGCTTCTTCCAGATAGTATATCTTGAGTTTTAAATTGAAGTTTTCCTTCTTCATATCATCCACGATCTGCGTGTGAGGGAAAAGCGAGTAAGTTCATGAATTTTCAAGCTTGAATACAGTAGTTGTGGTAACAAGACATTCATGCCCGACCTTTTCACGTTGTTTCAATCCCATCTGACCGTATTCATCACCTTTACCACCATCTTTACTAGGTGATCCATTCGCGACGGGAATTGGAATACCAGAAGAAGACGTTGACGACTGTTTGGGAGTCTTTAATCCTACCGCCCTAGGAGTAGTAGCACTAGCAGTAATGGTACTCATATTCGTCAATGCTGAGAAGGAGTCTTCGTTGTCTTCAGGCAATAGATCGAATTGGAAACGGTTGTAATCCCGTTTGGCTGCCAGTGTAGCATCTCCAGTCTCCTGTTCATTATTAGACGGAAGACCTGTCGCAGCACTGGCCATGTCGAATGAAGCATCGAAAGCTGGATTGTGAAGACTAGTACGACGTCTAGATTTTGGGCTTGAATCTAGAGCATTTGGTATTTTTTTAATAGACGACTTTGGATGTTGAGCATCGAGTCGAGATTTACTACTAGTTGATGCTGAAGTCTTTGGTGTTGATGTTGGTTGATTTATGGGCCGTTGGCCAGCTGGGATCGTCGTCATCACTAGGAGAACATGTAAATTAGTTGTAAAATAATAAAACTAGACTGCTCTGCCATGATATTAACATCTGTTCTTCAGTTCATCAAACTTCATTCTGGCCCAAACTCACTGTTGACCAAGTCCAAAGGATACACAGAAGGTAGAAAAAGCAGGTACGAATTCAATTATGTTGTTATTCTCATCTAGATCCCACTGCTAACACTTGATTCAATCTTGAAGTATCAGATCCACTCGTCTTGACTCCAAAACAAGCAAGCAAGAATCGAGATCATAGCAATGATGCACGGCAGTGAGACCTCCCTGACCAAATTGAAGGTCAATTCTGAAGTCAGATTACAGGTGATCTACCGTGTACAATCCACAAAAGTGACGCGTTTCCTTGTGATCTGACACATTCATTAAACACTGGATACATGCAGGAGGAGGCACGAACAGAACAGAGGAAGAAGGGTGTTATGCTACTCATCCTGCATCATCTCGTAGCTCATGGGTAACATAGAATTTGATATCCAACACTATGCTCGCTGATCGCATATTAAATATCATACTAATCGTGATCCTCACAATTCTAGATATGTGTCAACTGCTGAAAGATTGCAAATTGAAGCTAATGTATCCATGAAAAAGTGGACGGTCGCTGATAATCTAGATCTACTCTCCGTTGTCCAGGTAAAGTCTTGGATTGACTTACATCGTCGAACTTTCCTTGGCCATGATTTGACCAATTACGCCAATTCATCATAGGAGTTTGAAAACTTTTATCAACTCAAGTTTGGTCGACCTGCTAAACTAATGAGAGCATTGAATTCTGGTGCGTGGCTGAATGTTGTAGCTGTTGTGGTCCAGATGTATCGATAAATTATATGGTTTTTTGGCACTCTGGCAATAGGAGAAACGGGCATCGACCTTCCAAAACATTCCAAGTCCAGGAATCCAACATATCAAGATCTTTCTAGAGAGGAAGGGACGACCATTCCCGATTCTGTAGCGAATTTGACCAGACTCAGTCCATCAAGAGTACCTCCCATAACACCCAAAGGTGAAATTCATAGCCGAAGCCTCGTTTTTTTTTTTCGTTGCTGAACTTTGCCGCGTTTTAGACAAGAAGCCTTCCGCACAAATTGCACCATCTGCAGAACCTCTTTCACGAAAACCTTCATCGTCTAGTGTGGAAGGCATAATTGTTGCCAGCACCACAGTAAGTCATCGTTACATATTGCAGTCTACTCCCAGCTGGCTATCTGTTCTACCTGTTAGACATTCACACTTTTTCTGTAAACATTAGATTAAACAACGACCACAACCAAACAGCATTCCGATATTGACGAGGGAATCGAAAATACACGATGAAACTGTAAGTTCCTAAGAAACTCCCTTGCTGAGACGGTGTTTCAGCCGCAAAAAATGAAACCAATTTCGCTCGATTAGCCCGTCGACGCTCCGGAGGACTTGTATTCAGATCGATTACTGAAACCGATACCAGGATATGGTAACAGTGAATTCAGAGAACTGGCTTCTATTATTACCAGGTAAAGGTCTGCTTCGATACCCGCTCTGCATGACAAATACTCAAGCTGGGTCATCATAGGGACATCTTCGTGGAGAATCCCAATGTGAAGTGGGACGACATTGCAGGTCTAGATGCTCCTAAAAGGCTCGTGAGAGAAGCCGTTGTGTATCCTACCAAATTCCCAGAGTAATTATCTCCGGCTCACTTTTTTTGCTCTTTGACTCCCACGCTTAACCCATCCCTGCTATCTCCCCTTATAGATTATTCACAGGTATATTATCACCATGGCAAGGGATTCTTTTATACGGACCCCCGGGAACGGGGAAAACCATGTTGGCAAAAGCAGTAGCTACCGAATGCAAAACCACCTTTTTCAACATTTCAGCAAGTAGCATCGTGTCCAAGTGGAGAGGAGATTCTGAGAAACTTGTTCGCGTCTTGTTTGAATTGGCTAGATATCATGCTCCTTCGACAATCTTTCTTGATGAACTTGAGGTATGTACTTGGAAGTTGTTTTCTGTATCGTAGGACCAGAGTGTTGGTTTGAACCGTTGCCATTGCTATCTATCGATTCAATATTATTGCCCTGCTTACTACTCTCTTGCAACTCGTAGTCCATAATGTCACAACGCTCATCAGACAACTCTGAACACGAGGGAAGTCGAAGAATGAAGACTGAACTTTTGATTCAAATGGATGGATTGGCTAAATCTGCTTCTGGATCGCAACATGTGTTTTTGCTGGCCGCTTCCAACCTGCCTTGGGAACTGGATGTTGCTATGCTTAGACGGCTTGAGAAGAGAGTGAGTCTCGCTGGTGGATTCTGCGTATAGTTGAATACGATTGGCCAATGCAAAAATCCGAAAGGCTAAGATATGAATTGCTAGATTTTGATTGATCTACCAGACCAAGCATCAAGAATCAATATGTTTGAACATCATTTGAATTCAAGCATGGTTGATTCTGCTGGACGGCGACTTGTTGATGAGTTGGATTATGAAAAGCTGGGGTCACTTACACAAGGTCAGTATATACCAAACAGTGCCGTCGAGCTCTAAACACGTCGATTACTTGACGACACTGAACTCTCTGACACAAATAGGCTATTCCGGATCTGACATCAAGCTAGTCTGCAAAGAAGCAGCCATGAGACCATTACGTGCAGTTTTTGACATGCTTGAAAAAGATGGTGGTGTTGATTCAAACTTGCCAGGTACACAGCTTTATCACTCTTGACTTCCTGTATTTTTGCAGAAAACATTTTTTACCCTTTATCGTGCTCACAACCATCTCACCCTTTATATGATTTCTCCATACAGCTGCTGATTTGAGGAAGCCAATCACCATGGAAGATGTGTTGTCGGCCTTGTCATGCACTCGACCAGCAAGTGATACACTTTTGGGTGAAAAGTATCGTAAATGGCAACGAGAAGTTGGAAGCGAATAGAAATAAGAACACGGTGCATGTCACCGATCTGTGTGAATCTTAAATTGTTTGAGGTTCAGGTCCAAGTTAGGAATGGCATTCAAGGTCCCACTTTTGAAAGTTGATTTTTGCTGAATTCGCGTTTAAAGATAAAGTATTCGACACAGACTCCAGTGAGTTGTATTTTGTGCTTTCTCTATGCAACTTACATATTCACGTCATTTCATTACTTATTGCAAGGATTCCGCTGACCACACACTATGGAACGCAACTTTACAATCCTGCTGATCTACTGCAAGCGACCTCTTGAGGGAAAAACAAATTGTTGATAAACAGGTACATGCTTCGGTATCACGATTGAAGTATTCGTCATATTTATCACATGGCAATATCAGAATCCGGAACTATCCGAGCTATTCAAACAGAGACAAATACCGATATGGGTTCTTTCCGTACTTCATACTCAACAAAAGTCGTGAATACAACTCTTTCAGCGAAATCATAAAGTTGCCGTCTGTGGCAATAGCGGAGACCAGGTTAATGATAGTTGGTTGGTCATACGGGGAGGGAATACTCTCATCAAAAAGTTTGAAACGGTATACTTATCGAAGTAAGAATAGTTATAATATCTCTGTCCTACCTGCGATGCCGTTTCCTGGTTCCATTTGATGCGTACTGGTTCCCAATGGTGCCTGTGCGGAGACTCATGAAGACCTAAAGGTACCTACTGATTTTGCCCAATAGTTCAAACAAGCCCAACAATGCCCGTCATCGTCAAGTACTGCAAAAAATCAGAAGCCGGTACACAGACCTAATGGAAGAATGATTTTAGAGCGCGAAGTGCCAGTATGTACTCGATTAGGTGCGATTACTCACTGGATCAGCAAGAAGATTGATTTGGATGCAACATAGGATGATGTCGTTGTTAAGAAGGCACGAGTTCTAACTTGTTGCTCTAATTGTCAACAGAGCAAAATTGTGTTGGTTGATGTCGATTTCAAAACATGGTGATGCAGACCTTGTTACCTAGAAAAGAGCAGCATAGTGGTCGTGTTTGATCATGATTGAAGTGCAGGTGATTATTGATTCATTGTTGGCTATTGCTCCTATTGTGCCCAAGTCAATGACAGAATCTTGTTACCAAAAAACGAAGTCCAGAACAAGAAGGTAGACACAGAAGGGGGCCAGTATACCTTTTCATAGTGGCTAGGGATCAGAAGCAAAATCTTTGAATTGCCAATTCATTAAATGCGAATACTCACTTGGTATCGAGTCCTCTGTTCATCTGGTTGCCTACGGTGTCTTCGACACAGTTCATAAACCGGAGGACCTGCCGAGAGTTCAACACATAGTCGATGATCAGAATTTGACAACAAGCTACGTGATCCAAGTGTCAATTCCAGATTCCAATGAACTGTGTCAGTGTCACAGTTAGCAAAATTGATGTTGCGAAAGATTTGCGATAAGTCATGATAGATCGCTTCCAAACGCAACAAGCCCATTTACAATGAGACCTCAAAGCTCACGACAAATTAGTAGACGGTGGGATTCTGGCAATTCTGTCGGTGTGTTGATCGATCGTTTTGCAAGATGATCATAACTGGTAACTCAATAAGGCTTCTTTTCTGTCTGGTTGTTCGAATTACAAGCTAGGATTGGGTAGAAACACGTCTGAAAGTCGCCTAGATTGCTCGTTCTCAGTTCCTCTTAAGTCGCTCCCACCTTGCTCCACACACACAGGATAGGCAGCGTCCGATAGTTTGGAACATCACCACCCCACTTCTAAGAGCGGCCACTTCCATATAAAAGCAGAGTGAAAGGAGCTCTGATCTATCGATATTGTATAGACTTGTACCTAGAGTAAGCTATCGCACACAGACCTGTATTTGCTGAGAGTCTATTTTTTCTGATCCGGACAGCTGATTGTAAAACTGTAATTGTAGACGGCCGTAACACGCTGAATTGAACGATAGGTATACAAGAGAGAGGCCATCATTCTGTATGCTCTTATAGCCTCGATTCTTCTATCTTTTTAAGTGCTCTTCTATATGCAATGGATCGCAGGCTGCCAACATCAAACGAACCCTTCGAAAGTACGAATTGATCCCGTTTGAAGCGGATTGACACTTACAAGCAGATGTTAGACATCAATACTGTAAATTGACTCTATTCTCAACATGTTTAGAACGAAAAAGGAAGACAAACGCCCGATCACTGCCAACTCACGCACTCCCAAAACAAAAGCACTTCAGAAGCTCACACGCAAGTACCACTAGTAACAACAATACCACTGTATTCGAACCCAAAACACCACCAGCACTCTACTCTCTCATCCCAAAAGCTGAAGATATTCTACAGGTCGGATCACCATCTACTGATTCACTCCTGTTAATGTCAACCCGACAAAACACTATAAACAACCAGTCTGCAACTACAACAGCTTACACTGCTCCTAGTCATAACAGTAGTAGGACTCAGGAGTCATTCGAGTATGAATCAGGTGCTTCAAACACTGATGTCGAGTCAAATGGTGCATCGAATGCTATTAGTGGGAATACTACTCCTAAACACCAACATCATAATATTAATTCCAAGCATCAGCCAAAGCATGCTTTTTTACCTTGGCGGACATCACAATACAGGGACTCTGGCCAGGAAGACTCAGATGATGAGGATTACGTGTACCCAGAAGATGATCATCGTCGGAAATCAACCCATCATCAGTATCAAGCTGTCAGTGCAAGTAAAGCACTCTCTCACTTGTATGCTCCGGATTCACCATTTATGACCGGTCAACAACCAGGACTTTTACAGCAACAGCAATCACAATTATTAGTACCACCATATAATGCATACCCGGCTGATCCACATATCAGCCAGCCACATCAGTATCGATATGCTACACGGCATCAGCTCCAGCAACTTCAACAACATCAGTCACAGTATGATTCTGATCACAGTCAATCAGGTAGTGGACATCATTATCACAGTCATAGTAAGAGACATTCACCAGACGCCTATGCAAGCGGAACGCAATATTATTCGCCTGCATCAGGAGTAGTCGGATATGGATCTACCTCTGGAGTATTACATCACCAACATCAACAGCAACAACAACCGCCACATAATCCGTATTACAATGAGTTCCCGATACCCGAGAATATAGATCCAGAACGGGTACGACTACTTAGTAAACATGCTCATCACCACCATCCGAGTGATTTGATATATTGGGGTGATGGTAGTGCAGGCGTTTATCATCAACACATTCGGAGCAGTCATAGTAGCAACAGAATATTACGACCAGCTCCAGCACTAGTCTTGACGCTCGTACTGCTAGTCTTGACCGGCTTCCCACTCCTATTTTTATGTGTAAGACCTTTAGATGCTGATGGAGGGCTGTTCCGGGTACGCAACATAAATGCCTCAACGGAATTATACGAGTTTGATGTTACCATGTCAGCATCAAACCCAAATATTGTACCTGTACATATCACCGAAGTAGATTTGGACATTTTGGTATCTGCTCATCTACCAAACACCAGATCCTCGCCAGCATCACGTAAACATAAAGGAGGAGACTCTCAAAACCCATCTACTGAAGAGTTGTTAGGTCACATCAAATATTTATCATCTAGTATCACTATACCCGCGTGGGTGACCACCAATAATGCTACTGGACATGTCTCGATGCCTGAACCGTCAAACACGCTTGGAAAACTGATATATATGCTTGGAACATATGAATTGCAGATCGTAGGGACTCTGACGTATCATACTGTATTCGTGGTGCCTTATACTGTACCTGTATGTACCATTCATCGGGTGGAACGTGGCAAGGTCAAGAAGACTTTTGCTTGTACTGTGGACGACGATGATGGTGGGATTGATGAAGGTGATGGAGAAGATAGTAATGATATAGATAGTTAACGTATAGCACTTGTGTAGATAGTGATTATTTGCATTTGTATTTTCATATAGTGTTTGTTAAAACAGCTTAAACCTTACATGATTCACATATTGGTTTTGTATTGAATGTTGTTGGTGTGATGAGGTTGGGAGATGAATTATTTTGTTTGTTTTGGAGCGATTCCCCTCAGTGCTTTGACGATGTTCCCTTTGACGACGACTGGTCATGATGAAAATCATGATGATGATGCTCATTATGAGGATAATTTATATCCGGCGATGAGGTATCTACAGATGAGAGAGTGACTGGAGGCCATTTGCCTAGTTTCTCTAATCGTTTACGTTCTCGTACAAGACCATGTGCTTGCACCAAGGCCCGCATCTTTGGCACGTGGTTGAATTTGAAGGACGTAAATAATGCCAGAGTTCCTGTTGCCGGTGTAGTCAAATGTTGCTATAGAGTGGGTGAGGAACATGATGGTGTTGTCAAAGATGTGTAATGTTGAGCAAGAACGACACGAGGGTGATAAGAACTTGATCATACCAGTATTTCGATTATCGGATTATGAAGAGGATGCATGATTTAAACAAATTACTTTCTACTCCTAGGGCGTCTGTAGTATGGAATGTATTTTCACTTATTTTCTATCTCCTTTCACCTCCAAATTCCGACGCAAACGAGAACTACAAGGAGGAGAGAGTGTGAATGAGTGCTATGCTATAACTTAAATACTGCTTCCGTTACCTTCAGTCAGATCTTTGCTCTATAGAATTAGGTATGTTGGTTGTTAAAGTTTTCTTTTCGTAATGAGCAATAATCTTGTGAAGGAATGGCGGTGACGAGTTTCTCGTTAGGAAAACAGAACAGGCCTTTTCAGCACCTCTATTTGTATACACCAATTTGATATAATTATGAATCATTGCAGTCGCAAGCTATGTATGTAACTTGATTTCGGAGCTAGATCAATTCAAACTTTAGATCTTCGTCGTGTTTTTTTTCAAGCATGATTGACTCACTAAAGCATTTTCAAATCTATTTACTAGTATCATCCTCGCAATTACTGGCAAGATCCCGGATCCATCCTCCTCATCTACATTCTGGTACACCATTAAGGACTCACACGAAAGCACGTTCAATATGGACTTCACTATACGGACGTGTTGATCTCACGCCGCTATCACCAACAACATCACCAATATCATCACCTGCAGCATCACATGCTCAAACCAATATCGCATCGCCACCTACATCGCTCAATGTTCAGCTGGCTCGGAATCAACCGAGTGGTGATGCTGGTAAACAGCAACAGCAACAATCATCGCAACAGCAACAACAACCATCGTCTTCCTCGGGATCGAATGATGCTGCTACTTCTACATCGTCGGCCGATGTAGATGTAACATCTTTCGCAGCTTCACATGACCATTCACACTTTCGTGCTGACTTGGCAGATTCGTTTTTATGTGCTCCTGTAAGTCTCTTTGGGTTTGAGCGGAGGTGCCGAAAAAAAGACGTTGGCATCAATTTTCGAAGGTTTTCAAGCGTTGGTGGCCAAAAAACGATCAGAGACAGTACAGGAACGGTTTCACCCTGATTCTCACACCTCAACTGGTCTCTAATTACATTATAGGAAGAATCATGGGCCCACATCAAATTATTCCAAGACGCATTCAACTATCTACATGACGAATTCAGTTTGCCTTGGTGGAGCACAATCCTCATCGTCACGTTTGTCGTCAGGACAATATTGCTGCCATTAAATATCTCACTAGTCAGGAACTCGGCGAGGTTGAATACTATTCGGCCTGAGATTGAGCGATTGTATTCAAGGTATATTGAAGTCTCAAGTCTTGCCATTGACAATCATCTGTCTCCGTTTTTGTTGACCGGGTTTTCTCATCCCATCTATCACGGTTTTAGAATGAACAGCCCGAATCCAGCAGTAACGCAAGTGGAGAGGACTCGAGCTGCTGAGCAAATGATTGAATTATATGAGAAAACAAACTGGTGTGAACCAAAAAAGGAACCTCCTATCAAATCCATGTCTGACACAAACTCAACTTTCCTGATAGCAACCCATTCAAGAACGTTATATCCCCGATACTTATGACGCCTGTTTTCCTCACCTTATTTATGGCTTGGGAACGTACAGTTGTCTTCACTCCCAGCTCTCAAACTGGTGGTAGGTTTCTTGGAAACTTTGCAAGTTCAGAGGAAACTTTTTTCCATGAAATTTGTTTTTACCACAAATTTAGGCACTCTATGGTTTTCAGATCTTGGTGCTGTAGATGTGACCTACTTGCTGCCTGTGCTGTCGGGAATGACGTGGATAGGTACCATCAAGATGGGAATTGATCGTCCAAGGACTGCCAATAGTGCCAAGTAAACCCTGTATGACAACAACTACTTCTGTACACGAATAATGACGTATTCTCCTTGTTGTAATAGATTCGAAGAAGGACTTAGCTACTTATCACTAGCATTCATACCGATTACAAGTACTATGCCACAAGGTGACAGCTTGATAACGTTTATCACAGATAGCTTTTTTTTGTTGTTCTCGTAAATTCCACTGAACTGAACTGTTTTGTTAGGCGTGTTTCTATACTGGATTGCATCAAATGTATTCACATTCGGACTACTCTTTGCTACACGACAACCAAGAGTGAGGAGCTTGCTCGGTATTCCACCACCAATCCAGAAGTCGGTCCCGAAATACTCGTTGCGGTAAAAGATGGAGAAGAAACACACGTATCACTTCACTTATTTAAGCTTGACAATATACCACTCACTGATCAACGAACAGAAAGCAATTGACTTCCTTGGTGAAAAAGTTTCTTGTTATTTTGATGTTTTTCGTTTTTAAGTGCTCTTAAACCCTGTTACAATTCGAAAGGGACATGAAAGCAAACATGTCAAGAAATTGTGATGACGAGTTGATCATTAGGAAAACATTACGACTCTTTTCCGTAGCTCTATTCACATACCTCAATGTGATTAAATTGTGAATCATTGCAGTCGGCAGGTATGTATGTGTATGTAACTAGATTTCGCAGTTACGTTACGTCGTCGTAAGAACATCCGCATTTTCGTGCTAACTTGGCAGCTTCCATTTAAGGTGCTCCTGTAAGTATCTTTGAGTTTCGAGTGGTGAAAAATATTGAAACCAATTGTAGAATTGTTTCACACTGAATCTCACACCTCAACTTGTCTTCTCACACCTCAACGTTGCTTTTGTACTGGCTTGCATCAAGTGTCGTCACATTCGGGCTACTCTTTGCTACGAGGCAACCAAGAGTGAGGAGCGTGCTTGGTATTCCTCTTCCAATCCAGGAGTCGGTCCCGAAGTACTCGTTACGGTAGACTATTGAGTAGAATCACACGCACCAGTTCCCTTATTTAAGGCTTGACCCAAGCTCAAGCATACTCACACACTGATCAAAAACAAGAAAAGAAATGTTCGTGAAAGTTTCTTCTTATTTTGCTGTTCTACTTTTACAAGAGTTCTCTAAAACCATTTTACAATTTCAAAGGGGAATGAAAGCAAACACTACTCGTTTGTGACTTTTTTGTACTCATCATCCTCCCCTTCTCTTTGACATCCCTTTCTCTTTTATTTATCTTTATCCTCATCCATATAGTCTGGATTCTTCTTCAAAATAACAAATCCTTCCAACACACTACCCACAGAGTGGAACTCTTCAGTAGCCAATTCAGCTCGTTCAGTAAACGCCAACAAGACTGGCGTAGTATGTGTCTGGAAACCTGTAATCGTTTTGGGTCTTCCTGCTTGTCCTACTACATCCACTGCCTGTCCAACTCGTACAGTTACAGGTTGGGCCTTCAAGTCGGAATCCAGTGAAATCAGGAAGCGTGGGTACATGGCTATGACCAAGAAGTATAGTAGATAGTGGGATTTCGACATGATTACTGAGCGAAGAAGACAGGAGAGGACAGTTAGTTATGTATGATGATCGTGTGAGAGTTTTGAGGTCTACATGCCGTAGGCGTATCCTGATGCGCTATGTTATTTATTTTTTTACCTTGTTTGGCTTCAGTAAAGGCAATCAAAACAGTCAATAATCCAGCCACTGCGACTGGGGACAACAAGGATCGATTGGTATGGAAGGGGTTGATGGTCAATGTTCCTTTGCCCATATGCAACAACCCCTACGACAGAAAAGAGGTTTCGTGAGTATGCAAAAAAGCATGGTGTTATGCCGAGCATGAGACAGAGATCGTCCAAGTTGTCCTCCACACCCTGCACACACGAAGGACAGGCCAAAGACATACCTGAGCAATGCGAACCATAAACAAACTATTTGGTTCTTTATGATAATAAGCAGCCAACTGCCTCAACATTTGTGCCAATCGAGCATTATTGGTTCCAGCACCAACCAATCCCATGGCAAAGATAGCATTGATAGCCACATCTTGATCATTATCATGCGAATATTTAGACAAGATGTCCAATATATGGACTAGTGGATTGGAAGCACATAGTAGACCTAGTGCTAATGGTACACATCGACGAATGGTGGGTTCACCATAATGCATCAAATGGGTGAAGGCTCTAAATGCCATATCAGATCCAACGTCTTCACCCATGGCAATCAAGGCTACTGCTAAAACGGCAAAGCCTTGGAATTTATCGTCTTCCTTTTCAGCGTCCAAGTGGTCATTACATAAATGTAACATGTGTTGGACTTTGAGTACGTTGCCAGTTGCTAGACAAGAGAGTTTCAGTGAGCGATGAGGTGCATTTGAGAGAGGAAAACTATGAGATTATACACTCCGTCATGTCGCGAAACAAAGACATCTCGAGTTCGTATTACTTACCAGCGTAAGCAACAGCCTCAACCAAAACACCAGCTTGTTTGGCCAATGGAGTCTCAATAGCTTTTAAGGTCTCCAAAGTAGCTTCACAAGCATCTTGTTTACCCAAAAACAAGAGGGCCAATCCAAGAGCCATAAATTTACCGTAGGTGTCCTTTAATTGGACTTCATCGCGTTCCATCATGGTTGTGAGGATGGTCGTGACGATCTCACCATGGCATGTACCTACGAATACTATCCCGAGAGATAGTGCAGCTAGAGATGCTATTTCCATAGATACACCAGTGTCACTGACGATGGGTAGTAGTAACTCACAGACATCTTCTCTTGCTTTGCCTGCATAAGCAATACCCAAACTTTATGTATGCGTGGAGGAGGTTCGTCATGTCAGTTCAGAACGCAAATAAATCGGCAGAAGTGCGCATATATTTACCCAAGGATGGCAGATGTCTTCATAATTGCACTTTTGTTCTCAACGTGTTCACTTAAAAGTGCGATAGCAGGATCTGACTCATTTCGTACACTGGCTGTCAGAATGCCGATTCCCAGTAATGCACCAGCCTAACGAGTGTGATATTTTTGTTGTGAGCGTTGTGGCAATCACAGTACCAGCAACCCTGTTTACCTTAATGTGCTCTTCTGTTGCATATGTATACTTGTCAATCTCAGCTAAACCAGTTTCTACATCCCACAACATAATCATCCCCAATGAGGCAGCAGCAGACAACATGCCTATCATCAAAGAAGCAGTCAAAACAAGTGCAAGTCGGTACCGAAAGGGTACAAACACCACAACGAAGTCAGCAAGTAAAGGATCAGGGTCGTAAAACACGTTTATCTTCGTCAACCTACCAGCATCCTTGTTCTTATAAATCCATGAATTGCCTTCGTCAGTCTTGGTCAATAACTTGTCATGACCAAATCCGGCATTCACAAAGGCATTGACAAAGGTTGCAGCTAGATTCTGTCGTGCCGAGTCGACATTACCAGCATGGAGGCCAGGGCCTAGTGGTTCAGTATAATGGTAAGTCCTCTTAAAAAAGGACAAGACTAGAAAAAAAGGGAATAAAAACTTACGTATGTTTTCCAAATGACTCTTGTAAATATCTTCAGGAGTCTTTGCTTCCATAATGTCCAAATCACGAGCAAGAGCCTTAAAGTGTTCAGATAACTTGGTGTTGTTCATAATATCATTGATTTCTTCATTATCAGTTTCGAAACTGATTTGTTGTCTTGCCAATAGGAAGGCCAGTTGTTTACGTATTATCCTAGACAAAAAAGAGCATGAGTAAAGTTTCAGGGGGAAAAACCACTCGACCACATACATGTCTGGGCATGAGTGGAAGTCATTCTTGACCAAATCGAGGTCATTCATTTTCATAGATACTTGTATGGCTTGTGGGTATTGCTCCATTTTTCGATATATCTCATGAGCAGTTTTGAGGATGGCCATGTCATCTGGTGGTGAAACGTATGGTACACAGCTATTTTGCGATTTTAGAATTAGTGTCGGAACGAATGCATGGCAGTAGATGCTTTTCGACTCTTTGTCTCCTTGATCCATTCGAGAAATATCTCTAAGATTCGACTTCGCAAACACCTTACCTCAGAATATATAGACAAACTCGTTGGTATGTATCCTTGTCTACTAGAGTCGGCAATACATCCAACGATTCCATTTCAACCAGCAAATCACAAGCATCCGCTTCAGCATTGTGTTTGAGGAAGAAGGGAGTTATTTCCATTGCCAATTTATGAATATCGTCTGTTGGTAACTCTTTTTCTGTCCTGTCTGTGTATTCTCCAATCAGTTCAGCTGCAAGATGTCTGAAAAAACGGAAACACAGAAAGAGTGAGCGTTAGAAAGCCAGCTTTATCATTACGATACAATGAGATATATCAGCGAAGGCACTGGTTTTGTTGTTGCTGGTGATTTACCTGACGTATTCATGACCCCATGAACCAGCAGCTTCTGAACTGCCTGTGAGCCTGAACTTGAGTGAATTCCTCTTGCCTTCCTCCTCATATGTCATGGCCAAAACAGAAAGGATGTCGGCCAAAAAGGTCTACGTGGGCGTATGAGAAGTCAGCGTTGAGAGCGTGGAATGGGTTACAAACCCCTTTCGCATAACCGCTGCCGATCTCGTGGGCCAGTCCGTCTATGATCATGACCGCCAATTTTCTGGGAAAGGAATCATTCTTTGCGTCCAACAGTCCAAATCCCCTCTCCTCGGCGCTCCCTCTTCATTCATTGATCAAGATCATTATGCTAACCTTGTTGGGACCAAGAGGCCATGTATCGTATACTTGAATGAGCGATTGGTAGTGTGGTCGTAAGAATTTCAATGGTTTTGGAACGGACGTCATTGAAGAAGTTGAGGTACGGATCAAGGTTCGTAATGTTTCCAACGCAAGAGGGTATAACTCCACTTTTGGTTCCTGATGAAGTTTAGAAAGAGAAAGGAGTGTTTGTGAGAGCGACCTCATCCAAAGAGGGTATTAAGTTGGCCATTGCCCTTTGTCATTCATTACCCTAAGTCGTTCCACCAACAATTCCAGTTGGGATTTTAGTTCCTTGTCTTCTTCCGACTATAATATTTAATTTGTTGGTATTAGCTTAGCTGCTGAAGGAATGATGATGGTATTTGCAGGAATCAAGTTGTCTTCTGTTTGATGTTGCGAGTATCTTGCAATGCGACATCTTCAAGGCAACATCCAATAATCCCATATGGGATAAATTGCATGAATATATTACCAATTCTTCTTCTTCTCCATCCTTCTTCTTCTTAATGTCTTCTGGCTTCTGCTTGTCATCAGCTTTGGGCGTTGTCGCTGTCGTTGTATCTTGTGCCATCTGTGAGCGAGTTTATTGAGTGTTAGTGGACTGAGTAAATGGAAATATTGCCTTGTCAAGTACCTTTGTTCTGATGCACTATATATAACTGGATGTCCTCTTTCTTTCTGTCTCCTTCCTTCAAAATGCAACGAGAATGGTGACGCGTCAAAGAGGCGATAGCAGATAGAACTTGGGTTTGAAGGCAAAGCTAGTTCTGTATTTTAAATATTTTAACGTCGAATTTTAGAACATTTTTTGGGCAAAGCAACTAGACTGTCAGACAACATGTCAAAAATCCCATCATAATTAGAGTTTACGTGATTTCAACGAAATTAATTTAGTTTCACACGGTCAAACACCGTGAGACCAGGTATGTCGAACATTTATACATGGTGTAATTGCCACGCGGCACGTCCTGCCTGTTTGTTTGCAAGCTACTGCTGTCGTTAATTTTTTTTTACTCAAAACATCGCAAAAACAAGCTTCAGAGCTTAAACGAAACAAAACATAGTACAAGTAAGCATGAATGTCTCGAGTCCGCCATAAGCACTATATTAACACATTTTCCATTGAATTTACTCTTACAGTCATGCCTGTGCCTGAATCCACTATATCAAATACGCACTTTGCAACTCCTATTGTTTACGACAATCCAAACGGATGGGGCCCATCCACTCTTCCTGCGGGATTATCTGAAATCCCATATGCCCCATACTCGAAATCGGACAGACTCGGCCGTGTAGCTGACTGGACAATCCCTGCTGATGACTACTACTATGACCGGAATCAAAACACTGGCACAGGCGGTGATCGCAGACAGCAACGACGTGGTGATGATACTCGTGGTGATAATGCTCCTACCGTAACTGCTGATGGAACCACAATCCCTCCTGCCAGACAATATAGAAGAGGTGGTCCTGCTGGTTACCGTGGCGGAAACATGAACGAACCTTTCGGTGTCGGGACGGCCTCTGCCTTCGATTATAAAGTAGCTGCTGAAGATGAGGCTACCTTCTCGCTCGTATCTACAACATCGTCAAAACCAAAACTTGGAGGATTTAGGCCTTCACGAGGACGAGGTGGTGCTTTTGGTATCGGTGCTGGTAGAGGTGGATACTCGGATGTTTCTCGTGGTAGAACAGGTTTCAACGAGAACCAGCAACGTGTTGGTCGATATGCTAATGCTAGAGGCGGAAACACGCAAGGTGGTTGGAGAGGTAGACGTTTTGGTTATCAAGACAAACCGCAACGTGTACGTGATGCTTCGGTCAAGATTGCTGCTGACTGGAAGGTTCTTCAAGAGATGGACTTTAATGCCCTAAGCAAACTCTTTTACGAAGTGGAAGCTCCTGAAGACCTGTAAGTTGCGCTATCTGGACGTTGGATGGCATGTATTTTTTGCTTTCTTGAAAGAATTGACGATGATATGATGACCATCTTTTGAATTGGGATGTTGTTAAAAACAGCATATGATGTCATATTCTTATTCACACTGTCTGATCATCGTACTCGCTGAAGACGCGGTCGAGATTGTATGAGCTTTCTCTTGTCTTGCTCTGACGATCTCAATTTTCCCGTATTTAGTGAAGTCTTTGGTGAAGCCAACTATTATGATAAAGTATTCGACCGTGTGTCGGCCAAAAACTCACAACCACTGAAATCATTCGATCGATTCGCTCCCAACCTTACAACCAGTTTCGATCCTGTCTTGCAAAAGGTAATTCTATCAAGCCAGTTGCTCTGTTTGTTTGTGCTGCATGCCTCTAGATCTACCAATTCGCCAAATACTAACAATGTATCAACCCTTCAATTTGGCAGCTGAGCAAAGAAGTAGATGGTCCTACTGTATTTGCTACTGACAACGTCTTGTCGACTCTTATGTGTGCTACTCGATCGGTATATTCGTGGGATATTGTCATTCAAAAGGAAGGAGACAAGCTCTTCCTCGACAAGAGAGATGGTACACAATTTGGTACGTGTTTTACCTTGTCCAAAAAGATTTTCACGACTTTGGAGTGTGTTGATGATTTCAATTGATTTCAATATTCAGTGAAAATGAAGACGAAAATCAAATCGTCTGTATACATGATACTCAGAAACTTCATCAATAGATTTCGTATCCGTCAATGAGAATGCTGCTGAAGCTCCTCTGGAGAGTGCTGAGAAAGAGAATCCTAATACACCACAGCAGTTGGCATTAGAAGGAACTTATGTTAACAAGAACTTTTCTCAACAAGTTCTCAAACAGGTGAGCAAAAAAATTGACCCCAGCAATATCATCATGTCATCCATCGCTACGCTCGCCAACGCATTCTTACTTATAAATACTCTCTCACTCGACCCTATAGGCTGAAAAATACACCCTCGACAATGAGAATCCATTTGTAGATCCTTCCGTTGCAGATCAAGATCCTCCTGCCTCCGCTATATACAGATACCGTAAATGGCAGCTAGGAGAAGATCTAGCTCTAGTGGCACGTACTCAAATCGACGCCGTCATTCACACACCTGGCTCGTCATCCACGTCCATCTCCGAAGAATTGATACCCGATTCATCAGCACACCCAGTAAACGATACTCTCCTCCTAAACATCAAAGCCTTGAACGAATTCGATTCCAAGGCACCAGGAGCAGGTGGAGCACCCGACTGGCGTCAGAAATTAGATTCACAACGAGGAGCAGTGATGGCCACCGAAATCAAAAACAATGGAAATAAACTAGCACGATGGACTATGGAATGTATTTTAGCTGGAGTTGATCAAATTCGTATTGGATTTGTATCTCGAGTCTCGCCCAAAGACCGATCTCGACATGTTGTATTGGGTACTGCATACTTTAAACCCAAAGAGTTGGCCAATCAGATGAATCTGAATGTGCCAAACTCTTTTGGAATATTGAAGGTTATTTCCGATCTTTGTATGAAACTTGAGGATGGCAAGTATGTGCTTGTTAAGGATCCAAACAAGGTGAGCACGAGGACGCTGTGTTTGTTGGGACTTTGGATGTATGGTGATGGCTCAAGGGTTGTTGCAAAGTTTGAGACCACGTTGGAATACGAAAAGAGGGAAGGACAAGATGCTGTCTAGATACATAGCCATTGCACCAAGAGCTGAAGATGCGTTTTGCTTTCCTCCTCAAGAAAACATAAACCATACTTCGTCCTTGCTAATATGAACTATCCTTCTTTTCTAGCCCTTGTTACGACTGTACTCTGTCCCGCTAGACACATTCGAGGAAGATGATGGTGGTGACGATGAAGATATGCCCATCCGTGATGATGGTGACATGGATGAATAAAAGAATGGGTTGCCTAACTTGATATAAGCAATCCAAAGAAATATACGCTCACTATTTTCAACGAGATGAGACGAAAGAGGCATCCGTTAAACATTGTAGTCAAGCTTAGTTGGAATAAACACAGAGCAGATTTCTAGCTGATTGCGTGGTTTATTTCATTGCTATGAGCTCGAATTTACAGTCTTGATATCGGAAAGCTTTTAACTTCTTGAAATTCAGTTTCGACACACGATCAATACAAGGGTTTCATAGTTTCGTTGACTAAAAGCTTGCATTGTTGATTTATGAATTCACGACAGGATCCCTTCCCTGAGAACCTCAGACGCCACGTCGTGTCGATTCAATAATGGTCACGCAAAGGAACAACACATGAAGACACAAAAGTTGCATGAAAGAGGCTTTTCTATTTAGAACTATTGCTTTTTTATAATTCTGATTATCTCTCGTTCAGCAAAACGAGACTTCAATGTGTGCATGTAACCTCCAAACAATCAAACTCCACAAATCCACATTCACAATATCCAATGTCCAATAACTGCAAACAAACTCAACACATCTACCACCAACCACCAGAAACAATTCCCATCCCCTAGCTTACCACCCAAATCCTTGTCAGATAGGCACCACATCGAAAAGGAAGGACACAGACTCTCCATTATGGATCCTTCTTATAGCTTCAGCAAACAATGTAGTAATATCAAACACCTTCATCTTTGGGCATTTAGCCAAATGGTCTTCTTGCGGGACACTATTTGATACGACGACTTCATCAATAGACGATGCTTTAATCCGTTCTATAGCATCACCACTCATGATGGCATGAGTAATCAAGGCGTATATACGTGTAGCTCCGAATTCCTTTAATACTTTGGCGGCTTTCGTGATGGTGAAGGAGGTATCGGCTATATCGTCGATGAGGATACAGACTTTATTTTTAACGTCACCGACTAGCATCATATCGGATGTGGGTGAGTTGACGTTTCGGCGTTCTTTGTGGACCATGGCAAAGTTCATGTTGAGTTTATCTGCTATTCCAGTTGCTCTGTTTGCAGATGAGAATTGAGGTGTCAGAAATCCAAGATTATTTTGGGCAAAAAAAAACCAAGGTGTGTGCCGATCACATCCCTGGCCTGCGCTTGCTACAATTACCTCTTGGCTCCACCAGCATCGGGAGATACCATTACAGCATTTCGATAATCTGGGATATTTTCCTTGATGTACTTTAGTATCAATGGCTCAGAGTGGAGGTTGTCGACTGGAATATCGAAGAATCCTTGAAATTGAGGATCATGCAGGTCCATGGTGATGATATGATCAGCACCTAATAAAGAATGGTTCGTTGTGAGAAAGATGAGCTGAGCAATAAAATAGAAGGATTCCACGGACTCTCCGAAAGTGTGCAAAGACGTCATTCTTCCCAAATACACACCTGCAGCCATCAATAGATTAGCAATCAAGGTACCAGAGCGAGCAGTCCAATGCTTATATCCACCAGCTGACTGTCCAGGCAGAACAGTGGGAGTGATTTGAGGCGGGATTTGCGGAGCCAAAGTAGCCACCACCACATTAGAGTGTGATGTACTAAATGTCGACATCCTTCTACCTTCTTCGGATGCATTGGAACCTGTTCTTACTAGAGATGGCATTCGAGCAGGGGTTGGTCCAACTGGACCTCCATGCTGAGCTAGTATAGCTGCGGCAGTTCCACTAGCAAATGTTGGTGGCCTCATTGGTGATATATTAGGAGGTGCTGACGTGGATAATATTTGGCTGCCAGTAACAGAGTTGGATGCAGATGCGTGGGATGATGGGGAGGTGTTGCTGTCATCAGTGGTTGCTTGGTCGCCGTCTACAACGAATGCAACTGTCGAGTCTCTGCTATTCATTTCCTTGGTTGGTACGGTGTCGGTGGAGGGTTCAGCATGGAATCTATTACTTCGTTCCATTCTAGGTGATGCTCCTCGTGATATACCAGTAGCGGATGTGGAGTTTGGTAATACGGGCACACTACCATTCATGTGTGATGACGAGGTTGCTCTCGACATGCTACCCCCAGCAGCAGGTATACTGCCATTAAGCTCGTTGAGTTGTCTCATTTTTTCGAGTTCAGCTGCAGGAACCCGTGCTAACGGCATTCCGTTTCTTTTATGAGGAGCATCTGGTTGTCGTGCATATGGGAAGCATGGTATAACAGCCGTCACTTTACTACAAGAAGAAGGTAGAGTCTAGTGAGTCACCAGTTCACAAGAGGCCAATCGTTTTCACAAACAAATAAATGAGTGTAGTAAAGGACGATATACAATGTTTGAGCTTTGCTTCATCAAGTGTCCCTTTTGAGAAACAGATACACCATCCCTTAAAGCTAGACCAAACAAGGCTACCTTCACATAGACATACCAAGACGGACACATACCTTGCACTTGCAGTTCGACAAGCAGCAATCATGATGAGCAGCTCCATAAAGTTGTCATTGACATGACCGCAACCAGACTGGACTATATATACATCGGTGTTTCTGACGGATTCACCAATCTCGACATTGGTTTCCTTGTTTGCAAATTTAGACAATGTTGACCTTGCAACCGGTATTCCCAGTCGTTTGCATACAGCCTTTGCGAACTCTGGATGAGATGAGCCTGCGAATATCTAGGTGGTACATTGGTTTTAGTTGATTGTCTTGATACACTTGCAAGCTTTTTGCTAGCAAATGATTTTTTTTGGCTTGAAGTGCAAGATAATGACAGATTCAACTCGATAAAAGCGGATACGCACTGCGATATCTCTCATGTCTTAGAGACGGTGGTGATGCTTGATATCAGCAGACAAAGACTCCTTTAGCTATTCTTGCTTGTAACTGTCGGGTCTTGAATGTTTGAAGTTGACTTTTGGGCACATTCAAGCGGTGAAGCGTCGCGAAAGAGACAAAATCACGTCTCATCAGACAGGAATCATACTTTGGGAGGCTTTCAACACGTAAAGCCCGTTTGAATCCTACAATGAGGCGTGTTTTCCAATACTGATGTTTGGAGCGACTCAATGCGTGTCGAGTTCACTTTCAAACTATGATCCCAACACCAGTAAATTGCTATTTTATTATTACTTCCAATAATTTGTCAATTCTTTAATACGTGTCTAGTTCAGAAACTAAACTGATCGACCTTGACTTCACAATCACACAACAACTCGTTGAGCTTGAACGAGAATGTCGAGCGAACAGACGGACTCTGTCTTGAATCCTGTAGATGGTCACCCAGAAACTATAGGAGATGCCGTCGCCTTAAAACCAAAGAAGACGAAGCTCTCCAAAAAGAAGCGTGAAGCCGCAAGGAAGCTTGCAAACGAAGCTACATCTCACGAGCAACCAGCTGAGGTAGTCTTCCCATCGTTTTATTTTATCTTTTATCTCAATATTCAGCTGCTGATCTTTATTCAATCGCTCATAGAAATCAATGATGGAGCATCAAGAAGCATCAGGCGATGGAGCATCAGGCGTCGAAGTCATCGAATTTGATGACCTCGAAGCATCTGCTGCTACGCCTCCCTCAGTAGTACCAGGTCATTGGAGAGGTCCATCGTCGTCAAGAGGACGAGGAAGCCCTCGTGGACGTGGAAGGGGTGATCCATTTCATGCTCGTCCATCATATAATGACAGGAATACGTATCAGCCCATGCAGAATGCTTACTTTAATCAACAATCAACTTCACCATTTACAACCTCCTCATCGTCGTCGTCATCTGCTTCGCCTTTTGCAACAAATCAACACACCGACCAATCGGCCTCAGCTTTTCCTCTGCCAAATAAACCACAACATAACAGTAAAGGCAAGCAAACACCAGAAAACTGGCGTCAAAAAAAGGATGTAATAACAGAAGAATTCAATCGTCGACGCGATCAGCCACAGCATCATTCACCACCACAAGGTCCATTCGATCACACCAATGCTATGCCGATTCCAGGACAATATGATAATTCAGCAGGATATGGAACGCAACCTCAGTATTATCCGCCATTTTCAACTCGTGGTAGGGGTCGATCGCGAGGATTTGTTGCTCCTCCACCAAACTTCCAGGCACCACCACTGCCAATGTATAATCAGGACGGTCAATTCGGTGGAAGAGGAGCTACAAAAGATCATCATAGTAGAAACAACTGTTACGAAAATGGCTACTATTCGCCGCCTCCTAGGCCGCCAATATTCGAACCAACGTATACACGTGGAGGACGTGGAAGAGGCACTGCCAGTAGAGGAGAGCACAATAGCCCACCACATCACGTAGACAATGGGTCGAATGGAAGGAACGCATCTCGCTCGGCCTCTACTATGAACGACCACATCAAGTTTGGTGGTAGTGATGACACGATGATGCCTGGTGGTAGTGGTAGTCGTGGTCGTGGATTCAAACCTGAGATGTTTGATGAGAAGGTTGCGGACAAGGAACTCTTCAACAGTATGTATTGTGTTTGTGATTGTATTTAGTAGAAGGATTTATTGATTACTTTTTTCGTTGCTCGTCCAGAGTCTGCACCCTCAACCCCCCAAAGCCAACGAAGTGGACAAGGATCAACGCCTCAAAGTCAACGAGGTAGTGCAGGACGTGAGCGTGTTGGGGGACAAAAGCTGTACGATCACCACACCAACAGTTTCCAAGCTCATGACGAAGATAGTCATCGTAATCGTCGACACAATAGCAGCAACAGTAATAGTGATTCCCTAGCTAGGCCTTCCTCCAACCGCAAAAACGGTAATAGTTCAAGTCCATTCTCACCGTCAAAATCGCCACGTAAACCCAACAATGGGAAATCGCTCTTCGATGAATACATGACAGCCGTTCAAGTAGAGGAAGGTCTCAAAAACGGCGAATTAATCAAGGGAAGCTTACGTATTAACAAGAAGAATCGTTACCACGCATACGTGCCTGTTGAAGGGCGTGAGCGAGATTTATTCATAAATGGTCAACGCCATCGTAATCGAGCATTCGATGGTGACATTGTCATTGTCAAACTGCTGGAAGGGAAAGAATTGTTGGAAGAACGTGATAAATTCTTGAGTTTCAGAGATGTCAAAAAGGCTGATTTCGATGAACGTCAAAAGAAGGTGCAAATGGCTGTTGACGAAAATATGATGCATGAAGATGATGAAGACGCAGATGAGGTATCACAAGAATCTGATGAAAAAGATGCTGGTCGTACCCTCATTGGTGCTGACGATGACGAAGATGAAGGTAATTCACGTTGTCGATTCACCAGTTACCAAGTTTTGATATTGAAAACGCAGTGAGCTCAGTTTTCGATTACCAAATAGCCCTCGCAGATCGTCAATTCGGCAAAGTAGTGTATATTTTTGAACGAAGTCCAAATCAAACCTTTTGTGGTATCTTGACCACGGATCGATACTCTCAACCAAAGGATGGAGCATCTTCTCTTCCATCTGATACACCTACAAAATCTGCCGCCAATACGAACAATGGAAATCCAGACACTCGATACATTTGGTTCAAGCCGGTTTGTGCAACATTATCTCGTTCGAAACGTTTTTGCATTAAAGACTAAACTTCTGTTGACCTTAGAGTGATAAACGAGTCCCTCTCATGACTGTATCACGATCAGATGTACCTAGCGAATTCTTGGATGATCCACAAGCATTCGCCAATACATTGTTTCGAGTTTCTGTTGCTCGATGGTCAATCAACACCAACTATCCATTTGGTCGATTACATGGTCCAGGTGAACTCCATCACATTCCGTCTAGACAAGCCTCTTCTTTAAATTCACTGACTGATCACAATACCAACAGTCGGACAAGTTGGCGCTATTGGACCTGAGACTGATGTCTTGTTGATAGAAAATGGTATCAACTGGGATGTCTTTACTGATGAAGTGTTGGGGTGTTTGCCACCCACGGTATGTCGAAAACTGGATCATTGTTATGCCCCCATTTGTTCCTTGAAAGCTTGTTAATTCCTTCTCCGTCGATTCCTAATACTTCAATTCTGACTCTAGCCTTGGACTATTTCAGAATCCGAAATCGCCAAACGACGAGACTTTAGGAACGAGAGAATCTTCACCATTGATCCTCAAACAGCTCGAGATCTAGACGATGCAGTATCATGCAAACCTCTAGAAAACGGTCTATACGAAATCGGAGTGCACATTGCTGATGTCTCTTATTTCGTCAAGGCTGGAACACAACTGGATCGTGAAGCACGCAATCGAAGCACCACGATATATCTAGTACAGAAAGCTATACCCATGTTACCACGACTGTTGTGTGAAGAATTGTGTAGTTTGAATCCGAATGTTGATCGATTGGCCTTTTCGGTTGTTTGGCATATGAACGAAGAGGGTGAAGTTGTGAATGAGCCTTGGTTTGGACGTAGTGTTATTAAGAGTTGTGCCAAGATGTCTTGTAAGTTGGTGTCATCAGCACGTTTGAACAGCGATTTTTTGGCTTCTTTTTGACGTCCTCTTGTCAAATAGATGATCATGCGCAAGCTGTCATCGAGGGCAAAAGCTGGGAAGGGTTGCCACCTGTCGACATTGGCGGTGGATATTGTTTCACTGACTGTAAGTGTATTTCAGTTTTGAAAATGACATCGCAAAACAATCCTCACCGATTGTCCACGTCATTTTAGTGACCACAGACATTCTGAAAATGTTTGAACTGAGTAAAAAGATGCGAGCACGTCGTTTTGAACGTGGTGCTCTATCGATCAATTCAATCAAGTTGTCATTTGGTCTGGACGAGGATGGTAATCCAATGAGGTGCCATCAATATGACATTCGTGATAGTAATCGTCTCATTGAAGAGGTATGAAAATCCTGTTGCTTGGGTTGTTTTTGTTCCTACCTAACAATGGTTCGAACGCGAAAACCCTAGTTCATGCTATTGGCAAATATGGCAGTCGCAACAAAACTCTGCGAAACATTCCCAGATGCTGCTCTCTTACGTCGTCATGAAGTACCGTCATCATCTGCTATGAAAGAATTTGTCGAAACTGCAAACAAGCTTGGATATGCTATAAATGCAGAGACGTCAAGTACTTTCCAAGCGTCGTTTGATGCTATTGAAAGTGAGACTGTGAGGGATGTTATGAGGCTACTCGCGATTAAACCAATGAAGAGGGCCAAGTATTTCTGCAATGGGAGCGCAGAAATCACTTCATTCCATCACTATGCTTTGAATGTGCCGTTGTATACCCATTGTAAGTTAGGAAATGGAGTGTCGCCTGTTTCGGGACAGATTCACCCCTGCAATCCTCTAACATATTCATCCTGGTATAACTATTAGTCACTTCTCCCATCCGTCGATATTGTGATTTGATTGTCCACCGTTTACTAGACTGTGCAATTCGATCTTCCAAAAACCCACTCAACACCAAAGTAGTCGATGGAATAGCCAAACGATGCAACACAATGAAGGATGCATCCAAGAATGCCCAAGAAGCATCCCAACGACTATACCTCGTAGCCTACCTAGATCGAATTGCCAAACCCAATGACTCAGTATTTGAGAAGGGCATTGTGTATCGTGTAGGACCACGATTCTATGATGTACTTGTTGAAAAGTATGGAATTGAAAAGCGGGTATGGGTTGAGGACTGTATGACTAAGGAGGGAGCACTTGGATGTGATTTCGATGAAGATAAGAATGAGCTGCATATCTTTTGGAAGAAGGAGGGTAGTAATAGTCCTGATCTTGATACGAAGGATATTGCTTTGAACGGGTCGAATGGCATCGCTTCGCCTAATGGTGTTGCTTCGCCTAATGGCGTTACTTCGCCTCACAGTATTGCTTCGCCTACGAATGCTACACATGATAATGCTATGAACGGAGACAGCAGCAACACCGATTATAGTATAGCTGCCACCAATGGAAACGCTAGTAGTAGCAGTGATAGTGATGTCAAGGGCAAAGGAAAAGCTCCAGTCGTTATCTCGGATGATAGTGATGACGAATGGACTACCGATGACGAAGAAGAAGAGGAATCAAGAGTAAAAACAGACTCTGCCGAAGCCGAACTTGTCAATAAAACAGCAACCCTTGCTATAAAATCAAGTCCAGATACCCCAATAACAACCATAAAATCACTCAAACCACCATCATCTGGATCAGCAAAGAAATCACCATTCAGCAAACGAATGACACGACGAAACATTGACAAGGATCAAGTTTATGTCCAAGTCATTAAAGTATTTGATTATGTGGGCTTGCGGATCCTTCCATTGTTGGCACGAACGCCACCTGAAGTTAGATTGTATGGTGCCAATCCGACGAATATAATTAATAGCAGAAGTGGTCGTGGAGGAGTTGCACAATCAGCAGAAGCTCAAGAAGGTTATGATTCAGCACGCAAGGACTTTGAGGACAATGTTTTGATTGAATCTTGTCCTGCACTTGCTGAAGATGCTGATTGAGAAGGGATGCTTGTTGAAGTCTATGCAATAAGAGTGGTCTGGAGGGTGTTTTGAATGCACAATCACAAAAAGGCTGTCAAATATCCATATCTTTTATTTAGTAATATTTTTTTCTCTTCGTCGCATTTGTTTTAAATAGGTCAATTTGCTTTTTAAGATTGTACAGATTCAACAACAGTTTTTAGCCATAGTCATGCAGAAAACCCAAGTGTAATAGAATATTGAGCAGGAGAAAATACATACAGATTAGATAGCATTAGAATATGGCAGTTGTATGTGTTGTGTGTGCGTTTATATTACAAAGTACGGTGAAGGGATAGATTGCGTATGTGTGATGTAGTTGTTGCTGTTAGTGATTCATCACCGATATCGGAAAAAGTAGAGCCATAAGAATACCAGGAGACAGAATAGTATCAGATACCTATGTTGTTCGTCAGAGCAAAGACATGAATCTCGTCAGTGCTGAATTTTTGGGTCTTCATAGGCAACCAAGACGAAACCTACCACATCCACCTCCCATTCTGACTCTTTGCAAACTTTTGCAGTCTGCCCATTGTAGATCCCAAGAATCCACCTGTTTTGTGGAAATCTGATTCCTACATGATGCGGGAAAAAGAGGGCCTAAGTCAAAATTTGAATCTGATCCCGTCAGAAACCGACGTATCGTACCATCTCTGACAAGAATCCATTCTGATATGTGACTTCGTCTCCAATTTTAACTGATATCTAAGAATGCGAATGAGTGTGTCAGTATGAATATCAACGCGATCTTGAGACGTCATGCAGAAATACAACACCTCTTTCAACATGGTCATTTTTTGAGCTAGAGATTCCACTTGAGTGTCGTTGTGATCTTCCATTGCGTAGGAAGCTCCGGCTGCATTGACTCCATTGATCGTGTTTGGATTTTGAGGTGGTATTGGGTATTTGCCTTGATGGCTGTTGAGGTGTTTGATGTGTGTGCGATGAGGAGAGAAGTTAGATATGTAAAGCTCAAATGACGTGAATAAATGAAAATCACATATGAAATACGTGTTAGTTCTTACCCTGTTGGCCTTAATCTGCTCATTCTCTCTCTTTACAAACTTCCAAACTTTCAACCTTCACCAGAAATCAGCAATAATTAATATAACGAGAGCCAGTTATCGCTGTCTCCAAACACCGCATCCAAGGTGCCCAAGAAACGCAGAAACAACGACGACGAAATGGATGGTAAGTCAATATGTCAAAAACAACTGGGTTATGTGAAGCATCAGACTCAACCCAATCAAATCCAGATGTAGATGACGATGATTTCGATTCTACTACAATGGACTTTGATGAGCCGATGATTCCTCATCCAGCTTCAGTCATATATGGACAGCATCACCATCATCAACAACATCACGACTTTACATCTCGCTTGGCTTCTACTATGAGCGACCAAATCAAGTTTGGTGGTAGTGATGATATGATGATGCTTGGTGGCAGTGGTGGTGGGAATGGCGGTAGTAGTGGTCGTGGATTCAAACCTGGAATGCCTGATGAGAAGGTTGTCGACAAGGATTTCTTCAACAGTATGTGTGCATTTGTGATTGCAGCTATCAGAAAGAATGTAATTTATTGACTATTTTATTTGTATACAGAATTCGATGATGATTTCGATGACGATGATTTGGGACAGGGTGGATTTGGTGCACAACCCACGGCCCAGCAGCAACAACAGCAAACTGGTGCACCACCAGCAAATGCTACACCTAGTACAAATAACACTCCTCAGCTGCAACCTACTCATCCAGAACCACGAACAAATCAACAATTACCTTCCCTTGTATCTTCTCGATCGTCTCGTTAAAGAGCCTTGTAAATTTGAGCTTGTATAGTATGGCAAAGGAAACAATGCTTTCTCATATATAAAGGAATATTTTAAAAGTCGAGATCTAGCGCGTTTGGATGTCATTCACGAAGTAGTTTCGGCATCAAGATTGTTCCTATTGGTAAGCTCATCTTGTGTGACTTGCCTTTCGCAACTTCTCACAGGTCGACAGTTTGCCCATTTCGAGCGGATAGAGACTAGTTGGAAGGGTCATCGAGGCATCTTATTCGCAAGGTATCGTCCTATTCTACTCTTTAAGGCAGCGATCAGTATTAAAACTAACCATTTACACTCAGTTCTATGAACATTTTGCCACGATTTGGCATCTTTGCTTCTAGACTCCCTCGATTGACACTAGCTTCTAAAATGTCGTTACAATATACTCCTAAGAGCGCTTTGAGACGTTTGAAGCACTACGAACAAGCTTTAGCTGAGCGAACCCCAATTTCTGTTAACGACGATGATGATGACTGTAACTATCACCTAAACAGTTTTACTCCTTTCTCACATTCGAAATCTCACTAGCAATCAATTTCACTAGTCGATGACGATGGTGGAGCAGCCGGCGGTGGTTCTGGCAATGGTGGTGGAGGAGGAAACAAGAATGGTCGACGAGTAGCGATTGGTGACGTATCTATGGAATTGTTTGATTCAATGTACCCTGAACGTGTTCCTGCCGAGCCGCTACTGGATTTGAATCGCCAGGATGTGCTGGATCATTTGCAATGGATGATGCAGAAAGATGTTCTTGGCCAAGACATGTTTCTTATTGGGTATGTGCCGCCTATCTGAATGTGAAAACTGTATCCTTGTTTTGGCGCATCGTAGGGTCGTGCCTGTAGTGGATCTCTCTTTCAAGCATCGATCAAAGTGACAGATCAGAAGACTCACACCTCTTTCACCCAAACTTTCAGACCTCCAGGACCACTAAGAAGACGACTAGCATTGACATACCTAAATGTGGTTAATCGTGAACACGAATACGTCGTATTGCATCGTGACACGTCTGCTGAATCAGACATTAAACAACGTCGAGAAATTCAACGGGACTACACTTCTCCTAAAGGTGGCAAAGAAGGTCTGATTAAAGCGGAATGGATTGATCAGGCTGCTGTACGCGCTGCTCTTCTGGGACGAATTCTGGTTATTGATGGTATCGAGAAGGCTGAAAGGAATGTGCTGCCTGTCCTCAATAATTTGTTGGAGAATCGTGAAATCAAGTATGTGGAAAGTCCTGTTGATTTCTATTGCTATGCGAATGGCAGATCAATCCTGTCTAACAGTCAAATCAATGTGACTTCCCTGCTCCTTTTTTGTCCGTTTTCTTACATCCCAACTTCTATCTCAAACACTAGTCTTGAAGACGGCCGCCACATCATCCACCCAGCAAGATACGACGATCTCCTCTCCCAACACTCACAAGCCCAACTCGAAGAATGGAAACTCGTCAGAGCATCTGAACATTTCCGCGTCATCGCTCTGGGTGTCCCCGTTCCTCCATACCCAGGCAACCCCTTAGATCCACCCTTCCGATCCCGTTTCCAAGTACGATATGTAGATGGACCGTTATCTGTATCAGGACATAAACCACGTAAACAATTGTTTTTGGAACGTAACGCGTTTCAAAATGCTCCTGGTCAAGAGTCGTTCGATATGGATGCACTCAAGACTGCGTTTAGTGATGGGTTGATGAGTAAAGTGTCGGATGTTGTGTCGGTTGTCAAGTATTCACATTCTATTGGTGAGTTCTTTGCTAGGTTAATTCGTATTTTTGTTTAGTTGAAGGAAGCAAAAAAGCAGCCTGGACAAGACCATGCATAACGAAACTTCAAGTCGGGGTTCTAATATGTTGCCTTTCGACTCAGATGATCCAATATCTTCAACTGGACCTGATATGCTAATTCCTCAGTTCCCACAAACTGCTGTGTCTGCCATCTCTGACATGTTTGAATATTTCCCTGCTGAAGCAAGCAATGTGCCTGGAGCTTTAGAAAGATTCTGGCCTTCATCATGGGTAGGCAGTGGTTTATCTAGAGATCAACGAGAATCATATCAGAAATTGTTACAAAAGTTTGGAGTGTTGCCTGCTGATAAGGTAAGTTGTCAATCGTGGTAGTTGCGTTTTTTGCTGATGCTGACTTCCACATTCTCAGTCAAAGAACTCAGCCGGAAGCCCAATGAACTTTTCACGAACCACATATGATCTAGTCGGGGTTCGTGTATCTGACATTAAGCAAGAAGCTGTAGCAAGATTCAGAGGTGGTGTTGACCAAACCGAGTTACAAGTGTCTATTGGTAATTTGCCATTAAGAGCTATCTCGGAACGAGTTGTTGGAGTTGCTGGTCAACAAATATTTGTGCATACTGCTCGTTACCATGATATTATTACTCGCATGGCACAAGCTCATGCGCTCGGTTCTGATATCTGTCTCGTATGTTATGCAGAATAACAGCAACGCAGCTCCTTTTTTCTTCTCATATCTACTGCTTTTAGATTGGAACTAAAGGATGTGGTAAATCTATTGCTATCGCTCGTTTTGCTTCCCTCTTTGGTTACGAGACCGAAATTGTGCACCTGTACAAGGATATGACTGCTCGTGATTTACTACAACGACGTGGTACTCGTAAAGATGGATCCACATTTTGGGAGAATACAGGACTTGTTACTGCTGCTTTAGAAGGAAAGATCGCCATATTAGGTATTAAAATTTACAAACGTTGCATACGTTGCTTTTTTGTCGCCACCGTTGCAAGCGTTGTGTTCACGCTTTGGTTTAGATGGATTGGAATGGGTACAAGCAGGAACTATTGCTTCTCTACAACGTTTGATTCATGATCGTGAAATGGTATTGCCTGATGGCACAATGCTCACGAATCAACGGAACTTTGAGATTTTGATGGAGGAAGCTAAACTTACTCCCAAGGTATGTGTTCACTTAATCTATCTTTTTTCTCAACATTACAAGTACTAGTCAGATTGTCTCGCATCATCCGATGATAAAAGTACTTGCAGTCCATTGATGTTTGAATCTAATGTTTCTGCTATTAGGATATGCTTGCTCGACGTATCTACCCAATTCATCCTTCATTCCGTATTGTTGCTTGTGCTAATGTCGCACCACGAGCACCCAAAACCGATATAATTTGGTTGACTGAAGAAGTTGGAACACTTTTCATGTTCTTGGAGATTCCTCCTATTGGACTAGATGAAGAAGCTGGAATTATTAAAGGTACAACATTGAGGATGTCACTCATTTTCACGTCCCGAGTAGCCTTTTTCTTCCTTTTGAGTTTCAATGGCCCGTTAACATTCTTTTTTAAAATCAGCCTTGACAAACTGCCCAGAAGCACCAATGAAAATCCTCTTAGAGTTTGCCTCGCGTTTCAGAGCTCTAGCTACAGCCGGATCAGGTCACGAATCCGTCCTCGCAAAATCAGCATCACTATCAACCAGGCAATTGATTCGTATATGTCGCCGCCTCGTTAAATTCCCAAACGAAGACCTCTACACTTCGATTCACCGTACATGTCTCTCTCCATTCCTCCCATCGCTCGCTAAACAAACGTTAGAAGATATCCTAACAGATTCTGGCATCCTACGTCCTAAATTCAACAAGACAGCTAGTAAATGGGTTGCAGGAACCATTGAAGGAAACTCTGTCGTAATCGGAGACGTTGCATCTCCCATATATCAAATCCGACCTGATGATTTAGAAGCTGCTGCCCTTATACCTCGTACTTCGCCCGGTACTGCTAAGTACTATGATAACGATGTGCATACTCGAATTATGAGAGAACTGGCTCTTGATTTTGGAATTGGGGAGCATTTGTTGCTGATTGGTAATCAAGGGGTTGGAAAGAATAGGTTGACGGATCGGTTCTTGGAGTTGGTTGGACGACCTAGAGAGTATATTCAACTGCATCGTGATACGACTGTGCAGAGTTTGATGGTTCAGCCTACTGTTGAAGGTGAGGGTTTGATGCTACTTGAATATGTGCTTGTGTGTTTGTGATTTCAATCGAACTTCTAAAATCTCGTACTCTTTTTCGCAGGAGGTTTAATTGTATACAAAGACTCTCCTCTCGTGCGGGCTGTTACAAAGGGTCGTGTTCTCATCATCGTAAGTTGAATTTGCAAGGAAACGCCTTCCTGAAGCATCCGTCAACAGGTGTTTCACAGCTCGTCGGTGTCTCGCACTTTCTTATACCTCGTTGTTCTTAGGATGAAGCTGACAAGGCACCAACGTACATCACAAGTATTCTCAAATCCTTAGCTGAATCTGGTGAAATGTCATTGGCTGATGGGCGTCGTATACGTCCCTTCATTCCTGGTGTTGCCATGGATCCGGTTAAAGATATCATTTTGCATCCAGTGAGTGGGAAGTCGTAGCCCGTACATTCGTCTCCTTTTCTCATTCTTTTTATTCATGTTCTTTGTAGGACTTCAGAATGATTGTTCTAGCTAATCGCCCTGGTTATCCATTCTTGGGTAACGACTTCTTTGGATCTATTGGAGAAGTCTTTAGTTCTCATGCAGTAGAGAATCCGGACTCGGATTCTGAGATTGAATTGCTGTCGGGCTTTGCACCTGCTGTGGATCGAAACACGATGGAGAAGCTAGTACATGCTTTTGGAGATTGTGAGTTTTTAAGATGCAACTGTTGCTTCAATGCCCCGTTTTTATGTTTTTTCCTCGGTCGACATTAATTTTACTGTGAGAACTTACTAAATTGCATTGCCTTGATTTTAGTACGTCAAGCATTCGACGAAGGTCTGGTCGCATACCCATACTCATTACGTGAACTAATGGCTATTGTCAAGCATTTGGGACGATACCCTGAAGATCCTCTCGACCAAGTATTACGAAACGTTTTTGACTTCGATGTACATCGAAAGGAATTCTTTGAAGTGTTGTTGGCTGCATTGAAACGACATGGGTAAGCTGGATTTACGACATCAACTCAATGAGGAGACTCAACATTACTTCTTCTACTGTAGATTGGATGTGCAGATGGTTGGGTTTGATGCAGTTACAAAGGGCAAGAAGTCTACATTGATGCTGAAGTATGAGGAAGCTGATTTAAAGAAAAATAAACCTCCAGCAGTAAGTTCTGGCTTCCTTGCAACTGGTCTTTTCTGTGTTCCAACTCTTTCTTATTGAAAATCGTCATTGTAGGCTGGCGGCCCCAAACATGGTGATGTAGATCCTAAAGGTGCTCGTCATTCTGGTGGTGGAAGGTAAGCCAACAAACGCCCATTGACATTTTTTAAGAGACGTAAACTACCAATCTCGTTTCTAAAGATGGGCTGGTGGCAGTGGAGGTTCCAATACAGCCGGTCTTGGCGGTCGAGGAGGCCCTTACCGATTAGATGGCGGTCATGATATCTCGCAACTCCCAGACGTATGTGTAGATGATTCCCAGTAGTTTTTCTCGTTCATCAACAGTTTTGACACACTCTCCAATTTTTCTCATTTAGGATGTGAAAAACGACGTCCCCGAACACGTCAAAGAAGCGGCTCGGCAAATGGGTCGTGACGTACTAGCTAAACGACTCGGCGAGATCCAAATGTCTGCTTTCGAAGCCGAAGGATACAAAGAGGTCTACGATGGGGTCAAAACTGAAATTCGCGCTTTAAGAGTCGTATTGGAAGGTGTTCAGGCTAAAGAACGTGAACGACAATGGCAAAAGAATCAAACTGATGGAGACTTGGACGATTCCAAGCTTGTTGAAGGTTTGACAGGTGAACATTCTATATATAAGAGACGTGGTGAAGAGGTACCTGAAATGGGGACTACTGGCAAGAAGCCTAAGAGGATCAAGTTTGTATTTGATGTTTCTGGAAGTATGTACTATTTCAACCGTATGGATGGTCGTCTGACTCGATCTTTGGAAGCTGCGCTTATGGTGAGCATTTTTTGACGTTATTATATGCAGGAGAGCCAAAACTTGATAAATAAACTCCACAACGCGAGAGCTTTTTTCTAACCTCTATTCTTATTTTCGTAGATGATGGAGAGTTTACACAATCTCCGTGGCAAATTTGTCTATGACATGATTGGTCATTCTGGAGATTCAGCTGAAATACAATTGGTACCAGTTGATAGTCCACCACAGAACGAATTTGATCGTTACAAAGGTGTGCAGCTTTGAAGTTTCAGTCCACCCTCCTTTCATGCTGATTTTGTTTTTCGTTTTGCTAGTATTGCAAACTATGGTCTCACATGCTCAATATTCATGGTCTGGGTATGTATCGTTACAAGAAAGAAATCTTTTAAACGCAACCCTTTGCTAAACCTCTCCACGTGTTTCTAATAGTGATAATACTCTGACTGCAGCTGAGAAGGCCATCCAAGATATAACAAAAGTAGACGCAGGTAAGGCAAAATATCCAACGCATTCCGACATCAATGTCGCCAACTGACAACGCGTCCTCTAGATGATTACTTTGTGGTCATCCTCTCTGATGCTAATTTGAGACGATATGGTATTCGTCCACAAGAACTAGGAGCAATCTTGGATTCAGACTCCAGAGTCAATGCGGCGGTGATCTTTATTGGAACTATTGGTGAAGAAGCCAAATAGTACGTTCAAGTCTGAAAAGTTACTGCCTCTAGATTACGCTAATAATATCTCCTTGTTCAACATGTTTAGCCTCACTACACATCTCCCACCTGGCAAGGCATTCGTTGCTACTGATACTCGTGAAATTCCACGTATCGTCAAGCAACTGTTTGATGCAATCAACAAGTAGATCTCAAGTTGTTCTGACTTAATTGGTACAAATGTCTGTCGCTCTTTCTTTCTTCTTTGTCTGCAAAAATTTACAATAGAACACGACTGGCTGTCTCAATTGTGTGTTTGGAATGTTTACTATTCGGTGAATGTGGATTGTGATTGCTGGGATTGCTGTGAAGTGACCTCTGTTGTCGAAGAGGTCTATTGACGTACAATGACCCACATACCAAGTCTTGTCCCCTTCTCGGACGGGATCTCTGGGCTAACTCCCAAAGACAAATCGTGAGTTTGATTAAAGTTTGAACTTTGGTTTCACACTTTGACTGAAGGCACTGAGTCACTAACGAAACAAAGGTGTTGCAGACGTGCATTGCTTCGTCTTCCGAGTGATGATGCTGGACTAGCCGGTGGTTCTTATAATGGTGGCGGAGGAAAAAAGACAATGCTCTACGTACTGATCGCGATTGATAATGTTTTGGAAATCTGAGATTCCTCGTTCCCTGAACGTGTTGCTGCTGAGCCATTGCTTGATATGAATCGTCAAGATACGTTGAATCATTTGCAATGGAGAAGGAAATTTTGGGCCAAGATATGATTCTTATTGGGTACGTGTCAACGACATTTGTTGCAACAGACACACGTGAATTTCAGGTATTGTGAAACAACCGTGCTGTGAAATCGGAAAGATATCAGTTGCAGCCAAAATTAGCAAGAATGGACTTCCTTCTTGTTCTAGACAAGAAAAACAGATGAAGTAGGATGTGTTGGGCTATCGTTTTGGAATTGAGACGTTGAAATAACGTGCCATTACGCGTCAAAGATAATCTAATGTTAGCGTCAAATACAGCGAACTCATCTCCCGTCCGCATCCTGTTCGGTCTTTGCGTCCCTTTTGTTAGTTTTTTGGTCACTCCTAGCTAGTGGTCCTTTTCTTAACAAAGATCCAGTAGCGACGACATAACGTATTAGGACGGTACATGCCTGGCACTCTGGTCGCTACAATGGAAGCTTCCAAGGTAGGTTTAAATTGAGTTCAAGTTTACTCGCAGTCGTTTACTTGAGCTTTGAGGCTAATTTCACTTTTTGTTAAAATGGTAGATTTCTTCCAAAGTCTCTCAGATGAAGGCACGTAAAGTCGAAATTCGCTTGAATTTGATCGTTGTTAATATTGCTCCTGCCGTTCTTTCGACATTTTGGACACACCTTCATCTCAAAATCAGCAACATCAACACCTTGAAAACATTCAAACATTTTAACATCCCATTCAATCTCCCAATAGTTTATGCAACGGAGTGTCGAATCAGCCAAAGTCAAGACACTACAGCAAGAAAGATCAAAAGTCGTCTCGGAAACTCAATGGGTGTTGGATGTCGATGATGCTGGGTTACCTTCAACGTACGTTTCTACGTTATAGTGTTGTTTGGTTCGTGACAAGAGTTAGACAAAGCACAAGGAAATGCAGGAACAATACGCCAAGATACGCTGTTTTGATGTGGTTTTGCTCGCTAACTTGTGCGTATTCACGTAATCAGATCAAACATCATTATCGAAGAACCATCGTTTTCAAGTATCATGCCATCTGCACCTGCTTTTGGACGTATATCATTTCAGGAATTCAATAAGGATGTGCAAGTACGTTTGAAGCGGGCTATCAGCATCACATGTTGTGCTTGTACACGGGGGCCAATCAATCATGTGTAGCAGGCTTTTGTTTCTCGTCACTCATAATTTTGTACAATTGTAGAAACTATCAGAAGAACACGCCAAAGAGACACTTCTAAAACAGGCCGAAGTCAATGAACAAAGAAATATGATTTCTGATGTCGAAATGACGCAACGATACCAAACTGACATTGGATTACCATTCTCTGCCGGCAACACCAGTGGTAACAACACTAGTAAAAAATCAAAGAAACGAGCCGCACCGTCAACTCCCACCACCAACACAACCAACCGCGACGATGATGACAGGATGATTGCCATACCACAGGATGACGAAGTGGTTCAAAAGAAGAAGAAGAAAGCCAGATCATCACATCCTGATGGAATGGCAATGGCGTCTCAAATAAAGCAGAATCGATTCAAGTTTACTGATGCTAAATTCATGAAGCCTCCAGAATGAACCCTGTTTTGGGATGAAGGAGTTTTGACGAATGTTTGGTATTATTATTTACAACACTTTGTGTATAGAATATTGTAGAGTTGCATTTCTGATTAAAAACACCATTTGCACCAGTATCGACCAGCGACATTACTTAGGGCACAGCGTGCTGAGAATAGGTGAATTTCAGTATGGACAATCGTTCTCGTCCTGCTGTACGCGTCATGATATTCTAAGGGGAGAGGGTTCGAAAATCAGAGTATCAACATTCACGACGAAAAAAGATGAACTACATTCTGGTAAAGCATGTTGACTCGTGCTCTTACCTGCGACTCTAATCCATATCTCTTGACCAGCTCTCCAATCTCATCAGGCTTATTCTCACGGATACAAACCATGTAGCAGACACCACGAGGAGATAATAATGTCTAAGCATAGCGGACAAAGCTTCAACGTTTTCTTTTCTTCGTAACTCTTTGAATTTGATGACACACAAATAAAGGAAGATAGAAGAGAGACAACATACAGGTAGCAGTTCCAAGAACGCATCTATCACTTTTCGACCGTCAAGTCCACCAGCCCAAGCAGCCTCAATTGATGTAGATCCGACCTCTTCATCGGAAGTTACGACATATGGTGGATTGAAAATCAAGACGTCAATGGATTTGGATAGGCGAGAGTCTAGACTGTATGCGAATTCTGTGTTTATGACGTCTAGATAGACCTTCGATTTAGGCAAGAAAGTAAGGTTGAGTGAAGACTCCGGTGATGAACAAGGGAGGAGCGCGTGCGTGCCAGAGCTTACAGAGTTTACTCGACTTGTTTCCAGGGTTGCTCTAGCAGCAACTGAATTGATGTCTGTAGCCAGATATACTGAATGACAGAGTGGTTCAAGGTAAGAAATACCGTCGAGTTGAGAGATGTGTGTGGATGTCACGATAGTATCAGCACCACACACATAAAGTAACAAACACATACAGCAACTTAATGGACCGAGCAGTGTCGCCAAGAAAGTAATGACACATCCAGAGCCGGACCTAAATCGAAAAGGGTGTGTTAAAGCGAGCAGGTCAGATGTAATGTTCACGTAAGATCGCAACCAAGGACGAAAATAAATTTCATCATACGACGCGAAAGTATACCCTATTTCCAAGCATATCGTAGGCACGACATTGTGTTTCAGATATGAGGTTTGTTCCTCAAGTGCGTCCAACAGTAAAAAAGTGTCTTCTGTAAATAGTGCACGTTGAAGCTTAATTCGTAATAAAGGACTGTGGACAAGAGAGAAATTAGTTCATACCTGCAGGGTCGTATACATCCCTGTATTCTGGACGTGACAAGTGAGTTGTAATTGGTGTTGGCAACATTTGCTGGTTTGTAAAAAAAGTGAAGGAAGCCGTGTATACCCAACGCGTAACGTTTGGAAGTGGAGAAACACGGTACTTGGTAAATTTCATTCGAAAGTCGAATCTATCGACGCTTTGATTACGCTGCTCACAAACCACGTCACTAATTACTTTCCATCACATCTATAGATATGGTAGCTAGATCATTGACAATCGCCGGCTCGGATTCTGGCGGAGGAGCCGGAATCCAGGCTGATTTAAAGACATTTACTGCTTTGGGTGTCTATGGAACTTCTGCGCTAACCGCAATCACGGCGCAAAATACGCTTGCTGTACAAGGAATTCATCCTATGCCTGCAGAGTTTGTTGCTCAACAGCTAGAGTCAGTGCTGAGTGATATTGGAACTGACTCTGCAAAGACTGGTAAGCAACGTGTGAAAGAAGCTTGGTTTGCATGTTGACTTGTGTTTTCAGAATTTGTGGTGATCCTGATGGTGTAGATGCTGTTGTTATCATACTGGTGCTTTTACTTGATAATCGTCGAAATAGTCCTGTGTAAATAAGATGCTTTTCCTTCTCACTTTCTCACACTTTCTCACAGGCATGCTATTCAACACTGAAATAATACAAACAGTCGCATCAGCAATCCGCAAACACAATATTGTAAACTTGGTGATTGATCCAGTCATGATATCAACTTCTGGATCGCGATTGCTTGCTCCCGATGCCATAGAGTCGTTAAAGAAGGATTTGTTACCATTAGCCATGATTCTGACTCCTAATATTCCTGAAGCAGAATTGCTGGCATCGTCGTCAACACCTATAACATCTGTGGCGGATATGAGGAGAGTTGCTACAGAGCTGTATGCTATGGGCTCGAAACATGTGTTGATTAAAGGTGGTCATCTGCCTTTTGATGAACAAGTTGGTGGTGCCATTGATCAGAGTTGTACTACAGCGGTCAAGTTTGTGGTTGACGTGTTTTATGATGGAGCAGATTTTCACGAATTCAGACGTGAATTTATCGACACCAAGGTAATCTTTCGAAGTGGCCTTTTTTCGCTACGATGAAGATTCAAGTCGTGCAATTGCAGTGAATCTTAATCAACCCGTTTCTTTTACTCAACCAGAATACTCATGGAACTGGATGTACCTTATCAAGCGCCATAGCAGCAGGCTTGGCCAAGAACATGACTGGTATTGAAATATAAGAATATATCGATTTTTTTCGCCTTGTCCCTTCTACTAAAGATCGACTTGTCTTCTGTTTAGTGATGGCAGCTGTTCAAACAGCGTTGGAATATGTGAATCGAGCCATATCCTCCAGTTTCAGCATTGGGAAGGGACATGGACCTTTAAATCACTTCTTTTCACCGTCATACACGTCTTCAACGTAAGCCGTCACGAAATATCGAACGCTTCATCCTTGACGGGTGTTATAGCTTTTTTTGGTCTCGATAGGCATTCATTCGTCCAATACTTGAAAGACAGTTGGTAAGAGATTCGGTCTTGAAACGCAACCGTTTTATTGACTAAGTCCCACCGTTCACACATCACAAATTAGTCCAACCCAATACCACGTATACACACGTCATCCATTCGTTGAGCAGATAGCCAACGGAACTCTATCAAAGGCATCATTTCAGCATTTCATAAGGCAGGATTACATCTTTCTAGTGTAAGTTTGTCATGATGGGTTTCAATCGCAAATGGCAACAAAAGGCGAATTTCGAACTCCTCTATTACAGACTCATTGGCTTCACTTACGCAGGCATTACGCACGAGCATACTCATTGGCTGGATTCAAAGAACATGATTCAATGGAAGCAATCACCAATGCTGCTTCTATAGTCATGCATATTGGTGAAGAGATGAAGCTGCACATCAAGGTATAGAGCGTTTGTGCATCTCCTTATTTTTGTTCTCATGTTTTCTTTCCTTGGCTTCTAACCATTCGGATTCCAATAGTTTTGTGAATCATGGGGAATATCACACGATGAATTGCAAGAGACGAGAGAGGCACATGCAACGGTTGCATATACGAGATATGTGTTGGAGAAAGGACTGAGTGGTGATAGATTAGACCTGAGAGGTATGGCGGCAGTTCTCATCCTTTTTTTTCTCGCACCAAACACAATTCCTGAACACACGTTTCTTTTAGTGGCTCTGTTACCGTGTCTCATTGGATATGGAGAGATTGGAATGAGATTGTTTCATGATCCGAAAACTGTTCGAGGTAAATCAGAAGCTTTTCACTTATTTGACTTGGCGCAAAAAAACGGAATGCCGCAATCAACTTATTGGGATTGATCTAGATGGAAACCCATATTGGCCTTGGATACAGAATTATGCTAGTGATTCGTTTCAAGACGCTGTTCGACAAGGATGTGGTACGTACACTGCGTAATTGTGTTCCAACGTAAGAAGGATAAATTAACGCTGTCGTTCCCAACATTTAATTAGATTACATTGAATCACTGGCCATTGAACTAGCAGGCTCAGAGTCTCGTCGAAGGAAACTGTGTAGTGTGTTTCGACAGGCCACTGAATTGGAAATTCAATTTTGGCAGATGGGCTTGGATCAGCTCGACTGAATTGCGCTCCACTGTTCATGGGTTTTTTATGTACATATCTCCCACACTTGAAGATACAATGATCTCTACTTTGCAAATCACAGTTGTTTGTTTGTTTTCAAGATACTTGTCGACAAGGAGGAGGTGGTAATGAAGGCAGTTTTGTGATGCGTGAACAAGTGAAGACACAGCATCTCATCTCTCGGGTAAGATATAACCTGGTTGAACTTTGGCAATCGAATTGGGAAACACGCCTTGCGTATTGTGCAGTTCGTCTTACCATAGCGTACCGAAAAATGATGGACTTAACTGAGCATACATCTATATAGTATGGGGCTTTTTTTCTTCGCATGTACGCATGCAATAAATCCAAAGGTTCTCAAAGTCTTTACTTTGTCCTAAATAATTTGTCTATTCTGCTTGCTACTGGTTTATCAACTAAATTATTACTTGTCTGCTACAAGCGGTGCAGGCCGATTCTTCTTTATATCATCCAAGATACCATGCACACCCAACACTTCCAACTTTTTACCCAATGCAACTCCTAATGCCTCAGCAGCATCAATCTGCAACTCGACACTCTTGTCGAATGGAATAACACCCTCCACGACCTCTTTAAACTCCTGCAATCCATCCAAGCTCGTTACACTACCAGTTAATCTAAGAGTCTGATGCTGATGATTTGCCTTCCTTGCCGTCTTGATACTTTTATGACTACTATTACTAACACTACTACCAGATGCTGACAACGTGGCATCATCAACAGGCACCCATTCCGTACATACACCAATAGGAACACTACATCCTCCTTCCAGGTACCTCATAAATGCTCGTTCGGCGTTAACACATATACTTGTTTCGTGGTGGTTTAATGAGGCGACGATGGATTTAGTAAAAGTGTCGTCTTGCCGTATTTCGACGGCTAGAGCACCTTGTCCTACAGCGTATAGTATTGTGGATGGTTCGAGGATTGATGAGATACGAGAGTGCCATCCTAAGCGTACGAGACCAGCGTATGCTAGGAGCAGACATGCAAATGGAGAGTCTTCAGCGTCTAGTTTGCTCAACCTGAGTAGATAGAATGTGTGGGCAAAAATGTTTAGGATGATGATGGCGAAGACAGAAAAAAGCAGTTACTCGTATACCTCGTATTCAGGTTCCCTCTCTAACAACACACATACCGGTAAGTCCAACTAAATTTTACAAACACAAACAACAAGTACACAAATACATACCACATCTTTAAACACCAAATCAGGATACTTTCTCTTCAACTGAGCAGTCCTTCTCAACGAACTAGTCCCCACAACACTCCCCTTTGGCAAAGTCTCCAAAGCATACTCCTTCCACTTGAGCCCCATAACAACCGCATCTCTCGGATCCTCACGATGCAGAATCGCACCGATACTCATACCAGGCGGCAGCGTAGTCGGCACATCTTTAAGCGAATGAACAACGAGATCAACTCGATGTTCGTCAAGAGCGATTTCCAGTTCTTTGGTAAAGAGCGATTTACTGCCTATTTTAGAGAGAGCGACGTCGAGGACTTGGTCGCCGATGGTGGTTATTCCTTGGATTGTTAGGGAGAGAGATGGGTGTGATTTCTTGAGCATCTCAACGACGAGTTCGGTTTGGACCATTGCGAGTTGGGATTCCCGTGAGCCTACGACTAGTGATGTTCTGCTGTTCTTGGTGGTGGGTGCATGGTGGTTGCTATTACTGCTGCTGGGTTGCGATGTATTCGATGTGGTTGTCTCGTTCGTTGTTGTTGACGACCTGGACGATGCTTTCGGTAGCAAAGAAGCCACTACATATAGCACAGAGAGCATGGCTGCTACAGTGATATGGAGCACTATAAGTATGAAGCTTGCTTTCCCTCTCTGTTCCTTTAACTTTGGTCTAGCGTCCTCTTAAAGCTTTTGACTCAAGTTTTTCTTTTGAAGTGTGATGAGTAACATCACTTCAAACGTGAGGAACAACAGTATGACTTTTGATCTTGTAATATACGTGTATTCACGCGTCGTTGGCAAGGTATTTGTCCTTCTCATACTGTATATTGAGCGATTGCTCAGAAGCTATTTGCATTTGTGTTAACATCAGCACGCAACGAGGACCACACGGATCGTCACAGTTCAAAGGTTCAACCACGATTGCATTTCCTGGTATTACTGTCCTGAAAGCTGCAAGTGGATTAGTTTGGACGTTTGCGCATCTTGCAAATTTGTTGGCAAAAAAAGGCCACTGGCAAACAGTTAGGTTAAGATGTACCATCGACCAACCACTTTGCGTTACAGTGACGATCTTGCTACACACAGGATATTGGTCTATAAAGGCTTTCTTATTTTATTAATGGCTTCTTTTCTTGGGTACAAATGAATCTCTCTATCCCTCGTTCTCTCTCATACATAAGCAACATTGTTTCTTCAACCATGGCTTCCTTCCGTGTTCAACCTACTTATGCTGGCAATTGTTGGATCTTGGCAAAGTATCTAATATGTGACCAAAAAAAAGAATTCTTAGGTCGTATGTATAGCAAGCTGTGGAAGTTACCACAAACACTTACGGTGACATGAACTCAAAGAAGGCAAATTGACTTGGCTCAGTTCCATATCGATACACTGCAAAAAAAGTTATAGAATAAGCACCAAACACAGCAGCAAAGCGTCATCCACTCAACAACACGGCCACATACCAAATCGAGAAGCCAAATAAGCACCAAAAATGGCCTTGACATAATTCGTAGGCACCCGTTTCATCAACGTATCCAATCCAAGCAACTCCAACAACAAATTGGGGAAGGCTTCAGTCATCACTACTTTGCGTAACGGCACATTATCCCACAAGGTGGTAATCTGCAACTCTTCATTCAGTTTCACGATGGCGACTGATAGTTCATCAGATAAGAGTGATTTTGGTTTGGAGGTTCGAATTCCTTCTCGCCACAGACATTCAAATTCAAGTTCGGCATTCTTTTCAATGAGTTGTTGTACTTGCTTCACGTATGCTGAATAGAATTTGGGGACGGCGGCTGCATCATGTACTTGCATGTGCTCGTGGAATTCTTCATCATTGAGAGCTAGAGCTGCTAGTACTTCGAGAGACGAGGATGTTACACCTCCCTTGTTTGCGGATGCGTCCTTGAAGATGACACATCCCAACTTTTCTAGACGGAGACGTGCTTCCTGAAAAGGGGCAAAATATAGTATGAGCAATGTGGTCGGTGCTTTGAGGGATTTCAAGTAGTTGCCATCGCTTTATATGCGATATCCGTATTTTTGTTGCTTCATACCTGGGTAAAGAAGAGATTGGCACCTTCTACAATATATTTGAATCGCGGCGATCCATCCTTCTTGAGTAGTTGATGTACATTCGACAAGTCGACGGCTTCAGGACGTCCACCACAAGGTACGAATACTTCAGCAGATGATAATTCGTCCAAGTGGAATTCGTTTCGGAATTTGAGACAGTCTTCAATGAGTCTGCCACCTATTTGATGCGAGAATTTGTAACTACGAAAGAAGGAAGAGCCAAAAAAGTCGATAGCAATTCCAGATACATACCTGGCAAACGGACGTTCTTCTCATCAATCAACACACGGAAACCTTTGGGACCCAGCTTGGACACATCAAATGCACTGACCATTTGTCGAGAGTTGGCGAGACGTAAAAGTTCAGTACGATCAAGACCTTCAGGATCACATAAGACACCGCTACCATCGACAATGGCTAAAAAAAGCAAAGACGTAAGATACAATTTATAAGAGGCAGAAAGCCACACTTCACTCGCATTAATACGTACCAGTAGTCTTATCTTTTGAAATTTTGATTTCATTCGATCCCAAATCACCATCTGGACCACCAGTCTGGAATTTGAACATGGCTTCTTCCTTCAATCCCAACTTGCGGTAGATACCCAAGACATATTGATGAACTGATCGAGTAGTCATTCCATACAAATCGTGAGGAATACCACCCAACGTTTGTGATTTGCCAGTAGTGAAGGCCTTCCAGAATTTAGCATTGCGAGAACGAGCGTGTTGAGATGCCCAGTCCATGTAATCTGCAGTTCCTTCATCAGGTCCAAAGAATAGGATTTCCTCCTTTCCATACAAGTCGACAATACGCTAAAGCAGGGCATTTGGAAATGTAAGTGAAGTCCAGCGACGAATGATGGAAACACTCGTTGCAAGTAGAAGAAAACAAATCGGCAAACAGTGGTAATGTCACAACGACCATCATTCCCACCTCCTTGATTCCTGGAGATTCACCAGCCAGCAACAAGTCCAACATAGCATCAACATACTTCTCAAATGCTACTTTAGGTTTATCCTGAGCACTGGCATCCAAAAGTATGGTTCCCTTCGAACCACCTTCAGGAATGTCCTTATTTTTACGTTGTTGAGTAGCTGCCAATGAATAATTCTCATCAAAAAGACCACGCAAATTGATGGAGTAAGCTTCACGGTTTCGAGATCGAATGATACGGATACCACCACGAGCTACATCACGGAAACGGACGTGGAACCCACGGAATTCAGAGCCAATGACTAAGAACATTCCAAAGAGTTTGTTTGGGTACTCCATTTCTGGGAGGAAGGATGGATCCATACGGAATGACAAAGCAACTTTTGTGGGTTGGTAAAAGTTCGTTTTTAATACGTGCTTGTTGAAGCTCATGAAGGCTTCGAATACCTGAATAACACAATGGTGGGTGAGGGACGGGAGAAAAAAGCCCACACGTATTGTTACTGGATTGTCATTTCAGAAACACATACCATCTGCTCATGATTGTTGGAGACAACCTTCTTGATTTGATCACGTAATTCCTCATCGGACAGGACGGGAATAGCTTGCAATCGTTGGTAAGATATGGAAGGCCTAACCGTGGTTGTCAGAAAGGAAAAAAAGGCAGAGTCCAGCAGCATGCGACTTGACAAAGATATTACAACGCTTACATAACAGACTCTGAAGGAGCAATATAATGCTCCAGAGCAAAGTGAGTATAACACAACTTGATCAAATCAGGATACAACTTGATGATATCAAGAATGTAATCCCGAGTGAATGTATCAGTACGTAGACGTTTCTTCATTTTGGTCAAGACTTCAACGTGAGTAGCATTATTGGGATCCATAAGCTCTTTCAGTAGTTGATATTCACTTCCCAGACGGTTGAGGAAGTGTTGAGCGAAAATCCAACAAACGTATCCATAGATTGCTTCTTGGACTGTGGTAGGCAAAGAAAGTCTTCATGAGCTTGGACAGATTATTTAACAAGCTTCGAGATTCTTGCTTACCACTGAGCTTTCCAGTTTGGAAGAAGGATTGTAGAGGAGTTGTAGGAAGACAGTAAATCAAACTGGCTTCTTTGATGACTTGTAAGATGGATGCATCAGCAGGTGGATGCATGCTCTTGGGTAATTGATTGAGATACAAGCACATGATAGTGACTCCGTTGGAGAATTGTTCTAAAGGCACGAAAAGGTGAGGCAAGTACGTGACATGACCTTCGATATCAACACATCACAACATACCAACGTATTTACGAGTTGAATACAAGTCGTAGAAGTGATACAAGTCAGACATGGCTGAAAAGAAATTCGTCGTGGTTTGTTGACTGGTGAGGCGAAAAATATGACCGGTCAGTCATCGGCAAACAAAGTTTTGAGGAAATTGGGACACTCACCGATATCCAATAATCAGCCTTTTTTCAGTACTATTGGGTACTTCCAACAACTGAACAATAGGTCCAGTACGACCCAATACTTTACGAATCAGCTTTTCGTAAGCGTCCAGAGTTCCATCTGAAGCCTTTTCCAAGAATGACTTGTCGGAAATCAGACGAATATCCTTTTCTTCTTCCGGAGTAGGTTTCTCCTTGACAAAGCTGCATTTGCGAATGAAGTAGCATCGTAATTGTGATGAGAGTGCTGATGAGACAGTACCCAACGATCGATATGATTCGAGACGGAAGGCAGTCGTGCGATTCGATACGTCTAGGTATTTTGCATCAATCCTAAGCAATAGCAGCAATCAGTTTGGATGAGATCAAAACAACTGCGTTTCTTGCCACACACCTCCTTTCGTGTTGAGGACCAGCGAGTTCCGAAATTCCAGGGCGCGAAGTATGAATGTAGATGGCACCATCATCAGTTTCACGTTCCAGGTTGATTTCCAATTCATTTTGGTTTTTGATAAAGGCAAATATTTTGGCAGCATAGAGAGCCATAATATGTTGGGCAATGGATTCAATTGTTTCCAATTGAAAGTACATGTCGTCAATGCCCAGATTTCTAAATACAATTAAGGTTTACATGATCAGTTTACTTCAATCAAGTTTGGGACATTTTGCCGTCAAACATCATTTAATCAAATGACAACAATGATGTCAAAACATTGGTGAGTTATTGGATGCCGGAAGGGAGAGAACGTACCCGTAAAACCAGGACACTTCATTGAAGACCAGTTCTTTTGGAATAAATCCTTTTTGCTCGACATATTGAGCAACGGTATTCAATTGCTCTTGCTTGCCCGCAAACACATTTCTGCTATAGCCGTCAACCTTCTCCTTTGCGCTCGGCTCAGGGTGGCCTCCTGGTAGTAGCAGTGTCGCCATAATACACTGTGATCTATGATATCAATAAATTATTGACCGTTTCTGATTGTTGTGTTGGAGGTAGAAACTTTTCAAAGTATTTTTGGTCACGCGAATCACAGCTCTCATGATCAAAGAAACCACCTTTTTCGGTACGTGATTTTGACAACTCTATCGACGTGCATCTGCCAAGTTAATCATAATTTCCTTACCGAACCTGTCGAATTCTAAACATGCGGGGTATGCGGCAACCGATTTTTGACGTGATGAGGTCAAGGAGATGATCTTGAAATGGACAGAATAATAATATTTTGACAAAGATTTACATATGCCACGCATCTCAAAATCTACAACACGACTTTTTTGTCGAAAAGATCAAAATTATCGGTTACCATCAAAATGACCCTATGAAAGAGTATATGGATGAGTTAGTTTGCAAGCGATTACGGAAAACCAATGGTAATGGAAGGCACTTACTCGGAAAAATCGGACTCCGTGAGGCCAAACAACGCATGCCGTCCTGCTCAAGGAACAAAAGAAGGACGCACCCCTCTCGGCGAGCTCTCACGGTGATCACCTTCCGAATACAAGCCATAGGACGCACCCGCAGTTTGTCACTCAGCTCTATGGCGCACCAACGTTTGGTATACGTTGAGTGGGCTACAGGTGTCGTCGTTCTCAAATAGGATATGTTTCAACGAACAAAGAGACTCACCCCCGGAATAGGAACCACTCGAGGTGGTTTGGGAACCCTTTTCGTGCTTTTTTTGTCGGCCATGACTTGCTTTCAAACGTACCCAGAAAACAATCACACAGATTCGTTAGGGGAGTTCCGTCGTGGTGACGAGTAGCCCATATTGAAGCGGTAATACCTGCGAGGAGTGTAGAAAGATTTAATAAAGTGCAGAGTCCAATTTAACAATTATTCTAGTATTATAATCAGAAACTTCGGACGCCATAACGCTCGCGCGACGAATGCGCTCCTTTTAAGGAACCATGCAGGACGAACCCACTGTGGCAAGCTATCACGGCGACATCCCCGACAAAAAGCCCACAGGAGAACCCGGTTGTTCACTCAACGCCATGGACGAACCATGTTTGGAATACGTTGAGCCGGCTTGATGTGTCTTTGTCCTCACCACATACAGCAAACACACGACACTAGGACTCACAGCAGCAGTACGAAACAACAGATCGTAGTGATCCGACTTGTCTTCATCGTTCTCAGCGGCCATAAGCTGCTTCAGCATATCGAGGTACGGTTCAGACGTGGCCGAGCAATCAGGTAGTGAAGTAAACTCCTCCATGTCGAGCATTCAATACTACATATCCAACTGTGACATTTTTCATGTAATGTTTCCGAAAAGCTAAAATCGTTTAAGACAAACGAATGTTGCCCAAGTATAAGAGCAGTGGTGAGGTATCGTGCGGTAGCACGATTAAGATCAAACGCAATCAAACTCTTTTGGTGCGGATTGCTAGTCGGAAATCGTCTTTGCGACATTGATGCAAGGAAATGGGTTTCCTTGCTTACAGATAAGTTAGAATCTGAAAACGTACAAGTCAAAATAATTGGTAGAAATTGATGAAAGTATGATTCCTGACATTGCTTGCATGGCCAACATCGCGTGATATCCACGCTTCATCCAACAACATGTTATTTCAGCGACTGTAGATACAAGATGTAAGAGTACTCGACACGTAAAGTATCCATTCTGCAATTTCCTTCTCAGTAAAACGCCTAAGAAAACAGGAATAGCTCTTGGTGGTGTTCTGGGTGCGTGTCGTGATTGGGACAATGAAAGACCCAACGTCGAAACTTACACTCGTCCCAGCATTCCGACAAACCAACACTTATAAAGTAAAAAGAACATCAGAATGGCCGTTCTTAACACCTTCCGTATGGTAGTATTGTCCATAATGGCAGTCGGTAAGCGATTCCCCTGTAGTTTGATTTATTTTCATTCATTGTTTTTGGACCTTGGAGGGAACAATGGGAGCGGTGATCTACCAGGAACGGAGTAGTACACTAATCAGAACTATTTAACTAACCATTCTATCGTATTCATCTAGCTGGATATCTGGCATTTACGTCGGGCGGAGCCAAAACGAGATTTGGTCGCCAATATTCACCAAGTGAGTTACGATGCAATGTTGTCACATTACACGAATAGCATTGTCACAATCGTGCTGAAATTTAAATCGCCATCGATAGACTATCCAATCTCATGTACTTCCCAATACGTCGTTGCATGGACTTTTGTGAGTCTGATAACCATGCGTTGGTGGCCACAAAGCGCGACGTTTACATTGTTCAACGCATCTTCTTATCTGTCTCATCATTGTAGGATGAAGGTCCATCATCAAACACCCAAAACATCTTGTATGCTCTCCGTGCTATGAACGTCACTGCCACATTCCACATCTCTACCCGATACATTACACAAGACTTGACTCTCCAATCTTACGTCAAGGCCTTATACAATGATGGTCACGTCATTGGTATCCGTAAGTGATTTCTTCCCTTGTTTGTCTAGTGACGAGATTGTCATTTTTCATTCATGCCGATGCACTCAACCTCAATGCACCGAAATTAGGATTCAACACCATATTGAACCCATCCAACATGTCTTTGGCTGATGTCCAAACCGAATTGATCAACGAATCTGCTGTCATCTACAACGTCATTGGTCAATACCCCAAGTACTTGGTTATGCCATACGGTCAAACCACCGCTGCTATCGATGCCTTGACCAAATCCATGGGCTTCATCACAACCTCATTCGCTTTGGACACTATGGACTACGTTGCCACCACTACTTCTGCCAACATTGTCTCAAACGTAACCAACTACATGAGTCAATTGGTTGGTGGTCAATCATTCATCTTCCTCTCGTAAGTTTGGGTGTGGTGACGAGGACTGTATACTCAACCACGGCTTACTAAATCCAACACACGTTTCCATCTAGTCACGACTTGTACTCTGTCACCAACGTTGCTCTTAACGGAACCGTAAATGCCATCCGTGCCGCTGGTTACAAACTCGTTGCAATGGACAAGTGCCAAGGATCTACTGCTTACCGTACCAGCAACGGTGCCTCAACCAACACTGGTTCGTCATCTACCGGATCTGGATCATCTGGATCGTCATCTGGATCTGGATTGGCTGGCCAAACTGCTGGAAGTGGTGCTCACAATCTGCAGGTCTCATTCGCTGGTTTGGTAGTTGCTGCTCTTTTTGCTGCAGTTATGACTAGCTTCTAGAGAGAAACAATTTGACTTGTTTATAAAACCGCAATATACTTGGAGTGTGGGTTGGGTTTCGGGTGCAAGAAGTGAGAGAAAGAGAAATAAATTTATAAAAGGGCACGTACTTTGGGATTCAAACTCTAGAATTCTAGAGAAATACAAACACCAATTTGATATCTTTAAATCATGTGAAAAATCGTTGTGTTGATCTGTGGACGGGTTTACGCGTGTCTTACTCTCGTTCTGAGCGTTCAGAGTTCCATATTACGTAGGCATTTGCGTTCTACTTTCGTTTTCGTCGTGATTAATGGGTCGGACTCCCACGCAACACTCGCCGAAACAGTGGGCTTCTTCACCTCACGTTCTAGGTTTCCACACGTTCATCAAAACAACCCCAACTTATTAAAAGACTATCGACAATGTTGAACACATTCAGAGTGACAGTTTTGAGCGTCATTGCTCTTGGTAAGTTGTCTCATCGCCGTTACCCACTTGGTTTTCATCTTTTTTCGAGAGTGTTTCAGGACGAGGGAAACATGAGTTTTACAACGCGAGAGCGGGATAGATCTATTCCTTTAAACGATGATCTATGATTTGAAGAATCATTCGATGTACCTCCTGTTGTTGATCCATTCTTCTTGGCCCTCGTACATACATAAATTCATTAACGACATTTTTTAATCGGATTAGGTCTTTACTACACCTGGGTTACTGGAGGAGCCAAGACTAGGTTTGGTCGACAAGCGTACACTCCCAGTATGTCCTCTGATATACATTGCCCTGTCTTTGCTGCCGGCTTTCTCACCATTGTTTTAATCAAATAGGTTACCCCGTCGCTTGTAAAATAAACAACGCGGTTGGTTTGACCTACGTAAGTGAATTTGACGTCTTTACCTCAATTTGAAATGCTGTTCTCATAAGCAATCCATCACAGGATGAAGGTCCATCAACAGTCACCAAGGATATCCTAAGTTATTTGGCTGCCGCCAATGTCACTGCCACCTTCCACATCGTTACTGTATACCTCAGCAACAACTTGAACTTGCAATCATACGTAAAGGCTGCTTATTCCGCTGGTCACGATATTGGACTTCGTGAGTCTTGCCACATTTCATTCGACCCACAAACCAAACTGATTATCAATCCCTTCCAATATAGGATTCAACACTCAAATGAACGCCGGAAACATGACGTTAGCAGCCTTCCAAGCTGAAATCATGGCTGAATCTCAAATCATCTACAATTTGATTGGTGTATGGCCTAAATTCCTTCGTTTGGGTGGTGTCTCGACCGCTGATATTGATGCTTGGTGTCTCAGTCAAGGATTCGTTATTACTAGCTATGCTGTTGATCCCATGGACTATGCTAGTGCTTCGACTTCTATTACTGCTACATACAGCAGTTATTTGTCAAAGTTGGTTGGTGGTCAATCTTTTATTTCTTATGAGTGAGTATTCGTGCATGTATTTGATGTGTTTTGTGTACCTGGAATTGTCAGGTTGTGTGTCAACAGTGGTATCGATTCCAGATCCATTGAGTGTGGGACTGCCTTTTTTCCTCATCTTAACTTACTACCGGTTTGCAACCTAGATCTGACTTGTACACTTCAGCTGCACAAGCCCTCCCTAACACCTTGGGTGTCATTGCTGGATACTCATATAACGTCGTACCTCTCAGCAAGTGTCTTGCTACCCCATCATACCGAACTGTAGCTGGTAGCTCTTCAGGTGGATATGTCGCCGGTACTTCTTCAGCTACTGGAACTGCTGTTGCTTCCAAGAGTGATGCTACCACTCATATTCAATTCATGTCTGGCTTCATTGCCTTGATGATTTTGGGTGCTGCTTTGGTCATGCTATAAGTATAGAGGAGCATAGGAGAAGAAAGACGAGAGGGAGGAGTTGGTTAAAGGATTATTACATGTATTTGTTTTCTCAAAGGCAAGAGTGGGGTGGGTTCTATAAAAATGTACAAAAAACCAACAAAAACTGCTTATTTCCAATATAAAAAAAAGGGTCCGTTTATAATAATATGTGCAACTATGTGTATGTGTTGTGAGACTTGTGATGTTGTGACGATGGTGGTGTTGCAAGGACTTACATTGTTCACAGAAGGTCATAGCTTTCTTGGGACTTGGAATTGTGGAAGGTATCCAAACTGTTGAGCAGCTGTAGTTAGCACTGCAACAATAATCACCACTTGAGTGAAAAACCAGACCCATCGAAATAAACCCTGTTTGACAGAGAAGAGTGTGGGCAAAGCAACCAAATCTACAGCGTGCTAATCCCAACATATGTTGGTTCACTCCGTCCCTCTTCCCATGATACACACCTTGAAAAGAGCCATGATGACCAAAACAAGCATATAAGCAACAAACAGCATCATTAGCAAAACCACTAGGCTATTAACCATATCGCTCTTTGCCATAGCAGGTGCAAATTGAGATATAAGCGTTCTTGATCCGGATTTCAATTGGTTGAGGATGATTGCAGGTATGTATTTGAGTGTTTGGTTTACGTATACGTCCATGTTTGTCATGAGGAGGTCCATTGTGTTCTGCTTAAAGGCGAATGTGTTAATGTTGGTGTGTGTGAGCGTTTTCGTGTGAGCGGAGGATGATGATAGCGATGATCTACCTATTAATATACACGATTTGAATATATAGTTAGTCTAGAGCGTACGTATCATTTGTCGGACAAGTCGTCAACTTTGCACCAATATACTTGAAGTACTCGAAACGCAAGAGAGCTACGGCAATCATCAGGAAGGGGAGCATAGCAAGCCCGACACATTTAATAGCCTCAAGTTCAATCTAGTGAACTTACCTGCTCTCGCTTCTATCTATTCCTCGTCGTTTATCTTGCTGAATCCTGACGATGGCAAGTTCGGCTACTCATGCACTAAATAGGCAATTCAAAGGTACGCATTAGATCCCATATCATTGATGCTCATTGTTATCTTCACTCTATGGTACTGTTACTGCAAGCGTGCCAATGAATTAAAACATCACAGTTATGAAACATCTGACACACGGTTTAACACACACAATCCCTCCCTTCTATTAGAAATGTCAACCAATCCAATACCGGGATTCATAGTATGATTCGCATTGATATCAAGCGACATATCTATTTGGAAAATCATGGGATTCTAACTCTATCTTCTTACGCCACTCCTAGGTGAATTTGAAAGACGAAGATATCTTTGAATGGGAGTAAGTGCCGCACATTATTAGTTGTTCCTAATGCGCATAGCAGAAGGATTTGAAGGAGGATTTGCTTGGAATTGGACGTTCTGTGGGCAAAGATCTACAGTCGCGACCTAATGTCGGAACAAATTCTTTGTCGAACGTGGGTTATTGAGGCGTGCATTTCTACTCGTAGGGTCGGAATAATAGGAGCTCCAACGACAGTATACGAAGGTGGTTACTTTCTGGCTACCATAAAGTTCCCACAGGACTACCCATTCAACCCTCCCACATTCAGTTTTAATGATTCGTTCTGGCATCCCAATGTGTATGTAGAAACGAAGTCATCGTCGTGCTCAATGAAGCCGACCTTCCTCTTTTTTGCCTGACATCCGCTTCGAATTTCAGATACGCAGATGGTCGAATCTGCATTTCAATACTGCACCCTGCGGGAGAAGACGAACATGGCTATGAAAGACCGGAAGAACGCTGGAATCCCACTCAGACCGTGGAGTCAATTTTGCTCAGTGTAGGTTTGGCTGAACGATCTTTGACAGCGTTTCAAAGTGCTGTGAAATATCTAAAAAAAATTCTTTGTCAAGATCGTATCCTTAATGAGTGCTCCCAACTGTGATTCGCCAGCAAATGTAGATGCAGGTGTGCAGTATCGTCAGGATAGAGTCGGTTATGACAAGAAGGTTCGGCAACAAGTTGAGTTGTCAAAGAAGAACATACCGATGGGTATGAAGATGCCTACTACTGGTAAGTTCCTGACTAGTTTTGTGATGGTATTGTGTTGAATATATGGATGTGTGTATTGAACTCGAAGATCTCTGCATTCTATTACTGATGCTCTTTTTTCCTTTCCATTTTTTAGCTGCCGATTTCGTGCTAAAACCACCAATCAAGGAGATTGAAGATGACAGCTTCGTAAGTGTGCCGTTCATCGTTCGGTTCGACATCCAAAGCTCATTGGGGCCATTCTTGTCACTGTTAGTGGCATGATGATTATGATGATCAAGATGGTGATGACGATGGTGATGACGAGGAAATGGATGATGGGTGAGGACAATGTGCTCTGCTCTGATCAATTGGTCCAAGAAGTAGTTCGTCTTACCAAAGTCTCACTTCTCAATATAGAGATGAACATGACGATGAAGATGAGCAAGAGGAAGATGATGAATGAAGGCAACAACCTAGCTCTTCAATGCCACGAATTCATTAGCTATCCTAAAATCTCCAAACACATCCACACGCTCATTTACATCACAAACAAAATCACACCATCACCTCCTACCCACAATTTACAGTCTTACATCCCTTTGTTGTATTTTCTATCGCATTTTCTCTTTCGGCCAAGTAATAAAACAGTTTTTATTGTGAATATTATGGTGTTACTTGCTCTGTGTGTTTTGGTGATGTGGAAATGACGCTCTTCTGGTAGCGCAACTTTGGTTGACCAGGAAGCAATATGCCCAAATGCTGAAGCCAAGCACAGTCCAATCGACTTGTGTAGGATGGCCACTCTGGAGAGAAGAATCGAATCAGGTTAACATAACTTCGGGGATTTTTTTTTGCTTTGAAGTCGAGGAGGGGTGGCATTGACTGTGCAATCTTGATCTCGAGATCAATCCAACACCAAATTCAACTTAAAGCAATACCAAAATATCATCATGGCTCTAATTAAATTGGCCATCTCGCTAGCAATTCCTGCCTTGGTATTGACTTGTCCACACGGTCATGGTTTGAGCAAAAGAGACACTCAACCTGCAACCACTAGTAACTTGGTCTGTGATACTACGACCAATAGTAGTAAGATTTATTATTCTGTTGGTTCTGTGTTGCGGTGAGTTGTTGGTTCCTTTATTGAGGGTGTGTGTGTCGTAAATGTTTAGAATGACTGATAGCCTGGCTTTTGAACTTTGGTGCGTATAAACAGACCGCTCATTGTCTATATCGTTTTAGTACCATAAAAGCTACTGGATGTCCTGGATATGACTGGTACGCTAGTTACAAAAAAGACCATCTTTATACTATTCACATTGATGGCTCACACTTTTCCACACTTCCTCCCAGGACGTCACAAACCACTCCAAACTCAGCACAATACCAATGCCTTTCATTTGATGTTCCTCTCAACCCCATCATCCAATCTGTCGCTAATGCTTGGAGTATTGGAGGTGTGTACATGTCAATGCGACGTCTGACCATGTAAGTTTTTGGCTAACAGACGCATTTTGTAGTCTACACTGATGTGGCAAAGACTACTACCAATACACATATTCCCATGGGCGCATTGGGAATCACTGTTACTGGATTCAGTCTGTATGGAAATGCAGGTGTGCACAATCAAGGATTGCGGTCTTCTTCTTGTTTGTGAGAGCCAAGAACTGTATAACGAAAACATTGAGCCTGAGCGCTCAGAGACAAGACGTTAAACCATTACGATCCAAACGTTAAATTATTACGAATACCAACGCCTAAAAACTTATATCGGTTTCCATAGATGCAAACAGTGCTGATGCATATATTAACGAGGGCTACAGTTTCGACACTTGTGGTGGACACCCACAGACGTCAGGGTAAGAATCATCAACAGAAATGACCTGAAATTCACAGAGTCTTATCATTCTCCAAGTTTGACACCAATTTTGCCCTAGATCGTACCATTTGCATGAATGTAGGTTGCAAGCATTGTGGAGATCCCTCACTTTTGTATATTTGCATCTCTCATCCTGATCACCGATTTTCGACAGATCAAGCAAAGACTGGATGTGTTGCACTTGCACCATCTGGAACGCACAGTCCTCAATTTGGATGGATGGTAAAAGCCTGGTTATTTTCAATGTTTAAACACATTTCCTGGTTATTGACGACTCTTTGATTAGGCTGACGGGGTCCCAATGTGAAGAAGATGACTTTATTCATTGTATGCTGGACATGTTGGACTTACTTTTTTTGTTCATTGCAAATAGTTACGGGCCTCTAGGAGACAATGGTGTTGCTCCTAATGACTTGGATGCTTGCAACGGTCATACCGATTCAACTTATTCGTTCTATCATTACCATACTCCTTCCAACCGCACGGCGTACCCATACTTGTGAGTCTTTGTATTCGGCGTTGTTGTGTTTGCATTCAATATTTGGCCGGAGCCTAACCATCTTCTATAAAATAGGGTCAATTGTTTGCGTGGTACAACATAGTAACTCCAATTGCTTCTTTTTTGGTCCAGTCTTGGTTCCCCTTACTCTTTTACATTTAATTTATTAGGTTGTGTCAATGGAACCACCACTGGTGCGGTTTGGATCTTGACTTAGATGCCTCCTCATAATTTCAAATGTCTTAACTCACCAATCGTCAAATCCCATAAAGGCACAAGCAATTCCAAGACCACCTGTGTTCCTCAAACGACTCAATACAATTACACCAGTCTTGCTACGTATGGTGTAGCTAATAACCCCTCTTCGTACTCCTGCTCGGTGAGCATGGTTTTCGTTGCTTTAGGCTCTTTTTTGGCGTTCAACTAATACTTGCTTTTTCAAGGTCAAGTACGGTTATTCTGCTACAAGCGCTGCACCTTCCAATGAAATCTCTTTGATTTTATGTGCATTTGCTGCTGTCGTTGCAGCATTGGTCTTTTAATAGGACGGTACCTCTGAAACACAAACCTTGTCGTAGACTGCCTTCAAATAAAGCGCTGATTGAATTCACAGTTTCTTGTGGGCAAAGCAGGGAAATTTATTTCACGTTTTCAGACTATTTATGATTTTCCAGACAATCAAGACATTTATGAATTCACACCACGGCACACACAACACACTCTCTAACCCATGTATAAATGGATTTCTTACAATCTAGCAGAAGCAGAAGCAGCAGTTTCTTTACCCTTGGTAAAGGTCAATCCCTTCATATCACCATCACGCCATTTAGTGACGATTTCATCGAATGCAACTGGTCCTCCACCGAAAGAAGTGTTTCGTGCTGCCAAAACAGACACTTCACCTTCACGGTTGTAGTAACCTTGAATCCAAAAATAAAGTTAGTACCGGGTATCAATCCGATTCACAGTTCTCCAGGCAACTCACCTGGGGTACATTCTTCCAAGTATCGTGCGTTCAATAAGGAAGCCTTGACTATTTGTTCAACCCATTCATCTTCAGCCTCTTGGGTAGCTTCAACAACAGTAGCTCCCATGTCGTTGGCCTTCTTGATGACTTTGACAATAGCTGATGTCTGGATTCCTTGTGGGAATGGCCAGTTGACTGCTACTGCGGCTTGGCCGGGTTGGACCTGTAAACAAAACAAGGTGTGATTACAAATGCCAGTTTGATCCACAGATGGCAACTGAAGGGAGAAGCATACCATGAACAAGTTAGGGAATTGGTTCATGAAGGCACCGTATAAGGTTGAGAGGCCATTCTTCCACTTGTCTTCTAGATCAAGACCGTTACGTCCAATGATATCGTAACCGTTTCGAGAGTTCCAGCTAGTTCCGACCTGAACAAAAAGAAAAGATGAGCTTCATCGCACTGTGGAAATCAAAACAGAGACAAACACCTCACCTCGAATCCAGTGGCAAAGATTATGCAATCAACTTCATAGAGTGTTCCATTGTACATGATTCCCTTTGGAGTCAAAGCATCAATACCTTTACCGTTGGTATCAACAAGTTTAACGTTGGGGCGGTTGAATGTCGGCAAGTATTCATCACTGAATGTTGGTCGTTTGCAGAGATTGTTGTAGTATGGTTTCAAGGCTTCGGCAGTCTTGGGGTCTTTGACGATCTGGTCTACACGGGCTCGGATTCTGTGATGGGGGAGAAATCAACTTATTGTGAGCGATGTTTCACCTTGCAGAGCATGTTATAGGCATTGTAATCACCTCTCCATCTTTCGGAAGTCAGCTAATTGAGCCATATCTTCGATTGTGTAGTTCTTGGCTTTAGGGTGACTTGAGTTTGAGATCAAGGACATTAATTCCTGGAACATGTCCGTCCAACCGTCATTCTATTGAAATTCAAAAAGATTGAAGTGAGCGGAAAGTTTGGAAAATGCCCAAGTGATCAGGACAATTGAGAAGTTGAATTTCACAAATCATACCACGAGATCTACGTCAACGACACCACCACTGGTCATAATGTTGAAGTTGTTTTCTCGTTCCTTCTTCCATCCGGGCTTGAGACTCTTGACCCATTCTGGATCTGTGGGCTTGTTGTGTCTGAAAAAACATACGTCAAATATACGTCTCAGCAAGAATATGCAAATCACACTAACCTGTAGTCGACACTTGATGGTGTCCTTTGGAAAACGTAGAGTTGTTTGGAGAATTCACCGAGGTATGGGACGGCTTGGATAGCAGTCTACATAAGATACATATTAGATCAATTTCAAAGACAGCTGATGTAAAACAGTTACGTACAGCACCGGTACCAATGATAGCTACGCGCTTGTCACCGAGCTTGGTTAGGTTTCCGTAAGAGTTTCCACCAGTGTATTCGTAGTCCCATCGAGAAGTGTGGAAGATATGGCCGCCGAATGAATCAAGGCCAGGAACACCGGGCAATTTAGGCTTGTGTAGTGGTCCTGATGCACTGACTATGAACGAAAGATGTCAGAAATAGACAACAAAAAGAACTGTTGCTATAGCGGACTCACTGAGGTATTGGCATCGCATAACATCGCCACGGTTTGTCTTTACAATCCAGCGAGAACTGGCATCGTCCCAACGAGATTCAATGGTTTCGGTATGGAAGATAGTAGATTTGTACAAGTCGTACTTCTTTCCAATACGCTCACAGTGTGCCTAATAGCAGACGCATACAGTTAGATCCAAATAATAGAACTGGTTTATGCACTATCAACATCTTCGTACCAAGATTTCGGGAGCACGAGTGTACTTGGAGACGGGGATGTAGTTTGTTTCTTCGAGCAATGGCATATAACAGTAACTCTCAGAGTCGCAAGCAGCCCCAGGGTATCGGTTCCAGTACTATGTTATGTGTGAGAATTGAATAAATGTGGAAGCAAGAATGAGGAGAACAGCAAAACGCACCCAAGTTCCACCAAAGTCACCACCCTTTTCGATTATGCGGAAGTTGGTGATTCCAGCATTTTGGAGCTTGACGGCGGTTGTAAGACCAGTGAAGCCACCACCGAGAATGATGATTGGAACCTAGAAACAAAGGTCGTAATAGTGTAATCAGTAAACGTGAAAATTCGCAACAGTGATTGCCGGTCAAGAAACAGGGATTGCAAGAGCGGCGGAACAGTTGAGGAAATCATTTCCACGTCGGAAGAGATCACTGCAGTATTGCGTTGATCCGGTAACTTTCGAAATACTGACCTCATCGTGGAGTTCAGCACGTTCTTTTAAGGTGACGTAGGGATCTTCCAACAGAGATCGGAACTTAGAATCTGGGGTGATATAAACATATTGCTCGATACCTAATTCATGCATGCGGTTAGCTCATAATGACTCCTATCGCTGCAGCAACATCAGGGCAACTGACCATCTTTACGGAGACGCTTGTCTCGTTCCTAGAAAGCAAAACAGTTGACGAATCAGCTCAAATGAAGCATGTATATAAGAGGAAAACACACTCACCGCTAGGTACTTGGCTTTCAATTCCTTGGGGTCAAAGTCGAACTCCCATAGAGCGTCACCTTCGATCTTTTGGTAGACCATGATTAGAGTAGCTACTGATTATATTGCAAAGTGCTGTGGTAGAGCTCTTCCTCTAAATCGTTGACGAAAGTGTTGGAAAAGATAGCTCTTCCTTTTAGACAAAGTCGTGACACCTTTTCGGGATTTGAGTTTTTCAGTTTTTCAAGCGGAATTGAATTCATCCAAAACCCAAAAACAGCCAGTACAAAAACTGAGTTTGGCCGATAAGAAAACCTTGGTTGAATTAAGAACAATGCGACTATGTGGGAGCAGTTTCCCTTTTATGCGACATGTTGTCGTGTACAAACAAGTGCTGGGTGACCACTTCGAAGACGCAAAAAGGAAACGCCTTGCTGATCGAATATGTGAACAATAGCTAATGGAGTCGTTAGACGTAGACTCATCCAACATTGAACATTGACAATTTGTTTCGTTTTTACATGATCATTTTATCAGTTTACTGCTTATCATGCAGTAAACTGGCAGATGGTGTTGAACCTGACGGTTTTTGAGAATCTACGTACGTCAAAGATCAATGTTCTCACTACGGGAGTACGAGGCCACCAGACGAGACCAGTCGGATCACTCGTTGTACCGTTAAGTGCTATTCACTTAGGCAGGCGTTCGCGTCACCAACGAACACAGTGTTCACCCATTGTAAACCGAAGTAGCAGGAGGTAGAATCCAAGCAAACTATGTAGAAATGTCCAACATATTCGGCTGGAAGTGCTAGTCGTCTCTTGAATATTCCACCAATCTCAGTGATGACAGATTTGCAAATCTGTCATCACCAAGTTGCAGCGAGTACAGGACGAAGACTCAGATTCTATCACGAGGCCGCTGATAATAGTGATCGAGCCCTATGAGATATGAGATCGTGAACAATGGTGAATTATCACCCTTCTTGGCGAGGCTTGCTGCGTGTGTGACCAACGACAAGCCGTTCGATTCACCCTCAAACAGAAAGATGCTGAAATAATCATTCGGTCACCCCTGTCATCAATTCAAAGCGAGAATATTTGACAGCAATGCATCCTACCATACCACTTGCCCTCATTGCTTTCGTGACTCTTGCATCCGCTCATTCAGAGCACTCCGCACATTCTGATGCTAACAGGATTTTTGCTAAGAGACAACAAGGAAGCAACTCTGGGTAAGATCGCTTTGTTCGCATTTCAAAAAGTGCATTACAAATGCTGCACGCTGGTTTCATCACTCCATTCGTGTATCTGCTTGATCTGCGTCTGTTTTATAAACACCGTGTACATACTTAGAACCAAATGTCCTACCACTGCGAACTCTGCAGTCACTTATTTTGGAAGTGGTGGTTCTTTCAGAACCATTCTTGCTACTGGATGTCCTGGTTATGACTGGACTTCTCAAACCACTCCAAACACTGGTAAAGATGTTTGGACCTTCAACTTGGAGGAATAGCCAGGCTAAGTTTCGTTTAAATGTTAACAAGATCTTAACGTCCCTACCTTCGTAGCGAGCTACCAGTGTATCAGTTACAACCTCCCTCTGAATCCCATCATACAACCTATTTCCAGCGCACACAACATTGGAATCTACACCGACTTGGCCAAGACAACAACCAATACAAAAGTTCCTCTTGGTCCTGTTGGAATAGCAGTCAATGGTGCCAATCTCTATGGTAACTCTGACGCGCAGCTACGAGATGCCTTCGTTTACGAAGGAGCTACCTTTGGTATGAAAGTTTGACAGTGTGTCAACCAATGGAATCAGTGCTGACTATCTTCTATGTTTATCTTATTAGACAAATGCGGTGGACATCCAGGTACACAGTTGAATTTGGATTCAATTTGCAATGAAACAATTTTTGAAACCCTTGCTCACGCTTGCCTCGTAAACATTTCTTAAACGATGTAGACGGAGTAAGTGAAGATATATGATTGCTCATTTTATACGTGAAACTCACGATCTAACATTACTTGGTAGTCCGGAGATTACCATTATCATGCTCGTATGAGTCGATTCTGGAGTGTTTCGTCTGTTGCCTTGTCCTAAACCCAACATTATCTTGTAGTTCCTGTAAACGGATGTGTCGTTACTGAAAAGGCTGGATCTCACTCTCCGCTATACGGCATTATGGCCGATGGTGTACCACTGTAAAACTATTCGTTTGATCCATCTGTTCATTTGCATAAAATCCTCACTTTCATTTTCTCCACACCAAGATATGGTCCTCTAGGAGACAATGGTGTTGCTCCTACTGATTTGGATGCTTGCAATGGCCATACGGATTCAACTCACGTCTTTTATCATTACCATACACCTGCCAATCGCACCTCGTATCCATATCTGTATGTCAAGTCTCGAAATTTTGATTTTGGATTCATTGCATTTGACTGGAGACAACCAACGTTTATCAAACAGGGTCAACTGCTTGCGCGGCTGTTTGAACAATACTGTGTTCGGTACTTCTCAAGGGGCTACTACGTGTGTTCCCCAAACTACTCAGTACGACTATAGTTCTCTGACCAGTATACTTGCTGCCAGGAACCCAACTACCTACTCTTGCTCGGTAAGTCCTTTGGTCCATTGGAAAGTTATGCTCAAGGCGGTTTTGGGAGTCTCACTCGTGCTTTCTGATATTTTCAGACAACATCTGGTTTCACTGGCACACTAGGGAGTGGTGGATCAGGTACCGGATATTCTGGAACTGGCGCTATACCATCAAGTCCAGCAGCAGCCTCGGCATCGACACCGACAACCTCCACCACGAACTCCTCATCTTCAGCAACCAGGACCGTTATATCTATAGTAGGCATCTTATTTGTTGCTATCGTTTTATCAACGAACTTGTAATGTCTGAATTCATTGATATTCTAAAATAAAAAATCTATGTCTAATCATTACAATTTCTCTTCGGCCATCCTTCTAATTGACGCAAGTTGCTTCGACACGCACAGTAGTGTGCCCTTAGTGTCGTATATGTCAATGCTATAATCTAAACTTCCTTCATAAGCTGCTCCCACAGGGTACAGAACGAACTTGTCGCTCTCGTCACATCTATTGACTTCGTCCTCAATTCGCTTAAACCATGTCATGCTGAGGGCAACTGTTGACATGGCAAAAGAACCACCAGCAAAGCGATTCATATTCATGAAAACTAGTTGAAGATGATTGTGTTTGAAAAAGATTCCAAATGCATTCAAGGATCCATGAGGACGTACTGTTTGGGTCCGCCAAACCATCCGAGAAGAAGGCCGAGCTAATGCTGCACATGGGCCGCTTGTCGATAAATCCACGTTTTGCAAGGAAAATGCCCATATGCTCCGGCTCTTTGCCGTCTGCTAGTTCGTTTCTCCATTTCGCTGCTGCCGGACCAGCAGACTCCTCAATCAGAGACACCATTCGAGTTCCTTGAGGAAATGTTTAGATCGCGTGGAGTGTAGCAACCAACGTCTCTTTGTATCACTTACCAACAGGCGATTTCTTTAACAGATTACCAAGGAAATTCATCGATTCCATAGGCACAAATCGCTTTGCAGTCTTTAAATCTATCTTCGGTATCTTCACGTTCGGCCTAAAGTCTCGTTGGTCCATATTTCCGAAACATGTTTGCATCATGAACACCATTGAGTCGTTATCCGAGTTGACTATAGTGCATGTTGCATATGCAAGACCTACCAAGATAGAGAGCAGGTATTAGTGTGCATTCAACCTTATTCAGGGACGTGACGATATTGAGCAACAACATGTAAATTCAAACAAAACTGATCCAAGAAGTAACACTCACTCTTGCCGGTTCTTTGAATTTCGACATTTACAAGTATGGGAACTCCAGGTTTGGTCGTGGCCAAATAGCTTGCATGTGATGTGAATGGGTCCTGATATCTGCTCCCAAACTGTTTGATCAATGTGGTTCGGACGGCATAGAGGCCGATGGCGTGCAGATAACCGCCAAAAGCAGTGTTCCCCCTTGAATGTTTGATCGTGGTTGGTTTCTCTACTCCGAAATGACGAAAAGAAACATGGATAACTTGCCTGTTGAAAAAGTTGGCATATAAAGACTGCCGATACGTGAAGGCATTGCCTTCGGACTTTACCAGCTCGAGCCTGAGCGCATCGTCAAGCTCGTACACGGGCTTCCCTTCCACGGCCTCCTCCATCGAACAGATACACGATTTTACAGATGGAAGATGTTGACGATGATACAGCAATGGAACGACCTGAAGTAACCCGACGTGTAGACTTCCATTTACTTAAGAAATCAACCTGAACTCCACCTTCCTCAGATCTACCTTATTTGGAACGTGAGCTTGTAGCTCAAGGTGAAACAAGTCCAAGGTTAAATGGAACCCAAAGAATTTACCTACGCGGTCGCTCCAATTCAACACTAAATTCACAAACTATTTACTTGTCAGACTCTATTATGATATTTGAATGCCCTTACATCTTATTCATTTGCTATGCAAACATTGTTGATTCCTTTATACAGCTAAAACGACCATGTCGAGCCACAACGTTCGATAAATCCAGTCGAATATGTATCTATGGAATCCTTTCGTAGGTTTGGCCAGTTTTTACTTCCAGTCCTTTTTTGCTCAGTCCTTCTACTTTGTTACAGACTTTTACCACCGCTTGTTACTGACGATGCTATCTGCTGCTGTGGATGATCCAGCGGTTGTGACGGCCTCCTAGCAAATTGTTCCCGTTTCCTGCCACGTGCCATGAGCTCTGGCACTACATATGAGCAAGGTGCAGTTTTCGAGTATAGTTGGGAGTTTGGTGATGAGGATGGCATCCATGAGGCAGTAGATGAGTGTGATTTAGAGTACGATGATGTTGATGTTGATACGGATTTAGAATATACCGATGTCGGTGAAGAGTATGATATTGGACTATTGGGTATCATGTAGGCAGTACCTTCAGGCACCGACAGGTTTGATACATTGGCGTTCGGGAGGAGCTGCTGTAGATTTGATGGAGATATCTTGAAATCAGCCAACAGACAGTTTGTTGAGCAGTATATTCCAGTCTAGATCAACAAAACTCGTGAGCGATGCGATTACGATAAGACGAAGTTTTGTCGACAAGCGTTGATCAACAGATCAGAGCCGTTCAGATAGGGTAAGGATGCGATAATATGTGAGTAAATGATATTGGAAAATACACATCCGAGTTCCGTAAATCACATTTCGGTGTCTAGGTTGTGTGGGGTCGTTTCTGATAGTGATTTCTCACCTTAATTTTTCGCTCACATATAAGGCACCAATCGTAGAAAACTGTGTCGTGAGCCATAGAAACCATTCTGGCTTGTTCGTTAGGAGACTGTTGTGAGATAGTTGCGATGGTTGTGTGATTTCGAAACCAGTCTCGTTTTGAAATGACTAACTTGTCACGGGGTTATGCAATGATATGCAACGAGACGACTCGGATAGGGACTAGATAAGGCGATCTGCTTCTAGAATTTCTTTCAAAATGAAATTGGATGGTGATGTGTGTCAGAGAACACGTCGGCAGAAAAACTCATGTGCTCCACAATGATCACGTTCTTGGGGGCGCCGAAATGCAAGGCTCGTGAGCAACTTTTGTGGGGATGAGGTGCCTCCAGCGAGTGATCAAGAGAGCACTGCACGAGGACGTGTCCTAGAAGCTCCTGGTTGGTTCGCTTTAGCTACACATTTGTCAATATTTCCCAAAAAATCGTTTTGCCGCAGGCGTTTGCCATGAGGAGGAATCGTGCCCATTCTAATGATCAGAAATGATTTCTATTTGTATATTCAATGGTGTCCTGGTTAGTACATCATGCACTTGTTATCGTTTAGTCGTATTATGCTTCTTGAAAGTTTTCCGATCTCATCACTCAGCATTTTGTACTTCGGGGTTTTCATCCACTTGCGAGGATGAAAAACCCTTAGTTTTAGTCATGGATATTCATGACTCGGGATATGTCTTGATCCCCTGATGTTCCCCCCAATATGCTGGTTTGCTCTCATCCACTCCTTGCAAACACCAATTCGAACAATGAACATTACAAGTTGAAATCATGGGAGCTTGAACTTGCCATGTACTTGATTGCTGAAGCATAGAGCACTCCATTGCTCGCTACTTTTACCTTGCGCTTACATTGGTACTGCTCTGGTGGAACAGAACGTGAGGTGAACAAGTCAAAGGGGAAGACAGTACTTCCCTTTCGTCTGGACTTTGCTCATGATAGATATAAACGAGTGAAAAAATTTATTCTGCTGGATCTTACGTTTGTGCTTGGACCTTATCCTAATCAGGTCTTTAAATTCTTGTTTTACGTGCCCTGATTCCCAATTTTTCAGGAAAGTATAATATATAAACTTAGATTTTATATCCCATAAAATCGCGCTTGTTCGCTAGATTGATAAATGAGGCTGTTTCGCGTTTGGGCACGTAGTTCTTAAAACAGGACTGATCAAATTATCTGTATCGAATTCAACATGCTGTCAGATCTGCCATCTCCAGAACGCACCGTCCCCACAATGAAACAGCCAGACGATCATATATCCCCATCCAACAAAGCTCAAATCAAATTAGATGTCGTAACCGAAACTCCGACTCGTTGTTTTGGACGCAACTCACTTTTTTGCTAGTGTTTCTGTGGATGACGGGATGAATCGAGGGGGTGATGCATGGTGTTATTATGTGCTCTGCGCACTCTTATGTTGTACATCAGTCGTTTCAGCGGTCAGAACGTACTGTACCCCGTCGCAGTCTTGTTGGCCGACCGATTCACAGTTTCAAGCATTGAGATCTCAAGTTGGAGGACGGCTGGTGAAAGTAGTTCCATGGGGATCTCCTTGTTTTGCATCTCCAGGTCCCATTAATGCAGCTCAATGCCAAAATGTTGCTAATAATTACTATGACGAGTTTGTGAGATCTGATCAAAGTGGTGCTGCATTATCGTAAGTTACATGCTTTCAGCCGTGGAAACTGCATTTCAGAATGGCAGAATACGTTGGTATTGATCCTGTACCCTGGAACTTGATGAATGAAGAATCGTTGCTATGTTTTGTTTTTTCTGGGCAACAAAGTCTCACCAAACCTTATACCCTCAAATCAGACTCAATTGGGAACAATGTGTAGAAGACCAGTATTAAGCATTCATTTCAAGCCTTTGACAAGATGATCGATGTCCCTGCTAACACGTTATTATAGATGCCAGCTAAATTTCTTTGCACTCACCAACACTGCCTTTCGGACATGCAAAATCGGTCGCATCTCTCCTTACGCCATTGATTTGGGCCAAAACGGAGCTTATGATAAAGCACCGTCTGATATTGCTGCAGGGATACGGTTTGCGAATACGCACAATATGAAGATTGTGATAAAAAACACGGGTCATGATTATTTGGGAAGGTCTACAGCTAAGGATTCACTTCAACTTTGGACCCATCATTTACAAAAGCAAGAGTTTAATGCCGCGAGTACTGTCTGTGGGGATACGCATGTACGAGATATTCTTTCGGTTATTATCGTTTGCAACAACACAACGTAACGTTTGCTAATATTGTAGGCTACCGTAACCTATGGGGCGGGAGTACAAGCTCGTGATGCATACGGTTTCGCAGGTATGTAACTTTTGCCACACGGTTTTTGCAATTATGTCGACGCTTGGTTCCTGTAGGTTCTCACGGTTACCAATTTGCTGGTGGCCAGTGTCACTCAGGTGAGAACTACAAGCCTTCAACAATTCTCAATTTAAACTCACGAAAACGATCTTTACAGTTGGCTCTGTCGGTGGATTTGCGATGGGTGGAGGACATGGCCCACTTGCTCCCAGCAAAGGCCTGGCTGTGGATCAGATTATGCAAATCAAAGTCGTTACTGCCGATGGAGTATTCAGGTATGGAGAATTCCAATCTAATAGTTTTTTTCTTGTTCGCTGACAATGTTTTGATCCTTTGATTTCTAGGACCGTGAACAAATGTACAGAACCAGATTTATTCAAAGCGCTACGGGGAGGTGGTGGTGGAACATTTGGAGTTGTCAGTGAGTCAAAGTGTCCCATGTTGCTCAGTGGTGATGCGCATCCTCACGCCTATTTGGATTTGTTATAGCTGAGATCACGTTTAAAGTATACCCAGAATCTCCCTTCCAAGCCGTCGTTGTCAATGCCAATTATACCCTCCTTGCTCAAGTTTTCCTCATCCCCTTAATCGTAAACAACTTGTTGACTGTGTTTGCTGATAACCAAGCACTTTACTCGTCATGGGGGTCAGCAGGCTGGTAAGCTTTAGTTTTCGACGCTGCAAAGTCACTCTCAACTAAAATATTTTGCTTGTTCATTAAGGGCTTGGTTTGTTCCATCGGGTTTGACGATTGTAAGCATTCATTGGAGTTTTCGTTTTGAATCATCGGGTTATCTCTCTGTAACCAGTAATCACACTTTTTTAGATATATGCTATACCGACATCAGACGTGAACGGCGTAAAGAGAGACTGGGCACCTATATTGAACTTTCAACAAAAGTTTCCTCTTTATTTCAGCGCGTATCAAGCAAAGGTGGTCAGTTACCCTACTCTGGCCGCATTTATAGACTTTTTCGATTATACAGCTGCTTTTGCTCCGGTACATCTAGGAAGTATTTGCGTTCTCTACAAGCAAAACCTGACATTTTTTTTCTCTTTGCTCGCTAGGTCGGATATATTGAGCGAATAAGTACACGACTAGTACCGAAAAGCTTGTTTGCCACCAAAGCGAGTCGTGCTTCGGTGGTCAATGCAGTCGTCAAAGGAATGGTTACGAACGTTTCGCCAGTGACAATCAACGGGATATCACAACTGATTAGACCGTCTGCAAGCTTGCAGCTCTTTATGACTACTCCCGCTAAGTAAGTTAGCCAAAGGCAGCTCAACTGATGCATCGAATCTAATTTGTCGTGATATAAACATAGTACTCCAGACACGAATCAAGAGACGAGTGTAAACCCTGCATGGAGATCGGCATACTGGCATGTTATATACACCGGTGGCCTTCCTGAGGGATTACCTGGAGTCATCCAAGAATCAATGGGCAATACAGTCGATAAGGCTGCCAGTTATCTGAGGGATCTAACACCAGGTGGTGGAGCGTACTACAACGAAGCATCAACTTTGGAGCCAGACTGGCAAACATGTAAGTGCTGAGGTCGTCTGATATCTATTAGAAAACAAATATTCACTTTTTTTCGTGATCTAGCCTTCTTTGGATCCAACTATGACTGGCTTGTGAGTGTCAAGGCACGATACGATCCAAACAACACATTCACGGTGTGGAAGGGTATCGGATGGCAGCCTGGAGCTGATTCAACCGATGTGTGCTATAATCTAACGTGATCCGGCTCGTGGATCAACCAAAACATTTGTGAAGCCTTCGCTCGCCTCCTCCGAACCTCTCTGATGGGTAAATTCACCATAACAGTGTATTTAAACGGATTTACAGAATTAGAACCTCTAAATAGATAGGCGAATAGCCGTAATTTTGCGTTCTTCATTGTGTCTGTTGTGTAAAGTTGCTCTTTGATGTTCCTGTTTTCGTGGTTTTGAGCGGTGGAGTGATTGAATTTGAACATTAGCGACGTGATATCACGAAGAGTCACGTACACTTGGTCCTATAACAGCATACCGTTAAGTTGTGCTGTTTGGACATTGATGACTTCACTTTCTCGAAAAAGCCGACACGAGCAAGTAATAGGCAAGAGGAGCTGCTTCCAAAGGGAAGACCTAAATAAATAGATAGACATACATTCATACATATACATTACCATATACGATAGTACTTTAAAAGAACCATGAACAATTCGGCCCAACCTCATCAGCCCCCCTTTCCCAACGGGTTGACACCAGGGCAATCAGCATTTAATAATTCAAGTCAATCCTCATTCAATACTGCTGCAACACCACCTCCGTCTTATGAAAGTGCCATGACTGGCAAGTTCCCAAATCCAATTCCATCAGGGACACTACTACAAGGCTCTGGAGGAATGAACTCGCTACACATGCTATCTGGTGGTCAGCCTCTCGGTCAAACATCTGGTATCTTGTCGCAACAGCAATTCATGGATGAGGAGAAGGTGTATCAGTTGATTCTGGATTTGACAAACCCTGCTACTCGAGAGGCTGGTCAGTCGGCATGTTTGAAAGAAGGGATTATTATTCGTATGGTCTTGTTCAACATTATTCTTTTCAACTAGGATTGCTCGAATTGTCAAAGAAACGAGAAGCATATGAAGATTTGGCTCCCATACTATGGCACTCTTTTGGTATATCAAGCATCTTATTGGACCACAAGCCACCAACAAGTCGTTAAACAGTTTTACTCACAATTAGGTGTAATGGCTGCTCTATTGCAAGAGATCGTATCTGTATATCCAATGCTGTCACCTCCTACACTCACAGGACATGCATCCAATCGTGTATGTAACGCATTGGCTCTATTGCAATGTGTTGCATCACACAATGAAACTCGAGCATTGTTCTTGACTGGTAGGCGAAACTTGTTTTGAAAGATCACGTCTGTTTTTGCGCTCTTGTTATGAAGCTAAAAAAACCAACACATCCCCCTTGCCCATAGCACATATACCACTGTTTCTATATCCATTCCTGAATACTACGAGCAAGACTCGGCCATTTGAATATCTTCGTTTGACGAGTCTTGGAGTCATTGGTGCCCTCGTCAAGGTAACGTTCAGTCCAAAGTCGCCAAAAAAACCAGCATTCTAAGCCATTCTATTTACAGAACGATAACTCTGACGTTATCAACTTTTTGCTATCAACTGAAATCATCCCCTTATGTCTTCGTATAATGGAAACAGGATCCGAACTATCCAAAACCGTCGCCATCTTTATCGTACAAAAGATTCTCTTGGACGATATGGGTCTCAACTATATATGCCAAACATATGAACGATTCTATGCTGTAGGAACAGTCCTCTCAAACATGGTTGCCCAATTGGTAGAACAACAATCCATTCGACTCTTGAAACATGTCATCCGATGCTATCTCCGTCTTTCTGATAATCCTCGAGCTCGAGAAGCTTTGAGACAATGTTTACCTGAACCGTTAAGGGACTCGACGTTTATGCCTAGCTTGAAGGATGATATCACTACCAAACGATGTCTACATACGCTTTTGATGAATCTGAATGAAGGTGGTATGCCAGTATAATAATAATAGTTGCTCAAAGAAAAGGAAGTAAAACAGTGAATTTATTTGTCATATAACGTATTTTTTTGTTGCATGCATTGATACTTTAAAAACGAAATAAGTTGTACACACGCATTTGGGTTGGAAGCTGTTTTGTAATGTGAAACCTAAAAATATATTAAACAAAAGCTATTCTCACATAATCCCCGACTCTGATACTGCTATACAAGTTTTTTTTTTGATATAAATCATCGCTTGAATCCCCCATTCACACTTTCGTTCGAATTGAATACCCCATCCGAATCTGCTCCACTCGCAGTCCGTCCGCCAAAGCACTGATAGACCCCACACATTATTGAAACACTCCTAACCCCTCTACTCCAGGTTGAAGGATCGAAAAATGATTGTTGCGAGAAGGATTGAGCGTCACTACGATCTTCGAGCCTTAGTTGATCATATGGCAATGGACCGTTTGATGCGATAGCGTCTTTGAACGGCCGTGGAGCGTTTATTTCTACACGGTGTCGTCTCTAAAAAGTACAGATGTGTTAGAAACAGACTAATTTGCTTGGTGCATTGTTTCTCCAACGCGAAAAACAACAATCCACAAGAAATCCCCTATATAGAAATGCCCTAGAACGCGTTACCTCTTGTGATCTAAGGTCCTCCTCATCATCCTGTTCTCTCACAGAGGTATGTGACCCATTCCGACTGGTTATTTTGTTACTAGGTTGGTCAAGATCCGAGTCACTGTCACTATACTCGATTGGCTTTTTGGGACCTTCGTCTTCAACCACTTCGTCTTCATCGTCAAACAAATTCACCTGGTCTGGCAGTAAGAGTATTGGGCGACGAGTTTCGGGCTCTTCGTCATCGTCTGCTGGCATACTCCTTATACTTGGTTTGTGTGATACCCGTCGATGTTCAAGCTGTTCGTCATTGTCTGCTGCCAGGTTTCTTATACTGGGTTTGTGGGACAGTGTCTTGACCATCTTGGTCGGGCTCTGTTTAGATGTTGGACGTAAGTGTCAGTTCCAAGTAGTAACAGCAGGCATTGTCTGGATCCCAAGTATCGTTCAAAGCTTTCTAAATGTAATCTACATAGAGCGCAAGCTTGGCCGCAAACAAGCTTTCCTCATGCTTCAAAACGCAAATTGGGGGACAAGAACCCAGACTACGAGCAAACAACCAGGATGGAACTCACCTCTTCGCTCAGACTGATATCCGTTAGAATGCGTTCTTCTGTGTCGTCGGGGCCAAGCATGTTGCTACCAAAAGGGTGAAACGAAAGAGATGCTATCTGACTTGCTTTCTTGTTTCGAAGACGGACACAGCTTAAAAACTGTATGTGAATTTCGAGACGCGCATCAATGGAAGGTATTTGTTGATCACACACGTCGCCACTCGAATTGTAGATACTGTTTAAACTGCTTGTCTATATTGTTGTGACTTTTAGCGTCATGTTCAAATAGCTATACAAGAATGGGAAATATCAACAAAGGATTTATATACAATGATTGTCGGATTGTCGGGTTCTGCTCTAGAATCTAGATAAATCCTTCGAAAGAACGTGTTCTATATGATCTTTTCACGTGACGACCGTTTGCTTTTCCGTGGCAATGACCTAGGGACGATAGTCGGGCGTGGAGTTGTTGAACCCATTCGTAGTGCTCCCGTTGGTATTGCTCCATTTGTTAGTGGTCTGTCGTCTGATGGTCGTGCTATTTGGAAGAACAGGTTAGGATTGTGCGTTTCACGTACTGACACGACTTTGATACGTACTCAGTGGTAGGTATGCTCCGTTTGGTAGTGGTAGTGGGCTTTCGGAAGCTTCAGATAGAGCGTTTAATGCGGCTATGAATGATAAAACACATGAGTTAGCCGCCGATTGCGGTGCACTAGAGGTCGACTGTGCAGCTGCATCACATACCGGAATCAAAGTAAGATCCAGCATTTACATTAACGATGCATCCCAAGAGAGCCAGGATGAGTACGAGTAGCATGGTGAGTTTGCACATGATTGTTTTTGATTGTGGTGGTGTTTGGTGGTAGATGATGTGTGATGCGTCGTGTATGGAGCTTGGCAAGTAATATGAAGGATTTAATGGTTTGGAATGGTGATGTTTTGTATGTTGTTGTGAAGAAGTATGTTGGGATGGTTCACAAGTCGAGTTCTCGATTCAACACTAAACAGTCAAGAACCCGAATTGGGTTGGAACGAGCTCTGGCATGTGTTAGTGAATTCATCTCACAGTGGCCCAGTTGGATCTTGAGTCTGCTTGAGTGTCTCATCAGTTCCGATAAGTGATGAATTAGTCTTATGATTGTTCACATTCTCGACTCGTTTTGGGGTGTTTTGTCAATTTAGCACGAATGAAACACGAGCGATCTTGTGGCAAGAATGTAGGCTAGATCTCTTCCAAATATTAGAATTATAACAAAAATAAAAGCGAAACGTGAGCGATCGGTCTGAACCTGCCCAGCTTTCCGTGAAATGAACTTTAATGAAAAGTCAACCGACTGCACCGTGCTTATTTTTCTCTGATGACAGGTTTTCAAACACCTGGTGACCAAACAGGGTATATCTGAATAGACTATTATTTGCATATTTGCAAAACTCTTACGTTTGAGACTCCCTCCTCGAATCCCTCACAGACAACGCCCTAAACACCGACGTCTGCCGTGCAACAGACAGTGCCCTCTTCCTCTTACTTATTGCACTCTCTAGTAACGGCGATTCAGCAAACACAGAAGGAGAAATTACAGGTGATGGGGCTAACGATGACGGGTTCAAGAATGTTGGTGATGTGATGATGAGAGATGAACGAGCAGGTGGGAGTGGTGAGTGTTCGCCGCGTGAAGGACGGTATGATTTGCTGGATGTCACAGAGTCTGTAACTGAATCTCGTTGTAACGGTATGGATATGGAGGGTATCTTAATCCAAGGATGTTGCAGTGCTTCGTTGGCAGACATGCGGTCAAGGGCGTTGAATTTTAAGAGTTTTGAGATGAAGTTTTGGGAGCATATTGATTTTGTTTCCCATACTAGGAATAAAGTTTGAGAAACTGTAGCGACTTATGTAAACTGGGAGGTGACTCACTCGAATCATCAAAGTTATAATCAGCTTTAACAATCCTTGCAATCTGATCTGGTTCCACACGTGGATCTGCTTCGTCATTGCCGAACGGGCTTGTCAGGGATAGCATCATGAATACTAGGACACCGACTGCCCACCTAAGCCAAAAAAAAGTCGCTAGAGTCAATCGTTGAATGTTGATGACAACTCTCAACACTCACATATCAACAGCCTCGTCATACGAAACACCCAGGAAAATATCAGGAGCCATATAACACACAGATCCAACATACGACACTATACTGGGCGCTCGTCTCCTCCCACGAATTAGTCTTCGGTTAGGTGATAATGATTCCTCTGATTCTGATTCCGATTCGTCGAGAGACACAGGCTCAGATAGTACTGTCCGTATTCTGACGACTCCGAAATCAGCTAGCTTTACATCCGTGTTTAATGTTTTGGATGTCATTAATACGTTTTCCAACTGGGTGCAAACATAGGGTTTGAGAATCGATCTATAATCAAGGAACGAATTGTTTACCTTGACATCACGATGTACAATCCCAATAGAATGAAGGTACGCTAAAGCGTCAAGCAACTGATGTGTAATTTTCGAACATTCAGGTTCAGTAAGATCAACATCCATTATCCTGTCGAATAGACATCCACCTTCACACAGATCGATAATAAGGTATATGTGATCGTCTGTTATAAACTAATAAAACATGTTGAGAGTCAGGCAAAAAAACTCCAACCCGTAGCTACTGCAGTTGCAAGCAATGCTATTTGGTGTAAACCTACTGCCTGTTGAAGACACACAATCCTGGGATGTTGAGCGCGTCGAAGCACCTCTAGTTCAACTTCCAAACGTTTCTTGTTTTGGACCTTGTTCTTGTGTACGACTTTCATTGCATATTCTGATTTGGTTGATTTGTTTGTCACCTAATGTTGAGGAGTATGTGTCAAAGGAGACTGCTTTTGTCAAGTGTGTGAAAATCTCAAATGTTTCTAACTGACCTGGAAAACTGTAGCATATCCTCCTCTAAAAACGTCTAACGTTTTAGAACTCAGTCTATGAGCAAAACGCAAACATAACGCACAATATCTCACGCATCTAGTATACCTTCCCAAATAAATCCCAGTATCATAAGCACCTTTTAGTTCCGCTGGTAGAGCTGACGCTTCAAGTCCGTAATCGTCCCTCCTCTCATTTTCTGCCATTTTTCAGTCGCACTCCAGTGGCTGAAAGAAAGTATTTGGATGTATATCTTTGTAATAAGGGTGTATTGGTTCTAGTCGAAGCCTTCTATGGTGTGCTTGTGCATCGTAGATTTTTGTTTCGGTCGTTTGCTGAGTTTTAGCAGTTCCGGAGCAATTTCCAATCAGCCATACATGTGGACTGAAGCAGTGCAAGCAAAACGTGGTAGAGAAAGTCGGTTTAAATCATGCATTTTGTATTTGGTACTTTTGGCAACTCTGTAGAAATACCGTTCTTTTCTTTTGAACGGCAAGAATTGCAGTTTGTTCTTAAGGAAGTACGCAGATGCAAACGACGTTAACACTAGCATTTCTCTGCATGTTTTGAGACTTCCATTGTACTATTGTAACAAGGCGACATCACTTTGTGTCTTGCAACGGTCTGCCTTCAAACCAAAGTGGACTATTTTTCTCAAATTCGAAATGATGATGTACAATACCTCCCATTTTTCAACCTTACTTTCCAAGTTTGGCAGCGCTGATCATGCTCAATAGCGACGCTCAACTCAAAGGGAAAGCTCTTGAACTTCAAACTACTCAAGAGTTCTCGGCCTATTCGCGACTCTCAACTACACAAAAATGCAAGTGTGGAACTTTCCAAACCCTTCCCATCAGTATGTCACTAATCCGTAAACTCTGAACATATAAACAAAGCTGTCCCGTCGACGAAATGCGTGTCTCATAAGCAAAGCGATCATTTGACATATCCGAAATTGTTGCGAATCGTTTTTGAATTGACACTTCAAACCAAGTAATGTTGGAAGAGATGAAATTCAGATCGTTTCTTTTATTTTGATATTTTGAAAAATCAATTATTCTGGTTGTGATAGAGCCACTCTTTAGCTTGTGTGTCTTATGTCAACCTATAGTTTCAAATCGAAACGTCAAGCACTTTGACTTGGGATTTCATATAACTTAAGCCCATCTGCGAAATAGCAGTTTAGGGCCCTTACCATTTCAGAAATGGTACTTTTGGAAATTCTTCCATTCAGCTTCATGATTCATTTTGTATTTTTCGTCCATGGTCCATATAGGCTTCTCTCCATGGGGACATTCACATTCTTCTAAAAGACGGAGTATCGCAAGGATGTGTTGGCATGTGCAATTGAGAGCAATGATTGAGACGCAACAAACTGAATGAACACAACCATTTACCTTTTTCAAAAATGATTTGGTATTTATTGAAGCATGTCATGTCTTGTACGTGAATGACCGGATCATCATGGTGTTCTACAAGATAGAATAGTATAGTTGAGAAGAAAAGAGTCACCAACACACGATCAAACAATTCATGATTTGATGTCAACACAAAAAATCTTGTTTCAGAAAGGATACCAGAGAGGAAACCAGGCGGACCACGGTAAGACTTTGGGTGATGTACATAGTCTGTATGATGGAAGATTTCCTTCAAGACTTCAGCATTGCTTTGACTAGCCACGAAGGTGACAAAGAAGAGAAGAGATGTGTAGAGTGTCATGCTGGCCTTGGAACGTGACATATGTGTGTGTCAGATTGAAGTCAAGGTTGATGATGTGTAATGCATTACCTGATTGAACATGCTGAGAGTGTGCTTGGAGCAGTTTGGGAGAATGGGGTAGTGGAGTGAAAAAGTGCAATTGTGTATGAGAGATTAAGTGGTTATCAGTTACGCCACCATTGTAATCATACTTTTGACAGGAACCGTCGGTTGTTGGTAAAGTAGGTCATACGTAAACTAACGCCTTGAAAGTAGAGGGATTTGCTTCCATTCACAACGAAACAGTGTGGACTGTGCTTGCAAGGTATCCGCCAACTTCAAAGAAGCATAAACTTCAAATGATCATGAAAGCTTAAGTCAAAGTGACATTGACACGGAGCGCTCGTGTTTGAATGTCAAATGTCTTGTTTCAACAGGTGCACACACAGGCAAGGAATATGATAATTGAAGGATTTCCACGTATCTACGAAATAAAAAGTGAAACGTGAACTTGTTAGTTCATGTCTTGTTCATCACCAACATCCTGGCAGCTTTTCTTCACAAGTCGTCAAAACACTCAACACGAAAAGCACATGCCAACATACTGTAGATAGGGAGTAGATCCAAAGAATGTACGGACCACCGCCAGGAGGCTTCGCACCTCCTCCTCCAGCCCCAGCTCCTACATTCACTGGTGCCTCCCGCAACAAGAAGAGCAATAATAACATTAAACCAAGATTTCGACCGTACCATCGATCATTCAATGAACAACCACACCAGACTACTAGACCTGCTCCTGCTCCTGTAATGTACACTCAACCACCACTACAGCAGCCAGTTCCTTATTCTCCTACGCCTCCATGGAGACATCAACAACAACAGCCCACACAATCAGCACCAACACGCTTCACTTATGACCCATACTCCGATCCATTGCAACACAATCAGCATCCTCCAATACAGCACTACGAACAGTATGAACAACCTGCAGTACAGCAACCACAACATATACAAAACCCTGTTATTCAACAACACCAACAACAGCAACCAATGTCGCAATATCAATATATACTCCAACAATATCCAATCCAGGAACAGCCAAAACCGCCGCAAGAGATAAAGCACTATGGAAATAATACGGCTCTTGTCTCTCAATGGGTGGAAAAACAGGCTAGCTTCCAGGAAATGTTTGATAAACAGGCTGCTCAAAAAATACCGGCTTTTTACGAAGCGCCTGTTGCTCCTCCTCTTACTATACCACAGCCGGTGCCTCCTGGTACTACTTGGTATGTGGTGGAATACATTGGTAGCTTGATGCGTTAAATACGAACACTATGGATTGACAATTATCAATCAGGGATTGCGAACCATGTGAAAAGTCCTTCCAGAACCCAAAACAACATGCTGCACATATGAAACTACACAAGAAATGTCTCAAATGTGATTATGATGCCCTACCCAAACAGTTGAAGGAGCATGAAAAGAAAGAGCATTCTGAGCCTGCTGTTCCAGCGTGTGTATTTGAGAATCATATTCCAGTGAGTGTTATTGTTCAATGTCGCTCATCTCAATGTCTTTGTGATAGACCTAAATCACTGGAGTCACCAGAAGATATCGCAAAATGGATTGAAGATCGGAAAAAGAGATACCCAACTGCTGCCAACATTGCTCGAAAGGTACATTACTCATATCGCAATGAATCTAGTCCGACATTGATCACTTATATGTTTTTGCTTACTCATAGGCAGCAGGAGGTGAAGCTTCACCATCGCTACCAGCCAAAGACAAGAGCAAGCAACTATCAGCCAGTACCAATAGCATTAAGAGCGTGTGTAAATATTTCGCAAAGGGACGCTGTCATAGAGGCGATGCATGTCCTCACCCTCATGTGTTGGCCAACACTGGAGGTGAAATGAAATTGGCTGATAATGCAGTGGAAGCTAGTGCTGGTGCTAAAGTCGTGTCTTCCAACTTGTTACGAAAGGTACGTGTGGTGATTATATACCTATTTTCGTTGGGTCCCATAGCTAACTTTCGTATTCCTTTTTCTCTATAGTTGCAAGCCAATGATTTGAAACTTGAACGACAAGTCTTGCTGCAATGCATAAAGCATCTAGTGGAGAATATGGAATCGTCATAAGGCAGATTGGAATTATTAGCCGTGAGCTTAGCGCATGTACACAAAACATTTGTATAATCAGAAACAATGCTCTCATAGTATAACAGAAGATGTTTAACGGCCATTCACGTCTATTTCATATGTGTATGTGTACAAATACGTGAGCTATTTAGCCTTCTTTTTCAATCCAGGTCGAGCAGATTTAGCAGACCTGGTGTGCTTGGCTGCATACATTCTCTGCATGTGGGGTCCTTCTATATATCGGACGGACAGTGTATACACAATGTATGTCAGAGATGCGAGTCCATAACCAGCCTTTGAAGACTGCTGTATAGCATTCCCCAAAAACAGGGCTCCAGTACCTAGATATTGTGGATCACTTATATACCTATAAATTCCATTCGTAACTGGCGCGTCAAAAAGGAAGCCAAACGAGTCTCCATTGTAAATCCCCTTGATTCCGAGTGTCTGAATAGCCCATAGATTGATTACAGATCCGAATATGATGAGTGATAGGCCGACTATTGTGCGGTATGGTTCGGGGAGGACTTCCAACTAGTATACGCGTAAAGATTAGTGATGAGCCGTGTTTCGGCTGCAACACGTTGCTTCAAGACAATAAGCAAGGCTTACTGTTCCAGCATCGGCGTGTATAGCTCGCATGACATAGTGATGCCTTATTCCGGACGGTCAGAACACTGAATGTTGAAAGAAGATTTCACGATATCTGAACTTCATACCTTATCATGCCGCTGGTGACGAGATAAACTGCGTATACATAGACAGCATTCTTCCCCAGTGCCTTTGTGAATATTTTCGTTCGATATTCTAATTGAGCGGTCGCGTTGTAATTAAATACATGAAAGAAGACTAGATGGATGGTAGCTAGTTAGCAAACACTCTGAAATTGAGGGTAACAGTGTTTCGTGTGCTTACTATACCCAGCAGCGACAACAGCTGGACTATATCCAGGAAATGTTGGCAGGATGGAGAATAAGCGAGAAGGGCCGTCCAGGGCCAGATTCATGACACGTGTAAATGCATCCATGGTTGGTTTTAGCGTGATTGGAAGTGGTAATTTGTCGTGAGGTCAAATTCGACAACTTTCATGAAAGTAAAAAACCCACTGCGGACGAGAGAGCTTAAGAGCAAGTAGATTTGGAGACGGTAGCCAGTAAAGGAGACAGCGACAACCATGAACGACTATCTCGGCCAGATCGTCCACTTTGCAGACAAGTTGGGAGATGCCTTCTTGCCTCAGTTCGATAACAAGACAGCTATATACGTCTCTGCTGCTGCCATCTTTTGCCATGTAATGTTTTACGATATGATGGCCCTGATCGAGTACAATACGCACATCATGACTCGGGTAATGTAGCTTGTAACTCTTGTTGTGTCATCAGCATCATTCATCTCATTTTAAAGTTTTGACTTTGTATGTGCTAGTTGCTCGGCAAAAACGCAGTGTATTATTACAGTGCCCTAATATTCACAAACTCGCTAATTCGAGACTATTATGCTTTGAAATCTATGGAGGTCGATGCTGGATCGGTGTGTTTTGAGTTGCAAGTGATGTGCTTTCACCTACAATCGGTCAAACTGATACATGACACAAAAATAGTTTGATGTACTGGATCCTACCATTGCTCTATACGTTGGAACCACACTGGTCACTGTAGGCTTATTGCTCAACCTTGAAGTCCTGAGGCTGCTCGGAATTCGAGGTGGGTTTTTTACTGTTGGGGTTTAACATAGTGTCTCCGCTCGCTGACCAACTGATTTGTTAGGAATGTACAATGGTGACAGGTAAAAAGCATGTGGATTCTATCGTGTATTGATCTATTGGAAACTCCCTCTCTGACTTTTCCTGATACAATTACGTAGTTTCGGTTTCTTATTCGACCAACCCTTCGTCGATGGCGTTTTCCGCATCCCTGATCCACAATACACTGGTGCTGCTATGGCCTTCTTTGGTTATGCCATCAAGACTCGTTCGCTTGTTGGTCTAGGTAACAGAAATGTTTGTCTGGAAGTGTCGGACGACATATTATATTGTCTAACACACATGTTGATCTAGGTTTGGCAATGGTAGCTAGTTTAACATACATAGTCTCTGTGACATTTATAGAAGGTCCCCATCTCGTCAGAATATACAGCGAGAGAAAGACCAAATCATCAAAGAAACATTCTAACGGCTCTTCCAATGGAAATGGAATTCACCACAATGGAAACGGCCACTCGAATGGACTTCACAAGGAAGAGTAAAGCAATTGGACTATTGTATTTTGGTGGCGTTCTTTCGGATTGTATAAATGAAGACGCTTTCAGAGAAAAAAATAACATCGCACAAATTTCCCCGAACGTTGCTTCGCAATTGAAACTCACATTGGGTTGCGAGTTTTTTAGTTCGTTAAGCTTGTTGTTGGATACGATAGGAGAGCCAAAGACGAGCATTAAATGTGGAGCTTTTTTTGAATGCTCTTTCCCTCTGTAGATCACCCTAGGTTTTAAAAAAAACACTTGTCAAAAACAAGAAGCAGACACACTAAGCTTTGGTCGTGGGTACAGACTGTGATCATCAAAGGCCCTCAGCCTCTTATTTATTTTAATATTCTCGGTATGGCCCGGCCTGATCACTCCTACATACATACAAGTCACTAACATCCCCTCATGACATAGTATACATTACACTAAATTCAATAGCACCATGAAGAAATTCCTGCAAAACCTCCCCAAACTAGGCCGAGGACTAGACACGTCTCGAAATGTATTCGGAGGCACATTAGAAGGGCTCCTAGATCAAGACTTTGAGGATATGGTCGATGGCGATGGTGTTGGATCTGAACCTGGCATTCCTAGTGCTGTGCAGAGGTTTATAGAGTATTTGAGGCAGGAGTGTGGTATGCGTGTTGTTTTGTGCAAAGGGGGTGTGGTATTGGGCTAATGTTGCTTTTTGATAGTCCTAAACCGAGAGGGTATATTTCGATTAGCTGGGTCGTCTGCACTTATAGCACAGCTTCGCGATGAGATTGAGAGAAGTGAGAATGTGGCTTCGCTGGTTGGAGGCTCGGGATGATGATGTGGGTGAAGCTAACGCTGGTTTTTTGATGTTAGCGAATGTTGTGGACTTTTCAGCAACTGGTGAACGTGAAATTCCGTCTATTTGTGGACTGTTTAAACAGTTCTTGCGTGAGCTGTCTGATGGTGTCATACCTCGGAAGTGTTTTCAGGCTTTTGCAGACGCTGGTGGTATGTGAAAACACTATCAAAGAATGTGTTTGCTGTTCACAGTGTGCTTACCTTTTTCTGCATTAGACTCAATCTCAAAAATAAAGCAAGCTATAACACAAATCCCTCAACCCAACCTCGACGTCCTCTTCTACATATGTCGGTACCTCCTCCTTGTAGCCGAAAACGAACCCAAAAACAAGATGGGAATCCCAAACCTCGTTATCGTATTCGCTCCAAACCTCTTTCGCTGCCCAAGCGAAAAGGGCACACCCGAGAAATTCCTGGTCGAGTCTATGCAAGCGTCTAAAGCAATGGGAATCATGCTCGACAAGTTCCATGACGTGTTTGATGATGATGCACTATCAGGAGGTGTTAATGGAATACGGGTGTCGCCAACCAAGATGGCTAAATTGAGTAAATACGCATCGTATAAGAAGAATAGTCCGTTTAGTAGTGGGGAGGTGCTGAGTGGTAGTCGTGGGCAGTTGGGTTCTATGACTGCTATTGAGCAGAGTAAGGGAAGGAATAGTGTTTCGTCGTCGTCAAACAGGTATGATTTGCTCTTTTTTTTTGTTAAGTCATTTTAAGGCCAAAAAATGCCAAATAGGAACCTGCAGATATCTTCTATTAACCAAGTCGCACCTGCTTCTCCATATAGCCCACACAGCTTTGTCGAATCACCAACAGAAGCCAGCCGCGAGAAGGGTGGTCTTGATCATAGAATATCGCCTAGGAAATCAGAGGCTGGAGAAGGTGACGCTCCTGCTCCCACGAAACGTGACACTAAAGCCATTCCTATGCTATCAGAGCTCAAAGTGAGTGGAAAACAACAGGTTGAGAACTTGAGCTGGTGTTTTATGAACTCTGGGAATCAGATTGCTGAAGATTATTGTTTTCTCTGTTTTAGACGAAATTATCTGAAAAGGCAGGTGTACAACAAGACTCATTCTTGGATGAAGTTTTGGCTCCAATTGAGAGGAACAAGGATAAAGATGATGAGCTTTTGCCTGAACAGCAGAATACCGACAAGAAGAGGTATACATGTCAGAAACACCTGGCATTTTTTGCTATTTGTTTGGCCCCAACCTAACCAAAACGCTTTCACAGGCGGACATCTGGATCAGCAGATAGCATGACAAAAGATGCAGCATCACATGTAACAGTAGAAAAGATGCCCGCTCCACAAGTGGTGACAAAACAACGAGTCCCACCTAAACCTCCGGCGAGAAAAGCGCCAACACCCGCTAAAGACCTGCCACCATTACCACCGCCTCATCGTGCACCACAAATCCCTCATCCATCACCACATGCATTACAATCAGGTAGTGGTTCACCACTAGTAGTAGATGCCACGCCGCAGCTTCCACCTGCTAAACGAGCTGTCATTATGCCGAATCCACGAGCCGGCTCGTATCCGGGTACTAATGGTATGAGCCCTGCAGGACCATTATCTGCTGGTGCTGAAACTGCCCAACAGCAGCAGCAATCATCTGAACCAAGAAGGAGATCATCACTATCAGGCTCCAACGGTTCACTACGCTCGTCAACCGGCGAGCGCAAAACAGTGACATTCGTAGACCCCACCCTATCATCCGAATCCGAAATACTGGAAACGAGTGAAATAATGACGACTGCAACAACCGCCACAACATCAACTGAAGAATCAAGTATGATTCAAACAAGTAAAAAACCAAGTGTGCCTGCATCGTCATCTAGTATGGGCCATATTGTAGAATCAGATCATGAATTCTCTGAAGATGGAAATACGAGTACTGGTGATGAGTTGCATTCGTCTGATGACGAGTCGTCGAATAATGGTCATTTGATGCAGAGCCAGCAAAAGAAGCAGCTTGTGGCGGGACATTTGAGTAATCCGTTATCGCCTGAATCGCCTGCATCTGTGCAGAATACGGCCGTGTTTCATAATACGATGGATGCTGTTATTTCTGGAAATATTGAGTTGATTCCGTTGGGACAAGGGAGGGTCAAGGAGGCCGCACAGAGGATTTCGCGTAGTCTTACGAATGTGAGTATAAGTTATAATGGGTGCCAAACTAGTTTATCTCTCATCGACCACCATCCCTGATTCTCTTCCGATTTTTTTTAGCTCAATGAGGTCTCCGCCTCAAAGAAGTCGGGATCCAATGCCAGTCTCAGTCGACTCGCCTCACCAACTCATAATCCCTCGTCTCCACTTGCTGCTAATAGTATAGTTAGTAAATCGCCATCACGAGCAACAGCGGAACAACAACAACCCACAAGTAGTAGTAATGCCTCGGCTGAACTATCAGATACAGCGCCACTCCCCACTGAAATGTCACGAGAAGATTCCATGGATCCCAGTAACATCCAATCCGAGTATTACGATGACGATGCAGACAACCTCCTCATATCTCAACGCAACAGTGTTGTCACACCACGAGCTAGCATCATCAGCAGCAGCAATTCCCACACCTCAAATGGCAGCAAACCACTCCCACATCCATCAACCCTCACATCCGACGCCTACAAGTCTCTACGCGCAGAGGGCAAACAACTCGCCCAAAAAATTCGGCTGGGTAAACAAGCCGGCTTGAAATCCATTCAAATGAGTGACGATATCAAGAGGTTTAGAGAACTGAAAGCGTATCTACAGGATCATCCACCTGTTGGGCTTCAAGTCGCACCGCCACAGCTTGTGACGAGTGATAACAGTATTGCTGAACCACCATCGCAGTGTCAGCTAGCGCTGCAGAGGCTTGATAAGCAGAGGAAGAGAGAGGGAAGGCCGTATGACGTTATGGTTATGAATGCCGGGCAGCTGAATGATGAGAAGAGTGCTGTGAGGAAGGAGCTGGGGGCGTTAAAGGCACTGTTCGCGAGTCGGGATGGGACAAAGACTGTGGTGAGTATATGCTGTTGGTGGGTCAGGTAATCACATTGTTGGCTAACGTTTCATGACTTTTTTTAGCCTACAAAGGATGATCGAACCATGATGCGAGAATTGTATCAACGCTACTGTGAAGTCAAGGATCGGTTGGCTAGTTTGGATCCTTTGGCGCAGGTTGAAGGGGAAGAGACTGAGGATCAGAAAATGTATGTGTTGTGTGCTTACATTATAATTTATACGGTCTTGGGGGCTTTTTGCTGACTCGAACCTTTGGTTAGATATAAGCAATTACGATCCGATAAACGCCAGCTACAAGTCATGCTGCATAATTTCCAAGAGCAATTCAAAAAGGAGAATGGACGTAATATTCAGACGTCAGTTGATCGGGAGCCTGTTGCTGCTGAATATAAACGATACAAGGTAAAAGCCCCAAAACAACCTTCAACCGATAATTTCATGACGACTCTGGTGTTGCAATATGTGCCACTACTACTTTTATTTACACTGTACTTTTCTATACACGTAGGAAATCAAGGAGCAGATCAAAGAGATTGAAGAGAAACTAGGCATAAGTGCCACTGATGAGAGCTCTACAGCTCAGTAAATAGCCACATTCTTTTAAATATGTAGAACTAGTTGTTTTTTTGGGGGATTTTGATTTTTTGTTGCTGTGGTTTCTTTGATGGACATTTTCCCCTCTTGCATTTATTTGGAATGCATATCCTCCTTTTGTGAATATAGTTTCTTGGCCTCATCTAAACATTATTGTTGTTGTTGCTGTTGTTGCTGTGGAGGGTGCTGCTGTTGTTCTTGTGGTGCTGGATTCGATAATTCAGCTCTAAAGTGATGAAACCGGAGCGTCAGATGTTAAATTAGTTAAATTAGAATGAAATAAATCATCCTCAACATCCAATAAACATCGTGGTTGTGCCAGTAACAAAGAAAAGACAGGATGTCTGCGCGAATGTTTGATCCCCTCCCAAACAACAGGACACACATACCGCAACTGCCTCGTGAAATCATCATCTAGATCGGCATCGTCCCAATTCACAATCCATCCTTGTACGTCTGTATGGTCTTCTTCTGTTTCTGGCCAATCTAATCATAGAAAAGGTGTGAGCTTATTTAACGAGTATGGTATAGGGCAAGCACATACCCTCACGATCAAAGTCTTCGAATTCATCATCGTCTTCGATTGGTGGGAGCTTTGGTTGCTGCTTTGGGTCGGTTGAGGAGGTAGCTGCCATGGTTGAGGTTTTTGAAAGTTTGGAATGCGGGGTTCGTTGAGACAAAGAGCTTCAAGGTGCCCCACGCGTCACGGAATTGCCGGGATTTATGAGCTTGTAAAATCCCTGTTTCGGGACAATATATAGGCGTTTGGTTCCTACTCGCCACATTGGAATGTTTTGATAATTTAGCTTCAAGCACATTAAGGAGCGTAAAGGAAGAGCGGCGGGATAGACCTTACATAACTACGTGACTTTTGGCTCCATAATTCACATTCATCACATTGGCATCTACCCCTTAGGGCCTTAGGGCTGTTATTACTGCATGTGGTATGTTTTGGCTCTCACATCAAAAACCACAAAAGAACATGGCCATTGTTGCTGCACTTGGAAACCTGGTTGGAAATTACAAACTTTTGTGTTAATTTGGCTGCTGGAATCGAGTAAGAGTCACGTACATAGTCAAGGTCGGCCCAAGGGAATCGACAGATTGAGGGTCTCAAACTTGCGCCATTCTTTGAACATCGTTCCTCATTGATCTAGTGCCAGAACAAACACGAATTACCCACTGCTTCATACTATGCCAATATCCTCTTCCGGGCGTAGCAGTCCGGCACGCTCAAAACAACCCAGCATCGACAAAGGAAGTGTAAAACCACCATTTGTTGTTCCTCCTCCCACTCTCGTAAAGCCTAGAAAACCATCTCCTGTAACGACGAACAAGGATTTATCTAAAATTAATACTGGAGCTATGGATTACACGACTGCTGCTCCTGCTATACATTTACCCCCGCCTGTAGAAATCAGGAGTAATGTGACGACACAGTATGACAGGGAGAACCATGATGCAAGAATGTTGCTCAAGGTGGTGCCTGCTATTAGTGCATATTGTGCTAGTAGCATATTCATGACAGTCACCAACAAGTTAACACTTTATTACTTTCGGATTCCGACCTTCTTGATGTTGGCTGCTCAGGTGAGTTGCTGCAAGACAAAGACTTGCTTCAATTGTAGCCTTTCAAGGATTTTTTGCCTTGTCTATTACACATACAAGTTGATCTGAAGTCTCGATTGGTCTGTAAACTTTGTAATCTGGAGCTCCCAGTGCAAATCATCAAAGTGAATACACACTAATCCAGTAATAGATACACCCTCCAAGCTGATCTCACACAATCTCACTGCCAACATCATTAGACAACCATATCGCTATTACTGTTGGAGGCCTTTACGAGAGCTAACTGGGTAAAGCATCGACGATTCAATGCATCTGAGGCTGCCAAATGGATGCCAGTGGCATTAGCACTCGTAGCAATGACATTCTCAGGTTTCAAAGCACTGGAACATTTGAGTATACCAATATTCCAGATATTCAAGAACCTCACCATTATTATAATCGCGTATGCTGAAAGGCACTTTTACTCTGGGTCTCCTGTAAGCGGTGTTTGAGAAGCCTGATTTCTTCAATGCATGAATTGCTGCTTAAGATTTTTCCCCCCTCAAATCTTAACATTATTCCAACAACGAATAGGTAACAGTCAGCATGTTCTTCTCATTCACCCTAATGGTCTTCTCGTCAATCCTCGGCGCAATCGGAGACTCTAGATCCACCTTCCCGACAACACACGCGTCCTCTTACTTCTGGATGCTAATCAACATTGCATCGACAGCCTACTACACCCTTATAATGAGATCCCGGATACGACAATCGGGATTTAAGGATTTCGATATGGTATATTACAACAATATCTTGTCTATTCCACTACTGGCTGTGCTGGCAACGGTTACAGAGACGTCTCAGATATCGAGCTTTTATGCAAAGTATTTTGGAAGTGGATTGAGTGCGCTGGAGAGGTATCAGAGAAGAGATGAGGTGGCGGTTTTGATTGGAGTTGTGCTGGTTAGTAGTGCTAGTACTTTTGCGATTTCTTATGCTACTGCTCTGTGTGTCAGGGTGACGAGTAGTACGACTTACAGGTGAGTTCTTGAGGGCAAGACAAGATTTGACAAAAAACCACCCCCCAAACCATGACGTGTGTATTATCAACAAACTGACTTTTCTTCACTGTATAGCATGGTTGGAGCACTAAATAAGCTTCCCATAGCTGTTGCTGGGATGCTAGTGTTTCCTCAGGACTTGACAATTGGAAACGTCCTTGGAGTTTTGATTGGTAAAGCTTGAGAGATTACGACGTTTTTAAAATGAAATTCATCTCATTCGTAGCACTGACACACATTCTCTCTCGTCTATCTCACAGCATTCTTGAGTGGCATAATATACGCTCAAGCCAAAACAGCACAGACTGCACTATACGGTCTATCACCAAATGGTTATATAGGAGGCGACGAAAAGTACTCGCCAACGGAAAGCGTGGATGGCAGTCTAGGTGGTCGCTTTGGATCCGATATGAACTTGCCGCATAGTAACAAGTCAACATAAGAGTAATCGGGATAATCATGTTATCACGGGTAGCTTTATTTGTATTTAAACAACATTGTAAACAAGGAAACATTACTTTGACGTAGTCCAAATCACGTGAATCTGTTGAATCTGTCGCACGGTTGGACGTTTGGGGCGAAAAAAGCCAGAGAACATCGTGCAACTTTTGGTCGTAAACGCTGCTAACCACTCTACTGACCCCTCGTCACCTACATGTGCACCGACAGTCGATCGAAAATTTCGTCGGCGTTGGTGCAGTAGTTAGCATATTGGGACCTCACCCCAAAGACAGGGGTGCGAATCCCCTATGCCGAAATGTTGGTGGGGGGTTTTTTTTTTTGCTTGTTTGACAACAATTAAAACAACACAAAAAGGATTAGGTTTTCAAAGCCCTAAGTGAACCGTGTGCTGGGACCATGAAGCAATTGGTCTGGAAATTGATATGCAGTTCTACTTGACGATCAAATTTTGATGCCTCAAGTCAAATGCTTTGCAACTTGGGATTAAAAGATCCAAGCTTAACGAGAAAAGCAAGAATGTATGCGTGAAGAACAACTGAAAATGATATCGCTAGAGATTAAGATTCACAAAATGGATGTCTCTTCGCGTTTACAAGGTGTGCCCACGCGAAATGTGTGTTGACTTGAAGCTTCAAACGTTTGACTGGATCATCCCATACGATTTGGTTTACAAGACAGGGAGGGAGAATGGAAAAGTCTAGATTGTAGGTGCATTTGAAAACCATGGACTGCAAGAATTTTGTTTCGAGTCATACACAATGTGAGTCCTTTTCAACCCAAACAGTCTCTTCGAGTTTGCCCTGGTCGAAAACACGTAAATTAGGAGAGATTCGATGCTTTTATTGATGAACAAGCTTGCCTCGCCGTTGAACAGGCTATTCCCGTCGACGAGGTAGCTGCTAGCTCGACGGTTGTGGAAGTTCACCAGCAGCAGAAGCAGCGGTGCTCAGCGTACCCAAGCAGCCCTTGTCGTGTGCACCACCATCTTTATCAACTCACAGAATTAATTATAGCAACAATACACTCAATGTTGTTGTTCAAGAAGTGTGTTTGATATCCAAACCCTTTTCATGTCGAAATGGGCTTAAGCTAGCCGCGTCCAATTCAAAATTATCTTGACAGCATCGAAAACGGAATGGCAGGACTACGTCAGGTTCACCACTTTTGATCCAACACGTCCTTTGTCCTTGCATCTTGCAAACTTTTGACAAAAGCATATAACTAGCTCAAACATGGACGAGGACGAGATAGTACCAGCGACCACACAGAGAGAGTCCACGGCGGAGCCATCGAGAACGACTACTAGACAAGTGCCAGGTTAGTTGTCTTGTAATTTGTTGGTATCGTCTTAGCATTGTCTGAGCATTTTTGTCAAATAAATTAAGCACACGTTCACGACCATACCAAACCCGTAAAATCCACATTTAATTTTGTTAATCCTAATATTGTCATGTATTCTATATATAGGAGTGCCAGCACCCATCCGCACAAAGCTCAGCGACTCTGAATTTTGGGTTGATTCAACACAGACAAAGCTCAACCTGCAAAATCTACGGACTCAGTTTGCCGGCGAAGGACGACTAACTATTGCTCAAGCTATTTGGATATTGAAGGCTGCTACTCTGCTATTGTCTAAGGAGGATAATCTACTAGTGTTACCCTCACCCATTATTGGTAGGTGGTTTACATGTGCTATTGGTTATAGCATATGTGGGCGGTGGTGGCGCCTGTATTTACAGATGTATTGTTGCTGGCTTGTGGTGGTTGATGCACATGTGCGCTATTACCCATCGTTGATTATCCCTTGTTGATCAAATGCCCGACACTAGTTTGTGGCGATATACATGGACAGTTCTATGATCTACTTCAGCTATTGGATGGGAATGGTGACCCGGCTACAACGAGGTATTGACAAAAGGCTTAAGGCATACTCTCAAAGGAATTCACGTTTCGTAAAACATTCTCCTCCAGATATCTGTTCCTGGGAGATTACGTTGATCGAGGTTACTTTTCAACAGAGGTACGTCGTGTGTAGTTACTCACGAAACTGTATTCGGGTTTATTACAACCTGTTTTTTCTTGCAGTGCCTACTATATCTATACGCATGCAAAATCTCATATCCAGAGACCTTCTTCATGTTACGTGGGAATCATGAGTGTCGGAGGTTGACTGAATATTTCACCTTCAAACAAGAATGTATGAGCTGTCTCTATCGATTTTTTGTCTCTCAATTTTCTTTTTTGTCTCACCATTCCACCACATTAGCACTATTTAAATACTCTGAAGAATTCTATGAAGAAGCAGTAACATCGTTCTGTGCACTGCCATTGGCAGCAGTCATGAACAAGCAGTTTCTATGTGTGCATGGTGGCATATCTCCTCATTTGGCTACGCCTGAAGATATCAATGAAGTATGAGACCGTGAATTCAAATTTCAATTGATGAAGAGCTAGCATCTAATTTTTTTGGTCGTGTAGATCGACAGGTTTAGAGAACCACCAACACATGGATTAATGTGTGATTTACTATGGGCTGATCCATCAGAAGAGTTTGGAACAGAGGAGACACTAGAGTTCTTCGTGCATAATCATACTCGGGGATGCTCGTATTATTATACGTAAGCAGTGCTGTCGTGCGTTTGCAACAACTTGCTCGGGCCGTCGCCTTTGTTGGTTTTTTGCCGGACGAACAATTTTTATTACGTATAGGTATAATGCATGTTGTGCTTTTCTCGCCAAGAACAAACTGCTGTCGATTATAAGGGCGCACGAGGCTCAGGACGTTGGGTATGTTTGAAAATCAGTTCTGGTTTTTAGCGCTTCCTCCCCGACAAGTCAAATTCAATATGAGGAACAGAATCATTGTCCTTCACTAACATGATGTGTATATACTAGATACAAAATGTATAAAGAAGTTGCATCAACAGGATTTCCGTCATTGATAACTCTATTCTCAGCCCCTAACTATTTGGACGTGTATAACAACAAGGGTAAATAAAGCAATGCTTGGTTCAGTATTAATTCATCCATGCTCACTCAGACTTCGTTTCACTAGCTGCGGTCCTGAAGTATGAAAACAATGGTACGCTCACTACTGGAGTTATGTTTGTAAGACTGATAATTTTCACCCATGTCACCCGTTTCAATTAGCTATGAAGATAAGACAATCGAAGGCTGTGCCACATCCATTTTTCTTGCCGTCATTTATGGCAAGTCTCTACTTCAATGAGTATTTTTTATAGCCAAAGAAAAAAAATCTTATGCTATTCTGTGATGTAGGATGTGTTCACGTGGTCTATGCCATTTGTTGGAGAAAAGAGTATGAAACAGTGGCTGCGCTAACCACTATATCCAAATTTGTTAATGCTTTTTTTGCTAGTTACTGAAATGTTGGTTGGTGTCTTGGAGGTATGCTCTCCAGACGAGTTACTACCCGATAGAAGAGAGATTGTCAAGAGCAAGATCCGTGCTGTGGCAAAGATGAACAGAAATTATCGATTACTTAGGTATGCGTTCTAATATCTAATTCCGATGGGAATAGGAGGAAAAAACTTTCAAAGATTTAACCCACATTGCTCTGCTCGTCCGTGAACTCCCACCACATGCTTCGCTTACACCCACCATTTCCACGCACATTTAGGGAAGAAAGCGAAACCATATCCGAACTAAAATCCAAACTGACCGATCAACGACTCCCATACGGAACACTCTCATCTGGCGCCGAAGGCATCCGAAACGCCATCAAAGGGTTTGAGGATGCACGATGCTCTGATATTGATAATGAGAAGATCCCGCTATCACGAGATGAAGATGAGTTGAGCATACAAGATACAGTGTTTGGAGTCATTCAGCCAGCGGTCGAGTCTAGAAAACGGTCGACTATACCGCTGATTGATTTCCCGGATGAGGACGATAGTATGACGTTTAGTAGTGCGCCTGAGAATTTTGAGGATGAGGATGAGGGGACGGATCTTGGTGTTGGTAGTGGGTCGCATTCTGTTTGAATGCCTATGACAAGGACTGTTGTGAGAACTTTTGTTAAATTGAGGAAGGATTGTTATGGAGGTAATTTGGAATTTGTGAGAGGGGGTGTTTTGTGTGGTTGGAGAGATGATTATTGGATGAAATAGAATTGAATAAAGTAGTATTTATATTAAAGCAAAGGTCTAGTATCTCAGTTTACATTGTGTTTTGTGGTTCAGTTGGAACGAGTCGTGTTACGTTCTCTGCTTGGCAGCGTTTTTAGCTTTATACTCTGATGGAGAGACAAAGTTTGGTAGTGACCATATTCCAATCTTTTTCGATCTATAAGCAAATTACGTGTCAGAGATAAGAGTCAAACAACATCAACATGCACCTCGCCGAGCAAAAAAAGCAGCCCATAATAGTGCTATGAACCAAGTGTACTCACTTTGCCCGTTTCTCTTCCTCCAAGTATCTAACTTCTCTGCCACCATATTCAGCTCCAGCCTGATTGTAAACAACAGCCAACCCATTCCGTAGCATTTCCAATCCAACATCCTTCTTCCACAACACGTAATAAGGGACATGAGCAGAAGCGACTAATCGACCATATTGATCTTTTCTGTATGGTTTGATTGTGATTCGTTTGTGTAATATTTGGGAGCGCAGGAATTCGATTGCTTCCTCTGCGAATGGTTGTCCTATGAGGAAGCGTGTTACAAATTGCCAGTAGGCGAGAGTGAGATTTGAGAAGAGTCCAACCTGGATTTCCGAAATGGGGCAGTTCGGGTGCGTCTACGCCAGCGAGACGAATGGATATGGTTTGGTCGCTTTTTACTAGTGGTTTGTGGTGGGTTTGTTAGTACGACCTGATGCAGTTGGGTTTGTTGACAAGAGGCGAGCGAAGCAACAACAATGACATCCGATGCGATACGGGACCGTTAAGATTACGATATACAATGATGCAATGCCACAATTGCATCCAGCTTGATTGTACGCACCTTTTGTTGGTACTGTCCTCCACCTCCATATCCCAGGGAGATGAAATAGTCGAAATCCATCACCATCGTTTACGGCAGTGACTTTCCCGAACAAGGATTTGTGTCGTTTCAGTGTATATGGCGTGATGTATTCTGCAGTCTGTATCCTTCTTGACTTTAAGGCAACAATTACGGCAATTATCGTTATTGTCGTGCCAGTCCCAGCAGTGATTACGCCAGCCTGTGCCTGGACCGAGAGGGTGTGCCATAGCGACGATATAGCATCCATTACTAGTAGTCTGTGAGTGAGTGATTGTATCAGTTGCTGTTTGATGTTTTGAAACAATTGTGAAGCAATTACGAAACAATTCAACTAATCAATAATATAAAACTAGTCATAGCCTATCTAATAATATACCTGGATGGACAACTACCAACCTCTGGAGATCATTGGATCAGGCAGCTTTGGAATAATCAGAAAAGTGCAGCGGAAATCTGATGGAAAGGTACATAGCAGTTCCCAACTGATGCACTGCACATCCACACAGTTCATACATCATTTCATTTATTATATTACATTTTAATACGTTTACATAATGACCCCACATGCCAACCACAACACATCATTAGATCTTGGCCAGAAAGGAGATTGACTACCGCAAAATGAGCGACAAGGAGAAAAAACAACTGGTCTCGGAAGTCAACATCCTGAGGGAATTAAGACATCCAAATATCGTCAGATACTATGAGAGATTCGTCGACAGAGAAAACTGTTTGATTTATATCATTATGGGTATGTGCGTTTTGTAATTGTTGCAGTCCAGCTGGGCTAGCTAGTTACTCACCTTATCACACATAGAATTCTGTGACGGAGGCGACTTGGCTTCAATCATTAAACGATGCAGACGGGAAAAGTGTGCTCTTGCAGATTTACATCGTTGGAACAGCAGTAGAGCTCCAGCTAACCGGTCTTTTTTTTGTTAGCAAACGAATACCAGAAGATGTAATCTGGCAAATATTCGTTCAATTACTACTAGCACTGAATGAATGTCATTTCGGAGGGAGTGGCAAGTCTGGTCCACATCCTGCTATCTTGCATAGGTATACACATGTGTAGCGTTTATTCAAAGAGCAAACGACCAAAAAGCAACCGTATTGCAATCGCTAATAAGTTTTGTGTCATTTCCTTAGAGACATCAAACCTGATAATGTGCTACTGGATGCACATCAAAATGCCAAACTATCTGATTTCGGATTGTCCAGAGTCATTGATTGCCCTGAAAGCGAGTTTGCGAGGACTTATGTTGGGTAACAAAACAAACAACTAGCCAGAACATTGCAAGACGCCAGTGTCACTAACACGTCTTCATTTGCTTTCATAGAACGCCATTTTACATGTCTCCAGTAAGCGAACAACACAAGCATTTACCTATACCATTTACGAGCCAAACACTCATCGCATCCGTGTAGGAATTGGTGACAGAAACGTCTTACAACATGAAATCAGATATATGGGCATTAGGTTGTCTATGTTATGAGCTCGCGGCTCTGGAACCACCGTTTCAGGCAAAAACTCAAGCTGGACTGGCACTTAAAATCAAACAAGGGAGAATACCTCCTTTGCCATCGCAGTATTCTCCTGATCTTAATCGGTGTATACAGGCCATGTTGCAAGTTAATGTGAGTTCCTTGTTGGAGTCTGGAAAAGAGGCAATAGGCCCTGGTGTTTTCGATGATATATTCGTGGCTTTTTTCTCGTCGAGTGTACCTGCAAAGGGATGTTTTTCTAATCTCTCGCTTATTTTATTTTGGTATAGCATTTGAAGAGACCAACTGCTGCTGACCTGCTAAGGGTTGATAGGATTAAAGTCGTGCTGCGAGAAAGAGAGTTGAACCAATTGTGAGAATGTCAAAACAGTCTTATTTCTTTTTCGGCTTTAATGATCTCACATGCCAGTTTCTTTAGATCGATTGAACTGAAAAAGAGGGAAGATGAAATAAAGAAGCGTGAATCAGCTATAGAGACTAGAGAGGCCACTTTAAACGGTATAGAAGAAGCACTGAGGAGACGAGAAACTGAACTTGAAGAACGTGAAAAGGCTGTTTCTGTGACTGATTGCAAGTATTAGCTCTGAACTTTACACGTTTTCTCTTTATGAGTGTCAGTTGCAATACAAACGAATTCTAAATGCCCATTTCATTTCTGACATATTAGCTCGTCAATGGTATGCTCCTCGGGAGAGGACTTATAGTCCCAATGTGTAAGTTTTACTGAGGCACTTCTCTATAGTCCAAATGTTTCGATGTGGTTTAGTCGACTTGCACAATCAAGACACCCAACAATTCTTTCTTCTCAGGTACTCGTCCTCATCAGCAATGAGCACATCGCCGTCAATGCCAACAGTCGCTTTGCATACAACGTATGCAGCTCTCAGTCCAACCAACACTTCCATAACACGAAGAAAGAGTATGGCTATGGCTGGCATGGTTGTGTCTGGTGCTCCAAGTAATAGTAACGTTATGCGTGATATTACACGTGATGTTGGAAGATTGGGGCTTGTGGGGCCAAGTAATTTTGGTGGACTTGTTGGGCATCGTTGAATGTACATGCTGAGTCATGCAGATGGTTTTTTTGGTGAAGGCAAAGCTACAGTTCATTTTTTGTATATAGTATAATAAGCTACATTATCTCACAGTGTATGTGAATTTTTGGATGGTGCTGACGTTTGTTTGACTTTGGATTTTGATAGAGAACAAAAAGGGCTGCAGAAAGCCCGACGGGATCGAATCAGCTTGAATTCCGTATTCAGTTAGGCGTGCTTGACAAGGAAGCCTTTGTTGCTATGCCTCCCTCAATCGGCGCACTTCTTACGGTCGCAAACCATTCACCGCCCATTACGAAGAGCTGAAAAGTCAGTTGTCACATCATAGTTATTTGACTACTTGGAACCCAGCATCACCTGCTGCCAACAATGTCATCGAAGGCTGGTTTTTATTGGCTCCTGGGAATTGGAGTGCAAATTTTCCAGGATTTTCAACGTGTTCGAACTTTATAATTGTATCTGGTGTGACGACTAGTAACGTTATGCGTGACTTTTTACGTGATGTTGGAAGATTGGGACTTGTTGGGCCAAGTAATGTTGGTGCATGACTTGTTGGCCATCGTCGTTGAATGTACATGGGCGACGGCTTTTTGGTGGAGGCAAGCTAAATATCATATTTTGTACATAGTATAATAAGTTACATTATCTCACCTTGTATTTGGAGTTTTTGGACGTTGCTGAGGTTTTCTTAAGTTTGGATTCTTGCGAGGCAAAACAGGCACAGCAAAGCTAGACCAGACTAGTGACTGACCTGACGAGCTTGATTTCAGTATCCAATTGACGCGTTTTACAGGTAGAATCTCGTTGCTATGCCTCCCAGAATTTCGGGCGCACTTCTTACGGGTCACGCACACATATGCAACACAGAAACGGGACGAGTTGCGGGGGTGTTTTGAGAGCTATTTAGAAGCGGTCGCTTCTCTTGAGGCGTCATCATTTTCTTCATCTGATGACTATCGAGCTATTGAGTGCTTTCAACTGCTTCTTTGGCCGCTCTTCCAAGTGTAAGTGCCACATTGCTGAATATCGTGGATTTCACAAAGCATTTTTAACATACTGGATTACAAGAGCTAAATATGAAGTAATTCGACTCGTGTGTAAATTGTATGAGTAACTTGCTACTTGTCAATGTCAGAGCCACGGGATTGGTCTATGCAATATGCAACATTTGTACCAAAAAGGGGCTCAACCAGCCATTCAGGAAGACGCAACAATGCCGGTTTTTTCACCAAGATATTTATTATGATGGAGGTCTAATGGTCTAAAATTGATTACGCAATTATGATGCTTTGACGGGTTATGTTCTTTTACAAGGTGTAGCGACGTAAACCCGACTTGGCAGCATCCATCCTTCGGTTTCGAAAAACGAATGACATACGGACGGCCAATGTCAGCTGTTTGAAGAAAATTTGTGAGTTGAAACCATGTATGATGTCTACGAGGACGGGCAAGACACTTACAAGAGCACCAAAAATCAAGATACTCGCATTGAAGAAATTTCCTCGTACGTAGTGAGGTGCATCGTTTGGTTGATATATTTGGCCTGCGTGAGGAGAAAAAAGTGATAGGTACTCGTAATGCAAGTTGGAATCATTGAACTGAAACGTACCACCAATGATACCAGCGACTCCACCAAGACCGTTGATTAGACCCATTGCGAAACCACGGGCTGATGATTGTGGGTGGTTGTTTGCGACCCTGTATATTTGAATGTTTTGTTAGTGCCTATCTGTTGGGGTGTAGTCACGTCAAACCCAAATTACGTACCAACCGTGAAGAAGTGGAACACTTGCCATGGTTGCTGAAGAATTTACAAGACAATGTTAGAAAAGATCTAATCACCTGGATCTTCGTCCATCCAGATAAACCATTTCCTGTCTGTTTTTTGCCACATTACCTGATGTAAAGAACAACATTGCATAATCAGCAGGTGGCTGCCAAACCGTTGCCAAAACAACAAATGCAATGCTGGCAACTGATAACCCCGCAATGATGATTACAGATCGGTCCCCGATTCTGTCGGATATGTTTGAAAGGATGATTAGGACTATGGCACTCCAGATGCTGGTTGGGACTGTCATCCATTGTCTATATAGTTGGAACACTGTTGGGAGAGGTCTTTGGAAAAAAAATGAGAACCCGAATCTGGTGGGATGCACTTACGCTAGAGTGCCGGTATATCCAAGATATGTCAAGATTGTTGGTTGAAAGTATGAGATGGACCATCTGATGAAGCAGCTATGTTAGTTCATGTGTATCTTGAAGTGAATCAAGAATCCAACAATGTATGAAGTCTGTTTTTTTTTTTGCTTACCCAGGCACATTGGCACAAACAAACACCAAGCATTGAGCCCACACTTCTGGCTCTTTCAGCACACCCCAGACCTCATCCATCTTGAAATGCTTGGAACCACCATCAACAGCATCGGTATCATTTCGTAATCGGTTGATTGCAATTTCTTTTTCACGTTCATTCAAGAATTTGCATGTCTAAGCAAGTGACGTTGAGTTTGTCAGATGAGGCTGACACTCTTGGCTTCAATATGCAAACATACCTCTGGATAGTCAGGCAAGAAAAAGGCACAGATTATTCCAACCAGGACTGGTGGAACACCTTCAATGATAAACAACCATTGCCATTGCTGGAGACCAGAGATTCCATTCATGTATGATATGGCTCCAGCGAGGAGACCTGAGAATGCTGTTGCCATGGATGATGCACCGAAAAACCAGGCGATTCGGCCACCAATTTCGTCGCGCTTGTACCAGAATGTGCACCAGAATGTTAGACCGGGGAAGAGACCTTTTTGTTGTTATGGATGGATGAGTTAGGTATGTGACGAAATGGGCATAGCTGGGTTGGAGGTCATTTTTTACCTGCTTCACAAGCACCAAGGAAGATTCTACAAGACAGCGAAACAGGTATTAGAATTGGAATCTCTTTGTAACAAGACGAGGTTTTGGCCCTTGTACCGCAAAGTCATGACTCCGCTAAATGACGAGGCAGCAGCAAAGCAAGTCGACACAATTCCCCAAGAGATGGCAATTCGTGACAGCCATACGCTAGGCTTGAAACGAATGAGAGCCAACTGTATAAGCAGGTAAGGATTGTCAGCTGATTTGTCGGGAAATGTGTTTCACCAAACTGACGACAAACACACGTACATTACAGAACGGCTCGAGGACACAGTACGGGACAAAGAAGAGAGACAAAACGAGATTGAAATCCTGTGTGGGAGATAAGGGCACGTCAGTTCAAGTCACGTTTTTAGCAGCCGGATACGGGTATTTTTGTGACAGGTCACATACACTGCCAGCCATATGAGTAGAACGCTCGAAAGCTCCCACACCGGCAGTTGTATCGAAAGCATATGCTCTTGCATTAGCAATGTTGGAACGATCCAGAGCAGAGCAGATGTAGAGTAGAAAGGCTAATGGCAACACCCTTGATGGAGTGATGCAAATGTGTTTAGATGTGTATGAAATAGGAAGGGTGGGTGGTATGAAAATAAGGCTGAGATACGTACTTTAAATCAATTTTTCTCCTACGTATAATGAAATAGCAATGTACGTTAGCTTCCAGGTTGTTAGATCCACATCCGTATTCCTTTTTCGGATCTTTTGTCTGAGTTTGAAATTCTGTGTAAAACTTACTTGACTGCTTTCTCTTCCCCGTCGGTATAGCTAATACCAGCTTCTTCCATCAGCATCTTGTCGTCCTTCATCATTGATATCTACTCTGGAACTGGATGGATCTCGCTTGTGTCTTCAAAACCAAAGTTCCGTAGATTGTAATTGGTTTTGTTTTTTGACGTTTTGGATTTGACAAATAAGAAAAAAACCACCTCGCGAAAGCCAACGGGTTCAAGGTTCTACAACGCAAATCGCTGACGTCTCATACTAGTGAGGTAGACCCTGGATGATGATATTGAGCAGAAAATGTCCGGTTGAAATTTGGTCGCAATATCTTTGGTTGAGCTTGCTTGTAGTTTAACAGCTGTCATATGTAACATTTCATCATACGAACTGTCGGCCATACTTTCAAATGAGAAATACCCTTTGAAAAATGTCAGTCGTCTCTTCAGCCATTGACAAGGCAATATTGCGACATCCGACATCTTTGCGCATGGACAGCTGCGATGAGTTTTGACTACAAAGTGACAATGTTCGCCGTAAATAAAGAACGCCATGCCTTAAATATACTATGGCCACTTTTATTCAATGTCTTGAAAGGAGTGAATCAACCACAAATCTGTTTTGCGTAAGCAGCGGTTTTCTCAACCAAATCAAACGACGTGTCGTTTTCAAAGACGGTCGGGCTCTGAATAAGTACTTTTATGCTAAACTAAATCAATAGCACGACCTTGTTGAAAGCTGCACGAGTTCCTTGAGTGAATAACGACTATTTCTTCACAACAGCATCATCTTACGAACTTGTAATTGTGTTACATCATCATCAAGATATTAGCAACCGATGACACTCCCGACCATATGGAATCAGCTCATAGCAGCTATGGCAACTCAGGTTGTTTGACAATCTGGTTTAGTACCTCGGTTTCCTCATTCGTTGCTCGTCAATTTGTCAGTTTTATCAATCGTCATTTGAATTACTTGCATTGAAGGGCAATCGCACGATTCGTTTTTGGATTAGCGTCCACTGGTAAAAGCTGCCATCTGATGGTTGAATTCACACAATGATCTCTTCAGTGGCAACAGAACTAGTCTACAGCCACACTTCAAGCTTAAAACCAGCATAAGTCAGATCCACGTCAGGCTACATGAGGCTACATGACGACTTGAAGCAGAAGTATTCACGGCTTCTGCAGAATCAAGTAAGCTGTTTCTCGTAGTAGCTCAATGAAGACTGAGCGCTAGCATTGTTTGAATGCCCTTTTCAAAGAGTCAGCATTCTTGAATGCGACATATCAAAGACTATTCACGTCGCCCAGTTGGTATATTGGTCTATTTTGCATATACATGCCTATTTTTCTGCTCTTTACAAGTTGTAATGATGTACATTTGAATCCGTCGAGTCCTTGTCAGCACTTAACCTTACGCTTTTTGACGTCGAATGACATACGAACTGTCATTGTGATATTTTTCACAAAGGAATGACGTTTTAGTTCAAACACTATTGGGGATCCATGTACAACCAAAGACACTTACAAGTGCTGCTAGAATCAAAATACCAGCATTGAAAAAGCTTGCACGAACGTAATGTGAAGCATCGGATGGTTGATATATTTGACCTAGCATGGCAAAAAAAGAAATGCCATCCATGTATGTTATGAGCCCAGCAAGCAATCCTGAAAAGGCAGTTGCGATGGCGAGATTCGACCACAAATTTCGTCCTTTTTGTACCCAAACAAGCATCAGAATGTCAGACCTGGAAGGAGACCTGTTTTTGTGGATGAATGGAGGAGATGCGCAAGAACGATGTGTTGTTGTCGATATGGTGCGACTTTGCCATGATGTTCCTTTTTTAACTGCTTCGCAAGAGCCAAGAAAGATTCTTCAAGAAGGTGAAACGAGAGTAAGACTGGGTTCTGTGTCGTCAGGGCTTGAGCTATACCTTAAACTCATTACTCCGGCGAAAGAGGAGCAGCAAAACATGTCGACACAAAGCCCCAAGAAATGGCAGTTCGTGATAGCCAGATTCTAGGCCTGAGCCGAATGAGAGCCAACTAGTGTATTGGAGTAGATGCTTTTTCAGTAGGTGCAAGGCAAACTCGTTTTTAAACCAGCTATAAAAACTCACACCACGACGTACATTGCAGAAGGGCTCGAGGATACAGTAAGGGCAAAGAAGAGAGATGATGCAAGACCAAATCCTGTTTGAAATACACAATGTCAGGCCAAGCATCAAAAATCACGTTTCAGCTGCCTGCGAGACTTTGAAAGCTACTTACACTGCCAGCCATATTGGAACAACGCTCGAAAGCTCCAACACCAGCAGTCGTATCAAACGAGTATGCTCGTGCATTTGCAATGTTGGAACGGTCCAGTGGTGACAAGAGAAATAGCACAAAGGCCAATGGTAACACCCTTTGATTGATGAAATGTCAAAATGATGGTAGATTTCGATGAAGTTAAAACATCAGAGACTGACTTTAAATCGATCTTTCTCATAAACGATGTAAACATATTTCAATTACTGTCGTTCTGCTGACATGCGTCACTGTGGAATTAAATCCGTCCTTACTTGACAAGTCGTTTTTCCTCGTCGGTATAGCTAATACCATCCTGTTCCGACGTGACCTGTTCTCTCCTATCGTACTCCACTATAACATGCATGATTTCTTTGATGCCTTGTTCTTAACCCTCAAGGTTTTATAAGCTGTACGGTGTTTTGGAGAAGTTAAAACTTGAAAAATTATGATGAAACCGACGGGTTCAAGGCCCAACGCATCTGATGCATGGCACGAGCTTCAATGCCGCGATGCAAATCATACCAGTGCACCTCGAACATCCGTTGGAGCGACAGAATCAGTCGCAAATGCGATTTGCGTAAACAATATTTTCCATAATTGGATCAAAAACCACGTCAGTTTGGAAGACGACCGGTGTCTAAAGAAGTAATTCCATGCTAAAGCCAATCAGTGTGCTGACGAGACGTACTTATATGTACGTGAATTCTTGTACATATAAACGGCAATTCAGTTTCAACAGCACGAAAATTGTGTCACCATCAACAACACTAAACGAGCTATAGCCATGACACTCCCACTAGAAGGAAAATCAGCTCTCATAACTGGCGGCGGTTCCGGTAAGCTTCTTCCAGTCCGTTGTTCCGCTTTTGGCTTGTTGTGTATCGTCAAGTTAAATTCTAAACGCACCAAAACTCTTCGAACAGGCATTGGATTAGCATGCGCCAAGAAACTACTGTTAGACGGCTGCCACATCACAATTACCGGCAGAACTGAATCCAAACTAGTTTCTGCAGTTGCAGAGCTTGTTGCACTTAAACCAGCATCATCGGCAGCAACAATTTGTTACGCAGCAGGCGACACGGCAAGTGAAGAAGACGTTAAAGCAGCTGTAGCCAAATCTTGTGAAGCTACAGGGCGCCTAGACTTTGCAGTGGCAAATGCCGGAACAGGTGTGTTGCAATGGTGGCTGCCCCAAGCTTGTTTCTCAACACCTGAGTGTGTCCATCTATTTTCGATGTTGTTGCCTTAACATTAATCATTTTCTCAACTCCCCAAGGTGGCCTTGGCTCTCTCCTTGCAATGGAATTGTCAGACTGGCATCGTATCATTCAAACCAATGTGAATGGCACGTTTCTGGTCATCAAACATGCCGGCGCTGTTATGGCCAAGAACAGGTTTGGTTCTATCGTGGCTGTCTCGTCAGTTGCGTCTCCAAAGACACATCATTATTTAGGCGCTTGTACGTTTAGTTATTTTGCTTCGACTAATCGTTGTTGAGTGATTAACTTTGTCGATGACATTAGACTGTGTATCAAAAGCAGCTGTCGACAATCTAGTTCAAAATGCTGCTGACGAGCTAGGAATGTATGGAATCAGATGCAATTCCAGTAAGTCGCAAATTTTGTACCTTTGCCAAAGTCACAGAAGACCTCTTGCTGATATCTCCTATTCACGCCTAGTACAACCATCACTGATTCCAACAGACCTAGCGTCTGGTCTGACAGCAGTCCCAAGTATTGTGAACGATTACCTGGCGAATATACCTGTAGGCCGATTAGGAACAGTCGAGGACGCTGCAAATGCTGTATGTATACTCGTTACGTAGAACAAAATCACGCGTTCCTGTGAAGCCCAAAATTTTAAAATCGAAATAACTCGATTTCTCTTTCAAAGGTGAGATTCTTGCTAGGTCCTGAGTCGTCCTGGATCACTGGTCAAATGGTGCATCTTGATGGTGGTCAACATTTACGTCGGGGACCATAGTAAGTGTCGGAAAAATCAAAACGTATTTAAAGATTGTCGTCCAACCGCAGCTGTTCACCCATAGTTATGACGAGATAGCCGTCCAAATGTATGGAAAGGAGGTTGTGGAAGGCAAGAAGCTACCTGCTGGAGTTGGAATGTAAACTAACTCATAAGAAAACCCAAATTTGTATGAGTAAAAATGAGAACTATATTTGTACTTTGTCAATTAAACAAAATGAACTGTTTCGTATGCTATTGGTTCTTGTTGCTGCCTTCCTCTTTTCCAATTCATCCGTTTCCACTCTTCTTTCTCTAAAATTGAAATTCCCAGCAACCTCGACAAGACTTTACAGATGTGCATTCATTCTCTTTATACAAAGCCTTTCTTCTAATGTCCCCTCGATTACGATTGTTTAGATTTATTGACGTGGGGGAAACCAGTTTGGGGGTGGCCCTTTATCTACAACAGGTTGTTGCGGTTGTGGAGGCCATGTCTGATAGCCTGTAGGTTGCCCATACCACTGCATGACAGGCACTGACATATATCCTGGATACATAGCTGGATACGCACCCCATGGCGGTGGCATCATAGGTATCTGAGGCATCATAGGACGAGCCTGCCCTGGTACTCCTTGTTGATGCTGCGGTTGAGGGGGTTGTGGCTGCTGTTGTTGAGGAGGCTGTTGCTGAAGTCGTTGTTGAGCCAGTGTAGCCAGAAGACGAGAGCGTGACATGACAGAATCTCCTGTTTGACCAGAAGAATTCCTGTACGGAACCACGCTACCAAACTTGGGTTCTTGGTTCTTTTGTGTACTGTCCCGGTCCTGGTCATTATTACTTCGATTAGAGAGAGCCGTTTGTTGAGGTATTTGCTGTTGTTGAGTTGATTGTTGTTGAGCCATTTCTAGTTGAGAATATGAATATCGTTGTGGTACACGTTCACTCGATCCCATGGCAGTCGATTGACCAGTGGATGTATCAGTATGACCATTTACATTCTCGTCCTTATCCAACCGCTTTTGCTGTTGTTGTTCTACTACTGGGTTGTCTGTTACTGCTTTTGCCAACCGCTTTAGCTCACGATCCTTGATCAATTGCTCTCTCAGTTTGGCTGCCTCCAGGTTTGGATCCGCCACTGTCGGAGTTGGTTCTCTGACACTCACTTTCGTATCAGAATAACGTTCATTTCTTCCCGTCCTTTCTTCAACAAGAGTGACCTCCTCCAATATTGGTGGAGATGGTTGGTGAATCCTTGCTGGAGGGCCTGCTGGAGGCGGTGTTGCAGAACGCAGCGAAACTTGTGGTCGTGCATCCGAAGACGCATTTCCCGCATTGTTCTGACTACCATCCCGTTGAGCTCTTGCTGGAGGCGGTGTAGTAGTAGTGGATCGTTGAGTTGGTTGAGATCCAACCACTCGTTGAGCTTCCGGGACTGATATATAATCTGGAGCTGTTGGTGGTTTATTCTGAGTTGATGGTTTTACTGGTATGACTATTGTCTTTACAGTCGAGACGGTGTAGCCATCATGTAGAGTCTTTTGCCTTATATCGACTGATGGAAGAGTAGGTATGGGTGATGACGCAGTTGCTGCTGATAGTGGTGGTGCTGCTAGTGGTGGTGCTGATACTACCGGTGCTGATACTGGTGCTGCTGGTACTGGTGGTGCTGACACTGGTGGTGCTGATACTGGTGGTGCTGAGACTGGTGCTGATGCTACTGATACTGGCGGTGCTGAGACTGGCGGTGGAGAAGTATGCTTCACGGGAACACTATTGGAAGGTCCAATCATAGAATCATCGGAGTCCAAATCCATGGCATCATCATCAACTGTTATTTCGTCAGCGGCAGGAGCATTTACTGTTGGTTGTGGCACATTATCTACATTATTTGCTGCTGGCAATTCATCTACAGTTGTCAGATGGGCAATGGCGAAAGTGGTCATAGTACTACTCGCAGGTGTCGCCTCATCCATTTTGGATCTTTTAGGTGACGAACCTGGATCCGAGTCCGTCTGATTTATACGTCGTTTGTTCGTAGTCTTTGTCGCCTCATCTTCAGACTGACTGCCAATACTATGTCCACCATTCTCCATCGTTCCGTTGCTCGTTTCTGGTATAAATGGTGCCACTATTGTTGACAGTATACTAGATGGTTGGATTCGAGCGGTGGGTGTGAATGATTGGGTGTTCGAAGCTGACTTCTTTTGTATTTTCGATTCCTTGATAGCTTGTTTGCATGCTTTGACAAGGATTTTTATTTTACTCTTTTCATCGATTGCCTTGTTGTGAGCCAACACTTTGGCTTTATGCTGATCTCGAAGCATTGCGACATCTGCCGCCAATTCAGCGATCTCGACATCCTTCTCTTCCATCTGCATGAGCAAATCAGCCAAACGACGTTCATCTAGTGGGGGTGATTCTGGGCTTATTTTGCTGGCTGGTTGCTCGATGCCAAGAGATTGGATTTGCTTGAAGCAGTGAATGTCAGAAGCAAATTGGTTTAGTTGAATACTCACAAGTCTCACCATTGCATGAACAGACGTAGACGGCACCGTTTCCTTCTCTATAGATGGCACAAAACCATTCACGGGCTGCAGACTTAGTGGCGGCTGTAGCTCAACTTGACCAAAATCCCGCACAAATCCATTTCCGTTCTCTTGACGTATCGGTGCCTGTGGCTCCACTTGACGAGCATCTAGCACAAAGCCATTCACGTTCTGCTGACGTATGGGTGGCTGTGGCTCGATTTGATGACTACCAAGCGGTTGTTGAGGTAGTTGAGGTGATGGTCGTCTCGTCTGTTCCTGATTGGACTTCCCAGACACCTCCTCTGACACCTCAATCGAGACTACAGGCTTAACTATCGTCCTTGTAGTGTTATGATTGTCTACAAGAATTTGTTCACCATTTACGCTACCGACCGCTACACTTCTGCGTATACTGGGTGCAGTGATTGGTAAAAGCGAGGGTGGTGGAAAAGTTCTGGGGGATACGGCATGAGAATCTGTCAGAGTCTGATGAGGCGATGCAGTTGAACTATTCCGTAGTGGATCCTGCTTCAACTTGGCTTTTACAGATGCGAGTGTGTTCATGAAGCCTCCTGCAGATCGAATAGATGGCTCTGATTCTGGAGCTAGCTGACTCCAAGACGGACGCCCAGATTCCGATTTAACTATATCTGCAGATGGCATTGGTGCTGTTGCCTTGGCTCGAAATTTCGAAGAAAAATCAATTGGAGGCAATTGATCATCATCATCCAGACCTAGAGTCGCATTGCGATGAGAAGAAACAGTAAACTTGATCATATTGAACTGCATAGTTACATATCCTGTATGAGTGAATATAAAAAGTAGTGTCAGATTTGGATCACACACTTGCACAGTCTTTCAAATGTTGAATACTTACACGTCGTTATCTTGGAAAGTTTCAGCCTGACGTCGATTCAATTCTGCAAGTAGTAAGGATGATATTGATGACATGGAATTTGGTCGTAATGGCTGATTAGAGTCTGGTTTGTCCTGAAGCCCTCCTGAGATTTCAAATTTTAGAAAAAAGGTTATTTCACTCGCGAGGACATTGAAAGGACCTTTACCCATCATAACATTATACAGACTAGCTAGTTAATTTTGAGCTCGCCTCTTTCACGCTGCGATTGCTACTGTATCTTAAAGTCAACACTTTCTTTGTGTAGAAGGAGCACGAAGGAATTTCGGCCTTCAGGTACTAGCAAACATGCATCATATACGCATTTGATCACGTTTAGTCACGTCGCAATTCGTCTTGCAAGCAAGTACAGCTGAAAGAAACAATTGCAACTTCTAATATTTGCTCTTATCCCTTTCAACAGGACTTAATCGCAACTACAAAATGGCACTTTCATATCTTCATGTAGATGGCGCCTACTTTCGGGAGCCAGATGGCCGTGCTGTGATGCTCAGAGGTGTAAATCTAAGTGGAAACGCCAAGCTTCCCATGAAGCCGTACATGCCTACAACTGTTGGTGGTGAACCGTTCTTTGATGATGTGAATATTAGCTTTGTTGGGAGGCCATTCTCTTTAAGTGATGCTGGTACGTACTAAGCAGCTTCACACAATTCGCAAAGTGTGACAAAGTCAGGCCTTTGATGAGCTGCCTACCGAATCATGGAATTCAGCTTTGGATTTGCAACACTTACGAGTCCCGTTTGCAAATAGACGAGCACTTGCTACGGTTGAAGCGTTGGGGTTTCAATTTTCACCGTCTTAATATTACCTGGGAAGCTCTGGAGCATAGTGGTCCAGGGGTCATCGACCACGACTATATAGCATGTGAGTAGCAAACCTAGCGTAGTGCCATTTATTCCAAGACTAAAGGTGGATGACCATTTAGATATCGTCGCGGTCTTGCAAAAATGCAAAGAGCACGGTATACGAGTCTTCATTGATCCACATCAGGATGCATGGTCTCGTTTCACTGGAGGCTCGGGAGCTCCCGGCTGGACGTTGCGAGCTGCTGGCTTGAATATGAGAAACTTCAATGCTACTGGTGCTGCTCTCGTTCACAATACACATCCAGACCGTTCTCAATACAAGACTATGGTAAGCTCACCTGAATGCACGTTGGCGTTGGACACTCGATGTGCTGAGAGTTTGATGCTTTACGTGGCATTTGAACCCCTTTCTTGCAGATCTGGCCTATTAACTATGATAAACTGGCATGTGCGACAATGTGGACTCTGTTTTTTGCTGGAAAGACTTTTGCTCCTGATGCAAGTACTGTTGTACTGTTGTCACATATATAAACAATCGTACGCTAACATCACCTACCAAACCAGCTGAATATTGAAGGCGAAAACATCCAAGACTATCTCCAGAGACACTACTGTTCAGCAATCCAACAACTTGCGCGAGCTATCTGGGCAGCTGGTGACTTAGCAGACACCGTCGTAGTGGGATACGACACATTGAACGAACCAAGTGCTGGTTATATTGGCAAGAGCCAAATTGATATCGAAAGACGGGGTCTCGCGGATGGGGCACATCCAACAAACTTTCAGGGAATGATGCTTGGTGCAGGATTGGCAACTGAAGTTAATGTGTGGGAATCGGTTGCTGGAGCTCCCTCTCGTATACGCGGAACACGCGTCATTGATCCTAACGGTGTATCAGCGTGGCTTGAGGAATCAGGTGGTTGTGTATGGGCAAGACACGGTGTGTGGGATGTTAAGACTCGGACGTTGCTGAAAGTAAGTATAAATGTTTGAATATACTTCAATGGCTCGCATTCTTTCGTATCCACACGGAACTCTCTATAGCCCGATTATTTCGCAACAGACCCAAAAACCGGCAAGCCAGTTGGATTTGCTGCAGATTACTTTCGACCGTTTTGCCGTCGTTTTACGGCTGCAATTCGAATGGCCCATCCTATGGCCATTATAATCCCAGAACTTGTGCCTGGAGGAGACCATGAGCATTTGGGTTGGGATCCAGCTGTAGATCCGGTGCAACGCGTTGTTGCAGCCCCTCATTTCGTGAGTTTTTGACTTCCAAAATCTATGACATCAATAATAACTTTTTTTCTCTAGTACGACGGGTACTCTCAATCGAATCGTACCTATGGCTTAGATCATACTTTATCACTGTCTGGGTATGTGATGTCGTTTTCCGGTATCTCGTCGACCATTCCTTATCAGCCCACATCGAACAGAATCGGTCGTCGTGTATACAAGACACGAAAGGAAGCGACATTCACTGGTGAAGCCAACATCCAAAAAGCCTTCAACGAGCAATTCGCATGGATTAAAGAAGACTGGACAAACCATATTGGCCCAACTCCAATCATCATTGGCGAAACCGGCATTCATGTAAGGTCGTCGTTGCAAATTCCCGCCTTCATTTTTCATTGAGTCTCTGTTGCTTTCTTTTTTTGCTAGTTCGCCATCGATCACAAACGCAAGATCTATGACGGCGATCAAGCCGAATTCACTCGAAGCATCGATTTCCATTTCAAAGCAATCGAGGAAAATCTTTTGAATGTCACTTGGTGGGTTTATGTGCCTGATCATCTCGGAAGGCAAGATGGAGATGGTTGGAATGACGAGGACTTTAGTATATACAGGTATTTGTTTTGGATTATTGAGATTGTGGTGTGGTGATTTCTGAAACATTGTTTCACGTTAGTCCTGGCACGCCAACTGTTCCTGGTCCGTATACGTGGTCGAAACTTGATGTCGGAGGACGCTGTCTACCTGCTCTAGTGCGTCCGTATCCAACGAGAACGCCAGGTAATTGAAATTCCTTTGGCAAAGTGCTGCATCCTCGTTCACAACTCTTTGTTTTTGCTCAGGAACACCCCTTGAAATCAAGTTTGATTATAAAAAACAAATCGTGAGTATCAATTTCGAGTATCAATTTCATGCTACTGTATTACCTCTCAATCCATTCCTAGTTCCGATTCCGATTTGTCCGAGAAGCTGGCGCAACTTCGCCACCTCACTGTGAAGTCTACCTGCCGGAAATACATTTCCCTGCCAATACAATATCAGTTAGTGGAAGTAGTGGTACATTCGAGCATGATCCCATAAACCAGATCTTACATTGGAGGGATATGGGGAACGGAACGCAGTACATCGAGGTGATGAAATGGACTGTGAAACTCTAAATGTTTGGCAAATTAAATAAAGATTGAAAATATCCATTTTCCACTATTGCATTACGCATTTTTCGAGAGGCCTACCAGTCTATATATTTTCAGGGGGTATTCTATACATAAGGTAACAGTATCACAAGTCCACAATTCTATGCAGTGGCTACCGCATCATGTCTCGCCTCCAACCACGATTTACAAGCTCCAAATATAAAAAAAGTCACAGCCGCCGATGGCCCAGCTTTAACAATCGCAGGAGTGAGTCCTTTATACAACCCTAATATACCTTCCTGAGATGCGATAACGCGTGCACAACCAATCCATGTAGGTGGGTATTTCGGAAGGTTGGACATCATATAGTTGTGTCTATCGGGTCCTTGTACTTGAAGTCGTTTCCGCACGACATCGAATGGCATTACGGCTGCTTTGCTGACGACTCCGGCACAGAAACCTGCCATTACTTCGCTTATGCCGTGCAATTGATGGATGTCCTGTGTAGAGATAATCGTGAATATTGGGTAAAGGAAAGAGAGACATTCGTTTGAGGTAACACGCCATCATACATTGAGAGGCTCAAAAGCAGTTTTGAACCAACGATGTGATTCAAACATTATACCCATATATGGCATAATGGATAGCGCTGAAGGCCAGACTCCTCTATAAAACCCACTTATGCCTTCACGAGCTAATATGTGACGAATAGCACCTGGTACGCTGCGATACAGCTAAAAAAACCAGTGTCAATTACAAGAATTTGCAAACTTTCAAGGATTACAGGAACAGACCTTTTGTTCTCCCTGCACTGCAAACCGTGTCCTGAGCAAGTCGAATGGGTATGTCACGATAGTAGCTAGACTACCAGCCAATGCTATAAACAGAAATGTTGGCAACTTGTCGCGAAAAAAAGTGGCTCAATATTCATCATACCTCCACAGATAAACGTCCGGACTGGTAACGGTATCACGTCTCCTCCTAGTCTCCAATCCAGATGATTGACTTGGCGTTCGAGTTCGGCGTATGTAGAGAACTGGACGGCACCGTACGTCAAATATAGGTACTCGGCCGACATATTTCCCTTCCACAATCCCTAGATCACGAATGAGAGTCAGCATCGTACAGAAATGAGATTCGGCACATATAGTGCTACCGATATTCTCATAACACAGTTCACCGCCGTCCACACTCACATGTATACCCTCATCTCTCAAGATAGTTCTAAACGCATGCACCATGCCTCTATACTTTCGGGATCCAGCACCACTATCAGCAAGACTGTTTGTTCTCATGAGGTCTCTCAGACCAGACAGGGGCTCGACTCGATCCGTCTGAAGTTGAAATCTAATCTTCACGACGTCCAAGGGCGCTATGGCAAAGCGAGACACGACTCCTGCGGTCGCTCCACATAATGCTAGTTCGAATGTGGATAGTTTCTTTGGTGGTGGTTGACCATTCCGTATCGACACTTCAAGTGCTGAATTGACGTGTATGGGAAAATTGGTTAGAAACCGTTGTGGAGGAAGTGGATGATATCGATAAGGCAATAGAGTGGGATGTAGGCGCGCACACATACCTGAAGGAGTGGCTTGTGCCAGCATCGAACTGATTGGACCTGATCTGCTGTCAAAGTTTGATGGTGAAAATGGAACCAGTCGATTCACGTGAGGTGGTGATCTGGCACCAAGAAAACTATGAGGACGTGATGGACGTGATTTCAATACTGTGGGACACGTATTGAGATTCTAGGTCGTGACTTTTTAACGGCAAGTGTTGCATCTGAAGCCAAGTCGAAGGTTGTTGGCACAAAATGATGATTGTCAGGCCAAGCAGTAGAGTGATGCCTCTAGAAAGCAGCTACACGTAAAAGAGCTGTGGGAAGAAAAGATTCCGTTTGAAATTGGTCTTTCACCGCTTGGTAATGTTTCTTTCCGTTCGCTTGCAATTCAGCAAAAAAAAGGCATCGACCAAGGTCGTGGATCGACACATCGTCTAACCGTGCTATCATTTATAGACTTTTTACAATACAAGGATTTGCATCTCCTTTCTACTCAAGATACAAACCATGAGCGATGCACAGCAGCCATCAACATCAATGTCAAGAACATGTCAACGATGCTTGAAACAATATTCTGTTGAGGAGAACAAGGATGACGCTTGTCGCTACCATCCATCACTTTTCTTGAACCGGCCTCATCCTCAGCACCACTATACATTCGAAATTGATGAAGCGTTTGTTGCCAATGGTGAAAAACTCGTCGACACTCGGTGCTGGGAGTGTTGTGGGGCGTACAAACTCGACGCTGCTGGATGCGTGACTGCCAAACACGTATCGTTCGATGAATAACCACAAGGTATGACAACGAAAAGGATCTGTGGGAATGGTGGACAACGTGGATGATGATGTTTATTTTCTTATCCACATCGGATTGTATTATGACTGAGAAAGAATGTCCTGACACACATTATTGTAGTGCCAGCTAGTCAACAACATGTTGCATTGGTTTCGCAAAGCTCACATCTTTGAAATCACAGGTGAATCGGCCATCTACCCACAGGACCAAGAACTAGGTAAGTTACAAATGTCTGAAGGAAAGATGCCTTGCAATGGAGTGATGATGATCCCTTTTTCCTTTGCTGTCTGACTTCAATTAACTGAGGACAAACTCATGTTTCGCGACAATTTCTGAACTTTTTCAATCAAATCATTACCACTCGTCTCTTCGCTTGATATGCTCGCTAACACTCAAATTTGTTAGGGGTTTTCGTGCTTGGATCAATCTGTCTTGAAGGACGGACGCTATCTGATTTTCTTGCTTTGGAAGAGCCTTTTTTCGTGTATAAACCTGTAGATAATACTCACAATATACGATATATGCATATCAATCCGTAGAAGGATAAAAAGTCGCGAAGGAGTGCTTTGCCTTGGTCTGCGTTTGTAGTTTTCACATCTGGGGCTCGAGGAATTGAGATCCAAACATGCCCAAACAGTGGCTTTCAAGGAAATTCGAGATGATAAGATTGCTATTATCTGGATCTTTATCCTCCATCAATCAAGCTCAACTGCTCCCACTTGTCGATGAGCTTGTGTTTTCGATTTTGATTTGTCTAGTGTCAAATCAGAGAGGGTTGATACTCAATGTTCCGCCTGAGCATGTCAGACTTACTAGGAAGACGGTCGAGCAGGTATTTGACTATCCCCAACAGTGCGAATTCCGCCAACATTTGGAGTTTCAACATTTTACACATCGTAACGAAACTGACGTCCTTATACGGTTAAATCGTTAGATCATGATTATTGTCTTTGGATTCACGACCAGTTCTACCATTCTCGACTCGGAATTAACGGATCTGCCCTCTGCTCTATTTATCAAAACATCGTCAAACCACAGCACAACAGAGTCACCTCCCGTCACGCCAACAAAGGACAGCGCACCGCCTATACCAACAACATACCGACGACGGCCATTTCGCAGTGAAACAATGCCGGTTCAAACAACGACAGCACAGGAAGCTGAAATATCCGTCGTGGACGATGACGACGAGGATCGTGCTGCTAATTGGGTAAATATCTTTGTTCCGTTACGTGATGTCTATCTATATCTCACCCGCCCTGGATTTATTAGAGAGCAGTAAGGAATGCTAGCGTATCAGCACCACCTCTACCGCCCAACATTCTCGTACACAGCAACAGCAGTACCAGCAATGTCAATTCATTCACAAATCCAATGCCGAAAGAAAATGCTGAATCTCTGACAGCATCACGTGGTGGACGTGTATCGAATAGTAATCTGAGGTTTTTCGCATCGCGGAATTCGTTGACTGTTGGAGGCGGCTTGTTGGCGAGTCAATTGAGTGTGAATGTTGCTGGGAAGAAGCTACCGAATGCTGTGATTTTAGAGGGATTGGAGAATGTGGATGCTACTATACAGGCTGCGTTGTTAGAGGTGTGTTGTACTTGTTGTCAGATTTGAATAATGCTTTACTACCAGTTTTTTTGCAGATAATTGTGACGCAACAAGTCAAGGAAAAGAATGCAGTGCATAATCTGCCTGATCCGTTCATTATTGTTGTAGTGGTCTCCAACTCGAAGCAGCCTGCAATAATACCTCAGTTGGTAGGGAAACAATGCAAAGTGCATTTATCGCAGTAACGGTTGGTCACTCAAAATACTCAAACATTACAGCTCGATCGAATCTTTCTCTGCCATTACAACGAAGGCCCATTGCCAAAACTAGCTCCACACAACTTGATTATTAAGACGATTATCTCGCCAGAGGTATTTTGCATAGTTACTCCCTTCCATTTGGCGACTTCAACTTCTAACTCTTTTTGGTTAGGAATTGGCCGAGTTGCGGTCACAAGCTAAAAACGTCTATGTGCATCCCGACGTAGCAACATACTGCAGAGACATAATCACATCGCTGAGAAATCACAAGCTGGTCCAAACAGGTGTAACTGCGTTGGCGTCTAGAGATCTGAGTACCGCTGCAACGTAAGTGGAAATCCAGTTGAACTAATACTCCATATTTATATTGGTCTTTTTGCAGGACTGTGGCAGCAATACTTGGATACAATATAATGACTCCAGCTCATGTCTCGATTATCGCAAGTCACGTTCTCGCTCACAGGCTTATGCTGGCTCATTTGTCGCTATATTCTACTGATGAGATACGACATGAGTTTGAGCACGTTTCGGCGCTGGATATTGTTGAGAGTTCTGTTGCGCAGGTGCCGTCACCTCAATGAGGTATACCCCTGTTGTAATTTATATGTTTAATAACTATATAGAGATGCTCATGTGATACCCGTCAAACGGCATTCGACGCTCGCGTTGATCAAAAGCATTTAAAGGTTTATTGGTTTTTATATTTGTAGAGGTTTGTAAGGCAGACGTATTAGTACAATGAAGTCATTCAGACTGAGAAAGAATTATGTAGTTTAGAAGTGTACAGGTAGTGTTTAAAAAAGCATTGTTTTCTACAATGTTCAATGTTTATTGTCAATGTGCTTTTGCAAGTTATCCTCACGAGAATAAGTCTTGGCACAGTAGGGACAGAAAACACGAATAGGATTGTGGACTAGCATATGGCGCTGCAAGTCGTATTTTCGAGTAAGGATTTGTTTGCAGACTGCACATTGGTAGGGGGAGCGTTTATAGCTTCGTTTCTTCGTTGGGCCACCAGAGTGGTTGGTTGTGTCGAGTGTTGCAGTATTTTTAGACATTTCGGTAGAGGTCTATATGACGGTTTGTGAGGTTTTAGTGTATTGGTTGGAAATAACGTGACTTATACAGGACGTACCAAATTGGCATGAGGATCCGAGTAGGCGTGCGCCGATTGAGAAGCGGACATATCCGAGGGTGCAGTGGTGCCCAAAGTAGGATTGCTATAAAAAGTGTTGTACATTTTGAGCATCCCATTCAAATTCTGACAAGTCAACTGCATCAAAAGCTTACTGAACGTCAAGATCAAGAGCGTCCAACATGAGTGAGTAAACAACTTGATCCCAGTAGACGCCTGGAGTAGAAGGCTCAGAGATATCGTCATGGGTGCGTCTGCAAAAAAAAGCATAGTGTTAGTGTTTTCCATCAAGTTGTCATGTTGCCTCAACCAACTACACACATACCTCGGCGTCTCCACCATCTCAACAGCGTTCCAATCTTGGTCAGTTGGAGAGCCGAGGTAGTCAAGATCAAGGTTGTTGTTGGCACACAAGTCATCACTATGAGACAAAAAAAAAATACAAAACACACGCGATGAGTATCACTTACATCATTCGAACCTTCTAAAAACACTTACGCTGATCTAGCAAGGTAGCTAGACGGCATTCCAGTTGGCACAGGATAGTCTTTCGAGCACGCAGCAAAGTAAATATCGTGACTGAACATTCCGCAATCTAGTGCGTGGAATGGCTGTTGAAAGAGGGCGCAATTGGAATGAGTGAAAGCCTTTAAATTAAAGGCAATTTTTCTCGAATTCAGTGTCTTACCAGCACCTCTTTTCTCTGCGCCTTCAAAGTTTCAATCGAAGAGTCACATATTTCACCGACACAAAGATTGTCGAATTCTTCTTGTAAAAGGACATTCCCCGCCTAGAAAATGCTTTTCTAGTTAGACAATTTATGAATTGACTGATGCGGCTAGGTATCAGCGAGAAGTGGCCAAGATTAGACGGTGACAAGACCAAACATTTTTAACCAAACTTTAGGGCAGTTCTCCTTAGTTCTCGTCTTCCAACAGGCACATACCATGATTGTACTTTAGATCCAAGCTTCCACAATTAGTAGATCTTGTTGGAATTTGTTTGATGCGCGAGTGTTGGTTGCTTTAACAAGCTTTGAAAATGTTTGATGGCTGGAAGTGAAATGCCAGTTCACGAACCAGCGAGTGGGGTGCTATCGCACGTCCGTGCAGACTAGTAAGACCAAGAAAGTGGATAAGTTGATGTGGTCGGTGATGTTTTGAATGTCTGGTTGAATGACTGGTTGAATACAATTCTCATTTTACTTGATACTTACTTGCTAACTTGCTGGGATGCCGCAACTCGATAATCACGTGCAATCCAGTAATAGTTGATAGCTGGAGGATGGATATCATGATACCGCTTAAGAATCTCGTCTGCATGGCCTGATATATGGAATGCGATGGCCTTGTTTGGGTTTGAAAAGGATTCCAATGTTTGAAGACTGGAGTGACGCGACAAGAAGATCGTTCGACGAGGCAGAAGTAGCTCTGTAAACTCGAATCACAGTATAGAAGGACTCAAGAGATAGTTTTGTCCCATGGTGTTTGATTCCTGTCCTGATACGTACTGTCTCGATTCTCGAAAACCACAAAACTTGAGACATTTTGACTGAATTCAGCACAGGAATGGCGACTATAACACGAAGCGTACTTTCAAAGAAGAAGCCCATAGTCCAATGCCGTAAGACTGTTGTTGATTTGTGACGGTACTTTGTCAAAAACAACACAAATCATTCAAACACCTATTTTGCAGTGAACAGGCCTCATTCAATGCTCACACCACTACGAATATCACAATGCATATATACAAACCACAGCATGCACCATATTACTACCACCAGTCTGCCAGCCACTGCACGACAAACATCATCACAACCAACATCATCACAATTACATCCAGACTTGAAATTCGCCCTAAAGTGCTATGTACATTCCTGGATTCAACAGCAGGCGGCACCCAGAGATCCTTCTCTCTCTCGATTTAGCTTCGACACGTACAGGCTGGTGCGGGGTCTGGAACGTCATGGGTTTAGAAGAGGGCAAGCTGTGTCGCTCATGAGAACTATTAACGCTCTGCTCGTGGATGCGTACGTTCAATTCAACCTCTAGTATCGAGAGTACCCTTCGCCAAGAATTACCGTATGCTGAAACCTCTTTGTGAATAGGACTTTGACAATCCGCTCTGAAATGTTGACCAAAACAGAACTAGAAAACCAATCCTACAAAATGCGCTCCGAACTACACGAACTGCGCAGTGAATTATCCCTCTTACGACAAAACGACACCTCAACCCTCAAATCCCTCTCTGAGCAACTCATGGTTGATATAGAGAGTCTGACTCAAAAGTTTAACGAGAGTGCAACGACTCTGAAAACCGAGATTAATCTAGATATGAATAATCGGAAGGCTGAGGCTAGAGAGACTGCTTCAGATGCAGATATGCAGATACAGGAGATTCATCACAAGTTGATTTTAAAGCTTGCTGATTTGAAGACACATATCGAAGCGACAAAGATGAAAACTACTAGAACAGTAGTATGGTGGGCAATAGGGTCGTTTGCAATTATTATGGGATTGGATTGGGTGCTGCCAACTGCAGCATTGTAATAGAGCAGAGCTGAGATTGATTCGTAGTGTAAACTGGAAATTGTGTACTGTTAGAGGATACAATGGTGCAATGTAAATAATTTGCTGTAAATTCTGTACGTGATTTTACGTTTCGACTGTTGATGCTTGGTTGCGTTTGTTAAATGTTCAGCTTTCAAGCATTCAAACTCAGAGGAGCTCGCAGACTGCAAGGACACCTCAGAACGTACTCGAATCATAGTACAGCTCCAGAGAGCGTGCTCGCTCCATCGAATTCGGCTGGGACCTTCATCAAATCACCTACAAGGAAACACAAGAACCCGACCATGAAATCTGAACCACCGACACACTTCTTATCAATGAGAATTGTAAATCCTGCTTTGAATTCAAACCTTCAGACGCACTTCTATGACAAGGCTATACCGTACAAGAATGGAAGTGCTCGAAATCACTTGATTCCGTCAAGCAAGGTATCGTGACGCTCCATCACATTGCTCAGTTACAAAAATATTTCAGATATAAATGATTTCGTCCAATCTAGTTCCATATCACTCTATTCGTCTTCCGCATATCAAACTCTGACGACGAGGAAATCGCTCTACAATGTTTCGATCGCTGCCGCAACTTGATCAACACTCACTTCCAAGAGCCACCGATATTGTCATTCAAAGGATTTCGTACATTTGGAGCTGGTCGTGTCATATTTGCGAACGTTGAAGAAAATGCTGAATTGAATCGATTGAGAACCTTCAGAAGCAAGTCTCACACCATTGTTTGTTTGGAACCGCAACATTTCATGAACCTGACCATCTTTTATTGTCCTTTAGATGATGCATATGATATGTTCAAAGCTGCTGGTCTTATAGGCAAGGATGAACGAGACTGGACAGTCCATGCCACTGTGGCGAAAGTGCAGGGAAAGGGTGGAGTGGTCTTGAAGGATTTGTGGCATGAACAGTTTGCTGATATCGATGGTATGCTATTTGACGTGCACAAACAGTTGCAGGGTCACATACTTACACGCTTTTCGAAATCAGATATCCACCTCGGCACATGTACGTTCGAGTCGGTGGAACTGTCGTGCATGCAGTTAAAGGGCGAGGACGGTTATTATTTACCATTGTCGATATTGCCATTCAATCGTACTGTTGTGTAAATATCGCTAAATTAACTTGTGCTCGCAAACTCCAATGCACTCGAACTCATTTTAAAACCCATTCCATTTTCCGGCTGAATGACATATTTATATAAACACAAGCTCGCATGGTGAATAATAAATACACTATCGCCCATCTCCAGACCCGGACCTGCCTGTAGGGACGACGTAATACGAGTGAGCTGGTTGAATGCGATTAGCATTTTCACACGCTCTCAAGAAATCTGGCGATACGGCCGGTATATTCCATTCGACAGCGCGCTCATACTTTGGCCCTCTACGTGACGAGAGTGGTCAGAAAGTGTTTTTTCGTGATTTTGTTCTTGATCAATCCATCAGCAGTTCTTACCGTGGCTGAGAACAGACCAAGTGCGTGTTATCAGTCGTCAATTCCTCGGTATATGAAGCCCCAATACGTTTGAGCAATGCAATAAGCGAATCCATCTCCCCATCCGACTGTATAGCCGCAAAACATACATTGATACCCCTCAGATTCTCCAACGTATGCGTCCTAACCTGTACACGATTCGACGTCAACGCACCAGCCGACGTACGCAGTGAGATCCAGATATCATAGTCATGGTTTACATCCAGACCCGACAATTTACACGACGTTGAGAATCCCGATACCTGAATCGACAGTTTCTGGCCACTGCGATACACGTCTATACCGCGTAAATCAGCCGAGTGGAGTTTGAGTGGTTTCCATTGTATCGTTACGGAAGTCTGGGTGACTGATTTGACTGATATGGCTGGTGCTTCAGGTGGTGTGCAAAAGTTTTTGAATATGTCTTCCTGTATGGTGACGAATTCTTCACGGAGGCGGCGTTCTTCGTCTTCGTTTCTTTCTATGGTGAGATTTACGATTGAGCCTGTTGTGATTCCCTCCTGTGAATATAAAAGATTGAAATTTGGGTGTGAGTGGAGCTGATGTTGGATTGCTTTTTGACGTGGAAGATTTACTGGTAGTATGGTGGCAGGGAATTCAATCAGATGATGATCTGGGGATAGCAATATGGCCATTCCAGCGTCCAGTTTACCAACAGTGAACTGAACAGATGTCACCTCTGTTTTGGAGATTATTCGAAAGTGTTAGATTTCGTGTATGAGAGTCTTTAGAAGAACGAGCAATAGAGGGAACTGCTTTGAATAAATGCTTCTAACTCTGACCTTGTTGCCCCGTGGAACTCATCGTCAAGATTCTTTGTGCTTTGATTTTCGTGATTTTGCAGTTTACTTTCTGCAACATTGAGTTAAAGTCACCGAGACACGCTTGATCGCGTCTGATGATTAGGAAAATCTGGACTTTCCGGGCTTAAGTTCGATCACATTTATTTATTTTCTATTCAAGACAATTCCAAAACAAGAGACAAATCACACAAACACACGACAACCATTTAAAGTCTAGCAGCTTCTTGTGGAGAACCATACTTGATCTCCATTCCTTCCATTCCCTTCTGTGCAGTCCACTTTTCAAGAATGTCGGCATACACGACTGGTCCAGTTCTATAATCGATGAAACGGCATCAGTATAGCACAACCAAGATTCGAAAATAATAAACACATACCCCAATGAGAAATTACGCGCAACTCTACGTGATACTTGTCCTTCGGCGTTGTAGTAGCCTGGAGTACAAGTCTCATAGAAGGACTTTCGAACGACGGCCGAACCGACAATCTGGTTAATCCACTCAGTCTCGGCTTTCAGCGTTGGTTGGATTCGAGCAATATTTGTCGAGTGGGCCTCTGTTTTTGTTGTGTGAGGCGTTAGACCTGCTTTTCTGGACATTGCGAAAATTCAACACTTCGGGAGCAGCTCCCGCGACAGACGTGTCCGGCTTCAGCTAGAGCAGTGACGTCTTAATCACATCCTCTGTTTTCTTCGAAAACTTACTTTTCAAGATCTCTGTAATTGCGGTAGCTTGTTCGGCACTATTTGAAAACGTGTCAGCACACGACAAGAATCACAATACAGTCGAAATACGCTTACATGATCTGGGGGAAGTTCACCGAGGCACCTGTTTCCCGCCGTGATTCTTCGTTAGGTCGTTGTCTGAAGTTGCGTCAATCACGAAGATGAAACTCAACTCACCTGCTTGACTTCCTTGAATGAAGAAGAGACTGGAAAAGAGGAAAACATCCAGTGAATAAACTGACTACGTTCAAACGATTCAAGCTGCATATGCGTACTTTGGGAAGTTGTTCACAGCAATTCCAAACAATGAAGCCATTCCATCCTTCCACTTCTCAGAAATGGACTGGTTGTTGATGCCGTAAATCTCATAGCCGTTTCTAGAAGTCCAGCTAGTACCAACTTCAAATCCAGTAGCAAAGATCACGAGGTCGACGGGGTACTCTACTCCACCAGCAACGACACCTTTGGCAGTGAGTCGTTCAACACCTTTACCGTTGGTATCAACAAGGGTGACGTTTGGTCGGTTAAATGTTGGGAGGTATTCGTCGTGATAGCAGGGTCTTTTACAGAACTGGTTGTAGTATGGCTATAATGCAGAAATGTCAGTTACGATTCCAGTTTCTGAGATTTGGTCCAGCCAACCTCTTAATGCAAAAGATAACATGTCCTACCTTGAGGGCTTCAGCAGTCTTGGGATCCTTTACGGTGGCGTCGACTCTTGCTCGGATTGCCTCCATTTTACGGTAATCTGTTTGATCGTGCATGTGAATGTCAGAAAAATGTAAAATCATCCCATCGTTAGGCCCAAGGAATTAACCGTAATGTACCCACCAGCAAGCTGCAACAACTCGTGTTGCTTCATAGGTTTGGGAGGGGGATTCTTCCTCTGGGACTTGATCAATGACACCAATTCCGTGAATACTGAGGTCCAACCATCACCCACGAGGTCCTCTTCCACGTATCCACCAGCAGTGAGAACATTGAAGTTATCTTGTCGGTACTTTTGCCATCCGGGTTTGAGAGTTTTTACGAATTCTGGGTCAACCGGGCGGTTGTTTCTAACATCGATACTTGAGGGTGTTCGTTGGAAGACATATAGATGTTTGGCTGATGCACCCAGATGAGGAATGGCTTGAACGCCGGTAGCTCCGGTTCCAATAATAGCTACGCGTTTGTCTTTGAGTTTGTCCAAACCGCCGTATCTGTGATTTGGTTGGGTCTTAGCTGGTGTATTCTCATGAAATAATCGGTGATGGGCACTCACGAGTTTCCACCAGTTATAGAATAGTCCCATCGCGAAGTGTGGAAGGTTTCGCCTTTGAATTCCTCAAGGCCGAGGACACCAGGTAACTATTTCGTGTGAAGCGAGCGTTAGGCAAAGCAAGGTAAATTCAACTGGCAAGATCTGGCCAGTACCTTGGGAGAATGCAATGGCCCAGATGAGCAAATCACAAACTTGGCACCAATACTGTCACCTCTGTCAGTCTTGACAATCCAACGAGAGCGGGCTTCGTCCCATTTCAGCTCATTTGTTTCCGTCTGGAATACTGCGTGATCATACAGGCCCCATTTCTTGGCAATTCTGTCACAGTGTTCCAATATAATGGGAGCCTTGGCATAGTGTTCAGGTGGGATGTAATTTGTCTCTAGTGTATCGTCGTGTTGGTCAGAAACTCATGAATCACTTTTACAATACAGCAGTTATCTACCTTCCAAAAGAGGCAAGTAGATGAGTGACTCGGTATCGCAAGCAGCGCCAGGGTAACGGTTCCACCACTAATGTAATCGGAGTTAGTGCTTCTGAAACACCCAAGTTTGGGAACATGCCAGAACTTTCAACTGACCCAAGTTCCGCCGAATCCTCCACCTTTCTCGATAATTCTAAAGCTCGTAATGCCAGCTTCGACGAGCTTGACTGAGGTGATCAAACCACCAAAACCACCACCAAGAATTAAAATGTCGACTTCATCATTTAAAGCAGGCCTTTCCACACGTTTGCAGTAAGGATCAACCAAGAAATGCTTGAATTTGCCGGTGTGATCAATCTTCACATATTGGTCGTTGCCGTCCTGAGGAGTGCGAGATACAATGTAGAAAGTGATGTAATTTGTTGGGTAAATAGAACTGCAAGGTATCTGCATCGGAGTAAGAGCAGATCAAAGCTTACTTGTCGTAGACGCTTGTCTCGTTCCTATCATCCAGAAAACGAGTCAGATCAAAAAAGTCGGGCAAATGTATGTTGCAAAACTTCGTACCTCGAGATACTTCTTCTTGAGAGCTTCAGGATCAAAGTCGAACTTCCAGAGATTCGCTTCATCAATTTGGTAGACCACTAGAATGTAATTGATGAGCGATCGTTAGTTGTTTGGTCGAATAATTAGTTCTTTCCACGATCATGATCAACAAGATAGTGCGAGGGTGCAACATCTCGCACGATCAGCTGTTTATCTGGTCCGATCTGGAGTCCACTAGCCGCAACAATGACTCACTTGTAAAGATTCCTCTATCTCTCTCTCTTCCTTAAGCTTAACCGGAAAGTTGGTGTGGTTGCTCAAAAGTCGTGACAAGGGGAAAAGTACTTTTTCCGAAAGCAAACAACACGTTAGATCGTGACAGTTTAGGATGTTCTTTGAATTCAGATCTACAAAAAGAAACTACGTCGACTACTGAAAACAGCTGCACTTAGAGTTTCGCAGACTTCATCGCGTCAGATTGACCATTCTCATACGTAACGTCCATGCCTTCCAATCCCTTCTTTGATGCCCACGTTTGTAAGACCTTCGCGTAGGCCACAGGTCCTGTTCCAAGTGCCAAGTTTCTGGCCTTGCGCCGATCGAGTTGCCCTTCCTATGAGTTTGAGAGGATGAGAGGACACGGGTTAGACCGACACACAGATTACACAGTCAAGTCACGACACAGGAGTCAATTTCCACCCGGTACTTGCCATATTGTAGTAGCCCTAAGATATGTTATAAGAGTCAGACATTGTTCTAAAACAATCCCACCTGAAGAAGGCATGAAACACGCACACAGACTTACTGGAGTGCAATCTTGATAAAATGATTTCCTGACAGCCGCTGATTTGACAATGGTTTCGACCCACTCGTTTTCAGCCTTTTCAGAAGGTTGGACTGTACGCACGTTTGCCGCAAAACATTCTATCAAATTGGATTGTGTAAACACACCAGTAACGACGGTGTCAAAAGAATAAATGATTTCATTGGTATTGAACTCACTTGCGAGCGTGTCCACAATTGCACTTGTTTGGTCATGACTATGGTTTTTGTGAAGTTTTGTAAGAAACACCAACAGTTGAAACAGTGACAAGGCCAACAATTGTGATGAGAATTAAATGCCTTACATGATCTGGGGAAAGTTTACACTAGTGCCAGCCTGGCTGTTTCCCTGCGCATTCTGCACCAGGAACAGATTAGGGAACCCGTTGACTGATATACCATACATAGTGGACAACCCATCCTTCCACTTGTCAGTTATTGCGAGTCCGCCAACACCGTATATTTGATAGCCGGTACGCGATGTCCCTATGGTACATATAAGATTACATATGAGATCCGATTGATATCACATTCAATCAACTGCAAAAAAAGAAACCAGGTGTGAGACCTACATGAAGTACCGACTTCGAATCCAGTAGCAAATATAACTGCGTCTACATCGTATTGCACTCCACAAGCTAATACTCCATTTGGAGTCAAGGCTTCTACACCTTTACCATCGGTATCAACCAAGGTGACATTTGGCCGGTTGAAAGTTGGTAGGTATTCATCGTGATAGCATGGTCTTTTACAGAACTGATTGTACCAGACCTTTTGAGTAGAGAAGAGTCAGTGTTGAAACTTTCATAATCAAAGAACATTTGGACACTCGAACTGCATGTGCTTACCTTCAGGGCTTCAGCAGTCTTCTTGTCTTTGACTACAGAATCTACTCTTGCCCGAATTGATTCCATTTTCCGGTAGTCTGTTCAAAGAAAGTAAACGTCAGAAAAGTGCAAAGATATATATAGTACAATCACAAACTGAAATCCAAAATCCGCACCAGCTAATTGCAACATTTCAGCATGTGAATATGCCTTCGCAGCTTCAGGATTCTTCTTTTGGGACTTTATTAAGGAGACCAATTCTGTAAAAACAGAAGTCCATCCGTCCATTACGAGATCCTCTTCTGTGTATCCACCAGACGTCAAGACATTGAAATTCTCAGCCCGCCTCTTTTGCCAGCCTGGGGTCAGTGTCTTCACCCACTCTGGATCTACTGGGCGGTTGTTGCGAACATCGATACTCGATGGCGTTCGTTGGAAGACATAGAGATGTTTGGCTGATGCAGCCAGATGTGGGATTGCTTGAACGGCTGTAGCGCCAGTGCCAATTATCGCAATTCTTTTATCTTTGAGCTTGTCCAAATTTCCGTATCTGACGAAATGGATAAAGTGGGGTTTAGGCAATCACCTTGCAAAGTAGGTCGTTAGGAAAAAGCTGTACGAGTATACTCACGAGTTGCCACCCTAAAAGAAACTCGTCAGTTTACACTGCAAAATTACAATAACTACAGCTGTATTTACCGTGTAGTTATAGTCCCATCTCGAAGTATGAAATATGTGCCCCTTAAAATCCTCAACACCTTTAATACCGGGCAACTTTGCCGCGTGAAGGCTTCCCGGTGAGCAAATGACGTATTTACACGTCAATAAATCTCCTCGATTAGTTTTGACAGTCCAACGAGCTCTCGATTCATCCCATCTCAATTCTCTAGCCTCTGTCTGAAAAATTGCACGCTCATTCAAGTGCCACTTTTTGGCGATACGTTGACAGTGTTCCAATATGATGGGAGCTTTGGCGTAATGTTCAGGTGGGATGTAATTGGTCTCTTCCAAAAACGGGAGGTAGATAAGTGCTGCATTGTAAATGTGATGATTGAGACTCTGACCAACACGACGATGTAATACATGAATTTTCACACCTTCGGTATCACATGCCGCGCCAGGATAACGATTCCACCACTAACGTAGTAGACATTTGAGAATGCTATTCATAACACAGGACAATTCGATGCGAATTGAGCGACAAGGAGAAACACAGCAGAGATACACACCCAAGTACCTAACAGTCCAAACACTTGAGACTAGCTTTCAAACAGCAAACGAGTTTCATAGCAACTTACCACCAAATCCTCCTCCCTTCTCAATAATCTTAAAATTCTTAATCCCAGCTTCCATTAACTTGACACTCGCAATCAGACCTGCAAATCCACCACCAAGCATAATCACGTCTACTTCGTCCGTCATGGGAGCTCGAACAATGGGCTCGACATACGGGTCAGTGAGCAGATGCTTGAATTTGCCTGTAGAGTCAAGCTTGATGTATTGATCATTTCCGGCCTATTGTAAGAAAATCGTATGAGGTCCGCGTGGATCGACAGATCGGTCAAAATTTGGGGGCCAGAGATCGGTGAATTGGCCACCAACGGATTCACAAAACTGTCTGTACATTCGTTAAACGTTTGTCTCGTTCCTACACGATTAGAGGGTCAGCGGAACAGGAATACCAGAAATACGCAATTCACCTAGCATACGGATGACAAACATACCAGCAGATACTTCTTCCTCAAAGCTTCCGGATCAAAATCAAACTTCCAGAGTGTAGCTTCATCAGCTTGATACACCACTGTACAGAGAAAAGTAAGATCGTCAGAGACCAGTAAACGACTCCATTAGTGAAATAAGGAAGCTACGATGCATTTTTAAGCAAGCGACCGCATGTACAATTAGTTGCAAAGCACTGTGTTCAACAAGTTTCCATGATCTTGGCAAGCAAGGCCACACAATATGAGGACTCATGCCACATATTCACAATTCTCATATGATCAACCGCGAAGGCACTTACTTCTTGTCTCCTTCAAGCTTCCAGGTCTCTGAGAGCTGCTTGTTGAAATTTAAGTGTTTGACGATCTTGAACACAGATCATTACGGTGAGGAGGGACACAACTTTTCCGGAACCGCACCTGTTGGCCTTTTCGCGCGTCTAAGCTTCTTAAATATCAAGCTACCAGCTACTATACGCGATCATGCCTTCCGCGAATGACTTGACAACTTCTTTATACCTCCCAAATATTCTACCAAAAATCTTTAAAGTATACTAATAATCCGTCTCATACTATTCAAAATCATCCTCATCATCCTCAACATCCAACGACACATCCTCCGTCATCTTATACAACTCCTTGAGTCCAGTCACCTCTTCCAAATACGACGGATCTTCCAAACACTTGCGTACAAATTCAAATCCACGTCGTCTATACTCGTCGAGAACGACATGTGAACATGCTGTACATCGGTCGTAGGCTTGACCTGTGATTAAAAGATTCGAGAAGTGGGAGAGGAAGCCACGTATTTGATGTGGAAGGAGTCCTAGTGGGTTGGTGGGACTGTTTACTGATTCGGATATGGGTGTTGCAACGTCACCTGGAGCCCATGGCCTATTGAAAAAGTTACAATTCAGTGATATTTTATAAAAATCGTGTACCCTAGTTTTGTCAGAGTCTTACCCTCTTGGATGATTGAGTATAGTAACCAACAGCTCAACAGCCAACGCTGAAGCCATGAGCGCCAATCCTGGCCTTGTAACAGTACATTGCTGATCCAGAGTACGATCACTTAGGGACTAGCGATGAAAGCGTTTAAACAGACACCAAAGAAAACGGCTACAAAATTTGGTTAATTGACTCACATCTGTTGGAGCCACCACATCATTACAAAAGTAACAGCCAAGATGTACTTCCGACGTCGTTGTAGCAGAAGCAGAAGACGGTGACGGTGTTTCAGCAGTTCTCATGCCATGGCGCATTACCAAAAATGTATCAAAGCCAAGAGCCGAGTTAACGACAATCTAGCAATGAAACTGTCAGCTTGGATAGTCAAAGTTTATTTCAAACAGTCAGGGCTGTACCTTTCCATGAGCAGCGCCTAATAAAGTAGGCAACCACCGCGCTTCGCGACTATCGGTCAACAGAAAAATGGCATCATGCGCTATGATCAGTTTCTCCAACTCAGCCAAGTCCGATTTAGCTTGATCCATATTGGTTACAGCATGACCGGGCATGAGAATGCCCAAGACGTGTCCAACACAATTCTAAATTGATTTGAGCAGTTAGTGGAACCGAAAAAAAGTCTTAAACTTGGAATTCATACCACTCCAGGAAAAATCCGTTTCAGAGCATCAGCAGCTGCTACAGCCTTGTATTTACCACCATCTAAGCAGTCTTCAAACGAAAACAAGGGTTGTCGAACGGGATTTGTGAAGGAAACTTTTCCACTATCCACAAATGTGATGTTTCGAACACCCCATGCCTAAGCATGGAAGCACAAGAAAAACTGCTCAGCATCATCGAAGGAAACTGTATGCAAGTATTTGATTGAGAAGACACCCACCATCAAGTTCCGAGCAACATAACAACCCAACGTTCCAGCTCCCAACAACAGACATTTCGTTGAAGAAATCTTTTCTAATTGCAGTGCAGGTGCTATTCTCCATCTCATCAACTTGAGGTTCAGGTCAACTGCGGTATCAGCAAGTCTACGATGCAATACAACGAATGGGCTTTTGCTATTTTGCACCAATGCAAACAACATTTTTCACCTAGCTGGATCCATCAATGGTGCTAAGTCCGCTACTCGAGGTCCAAGTTTGCCAGCAGCATTCTTTTCCCAACCAACGGACTTTGGTGGGTCTGAAGGGAGCCAAAAAAAATGGTCCATTTTATGAAGCTACTGAATTGATCACAACGTAAATCACCGTCTTACCTGCAAACAAACCAGGCATCTTGACATCTATAACTATACTATTTAATATATCTGGACCAGCAGACTGCCTTGACATGGATTCTCGATAACACACAACAGTGACACTTTCCAACCCTTTAGCCTTTTTCAGCAATGCAAAAAAGTTTCGTAGTGGCCAACCAGGATGAGTTGATAGACCCGATGGATCTGCAAATCCCACCATGATCTAATTTAATTCAAGTTTGACATGACGGAGAGGGCAAAAAGGGTTACAAATTTATCATGGATACCTTGGATTCATGAGTCTTTGCAAAAAAATCATCCCAGTTCACGAGTTTGGCAACGTCGACTGTATTACTTTCTTCCTCCTTTCGTATGAGGAAGAATCCAGTATCATTTGGAGCAGCTTCGTGGCTTTCCGGAAGTCCTCTGAAAGTATTATAGCTAGTTCGTAGTGATTCGATCTGAAAAGTGGAATGTTACATGATTTTTTAAGGTTTTTTCGTTCGCGGCCTTAGAAACGAACCTGTTCGGGATTAAAGTAGACGGATATGGATACAGCACTGGTGACGTTGAATGTCTGTTCCGGAAGCAGAGCCGGGAAGGCAAACCAGTGATAGAATCGATATTTCTTTAGATCTGCAAATGTCAATAGAATGAATCGGTTCAGTAGACTAGGTGAATTGATTGCTGATCCGGAGACTATATCGTCCCAAATCTAAAATCGAGTTCAGATTCAGCTACGTTGTTTTCTGTCTCGATTTTCAAGGAAAAAAGACAAGAGTTACTGAAGCTATACCCTGTTTGCAGTATCTTTAAACAGCTTGTTCTTGTCAACACTTTGAAACTCTTCGATCGTGTTGGTGTTCTTGAGCACTCCTGGCGCACGAAATGAATATGGAGGTAGCCCACTGCAGTGACGAGAGAAATAAATCAGCAAACAACAAAAAAAAGTAGCGCTTATCAGGACCAGGTAACGTGCCTTCCGTCAAAAGCACCAACTCCCAAACAGAGTCTTGCAGGAATAGCCTCAGCCACATGAGCATCACTTTTCGGTTGAGGAATGGATAGGACCTGGCCCGTTGAGTAGTATCCATAGACGTCTACGGCTGAGTCGTCGAGCTTGTAGACGTCGATTTTACGCTGACTGAATTGATGCCAGAATGTCGCTTCGACAGCCGAGGATAAGGGCTCGAATTGCAATAGATTTGACTCTTCCATTATGGATTCACTGCTTGTCTAACGAAAATAATCTAGTGTCAGTTCATGACGCCTCCTGCAACCAACAATATCACACTTTCAATCTTTAATCGACCAGTGGGGTACCTTCTAATACAGGATGAGTTATATAGCTAGTGAGGACCCAGTGGGTACTAGTACAGTACCTGGGCCGTGTCAGTTATGGGAGCTCACTCAATATCAATGTGAACTGAGTGTAGACAACATGCGAGTGACTTGTCGTCCATTTATACGTGTTTTCAAGAGGTGGAATTCTTGCTAAATTCAATTGTATTCGACATATACTAATACTACACGTGTCATTAGATGTGCAAATGCACCTACCATCGAAGTGTAATCGCTGATCCCCAGCATCCCCTTGTTTTGGTTGTCGCTCACACTTTGTCCTTTAGAACACCTCCAATTGAAGATGCAAGCTAGAATTATATGTCCCCTATGATTGAAATCACGGACGCATCGTGCTTATGGTCTCAGCCTCGATACTTACTTGACGTAGCGATATATTGTCAAATGTTTAGAGCAAATCAACTGCACACGAGCACACGCATTGTGATTTGAAAATTTGTAACTCTTGTCTTGGAAAACAATTTCTGATATATAAACATGCAAACACTATTCATCCAAACCACCACCAACACCCCTTCAACCAACTTTTTCTGTTTTTCGTTGTTTTAACTTGAATTTAAGGCTTGGAATTCGTTTACTGGCTAGCAATGGCCTTTGCTTTGCGAGCAGAGGCAGCAGTTCGTCCGGCATGGGAAACTTGGACAGCTGAATGAGATCAAGACAAGTTAGTTTCAGACCAAAGGTATCTAAGCATATCAAACGCAAGATGCAGCATACCTTCATGGGCGAACAAACTTTGCATGTAACCAGCTGCAATGGCTCCCAAACAATCACCTACAAAATCGTGTCAATTAGACGGGCAGCAGCCTAAATGCTCGTAACATATAATGCACCATACCTAGCCAGTAAATCCATTGGTGGTCCCAATGTCCAGATAACAAGGCAGGTCCAAAAGCACGAGCTGGGTTGTAGGCACCTCCTGACACGGATGATCCCAACAAACCAAGGAAACCCAAAGTGAATCCAATGGCGACTGGAGCGAAACCGGCTTTGGTGTTACCAGAAGTTGTCTATAAAGTGAAGAAAATATCAGTATTGGATGAAAAGAAAGCAATTTGGTAACTAAACTACGTCGCCACTGCCCGCCCAAAAAACAAAAAGGGATCGAAGCCCCAACGAAGCGGCACAAATTGCCAACTGATACTCACATAAATGGTGAGGTTCTTTCCAGCAGACTCTTTGGTGGTTCCATCTTCAGAGATCTTGACTTCACCCTTGGTGTCGACTACACATTGAATATAGTGTGTGAGCAGCATCGCATAAAGAGGATAATGGGTGAAGTCGAGCATTACCCACCGGTATCGAAAGCAGTAGCAAAGATAACGTAAACCAACACGAAGGTCAAGGAGAACTCCATGAAAAAGGCGTGTAAGGTTGAAGCAGTCGAGTCAATGTCGACAACCACCGAGTAAGGAATGGTGGTGTTGGTAGGACCAGGGAAGACAACATACAACCACGACGTAGCCAACACTGAGGCCAAGAGCTGGATTCCAATAAACATCAATCCTAAGAGACAAAAATTGGGTTAGATTTTGCAAGCAAAAACAAATCCCATTGAAATTCGTCACACCTTTGTGGCCAGATACTTTTCCAGTTACAATGGTGGCAACAGTTACGGCAGGGTTGAAGTGAGCACCTATTAGCATATCATCATTAGCTAATGATAACAGTCCAAGGCAAAAAAAGAGTCACATTGCAGGAAAAGCCATACCGGAAACATCGGCGAATGAGTAGATCAATGCAATACTACAAAATGCAGTGGAGATAGCACTCAAAACCAAGTTTTCGGGATTTTGTTGTCGAGAGTTGTTCATGGTCACGGCTTCAACAATGAAGAGGAAGAGGAAGGTACACAATCCTTCACCGAAAACTGCTCTTAAAAGCTACCAAACCAAAAATTATTATGGTCGGGTTTGACGATTGCGAAAGTGCAGTTTCCCAAACAAACTTACCACCCGCCTTCGTTCAGTCATTTCCCACGAAAATTCATGCAATTCCTTTTGGATTTCAGCATACCAGTCCATAGGATTCCAGCTCATGAATTTGCCTGGCGCGTCATCGATCTCCATTGGTTCAACCAACCCAGTCTTGTCGTTCTCATCGGCTTGAGCTTCGACATCGTGTACGTCCGAGAAATCTCCTGCTTCCATCTTTGTGAATCCGACAGAGGTCATCGTTGGCTTTAACTGATATATTTTATCGCTCAGTTGACGTGATTCTTGAAGGTTGTGAGAATTGCGAAGCAACGCTTCCAATCATAGGATTTCCCAGGGATTTTCATATGACGATCTTCAGATTCGGGAAAAATTGGGAGCGCATCTGTTAAGTTTGGTGCTTCGATTAGTATACATTTGGAATGTAGTCAAGATGCCGACATTCTTAAAGTGACGCGAATACCTTTTTCTGAGTTGTAGAACGGCACCGTCCTACGTTTTGCGAGAGAATCGAATAGATATACATTCTCTCCACGTTTGGACGTAATTCATCTGTTATGAATGGTGTCTGTTGACTGACGTCCGTTGTTGAATTCATGGATTTCTTGAAAAGTAACATTGACTTTGAGCCATAAGCGAAGATACGCGTTGGCAGGGAGTCTCAACCTTTTGCTTCAATTGTAGAGACTGGAGTGGCCTTTTCCAGAGTAGCCTCCACTTCCTCTGTTGCATCCGAAGCTCTCAAACTCAAAGACTGTCAACGTTTAGTTTTTGTTTTAGGATGCAAGCCACTAGAGCCATCGGGAGGCTTACGCTGGTTCATCAGTCTCGGAATCTTGCTACGGTAGCTCTCGACCCTGATTTCACCGTTGACCATGTCGTAAGTATGGCATGTGTCAGTCTCACGAGTTTTGTGTTTGAGGAAATCTCGATCGATTCTTGGCATATTGATACGCGTCAACCAATATTGACAATATCTACCCTTAATCGATATCAGGTCATTGGCGCCGGTGTCGTCGGTCTAGCTGTCGCAGAACGACTCTCACGACGTCCTAATACCTCAACGCTAGTCTTGGAAAGACACGCCCAATTTGGCTACGAAACTTCATCACGGAATTCAGAAGTCATTCACGCTGGAATCTACTACCCTCCAACCTCACTGAAAACCAAACTGTGTATTCGCGGACGTGAGTTGATGTATCAAACGTGTGCAGACGCTCGAATACCGTTTAAAAAGATGGGGAAATGGATGGTTGCTGTTGAGTCTGAAGAGTCAGAGTATTTGCATCAGATGAAGGATAAAGCTGACAAGTTGGGTGTGCCTACTACATGGTTGACGAGGCAGCAGATTGTAGATGGGGAGCCAAATTTGGTAGCTAAGGAGGTGTTGTTTAGTCCAGAGACTGGCGTGTTGGATTCGCATGCGTTTATGGAGTACTTGGAGGTGCGTGCAACATAAGTCATTAGAAAGACGTCTCTGTACAATCTTGTCACTGGACATCTATTTTCACATTGAAACTTTTTTTGCGCCTGGACTCACGAGACACCCTGTTTTCAACTTGATCTCACCTTGCTCAACAAATAGGCACGATTGAAAAATCAAGAAGGAGACATAATATATCGACATCCGGTCGAATCAATATCCTCTGCACGAGGTGGAGGATATCTGATACGAGTAGGAGGCCCAACGCCATCTCTCATCAAAACGCGAATCCTAGTAAACTCGGCAGGTCTCTATTCCGATCGCATCGCTGCATTTCTCCTTCCCGAGCATTACGGACCAGGAACAGCAAATCAAATAAGATATACAAAGGGACACTATTACGGCCTTCGAGGATCATCAACACTTGTACATCGACTTATATATCCATGTCCGGAAAAGCAGGCCAGAGAGAATGTGACGTACTTGGGAGTGCATTGTACTTTGGATTTGACTGGAAGGTTACGGTTTGGTCCTGATGCTCTGTATGTCGATCGACCCGACGATTATAAAGTGAATGATGCAGATGAGGTCTATTTAACGGGATTTCATGCTGCCATTAAGAGATACCTACCATCTGTGAGAAAGGATGATCTGTATCCAGACTATACTGGAATTAGGTGAGAAATGCAAAAAGAAGCATAGATGTTATCCAATGTCGTGGCGCACTGACATCCCCTCTTTCATCCACCACTCAATAGGCCAAAGCTATCTGGATATGGTGAACCTTTCAGAGATTTTGTCATCAAAGAAGAATCAGACAGAGGGTTTCCAGGATTTTTGAACCTCGTCGGTATCGAGTCGCCTGGTCTCACCAGCTCACTCGCGATTGCAGAACACATAGAAACGCAACTCTTGTAAAAAGTATAATTTGAGTTCTTATTATTATTTAGAGAAACCATATTCTTTTGGAGTTGTTGAATTATTTACATTCTGGCAAACCAGTTCGATGTTACAGCTCGCCTAGCCGACACGAGAAGAACAGCAGCAGCCAAAATAGCAACTCCTGTGTATATTATACCCCAGAGGAAATTAATGCTTCCATCAGCACGAAGTGGTGTTGAATCTATAATGGCACCCTACAGAAAAAGCGATTTGTAGTTTACAAAGCTCTGAGTGCCTGTTTGTCCACGCTCAAAACCAGCAAAACTTACAAAGATAACGGCACCAGCAGCTTGTCCAGGAGCCCAAGAACTACACATCAGATTGATTGCATTAGTCCCTTTGTTCGAATACTAAAACCTGCTTTCAGTCGACTGCAAACCACTTGCCTAAATGTTATGCCAATGATGTGTCCCGGCTTTGAATTCTTTGGTGACAGGTCCATCGCGCACGGCGCGTACATGCTATTTAAGTTAAAAGACAGGTCTCATGAGCACCGCAAAGAAAGGGTGTGTTTGCGCCACTATGCAAGCTTACCTTTGCCCTCCACCACCAACGAACCCAGCAATAAGAATAAAGGCACAGAATGATCCAAAGTTGGTTGCGAGTGGCCATAGCACCAGGACACATATTCCAAACATTGTCAGACACACAAGGTATGAATTCACACGACCCAAGAACATGTCAGCTGTCAAGCCTATAAACAATCGACCTAATCCACTAGCAAGATTGTATAAGCCCGCAAACAACGCGCCTGTTTGGTCAGAGAGACCAAGTGATTTGGCATATACAGAGGCATAGAAGGGTGGCACTATGATGGCAAATGCCAATGTGAATCCCATGAAGAAGTATAGCGTGAAGCTTGGTGATAGAAACAGATTGAGCATGGGCTCTGGTTTCTTGTTGTTAGTTTTGGGTTCTATTGGTCGGAAACTCATGATGGCTTGAGCAAATAGACATAGACCTGGCAATGGAGCTGTATGAGATATTTCTTTCCGTGAACTATAAGTTCATTCAAGTGTACCTGCTGTTAGGAATCCCATGATTCGCAACGTCCACTGAGTGCCATAATTTGATAAGAGCGCTTGAATGACAAGACTCCATACAAAACCTCCCAGTCCAGCTATTGATTGACGAAACGGTACAATTAGAGTCTCAAGGCAATGCGTTTCTACGCATTGTAGCATTCACATACCACCACTAACGACAATGCCAGTAGCAATCCCTCTTAATCTAGTAAACCATTGTTGCACTGCAGCGATTGCAATTAGTTGGGTGAAGGAGAAGCCAGTTCCCAAAAGTAACCCTTGTGTCAGGAGATAGTGCCAGTACTCTGTGGCAAATGATGCTGTTATGTGACCCAGGAGCATCAGAAATGTTCCTAACAAAACAACCGGCCGGTCTATAATGGAACACAATAAACTTCTCGTTCTTTTCGCGTCAAACGTCGAGCAATCTTTGGCACAAGAATACTCACATCCAAAGCGTTCAGCAAAGGAACCTGCCACCAAACTCAGGCCTGACTGAACAGCAGAGCTTAGAGTTCCAATAAGTGACAATTGTGCATTACTTCCCAGCCCTTGTTGCAAATACCATCTTTGATACACCCCATACGAAAACATTAGACCGATCGAAGTAGAACATATTAGGAAACTTCCAGCCACAGTCAGCCAACCCCTTAGACTACCATCATGACCTTCTAATGCTTTGACACTGGAGACACTAGCTCTTCGACTAGTCGTTCTAGAGACATCAAAAGAGCGCTCATTGGGTGGTATAGATGGCGCAAGAGTACTAGTCAGTAGATCGTTTGCAAGGACATCAGCTTCGTCCTTTTCGGCGTCCATGACATCGTCCTCAACATCGTGGATTTCTATTTTTGGTTGAATTGGCACCGCAACAGTCGTGTTCGTCAAGTCACCATCAGCAAGTACTGGCGATGGATCGATCTTGGTCTCAGGTGGTATGGGTTGTTTGGTGATGGAGACTGCTTGAAGCTTTTGAAGCTCAGTTTGAGAGATTCCATTGGCAGCATATAGTTGGACTGGCACAGACTGTTCAATACCAGTAGCGTCAGAAGGGTCCTCGATAGATACAGCCATAACTCCATCAAACGACAACGAAGTAGGTCACCAAAGAAAGCTGGCTGACAAGAAAAACGTGAGGACGTCTATGGCTTTGAAGCTTGAGAGTGACTCGTTTCGTAATGACAATGCAGTTTTCGAGCCTTCTAAGGACTTTGGCTCATGGATATAGTCCGTTTTGCCTGTTCCTCCATGTAGAAATCACGTTCTCTCTACTAGCTTTTGTGTGATTTTGTTGACGACATGGCGACTTGATCAGTTGAATAGATGAGCGTGATTTTCCAGTTTAGTTCGACTACGGGGACCAGATCTAAAGATGACAACGTGTTCAGATTCAGCTCTTGCCTTGGCCCGTCACGCAGGTCCAGCAAATTGAATCCCAGTTTCATATAATGACTTGCGAAAACAACAAAAATTCAAAACCACATTCGAGGAGGGCAAGAACAAGATTCCGCAATAAGACATAGTCAGGCAGGTAGATTCTGGCTGCTGGAAAGGGTGCTGGACCAAGTCGGAACTAGACCAAATCCAACATTACAGGTACATCATCACAAAAGTTGGGTTGTTCCAAAAAGAGGTACGTTGACATGAATAGAGACAAATGGTACATACAAAAGAGAGGGAGGAAGAGTGGCATTCCATTGGTACACATCCAATGGTCATATTGGAGATTTGTTTCCTTCCTCAATCATGGCATAATCGCGACGACATCAGGAGGACCGCCTCGTGTTTGCTTTTGAATTTCAACATCAAAGTACAATCCCATGGCAGAGAGATTGATGGGGCGTGATTATAGGATCATTTAGATCTTGTACTGGAACTAATCATCCATTCATTGACTGCTAGTTCACACCTTCAGCAACTACCTTAAAATCCAATCATGAGCTACGCTGTAAGTTTGGGAACGAAAACCTAATGTCTGCGTTTTCGCATAATACACTGGTGGATCATGAAGATATGCGGAAGCATTTTGAAATGCCGTTTGAAACTTCTTTATTTCACGCCTCCTCACTCATTCATCAAACATGTTTTGGCTGCACTGTGCATATTTGAAAACACAAACTCATTTACTTTCTCCTCCACCTGTCATATACTTAGTTACGCAACCGCAATGGCACTGTCGCTGCTGACGACAAGGAGAACTCAGCTGCCAATCATGTCGCCAATCTCGCCAATCTCAAGGACCATATTCAAGGCAACAAAGAAAACGTAGCAAAACCAACCAAAAAGACCATCAAAGGCAAGGCTCCTTCAGCTGCAGAAGAAGTAGTAGCCTCGCCAAAGAAGGAACCACGTCGACCTGTCTTGGGAAACAAGGAGAATGACCCAAACTTGCACCAAGTCAAGGAGGTAAGTTGTTTGCAACATTTATGTTATTCTGCTTCACACAATATGAAGATGTGACATGGTCTGACCAACCACCACATTCATCTATAGGGTGTAAACTCAAAAGTCGGTAAACCAAAGGTGGCTCCTGGTCATAGCAAAGTCGTCAAACCCAAGTTGCCTCCTGTTGTTGAAGCTGAACCTGAGGTAGTAGTGAAAGAAGCTCCTCCACGCAAGACCAGATCAAAGGCTGAGGCTAAGGCTGAAGCTGCCGCCGCTGCCATCAAGGAACAACATCATCCAGTTGCACCCAAACCTCAAAACCCTATCGAAATCGACCAAACAGAAACCGCCAAACCAAAAGAAGAAGCTAGAGCCGTAAAAGCATCAAATAAAGCAGCACCCAAACCGTCATCAGCTCCTAAAGTTGTCGTAGCACCCAAACCACAAACTCCCATCGCTCCACCTCAACCTGTACTTCCGGCAGCTCCAGAAAACGATTGGGAAGACTTGGATGCTGATGATATCAATGATCCCGTCATGGTTGCTGAATATGTTGTCGAGATCTTTGAATACATGAGGCGTTTAGAAGTAAGTATATCCATGTTGTAAAATGAGGAGTTATGATCGCACTTTCTAACAAACCATAACACCCACTTTCATAGCTTCGAACATTGGCCGAACCAAACTATATGGAACACCAACAAGAACTCACCTGGCAAATGAGAAGCATTCTCATCGACTGGATTGTTGATGTCCACAACAAGTTCCGTCTCTTGCCCGAAACGCTATATCTCACAGTCAATATCATCGATCGATTCTTGTCTGCTCGTGTCGTGTCTCTATCAAAGCTTCAACTGGTTGGTATCACCGCTCTCTTTATTGCTTCCAAATATGAAGAAATCGTTGCCCCCAGTATTGATGTAAGTCTAGCCGTTTGACTGTGGAGACAGGGAAGTTTGAATCTAATCGCAATCATCCAACACCATTGTCCTTTCACTTTTAGAATCTGTTATATATGGCTGAACATGGTTATACTCAAGAAGAAGTGGTCCGAGCTGAACGATATGTATTAGGTGCTCTCGAATTCTCCATTCAATACCAAAGCCCTATGAGCTTCCTTCGACGTGGATCCAAGGCTGATGGTTATGACATCCAGACTCGTACCTTGGCCAAGTACCTAATGGAAATCAGCATTATTGACCAGCGCTTCCTTGTATGTCCACCATCGGAAATCGCAGCGGCAGGATTGTTCCTGGCTCGTCGAATGCTTGGTCGTGATGAATGGGTGTGTAGATTGTGTCAATATGTATTGCTTCTGGCTACCGTCAGCTATGTGCCTTCCAACTGAATGTCTCACACATTTTCTATGTCTTCTCTTCACGTTACAACAGGACGCCAACTTGGTACATTACTCTGGATATACTGTAGAGCAACTTGATCCGTGTGTAACACTCATGCTCGACTTTTTGGGCACGCCTACTGCTCATGATGCTGTTTACCGCAAGTACTCGGGTAAAAAGTTCATGAGAGCAAGTGTGTTTGTTCGACAATGGATTGAAACCAATCCAGTGGCTGCTCCAGTCGGCAACAACGATGAAGCCCCAGCCACAGAAGAAGCAGGACCAAGTTCCGAATAAACTCTTGTATCAATATAGGTAGAACGAAAAGGGGTAAAGTATGATTGTCGACAAAAACCAAATAAAAAAACCAACACCCAATATAAAGGAAACTTTTGTATACTATATACCACACCAAAACCATGTATGTATGTCGACAGGAACGTCGTAAATTTGAAGCATATAAACAAATCCGTGCTAGCAATTGTCTTTTGTGCACTGAACGTTCGAATCTTTGGCCTCCGAGCTGGTTTCGTCGCTTGGTGACAACACATCGTTTTGAGCAGACAAGTAGTACTACCTTGAGATTTTTATTTCCATATTAGAGTTAGATTTTTTGAATATTTATGTGAGTGGGTGTCTTTTGTATACATTTTAGTGCAAACATATGCGTTGAGCAATATAACTTATGGTAACAAATGTGGTTTGTGCAAATAATATGATTCTTGTGGTGTGTATGTGTGATGCCAAAGAAGTGTGGTGCCTGTAGTTGTATGTGTGTGCGAAAAAAAAGGTACAGGACGAGACGGAGAATGCTACAGATCAGCGTGTAAAGCACGGCTAGGTTCCTGTTGTTGCGACTTTTGAGGGATTTCCATATCCATTTTTATGAGATTTGTTGAAGAAGATGCCTGTGAACGTCTCTGGAGACCAAAATAAAAGGATTCGTGAGGATTGAGACACCACAATAACAAGTGGCAAAAAAAGGAGAGACTCGAAACTTGAATGGCAATCATACCAGTTCATCAGCAGCCTCAGCAATCTTGTCAGCATCATCTGATATCCAAGTCATGCCCATATCCAAGGGGGTCATGATAAGTTGTCCAGTCTTGACTTGTAAAGCGGTTGGTGAGAGCGTAGCGGCAGTACCTGTTGTCGGTTGCGTGGCTGGTGCGACTTCACCTTTTACAATTGGAATGGCATCCGCAATTGATATATTCATGACTGGTGATACCGCAGCAAGACGAGCAGCGACAAGCTCGACCACCAACTCGTCATTGCCCATCTTTTCAGCAATCTGGACCGGAGTATTCCCGCATGCGTCGGTACAGTCGATAGCTTGAGCTACAAGATCTGGAGCGAAGCGTAACAAGTGACATAAATATGAATGGGCAGCTGCTACGTGACCCAGGATCCCGCATGTGTGTACGAGATGGTGTAGAGCAGTCTTGCCTAATCTATCTTGACATAATAGTGTGGGGGCTAGTAGTGCGATGATGGTTGATGATGTACCGGATTCGTATGTGTTGGGGACTCGTATGACTCTCATCAAGGGGGTTTCACCGACGTGGTTGGTGGTGGTTGTGCATGCACCGTTTTCAATGAGTAGAGTTACTAGATTATCTCTGCCTAGAGCTGCGGCCCAATGCAGAGCAGTGTGACCTTGATCGTCAATAACGGCATCCACGTCTTCTAGTGCTGTTTCATCGTCATCGGCAACAAGACCAGCCAAAGTATCCCAATACTCGGTAGCATTCGTTTCTGGGAAATTGTAGGATGATGCGTCACCCATTAACCAAGTATGACTGTCTTCAGGAGCGACTTCCCATGATATATCATCTGCAGTAAATATAGAATGATTGCCAAATGTAGCCTCTATTTCGGATTGGGTTGGGCATGGTGTTTCAGATGGGTTTGGCTGGAAGGCCCCACCATGTTCACATTCGTTAATTCCAAAATCCAGAGAGCATAAGCCAGCCTTGTTTTTGATCTTTTTCGAAGCACCCAACCGTAAGAGTGTGACTGCTGCAAAAGTTACTCTAGCTCGAGAAGCAATGTTTAGTGCTGTATCACCGTTCTTGTCTTGAAAGTCCAGCATCCGTTTAAAGTTGTTTCGGTCGCGGTTCCAGAGTTTCTGTTGAGTCCTCTTGTCTACTATTCCTGCTCGTGTAGCTGCTCTATACTGATCACCTTCCACAAACAATTCGGCAGGCCCATGCAAAAAGTATCTGACGATAGAGTCAAAGTAATACTTTGCCATTCCACCACGACTTCTCGAATTACCACTTGAAACTACATGATGTAATATAGTCTTGTGTTTATAATCCTGACACGCTATAGATTCCGACAAGAGTGGCACCAGCTGTTCGAATACATTGGACTCATATGGAGCTGGCAAGAAGGTAGCTCTCATCAGGGGAGTCTCACCAGCTAGATTACGTACCGAGGGACTTGCACCATGAGATATGAGGTATTGTGCCAATGGCAGTTTAGCAAGTGCAGCGGCCCAGTGTAGAGCTGTATTTTCACTGTCGTCCAAGTGCATGTTTATATCGGTGCCTGGGAGCAGCGTCGGAGGGAATTGTGATGGATCGGCATCTCCAAACAGAGCAATCAAAAAGCTCCGTGGAGAAGAGTATCTAGGATTATTAAGGGCAGTGTTGATGTTATAAGCTATAGGTGGTGGGGTGCTAGACGATGTGGTCAATATATAAGGTGATGAAGCGATCGGTGTTTCTACCCGTTCAAGCAACGTGGAGTCAGTATCTGGGAAGGATGAAGAGGCGCTATTATATAGAGGGGTTGCTACAGCCAACAGTGGGAACTGGCGTCGATTAATCCGTTTCCCAGAAGCGTCACTACCGCGGGAAGTTGATGCACTGGTACTTAATTCATTGATAGCAGAAGGAGGAGATACAGACGGCCTATGGACTGGGTAAGGTCTTGATGCAGCATTTCGAGTGGTTGGGCTAGCTGTACCCTCGCGAGCTTCCTGTGAATAACCGTTAACACTCCTGACTTGGATTCTCACTATATAACGATAGGAAGAGAAGGGAGAGATAGATCTTGTTAGTTCCACGGTAGATTTGCATTGATCCAATGAACTTACTGGCGAGTCTACTACTGTGAAAGCTGTCAAGTTATGAGCTATGAGTAGGTAGACGCGAGGGAAAAAAAATTGAACAGTCGGATTCATGGCAAACAAAGAAAAGGACTCTTGGACTGGATGAATGAAGAGACGGGAGAAACTTTCAAGGATATTAGAGTTGTGACTACTTCGATATTGTCGTCGCCTCAGAATACAATGCTTTTCGGTAATCGTTTCAGTTTGTGCGTTTGTGCAACTGGAATCTTTGTAGTTGTACTATGAACAGCTAGCGAACGTGAACAGATAAAAATGTCATCATTCATGTTCGTCCAAGATGCTTTGGAAGGATAACGGAACAGCGATTCCGGGAACATTTCTCGCCCCAACCCTTCTTGACAACCTTCCAGAATTTCTCGTTTGACTCAAACAGACAACTGAACTGAACAATTATTGCAAAAACGCTATAAAATATGGCTCTTTTTATTTATACATTACTGGCTATCCTCTCATTTCAAGGAAGTGCATTGGCTCAGAGTCGTGGCAAGGACCTGTACGATCAATTGGTCAATCTATACTGTCTGAGTGTAAGAACTGACTTGATTTCGACAACAATAGGCGTGACCTGAAGACCACTGTGCTGCCTCATTCCATCAACTTTAGATCTGTTTCCCTGGTGAGTGATGCATTCAACGGTTTCAATGAATATGTCTTTTTAATCGAATCTCCGTGAATATAGAACGCTAGTAGGGCTGACGCTCTCTGGTATAACTTTGGGACGGATGGCTCTATCCATGGTATGATTTCCTCATCTCTATTATGAGCCAGATATCGAGTGCTGCTGAGTTGTGGTCGTTTGCGGCAGTTTTTTTTCTCATCTTCATGTCTTCCAAAAATCCCACTCTTCACTAGTTCGGCAGTTTTACTTCAAGGCATCCAATATGACTGGAAACATTTCTCTCTTTGATAATACTTACTTGAGTGCTCTTGTTCGTATCGTTGAGGTCAACGACGTAAGCCCTCACTACGCTTGAAAGTCGACTACAAGGATGTTTGAACTTTTAACAATATCTTCTATCTATCCTATAGTCTATTTCTTACAAGGATTCTGCTTCGTTCGTCAACTTATGGGGCCATTATAACTCGTGGACCACTATCTCGGCCTTCAATTTGACAGCCGATGACGGCGTTACTCAAATTCGTGGGTTTCAAACCAACCTGACCCTCAATACCTTCTTCATCGGCATCAAAGTAAGTTTTTTCTCTCAATTACAGTTCCTGGACCTCTTGGACCTCATCGCTTTTTACTCTAGCTGATGATGACTCCCAAAACCGTCACCTATAATGGCCAAAGTTTCCCATACAACGGAATCAAGTACTCTGTACTCATCTCGGGCTTCCCATACATGTACACCAACTCCCGTTTGGCCTTCCAACACGTCATCACCACTTCTGCATCCTCCCGAAACGTTAATGCATCTTCCTTGGTGTTGGACAACAAGGGCCGTTTCGATTGGGTACAAACCATGACTGACGCAAGTGGTGCCAATGTCACTGTTACTGTCGACACCAACTTGGTATCAAACACTACTATTTTGGCACTGGTGCGCCCCACCTTGGATTCCGATGCAGACCCAACAAATGGCAAAGAATCCGTTTATGTTATTACGCAGTGAGTATTAATAAAATGATATACTTCCGGTGCAGAATTTTGTAGTAACTCTGCTATTTGCTGACTGTATTTGTTCAAACTCTCTAGCACTGCCAACGCCGTCCAGCCAGCAAGCCTTTACTGGGATCCAACTGTGTCTGTGCAAGACGATGTTGTATACAGCAACTCCAACGCTCTTCGTGTTTCTGCAGTGTTTATCCCAATGATGTTGGCTGCCCTCGCCATGCTAGTCTAGACGATTGAGAGTGACAAATGAATACCAAACTGATACCAAACAGATAAAATTATGTTTTTTAACTGAAGTAATAAAGAAAAGATGCGCTCTAAAACGCCATGCGCGGCTGTTCGAAATTTACGTGAATGCTGGATATCTGCCAGAACTTTGGCGCGATATACAACGCGAAATAATGAATTGAATGTCATGACTGCCCTGGATCAGCTCGAACGTCGCTACTTCGGGTGCCTTTACCTGGTGACATCATTCACTGGTTATTGTAAGCGAGGCTAGAGCAACACAAACTCCCTAAGCATACAGTCTAGAGAAGAGGAGGATACGACTGCCAGCCACCAGTATGACTGATCCAGCACCAAACCATTTGACTCCAACCGAGGGTTCATGGAGGAACTTTGATGGAATCCAATTGCAGGGAAAGGTTTATGGTGATCCGCGTCGAAAAGGGGCAGACAGATTCTTTGCTATGCATGGATTTCTTGACAATGCAGCTTCATTCGACGTCGTGTTAAAGTAACGATGTCTCGTCTTCAAGCAACATTCTAGGAAGCAAACATTCCAACCCACGTTTTTATCATGTAGGCACCTTTTACCCAAGAGACCGAATATGGTGGTCGTATCGCTCGATCTTGCTGGTCATGGACTTTCGGATCATAGAAGCCCTGACAGCGATTATAGCTTTTTCAGATATGAAGCTGTAAGATCGCAATTTCGTGTCAGGTTCTCCTGTTGTGGGCTGTGTCCAAGCAACTTTTCTAATGTTTTTATTGCATTATGTTCTTTTCTAGGACATCATTGCTGTCGCTGATGCTCTAGGCTGGGATCAATTCTCATTTATTGGCCATTCAATGGGCGGTGGTGTGAGTACAGCCTCATTGTGACGCTTTGGACTATCTTCTAAGCATCGTTCATCTAAATGTTTCATCTACAAACTACAGATTGGGGGTCTAGTGGCATCGGCATTCCCCGAACGGGTGAAATCACTTGTCTGCATTGAGTGTCTAGGGCCATTGTCTTCTGAATCTCAGGGACGCTTAAAACCTTTCCAAATACGAGACTTTATAGATGCCAAGAAAAACGCCCACAAGAAGAAGGTGCCCAGATATCCAACCGCAAAAGCTGCAGCGGTTGCTAGAGCTGGGAAAGAATTATCTGAATCGGCGGTTGAGCTGCTGCTTCCTAGAGGACTTCAGCAGATGGCTCCCGATAACTACTCATGGCGCAATGATCCGAGAATTTTTATTGGGATACCGTCGGGTTCGTCTGGGGTATGTACAATTCGAGGGGTTTGTTTTTTAAATTTTAGCCTCAAGTCCAACCCATAGGTATCATACAACTCTGAATCAAACATTCGAGACAGGCTTACATCTATAAAGGCGCCAGTGCTGGTTATACTCGGTTCAAAAGGGTGGTCAAAACAATTCTTTATGGAGGAGAGATTGAAATTAGTTCCCCATGCCACGCAGGTGCTACTAGAAGGCGGCCACCATCAGTTACACTTGGAGGAAAAGTACGCCATACAGATCGCGCAACATGTTGATAAATGGATGAGCCTGCTTCAAGCGTTGACACAAGGTGCCGACGCAAAATTATAGAGCTGACGCAACTTTGCCATAAAGGACAACGACACGGACAAACCAGTTGCTACCATATAGTAATAGAATTTCGATAACGTAATTTGTGGATACACGTTTTGGAGCGTGTGTTTTCTCACAATTTCCTCCTTTGTTTTTAACTCTCTCGTGATTCTTGAGCTCCTTCCCACAAGTTGGAAAATTTCCGAGAATGAACAGCGTTTCCTCTAGTCACGAACATCCAGAAACTTATCAGATATATAGAAGGTCAAGTGAAGGACTCCGCGCCCATCTCGTTGTTGAGCTCCTCTTCTTGTTGGTGAGTGGCCATCCTTTGAAGTCTCTGTCGCCATATTGCAACTCGCTTTTTTGCTTGATCAACCACTCACTCAATCTTCAAATTTTATATCTTGAATTTGCCTCTCCCTCCTCTATATTGAATACTACCCATCTCAACGAACTGTCGACATTTATGCCATATTCATATAAAGTGTGAATTTAGTTTGAAGGACAGATCAAGTCGTTTTTGGGGAAAGGAAAGCTCTCAAACGCATCTCAAAACCAGTAGACCATCACACCGTACGTCTCGTATCGACGCGTCATTTGGAGGAATCCTAGCTTAATAATTCTTCTACCCAAAATGAACAGTTATCTATAATCTGCAAAGATGGCCGTGAATGTTGGAAACTCTGAATTCAAGCCATTGCCGACTACGCCAACTGCCCGTATCACTGGAGTTCACGAATCTTTACTGCAAGAATGTGAAAAGGACATCATCTGGTATCGTGACAACTTTTTTGGAAAAGGTGTGGCCTCTTGCTTTGGTTCCCGACTCTTTATCGCTACCAAAGCCTCGACCGGATGTTTTTGACCAAATTCCGCCCTCTCTCTCTCGTTATCATATAGCTCACATGAACTTTTTATGCCTTGATTCGCCACGAGGACCACTGGCAATTTCCATAATTCAAGATGACGATCAATTCCGGGCATTGGTTAGAACCACACAAGGCTCTGAACGTTTGTCAATTGCTTCGTCGTCAGTACCTGCTTCATGGTGGCGAAGATTGTTGGGATTGAGTCCATCCATGCAATCAGTTATGTACTCCATTTCTCGAAACATTCCAGTCCCATTGCTCAAACTGTGCAAGGACGCTGGATTGCCTAACGAATTGTTGAGTATGGAGGAACGACAAGTTATTCGATCCTACAAGTTTGGAGTCACGTATTTAGCGCCTGGACAGAGCAATGAAGAGGAAATGTTTATGAATCGAATGGGTATGTAGCTTGTAGTTTGCGATGTTTGTTTCACCAGATCAATATGACCTATGGGATTCCTGATTTTAACATATTTTCATTCTGCATTGTCCATAGAAAACGTCTCACCGCAATTCCGTCAGTTTTTGACATTTTTGGGAGAAACAATCGAGTTAAGAGGATGGAAAGGATACCGTGCTGGTTTAGACGTTGCAGGAAGTAAGTCTGGCACTCGTTGTTATACTGGTTCGAGCATTCTTACTCACGACCTTCTTTTTTTGCCACGTAGCCAACAACACTGGCACACATTCCGTATACACAAAGTGGCAAGGTTATGAAGTTATGTTCCATGTCTCGACATTATTGCCATTCAACCCAGCAGACCGACAGCAGGTAATGACTCAGTTGAGGCAAAAAAGGGGACCTGTCTATTTTTACTGACATAGTTTGTTTTTTTAGCTGGAAAGGAAACGACACATTGGAAATGACATTGTGATGATTGTGTTCTCAGAAAGTGATCTGCCTCTCAACCTTACTTCTGTCACTTCTCACCAAAATCATATTATTGCTGTTGTTAAGCCAGAGGGCGAAGCTTACAGGTATGTGTTGCGTTTGAAATGACAGCAAAGTGTTGCCTACTCATCTGACTCAATGTCGACGTAGGTTGACTGTCTGTCCCAAGAATGGTGTGCCACCATTCACACCTGAGCTGCCTGAACCATGTGTGTTTGGAAAGGACGCTGTGTCGCGAGATTTCTTCCTACACAAGTGTAAGTCCTTGTTGTGTCTTGCATAGAGTCAAATGAGAAGGTACTGATCATTGATCGCCTCCTCCATAGTGGTGAATGGAGAACGAGCAGCATACAAGGCCCCATCATTTGCTCCAAAGATTTCCAGGACGAGATCAGTCCTCTTATATGAAGTTGCATCCAAATTCCTCAAGTGATCTTGCTCTTTTCGAAAAGAGTAACAGACCAGGACCACGAAAAGTCCCTTTGTTTGAACTCTTCACTGTATTTACATCAACCACACACACCACACGACACACACACCACACCACAGACTATGTAAAATTTGTTTACTTTGGGCTATTTTGAGAACTTTTTTTGGGTTTACCTTACCGCGTTATATTATTATAAACACTCATTTCATGATCTGGCTGGGTGTCTGTTTTCTTCGTGTTTTTAAGGTGATCGCGAGGGATGCAGTGACTTATAACGGTGAGGTAGCGATTAGGAAGACACGAAACGCGTAATTCGATGTAAATCACGCTTTGATCTCCGACTCTTTGACAAAAGTAAAGGTGACACTGCTCTACTTCCCATCTTTCATAAGGGCAAGAGAATCTTTTTTTCATTGAATTGGAGGTGGCCTTGAGTTGCATGAGAATACGCGTGTGTTGTCCGTCTGCATCGGTCGTCTGAAGCGGTTTCTATCACCACTTGTCTTCATGGACTGCTGATAGGTAAAACATTTGTGCAAGCTGAATCAAGAGCAAAGTCAAATGACAAGGCCGAAGGACAACGGAATCAAGATGATATCCATCTATACAAGCAGAGTCCTTGCTCTCTTTTCGCTCTATTAACTGATTGCCCCTTGAAAGTAGAGCTGTGAAACCAACAAAATTGACTGTACGCTCTTGGATGATTCACCAGTAAGAACGACGCTTGGAACGATACTTTGCATTTACTATTCCTACACTATATGCAATTACTTATCATATCCAAAACTTTGATTTTTTAGGCTCTGGAATAGTCATGCCGCTACAGTATAACGGAAATCTGCTTCATGCTTCTCCCCAACTGATTCCCCCTCCAATGCAATCCATGCCTTTCACACCTTCTCATCAAGAAGATGTCACTACTATATTTGTTGTTGGATTTCCTGAAGATATGAAGGAACGAGAGTTCCAGAATTTTTTCATATTTTGTCCCGGCTTTGAGGTGAGTTTTGTATTATTTGGTTTATTGATATGATACTTTACGATTTGTGATGTTGATGGTGGAATAGAGATGATAATATGGGATGTTCATGGAAAAGCGATCATAAAATAACTAGAATTGAATTATAGGCTGCTACTCTCAAAGTCCCCAATGCTTCCAATGGCACAATGGGAAATGATGATCTGACTGGTGGCAAACGACAGATTGTACGTATTCAACCCCCTCTCTCTCCCTTTGTCGTTTTTGAATGGTTTTAGTTTTGTCGATCGCCGAGCTGAAAGCATGCTTTCTTCATCGATCGCTCCCATTTGTGCTTATGATTTGATTAAATTCACTACATTTATTCATTCGCATCTCATAATAGATTGGATTTGCAAAATTCCGTACACGACTTGAAGCTTTAGAGGCCCGTGATACACTAAGTGGCAGAAAAGTCGATGTTGAAAAAGGTTCGGTGCTGAAAGCCGAAATGGCAAAGAAGGTAAGGTCTCGCGAAAGGAGATCCTGATCAAATGCGCAAAAAGACCCGTTCCGTGACTGATTGGTCATTCGTGTTTGGTGAAAAACGCAACCACGACATTCCCTCTAAACAAGTGTACTCGAAATAATCACTAACTTGACTTTAATAGAACCTGTATACCAAAAGAGGGCTTTCCAATGAAGCTGCCGCACAATTGGGACTCGTGTCACCTCTCTATTTATCAATGGCCCAACAGGCTCAGCAAATGTCTCGTCGATCAGTGATGCATCATGCTCCTTCATATAGTAGGCCATCTCCCGATTTGTATGAAGATTATACCCCGTCAGAATCCTACATGGACTATGGCATGCAACGACCCACTTCGCCTGGTTTCCCGGACACTCGGTTACAATATGGCGGCATGATAGGAGGAGGAGTCGAGCCATCTATACGACCACCCGTCGAACGATTCTCACCATCAGACATTATGGATAATAGTATGATGAGTACACCACAGCAGCAACGAGCAAGCCTACTGTCCCGAGTGACGTCGGCCCAAAACTTGGCTTCGATAGGAGGTGCCACGCAAACTCCATTATCGGCGTCACTTCCCGAACGGCGATACTCGGAATCCAATGCATTCTATCGTGGTGTCAACAACAACGGCAACAATAGCAATAATCCATATAGTCGACAAAACCAACAGCAGCAGCAACAGCAGTACGTCGCCCCTATATATACCACCAATGAACCCACTCCACCAACTACACCACCAGGTCAACAGCAGTCAATTATATCTGCAGGAGCAGAGGGAATCGTTGATCGGTTTGGATCATTCTCACTCACAGCTGAATCCGATGGCAAATCACCGTTACCATCCAGACCGAGTTTATTATCGAGAACTTCGTCATCCAATGTATCTCCTGTATCACCTGTATCGAGTTATGAGGTACTGGATCCACGTATTGTTGATAGTCCGCCGTCAAATACCTTGTATGTTGGCAATGTGCCCATTACAGCGTTGGAGGAAGAGGTTAGAGCATTCTTTGCTCGAACTCCAGGATATAAAGGTGTATATTACAGACAAGGATTGAATGGACAGTTGATGGTGAGTCCGTAGTTCCATTGTGTGCAACGGTGAACGCCGATAGTGATCTGGAGCAACAACCTTTTTGTGCGTCTTGAAACTGACCGTGTGTACTCAATTACTTAGACTTTGGTGGAATATGTTGATATCGCCTCGTCAACTGCAGCGATGCAACAATTGTACGGTCGTCAAATTGGTGGCAAAGGTGGTGGAATCTGGATGTCGTATTTTGAAGGATCTCCATTCGCACCAGCTGGAAGTGGCTCTGTAATTAGTGGTAACGGATCGCTACCTCGGGAAGGAATAATAGTACTTCCTCAATCAACGCAAGAAAAGTCTGGAACTGTTACTGCTGGTAGTCAAAGTGCTTTAGCAGTCACAGCGACAACAGCCACATCATCTGTCATAGCAAGCAACAACAGCACCAACAACACAACGACCAACTCTCAAACGTCATCGTCATCGTCACCGTCTTCACCCTCTTCATATACATCCAACTCATTAAAATCACCACCATCGACACCTCTACATGTATCCAATATGTCATCCGATATTCCGCAAAAGTTGCCTCATGGATTTTTTGATGCTCATGACTCCAATAATAGTAATACATCAACAACTGCTACGTCAACTTTGGAGACTGAAGCTGTAACAACAGGAGGAGGACAACAACAACAACGATATAATTGAAGACTCAACAACACAGCAGCACATTGGGAAGGAGAAAATGATGGAGCTATATATTAAAGAAACCACACTCTTTTTGGTTTTGCAATATCACCCCTTTTTTATATGTTGTTAGAAGAACGTAGGAAAAATTGAGCTCATTTGAATGTATTAAACCCCATATCTCAAACCAAATATGTTGTATTGTCTGTGTTTTTTTACACACGTTGCATTCGACGCTCCTTTTTCTCCCCCATAATTGTGCACCACATATTTCCATAAATCAAGACATAAGTCAGCTTGAAAACAATTTTCATGGGCTGTTTGCTTTGCTGGTTTGGCTGGTGTAATTACTGGAGTACTTGACGTGATTTCACCAAAGGACGCAAGTTGAGTTTGTTCGTCAACTTGATAAAATTTCTAGCGTGGAGAAACTGTACAAGGCATTATGAACTAGTATAACACGTCATGCCCATGCACTTCCAACCATGCCGCGTTCCAAAAATCCAATGGCACTAAAGTGGAATGAGACGGCTTTTGTCGAAAATCCAAACCATAAGAAACCAAGAAAACCCCTGAAAGCTTTTCAACCAGACAATCAAGACACTAAAAGAAACTCGTCCTTTTGAACTGCAAGATCATAAGCACATATACTAATAATGCAGCACCAAACAATACTCGCCCGAGTCTTTGTGGCAGCTCTCTTTATAGTTGCCATTGCATACTCGTCCTTCACGGTGATCGACGCATTCCGATTCTCATTTGAAGGAGGATGGAAGCGTATTTTTGCTAGTCCGTGGGCTACTGCTGCTTTTACTGACTATGCTGCGTATGTGGTATTGTGATTAGTCTGTTTGCTTCCTGTCAAAGTTTTGGGAAAACGATTACATGCTAACTTATTACAACCTTCATTTAGCGGACTTGTGCTTGCAATCCCACTTCTATTCGCTGTTGGTCCATCTGAAGCATACAGTGTACTATGGACTACTGCTCAAGTCTTGTTTGGCAACGTGATTCTGCTGATGTACGTAGCTTGAAGGACTGTCGAGTTGACGAAGCTCATCGAGGTTCTGATTTGCTGCGTGACGAAGCGACCATACCATTGCCAGAGCCGTCTTTGCCAGATCCAACGTTGGCTCAATGTTGCTCAAACACAATACGAAAGCATTTACTCACACTCCGTTATTCCACTACATAGCCGCTTCACAATTCTCATCATGACCCAATCTGAACTGCTATATGCCATCCAACCACATCTAAACGCTAGCGCAACTACTGGCATCACTCTCTCACGATGGGGACGATTCAACATCACCGTCTTACGTATCGCTGCTGTGGCCATCGGTGGTTGTTGTGCTGCCTTCATTATCCGTGCCTTGGTTATGGAAAACTTGGGGTATGGAATTTAGATGCTTTTGTTGCCCTTTTTGGTGGAAAAAAACCGCAGCAGAATTGATTTTCATTATTTTAGAACTGGATTCGGAGGCATTCACGGTGATGGTTGGTCTTGGTTCTTATTCGGTCAAGTAGAATTAGGAATCTTGTTTACTGCCGTGTATATCGCTGTTCGTGAAAACCGATTGTTGATTACTATTCCAACACTGATTGCTTTGTTCTTCCTGGGCAATGTGGTTACAGTAAGTGAAGGAACATGCTGTAGCATTAGACGTGGTTACTTTGACTTTTTTTTGCTGATTGGGTTTTCTTTGATAGTGTATCTACGTACTTCTTGCCACTTTGGACGCCGCAAACGTGACAGATGCACTCCTGAACCGCCGTCCAGTCTTGGGCCGTCGTGCTCTATACCAGCCAATCGTCTGATAAGCCAAAAAAAACGGAGCCAGTGTAAACTCTTTGTTTGCACATATATCTTGTTTGTATTTTTACTGCACTGTATTCCTCTCAAAATCATACCACTTCTACTCATTATTACTACTGCTACTACTACTTATGGCGAACTTACTATTTAATTACTATCACAACTACTACTGTTCATGCGTTGAAGCCGATCTAGCCATCATCCCATCTAATATCGTCAACATGGTATTTGACTCCTCATCCAACCTATTCCGTTCAACTAACGACTCGACCACCTTGGCACGCAACGAGTCCGTCTGCCTATCCAGATCCTCAAGACTGAGAGCCGACCGTGGAAAGTACAAGTCTGGAAGGGATGATGCACTGGTATGCGAGAATCCCCCATTATTCGTACTCATTTGGCGCTGCTGTTCCTGATTGATATCGTCACTGTTGAGCCCAAGTAGTAATGCGAGACTGACGGTTGGATCTATGGTTGTTGGCTGTATCGACTGTGTGATTACGAGGTTGGCAAGTAGGTGATCGAAGGTTATTTCTGTTGGCAGTGCCGAGGATGACGCGACTGGTGTGTTGTAAATAGTTTGTGCTGAAGACGGGGAGCGTAATGTGCTGAGAGATACATTTCTAGATGGGTATGGTGCGGATCGTGGTGATGATGTTGTTGGCGAGGTGTTTGTCTTCCCGTGTGAGAAGGGAGAGCTGGGACGCACGACAAGAAGCGGCTGTGGTTTTGGTAGTAGTTTGGGGTATTGTCGTTGCTGTTGTTGGTTTGGTATCGAGATATTGTCGGCCATGATTCCTCCCCACGTGCTTAAATCTGGTGCTGACATTTGCAGCTTTTGCGAGTTGTTATTGATGGTCAGTACCTGCTGTTGAGATTGTTTTTCCGTGTTTACTTCATTCCACATTGGTGAGTTCAGGACTGTTATGGCGCTGTGTAAGCATGTAGGTGATAGCGTATCTTCACAATCTACCAAGTCACCAGAGATTGATGAGAGAATATCAAGCGAGAGATCAAAATCCATAGTATTCTCTGTTCCTTCCATTTTTAAGCTTTTGCGTTAGGTCTGAATAATTGTGTGGGATGTATCAGCCTAAATCTGTTTGTGGTTTGTTGCAATAAGTGTTTAGCGACTACCTAGTTTGAGATATCTTCATAGAGCTTGGCATCCTCAGGTCAGCTTTTTTGAGCAAGTATGATTGCCCAAAAAAGTTTGGGGTTTGGGTTAACCCACACAGAAAAAAAATATCCGGCTACCACTAACGTCATGCCCAAACTAAAAATAGCTTTATTTCAAAAAAAATGCTTACCACAGGCCATCGTAACTACATTTTTAGTGACACACAAGTATCGGCAAAGTCGGTCAAGACCGCATCTACTCCAACTTTGTATGCCTTTTTCATTTCTTGTTCAGCGTTGACGGTCCAAACGAATATTTTTTTGTTGCTGGCATGACATTCTGTGATGAATTGCGGGTTTGCTTTTATCGTTGGCCAATACATGTTGAAGGAATCTGTTGCTGTGTTGCCGACATATTCCTTCCTGGCAACGTCAACAGACACTCCGATATGAGAGACTCCGAATCCTGGCAGTTCTCGGCGTACAACAGGCACGTACTCTGGCACCCTTAATTGTTTGGAATGTGGTTAGATCACGCGTGTCGTTGCAGCCAGAAATCTTTGATGTTCTACCAAACTCCAAAATGTATGCGAGAAGCAAACGAAGATACAGGTGTCTTGTGTGATCGAAACAGTGCTCCGACTTTGGTCAATATCTCCGGTGACATGTATCCAGTTTGAGGCTAAGAATGAAACGCGTCAAAAAAATGCGGAAACATCCAAATCATATCAAACTACCTTGACGTCAACAATCACAAACAATTTTTGATTGCCGATCTCACTCAGCAAATCCAGAACCTGAGTAAATAGCGGTATTGCTTGATTCTTGTTTTTTGTTCGTAGACCGTCAATGTATCCTTTGTATGGCCTGTTTATCACAAGACCATCTCCATTGGTCGTGCGTCCGAGCTTGTCGTCGTGATGTACAATGACTAGTAAATTTGGAGGCATTTTGGTTAGTATCAAGCCATCGTCAGCATGAAAGTACATCCTTGCTTTGATCATCTGATGTCAACTAGTGTAAAGAGTAATTAGTATAATGTAGACGATCGTTTCGAATAAAAAGCAACAAGATATATGAAATTTTTCATTTACTTGTATGTCAAGTTCAAGACCTTGAGCACCAGCTTTGATTGCTTCTCGAAAGGCCATGATCGTATTTTCGGGAAAACAACCTGATAAACCACTAAAGGAGCGTGTTAAATACGCGATAAATATCAATAAGCTAACAATAAATGCTTACCGGTGTGCTATACACATTCTCTGTGCAGCCATCGCTGCGTATTATCCCTTGATCCACTATTAACAAAACAAGAACGATGAGCTACGGACCGGCCCTCCCACCGCACCTCCTGAAGAAGCGAGAAGCTCCTACTGACGATGATGGCCCACAGCAGCCTGCTCCTAAAAAACGGAATGCTCCAATTGGACCTGCAAGACCAAATCAACCAAAAGCTCGTGATGACGATGACTTTGGTCCATTGCCGCCACCTGCTGGTGGTCCTGAACAGGTATGATCTTGTCTACATGCTTCAGATGTATGTATCGGTGTCCTGACATTGGGTTGTTTATATAGGATGAGGAGTATGAGCTGGCATTAAAAGTCAAGGAAATTGAAGAACGTGCTAAACGACGACAAGAGGAAGATGAAGAATCTAGGAGAGAAAAGAAACTTGAACGTGGTGACTGGATGCTCGTACCGCCTGAAGCTAAAGGTCGGACATTACTTGAACCGTGTGTTGCGTGTTATCCTAAATTCACAATTTATCATCGTGCAGGTGGCAAGAAGAATATTATTGACTCATCTGGATGGACCGCGTCGCCATTGGACAAGGGAAAGAAGAAGGCTGCTCCCAAAAACGAACCACTACCTCCCCCACCAGTCGCATCAGCACAGGATAAATCTACACGGAAATACGTTGACCAATACAATGTAAGCTAACCGTTTTGACCCCATTAAACCATTTACTACAAACCATTTACTAACCACGCGTCCAATACTCTAGGAAAAAAATCGCCCAAAATCCCTACTTGAATCGCATCAAGTAGAATTCGCCAAAACAAAACTAGATACAGACGATGTATCCAAACGAGCATTTGATCGTGACAAGGATATGGGATCTCGACGTATTGATGGGAAATCACGACAGAACTTGATTGAGCAGTCAAAAGAATTGGATTCGAGGTTTGGGCATGGCAAGAAGACATTCTTGTGAGATTTAAGTTATATGTATATAAACTGAATGCATTATATTATTATTTGGCTACTCCATGACGTTTGGAAGCGACCTTCACGAAATCTTGATAGGTTCCTATGAGTTTGACGCTGTCATGACAACCTTCCGTAATGATGGCGCTATAGACGAGTGGGAGATGTCAGCCAAAACACAGTCGCTATTTCATCGAATCGTATTATTACCCTTTTAGATCGCCCGCTTGTTTGAACTCCTGTTTAATTTCGACATGCGTCAGTAATCTCTTTGCTGCACAGAATATAAGGAACGCCATCTCACCTTGCTTAGCTGGGAGACTCTTTGCTTCCATTGAGCATCAGTGAATGCGTTGGCGTGAACCTTGACTTGAGGACTTCTCTGTGCAGCTTTATTTGCCTCCTCCATCGCCATGACAAGTTCTTGCGATTTTATAAACCCGTCAATGTTGTAGCATATTGGTTTCGGAGGGCCAAAAAAGTATTCAATATATCCCATTTTGAAAGTTGCTCTACAGATTTTTGGGAGGCTCGACACGTTGCTGTTATTTTTCGAAGACAAAATTGGAGGCAAACAAAACAAACAACGGCACAATCACACAACTAGACTTGCTCCGCAGTTACTCGAGAAGTTGCACTGAATTTTGCTGATATATTTACTACAAAAGAATCACAGAATGGCGAGCACAGCTCTCCTACCATGTCACACCATGCTCAAACTCTAATTCATAAAGTTGGCCATCACATCCTCAGACCCTCCCTCTCGAATAAGCGTAACAGGGATATTCATTGGCCTGTTGTGTTTCTTCATATATTCTAGAGCATATGCCATTCCCTTCTTCCTTTCATCGGCTGAGGCCTTGGCACCAATCCAAACAAACACTAGAGATGAATCAATAAATGAGAAAGCAGACAAGGGATAAAAACAAATTTGATGATTATTCTTACCTTCAGAGCCACCATCAAGGACGAAAACATCATTGGTATCGAATTGATCCTTTTTAATCACACCCTCAGCCTTCTTCGTGAAGGTCAAACTGCCACTGGCGTCTGATAAACAGTATAGAGCTTTAGGAGCTGCAGTAGCGGTTGCATCTGTGACTGCATCAGCTGGTTGGACATCACTTGCTGAGCCACCAATAGCATCAAAGAATTCTTTTGCGTCTCGGTCTCCTTCATCTAATACTTTCATAGTGATGTTCAGTTCAAATCAAAAACAATAGCCTGGTAGTGGTACACACCAGAGACTTTGATGGGGGCCTTGCCGGCACGAGAATCAGATAGAGTTCTGACGAACTCGGCAGCTTTGCTCTAATAAGCAAAAGGAAATTGTAAATTCATATTTCCTCTGAACAGTGCCTCCATGATGCAAATCATATATTATCACAACACATACGCGTTCCATTCCATTCGAAGCCTTTCCATTCCATTGATGAATGACGAGTCCACCGTCATACACAAACACATCTCCTGAGTTCAAGCTACTGGCAGCCATTGGGATTTCTCTAATAATTAATCCTTGTCCTCGAGGAGCAGTCTTGTTTTGACGGATTTGCAACAATCGTGGACGGTATTCTTTGGCTGTAACGTGATTGAAACCAGAGTCTACACCGCCCTTTTCAGTGTGGAAGTGCTTAAAGAGACCCAAGAAGGCGCCGGATTCTGAGCCTTGGACTTCACGATGTTGGACTGGGAGAGTACCCAAAACTAATATGAAAGTGGTCTGATCAACGATCGTGTTTACAGTTGTTGACGTTCATAACAGTAGCGAATGTGTTCCATCAGAACTCACAGTCATCGAGTTCGACAGTCTTGTAAGCAGCAGTACCAGCCTCATCTTGAGTGGTTTCAAGACCCAACCAAAAGTAGATGTCGTGATAGAATGTTGGTGCGTCTGGTTTCTTCCATGTGTTGAGAACCTAGGACATAAAAGGAGGTGCGTCAATACCGAGCTTGATTCCAAAAGGCACAAGACGAGGGCAAGAACTATGGTTGTAGTGCACTCACGATGTACGAGTCTCCTTCGTAAAACATTCCATATTGCTTTTCTGGCCAAGCAACGACTTTGAACTGTTCAATTCTCCAAACACGTGTCTCCACTTTCTGGCCAACTCCATGCCAAGCGGCTTCAGTCTGAGCAGCATCCAGTCGAACTTTCTTTTCCAACTAGATTGAAGGAGTTGTTGTTGGTGAGTAGTCGCACGGTTTGCAGCTTCAAAATCAAACTCGTTTGAGAGTTTGAAATAAACTCGTTTGAGAGTTTGAGGAAAAGACCAGCAAGTTGGTGTTATTGTGGAATTTCAAGTCCAGCAAATGTCTGTACGCGAATGTTGTTCAAAGTCGGACCTATTACCTCAGTACCGAGGCTAATAACAGAGCGCGAGTAAGTAAGAGTTTCTAGTGATCATTGAACACGCCTGCATCACTCACCCAGCAATGTTGCTCTCCGAGATATCTTTCAGAAATATAGGGTAACGCGGTTAGCGGTTTCTCGAGACGGAAGGAAGGAACGGACTAGAAATGTCAACATACCAACAGTCTTTGGCTTTACTAATCCAGACATCGTGCTGCTTACTTTCTCTAACGGTTGTCGAGTTAGATGTGTTGCTGTCGTTTGTGGCGATGAATTTGTTGTGGTGGAGCAAGCGAATGGTGGTGAGGAGTAAACGTTGCCGGGTAGTTGCAGACACAATCTACGTGATTATGTAGTTGAGAACGCGAAATTCACTATTATCCAACCCTCGTCAACTTTCGCTTGGCTCTTGGCCTTCAGTCTTTGTTTCAGCAAAAATCACACTTTTTGAAACATCTTAAGTACTGTGCGGTGGAATTGTCTGAAAGCACACCAGCTATAATTATCAAGTGTACCATATAGATCAACCTCTCTTTGCCTCCTTCTAGCAAACACTTTGACTTTGGAAGCTCAAAATGGCATGTTGGTCTCTTCCGACATTGTAATGAAGACCCTCTCTAACATTGCAACGTTGATTTAGTCCGGAACTTTCTCTGATGTTACTGGTAGTGGACCTGGACTGACTGGAGACTCATCCATACCAGCAACTGATGGAGCTCTAGGAGCAACATCTGGCAAGAAAGTGAAGCAAGATACATCTCTTGAGCAGCAGCAGGAACTGGAACAGTTACAGCAGAAAGAAGATGCTCTCAAAGAACAATTAAAGGAAAAGCTGCAGCAAACAAACTCTATTACCGATCAAAACCGAGAAAAGTGATCTAGATACATGGATGTGGGCACTCGTCGTTGAATCCTCATAGAACTTAATGCTTGACAAGGAAACGGTCGTTACTTTTCATTTACTTTATATTTTATACATGAGGTGCATTCTTGCTTGTCTTGTACACAATCGGATTTTACATCACTCCTCCATACACCAATAAGTAGCAATAATACATCTCGCATCCATCCCTTCATATTTCATTGCGCTCTCACTAAACCCTTTGCTTCCAGTTCTCTCCTAACCTGTTGATGACACAAAGAGAGCCTTCTCTAAACCTGTTGTGACATCACCCAAAGCATCTTCCAGTCCACTCAACGTTTCTTTTATCTTTGACTGCTGAGCAAGGATTTGGGCTCGACGTGCTCTGACTGAAGCGTTCAATGCAGCATAGTCATTCAGGACGAGACATCTCTTCAGTTCAGATGTAATGGAGAGAAGTGATTCCGAGGACTTGACCTAAGTATATCGTGTTCAGGTGGCTAGCCAAAGAGCAATGGAACGTATATACACGATGAAAACATCAGCAAGCAAAGCACCCGCATCCGTGACAAGGGAGGCAGACTTACAAGTGATGCAGTCGCGACTTGCATGCGTGTAGTCTTTTGTAATGTGATGTGCTTGTCATCAATATGCAAAGTAGGTGGTTTTGACTCTGAAGTTGGCAACTTTAATCGAGCTGGTAGTGTGTCTTCTGGTGTTTGTGTCTGCCAAAAACAACATATATTGTGATGAGTACAGCGTACACGTGTTGATTCGTCTGATGTACTGTTCTTACTCGAGCAGCTTCAATAATTTCCATGAAGCTTTCAGCCAGATTTGTTACTTCTGTATCGACACGCTTGTTGAATCTAAATGTTGGCAATTAATGTTAGATCCCTCGTTGCTTAGGAAATGCGAGACCGCGAAACGAGGGAATTAATGATTGCATACTCTTCTTCAATGACTGATGACGACCAAATGCTCTTCTTGACACGTTGAGCTTGCATCTCGTCAATCAAAGGTTTGGTCGATAGGAACAGAGACTTGGAGCTTGTTTGGATGGCCTGATAGAAGGGGCAGCTTCCCGGGATCTAAATGAGTATTCGTAATGCCCTCGTTGCCTATTGACCTATCTGATGACGAGGACGACTTCCAACCTGTTCTTCCAACAAAGACACGACCAACACAGCCAAGCACCACAAAGAACGGCACAAATAATAGTGGAAATGCTAGTTCCTCGTCTACTGGAAGGAATACAAAACCAAAGAAACCATCATCATACACATCGCAGTCACAGGCATCAAAGAAATCAAACATTGACAATGTAAAGTCGACCACCACAACTAGTAGCAGGACAAAGAAGCCTACGCAACCGATTGTAATGAAGCCATCACTGTCTCGATCGTCTTCTGCTGTAAAAGATGCTGCTCCTGCAGCGTCTGGTGATCGACAGTCACTTGCTCGTCAATCGCCTCAGCTCATAAATCTTGACTCGGACAATGGATCTACTCCTGTGCCTGAGACTACAAGCATATCGCAACGTATACACGAAGGCCAAGAATTGGTCAGTGAGCCGCTGCCAACGACCACAACAACAATAGCAGCAGCACCTAAGAGCAGCATAGCACCAACTCCTCCTCGTAAATCAAGCTATTCTCGTAAACTGAATTCATCGCCTAAAATACAATCTCCGCCAGTCGAGGTTAGACCTCCATTACCTACTACAGTCGTTGATTCACCCATTACGCGATGCCCTCTCTGTAATCGATCATTGTCAGGCTCTGCAGACGCGATTCAGATTCATATAAATGGCTGCCTCGACGGTAGCTCTACGTCTTCATCAAAACCTATAGATAATCATAGTGCTAGTACTCTAGTATGCATGTGCTGTGGAAGGGACTTGACCGATGAAATCGTACTACATCGCCAAATGCACATGAATACTTGTCTAGATATGATCATTATGGATCCGCTAGATGTAGATCCTACTGGAAAAAACAAGGGTAAAGCTGTAGCTGAACCCATCTGCTCAGAAACATCGCCCATCTCGCTCTTGGCTTTCTGTCCATGTTGCAATAGCGACTGGGACAAAGAGGCCGCTAAATCCGTCAAGGGTAAAATGACGCATATCAAGCAATGTGGTAAAACCAACTTTTTGGAAACAGCCGAAGTAATTCAGAAGATACGAGCTGCTGTTGCTCAAATGGCTAATGATGGTACATACACATCTGGTAAAGTAGTACCCAAGCCAGCACCAAAGCAGTCGAAATTATCATTAGATTATAGGAGATTGGTGATTACAGAAGGTGACGATGACTTTAAAGAGTCAAGAGCCTTGGTGCCCAAGAGTCATGGAATCAAACGTCGCAAAGCTGATGAAGACTTGCAAGTGGCTATTGCCTTGTCGAAATCAGCTGCTGAAGCCCAAAAGATTGAATCTGGGCAAAGTATCGGTGGTCGAAAGAAAAAGATAAAACGGGATGGCTCACACTTGATGACTGCTGAACAAACGACCTCAGATGTCCGTATTCGTGCTGCTAGGATCTTGAGCGAGTCAAAAACGTTAGAACGCTCAATTTCTGTGGATAGCGCCACTTCGGGTAGTCGATTGTGGGATTTGGCACACGTTAGTGGTTTTGTAAAACCTGAGACTTTTACAAATGTCGTTCTACAGGAGGTGGGTTGCGTCTCGCCATCGTCGTGAAATTGCTTTGGCATGTTTCGGCACATGTAATGAACTTTATTCTTTTTGAATGTAGGGCGACGAGCCAGAATTGAAGCCCGACATCAAGTCTGAAATCAAACGTATCAACGAAGAGCATACGATTGTAGTAGCCGAAAGAGAACAAAATTTGGAACGCCAGATTGCAACTTTGCGTGACGGACATCAACGTTGGGTAAGGGAATTGGCACTAGGTCACGCACCTATTATTCCGACAACCAACAAGTTTTTTTTTGTTAGCTGGATAATGCAACATTCGCAAGAGATAAGCGTCTTGAATATTTGAGGCGTACTGCTTATCAGACTTGGACGGATGTGTCGCCATCAAAGCTACCTACTCTATTGTCTCAGCAAACACCTCCAGGTGCCCATATAACATCCGCCACTCAAGCCAAGATAAATTCGCTTCTAGACGAGTTTTCTGATGATGAAGATTTGAAGGTAGAACCAGAAAATCCATCTGATGAAGATCGGGACATGGCTGTACCAGTTGTTCCAAATATTGGACAAGTCGATACTATAAACGCTCGTCATGATTCCGATATCGTCATGGTAGACGACTTCTATGGTAGAGCGGAGAATGAAGCTCATGTGGGTGTGCTGGACGACATCGGATATCAAAACGATGAGGGCGGTAGAAATATAGTCAATGCTGGGATGGAAACGGACGATAGAAATATAGACGATACCGCATTAAGGAATCTTGCAGTGACACCTCCAGCAGACGACGATACTGAATTTAGAGATCTTGGTGTATTAAGGGGTCTAGCAGTGACGCCGCCAGCCTATGACGATCTCGCAGTGACTCCTCCAGCATACGATGGAGATGATGAAGTTGTTGCCGATACGCCACCACATGATAGTTACTCGTATCATGATAGTTACGATGAACTCTCTGGCATGCTTCAATATTCGCCATCTCCTCCTCGACTACCAGCGTCTTTAAATAGTACCGACGTTAAATATGGCACGGAAGATGTTAGTACGATGCTTGCGTCTCCATCAACATCAGAAAATGGTATAGCTACTCTTCTCGCACCTTGGAATCGTCCTAGCACTCAATCGACACGAAAGACGACCATTGTGCCTGTCGATGATGGATCTGATGACGACATTATTGATTTGACAGGTCGTAATAAGCCATTGCTGCTATGTCCTACAACCTCTCACATTGACAGTGGGGCAAATGATAATATTGACATTGATTTGACGAAGGATGTCGAGACTGCACCATCGCAAAGGTTTTCATCACAGTCTGTGCAACCAAGCCAATCTCAGAAACGTAAAGCGAGCGCTGAGATAGATGCCAGTGACAAGTCGAAACAGACGAGATTAGGAATCGACACAACAACAGCTTCGTCATCAACTACGTTGCCTACTTCTACCATACCGCCCGTCATTCAACCTTCTGGAATGCCATCGTATGAGTCCATGTCGATGGACGAGCTTCGTGTATGTATGATTGATCTTACTTGTCCGTGATGGTTTACGACAAGACGATGAAAACTGTGTGCATGGTCTCAATCGAGTCTGTTTTCTCGTAGAAAATTGCAAGTAAGTTTGGCTTTCGAGCTACCTCAAAGGCACCCCTAGTAGCTCATCTCACTCGCATGTGGCTGGTACTAAATGGGTTTGGATCTCCCATTGCAACTCCTGGTACAGGGTTCATACAAGTTGAACCACCTATTCGTATAAATGCGTTACTCGCAGCCGCGGCAGCAGCTTCGAATGGAGCAAAGAGAAACAAGAGGAAAGCAGTAGCTGCCAAAAAGGGTCAACAGTATGAATCTGATGATGATGACGATGAAGATGATGACGACGAAGAGGTTGAGAAGGGTAGTAAATTTGATCCTGCTTTGGGGAGTAAGCTTCTCGATGTGTTCGAAACGGATTTGGATTTGTATATGAGAGTTTTGAGATATGAGGTACGTGTTATGCCTTCCGAATGCCACCAAAAAGACAAAAGCGTGCAGGACTGCGAATGTTGCATTTGACATCTCGATTGCTTTTCTTCTGTAGCCTCTGAATCTGGATGAATTTCATGCACGAGTATCGCAGGTAGAGAAAATCACTTGCAGTAAGAAGAAACTCTCCTTGTATCTGGATCAGCAGGTATCGTGCTTAAAGGTTGTTGATGAACTTACGAGGGGTGATAATTTTTTTTTTGGCTGTTGTTGTTAGGGCATCAACTACATCATACCACCTTCAAAAAAGACTCGTCGTGAACCGCCACCACCAAGAAAGGACGGAGCACCAGCACCACGCAGATGGTGGACTAAATGAAGAAGTGCAGACGCCGGCAACAGCATTTTGCATTTTTCGCATATTTATATAATGTTTCATATGTGAATGTTTTGTTTATATACACAAGCACGGCAAACCTTTCATTACTATTTTATTGACACAATGCAAAGCATCAATTGTTTGTTTTCGAATCTCTAGAACTGAAGCTTCTTGTCCTCATCAACACGTTTAGCTCTCAACGAGGCACGAATCTCATCTTCCATTCCTTTGATAAAGGTTTTGAAGTGTGCGAGATGTGGAGCAAATGATGGTGGAACACTGGGTCGACCATCAGGGCCACCAGAATTCAATTCTTCTACCAATGTTTGTAGAGTTGGCACTGTGAGAGGATCAAATGATTCACATTCTTCAGGTATGATGGGTACACAGACACGTCCTGGGAGAGATTGTCGTCAAAAACGAGAAAGTCGAGAGGGTGAAAAGTCTGACCATAAATTGACGCAGAATGGTCGAGTATACATACCTGTTTTGGGATGTACACAGAAAGGACTCTTAAGCAAGTGATTAACACCAGTTGATACCTTGTCATCCAGACGTGGATACAAGTATTGAAACATGACATCACGTCTGAAAGCGCTTGCAATCTTCCTGCCCTGGAGCAGAGTAGATAAAACGGGATCAATGTCCGATCTGTATCGCATATTCGCCACACTACGCAACGTACCTTTCGTTTCTCGTATTCATCCAACAATTGTTCCCATTTCTGTTTACTGGTAAGCTTTGGATGTTTGAGCCAAAGTTCGTCCAACTCTCGTCGCATGTCTATTTTTTGGAAGGTTGTGTGTTTTAAAACGTGCAGTTATTACCACAGCATATACAGAGAGGCATTGACTGTCTTGCATACCTTCATCGTTCGTCATTTTGAGAATCTTGTTCCAACTCTCTTGTGTGCCAAGAATGTCTTGGTTGACGAGACATGTCTTTGGGAAGTATTCTTCCAAGATTCTCATGGCTGGTCTACAACGTTCCAAACATATAACCTGTCAGCAACTTCATTCTAAGGAGCATTGAATTGTATATATTACTTACACCAAAGTTGGATGCAATGGACCAAACCCTAGATTCACCTTCTTGATCATTTGCTCTCCACCCTAGGCGCAAAAAAGGATTCAGAGTAAGTTTTAACGCAATGGTGAGGCAAACTTGTGGAAATTCATTGCACCTATGGTTTCTTTGCGGTACTTACTTTAATCACTTCAATATGTTTGACAATGGCAGTTCGTAATTCTGCATTCAACTTTCGAGCTCGTTCATCACAAATCCAGCAATGGACACCACGACGACCAGAGTATACCCATATTCGATGCTTGAACCCAAAGTCCTCTAAAACACAAAAAAAACATAGGTTTTTGGAAAAGATCAATTAATAATGAGGACAGCAAGGTACAGACCTCTAATGGCGCGATCAATGATCTTGATGGATATCGTCATAAAGTCCCAGCACTTGTGACAGATATCGGCTCCCCTTTGTTGTTTGAGCTTTTTATGTAAGTATACAGGATTTCAAATGTTTCGAAGGTTGGATAAATCCAATAGCAAACGTACTTGCAACAAATACGAATGTCGTCGTAATCTGTCATATCAATATCAAACACCAGTTCACGTTCAAGCGCGTGGAATGCATTGTTGCGAACAGTCTTCTTGTCTTTGGGCTAGATGACAACAAAGCAAGGAGAATTATAACACATGCCTTTCAATGGTTGTAGTACACAAATGAGACTATCTACCCGCATATTGTAGACAGGACCAATATCAATTTTGGCTGGACTGTTTTTGACGAGATCAGTCTTGAATTCAGCAGCATCTGCATAAGACAAGTGTCGAACAACGACATCATTCTCAAATGCAAAACTGATTTCACGATTTGGAAAGTAGTTCTTTTGCACTAGATTTCAAAACAACAAAAAGCGGTCAGGTCAACCACGTAATTATTATCTTACGATAGGATCAAGAAGTGTGATTTCTTGTTCAACTACGAACTTGCGAACTACACGTACCATTTCCGTAACTCAACCACTTGTAGAATTCAGTTACTGGAAACACTCGTTGATAAAAGATCTTGATCAGTGTAGAGAATCCAGCATCCAGTGATTTTCTGTGTGGGATTGAAAGGGTGTTGTTGTTCACCACAATTAAAGGAATATGACTCTACATGATCACCAAAGCAAAGTTTACATTGCCTCTCCAGCCATTCCACCAAGCTTGACATTGCTGCGATTATTATCTTCTTTAAACAGATCATCAGCATTGAAATCGTCCTCGTCATCCTGGATCTTTCTCTTTGTGGTCTTGGCTACATCTGCCGACTCTTGAATTGTCTGGGCATCGACGTCCATGGGCACGACAATGACTGGTTCTGTTGTCGCTTCCATCTTGGATTCTTCATCGACTTCCATGATGGACACTAAGGGACTGAAGGGACTAGCAAGTAAATAAATGATTATTAGTAATAGTTCTGATATTGATTCGACTCGCTCTTGCTCATGATTTGAATATTTTACATACCTGCTGTTATCTGCACTCGACTTTTCTGAAGATGCGAAGTAGATGGTAGGAAACGCTTGATACAACGTCAACTTTCAAACGATCCACCGACCTATTCAAGGATCAAGGATTAATAACGCCAAATCTACGTGATTTACCATGTTCCAACACTTCCAACACTTGCGATGACGAAGGATCAACCAATGTTCCAGCTGTTGCTCAAAACACCACGAACATCAAAACTCGCACTTGCAATATAAAAGCCATGGCCACTCCTCCTAGACCAGCGCCTTTGGACTATGAACGGGTCGTAGTACCCTCAGCTGCTGCCACAATTGATTTGGCAATGAACATTTACAGATCCCCTGTTGTAAACGGACATCATACACGGTTGAGCATCTTATTGTCGCATCCGGGAGGAGGAACAAAAGAATGCTGGCAGCCCATAATCAGACGTATCTTTGCTCAGCCGGAAGTGGCAGCTCGTATTGAAGCAGTGTTTGCGTTTGGTATGTCTTTCATGAATTTGGTAATTTGTGACGAATAGCAGTACCGATCGCTATCTATCAAATGCTGAAATCTCTTCATGAATTCCATATTAATCGCCACCTATACATCTCAAACTCCTACTTCATCTCACCGTAGACCATAAAACTCATGGAGACTCTGGCGATCTTCATCCACAGTTCAGGCCGTACCCTGCCCACATTTCGTGGATGGAAGCTTCAAAGGATTGTGGAGCCATGATTGATTACATTGAGCGAGTGTATTGGCCAGCTCATCCAGTTTCATTCAAGAGATTGTTGATCGCGGCGGGGCATTCCTTTGGTGGAGGTAAGAAAAAGGGAAGCTTATTGCACTCAATTGAGTCTCATCGTTCTCTGCTCCTAGGTGTCATGACACTTGGATCCATCCTAAGACCCGGTAGCGTTGCCGGCATGATCCATTACGAGCCAAGTTGTTTCCCTGATTCCTTTACAATGGCTATACTGGGAAATGATGACCGTAGTCCCAACCGCAAGTGGAGGAGATCCGAGTTTGGGTCAAGAGAAGAAGCCTTTAAAGGATTTAAGTCACGACCATACTTTAGGTGGGTGAATGGTGTCTGTTTCTGCCAGGATCGTCATCTCAACTTACATTGGCTTTTTTGTAGCGTATGGACTGACGAGGCCTTGTGGGACTACACAGACTCGATTCTCAGACAGGATGGGGACAAATGGGTCTTGAAACAGACACCTGATAATGAAAGCATGACACTTGCTGGATACACCAACAACGAGTCCTTCATTCGCATTCCTGAATTCAAAGGACCAGTGCACATAGTCAGTGGTAGTGCTTCTCCCGTGGCACAATTCAAATTCAAGAGACCAAGTGATGGTACTTTGGAGTAAGTCTTCTATTGTTGATCTTGAACACTCTTGTTGATCTTGAACACAGATGAAAATGTTGTACTAACGCGTCATTGTCTTCACTAGTTTGAAGGACATCGTCATCGGCGAATTATTCCCCAACCTTGTCAAACATACATGGATTGACAAGTGTGGCCACATGATTGTTCAACAAAATCCAGATGAATCAGGCAAGTGTACTCTTCAGACATATGAATTCAACCACAACTTCTTGCTGATTTGGACTTTCTTTTTGATAGCCAAAGAATTCATTGACTTCATATATAGAATGACTGGCGAATCGCCATCTAAACTTTAGAATCTCTCATACTTTTTGACAAAAGAAGAATATAAAGGGTAGTTGATAGAATTGCAATCTCGCATATCCAAGTTTACCATGCGATGAGCGAGCTATCAAGTAAAAGGTTGAGTATTGCTCGGGCCTCAGAGTCCATTAGCAGAGGTACTGAAATTTTTCTTTGTTCTTCACACCTTGAAAGAGAAGCATACTAATAAAATTAAATTTATATTTCCTCAAACCTCAATCCGTATACTTGATCTTGATACATATACATTCATCAAGCACACCTCGATCTTCAGCAATAAACACGAGAACCTCCAGTGTGTCGACTCGAGTCCCAGTTGGCGCAAATTGCATCTTGATATATCCAGCTTCCTCTCTCTTCAATTCAAGAATTGGCTCTTTAAATGTGAGAAGTTGTGGGCTGTTGGTTGAAATCACAAACGTTCGCTTGTTTGGATATGGATTTGTGTACGTCACGCGCTACCGAAAAAAAAGTTGAAATGTGCTCCACCAATAACCAATATTGACATGCGAACATACCTTATTCACCAATTTTGATCGGGGTAGTGCCAATTCGAAGGTCTTCGTTATAGCTGGCGGTTTAGCATGTAAAACTACTAAGTAGCTGGCGACCAGATAATGTTCATCTAAAAACGCAAAAAAGAGTGGTTAGTACACACGTAGAAAACAATCATAAGCTAAGATTCCTCACCCATCAGATTAACAACAACTTCTTTGACTCCAAATGTTAATGGTTTAGCAATAACTGGAACCTCTGCCAGAATTTGGGCAGGTAAAGCAACCATTCCAGTAGCATGCTACGAAAATCAAAAGGCGAGATCAGAACAGTAATTTAGCAAAAATGCTAAAGACAAATGTTACCACAACTTCCGAAGAGTTAGAATACAAACGACATGTTCGTGATGCACTTCCACCACGCACGATCAATTGCGTCTTGGTTTCTTGACCAAACACACACTGCACATCAAACTAGTGATTTGAAATAGCTCAGTTACATTTGTATCAAAGTGAATTGCTGGAGGACAAAACTCTCACTTACCCGATGCAAAGCATGAATCGGTATGGACCAAATGCAAACCAAACTCAAAAAAAATGGATCATCAAACAGCAGCATCGAGAGAGTCTCGCTACCAGCTGAGGCAGGTTGCACTACCGCTTTAAAGCTCAAATCGTGAGTATTGGTCTACAAGTCGATGGGCTTGTGTGAGCTTCTTTCATAGCGTCTACTGGTTTTGGCCAAGGTTCTCTTTGCTTCTTACCATCGTAGTTGAACCAAGCTGACATGATACTTCCGCATTCCCACATCTGAGATATCGTGCATCTGGATGTGCTGCATCATAAATGGTCGTGATGCCATCAGGCAATATTGATGCAAGAGGACCTCTTGAAGGTGGCGACTCAAATCTCAGCACACTCTTAAAAACTTCGTTTTCTGGTCTGAAAAATGGTGCCACTCGATCGACAAAATGTCCAGTGGGAATCACTCGGACGTCAAGCAATGCGACAGGCTTTTGATCATTATTGAAAAATGAGACCTAGGCCGTGAACAGGATTGTGATCAGCGTAAAAAAAACCTACTGTCACGGCAGCAAACAGTTACAAACTTACTGTGGTCACGCGAGCTTGCGCAGAACAAAATGTCTGAAACACAAACGGTACCGACATCTTCTCATTTGCCAGTAGAAACATTTCTGTAGAACCGTCGCGCTTGACAGAGAATACTGGCTCCTTATCCAGCGGTGCAATGATATGGTATGTCCGCCGTAGATACTTGAGCATTGCTGGATTTGACACAATTCTGAAAAGTTGCAAGATGTGAGGGCGACGACAAAAAACCTTCTATCCAAGTGGACAAATGGGACAGACCTTAGCTCAGCATCATCGAATGAGACATCAAACTTGGCATCGTAGTTGTATGGATTCGTGAAAACGATTTCGAAATAGCAAGCAAGCCCGAGAGAAGCATAAATAGTATGGTGAGTAGTAATCTCCTTGGTTAGTTCTTCACCAATCACCAGACGTTTCTTTCTGTGTGTTGGTATCAGAGTCAGTAAGACTCTCGGATTGCAATTTATCAAATAACACCAAAAACCTTTCACGGAATATCTCTATCGCTTGTAAGTCTCGTTGACGTTCTTGTCTTGACAACTGATATGTTTGGAAGACTTCATCCTTTTCCTATCAAGCAAAAAGAAGTTGGAGAAAAGGAGTATCGCATATGCATATCGTTCCTGATTCTCACATTTGCATCAGATTTGCTATTGGTAGCATCAGACTGTCTCAAAACTCGTCGAGCTTTAGCCAATTTCCTTTCGTTCTGTGCAGAAACGGCTCCATAAGCATTTTCAGCTGCTCGGGACGCATCGAGCCCTTTGACTCGCGCAGCATGGGCTTCACGCAACATTTCAGATAGCTCTGGGTCGGTGTCTTGCATCTAAATGATAATGTTAGAGCAACCGTCCAATACAGCATCATATCTAATTTACGACTCATACCCGACTACCCAATTTCTTGACCTCAGGGTGTACTTTGATGGATTCATGGTAGTCATAGAGAATCGGTTTCGATAAACTTATGGAATTCATGGTTCCTTTACGTGAAATATTCGTCCATTTCAGGAAGAGGGATCCAACCTTGTTTTGCAACATATTGGTTGTGTCTGCCACTTCCGTCGTCTATAACATAAAATTTATTTTAAACCAAACGATCAAAAAGCAAGGCATACTTTGCGTACACTCACTTGTGTTGAGCTGATAATCGCAACCGAATCATCAAACATGATTGCATTTTTTCCACGTCGTAAAACAGACTTGAGCTCAATATCGCAAGAGCCAAGACACATGTGTGAATCAGCATCCCATAAAAAGACCTGTAAAATCTTGCTCGCCAGATAGTGTCGGAAAGTCGTTGCTGCATATCGAGATGCTATTTGCTTTGGTGATGTTTCCTCATCTCCAGAGTATGTGAAGGATAATCCAGGTGCATGACGATCTATATATTATGTAGTGCCTAGATTAGATACGCTCTGCAGCACAAATGAATGCTAAAACCGAAACGTACAAGCAGGCGTGGATCCATCATGTTCGAATGAATAAAATATACCTGGCCAGGTATTTGTTTTCGTCTGCTCATCAGAATGAATCTGTTTTGAGCGCTCTGAAGGTGGGAGTGCTCCTGTGTATACTTGGACTGGCGATGTCAAGACTTGAGGATACGTCCAAAACTTGAATGTGAAAAACACACGATTTGGGGATGCGTTTACTACAGCAACAAAAATGAATAATCCTGAAAATGCACGAATGCTTCATCATGAACTCACCACCATCAACAATGGACAATCCCATCAGTGTCAAGGTGACATCATTCAGCTTTGTATCCTGTAACTCCAAAGCCAAGTTGACTGGTGCTTCCACATCATCAAGTGATAGCACTGTAGGTTTACGACCTTCTGAATCCAGTATTGGTGCAAATCCAGCACTCGCTAATCGGGCCTTCTCTGCTCGAGTCAGTTTGCTCCTTAATGAGGAGGAAGACAAGACCGCGTTCATTGGTGCTGGAGATGGTAGACTTCCTGATAGTTCCATGAGACTATCCTGATCACCAAACATTGCTTCTGGTACTAAAGCTGGTTCTGCTCGTGCCGGTGGCGGAAGTGATATTAGTGGTGCGATAGGAACAGCCTTTGTCGGAGAAGGAGGTATGGATCTTGTTCTGGGACTCTTTGGAGTTTTGGGTCGTTCTCCATATGACATTGATCGCGACATGGATCTCACTGGTGAGCTCGCTATTTGAAAAAAGTCAGCGTGCCATTGTAGCAAAGTTTGTGACGCTGGGGTTTGCACTCTAACAAAACGTACCAGGAGATGGTGCTACAGCTCCAGTAAACACAAAAGATACATTCATAGGTGGGATTCCATTCAGTAAATCAGCAGGTCGATACATGCTTGCCAAGAACGGATTTGGTTCTATCGAGTTAATCAATGGCATTTGTCTGATTTCAGTTTCTAGACCAAAAAAATGCTCTGAAGGTCAGATACTATACGAATGCCATTTCAAAACAACTTCAATCATATACCATCCTTATGCAAGGGTTTCCATATAGCCCACCCCAACAAAACAACCTGCTCAACACCAGCATTTTCGAATTGCCGTATAGACATTCTTCGTGCTCGCACAGCAGCAGCCGAGGTATCCTTATCATCAGCAGGCATGCTTCTAACAACATTAACCTTGTATTCAACTAAAACTATCACCACCACATCTTTATCCTCCGGCACAAACGAGTCAAGCTGTACATTCCCCTGGAATTTAAGCTCGTTTCCTGTCGTATCATCTGCATTGATGACTGGTGTTAATGTGATTGTGGTAGGAGGTGTAAGAAAAGTACGTCCATTATGAAATCCTAGATTCAAGCGTCGTTCTAGAATCGTGGGTGGTGCTAATGGTTCGGATGGTGGTATTTGATGTGTCTCGCAAAATGTCTGTGCGACGATCTTCACGAGATTTTCTTCGAATTGTTGTACTGATGGTTGTACTCGTATTGAGATCTATGTCAGTGGAGGAAATGTTGGCGACCCAAAAAAGAGACCTAAAAACGATGATGGAACACTTGCCTGAGAAAAGCTAGCAGTACTAGTTTCTAATGCTTCCAGATTGTACTCATCCTTGAATCGGACTCCAGACACTATATCACCATATCCAATAAACTCGTTCTCACGAATGTAGTGACAAACATGTCGAAGGCTCTGACAAGTGGTCAGTTTATAGGTGCACAAAGCACTTGGAATAGGCGTCAAAGCAGGAAATCCAAGCATTTGGCCTAGCAATAGTGGAGCGATGACTGGTAGCATTCGTGGTGTACCGACATAAATTGGCATCCTAATATTGGAGAGAAGCCAAGTTAAGAAGGTGGACAAAAAAAGGCGACCAACTCGTCCCCGTACAGCTTAGCTACTGGCTCCATCAAACTAGATGCTGCATCCGACCAAACCCGAGTGCAATCTAGTCCATTCTTCATGGGATCAAACGGATGTATGAATGTCCAGCCAATTCCAATGTTTTGAAGGATTGACGTCGACTCAAGTCCATTCACGACTAAAAAAACCGTCTATATAAGACCGATGGATTGTTGACATTTCAAAGGCCGGATTTACCTTGCAACACGAATTCCAATACGATAATTGTATCTGGTTCCGTCACAGGTGTATGAAAGTAAATGTGCTATAAAGACCGAAAACAATTATTTTTCCAAAGCGAGCAAAAAATAACGTATACGGAAAATCTCGCCGTACCAAATCATGTAATGTAGCAGTCAACCGATTCCCAACAAGCGCAACGTCTGCAGAATAGATCTCTTCATCATCTTCCTCACTACCATCCTCCGTATCCCGATCGTCATCACCACCATCATTATGACGTTCTCCATCATTCACGGTCTTGGCCTTCCGTATCCGAATGTATCGTGGCGACGCCCACGTCTTGCCATAAAATTGAGCAGATGTGACATCAAAGAAGGTAGCACGGACACGACATGACATGGGACCATCTGAATTCAAATAGGATTCTGTAATGATTGGAGGGAGAGTGATGCCTTCGAGACGTGAAATGGTTAAGGAGTATGGGAAATGGAGCTGCGATTTTGTCGATGTTGGAACGATTCGTTGGGAGTCTCGTTGAGTATATGGTACAAAGGATCTAAATGTACGAGCCCAGTCGTGGTGCTCCTCCATCTTCGGAGGCAATAGATCTATCTTAAACTGAAGGAAACTGTCAAAGCGTGTTTTCACGTTTCGATGAACAGTACTAGGGTGCTAGGATAGTTGGCGGTGGGAGACGGCAAAAAATGGTTGGAAATTATTGTGCTCAATATGAAGGTGTCAGTATCTAAATCGTCAAACCAGATCAACATCAATCTCACCAAACCAGCAACCACGAGACCCCTATCATGCAACATATATGTGTTCATTGTGTACAAAATTATTCAAATTTCTTAAATAGCTCATCAAATGACAACGTGTCGTCTTCCTCGATGCCATCAGACACTTTGTCTATTGCGTCTTTGATGATGTTTGTGCTTCCATGGGCCTGATGGTCTTGGGCCATCGTGAGATAGTGTATGGCTCGTTGGTTTTGTCCCAACCGCTTGTATACTTTGCCCATCAAAAAATACACGTTGCACTCTCCTTGAGCTTCAAGTTCGAGTTTGTGTAATTCGTCCAATGCTTCCTAATCAGATGGAAAGGAGAAAGTGTGTCACCATCAAGTGAAAGTCACGTCAAAATTGGGCATAGACGGAAGATTCAAGCTCGCCTGATTACGATTGAGCAGAACAAGGACAAAGGCACGTCGAAACTTGGTCAATACATTGGGCTGACGGGCGAGACGATCTGCTTTTTCAAAGTAAGCAAGCGCTTGATCATATCTTTTGGTCTTTTGCATGACCTAATAGTGTTGATATAAATCATGTTAGACTACAATCAAACTCTGTGCTCATCCAAACAGGAAGAGTACCAGGGCAATGTACGCTTGTAACGACGGATTTGATGGATTGATAGTTGCTGCTCTTCGGAAGTGAAATTCAGCATGATCGTAAGATTCTTGACGATAGTAAATCATGCCCAATCCAAACCTAGCATTAAAAAGGTTGGTATCATTTCTCACGGAATCATTATTTCGTCCGGCATACCATGCGTTGTAATGCCTGTCGTCCACCTTGATGGCGTTTCGGTAACAAGCTTGTGCCTTTTCACTATCATCCAATGCCATCCATTCCATTCCACACAAATAGTGGGCATACACATGAGCTGGATTGAGCTGTATAGCTCGTTGGAAGCATTTCAAAGCAGCCATGTGATCAAATTTGATGCTAAGATTGAAAAAGCACGTCATCCTATGGAGTTGGGTGAAAGTATTTTGTTTGGCTCGGTTACCTGAAACAGTTCCCAACAGCACACCTAGGAAACCCAAACGTGAGTCGCTATAAGCTAAATTGCATTAAAACGACAAAGCACGTACCATGCTTCAGGTGACCAGCGATCAAACTCTACAAGCTGATGGGCAAGGTAGCTCAACTTTACGTCTTGTTTCATTTGCCATAAGACTGTCGAGTACAAGTCCATCTTGGCCATTCTGTATGGTTCTCGTTTCCTAGCCAACATCAGCGATTAGAACAAGTGTTAACAAAACATCACCCATATATGCCGAAACCCCCAACCTGAGCTCTGAAAACACTTGGTCTGCAGCAACAAACTCTCCCAGTTGATATCTAGCTTGTCCTATATGACTCAATACCCAACCAGATTCTTGTTGGCTCATGGGTAAGTTTTCCAACAAGTCAATTGCTTCCACGCAATAGTTTTGCGACAGTTTGAGGAATGCTTGAGCCATACTAGTCACCACGGCCAATATTTCTCGAATCGCAACATTTAATTTTTCTTCTGGTTTATCAGTGTCCATTTCATTGGCGGATAGTAGTTGGGGAGCAATTGAAGCTGGTTCCTTTTCTTTTTCATCGACATTGACTTTATCTTCCACCAAGTCTTCTGATACGGATCTTGAGCGTAGTGTACTTGGTTGAGGACGAGAGTGTTTACGAATGTCTACTCCTTTGGGTTTCTGACAGGAGGTAACAAAGTCAGCAAAGGTAAAACTACGACGATTTGGAAGCAATCTTCCAAGTTACCTTCACTCCTAGCGCAGGATCTTTGGTTTCTTTGGATTTGCCACTGCCACTGCTGCTACCGCCACCTCTTTGAATCGTACCATTAGTCTAATTGCGGATAGACGGTTTAGCACCAACATACGAAGATATCGTGACACTTCACAATGCACCTTGGGTTTGGCAGTGGTCCGACTTCTTGTTTGAGAAAGCGATGTTGATGTAGATGCTGTCCGTCTCGGACGATCGCTCAATGATCTACAATAAAGACGTTTAACAGTCTGTACAAGCAAAACAAGGAATATACAACTATACGTACATTGTAGTAACATTCGATACAGACAATCCATTTGGAGGATTGGATGGTGTCAATCCAACTCGTGGTGGATGATCACTCAATGCCTTTTCTTTTATGATCGGATTTGTGACTTTACTGCCTCGAGTCATCTCAGTATAACACGCCAACAACTTCTCTTCGTTGAAGAAGCGTGACAGGTCTGCGAGTTGTGTAGTATTTTCCACATCTATATAATTATTTCTGTGAGTATTTGCTTGTCCGAGGAAGGGTATAAGTGGATGAACCGACCTTCCAGTCCGAATCGATAATTCAGTTTACACAGCTGTTCAAAGCTCGTCCATAAGAATGGATTGGCTTCGAACGCTTGCAGGTAGTGATGCCTGGCTTCGTCCTTCTTGTTGCCGTTTCTAATATGAAAATAACGAGTAAGATCTCCGTTGCTATTCGTTTCATTCGATAAAAAGGTGTCTACCTGCACAATTCACCCATGACACAATGTATAGAGGCTTGATCTGGATTCGCTGAACCTAGAATTATTGAAATTAGCTATTTGAGATCACGCAACGTTACTAATGAAGGAAGGAACTGATTCTTGTCCGCCACGTCTGAACAAGTTGATCCTCGATTGATTGATTCCACTTACTATATTCATGACTGACTTGTGCAGTTTTATTATCGACAAGAACCCGTTCCAGAGCCTCTTGACCCTCATGATATCTCTCCAAATCAAAGCAAGCTCTGGCAAACAAGTAGGCAGATGAGACGTGATTTTCGACCTGTTGTCGTAAAACATGGGCAGCGACCGATGGTTTGCCAGCGGCATAGTATGATTTGGCGACTAGGAAGACGGCCTCTTCTTCAGTTGGATAGAAGCCTCGTAATCGTTCAGCGAAAAAGATGGCATTGTCATTCAATCGTCGTTCAAGCGAGTAGACCACGATAGTCTTGAGTATGGTGAAGAGCACTGTTTCTGGTCCCTCCATATAAGGCAAACGAGCTTTGTCTGCTATTCTATCCAATGCCCAATGGCTTCTCCAAGTTAGCTAGCAATGTGGTTTCGCTTGTGAATCGACTATTGCGCAGAGGTCACTTCAGACTTGGACTCTATGGCAGGTAAGAGGCAAATGATTACGATCAAAATAATGTGGCTCTAGTAGTGTACTCACTCAGCCCTCAACTGGGTCCAACTTTTATTTTGACATTTCAAGGAGAAGAACTACTGCATTTTACGTTTCAGCAGTACGCGATGGAATGAAAGTAGAAAGTATGAAAAGACGAGAAATGTTGCGTTAGAACTGCAGAGAAATTTCAGCCGGTGCTAGGTTGCTGTTTTAGCTGGAAGGCAGGGATTCTTCCAAAAGTTGTAGCTTCAGACGACTTGTAGCCAGAAGATCACCCAATTCGATTGAACAGTGCACTCGTAACGCGAAAGGATATATCAAACTCGCCGTCAACCCGCACTCTCCTCGCAGACTCCGTAGATTCATCGCACCACAGTCATTTTTGTTCATTGACGACCAGATCCCCATAGGACCTGATCCACGATTCGAATGACTGTCACTGGAGCCGACGTATCATTTACTGCCTCGTTCTTGACTGTCGGCAAAGGTATCTTTGCACATATCGTGGTCGGCAACATTTGACTCTCGGAACCCCATGTCCTAACAGTTCCGCTTGAATAGATCAAATTCCTAAAGACTATATCTATGCCGTCACTCGCACTGATTCTCTCGCCATTCCAGCCGCTGGTTCCCAAAATCCAATCCTAGCATCAATCAAAAACGACGGCATTCACGTCCTGATACACTCTCTGCAACTCAAAAACAACTCGACTACAGTAAAACCTCTATTTAAATACTCTCTGATCGCATTTGAGACACCATCCGAAGCACAAGCCTTCGTAGCCTCGGCCAAAACTTGGTTGGGACATAGAATCCACAAAAAGCTCTTGGTCGTAATCAACCCCGTTTCAGGAACTAAACAGGCCAAAGATAGATGGACCAAGACCGTCATTCCCATGTTTGATGCTGCTGAAGTACCTTATGAAGCTAGATGTAAGTATCAAGTCTCGTCACGCGACGACCGAAATAGTGTTCAATACAGCAGTGTTCACGTTTATATTTTTTTATAGTCACGGAGAAGGCGGAACATGCTACTGATATCACATCAAAGATGTCCTTGGAAGCCTATTCTGGTGTGATCTCTATTGGTGGAGATGGGACATTCCATGAAGTCCTCAATGGCTTGCTATTACGTCCGGATTGGCAAGAAGCAGTCAGCAGCATGTCAATAGGAATGATATCAGGAGGCTCCGCAAATGCCTTTCCTAGGTGTATTGATGCCTTCACTGCCGAATTATCGACCTTGACTATAATAAAAGGTTTTCAGAAACCAATGGATATGTTTGCTGCCGTGACTCCAAAAGCCACCATATACTCCTTTTTATGTATATTCTACGGCTTTATAAGTGATGTCGATATAGATAGCAATAATTTAAGGGCTCTTGGACCTGTACGGTTTCCCCTCATGGCTTTGTACAAGCTTTTAAAGCTACAGCAATACGAGGTCAAACTGCATCTATTACCCGCCGATGACACGACCGTACAACCAATAGAACCGCCATCCCTGCCTATAGATTCACCTCCGCAATTCGGCCCACCGCTGAAATACATAGTTAGACCCGACAGCCATAATTCTTTTCCCGTCCATACCGATGCCTCATTGATTTACTTAAACGTGATGAATTTACAGTGGGCCTCGAGTGACTTTTTAGCAGAAGTTAATGCCCGCATATCTGATGGCTGTCTCTGGTTGAATTATGGGGATTCGAGTATCAAACGAGGTGAACTACTTCAGCAAATACTGAATCAAGAAGCTGCCTTGGACTCGGAGAATCCAAAGTCACATAGAGTAGCAGTAAAAGCCTTTGTATTGGAACCCGTCAACGTACACGGCAAGTCCTTGGCTAAACAAAAGGGGTCAAAGAAAGCCATTATGGACGTATCAGGAGAAGAAGTAGATTTAGGACCTATCAGGTGTGAAGTGTTGCCATCGTTAGTGACTGTCTTTGTACCGCCGTGGTTTAATGAAGAAAAGTTTGTTGGGGAGGCTGCTGAGCTTCGAGCCAAGTTGCATGATAAGAGTAAAAAGGGCTTTTGTCGCTGAGATTTGCTGTCTGGCACAGCGTAACATTGTAATATCTAATTCACTATGCTTTAGAAATATATCCAATTCCCCATAATAGAACATGATGACTTGATCAACATAGAACTTGACAATCATAATACGATAAAGTGGGTCTTTGATATCATGTTTGCTTTTATTATTTACTACGAAAGATCCTTATTGTTGCATGATTTTATCAACTACGATTCTACTGTTGTTGGTTTATTTCACGAGCCACGTTTTGATATTATTTTGTTACGCCGACTTTGGATATGGAGCTCCAAAGAGCTCATCATCCTTTTCCCACGTATGTTTGAATTTGACATCACTAGTATCTATTTGTGATCCCGGCGTAATCAACCAGTCTGAAGCCCGTTCAAACATGCCATCAAATCGTGGAGTCCAGACCTTGGCAGGCTGCCATTCCTGTCTCAACAATCGATCATCAGCTTCCCGTTGCCTAAAGGTAACCCAGTCTCTAGTTGATGCCTCGATATCCTGCATACTGGGGATGTAGCCTTTGAGAGCCGTATGGATTGGATGTTCTTCTTTACCAGCGGTAGCATAGTCATTGAGTCTCCATACCGCGACCATGACGACACCGAGGCCTAGGAATGTAGTCCAGAATGAGGAGGAGAAGTCTTCCTTTGGGGTGTCACCACCTGTTGGGTTGTCTACACAATGTCCTAGATGTGTGCGGGGCTCGTTCCAGCCGGGTTCGGGACCAGACCTGGCGATGAAATTTCCTGGATAGTGGGCTTCGTGCGGCCAGTTGCGAGCTACTTTGAGGAGTTCTTCTGGATGGAGTTTCGATTCTGTTCCTGTGCTGACGGGATGATGCGAGTCGTGTGAGTCGTGTGCGAGTCTTATAGTGGTGGCAGCCCTATTGACAGATGGTATAGATGGTCGGTATGCAATCCAAACCCTCGACAACAACATGCTTCTGGCCATATTGGCCATTCTCCAGATTTTTGACTTTTTCGTGACGATGGCGAGAGCATTAAACATCGAGGGAGAATCGCGTATTTTATATGGCGCTGTTGAGATCAAAGTAAATGCATATCGAAAAAATCTCAAGACCTTGACAAAGGTACAGCAACTCGGTTTTCTTGTTCAAAAGCAAAGATGCACGGGTATTCACGGGATCTCAACTGTTTAATCACTACATTAAACACGTAAAGTAGTCATAATGAGCTTTTGATTCCTCCACATCTACCTGTGTCAAGTGTCAAGCTGCTCAATTTTCATTTTTTTCAAACAAGACGTTTTGAAGACTTATACCCAAAAGCAGCAATGATGAGAGGATGCAGTCGCCTCATACAGCAGATACGGACCCACGCCACAGTAGCCCACAGCATAAGAGTCGGCATCCTCCTCAAACGAGACCCAGTAATCACTCCAAACCCAGACGAATTCTCGTCATCCTACTTGAACTATCGACACTCACTAGAAAACGCACATAGCAGACCATTTCCTTACGAATTCTACTTTAAACGAGGATCACTCCAGGAGCAGCGATGGCTCGACGCCACAAAGGGCCAGCCTAACGATGATGGCATCAAACTCGTCAAGGAACATGAATTGGCTTCTATACCGGTCGCTCCTAGAAGGACTATAGCTGATGAAGCCAATGATACGGCTTCACTGGATAGAGCTTTGGATAGGACGTTGTATCTGGTGTTGAAGGGTGAACATGGATGGAGGCTGCCTGAAGGGAACTTGAATGGGGATGAGTTGCTTCATCAAGTAAGGGCCGAGTGTCATTGGATGCCTAGTTGTATTTCGTATCGGATATTCGTGTTGCCCCTTCTATACAACCGCTGAGACTTTTGCTCTCTACAATTAGGCTGCGTCAAGAGAACTACATACACAGTGTGGGAATGGTATGGAGACGTGGTTTGTAGGGAGCATACCAGTAGGACATGTTACAAGGGGACCCAATGAAACCGTCTTTTACATGAAGGCACACATATTAGGTGGTACCATTGCATCAACATCAGACAACACGGTCGCTTGGCTGACAAAGGAAGAAGCTTTGAAGGCTTTGAGTCAAGATGATGCTATTCAAGTGGCTGATATGCTATCAACACGATAGATATGTTAGTGAGGATATTTCTCAATTTGTATATAGTTGCTCAACAATTCATAGAAAGGTCGAAACTCATAATTTGGTCTTGTTCATGGCTATATATGTAGATATGTGGCATGTCACTTCTTAGAAACTCTCTTTATCATATGAACTCTTCGTAGGATGTGATGATTATGGGTCAACTGTCTACACGAGACACTCGAATCAATTTGCAGCTAAAGTTGGAGTTGGCACACCCAGGGAGCTATGTTGTATATAAGAAATACACGTATTCGCAATTTCCATGCTTTGCATTCCTACTTTTATCAAATTCCAAAATCGAGATGTCTATACATACTGCCGCAATTGGCTTGTTAGCACTTGGCGTAGTTAAAAACACGTGTGCAAGAGCTGATGTGAACTACCATTCATGATCAGAAGGTGATCTAGACGTTGATCTTGTACTATCTGACCGCCTCTGCTCTAAGTCAGAGTAACTATGGACTGAGCCTCAAAGATTTCTCGCGTTGCTAACCTGTTCCGCGATGGAAACGACGCCACAAGGCAGTAAGACGCTGTATAGCGACAACACATCAGCGGCGTTGATACCAGAACAAGAAGTTCCTTTGCCATTGCGTCGAAATGTTGATCGTAGTAGCTTTTGGTTGGTGTTTTCGAGCCTTTTAATCATTGATGGAATCGGTGGCAGTGAGTGATGACATCTGGGTACCCATTTTTAAAATTGTCTGGACCTAACAGTCCTATATTTTATCTTGTAGTGGTAAGAACTACAGCATCTATTACGTATCGGCAAAAAAATTAAGCCTTTAATTGACCTGCTACTGATAGGACGCGACTACAACGTTCTCATCGGGTGCTGCACTATCCTCTGATCTAAAAGGATTTTCTGACCTTCCTTGGATTGGCACAAGCTATGTGTTGGCTGCGACGATAGCTAGACCGTTATTGGGAAATCTCAGCTCAGTCTTTCAGAGCCGAGGCATCTTTCTTGTGTCTGCAACTCTGTTTCTGGTTGGAAGTGCTCTATCTGGAGCAGCTCAGACAGTGATATGGTTGATCCTTGGTCGGGGCGTTCAAGGACTTGGATATGGCGCAGTTGAGACAATGGCTACTATTATCATAGGGTTGGTGCCTTTATTGTGTTATATCGCTGGCTACCGTTGAATAGATGGTGATTTTTTTCTTAGTGAGCTTGTTGATGTAAGGCATCGTGGCCTATATCAGGCAATTTTGTCGGGTGTCGAGGGATCTTTGATATTAGTTGGGTATGGAACTTGATTCTTCCTTGTAGTATTGTGAAAGTCCTGCATCTCAATCTTCTTTGAAGACCACTTATAGGTGGTCTTTGGACTGACAATGTATGTCTCAGCTTTTGCTTACCACAGCTGTCATTGCTGACCTACAGTTTCGCTAGGTGTCTTGGAGGTTCGATATCGTTTCTCCTTTCGGTACAGCCGTGGATGAGGATTGCGAGGAATAAAGGGTCTTGCATTAGGTGGCAATTCTGGTTTTTCTTACCCATACTTCTCATTGCTGGAATCGTCTTTGCATTGAACGCAAAAACTCATCCAAGACCAGTGCCGTTTCGCCATTTATGTACGTAAAACGATTCCTTCCTCTATGGTTAAGAGTATTTGGAACTCACCAGCCCGTTTCCATAGTATCTTATATCGATTGGATGGGAGCCATTGTTGCAGCCGCAGCCTCAACAGCGCTCATAATTGGCTTGCAGTATGGATCGTCTACTCTTCCATGGAATTCACCTACAGTTATTGGGTGCCTAGCAGCTTCGGTTGTCCTCTTTGTGGCATTCATCATAGTCGAGGGATTTGTTCCAGTATCCTGCTTTCCGCTACCATTGTTCAAGTATCGCAACATTTTGGCAATGTGCATTAACCAGCTTGCGTTTGGATTCAATTTGTACGGTTTCCAGGTATGTCTTGAACGTTTGTGTTTTTGAAAGTTTGGTGTTGACCTCTTTTTAGTATACTGTTGGGCTCTTCTTTCAAGTCGCACTTAACAAGGATTCTACCATCACTGGTCGGGTTTTGGTTTTAGAGATGATAATCAAACACGAATATGAGCCATCTCACGAACTATGTTGTAGGCCTTTTATTAATGTCGTTGATTGTTCCCTTCGCTTTAACCGACATTGCTGGTGGCCTGATCGCTGTACAGACGGTACGTCTCAATCGAGCAGTCTATACGGTACTCCGAGCTTACAACCATCTCAAACTCTAGGGCAGTGCGACCTTTTATTGTCAAATCATGTCCGCCACAATGCCAATCGGCATTTGGTTATGCTCAAGATGGACCTCCAGCTCTAGTCTTGCGCAAATCATTGGATACCAGATCGTGAGTGGTGCAGGTGGAGGTATTGGAATACAAATGCCTGTGCTGATAGCACAGGCATCAGTGCCTGAACAGAGTATGGGAAGCTCGACCTCTCTGGTGTTCTTTTGCAGGGCTATCGGGTAAGTTTATCTCGTGTTGACGTTAGGTGGCTAAAACACTGATGTTTTATCATTCTATCAGGGGAGTAATTGGATTATCAGTCTCGGGGACATTGCTAAATTCCTTTTGGCAAACGCGACTAGATCAGCTAATACAGACAGGCAGCTTGTCTGTGAGTTTGCTCCACATTTGTAATGACTCTCTTCCCGTTTTAAAGTTTCCTGCCTGTAGATTCCTCTCTCTTCACTATCAGATGGGAAAAACTTTAATTTGTTTGCCATTAGAGCACTGCCAGAGGACCAAGCTGCTGTAGTAATCAATGCCTTTCAATATGGCTTTGAGAGATCAATGTGGGCACAAGCTGGAATAGCATTGATATTTTTCTTGTCGTTTGTGGCTACCAGGCACGTCGAGTTACGATCGGATTCGGATGAGGAAGTGTCATTGGAAAAGGCCAAATTGAGAAAGCACGAAGAAGAAGAACTTGTTGAATGATTTTAAATAATTGGGTGATAGCTTGTTTTTTATATTAAGGGAACAGTGTTTTAGGCTGTTGGCATAATCTGAACAAAGTACTGATGTAGTAATTGTGAAACGAGAGTCTCATTTGCTGCGAGATGAATTGTTGCAATTACACCATTCCTTAAATTTTTGGCACGTTTGTTCGGAGCTAACTATCCAGCGACCGATCGTCGTTTGTAGTCGTGGAAAAACTCGCAAAAATTTGGGGACTTGCATTCAGGTTCGAGGTTATGCAACACGTCTTATCGGACATTACGCAAAATCGGTGAGTGGATACAATAAGGCTCATTGTTTCTAGGCAACCGCTTTGATGCCAGATGTATCAAAACGTTGGCTCGCACGCACGCTTGGGTTTGCGGGGGTACCCAATCACTTTCCTGCCTGTGTTTCGTCTTGCCGCTCCAACAAGCTCGCAATTTCAAGGCTTGACCTCCTTATAATAGACTGAAACATGGCTCCCAATCTTTCGGCCAACCAGCTAACCATGCTCATGCTTGGGTTAACCATCTGTTACTCGCTTACAGTCATGGACGCGGTACGTGTTTTTATGTACGGTGGTGCGTGTTTCAGAGTTTCATACTGACGAATATTCTGTATTTGAAATAGTCTTTGGTTTTTTCCTCTGGACCTGTACGTTTTGCATATTTTACGTGGTGACGGAGTGATATGTTTTTTGAACATGTGTGTTGTTAGGCTCTTTCTTCGGACTTACAAAACTTTGCGGATCTGTAAGTTCACGAAGAATTCCTGCCAAATTGAATCATTACGACTAGTTATTAACGTGTATTCATTTGTAGGCCATGGGTAACAAAATAACACTTGTCGAATAGATCAACCAAAGTCCTAAACTTTGAGCTTTTTTTAAACAACAGGTTGGATCAGCATATATGCTCGCTGCTACTGTTTCTCGACCAATTCTCGGTATGTGATATAGGCCAGTGACTTTTGGGATTATTGTGTATTTTTAGCATTGCTGAATTTGACGGTGTGAATGGCTGGTGTTGTTGAAAACGATGCTGACGACTTATCATCATTTAGGAAACATGTCTGATGTATTTGGTTCTCGATTCGTTCTTATTTCATGTATTGTGTGCTTTGTGGTAAGTTCATTTGAAGGAATGAGTGATACTTGTTTCCTTCGTTTACCAATCGCCAACATCTCATTGAAAAACATTAGGCTGGTTCACTTCTCTGTGGATTTGCAAAGACTATGGTATGAGTAGTTTTGGTGGAAACCGTTTATTTGCGGTTGACGACTTTTGTTTCAGTTGTGGTTGATTCTTGCTCGAGCATTACAAGGTGAGCTGAAATGTAGCGTTTATTTTTTCAATTATTTGACTGATATAATTGTTTCAGGATTCGGTATGTGCATTTTTCACAATGTTTGAGATTGGACGACGCTTGACGTTTGTTCGCAGGTGCTGGAGGTATCGAGTCGATTGTCTTGATCATTGTAAGTAGTGTCATATTTATGCAGCTTACGGTCAATCGAGCTTCAGTTTCATATATATGTTTTTTCGTCAACAGGTCAGTGAAGCAGTAGAGTTACGCAAACGTGGATACTACACTGCTAACTTGACTGCAGTCGCTGGATCCTGTGTGCTGATTGGACCGTTCATTGGTGGCTTGTGGACAGACAATGTTTCCTGGTAAGCGCCGATATTCGTTCTTCTTGCACACGGTTTTTTTGCTGACATTCTCTCTTAGGAGGTTTGTGTGATTGCGGAACACGCTGACATGACAATTCGTTGCTGACAACACCGATTCTCAGATGGCAATTTTGGTTTGCGCTACCAGTCATTGTGTTAGGCTCCATACTAGCATCAGCTGCTATGTCATACTCTAAGCAGAACTTGCCCACCACAGCTCTTATTTCACGAGTCGATTGGATTGGATCGTTTTTAGCTGGTGGTGCTGCGACTGGCCTCATCATGGGTTTGCAATATGGTTCTTCAAGCTTGCCATGGGATTCACCAGTCGTTTTGGGATTGCTGATTGGATCTGGTGTACTCTTTGTCATTTTCTTTGCTGTCGAGGCATTTGTCAAGCGCCCATGTATACCTTTACGATTGTTTAGCACTTGGAATGTGCCCATTCTGGCAATCAACCAAATTGCATATGGGTTCTTCTTCTTCGGTATGTCATGGTGATGGTGACCCTTGAACGAATCTCCTCAAAGTTTTTTTGCTCCTTAGGTTTCCAGGTATAAATATTTGAGTGATTTACGATTGGAGAGGAGACCAACATTGTGTTGTTTAGTACGCTGTCCCCTTGTTCCTCCAAGTTGATCTTGGAAAGAGTGCAACCTTTGCTGGTAAGCCCATTATTCAATATGTAATGAAGCATTTTGGTTGGACTAATCTAAAAATTGCAAACAGGTCTCTATTTAATCTCTATCATCGTGCCAGTAGCTCTAGTTGATGTCATTGCTGGAATCGTTGTTGCTAAAACCGTACGTGAAAGTTTGATTCGGTTGTAACATGAGTGCTCTGTTTAATTTAACCATATTATTAGGGACGTGTTGTTGAATTCTGTAAAGCCATGGCTGTAGTTACAGCAGTTGGAATGTATCTTTGTAAGTCTCCACACTTTCCATTCTGGTGCAAAAACAAAATTGAGGTCTTTCTTGCTTTCAATAGGCTCACGATGGACAAGGAACTCCGGCAACGCTGAACTAATTGGATATCAAGTAGTCGCGGGTATTGGTACTGGTGTTGGGTGAGATCGATCTATGCCTTCTGCAATGTTTCTGTGTACTGACGTTGTGCAATCTAGGCTCCAAATGCCCATGCTGTTAGCTCAAGTAACAAGTTGACAAATCAGCTTTCTATCAACTTTCTCAGTCTAACATGTATCACGTAGGCGTCTGTCGCTGAAGCCGATATGGCCTCAGTCACTTCATTATTGTTCTTTGCTCGTTCCATTGGAGGTGTTGTAGGAATTGCTGTTGCCGGCACTCTCGTCAACACATTCTGGCAATCTCGTCTCACTGGAATCATTGCTGAAATGGGTCTCAATGTACGTATTCTGTTACAATATGTCTGGAAAGCCATTCGAAATCCTGACTCGTCGCTGAACATAGATTTCAATGGGATCAGTCTCAGATGGAAAATCGTTCGATCTCTTCTCTCTCCGTATGCTGCCTGCCGAACAGCTTTCCATCATTCTGGACGCCTTCGAATTCGCATATGCACGAGCTATGTGGGCCTTGGCTATAGCTGGAGCAATCTACTTTATCTCCTTGGTGTTCGTCAAACACGTTGAATTCCGTTCTGAGACAGCTGTTGAAGACACCGAAAAGCCACAACCTGACCGAAAACAGTTGATGAAGCAAGACACCATTGCGTCAATGACGTACAACTAAGCTTTATTTATCTAAGTGTGTTATACCAACCGATTCAATACAGACACCACTGTAGAATATTGAAGAGTCTCACATAATGTCAAACGTTTCGTGATAGCATCAGGTGGAAGGTGGTTCCGTTAACAATATTGTCCTTAATCTCTCCTGTTTGGATTCATCAAACCCTATTGTCACCAAGTAATTCGAGACACTGCCATACTTTTCTGCTATATAATCTAACACCTTCTCCATAATTTCTGGAGACGACAGTGCCCATTCGTCTGTATATCCACTAGCAATTGTTTCCCTACAACGATTTTTTTAACGATTCCCAAGTTCTGTTCTGAAACAGCATAATCCTGAATAATCTCTCCCTTTGGTATACCGAGGATAGAGTACAAGAGCGCTAGGTACCAGACATTTATCACTACATCATGCTTTGAAACACAATGTGCGAGCAACAGAGCCCCACCTGTAATAAAACCAGTGCGATCCTTTCCAACTGTACAATTGCATATGATTGGATAAGAGGACTCATCCAGCAAGAATTCAAAAACTTTTAAGACGTCGGGTTGGCAAAGTTCCACGAGGCATATATTATATCCCAAAATCTCGGGAGTTCCAACAAACTTCCGCAACCCGATGCCTTCTGCACGTCTCGCCAGGCAACACATAAACATACAAGCGGCGGCGCTGTGAAAAATTTAGTGTTACGACCAGTGAATGATTTGCGAGAGGTCCTTACAGTTTTTCGAAGATAGAAATCCTATTCCACATGGAGTCAATCATACCATGGTGAAGCGGCACGTTGAAAACAAGATTTTGATTGGGGTCGTCCTATGGTACAAGAGTTGGTGAAGAACATCAAGAAGCGGTTACGAAGGATCACGTGAGGCCGCGACCATCAAATACCACCAAGACTTCAGAAGCTTACTCGTTTCGATGCTCTCTGATAATACGTCCAGATGCCCTTGCCAGGCAAAGTTCTTTTCACATCAGCAGATGTGGATTTTGATCGCAAGTCGATGATAGTTTTAACACACAACTCGTTTGCGATAATCCAGGCATCAGTAGCGGACGCGTTTGCTACAGCAGCAATGGTTAGCATAAGCCCAACACAGACAACCCTCGAGTCATACTCAAGTTCCGCTTCGAAACAGTGCTCCTGGTTTGATAAACCTAGTTGAGAGAGATTTTGAGTTAGATCTCCATTTGAATAGCTCACTTATTGAGTTGTCAAGTAAAAATTGTAGGTCATACTGATGGTCTCTGGTGTATCGGCCGCCAATATCTCTAAAATTTGATATTTCGTCGAATTTGATGACTGGAGTATCTACGGCCAGTTCCTCCTTCAATGCGATAATCTCATCGAAATGGCGATATCTCTTCTGTTTTCCATATAGAGGCAGGTACGGTGGCATATTCCCGGAAGCTGGTATGTTGATGTGAGACAAATTCCACTATCGGTATCGATAGCTCCACGTCAGATTCATATCAACTGCTACGTGCTCAATGTTCAATTTCCGTTGCAGAAACGACGTGCATCTTACACTCTTTCGTCGAGGTTACCTCAGTCAATGTTGTGATTTTCGTCAACATCTTTCAATTTTAGCGAGCACATCAGACCTGGTAATTCAACGGAGAGATATCGACATGTGCTCAATATGTCCAAGACGCGCTCAAGCGTCTTTCTAGCCCCCGGTATAGTTTGATGCGTCGAAACTCTAACTTTGATATCAAACAAGCACAACCAAGTACTTACAGGAACGATGGCCAAAGCTTTATATGTCTTTGACAACAATGCCGAGATATCCGAAGCCTTGAATGTCTGGACAGCAGCACTAGCTAAAGCTGCTATAGCAAAGTCTGGTCGATTTACAGTGGCTTTATCTGGCGGATCACTCCCAAGTGTACTAGCTGCCAAACTGGTATCAAATCCAACAGTAGAATGGTCTAAATGGCACATATTCTTTGCTGATGAACGATGTGTCCCGCACGATGATCCAGAATCAAACTACGACTTGGCTCGCAAGCATTTCACAAGCCACGTACCAATTCCATCATCCAATATACACCCCATAAATCCAGATCTAGTAAATAATCCAGAAGCTGCCGCAAACGACTATGCTGATCAACTCGAATCGGTATTTGGAAGCTCCGTCAAGTTTGACTTGATCTTCTTGGGAATGGGGCCAGATGGACATACTTGCTCGCTCTTTCCGGGTCACAAACTATTAGATGAACAAACAAAGACTGTATCTTGGTTGACTGATAGTCCCAAACCACCGCCATCTCGTATCACTTTGACGTATCCAGTAGTGAATGCTGCAACAACGGTCGCTTTTGTCGCAACTGGAGAATCAAAGGCTGATGCTTTGCATCGTATCATTGACTTGGGTGAAGCACTACCATCAGGCAGAGGTAATGCCAGCTGAATGATTGCAACGATGTCTGTTAATACTCACATGTTTCACCTAAAGTCAAACCTGCCAGCGGTGAATTGTATTGGTTCTTGGACGGGCCAGCTGTAAAGGGATTGACTGCAAAGACCCAAAAGTTGAAGCTATAAAACAATCGCTCCTACATAGTCGTGGATTGTGGAGCTGTCAAAAGAAGTATAGTAAATATATCAATCTCATCACATAGCTTAATCAAGCTTCAACGCGTGCGACCTACAGTTCAATGTTCAATTCCGGATGTGCACGAAAGTGAATCAAGAACAAGACTCAATATTGAGTCTGTCCAGCTTAATGCATAACATGCAACATTCGCACCGCAATACGGAGACGAGGAAGCCATGAGCAATCAGACTATATTGCGTCTGCAGAGAGAGCTTTTGGATTGGCATTTGCACCAGGAGTCAAGCATCGAACTGAGGTCAAACGATGAGAACATAAAGCACATTCACAGTCTCATTATTGGCCCACCAAGGACCCCTTACAGGTGTATTCTGCGTAGTTGGATTGACATTCGAGACTTTATTTACTCATTGTACTTTAAATACCTCGTCTAGCCTTGGAATGTTTGTGCGTTTGTTTGACATTTGAAAGGGTCTTTTTGAACAAAATCCACTGTTGGTCGCAATGAAACTAGTAAGAAGCTCACAATGTCCTTGGCATATTATAGGATTTTCAAATAATTTGCGGTGATGACTACCCCACCTCTCCGCCCAAAGGTATTGCTTCTTTGAAGCTTGGAGCCCTAAGCTACTGAAATTCCAATCAACCTTCCTCTTTCAACAGTGACGGCTATGACAACAAGCAACGGACGAGTGCGATTCAATCCCAATATCTACGCTAAGTGAGTGTTTCATCCTTGCCTCCTTTGGAATGGCCTAATTTGAGAAGCAAGGAGCTTTGATTGTATTTTGTGAACAAGATACACCTTCCTTGTTGCACCAAAGGAATTTTCATGATCAGAAATTGTTCTGCATGATCAGAAATCGATCTGATGTTCAGAAATTGACCGACTTAATCAGAAATTGACCTGCATGATCAGAGATTCTGAAGTTGGATTCCGTTGCTTGGACAAAGCAGTACTAATGTTTCAACGTTCATTAACTACCGTAAATAGTGGAAAGGTCTGTTTATCGATACTTGGTACTTGGAGAGGGGAAGCTGGCGAACAATGGTCGTCTGCGCATGGTACGATCGCATATTCATTAAATCAATGGGACGAGGTTATTCAATGATTTTTCGCTAGGTCTGTTGAGTGTTCTCATATGTACGGGTTGAATTTGTTGAACATGTTTTAACTGACTGTACCAACAACAAACTCAACAATCTTTCTTCAGCCATACAATCGCTCATGTCTGACAAACCATACGTCAATGAACCTGGCTTCGAAAATCCTCCACCAAGTGATCAGAAACTTGTCGATGATTACAACAAGAAAATCATGCATGGTGAGTAGTGTGGTTACAATTTGTGCGGCGTTTAGTTGAAACGCTTGGTCTCCCCAGAATGTAACCTTCACGACTTTGAACCTTCTTTAGAAACATTGCGAGTCAGCGTTTGTGATAGGCTGGAAGCATACCTCGGGTGGAAATCCAATGACGTCAAGGTCGAAAACACTTCCGTGTCACGACACTTCTGTTCATGCAAAGAAGTCAACCCGTTCACTGATTTTTGCAAACGAATGTTCATGTTGTACTACGACAACTACATTGTAGGTCATTTGATGGCGTCTATCGTGCCAGCTGAGATATGTCGTACCCGCCGTACAGCCAAACAGCAATTTGAAGTGTTTGCTAAAATCACTTTTCAAATTTAGCAAGTTGTGAATGAAGAGTCAGCAAAAGTCAAGGATGGCACTGCCTTCACCAAGATGAGGTTCGAAGGTGGAAGTAATAGCATGGAAGGAGCATTTGCCTATGGAACTCTACGAACACGCTTGGAATCAATATACAAAGGCTTGATGGATGAAATTGAAGACTGGAAGAGGTAGAGTATATGATCCTGGTTGCTACGCCGTGTTTGGAAATGATAGATTGACCACCACCTCCAATCGACAGGGAATCAAAAGCACACATCAAGGCAGATACTACAACTTCACACTCTCTCCTATCCCAATTCCAACAAATACAAAACTCCAACACCATCGATGGCAACATATCTGTGGAATTGAGAGACAACAACCCTTACATTTGGATCGTGACAATCATTGGTCTGCCTGCATCTAGCCACGATGGTGCGCTCTATAAAGCAGAAATGGTCTTTTCCAACGAATTCCCAGATGCACTGCCAAAAGTACGATTCTTGACTGAAGTCTTTCATCCAAACATCAGCCGTGATGGCTTTCCGTATTATCGGTATGTGTGTTGGTCGACGTGAAACTCTAGCTCATTTCAGCTCACCACGTCCATCTGTTAGAACACTCAAACCTGAAGATGTACGCTCCCATCTCTCAGCCATTGCAGCTCTCTTCACACAAGACCCAGATCCTCAACCAGCAACACATTTGAATGCTACGGCCCGGGATCTTTACTTTGGCACAGAGGCACAGAAGAAAGACTTTAGGAGGCGTGTTAGGAGGTGTGCACAGAAGAGTGCCGACTTCGACGACTTGTAATACGTAAAGAAATACCTTTCTGTAGTGGGTTAGTCGCCTTGTATCTAGTATAGCATTTCTCCTTGATATATATATTTATAGCATTTACTTCGATTTCCGGTTTGCGACGCGTCATCTGCGTTCTTCGTGTGTTGTTGCAAACCTCGCCGCCCATCTCTCCATACTGTTTTCACACTACGCTCCATCTCTCGTACTGGAAATTTTTGCATACATTATTAGCAAGTCATAAGCAAGTCATAATTACCCAAAGGTAAAGAGGAAGCAAGACCCAATGGCTATGCTGCTTCTGCTTGAAAGCTCCACGCATGCTTATTTCAAATTTCGTTTCTTGACTTTTGACCACAGGCTATCTTTTTCGAGAAGGCATTAACTAACTTCTAACAGCCTAGATTATTTACGAATGACAGCTACCGCTACTTTGTCTACGGCACCACAAGTTGACGGAACTGAAACCAAGGTTGGTCAAACATTTTGATGGACCCATTTTGTGATGGCCAAGTCAATGTTTGGCGATTAATTGTCCCTTTCTTGATGATCATTTTCTCATTCAAAACTCACATCAATTTAGGAGCCCGTCGACGTAAGTACATCGAGCGTCCACAAACTATGAAGTCACAACCTCGCTCAATAGTGTTGATATGTTGCATCTCGCGTTTACACACTAATTAACAAACAAAAATAGGCTTATACAGTGGGCTGGGAATTTGTCCAGCAATACTATACATTCCTCAACAAGGATCCAGCAAAACTACACCGCTTTTATAACAAGAAGAGTACATTCACTTTTGGAAGTGAGTGTGAAGTCGTAAAGACAAAACATGGACAACAGGTATGAAACAATGATTGCGTTACCTATGTGAACAAGTATTCTGTGTACGTATCCCCAATCAACCCTCCTTCTTGAATTCTCATCTTAGGAAATTCACCAACGAATATTGGAATTGGGCTTCCACGATTGTCAGGTCAAGATTTCAAATATAGACAGTCAATTGTCAAATGCAGGTGTATTGGTACATGTATTAGGTGAAATGTCAAACAGGGGTGAAGCTTCACACAAGTTTGCACAAACGTTCTTTTTGGCTGAACAAACACACGGATACTATGTATTGAACGACATCTTCCGCTTCCTGAAGGAAGAGGTTGAAATGGAATATGATGAAGGAAACCCAACTTATGCAGATGGCGATGATGCTCATCATCAAACACATGAACAAGCAACAAACCAATATGGTATGACTAGCCCTCTTCCTCGTGCAGGTGGACTATCTCCTGCACCTCCTCCGATGATGGCTCGCGCTCCATCACCCACTCGTACTGCTCAACCAGCTCCACAAGCCAACCATGGCAATACTCATGGGAATGCAATGTCTCATGCTGCCGATCATCATGCCGCTGAAGAGGTATACCAAGTAGAACCAGAAAACTGGGAACCAACAGCCGCCATTAAGGAAGTAAAACAGTCTCCAGCTCAACCAATCGCCATAGTTCGTGAAGCTCCAGCTGTATCGCACCCTATCGCACCGGTAGCAACAGCACCGGTAGTAGCAACGTCTTCTGTCCCATCTCCATCTGCCGTCTCAGCCCCAGCAGTAGTACCCCCAGTAGCGATAGTATCACCAGTAGTTCCATCACCCGTTGCCTCTCCCCAGCAAAAACCTCATGTACCTCATACAACCGCATCCCATGTATCAACCATCGCAACTTCTCATATATCTGTACAAACGTCCCCTGAACAACCCCAACGAGGAGCAGCACCAGTATCACAACAACCTACTCCAATTCAATTAACTCAACCATCCTCAACACAAGCAGCTCCCCCAGCTCAACAACCTACACCCCCACCAAATGTAGCAAAAGCACCTGTTAAAAATGAGCCTGCCAAACCAAAGACATGGGCTACTCTGGCTGCAACTCCCGCTGCTCTTCCTGCAGTCACGTCTCCAACTAGGGCTCAAGGTGCTCCCAGTGGCAGTGTGAATGGTACTAGGCCAGGGTCGCCCGTAGCTCAAGCACCACCACCACCACCACAACAGCAGCAACAACAACAGCAGCAGCAAAAGCAACCTGCTCGTCCTCAGTCACGAGAATCCGCAACAGATCAACGAAGGAGTGTTAGTAGTGGAACTGAAAATGGCAAGAAATTCCCTGTCGCCACAGGTATGGTCGCATGAATGGATGCTTTGTCAATCACAAGCTGGTTGAGACACGAGTGCAAATGAAAACACTCCAACAAGTGTATGTTTTACTGACTTGATTCATACTCAAAATTTATAGTTGAAAATGAAAAGAACTCGATTTATGTCAAGAATGTTATCCCGACTATTACAAAAGATATCATTAGGGACACTTTCTCAAAAGTTGGAGTCATTAAACATATGGACGTTGTTCCCACAAAGGTAACGACCGCAATTTAAGTATGCCGAAAAACGTGCAATGGAAATAGCCACTAAACATGCTGATATATCAGGGTATCGCCTTTGTGGAATTCGCAACTCCTGAATCAGTCAAAAAGGCCGTCGAACAGAATTTATTCTCTACACGTGGTACTGATGGCCAAATGGTTAATATGATTGCGGAACGGCGAAGACCATATCCTATTTACCCTCAGCAGAATCAAGCCCGTAGTACAAATGGAAATGACGGATCACACCAACAACAACAATCAGGATCTAGTTCTCGTCAACTCCAACAACCTCAGCAACAACAACAACAACAACCCCAAAAAGCGGTCAGTGGTAGTGTTGGTGGCCAAAATCAAGGTCAAGGCCAACAAAATAAAGCACCCAAGAGTAAGAAGAGTGGTAATGCATAGAAACCCCTTATATAAGTTTTCAAGACGCTTGTATGCCCTAAAAAAGAATATAACATGACAGTTAAATGGAAATGGTTGGTAGTTTATTGAGGTTCAGCGAGATACAAGTGTGTTCCAATATTCTGCAATATGATTACAAAGCGGTCTTTGTCACGCTGCTTGTGAACAGGCTTGTTCAAGGAAGTCCAGCGCCAGGAATAGAGACTTTCACTGCTTCGAATCTTCCGCCTATTTTAGATTGTCTGTTAGAACTTTTGGACGCACATACAACACACAACACTACGTGATGTCTAGGACTTCTCAGGAGATCACCATTCGCATGCATACCTTTAATCTTCGCTTGGGCTGGACCTGCTGCAGGAGCAGTCATGATAAATAAAGTGTTGTGATCGGCACCTATTAATGAAACCGTTTGGCACGTCAGAAGCACGGAATCGGCTCCTATCTAAATTTATTTTGGTTGTGGTTATTGCACTTTACCTCCGAGCATGCATGCAAAGGAGGGCTGAGTTGTTCGTACAGATCCCATGATTTTCTGTGTTAAAAGTGTGTAGGGGTGGTAAAGTTCTATGCGAGCAAAACTCCCCAGTAATGCAGTACATACCCCTCCAGGACTGAATCGAAACATATCTACTCCTGATCCGTTTGCTGAGAGACCGAGGCGAAAGCAAAAAAAGGTGAGTGTCGAGTGTCTAACACGGTCTCCTATTCGTTTAAATCGTATTTCACCAGACTTACCAACCCAGACACAACCTTCCGCATCAAGACAGATCCCATCAAGTGTGCAATCAGGAGTCTCAGCACAGACTCGTTGATTGCTCAACCGGTTTGTCGTTGGATCAATATCGAACGCACTCAATCTTTTAGCAGCGCTCTCAGCGACAATGAGAGTCCTGCCATCAGGAGTAATGACTATTCCGTTTGGGAACCCTAAACCACTAGGACCAGCTTCAACTCGCCTGTCTGGATGAACAATAGCCAGTGTAGCAGGCTTGTAGTGCGCAGCCATATTGACATCGACTGCGAAAGGATCAAATCCATAGTTTCCGACATAGGCTGTGCCGCTTGCAGAGACTACCATGTCGTTGGTGTGGAATGTTGCGATGTTGGATAGGTCTGCGTAGTCAGATACTTGACCTACGGGTATGGAAAGACAGTCAGGTCAGGTTTCAAGGCTTTCTTCATAATTGATACAGATTTCGAAGAGTTATAAGCGCAAATCACGCAACAAGCAATACCATTGTGGTCCACAACGATCAGCTTGCGACTTTCCATGACACAAACGAGCATTCGGCCGTCTGGCAACCATCCCAGACCAGAAGGAGTATTGTCACTAGCCAAGGTCAAGACAGTTTCCAGCGATTTTGTAATTGGATCATATGTCTAAACGGGGGAATACGAAGGTTAAATTGGAGATGCGAGGACGTTCTCCACCAAGACCGTACAGATCGTCTTGAAACAGATCTACGATCTTGTACAGATCCCGAAGATTATCTTGAATCACGGCAAAATCTCATGTACGTGGCTGTCACGGCTGCGACATTGCAGCAACATATAATGTTGAATGTCGATGCAAACCCCAATTTCCGCATCAATAGGTAGTAAAAGCACAAATATCATCGTTCAATCCTCATACATTGACTACGTTAAAGTAGAGATCACTAAAGTACAGTTTGTTGTCGTGCCAGCGTGGCCCTTCCCCAAAAGTCAAACCGTGAACCAACGTCTCGGTCTGCATCTTGCTTTGATTTCAGAGATTTAGCATAATGGTTATTTTCTTTAGAGCTTTCAAGTAGAGGGTGGTTGATGAAACTGCTTCTTTTTTGTTTATTGAGGTTCAGCGCGATACAATTGAGCTTCAATATTCTGCAGCGACATGATTTGGTTTATACTGCTTTTTAACACGTTTTCAAGGTAGTCCAGCTCCAGGAACAGTGACTTTGACAGCTTCAATCTTGCCGCCTATAGCACAAAAGTTTCATTGGAACGTTTGGACGCAATCACACTCACAAGAGACATAACAAGATAGCACTGCTCAAGATGCCAATATTTCTCACACACATACCTTTGATTCTACCTTGGGCTGGACCTGAGGAAGGAGCGGTGAGAATAAAGAGGGTCTTGCGGTCAGCACCTATGGTGAGAACGGTTTGAAAGTTAGAGCAGGAGGTTGAACTGGTTTTTCGTTCTGTGAAATACGTTTTGAACTCATTTGTTTAGCGTTACCTCCGAGCATGCATGCAAAAGACGGTTGAGTTGTTCGTACAGATCCCAAAATTTTCTGTGGAAATAAAAAATCCAGTGCAGACCTTGTTAACACTATCTTTTTTGCTTAAAAACAACTCCAAACTCCATGCATACTCCACCAGGACCGTATCTGAACAAGTCTAGTCCCGTTGCGTTTGCTAGTAAAGTGAAACCAGACAGAGAGATTGTGAGCTTTTGGTCGAATACAATTGGTCTGATAGCATTTAAGTCAGACTTTCATCTAACTCACCGACCCAGACGCAACCTTCAGCATCAAGACAAATACCATCAGGAGTACAATCAGGAGTCTCAGCATATACTCGGTGGTTGCTCAAACGGTTTGTAGTTGGATCAATATCGAAGGCACTCAATTTTTTAGCAAAGCTCTCAGCTATGATGAGTGTCTTGCCATCGGGGGTAATGACGGTACCGTTTGGGAATCCTAGACCACTAGGTCCAGCTTCGACACGTCTGTCTGGATGTACGATAGCTAGGGTAGCAGTTCTGTAATGTGCTGCGATATTATGCTCAGCCGCTACGAGATCAAATCCAAAGTTTCCTACATAGGCTGTGCCGTTTGCAGAGACTACCATGTCGTTTGTATGGAATGTTGCTATGTTGGACAGGTCTGCGTAATCTGACGTTTTGCCTATAGTATGGAAACTGAGTCAGATCAGATATCCATGTTTTCTTCCCGACGCGTACGACGGCGAACAGCCAGAAGTGCAAACAATACAGCGAGCCGTACCATTGTGGTCTACAACGATCAATTTGCGGTCTTCCATAACAACGACGAGCATTCTACCTAATTTTAATAATCTTAATAATTGATCAATCATTTGATGCAAATAGATTTAACAACCGTCTGGCAACCATCCTAGACCAGAAGGTGCCTTGTCACTAGCCAAAGTCAAGACAGTTTCCACTGATTTCGTAACGGGATCGTAAGTCTAAAGGTGGAAGTGAGATCAAGGTTGGTCGATGCATGTACTTTTCCACCAAGACTGTGAAGATTGTTGTTGAAACAAATGCAGCATCGTGGAGAGCCTTTCAAGAAGATCTCGAAACACCCAAGCTCTCCAATGTACGTGTGCAACAAGGTGTAATGTGGGAATGTTGAAGCCAATCCAACTATGGAATGCACCAACGCATGGAAATGCAGCAAATATGTTGTATAACTCCATGAATACGAAACAATGCACAAATAACATCGTCAAGCCTCATACCTTGACTGCGTTGAAGTAGAAGTCACTAAAAAACAGCTTTCCATTGTGCCAGCGTGGTCCTTCACCAAAAGCCAGTCCAGTTTGAAGCGTTTCAGTCTGCATATTTATCTTGTATTGATTTGCGAGATGAGTGGCTGCTGGTAGAGCTTCAACTGCACGAATTGTGTTGTAGCACAAAGCTCAAAGCTCAAACGTGACGAGACCTTACTTGACGCTAGAAGGCGACTAAAGAATTACTACTTCCAGGCAACATATATCATAATTATACGCGTTCAACGCGTTCTGACACGAAAACCGGGGCTAGTATCGACACTTTGTTACAAAGTCTTTGTAGTTCCAAACACGCAGGTGCATTTTCCCTAAAGTAAGAGGCTTACTTTTCAGCTTCCTGTACCAAGAAGCGCCGATGCTGCATGTCAAGCCTAATTTCAGTCATGCACTCTCAGATGCCATCAAGAAAAGGGATCTCAAACTGATCTCTTCTCTGCTTCAATTGGAAGCTCTTCAGCCTGCTCAGACCAATGTCCTAGTTCTTGCAAAGCAGGTATCATCAGTACCCTGATGCCTCATCAGTTACATATTATTTGGTCTATATCTTGCTGATCCAATGTCCTATTTCATTCATACAACTATACTCACATTCATCAACATCACTGCCCAGGTGTTTGAATGCTCGGCGCTCGTTAATCAATGCTCCCGCTCCTCAAACAAACCTGACGACGGAATCATGCTATGGACGGATATCACTATCGCCGCATGGTTGCATCTCTCAATGGATGTCATATCTCTAGCAATCAATTCTCTGACAATCCAAACCCGTCGAGAGTTTTGTAACGGATTCTTGGAATCATTTCGTAACATGCTAAATCATGTCATGGTGTGTTGATCGTCGGTACATCTATCATGAATCGAATTATCTCAAGTTCATTGAAACCTCTTCTTTCTGTAGCTCTGGTTGAGTGAACCACCGCTCTTGACCCCTTCAAACCAACTGTACAAGGCGCTCTGCGAACTGATGGTCAAGTTCTCCAAGCTGTTCGTTGAGGCTGCCGCTCCGAGTAACATGAATTTTGATGATTACTCTCAAGGTATTGTTTGTCGCCGATCTGTAATGTCTTTGAGAATTCCTTTCACTAATATAGCAATGACGTAGGTCAAATTTTAATGCTCCCATACGTGCTGAACATTGCAGATGCCTCAATTCCCTACGTCGATGCCAACAAAGTCACAAACACCACGTACGTGCACATCATACGACAGTGTTTTTCTTGACAGGCAATTGAGCCAACTGCGATGTAGGTGGAAGATGATCCTCCAGATAATAGGTCCGCCAGCCCTAGTGCCACCTCAACTTCAAGTAGACGTGACGGAGCGAATCATAGTCGGCCTAGATTACATACTGAATGGCTTCAGAATCGCTGCTTGTGACGGCGTCATTGTGTCCGCTACAAAGTACGCTCAAGCCATGACAACATATCACGTAAAACTGGGTATACGTTTCTTTCAAATTTTCCCTGTGAAATTTGGTATTGGAAACGCAAACACAGGTATCTTCAGACTCCTTACGCGTATGAGGTAACATCTACTCTGAGAATGAACAGTAAATCAACGAGGATAACACCAACATCGCCCTATTTAGCAAAGCAATTCACAAACAGTCATTAGATAATCGACCAGTAGATGAGAAAGTGTTTGCCATGCTCATCCAACTTCTTCAGAAAGGAGATTCGGGCCGAAATGTCATACTGGATAGCCTCGAATCAAATGATGTTGACGGCTTATGTCGTATTCATATTATACGCGTCGCCTTGTCGTCACCAGATATATCACCAAACTGTCATCAGCTAGTCGTGCTCAATCCGCTGATGGAAACATTGTTGGATCAAATGCCTACAATTTTCGAAGTGAATGACAATCAATATGCATATGACGAGACTGTTATGGCAACCGTGTTCTTTATAAGGGAGCTGGACGATGCAGCATGGAAGTTTGTCGAGAAACTTTACTTTTCGACATTGCTTTCTTCGTCATCCAACCCTGTGGCCTTCTTTTGCATTGATGTCTTGTCAGCAATACTTACGGAAGGTGAGTACCTTCAGTCATATATCGTTTGGAACCTTTTAGAACTGGAGAAATCTCATGAAATACCTAATATTAGAACCAGCGTTACGACTGCAATACCAAGAAAGAATCCAAAGCCTACTTAGTAGAATAAAAGCTCGTGGGCCAGCTTCATTTCGGTTGCAGACACTGTTGAGACGTCTTCAACCCGCTGTGTCAGTGTCATTTGCAGAAGGCAAGGATGACGATCTGTATAAATTTATGAGACAAACGGTGCTGAGTCAAAGCAAGTCCTGCACTGATCTTTACGACATATGCCTCAAGGAGTTGTAAGTACTACTTTCTCATTTCTTGTGACGTCGTTGTGGATGTGCTGACATGCCCCGACTAACTTTTAGGGACGCTATCAGTATTGGAGATGAGTGTGCTGTCGTGTTTGAATGCTTGGCTGTGCTCGTTAAGGTGGAGCCACTCTCAGATGTGGTCAAACAGCCCGCTATTGAACATGCTGTCACTATTTTAGAGCAAAGGCCCAGTTCTCCTGTGGTAAACGTTGAAATGATTTGATGACTTTTCATTATTTTACTGTGTTGCATTTTGAGCATTAGTGACAAATCCTCCTCTAACTAGACGATCAATGCTATCTGCAAATTTCTGCTAGTTGCAGCTCCAGAAAATACGTTTGTATTGAGAACGCTCCGAGCGTTCACTCATTTAGTGCAAGCAGAGACCACTGCTACTAGTAAGTTTTGCGACTGTTGTTGGATCAAAAGAGCAAACATTCATTTCGACCTGGCTTCCAACAACAATTCTCTCCTCTTAGTCTGCCAATTTGTGGAAAAGTTTGCACATCTTCGTGTCAACGAGCAGGTGATGATTTTCTCGAAACGATTTCCAATCAAAAAGAGGGGCCTACTCATACTTTGCGAAACCTTAGTTGATTGTAGAGCTGTTGAAACTTTGCCTCGTGTCGTCTCGTGGTATTTGGTCTGCTCGATATGCTGCGATGAGAACCGTCTTGATCAGTGCTGCCCATGTGAATATTGATCTTGCTTCAGCGATAAACGCTCAAGACAGAAATAGCATTGTTGCGTTTATGACTGCGGTGTCTGTTGAAGCAACACCACCCGCAAAGAAGGTGAGCATTGATTTCGTCTGGTTTTGCAGCATGAGGAGCACTTTTTCAAATATCTCATGTTACTCTGTATTGATTATTGTAGCAGAAAATCATGACGAGGATGGCACTCTTGTGTGATGATTTTGACAAGGACAAGGATGACATAGCGGATGCACTTTCAATATTACTAGATTCGGTCAAGAATGGTAAAAGACATGGTCAAGTATTGCTTCATCACGACAAACTCAAACAATTGATGCAACTCATAGCAAGTTGAGAATTTGAATTTGTGTTGTTCATATTGTATTTAGAATAGAGTAAGTATCAGAACACATCAATATTTGTCGTTGGGTCTTGCTCGGTGGAGCTTGCGAGTTGTGACAAAAAAGCGATCTCAATTAACTATACGTTGGTGTACACAGCTCACGGCTGATCAGTGGTATCAAGAATAGAAAAAGCAGGGTTGGTCGCCCGCCTTACAAAGCATCAAAAAAGTGGCAGGGTCTAATTTTAAAACTGTGATTTTTAAAAACTTCATGCTAGGGACATGTCACGGTAGATAAAAACAATGCCAGCAGCAGGAATCGAACCTGCGTTCACTCGGCCACAACGAGTAGTAATAGCCACTATACTATGCTGGGCGGCAAATTTTCTAGTGACGGTGGGGAGCTAGAACCATGAGACGAGGTCACTTCTGCACTAACAAAAAAATCGCCTTACCCTGCGGGACGTTACTTCTCACTACATTGATGGTGTGGATGACATGTGTCTTCGGTGCAATCGTGCAGCTCGTGAAAAATTAGACCACATGCTAGTAGGCTGTCCCCGTCTCCAGGGGTTTTGGCGCTATTGGGGCCGTCTCGCTCATTTAATTTGTCCTCGAATCTCCGACCATATAAAATTTAGCACTGTAGTTTTCGCCGCTGCTGATGAACTCGGGCCGACTCCTAATAAGGCACTCGCATGGGTGGTGGACACGCTGCTGGC